GGTCAACCCCGATGAGGCTGTCGCCATTGGTGCCGCTATCCAGGGTGCCGTCCTGGCCGGTGAGGTCACCGACGTTCTCCTGCTCGATGTCACTCCCCTCTCCCTCGGTATCGAGACCCTCGGCGGTGTCTTCACTCGTCTGATCAACCGCAACACCACCATCCCCACCAAGAAGTCCCAGACCTTCTCCACCGCTGCTGATATGCAGACCGCTGTTGAGATCAAGGTCTTCCAGGGTGAGCGTGAGCTCGTCAAGGACAACAAACTCCTCGGAAACTTCCAGCTTGTTGGCATTCCCCCTGCCCACCGTGGTGTTCCCCAGATTGAGGTCACCTTCGACATTGATGCTGACTCCATTGTCCACGTCAACGCCAAGGACAAGTCCACCAACAAGGATCAGTCCATCACCATTGCCTCCGGCTCCGGTCTTTCCGACTCCGAGATCCAGTCTATGGTCGAGGATGCCGAGAAGTACGGTGAGGCTGATAAGGAGCGCAAGGCCGCCATTGAGGCCGCCAACCGCGCCGATAGCGTCCTGAACGATACCGAGAAGGCCCTCAAGGACTTCGAGGACCGCCTCGACAAGACCGAGGCCGAGTCCATCAAGGAGAAGATTGCCACTCTCCGTGAGTTCGTTGTTAAGAGCCAGTCTGGCGAGGGCTCTGCCACCGCTGAGGAGCTCAAGGAGAAGGTCGACGAGCTCCAGACCGCCTCCCTCACCCTGTTCGACAAGATGCACAAGGCTCAGAACGAGCAGCAGCAGCAGCAGGGTGGTGAGCAGCAGGGTGAGAACAAGCAGTAAGCTGCTTCACTCCTGACTATTTCACCTTTGGTCACCCCGCGTGACTAGTGTATTTTTTTTCTTTTCCTATATTTCTTGTTTCCTTTGTGTTAAAGAGACTCCCTGATTACCTCCGCATGTTCTTTTCTTTTTACGCATTAACTGTACACATACTCCCAAGGCCCTTTTTACCCCCTTCTACGTTTCTGGTGTCTCGGTGTTTGATTACCAACCTGTATGATCTATTTTCCCCATTTTCTTCCCTTCGTCTTTTCGCCTGCACCTCTGCGCCCAGGCCTCGAGCCTGGTCAGAGAGTAAGCCGGGATTGTCTACCATTGTATCTAATGACATTACGGCAAGGGGCCACAAAAAAGGATGCTGGGATTTGGCTAGTTGGGTGGCATGTGACAATAGAAATCGGAACATTCTCCTCTCTTTTTTTTTTTTTTTTAATATTTTGAATCCAACTGTAGAGCCGTTATGGCATAACTTGGGTGCAGCTTATGTTCTTTCCCCAGAAGGCATGAGCAATTGCCAACGAATTACTTGGATTGTTACCCTGCGGCCACGCTACCTAATACGCCAATAGATTCCCCGACGAATGACAAATACGGGCTATGCGCGGCTGCGTGCTCTTCTCATCCGGGATGCACCCTGCAAGTTCCCAGGTGTCCACCATGTATCCCATATCCACCTCTCCACTCCTAGAGTTTCAGTCTGACAGGCAAGTCCAAATTTACCACCCAAGGCCAATATCGGACAGCGTGGAAAGCGATAGGTCGGAAACATGCCTGACACACGGCTTGTTCTTGGGTTTGGAAATCCCAGCAAATTTTGATCCCCAGGTGCTTGGGCCCATGGCTTGGCCACAGCTCTAACGGAGTGTTCCATCTCGGCAGTCGATTAGAGTGCCTTTTGCGGAAGAAAGAGACGTCGGTTTCAAAGTTTACTTTTCTAACACGATTATTGTGCCGCCGACACCGGCTTGAAACACTCTAGTCTATGCACAATTCAGCCACAGAGCCCTTTTCTATGATGTTTCAGACGATAGCGGGACGGAAGATGCTGTATTTTCCGGGACGGTGTGAACGTAGGACTTTTGTTCGCCTTTGTTGTCCCGTGAGTGTAAAAGGGGAGCTTGACAGGAGCCAAGGTGCAGAACAATGGGCTGATCGGCGCTCATTTCTAAACTGCAGATCGATGGCTAGATCGGCCAATCTCCGATCGTCCTCGACCCCCTGTTAGACGATCTTAAAGCATGGACAATTTTGAGCTCTGAACTCAAGATGCGGTATGGGTGTTGACATAGAACTTACTTTCTTTTCTTCAAAAGCAATATACTGTATACTTTAAATTTGAAGTGTAAAGTATATAGCTAAGACGAATGTTCTACAGGCTGCATTTCAGGCTCCATGTACGTTGGCCATTCACTGTTACTTTCAAGACGCATACACCGAAAACATTGGAAATAAAGAAAAGAGCGAGATTCCATTGAAATCACATTTTGATTTCGCGCGAATTGTATCTCGTGCCCTGCAAGCCATCCAAAGAGGCAAATGTCCATTTATTGAGACTGTGCAGCTGAAGACGAAACCTACGTGACCACGTGACCTTCTAGCTCTCAGAGGGGGCCAGGAACACTTTCAAAATAATTCTTCTTGACTCATGTTGACCGACAAACACTTAGCTCGATACAACCAAGCAGGGCCAAAAAGTAACCTAATACACAATTGTGTTTTAATCTAGAAACCGGATTTCAGAAGTGGACGGAGTCCGTGAAGGTAATGTGCCCTTGACTCCGCCAGACAAAGACGCGCGACCAAAACTTGGTAAGCTAGTGCAGCTAGTGTAGACAGACCAATCGCCTCTATAGTCTCGATTCCTTGCATGAAACCTCGTAACAATTCAAACGAGATGCCAAGCGAGGGCATTTCGCGGTGAAGTATTGGGTGGTCTATGTCCGTCCTTTTGACCAAGCAAGGAAATCAACAAACAACCGTCCCAATATCCCCGGTCTCGGTCTCGGTCACAGTCACAGTCACAGTCACAGTCACGGTCTCGACTCTCGACCCTCGGCCGTTGCGTTATCTCTCATTCTATCATTCACAGGGATGGCCACGAGCGTGATGCAGCTCAGGCCAATCTGGACTCGGGTCGCCGGTGACAGCGAAGCAGTCGTGCGTGCTTTGCTGCAGCGGCGGGCAGTAGCAAATCATCGTTGTACACACCAGTCGGGCTTCCAAGTGGGTCTAGCAATGATGTTTGTGAAATTACGAGGCCCGAGATCCAGCATTAGTGGATGGATCATGTTCGGCTTGAAAACGGAGACTGAACAACATGGGGCCTAAGAAAAATTTCAAACGCCCACATAACCAGGCCTTTGGTAATTCGTCGATCACACTCAGACTTGTGAGACCGTCCACGTTAGCGTGCCCCTAGTGCTGTTGTGTATGAATTATTTCCCATTGTGTCCCCACTTTTTACACTCCATTTTATTTCCACCTTACCCTAAGCCCTGACGTCTGCCGTTTGGCGGCGAACTTTGTACGAGAAAAGACCCGGGCAAACTGGGGGCTTCTATGGCTCCAGAATTGGGAATGCGGGAACAATGGAGCTTTGGACCATGGTAATTTCCCATCATCGTATAGATGCCTCATTTCTCATCTCTATCGCCTATTTGGTTGTTCTCTTCTAAAGGCCACCCTTGCCTACCCCCTCTTTTGGAGCTACCACTAGTTACCCGATTGGATCATTCAAATCCAATATACCGATCTCACCGGACAATAATCTCCATCATCCCAATTATGAGGTTGAATAGGAGCAATGTACCCAAATGGCCTGATCGGTAACCCAGATTGTATGGCCCTGCCACATCGGGCCGATGTACCCTGCACACAGTCGGGTCATCTCCCTTGACCTATAGCTCTCTAGTTTCTGCAGACTTATCGCCTGCGATGCTCCGTTCTGAGACCTGGGACAGTAAACTATTTCGTTCTAGCAGCTTCGAATCCCGTGGAACCCACTTCCCCTGTGTTACATAATGATCTCCCGCAATGACCACGGCGCGCCTTGGCAGACATGACGGTAGATCTACGTTGTGCGATTGGTGGTTGAGCCCGGAGGAAGCTTCAAGCTCGCCCTTTGCTCACTGGATTTGATTCGGCTGTTCCAGACTGGGTTTCTAAGTTCGCGCCCGCACTTAAAAAGTGACTGATCATCGATAGACCTACTCCTGTTTTTTCTCCGGAGGCTGTCCGGTACTCTTAGACCTTTGCCCCAAACAAAAGGTAATTGATTTGTAGCAATACGATTTGAACTGCCATGTGGAAAAAATACACTGGATTGTTGAGATCAGTCACTTGACCCGAACAGAATAGTAACCCCTGACGAACCACACATAGTGAATCTTTGGTACCAAGTGTGTTCAGAGTGGGACTCCCGGGTACCTTTTTTTTTTTTTTTTTTTTTCCCTGGGGGGGGGTTTTTTTTAGCATCCCAGGGCATCGACAACCTGCACAAAGTTACATACCCACCGGAAAAGGTCAAGGTCAACTGACTCTCGATCCGTCAGGCTAGAGACCAAAACAGCTAGTGCTAGGGATTGTCGCAATTCCAATCTCGAGCAAATCTCCAAGAAAGGATTTGTGATTGTTGTGATTTGATTACATCGGGCCACTAGCGCCGCGCCAATCCATGGAAGTCTTCGCCCACTGACCGCATCGACCAAACTGGTTTTGCTGCATGCCAAACGTACCAGGTGGACCACAAAGTATGATGATACGCCCCGGTAGTGACGGCTGACCCGGTGTGACTGGGTGATCTAATTGAGATCCTTGTTCCTCCCCCCTAATTACCTAGCTCAACCTAGCTTGGATGATCCCCTTACGCCGTTACGGGAAATTTCAAGATAACGGGGGTGCAGGCCAAGGGTCGCGCTAGTGGATTTTGTCATTTCTTATTTCAATTTTTTTTTGGCTATTATTATAATTGATGGGTTCTATGGGGACGTTTGGATGTCAATCCTTTCCTAACCACCCATAGATCGGGAATGGGTCCTTCCTCTTGATTATTGTCTTGCCCACCCGGTTTCTATTTTCGCTTCCCTTCTTTCCCTTTCCCTTCTTCTGCTTCCTGAGAATAGAGCTTTCCCCTCATAGCCCTCTATAGTGACCTCTAGGGCTTGAGGTTTGGATTTATTGACTCACTGGTGACCTCGTCATGGCTACTGCACCCCCGGTACCACACCCTGTTCCCGACAGTGGTATGAATGGCCATGGTCATCACGGTATCCCACGCTATCATCCCATCGCTATGAATCCCAATCCCCCACCTCATCCATCAATGCCTCCTCCGGAGCAGATGGTGCAAAATCACCATTTCCGCCACTTTGCACCGCCGCCGTTGCACGATCTTCACCCACACCCTGGTCCCTCGCCGGTGCCGCAACCGCCGAGTCCAAGCTCATTGGAGCAGATTGAAGTCCGCCTACGACAATTGGAACATGAAGAAATGAACCGGATGGCTGCCCGCCATCATATCCTTGCAGTGCGCAAGCGGGAAGATGAAGAATTCCGCAGATTGACAGAAGGCGCCGAAGCCGAAGAAGAGGTATACATCTTTTCCTAGTATCACAAGTTTACAGGAACCATAAAATTCTAACGTAAACCAGGACCTGCGAAGGCAGAGAAAAAGGATTAAAAGAGAGTCGATGGGCTTGATTCAGAATTGTACAGTCGACTCGCCGCCATTGCGGCCTACACCACCGCGCCGGTTGTCAGAGACCAGCGCGGCCACAACACTCGCTTTCTTCAAGCAGCAGAGTCCACCGGAGCCTCGTCAAACTCCTCTTCCTGTATCACAGCCTCCACCTCCACCTTCTATGCTCCCGCCGGCTCATATGCACCCTCAATCTCACCCACCTCATCCACCTCATCAAGCTCATCAAGCTCATCAAGCTCATCCGCCTCACCAAGCCCATCAACCTCATCAACCTCATCACCCTCCTCCGCCTCCGCCAACTCAGCAGCACCCTATTGCTCCACACGACCCTTCTGCTGGCCTGGGTTCTATCCGACGCAAGCAAAAGTACACTATCAAGAATGTTGAGGCCTGGGGCGAGCGCCATGGCCGTCCCGCCGCACATGATCCATCTGGCCGCGCTTTATGGAAGCGGCCATCGGATGGAAGCCTAGTTTATCTCACATGTCCTATTTCAGGCTGCGGGAAATCAGATTTCGTCACCCTCCACGGATTCATGTGCCATTTGACCAAAAAACACAAGGACCGCACATTGGGCAGCCAGTCACGAGCCCTCGAAATCTGCGGCATCGTCTACGACCCTAACGCTCCACTCCCACCCATTAGAGCTAGCAACCGCGCCTCCACGGAGGAGAGCCCGGCAGCAATGGACCACGACGGCGAACAGCGAGACGACGATCTCGACTCCGAGGACGAAGAAATGGAAGACGACCCCCGGGAAGAGTCATATCGAGTAAAAACCGAGGTCACGGAACGCTCGATCCCAGACGCAGAAGACTCCTCGTTACCTCTTGACACCTCTACGCCCCCCAACCCTATTCTCAACGGATCCATTAAGCAGTCCATTTTATCCATTATCGACCGCACTCCGGAACTGGAGCCGCGGGACGCCCTTGCCTCCCTGCCAACTTCGGAAAGCATCTCTCAAGGGCCAACGCCACATCCCGGGCAGACCGTCCCCTCCAAGCGCAAATACGAGTACTCGCCTGAGAAGGAGAACACCGAGCCAAAGGAGGGATCTACGCCTGCGTAGTCCCACCCGGTCATCATCTGATTTTACCATCTAACCAAACCTTGACGTGATATCCGTGAGGTTGCATTTGGAAAGTAAAAGTTCGATCTGAACATGTACCCACCTTGCATGTCGTTTTCTTCTCTCAATACCCTTATTTTTTGTTTGTTTGGGCGGCTTGTTCTTGTTCTTATCCTGCCACTCTGTGGCAGGACTTAGATTGACGGATATCGCTCTTGTCTATAATTAATTTGCATCAAGCATGTTTATACTCATATACACGAAATTTATGGTTCGTGGTTAATACAATGATGGTCTTTCCCTGGTTCACACCGGGGTACTTTCCAAGCATGATTTCATTTTCGTATTTCGATGTTCTGAGACGGTACGCAAATTGCCTTGATTTCAATATTTATGACCTGTAGATTGGATGTCACTTTCTGTGGGGATGATATCAAGCTTTCAGTCTGCAAGGGTGCAAGGGATCAGAAGCTTCCAAGGTTCATGGGCCTAGCTTCTTTCAACAAATCCAGTGAATCGTTACTCGGCAATAGTAGTCTTGAAAATTTTACGTGTCTATGTACAGCTGGGTATAGTTTGAATCGTACTCTATCTGCATTTCAATTCTTCTCCCTCACCATGAGCAAATGTACTAAGTACCCGTTGCCACCCTTTAGCCCATCCCCGAGAGCCTCATCGCTTAACCTCCAAACACGAAACTCTCGTAGGGTCTCCCGAAGCCAGGTCTCAAAGACATCCGGGGAGCGCTGCTGCTGCGCAATGATGCAGACCGTCGGCGGGCGACGAGACTGAGAGTCCGATTCCTCTGAAGGTTGATACGCAGGGCGTAAACGAGAAATCTCAGCACATGTGCGCACAAATGGTGCGACGAGAGCTTCGTTATAGATACAATCACAAGAGAGCAAAAGGTCGAAGCCTAGATCCTCCTCTTCGACGTCATTGTCATTATTGTGAAGCGTATCACGGCCACTGGTCTCAGACTCGATACAACCCTTCAGCAAGCCGGGTTGATCCGTTTCCCAGTCCAGGGTAGTGAATGTGATATTAGAAGCCGTCGGGATCCCGGCGGACTGCTTTTTAGTTGCAGATTTTCCTTTAGCTTTACTACCCCTTTGCTTGGCCGAGGGTGCATTCACAGCCGCGTTGGCGTCAACATTTGTGCGAAACAGACGCCGGACGTACTCTTGGTCCGTGGCGATGTAGTGTTGCACGGTGGGGGCCACGGCCAAGGCGACTAGGGCAGAGATGCCGCAGCCGAGCTCGGTTACCACGGAGTCCGAGGAAAGGAAGCCGTGTGTTCGGAGAGGATTGGAAGGGGAGGATATCCATTCCGCGAAGTGGGGTGTGATTTTCCAGAGGACTATTTAGAAGTGTCACATGTGGTTAGTTCCAGGTGATGTGTTTGACAAATGGTGTCTATAGCAGAGGTACCATAGAGCCAAGCATGAACCAGGCCCCACGGACAGTATTCCGAACCCGAAAATCAAATGACAAGGCCCAGACCGAAGCCGAGGCTGAATTTTCCCCGGGGGACCCTTTGGAAAATAAGACAAACTGCGGGGTGTCCGTGCATGGACCTGGGGAGTACGGAGTGTAGGTTGGGGAGGCGCAGATCATGAACTTACCGGCGCCCGTTGTGCCCCCGGCACGAGAGGACGAGAGCAACGTCGGAGACTGGTGGATTGAGTACTCGCCGCCACGGATCGTCACATCGACGGTCGTAGCGCGGGAGTCGACGAACCCCAGGTTGCTCGAGGGGATCTCTTGACTGAAGAGGAGGAAGGCTTCTGGAGACAGATGAGCGGTCTATCATAGCTGGATTTTAGAGAGACAAAGCATACCCTCTTCAGCATCCGTGACCTCCTCACCAATGGCCAGGAACTCGGCGAGTCGGGTGTTCATGATGGGGATTTTGTCGAGAAAAGGATTTCTACCTCAGAACACTACTTGATCACGGGACCAGATTCCCACGAATATCGAGAAGATGCCTTCTAGCCAATCTACCGCGCACCCGAAGCTAGCCAGTCGATATCCGAGTGTAGTTTACTAGTGAACCTTTACTCCGCTGGTGTGTTGGGGCTCCCGCCCAACAGAAAAACAAAACGGAAACTGATCTGCCGGACTAACACTAAACTCTAGCTAGAGGACACTAAAACAGTTCAAAGGCACCGATGTTTCCGACATGCAGTGCACAGGACCGCGGCTCGTATAAACGTGAACCGAACGACGGATACCCTATGGTCCTCTTTATTTGTAAATTAAAAGCAAAAGTCCCGTAAAAGTGGCTCCTCGACGACCTAGGAATGTGCGTCATCCTGTCGGAGCCCAGCCACTGCGCGAACGGACTTCCCTGTACCTAAGTTAGCACCTAAGGTAGCTTCCCTGCCCAGCTTCCTCGTTTTCTTTTTTCCTTCTCACGACCTTCCCGCTCAACTCTCCAAGCTGCAGCTTCTTCTCCTTATTGCTTTGGCATCGGGTAAGTCGTGTGCCGGACCCTCGAGCTCCTTTGCCGCCCCCCCCCCAGAGTCCGGAATCCACTAACGTCACTGCTAGCGGAGTTTTCCAAGCCACTGCCGGAACTTCCTTAACCTCTCCCTTCTATCCCTCTCAGCGTTACAGCTACCACAAACATGTCGAAGCGCGACCTACACATCCAGCCGCGCATGGCCAAGAAGGGCCCCTTCTCGGTCGAAGCGCCCGGCTACGAGCCCGTCCAGGGGGAGACCATTCCCCGCCGGCATCCGGCCGCGAAGGATAAGCTGATCGTGCGCCCTTCTGAAGATGTCGCGACCACCTACGATAACTTCCGCCGTTCCGCCCGCTTGTTCGGAAACAACAAGGCCGTCGCCAGCCGCAAGCTGGTCAAGACGCACACCGAGAACAAGAAGGTCAAGAAGATGGTCGATGGTGTTGAGAAGGAGGTTGACAAGCAGTGGACCTACTTTGAGAAGAGCGGGTACACCTACAAGACCTTCCTTGAGTACGAGCAGCTCTGCCTGCAGCTCGGTAGCGGTCTGCGCAAGCTCGGCCTCGAGAAGGATGGCCGTATTCACCTCTACGGCGCGACGAGTGCACACTGGCTGGCCATGTCGCACGGTGCTGCGTCTCAATCAATCACCATTGTCACTGCCTATGATACCCTCGGCGAGGACGGCTTAAAGCACTCCCTCAAGCAGACCTCCAGCACTGCCATCTTCCTCGACCCCGGTCTGATCCAGTCCCTGACCAACGTCCTGAGTGAGGTGCCCTCTATCAAGTTCGTTATCTGGAACACCGATGACGAGGTGAAGCAGGCGGACCTTGACAAGCTCAAGAACGACTTCCCCGAGATCACGGTGCTCAGCATTGAGGATCTGCGCAAGAGCGGCGAGGAGAACCCCGTGGACCCCGTGCCGCCTAAGGCCGAGGATCTCTGCTGCATCATGTACACCTCCGGATCTACTGGCCCGCCCAAGGGTGTCTCTCTGACCCAGGCCAACGTGATCGCCGCGACCGCCGGTGTCAACGAGATCGTCGGACCCTACATTGGCCCCAAGGATTCTTTGCTCACATACTTGCCGCAGGCTCACATTTTGGAGTTCATGTTCGAGAACCTGTGCCTGTTCTGGGGTGGCTGCATGGGCTACGGTAACCCGCGCACTCTGTCAGATGCCTCCATGCGCAATTGCAAGGGTGATATCCGCGAGTTCCAGCCTACTATCCTGGTTGGTGTCCCGGCTGTTTGGGAGTCCGTGAAGAAGGGTGTCTTGAACAACCTGAACAAGAACAGCATTATCATAAAGAGCATGTTCTGGGGTGCTATGGCTGCCAAGAACTTCCTTCTCAACAACGGCTTCCCTGGTGCGGGCATGGGCGCTTCCATTCTCGACGCTGTCGTCTTCAAGAAGCTTAAGGAGGCTACCGGTGGCCACCTGCGCATTATGATGAACGGCGGTGGCCCCATTTCCAAGGATACCCAGCGCTTCCTGTCCATGGCCATTGCTCCCATGATTGGTGGCTATGGTTTGACCGAGACCTCCGCCATGGGTGCTTTGAACGACCCGATGGCGTGGAACCCCAACGCCCTTGGAGAGATTCCTGCCTCGGTGGAGATCAAGCTCGTGGACTTCCCCGATGCCGGATACCTCGCCAAAAACAACCCCCCTCAAGGTGAGATCTTCATCCGCGGTGGTAGTGTGACTTCTGGGTACTTCGACAACGAGGAGGAGACCAAGAGCGCGTTGACTGAGGACGGATGGTTCATGACCGGCGATATCGGCGAGTTCGACTCCAACGGCCACCTGCGCATCATTGACCGCAAGAAGAACCTGGTCAAGACTCTCAACGGCGAGTATATCGCTCTCGAGAAGCTTGAGTCTGTCTACCGCTCATGCCCTGTTGTTGGCAACATCTGTGTCTACGCTGCCGAGGACCAGGACAAGCCGGTCGCCATTATCGTGCCCGTTGAAATTGCCCTGAAGAAGATTGCTAGCGAGAACGGTATTGAGGGTGACACCCTGGAGACCCTTGTGCACAACGAGAAGCTTCAGCGCCTGGTTCTGCAGCAGCTCCAGAGCTCCGGCCGTGCCGGTGGCCTGCGCGGTATCGAGATCATCAACGGTGTTGTTCTGTCTGACGAGGAGTGGACCCCACAGAACGTAAGTGGTCACTAGGGACAACGAACATATATTTGACAGCTAACACCATACCCAGGGTTACATGACCGCTGCCCAGAAGCTCCAGCGCAAGAAGATCATCAGCACATACCAGGCTCAGATCGACAAGGCCTACGGCAAGAAATAAAAAAACTGACGATGCGCTCCTGATATTTTCGGGTTTATTAATTGGTTTCTTTTCTTCTCTATTTCTCTGCTCTGTTACCCTCTACCGCGATTGATTTTTACCATGCGATCTCCCAAGCCTTGTGATATATGACTTTGCATTTTCTGTGGATGGCCCTTGGCCACGATGTAGACGAGACAGTGATGAATGTGGAAATGACGTTGCGACTGGCTTGCTTTCAACATAGCTGATAACTCGTCCTCGGTCAATTCCTTTCTCTCTGACATTTTGCGCCTCGTAAGCGCCCATAGAATCCATCCGAAAGTACTTCTCCACCCTGTATACTTCGGCCACGGTTACACCACTACACAGGCGCCCAGGCCATAACAACTGTACGAGTGGTACAAGCCCTTGGCAGGTACCTGGCAGATTGTCCACGCCTTGTATCGACCGGTACTTCTGTAGCGAGGTTTGCGAGTGCCTCAGGCCTAAGCCTGAAATGGCTAGTTCTGGCACGTGACTTCAACATCCAAAGCTCGACGGCGGTTTCTCTTCAGAGTTGACACAGCACTCGAACGCACATAATGTCTCTGTGGAGGTATGTTGAATAAGAGTCTTTGGCTCTACCGTCTTGCCTCGGAGCTAACATTTGCCTAGCACCTACCGATCCCTCACCCCCAAAACCCGAGCCCTGTTCGGCGTCGGTGTCATGGCCTGGGCGTCCATCGGACTGTGGACCTCACCCCAAGTCGAGGATGCACTGGGCATGGCCTCTACGACGGAGGAACAAGAGGCTCTGGATAAGCAACTGGCTGTTCGGATTTCGCGTGTCGGAGGGGACGAGAAGGAAAGCCGCGTGAATTAAGTCGGACCGTCAAAACCCTCGACGGAATACTATCTGGATGTCTCGGTCGCTACAAGAGACCCCGCGCGGATCAAATTGGACGCATAATAGGAACAGAATGGGCTATGCACACCCCCCAACTCGTCAATGCTCGACCACAGACATATTCAATACCCGGACTCCCCCCTCCAATGGCACTGCATCTAAGCCCTCGCGAGACATTCCCTTCGGATCGGGGTTCAGAAGCAGGCCCGTACTCGGGATTCATCGATACAACAACGAGGTCAGAGCACAATTTCCATATCACTAAGCCACGCGCAACAAGCCAGACCAAATCCACACCCGTGAGTCCGAGCTACGTCCGTGCTACTGAATGTTGCATGATGTTTCGGAGGGACAGATGTCTACTTTGGGCCTGCGCTGGGTTTGCAGAAACCTGCACGTCGGGAAAAAAAACCTGGTGGCTGAAGGGCAGGTGGCTTGTCTGGTCCAAATCGTGATTTTGCTAGGCTCGGCGGTGATAAACCAATCGTGGGCTGGTTTATTCTCCGGTTTGGATGTCCGGAAGGCCGGCTTTGATTGGGGCATGGTTATGCTGGTGTTTGGAATGGGAATGCGAGACCTGTTGTATCGGACCCTGTTTTTTCCTGTGGTTGAGCTTTTGCATGGCTGTCTCCGGTTCATTGTATTGACTTATTATGTACTGTGATAGCAGTTTAGGTCTCCCGTACGGAAAGTAAATGGATAACCAACATTTGAAATTTTATTCAAACATATTTCTCAGGACAATACCTATACTCAGACAAAAGATGAGTGAATCTGATCATATCTACATCCTGGCCTCTGTAGCGAAGACAATTCTTCACCATGCCGTGAACAGCAATCCCCAAACCAACGTCGTCCCAACTCCAAGTCACCCGCCTATCCATGAGCATACCTGACGTGCCCAAGAAAGATCTCTCTTCCGCGTGGGGAGACAGAAGCCGTTGACGTGGACCAACAGAGAAACTTCGCGATCCATGCTGGCTGGCTATGAACTCCGCCCAGTGACCCAGTAAAGCAGGGGCTACACATCCGACGGGTCTGAATCCCGACCTGCAGCGCCCGAGCCCTGGTTAAGTCGAACCTGGCCAACCATTTAGGGCTGCTTTGCGCCGATATGACTTGGGTAGGTGGGATCTTGATCATTGAACAGGGGCTAGAGTGACCAGGAAGGAGCATGAAGATGTGAGCATTGCGGTTTTGGAAGAGGCAGATGCAAAATGGGCATTTGATTGCTAGAGACTGTGTATTTAGGCTAGAGACGGAAGACGAGGTACCTTGATACACGCGAGAGGGAATCCTGGTCTCGCATGGTTGTCTAGAATAGGTTACGCAAAAGTTGGACCCGTTGCACTCACAACCCAGGGTTCAAGCCAGTTTTGTCGACGGATAGCGATGTGCATGTCCGACGAGCCAGGATTAATAAGGTGTTTTTTTTGGTTTTTTGTGTTTTTTCTTGAATGGAGTTTGACCTGGATAGTCGACAAGTATCATACGTTAGATGAATCGTTTCTTGAAATTGCACATGCTCAAAATTGAAGACTGGATATTGAAGGCAGCAGTTTTTACCTCTCGGAATCGTTAGTCATCTGTCACCTGTCGTGCAACCTACTCAGAGTCAAGACTCGATTGCACATACGGCGAGCCAAAGTCAAGGAGATATCTCGGGGTTTGAAGATGTCATCCATTTTTCCAAGTTAGTGAAATATTTACCAGAAGAAACAGGAATATGAGTTTGCACATGGTCTGACATCCCGTATAGAGAGTGGGTGCTGAGTCTACGGATTGTCTTTTCGGCCCATGGCCCTTGTACGACGTGCAGATGTTTAGGGCCCCAGCACTGGACGATCCCGACGCGCGGTGGATTTTGGGCGATCCTGTGATTTCCACTTCAGAACCAATGATAGAAATAATGATAGAAATACCACCGTAGGATGCATCGAGCAAAGTCTAGTCTCAGGCCAGGTGAGGCTCCTACTCACTCGCAGCAGGCGACTAGGATTCATGCCCTTAATCGAGACGCCTGCAGAGAGCCACGAACCATCGGCACTTGCCGATGTACGTAAGAACATGGTTATAGTCTTGTCATGGGGTCAGTGTTGTAGGATTGGAGGTTGCGTGACGACGGTGATTCAGCCCCTTGTACTTTCACTGCCACGCCCGAATAGGAGAAGCCAGATAGTAGACTACGTTGAATTATACCCTAGACCTTGGTGCTTTGACATCAGACCAAAGTACCCTGCGTCTTGTAGCCGCAAGTCGAGCAGTAAATTACGTGCGCACGCATCATCGATTGGGGGGGGCGGATTAGGGATCTGCATGTTCTACCACAGACCATCACAGACCATCACAGACACATGCACTTGTGAGGGGTATCCGTAGTCCCTTGCCTTCTACATCATTATCGTCATTCATCATCGTCCCCATCATGTGTACCGGGATATATTTCCAGAGTTCTCTAGGAGAGAAGTGCTCCTGCCCAAATGGGCTGCTGCTCGTGGTTCGTGTTTGGTTCTTATGCTGCATCTTGCCATCTACCAGACACATAAGGCTCGTCAATCTTGCTCGAAGCCCTGCTCCAAATATCTCTAAAAGCAAATCAGATAACAATAAAAGAAAAGTCGCATCCAAACACCTTGCGCCACTAGATGTCCCTTAATCTTGCCCTCATGCAACCCCTGCTCATGTGCGCTTACTCGGACAACCCTCCCCGTCCTAGATTCACCAGCACCCCCATGATTTTTCTTTTGACCTGGAACGTTTGTGGAGGGAGCTAGGCCAATAAAAAGCTGGTAGATGCGGCGCCCCATTGGCCATTGGAGCTGGAACCGAGTTGCTCCCTGCAGACACCCTGGGCAGAATCAAGTACTGGACCAGGACTGCAGCTAATAACGGCTCCTGGCGGACAGGGCGAATCGGGGAATTGTGCCACTTGCATGGGGTGATGAGGCTATGACAGATGGGTAGATTGGTGTAAATTGCAGAGGGCAATAGAGAGCTTGGCATAACATGCAGTGCAATTCTGGGTGGTCTCCCTTTTTCAAAATTCTGGGGTAAGAAAATTATTCAAGCAAAAAAATACAAACAAGGAAAAGAAATGACTTGAAAGCAGGGGAGGCTTGTTGTCAATTTTGTTTGAGCTGGAGACCCGGGAGCTTGCGTTCTCTGCAGCTCATATCAACTTGCCGGCCCGGTCCTTCCGGAGGACTGAAGAGGAATTAAGAGAAGGAAATGAAGGGAAGATCTGCAGAAAAGGATCCAAGAAATAAAAGCCAATCTCAAGAAAAAAAAAACAAATACCCCAGATACTCAAAGTCCCGTAATTCATTTGCCCCCCCCCCCCCGGGCGCCGTCCTGCACCAATCCGCAGTCGCATTTGCCTGTCTGCAACCTGCACTAAAGTTTCCCTCAAGGATAAATCACATCAAACAGGAAAGAGAAAGTAAGAACATATGGGGCATCTAGGTGCATAGGCTATGCGGATTCTGTATCGGGTCGTAACGGCCATAGGTCGAGTAGACCGGGTCGTATCCGCCCGCGCTCGAGCGATGCTGGTTGGGTATTGCTGGAAATTCCGGATCCTGATACGGGTCCAGAGTAGATGCCGTCTTCATCGTATCCATTGGGTCCATGGTATCATTCATCATGGAGTAATCAAAGCCGGATGAAGACGATGACGAGATAAGTGGGCTGTCGCTCAGAGGGGAGTGCTCAGTGGTAGACATCTGGCGGTAGTCTTGTCGTCCGTATGATAGGCTACTCCTGTGTCCATCATACATCATTAGGGGCGAGCGTGCATTTTGACCCATGCCGTGAGAAAGCCCTCCAGGTCCATCACCGCTGCTTCCATCGGGGCCCATGCTCGTGGTGCTATCGCGACGCCCGTCCTTGTAGTGACCGGGCGAGCGTCCTCGAACAACCATTTGGTGCGAGTGTTTCCGAGCAATGAGAACCCACTGCGGATCGTTACCAACAGGTCCAGAAACCTCAGCGTGGAGCTCGACTACTAAATTGTAGAACTGCTGTTGAGCTCGGCGCTTGCCGTTGTTGGCAGTCGCCTTCTGGAATTGGATTCGCTCAAACATATGGGAGGTCGCGGGCTGAGCACAAGGCTGAGGAGTTCCTGTGAAAGACGTGTTGTAGTCCGTAGACTGCGAACCCAGGGGGAAACCAACATGGCCGTGATTTCCAGTTGAAACACCGAATGATGGGGGCGGAGAGGGCTGAAGTGGGATTCGACATGGCTTGCGTTCTGACAGCTTGTCCCTTTTAGGAGTGTGCTGAACAAGCTCTCGAGTATCCCCGTATTGTCCATTAACAATGGCGGAAATGGACATGGCGAATCCTCGAATTGGTTCGAGGGTCTGATCTGGGTGACGAATGTAGAGAGGGACGGTGGAAGGCCAAGGATGGAGACTGAAGCTGCAAGTTACAGCGAAATAATTTCGTCGATAGCAGGTCCATTTCCCATCGGATGAGAAGAAGCCTCTTCCAATCTTCGCTTGGACGTCTGGCTTCACAGTCTGCTGAGTGCCTCCAACTTCCGCCACGATTGCCTCGAGAACACTCGTTTCTTCAAAAGGGGGTGCTTCAACCTGGGTCTGGGATCGCTGTGTAGGCTCTGCCAATGGCTGCTGGAAGATGGGAGTCTGATTTCGGTCCAGCATACCTTCCAGGACTCGAGAAGTACCCGAGTATTGATGAGCACGGGAGACATCATTCACACCTGTCAGTGGCATTCCCATGCCCCGATGGAGGGTGTATGTTGAGGAAAATGCGTTGCTTCTGCCCATCAATGCTGGAATGGAACTGGCGTGAGAAGCTGTCTGCATAGCCGGAGGATGACTGGAAAAGAAAAAAGCAAAGCCCATTAGTACTGCATAGGTATTTAAATCAGAACGCTAACGCTAACGCTTACAGAGCCGGGACTCTTCGAAACTCTCCCATCCTATCGAATGGATGCTGGTGCTGGCTCAAATGTGGAAAGATAGAGCCAGAGGTGGGCGAAAAAGAATCTAGTCGAAGATCGGGATCAGTCAGCTGGGAATGTTGTTAATAGTCCGCCGAGAAGATCATACCAGAACAGGAATCTGGAGGAGTCATTGCGAGAGCAGCGGAGCCGGGGTAACTATGGAAAAGGAACGACTTTAGTACATTACATCACCACAAAGGATGGTAGAAGCGAGCTGCAAGACAGTCAAAATGGGAAGAAGGACCATAGGAAACCGAGGCTGGCGCTAATTCCGTATTGTGTAAGAAGAAATCGAGACGGGCGCTCGATCAGGCAAGAAGCAAAACAAAGACACGAGTTCAGATAAAAAAGGACAAAACATCGGAATAAACGCATGCAGGTTGCGGATCAGTATGGAAGGTACCGAAACAGGCTGGACTCAAGTCTAAGCTGCCCGGACCCGGAGGAGGCACAACGACAAGGGGGTCGAGAGACCGAGAGAAGGGCAAGGGCAGTCCGGATTGAAAGCGAACAGAAATAACTTACTGTAAGTCCTGCATCGCAGGCTGTTGCGCATGGTACCGCACGCCGTTGGTGACAGGTATAGAGGCGAGCGCTCCGACTCGCTGGCAGTCATCGTCGTCAAAGGGGAACCCTGTCACATGGGAGCCGATATAGTCACCTTCGGTGGTGGCTGGGCAGTCCATGGTGAATGATTCCGGAAGCAGAGTGGCTAGATGGTGCATATTAGACTCTGGGAAAATGGATGCCAAGATTCACAATATCACACCGGCCGCACGACGGCGAAAAGAAAAACGCAGGGTATCAGATGGTGACTCACAGGGATTCATCTTGATCGTGCTGATGCCAGATGCGTCGAGGACCCTGAAGTATGGCTAGTTGAGGTGACACCGGCGAGACGCCCAAGCCGTCGCCTGGCCGTAGACTTCTGAGAGTGGCGAGACAAGGCTGTCTACAATGACAGCCGTGTTAGTTACCAGGTCCAGGATCAGCTCAGCATCGGTATTTGCTCACAGGTGATTCAAGCAACCGGTAGGCCGAGCACTTTGTCGGGGGGTGGGGGTGGTGTAAGGACTTATAAGTGTATATCGTTAGGGCACATTTCACGAAAAACGAACCAAAGACAATCCTCAGAGTGAAGTAAATGAGGGGAAAAAATGCAAACAAACGCAAGATACCGGGGTTAGAAGGGCAGTGTCAAGAGCGCAGAGAAAGCGAGCCAAGATAAAAGAGACACAGAGGGGCGAAGATGAGAATAAGAGCATGATTTCTAGGCAACGGTAGTGTCTCATTATCAGCTTTTCTGTGGAATGCAGAAGTAGCTGTCGGGGAAAATGATCAAGAGGGGTGCGTCACCGGTTGATAGACAAATGGGATAACTTCCTATTTGGGATCTGCTCACGTCCAGTAATCGGGCCTCCCGCCCTCCTCAAAGTCGATCAAGACTGAAGTCCTCGATTTAGAAGATCAACAACCCGTGTAGGTAAGAATGAGAGATATTGCCCATGCAATGCAGTGGAAAAAATAGCATGTAATCTGAAGAAATGCAAAGGAGCTAAAGGGAGACTTACTGACGCGATTCAGTGCAACTGCCCTGAAGGTGACCGCGCGTGGAAGGCCTGGAATGCAACAACAGGCTGAAGACTCCGGAGGTCTGCAACCCCAGATAGAGGCGATCAGCGCAAGGCCCAGGAAAAGAAGTACCGACAACACGGTACAGAATATAGACCTTTCTCTCGGGTTCTAAAGGAGCCAGAATAATATCTTCGTGGGATGTCGGTGATTTTGTGGCTGGGTTGAAAAGTCTGGGGAAAGAAAATGGCCTTGAACGGACGAGGTATGCAATTGATATTTGTTTCCCGGCGATGATACCGGGGGGCCTCTTGTCGAACCCTGGTAAGCTTGTAGAGAGACACCCCAAAATAGCCTCAGACCCTCACGACCCGACGATAAATTGTTGCCACGAGTTCCTGTGGGAACTGGGTCTGCCAGGGACAGCGAAATACAGTTGTATTCGGCAAAGCGACAGTGGGTGGCAGCAGGCATTTTGCAATAGGGGTCCAGCCATAATCCATATCGGCCAAGTATTTCCGTAATATGGAAAGATCTAGGCTTTTTGCATTTTTGGATCCAGAGTTTTTCTTTTAATTATTTTCGCAATTACGTTTTTGTGATCCTTGTCCCGGCAGATGGAGACCAGCCGAATGGAGTATAGAATGGGTACGGGAGGTGGGGGGAGTGCGAGATGCCCAGAGGAAACAGTAGCATCGACTCATTGGTCCGAGCTCTAGACAGTCTGATTGTTCAAGGAGCATGGCATTGGTTCGAACCTTCATGTTACGTGCCCTGGAATCCAAACCTGCACGGACAGTGGCCGACCCAAACTTGAGGTGGGTATGGGCCCAGGACGCGAATCAATAGCAGCCAGGGAGGGTGTATCTTCCATTACAGCTCTTACAGTAAGTCTGGGGTTCCAGCGCGAACACCCGGTAGACGGGACGCCGCAGGAAAACCAAATAAGATGAAACTAGAAAGGATGGAAGAAATGATCGTCACCCAGGATACCCGTGCAGACTCCCAGCCGCATGACAGTGGTGGATGTATCAGACTTTGGGGACTGCAAGCCAATAGACCGTGCCGATAGCCTAGAAAGTAATAATTCGCCCGTGGCAAGAAAAGCAAGTAAGAGGGAAAAGACGCCTTGCATAGGTCGGATACACCCAAGGAAACTCGATCAGCGTCTCTACAACTAGCAACTACCATGATAGGGTTCCTGCTAGATTTATTGCCACACTTCCGGTATGGAACAAAAAGGAAAGCGAAGCGATCGGCACTTTTCATTCAGCCAGGTGCATTGTGCAGGCTGGCAATTCTCTCACCGACAGATGCCTAGGGCGAAAAATGTCAGGTAGCGCCGGCGATGATCTTCCGGGCCAATTCGATTGCGCCACTGAGAGGATCTTGCACGCGTGCTGGGCTATGACCGATGTAATCACACACCCCAATTTGGGAGAGGTGGCTCCACAAGGATACCCGAAGTAGATGCAGCGGGTGCGGTCCGTACCCGATCGTCTCTTCCAGAATAGCAGTCCCGGGCCCACTCGCGGGCCAAAACCGCTCATCCAACGAAGTGCATTTTGGGTAGGATCCGGTAAACTGAAATTATAGATCCCAAGATCCTGGGTGGACCCCAGCCGCGATTAGCCCTGGTTAGTCTTGATCGAGTTGACAGAGACTGCAGTGGTGGCTGGAAGATCGGCTCATACTGCAGGAGGCTAGCTGATCAAGATGGCAAATTGCGAAAAGCGATGGAAACGTATCCGGAAGTTCATGATTGGCTAGACCCGGGGGGTCTGATCGATACTCGTCATTAGTCATTGGGGGTTACTGTATGTTATGCAGGGCAGTTCCTTTCAGAGGCCATTTGAACGCGACGATCCCAAATGCAGTACTGGGTGCAGGAGACGACGGTCAGCATTCTCTAGCAGCCGAGATTCACATGTGACCAAATGATAACATGGAAGGGATGTAAGTTTGGCTCTCAAGGGCGCCATGGGCGGCACTTGTGGGGGCGGTGAACAGGTCCCTCGTCTTTGGTGTCATCCGGTGCCGATTACGGGCGCCCATCTCCACAGTTAAGCATATATATCTGTATAGCTTACATAGTCTGGGGCTGCAGGTGGTGTACACCCCAGCCGTTTGAGTAGTCCTTTCGCTCTGCAGGTCTTTCAGCTCCTGTTCCTCCAGGCCCCCTCAGTGACGAATCGAGGCTACTGTCCCGTTATACTGCTAGATCGATCCACCCGTACCCGGGCCGGGATCCACAGCCGTTCTCCACCAGTTACGATCTATCACAGACGAGATGGACCGAGTACATGGCACTAGATTATGAGATACATAATTACTTCGCAATTGAAAAGATCCGATCCCGGCTGGTGGAAAGTCCGCACGGCCCTATACTGCAGGTACCTCTCTCTCCTAAAGTGTAATTGGTTGCGCGCTAAGAATGGATCTGGATTTGAATGACTGAGGTGAAAGAAAGGCTACAATATTGCATGAACTCAGCACCCCCCCCCCCCCGGCCGTCCATGGATCTGAGCTTCGGCCCCGGCAAATCACCCGGGCGAGAGAGTTTATGAGGCTGTTCAGCGTTGCATATTCTCCTGAGACAGTCCAGTCCGGTGCACGTGTCACTCCTTTGCCCGTTACGAAAATAATTGGCATTGGTATTTCGACGTGGAAACATCTCGTGTGACTTCACGTCAATCCTTCTGACCATCTCCCGAGCTGCATCCAACCGGATGCTTAGGTTCAAGGAAGACAAAGGTCTATGGAGAGCGTCGGAACTGCCTTCTAATTGCATGAGCCGTTTTACTTTTATTTCGGGCGTATATATCCATCAGCTATTGGCTGGAGACAAGCAGCGTGGTATACTGAGAAGGGCAGCCGGTAATATTCTAGACTGCCTGGCCCTTGCCCCGTAACCCCAGCTCATCATGCCCGTGGGTCTAGGATCTTGAATCCCACTGTGGGCCTTATTCTGAACCCCAACAACACCCTCAAATGATCGCATCTAGGTGGGGTCCGTGTCAGCATTGCCCAGGTTCACCCTAGACAAAACCGGGAGAGGTCGTTGGCAACCGCCCCTCGAATCCTATGCGCGGCTTATCTAGGCTAACTTTCATGCTATCCACCAGGATCCATGGCTCCGAGTCTTGTCCGTTGCGTTAAGGTTCGGGACAGCCATTGATCACACCGGACACTCCATTCTCCACCCATTGGGGGCTGAAATGCACGGAGCGGAAGTTCAAGTCAGGTACCGAGACAGAACTTGGTAACTTCCTGCGAGACCCATTTTTGACAGTCGATCTTCCATAACTCGACACTAACGACTCAATGGTCGCAGCTTGCATATCGACGAAACTCAACCCCGGCTCTTCGTACGGCCTCTGGACACAAAGTTTGGCGATTTGTTGTGTATCACGTATGGCAGAGATTGAAGGGTTACTTGGGGCGACAGGCGACCTGATCCCCGGTAGTCCACTCCACAAATTTTGTTCCTTCATCGATCGATTGCCTCGCCCTTGTCACATTCCGGTGTAAAAATGGGATTTCACCAGAACCCTACGAGGCTCTCATTGGACACGATGCCAGTCTCGTTATCTCTTGAGCGCTCTGGACTTTCAGCCATCGGCAGTGATCGTATCACGGTGGAAGTCCTGCAATAGCGTCATGGGGAGATGCAGCTTTCTAACGCTCCCCCGACAAGGGTTTAAGATGACAACCCTGGAAAAAACCAGAGAAACAAGGATCGCGGGCCTCTGTACTCATTCCAATTGGCCCGCCATCGGCTGGAGTCTCTCAGAAGCTTGTCAGGAGGCCAACATACTTTGGATGGCGTCGGCTGCAGACCGGCGGAAGCGCCCAAACGTCCGTACAGCACGGGAGAAGCATCGCCTAGGCTCAATATCGTGATAATCCATCTCAGCCCTTACCAGCCATCCCTGACGAACAGCAGCAGCCAACCCGGACAAGAAAGCAGGTAGCACAGGAGAAGGACCTTGACAAAACTTGCTCAACGGCACAAAATCAACAGGGTGAACTTACGAAAAAACACCCTTCTCGTCAATCGATTCGGGACCGTCTCACGACGTCCTCATTCAAGACCGGGGTCTTCCGTAGTGCCACTGGAGCTTGAGAACGTCACGAACGCCTTTCTCCTTTGCTCTCCTGTCATACTGCATGCCGCAGTGGCGATGCAGACAGAATCTGGCGGCCTAGTGATGCGGTGGAGTTGCAAGAAAAGGACCAAAACCGAACAAGCCAATGCATGCCCTTCCCTGCTAACATGAGCTTTTCCTAGCGGGTCAACGATGGGGCCAAATGCGAGATCCCAGGTAAGCTTTTTAAGTCTCTTTCCTGTTTGGAATCAAGGATACCACGCGATGCAACCCCAATCCGCAATCCGCCTTCGGGAAATTACTCCCTCATGCTGTCGAGGGACATGCGCTCGTGGAGATCTAGATAGATCGACGCTGTTGCAATTGAGTGCATAATCGGGGATCCGGGAGCAGATAGTCTCGAACATGCATTTGGGGGCGCAACCTTGTCATTACTTCGGCCGAGTGGTTATCTGCAGGGAGCGAAGTTAGATTCATGCTCTCGACTATCCTGGCACTGCTCTGGTACTGTTGCTGAGCTTGATGAGCTCATTGAGCTGCTTTTTACGTGGACGACGTCCGACCAGATGACAGGAACCCCTGAACGTTCACATGAAGACTCATGATTCGTGCGCAGCGGCTGTCTTGACCTCGCCGAGTTATATGCAACTATACCAAGTTATCGATAATCCCTGTTAGCAGGCAGCGCGTGTCAGCTGCAATGAGTCTTTACGGAATTTGTAGATGACCTAGGGCAAGGCTTTCATAGCACCCTGCGAAGTGCTAGGCGGTATGGCGAGTCTAAAGATGGAAATTTGGGACAATTGGCAAGTAAACAATGCAAAATAAACAAAGCAAAGCAGTAACCATAATTTTATTGGAGTATGCTGGAACTGGGTACGCAACCCATTCTCTATTAACGAAACGGATCATGCAAGAATCTCTCAACCATTGCTTTTGTATAGACTGACGAATGCAAATAAATGACATGGTGTCTTTTGAGGCATCATCATTATCAATCAATCATACAGTACAAAAAGAGAAGAGCTTCACCCAAGAGGTAGGTAGGCCCGCCTGAAAAGAAAAAGGAAACGGAGCGAGAAATGTCGTAAGAAAGGCGAAAAACAGATCAAGTGCGCTTCGCGAACTCCACGCGCAAGATAAGGTGGCGGTAACCGACTGCAAAGAGTGTATGTTAGTGTTAGTGATTGCGGGAAAAAGGAGAAGGAAAACATACAGCCGTCCATCTTGTCGCAAGCAAGCTCTGCGTCCGACCGATCGGCGTAGGAGATGAAGGCGAAGCCCTTGGCCCTCTGGGTCTCTCTGTCCCGGGCAAGGAAAACTCTGGTCACACGACCGAACCGCTCGAAGAGATCCCGCATCTCTTGTTCCTCTGCCAACTCGCTGACCTGTTTGTAGCAAAAAAAGATAAGTTAGCAATTGGGCCGCAAAGCGCCACCAGGATATAGGGACGTACGTTTGTGACACGGAGAGTCGCAAGATCGTCCTTCTCGAAGCGTCCTCCCATCTTCTCGCCAGCAGCAGCACCGCCCTTCCGCATGTGAGGAGGAACGTAGCCTCCAGAGCCTTGGCCGAGCGTACCACTCTTTTCCTCCTCGGTAGCGCCCTCGGCGCCACCAGTGGGCTCCTCGACGGGAGCCATGGTGTCCTTGAAAGGACAGCGAGCTGTGAAATGCTCTCCGGAACAAATACGACACTTAACCTTCTTGTCCTTGAGCTGATCCTTCATGCTGCCCTTCTCACCGCCATCCTTCTCGGCCTCCTTGGCTTGAGCCTTCCAGTTGATGCTAGGGCGGAAGACAATGTTCTCGCCGACGGAGGTGGTGTCGAACGTAGGACCGGGGGGTGACCCTTCTCGAGACCGAACTTGGGCCACGAGCGGCGCTCGGCGACCTGGGGGTTGACGTGTTCGCGGACGACGGAGGTCTTGATGCAGCGGGTAACCTTCACTTTCTTGTTGTCATCGTTGAAGCGGTAGGAGATGACGGTCTTGGTGCCATCTTTGTTCGTGATCACTTGTTGCGCGGGGAGCGCGGAGGGGTCATCGAATTCCTCGTCGTCGGCCCAGTCGGCACGGCTGTAAATTTTGAAAAAATGGTTAGAGTAGAGATTTGGAGGGATTTTGGGCAGTCGGTACTCACTTCCCGAGTTTAGACATGGTGTGTGGTGGTGTGAAGCGGTAACTGCTGAATTTCTGGGATTTCTTTCAAAGGCGAATCCGTTGTGGATTTCGATTCGCGGCGATTTTGCTGTGGCGCAACTGTGGCTGGTGCGCCCTGTGTCATGTGATCATATGCTGCCTCAGTTTTCAGGTGTCGGTAGATTTTTCGGGCACTACTTCTATTTTTGAAATTATCAGGAAAGCATTGTGTGAATGAACTAAGAAACGCAATGCAATTACTGAGCTAGACCTATTGCACAAAAGTTCGTCGTCGTGCCGATCCCTGTCGAGTCCCTTTCATCTCCATTTTCAGCCATTTTCCATCCTAACCCATTTAACTTTTGTAGAGCAGCAAGTAACGCAAAATACAAAAAGATTGCAATATCGATCCCCAAGGAACAATCTGCCAAGGTCTTGAAAGCTCTTTTTGTCTTTCACTAGGGCAGACAATCCAAGCAGTCTCATTTGGCGAAGCCTTAGAGATAGTCAACTTTGATGGTACCGTGGTTTTTATCCTGGAACCAGAGCGAGTAGTCGCAATGGGCTGAGTAGTAGTTGGCAAGGATCTTGTATGAGACATTGTAATAGTCTTCTCCATCCTTGCCTTGTGAGACCGGGATCCTTTCTCGGAGAGTTCGATCGAGGTCAGGGCAAAGGTTGCAGTGCTTTCGTATCTCTAATAGATAAAGTCAATTCAGTTCTTGAATTGGAGTCATCTGTGGACTCAACCTACTTCGAGTGAAATAAAGTGGTGCCTCTTCGCTATTTGTTGCATAAGCTAGTACCAGATCTATGAGGTGATTTAAGACTTCTAGATACAGTAGCCCGGCTCAGGTACATTTCAATGGAATCAAGTCCCGACCTAGCGTACCTACCGAGGAAAAAGGCTATTTTATTCGTCTTTGCGGTGACTTACGAAGCGACCTCGAGGGGCGCCGCTAGGATGGAATAGAATTTAACATGATTTCCTAAACTTACCTTTCTCCAGTCCTTGATTCATCAAGAAATGGCTCTGAAGATTGCCCAACATGCCCCGCCAGCAAGCCCGTTCATTCTATAATTATTTCAATGGCCTAGGTATCTGGGTGGAGGCCGCCCTTGTGGCAGCCCTGCTAACCCTGGGCCTGTCAGAGTCGCCCGTCCCAGATTTCGATTCGGTCCATATACCAAACCCAAAGCCAAGGTTCCAGATGCGTCACAGACCGAAAAGGTTGGCAATAAACAGAAGCCTGCTCGTAAAAGTTCACGCTAAAATCGTGCCCCTGAATGTCAACTTAGCAGCTTTTTACCGGCTTGTGAATCGTGATCAAGAAACAGGGACTTCAGCGAATAACAAATAATGTGCTTGGCAGGATGGAGAGCGCCAATAAATTTGGAAGACAGTGACCGAGATGCAGTGCTGTATTTCATCACCGTCACTGTGGCTTCAAGGCTATAGGCTGTATTTGTTGGTTCTGAAATTTGAATTATGCAATGGTATTCATTGATTGATCAGATTGACCTCATAGAACCTTCGCATGTAACACAAAGCACCATCTACCGTAATGAGGAGTATAGCACTATCAGATCTTATCTTTCTGGCTATATTCGTCATCGGTGACAGCCTCGTGCCAGACAGTACTCCCAATGCCGAGGACAAAATGAGTCATGATACTCTCATTATCTGCTCCATGCCAGTGCGTAGTTCCAGCGGGAGCCCAAACAACATCCCCCGTCTTCAACCGTTGGGGAATTTCACCCTTATCACAAATCCAGCCACTACCAGCGATAACTTTGATCATCTGTCCCTTCTCATGAGTATGCCAGTGGGTGCGAGCGCAGGGTGTGAACGTGACATTGGCGATAGATGCATCCTTTCCCATATGGATAGGATCCAGATAGACATCGCCACTGAAAGTTTCGGTGGGCTTGATGCATTTGGCGTCCGACTTGAAGCCGTTCTTGATGACAAGAGATTGAGGGTTCGACATGGCGGTGAGTGTAATTCGAGTCTAGCTTCAGGACAGGATAAGTCAGTACTCAAATGTATATTGAGGCTGTTAGATATGCCATTTCGAAGACTCACGTCGATTGAATCTATGATTCGGAGTAGAATGAAGAGTATTGTTGACAGTAATGGATGCAGCGTGACATTTAAGTATCGTTTGGAAAAGTAAAATACTCAGCACTTCCTTGGACTATTGATATTCTCGCCTAGCAAAGAAATGAAATGTTGGCTCCGCAGTAGTCTGATATAGAATATCCGATGCGCGTGTACTCCACCAGGTGTCAGCAGTATAGTTATCGGTTGATCAGATCCGCCTAGCTCCACCATTAACTCCGGGCTGATGACACCCCTCCTTTATAGTTGACAAGGCGTACTGCCGGTAGTGGCTAAAAATGTAATTTAATCCAATTTGAGAGAACCATGGGAGTTTTCGCTTCGGCGAAAAAATCTATTTTGCAGTATTAGAGAGTTGGGTGGACAACAAGTTCTGAGGATCTAGGCATAGTAAAATTTTTAGTCCGCCGAGTGACTATATCAAGTATTCGATTAGAACTCAGTCTTCTACTCTATGATTCACTTGTAGAATATGAGGACCTGTGAAATCGATGACGATTATGACCGCCTTTGAAGCCAAGAACAGCCGCCTTTCTACTCGTAAATTTGCTGTGGCGAGCCGTCGCTTAACCGCCCAACGGCTTTGTAGCACGGCTATTCTGCACCTGCAAAGTATATCTAGCCACCCTCCTCCCAAGTTAGTGTTTAGCATTCGACTTGAATAAGTTGTTCTCCCTATTTCTATTTCCACTCACGACCAAAGAGAAGGCAAGAATGTGGAATACCATACAAATTGCCTTGCACAAGACTACTCCAGCCTCTGTGATTGACACCGGAGGGAGACAGAAAAAAGAGGCGGTAGGGTGGTCGGTAAGTGGTTAAAGTTGTTTCGATTCAGTGGTCTCTATTACGCGCCGTAGATTTGAGCAATCCGTAGTTTGCGAAGCCGGTCAGAATGCAAAAGGCCTTAACTTCACCAGGATTATGCCAGACTGTTCCGAAGATCATGGGCCCCATCTTTGCCAAATGTCCTCCACCACCCAGAAACGGGTGTTGCATCTCTTCCCCAAGCTCCTAGCTGAGTTGCGACTCGTCATTTGGCGTGTGTATGCCATACCGCGTCCATAAGCTTGACGGCCATCAGGCGTTATCTCCAGGCCTGGAGCTCGATTGGTCCTCTAACACCCTCATATTCTCATGGCTCGATCCTCTACGAGACCCGATTCACCTAAATTGGACCCTGAGTACGGAACAGATTTTATGAGCGATGGTAGTCCACTCCACAGTCCGGCTTATCGCGCTGCTGGGGCTTGCGGGGGCTCTTTCATGTTTGATTGGTTTCGGCTCTCTATTCAGGCTACTGCCGAGACAATCGACGCCCTCCGGCAACTACCGTACTGGGTAGTTATTATGCAGACTGTGGTCATGCATACTGACTTTGCGACTGCCACGAAAACAGGCATGTTTGGACTTCTCGTTGATGCATGGGTCCAGATCGTTGATATATTTGACAAATCGAGAGTCAATGTGTTTTTCGATCAGGCCGAGGAATGCGAGCGGAGAACTCATGTCAGTCCTAGACAGAAATTCAAAAGAGACTGCAAAAGCTAAACGATCAGATTGTTGACAACTGCTCATTTAAACATTGACTTCCCCCAATACAACTAGCCTATATGTTCAGACTTTGCATCGATATGTGTAATCATACAAGTCAACGTGGTGGGAAGATACCTACATTCACCGGACAAGGAAAGCAGATGTGTGAGGGCAATAAAAACAAAAATGAGCTCCGGTGCAGCAATTGACGCTCAATTGCGGGCTCTCGTGGCACTTAAGACAATATCCAACGTTTTCTTTTCTGTGTAGGTGTCAAGGAAGCACCTGATGACGGGCATGTAATATAGCTGCAGATTTCTTTCCGCAAAATTCGCGTACACCCTACATTAAGAGATACCCGCAAATAGGGTTTCACAATTCAACGATAGCGCGTTTCCCCAAATCTTTATATAAGCAACTGTAAAGTGACCCCCGTGAATCTAATCCTGTACACAAGAAGAATAATTCTTGAAGTAAAAAATAGAGATACTTTAAAAGTAGCAGCTACAAAACAGCCCATAACCTCGAAGTAGTAGGTAGCCTACAGAAAATTAAAAAATAACAATCTTGGACCTTCCGCTGAATAAATTATCGTCTTCCATTGTACCTGTGTAGTGAAAACCCTGGTTACATGTATTTGTCGATCTCTTTTCAAAGGGTGGCTGAGGACCATTTTGATGCACTTGGGTGGTTACTCTGCTCGTCTCACTGGGACAAATCAACTCACCGGAATGGAACGGTGGTCCGATTTACGGATAATGCTAGCGTTGCGCCTCCCTAATCTTATGGGATATTTCGGCTGCCTTGAATGTATGTAACATCAATTCCATGATGCACCCCACAACGCAATACCATTAGACTCTTCAATCCATAATATTTCATTCTCTTTGCTTCCAGAGCCTCCTGGATCACACGTGGGCATCTAAAAGCGTGGCAGCCTGGAGCAGATGAGTCACAACGTTACACAGAGCCCGCCACCTGCAGCCTTAGAAACAAGGCCGAACTTAGAGTTGCCCTTTCTAGATCGATCACGTTCCCTGCAGCAGGGGCAGACCCAGACTCTCCCCAGACTCTCCCCAGACCATATTCCTGGGAAGAAAGCGCCAGCCATGTTCAAACTATCTCGTATCCAGCGTCTAAGTGCCGTCATTTGCATTTCCTCATGTTTCTTTGTAGCGGAGATCTCAGGTGAGCCGCGGAGCTAGTCCATCAACTCGAAATTTCCGATTAAAGCTAATATGACATCTTGGTAGTGGGTTTCTATACACATTCCCTCGCATTGGTGGCTGATGCGTTTCACTATGTATGTTGATCGACGGCTATTTGTTGACGGGACTGACATGCTTCAGCTCAATGATCTTGTTGGATTCATTATTGCTCTAGCTGCGGCGATAGTATGTTAATTCCAGAAGCTCTTTCTGTGACACAACTAATTCATTACAGGTCGCAGATAAGAATACACACCCTAAAGCACTGACGTTCGGCTGGCAACGAGTACAGCTGCTCGGTGCCTTTTTCAATGGAGCTCTTCTATTCGGCCTTGGAATCAGTGTCTTTCTGCAGTCGGTTGAGCGGTTTGTATCTTTACAACGTGGGTTGGGCTTCTCGCATGCCGTCTAATCAATACTAATGAAAGTTTGACTCCAGGAGTCGAGCAGCCGAAATTAGTCCTGGTTATGGGCTGCGTGGGACTTGGTCTGAACATACTCAGCGTGATGTTCTTGCATGGTAAGTCCTACCACAGCGATACCTGGGTAATACCACTGACATCTACATAGATCACGATCATGGCCATGATCATAACAGCCACGACGGCCACAGTCATGAGACGACAAACGAGGGCTCTGCCTCTATCAGTCTAGTCAGCGAGAGAGTAAGTACCGTCATGCCTTTTAAGGACTTCCTTCATGCTAACAGAAATAGCACATGCACCACAAACACCACACAAATGCATCAAACAACACCCGCAGCTCGAACCGAGACCTCGCCATGATGGGCGTCCTTATCCACGTCCTAGGCGACTGCGCCAATAACATCGGAGTCATAATCGCTGCCGCGGTGATCTGGTTCGCCCACTATGAAGGGCGTTACTATGCCGACCCAGCCGCAAGCATGGGAATTGCAATCATGATTTTCCTATCTTCAATCCCACTCAGTACGTTTCGTTGGGTCTCGTTTCATGCCATCTCCCCGTCTCATATCCGCTAACCCTAAAACCTTCCAAGTCAAACGAGCGGGCCTAATCCTCCTCCAAAGCGCGCCCCAAGGCGTCGACCACGACGATGTGAAATACGACCTCGAAGAAATTCCCGGTGTCAGCTCCATCCACGAGCTTCATATCTGGCGCTTGAACCAGACGAAATCTCTTGCATCGGCGCACGTGGTGTTGGATAATGATGCGATGCTTGATTTTGATGGTTTGGCAAAGACTATTCGTGAGTGCTTCCATGCGTATGGAATCCACTCTTTGACTCTTCAGCCGGAGATTCCGGCGAAGCGAATATCCGGTGCGGATATACAGGGTGGGGCTAGACGCCGTAAGCGGCAGAGTTCAGAGGAGTGTGAGTTCGTCTGTGGAAGTTTGTGCCAGGGGCTTGCTTGTTGTCAGTAAGAGGGATGGGTTATGGAATCCCTACCCGTGCATACCCCCACGGGGATATGCAGTGTTGATATAGGGCCAATGATATAATATAATTGAAGAATCATAGTTGGAAATAGGTAATGCCAATGTCAATGTCCATGCATGTTCAATTATAAACAGTCCCACAAACCTCGGAACTGACGCAAAAATATAATATGTTATCCCAAACACTCCAACCCAAGTTATGTACAAGAATATAACACCCGCTTATCGACCGAAATAACGAAGCTCAAACGGTCTCAAGGCACAATACACGGTAAACGAAAAGGCAAAGCCAAGCTCGAAACCGACATCACCACCATAAGGCAGAGCACCAGCGTGCCGGGCAATCGGACCCACAAACCACGTCTGGCTCATACCGGTAACCATACCGGCGACACCGAAGCAGAACGCGATACTAGCGGCAATTCCAATGGGAAGCTTATCGCGCTGGTCGTAAATCTCCGGGTTATATCCACGGAAACCGCGCTTGAAGACGAAGTGGTCGGCGATGGCGATTCCGGAGTAGATAGAAAGCCAGTAGGCGATGAAGTTCATGAAGTTGTTCAGGACGGTCTCGAAGTCCGAGTAACCGGGAATGGCGATGGCGAGGGACGCACAGCCGCCGAGGAAAGTCCAGATGAAACGGGGCACGCGCTGGGTGTAGCGACTCAGAACTTGGAGGGTCAGAGAGACGGAGTAGAGGTTGGGGCAGTTGTTGGCGATAATGGACAGGGCCAGAATGACCAGACAAAATTTGCCGAATCCGCCAAGAGGCTCGAGGACGGCGTTGAGCAAACCACCATTACCGGAGGCTGTGTAACCGGCGGCGTACTTGTTGACGCCACCGTTCAGATCAGTGGCGGTGTAGATGGCGATGCCCAGCATCTCAGTAAAGAGAAGGGGAATGATCAGACCGAGCCAGGTGGCACCAAACACCTTGCGGCGGCTGCGGTCCGCCGGCTGGTACACGGTGTAATCGGCGGCGTAACTAGTCCAGCCAGTTGCGAAGCCGTAGATGGTCGAGCCGAAGGACAGGACATTACCGAGCTCAGAGGTGCCGGTATCCATGGGAAGGTTGAGGAAATCACCGGAGTGGGCGAAGCATCCGAGCACGATGATGAAGACGATGCAGGTGGGGATCCAGCTCCAGTACTCGTAAGCGTGAACGACTTTGTATCCGGCGAAGGTGATGAAGAGAGTAGCGAAGGTAATAACGAGGATGCCGGCGTAACCAGGAACATCACTGTTGACTGCATTGAGGAGCTGGGCACCGACGATGGCATTGGCAGCAGACCAACCGACACAGGCGATAACGTTCAGACAAGCCACTATAGAGGTAGATAAGTTAGGACTGGCTTTCTTTCCGGTACGATTCACCAATGCAACCCGAACTTACCGAACTTGACTGGCCACCATCCGAACCAGAAACGAGAGAGCACCATCTGGCGCAAACCGAAGGCGGGGCCGAAGCAGGAGAAGAAACACACGGTCAAAACGCCCAGCAAGTTGAAGAAGATACAGACGAGGATGGCATCAACGAAGCCCAAGTAGAACAGGGACTTGCCGAGCACACCAATGGCGAACGAGCTCACGACCATGTTTGCGGCCAGCCACTAGGTCTGGTCAGCGGGAAGCCCCTTGGGCTGTCAAAGAGTAGAACACACCATGCTGCCGATGTTGAAGTAGGAGGTATCCGTTTGCTCCTCCGCGGGCACACGCTCAATGCCTCGCTGCTCGACGTTGATCTTACCGGCGAGACGCTGGATCTTCGCATAGAGCGAGTTGCCATATTCGAAGGTTTCGCCGGGGACAGCATTGGTGTGGCCAGGTTCGTAGATCTCGGTGGTGTCGTTGCTGCGGCTCTCGTACGCGTTGTCGACCTGAGGCGCCTTCTCCAGGTCGGCCTCTCGTGACTCGAAGCCAATCATAGTGGTGAGGGGAGCAGGGTGTCTATACTGCAACAGGGAAGGACGAGCAAAGAATGAGCTCGGCTCAGCTCAACTCTTTTGTAACCCAAGGGTCAGATTTGAAGTAGGAAGGAAGGAATCCGCACAGTCACATCTTTCTTTTTTCGAGCTCCACCGGCAGCGAGGCATGCTATATAGTCGCGACAAAATTTCTACAGTGCGCGTCGCCCCACCGAGTGTGGCAAGAAGATAGCGCGGGCCTGTCGCGTGGGCCCCCGACGAAAAATTCTGGAAAGAAGCAAATGACAAGCCTCGAGCTCCACCAAACGGGCCGAAATATCCAATCGTAGGCGACGACGGCACGCCCTAGCTTATCAGCAGTCCGAGGTTTCACTCGGACTGATTCGGTAGTCTCGTGCAAGTGGTTCGCTCCGTTTCACTGCCCTCGCTTCCAATAAAGACCGTGGGTCAGACCTCCCGATAAGAGCCGGCCCACAATACGTCCGTGATAGCTTTGACATGCCTAGTACTATCTGCTATTCCTTCTATCTACGGTTCTATCTATCGCGTTATTGGCCACCCCCTCCCCTATCCTGCGCCCGGCTTCCCTGCCTATGCTTGTCATTCAGTAAGCTTTCTATACAGTTCATTCCTGTCAGACGGGGGACGCCGATATGCGTCGAACCTTCCACTCTTCTATCTACCCTACCTACCCTACTCTTAACCCCTAGTTCGTGCGGGGAAGATCCCCCAACTTAATTTAACCCGTGGGACAATAGGCGTGGCAAAACCCTTTCCAACCGAGCCCATTGGGTCTAAGGCCAAGTCCTACCGGCACTAGGAAGGCCATAGCGACCACGAACATCATGAGGGTGCCCGTGTCTCCGGATCTGGATCTAGCAGGTTGAACCGGGTGGGTCTCCTCTATCGCGATCATGCAGGGCCGCCCTCCAGCTGGTCATACCGCCCATATTGTCCAGAACAGAGCCATCTCGACTCTCTATGCTCTACAGTACACGCCCTATGGATCCTGGGGCTCCAGTCCCCGTCTTCCATGTGGTAGCGGAGATCACCGTTGCATCTACCATTGGTGCGATCGGGTCCCTCCCCAGATCTGCTGAGAGATCTTTTCGTGTAATATGCTAGCGCTAGGCACATCAATCCACCTCTATTCTAATGAGGCCTTTTCTTTTCGGTTACGTATTAATGCCAAATTGACTTCCGAGCCCCTCAGCCTTGTCAACTTGCTTTTGCGTATTGCTTTTTACGGGCTGTACTCGTGCCTGCATAGTCTCAATCCCGGTATATACTGACACTGCAGATTTCGGAGTCCCCCGGTGACCCGGTGCCTTGCTATCAGATTCGTGGGGCTGGATCACGATCTGCGGACCTGTTCGGTCTGTTCGGAATCTGGGTGGCGGTAATTGCGCGTGATCACCGGAACTAGATGAACTCGCTTCGTCATTGCAGCAAAGACCTGATCATGATTCATGCGAGATGAAACGGACGGTATTCTGGAATGCTTGTTTACCCTCTTATTTCTTGGAGAATGCTTGGGCTTCTTGGCTGGGAAATTAGACCAGTCAGGATACTATACCGCTACTTTGTAGACATACCTTTTCGGTCTTCTACCATTTAGCCAGACTCTCCATAGCAGTTCCCTTGAATGACAATATTGATTTTCTCATGCTCAATGTCATCTCCGTGTACGCCCGCATCGTATTCGCTTCCATCTTCTCCCTCATGAACGAGAGCGAGAAAGTATCTCGGGCCCTCTCGTGTCCATCGGGGCTTGGGGAATGCCAGCTTGGTAGCGAAATGAAACTTTCTGGAGTGTGCACGTTTGTGATTCATAGTTATTTCTAATTGCCTCGGTCTATCAGGAGCAGCGCCCGAGACCGGAGCCCTTGGCATGTCCATTCTCAACCAACTCCATACTTGCGTCCGTAACAAAGACTGCCCATAATTGAGGAAAGACTTCGGACTCAGTAACGCCCCGGTCTATGCCGGGTCTCGAAGTTTCTCACGCCGCAAGTATTGTTGTGGATCTCCCCAATCGAGTATCATGACTTTGCTTGCCTATCGTATCTGGGTGATGTACGACGGAGTTGTCCTTCGTTATCTGATGACAGATGTTTAGAAAGCTGGAAATTAATGATAGGAGGCTGTTGATAGACAAAACAAGGATGTTATCTTGAGATTGATGCATGCAGGCCGCTGATTGATGGTTATAAGGGGGGACAGGCGGCGGAGTTGTATCAACTCGCCCACTTTCCTCCACCTCCCTCGATCGGGGTGATAGATTCGTCGTAGATTGTATCTGGGCATCTCCAAAGAGGTCTCAACCTGATAAGCTCATGGAGAAAGGTGTACTGATGGTGAAACTCTCGTTTGAATCGCGATATGGTGCTCGAGAAGGTATCTATGAGTGTTGATCTGGATGCTTCGTTCGGACGCCATTGAGCCTGATCGGTGTCTTCTTCTCAGCCTCACTAACAAGACCTGGCAACAGAATCAAATGCTTGTCATCTGTCTCTAGATTGATCCCTCGATCTCGCCGAAACGTATACCGCCGTCATCAGAATCGTCTTTCGCTCCTCCCTCGTCGCTGTCGATGTGAACTGCACCACCACGACCTCCTCATCAAACGATCCCTTCCTGCAAATCTCAGTACATCTTCAGATGGAAATCTTCTAGAACAGCTGTTTTTGAAAAGAAAATTGCGTGTTATAAACCGGGAACCACCACATGTGCAATGTTGACGTGACCTTCTCTCAGTCGGCCCTCAAGTCCCAGAGCCTTCAGGGGCAGATTCTCCCGATCAGTGCCCTGTCTTCAGTGGTCTGAACCAAGCCAAGAGACCCCCGACCCCTCCGGGCTTGCTGGCAGTTCTGGATGGCTACTATATACATTTTACTGGATATTGAATGACCATTCATGATGCCTTGACGATGCCACTTAAACACTTGGCGAGGTATGAACTATCAGAGAGTTTGCACTTTCTTCTTGGATTTTGATGACAACCTTCCCGAGCATGATTCTGCGTCATTGCTTCTGGCGTAGTTGACACTGTGGCATCGAGGCTGACAAGTTTGCTTCACCTCGCTACTGTCATCGCGTCTACTGATGCTGTTCTCGTTTCGTGCCAACATCTGGCTAGCAATTGGAACAGCTTCGCGTACAACAATCTTTCGGCAGGACTACCTTCCATTACCTGAATGACCGAGACTATCGACACACAGGAACCCCGAAAGACACTTCCTTGCGACGCAATTGCTATTCTCCTCCATCAAGGGGAAATTGGCTCGTACACTTGGAGTGACCCGTCAATTGGACTTCGAAAGCTGGAGTGTAGCCTCGATTATCAGCTAGGCTCGCATACTGGGCTTATTCGTCTATTTTGTTTGATAGAATCGGATACACAGGGTTGCCAATCGGTCAAACACTCAAAGCGATATAGCTCCCTCGAGACTATGCTGATGACCCTAATTGTACGGGCATATTTCGGCAATGAGGATGGGTCTATCACTTTGAGCGATTCTAATCGCGACAACAAAAGGCACTTGAGCATTGAGACGCTATTGGGCTCTCAAGTGAGCCTTGCGGGCATGTCGCATCTTGCACACACCCAAGTACCCTAACATCAATTACAGACCTTGCGCGGTTCAGCATAAAGGCCTATGCCTTTGCTTGAGAAAGCACATTAAGAAAACTACCTGCATGCAGAATTGATTAAATCCACTACAGCTCATCATCAGATATCCCGACATCCCGAAGATTGCCCGAGGTCTCCAGCCACTTCTCCGCCAATCCCGCATCCCCACAACCCGTTTCCCGACAAAAAGGACACTTGTCGGCCCAGATGCAACTATCGGATACGAAAAGTAGGCCCACATCGGAAACAAAACTCACTGGACGGGAGACGATCCAGCCATCAAACCTTAGCTGATAACCCGCACTTGCCATTGGCTTCACAATGCTCACGAATGAGGCTTCCTCGGCCCCATGGGGCATATGAATGGATCCTGGGGGTGTCAAAGCTACCTTAACAGACGAAAAAGTAGTTCGTTAGCTTCTCATACCCACTTGATTTGGGCGCCAGGTCAGAGCTCGATTTCGAACTGACCCCATCCGATGAAACTCTATCGATGCTATCGATCACATAAGACTCTGAATACCTAGAGATTTTCAGTCTCGTTTGATTGTACAAGTTCATTCGCAATCATACTCCCACTACTTCAGTGAACATTATCATAGCATTTCGATGAGGACTTCAATGAAGTCCGCATCACTTTCACATCCAATGGATATCCAAGCGTCGCACTAGCACTCCCATCCATTGGAGCAAAGTCCCCAAACACGGGCCTTACAGATGATGCCGCCTTTGTTTCATGCCAAGAAGAGGACTGGTCTTCTGGATATGCTTGGTGGGAACTTTTTGCCGTGAATGAAGGTTGAGGTGAGTTATATCGGCTTTATACCAGGTGATGAAGGTTGACGTAGGTTATATCGGCTGTATACTAGGTAGGCTTGGGGCGACTGACGGTTTCCGATTTCAGGGTGATTACTGCAGATCATCTAAAGAAGAGCAAGTGTTCTATCACGATCTCTCCGAGGAAGATCAGAAGAAGTGGATTTCTAAGCTCACGCATACTTCATGTGCTGCCTTTAGGGTTGCTCATGAGCCCTGGCATGATCTTCGTCGCATCTACATCTTCTGTGAGAGTGATCAAGCCTTGTCTCCCAATTCAAGAAGCTATGGCTGCTTCTTTGGGTGACTGCAGTCATTACCGGTGCAAAACCTCCCATTCTCCCTTCTTGAGCCAGCCCGCGGATATTGCGGAGGCGTTTGAGCTGGCAGCTAAGATTGGCTTGGAAATGAACGCGGCTTGAGCGGACGGCACATTTGCATATGCTTTTGGATATTGGGTGGTTTCAGTTTTCTCGGTTATATAGGTTGGACCTCGGTCTCGGGAGGCAGCAAGTAATTTATACATTCCCTCCAATACGAACAATACATGAATTCACAGAAGTGCAAATGCAATCGACCAACTGCCGTGGTGGTAATATTTAGCTAGTCACACTGGACCAAGCTATGAGCGAGAAAAAGAAGTGATCATTATTTACAGCTTAGAGACCATCTGGTTGCCCTTCTTGAGGAGTGCAGCAGCGTCTTGTACGAGCTCGTCGACGATAGCCTTGGCGGACTTCTTCTCATTAACGACAGCAGATACCTTACCCATCAAGAAGGGACGCGCGTTGTCAAGGGTATCATCGTCAGCATCATCGGGCAGGTTCTCCATGTCGTGCTCGACGGGGATGACACCCTTGGAAGTGAGTGTCTTAATCTCCTCAGCGCGGTTCTCCTCCCAGTTCAAGATGTAAGCGTTCTTGCGGACACGGAGGGGACGGCCCTGTTGTACATGTTAGCGACTATAGTGCGTGAAGCTTGGGTATGACTAAGACATACAGTGAAGATGATAGTACGGATATTATCCTCGAAACCAGCAGTGCGGACAGCCTCCTGGTGAGCCTTGGGAGCACCGGCCTCATCAGACAGAATGAAGCGGGTACCAATCCAGACAGCCGAGGCGCCGAGCATGAGAGCGGCAGCGACGGAGTTACCGTTATACAGACCACCAGCAGCAATGACCTGGACGGGCTGGCCGGTCAGAGGGCTCTTGTGGCCCTCGACCAGCTTGGCAACGGCGGGAATGAGAACAGTGGTGGGAACATCACCGGTGTGGCCACCGCCCTCGCCACCCTGAGCGCAAATGATATCGATGCCGACCTCAAGGCACTTCTTAACGTGCTTGGGGTGACCGATCATGTTCATGGTGAGGATACCGGCGCCGTGAAGGCGATCGACGACAGCCTTGGGGGGAACACCAACGGCGGAGACGAAGAGCTTCGCACCTTCCTTGATGATGATTTCGACGAGCTCGTTAAGCTTGCCCTTGGTGTAGTCGTAGCTAGTGGTGAAGGACATGGTCAACAACGATTCCCGCGAAAACGTTTCAAGATAGACTTACTTGGTCTTGCGGGCAGAGCCACCGACCTGGGGAAGGAGCAGGTCGACACCGAAAGGCGCGTTCTTATCGTTCAGGTAGCTCTTGAGTTCGGCGATCTGCTCCTTGAGCATCTCAGGAGTGTAGCCAACACCACCGATGACACCCAGGCCACCAGCGTTGGTGACAGCAGCCGCCAGCTTGGGGCCGGCGGCCACGTTCATACCAGCCAGCAGAACTGGGTGGTTGATCTTGAGCAGATCAGTGATGGGGGTACGGATAACCTCTGTTGATGTTTAGCAGCTGTCAGGCACAAAGTAGAGAACAAACATACGAGGAGAAGCCATTTTGGATGTGATGGAGAAAAAAGAAATCCGGGGAAAGCGGACACTTTAAAAGGGACAGGTTACTCGGTACAATCACAATGAGCCGAGGCCCATTTGCCTGCGGGGCGCGTTGATTGCCGTCGCATGACAGTTTCGCACCTCGTATTTCAGGCATCAAGGCATCAAGGCATCAAGGCATTAACTCACCTGACGTCCACGCGACTTAACTTATGGTACACTCGCCTTGTGTCCATCTACAACGTTTTGACACAAGAATGAGCTCGAGAGTTGCTAGCTGCCTAGGGGCACCGTCATGGACTTGTGCTCGCAATAATTCATTTCCATTGAGTGCATTGAAACCAGCTAGGAGGTTTTCTTATTTGCCGGGCCCTCCGACCGCGTCACATTGGAAACGGCCCTCCGATGGAACCTGGACGAAGAGGCAAGTTCCTAATGATCAAGAGAAAAGATATTGCAGCTGACATTGGATTAAAGTAACCCGTCGTTCGCGAGCTTGAGTAGGTTGCTCCCTCATTTCCGTAACGGGCTTATCGGTCATGTATCTGTATCGTCAAAAATGCGGGACATGCATTTCTTAGATCTTGCCTTCTACACAACCAAAACGACCCTGAGACTAAATACCGTTAGGGCACTATTCTATGGGGAAGCGCGAGATTTCACCCTCGTGTCCTGAAAATGGCCGACCTAAGCGTCTAACCCCGCTGTCAGACCCGAATACTCACGCGAGGAGATTTTCATGTGGGCAAGGAACGCGTTTGGACGATACCATGAATCCAGTACGGAGCAGTCCTGTGTCCCACCGGGCATTTATTGCGCTAGGCAGTAATGTCGGAGATCGCATCGAAATGATCGAAAAGGCTTGTCTTGAGCTGGACCGAGCCAACATCCAGGTTAAGAGGACCAGCTCACTCTTTGAGACAGAGCCTATGTATGTGCTGGACCAAGCACCATTCATGAACGGAGTTTGCGAGGTAAGTGTGTAGTCAGAATACGATATATCCAATATTAACAGCTATCAGGTTGAAACTACTCTTGAACCAATGGAGCTTTTGGATGCCCTCCAGTCCATCGAGATTGAGTTGGGTAGAAAGAAGCTTATTGATAAGGGTCCACGCTCAATCGACCTAGACATCTTATTGTATGATCAAGAGGTCTTCTCCCACGAGCGTCTCAATGTCCCGCATAGTTTAATGCTGGAACGAGACTTCGTTCTCCGGCCTCTCTGCCAGTGTGTCTCAACCATATACATGGATATCTCAATACAAGGGGCTAACCTATCCCCAGATTAATTCCCCACGAACGCCCGCCTCAATCAGAGAAGAACACACATACATACAGTGAATACCTTCAATCTCTACCCCCACCATCGCCCACCCCCTTCTCAACAATCCCAATTTCGCCAAAATTCCCAACCTTGCACGCAACAGATCCAAAGCGCAGCACTCACATCATGGCCATCCTAAATTTAACCCCAGACTCCTTCTCTGACGGAGGCAAACACTCCCCCCATGACATGACCTATATTACCGAAACAGTGCGCACCTTCATCACTCAAGGCGCAACGATTATCGACATCGGCGGAGAAAGCACTCGCCCGGGCTCAAAGCCCGTTGGTGCAGACGAGGAAATCGCCCGCGTAGTCCCTGCAATCAAACACATCCGGGCTAACATTCCCGAAGCGGCACACATCGCCATCAGTATCGATACGTACCGTGCCAGCGTGGCTGAAGCAGCGTGTGCCGCCGGTGCAGATATCATCAACGATGTCTCAGCCGGAACCCTCGACCCCGATATGCTGAACACAGCAGCACGGATCAACAAGACCATTATCCTTATGCATATGCGTGGAACACCGCAGACAATGACCACACTAGCGGACTATCCCAATGGGGTCATCCCAGAGGTAGCCTCCGAGCTACGCGAGCGCATCGCCGCGGCCGAAGAGGCTGGTATTCGACGCTGGCGCATTATCCTAGACCCCGGTCTTGGATTCGCGAAAAACCAGCCCGAGGACCTAGAGGTCCTGCGTGAGCTCTCAAAGCTGCGTGCCGCCGAGGGACTGGAGTATCTCCCCTGGCTGATGGGACCGAGTCGAAAACGGTTCATTGGGCATATTACTGGCGTGAAGACTGCCCGTGAACGTGTTTGGGGAACGGCTGCTACCGTCACGGCGAGTGTTGCGGGTGGAGCGGATATTGTTCGAGTGCATGATGTGCATGAGATGTGGCAGGCGGCTAGAGTGGCGGATGCTATTTATCGTGTTGAGTGAGTGGTTGCATATTGATTTAAGCTTGTGGCTTTTTCTCTTCTTCTTCAACATTGTATGAGATAAGGTGTATTGTTTCTTCATTCATCATGGAGTTTACATTTGATTGGTGTATAGAGGTGGAGTTGTGATGGAACGGATTACAATATCATGAATCGATTCGGTCTGCGTGGACCGAGGGTATATCCAAGTGGTACCTTTGTTTCTTGGCCAATGTAACTTCGAGTCCTACACTTGTTCATAGAGTTCATCGATTCTAGCCTTGTTCGTGTAATTTTGCCACATGTGCATTTTGTCTAGGATTATACAAAGTGACCTGAAAACATAGCTATTCATAGATTTTCTCATTAACTCAAATCCTACCAAGGAAACAAACAAAGGAAAAAGCGTTGCGGAAAATGCGTCCACCATGCCAGGCAGCAATTTCACCCAATTTTGTTGCTCAACTGCCACTCATCGATGCAGATGGGAACACAGAAAAGAAAATTGGAATAATATGACGGTGAGTTTCAAACAGGTATCCGTGACGCATCACGGGAAGGGATCAATGGGCTTGCTAAGTATCGATACGACAGAACTGAGGTCCGGGGATATGCCAAATTTAGTTGTTCAGGTAGTTGCGGATAGCACCTGGGATTCCGTTAGCTAGATAATTTGGAATATATAGGAGAAGTCCGTACCTTGTAGCTTTGTGGCTCCTTCGCCGACGAGGTGAGACAAGTTCTCGATATCGTCACCAGCGGTGATACCAAAGCGACGGACAAAGTCCTTGGCCGCAGCCTCCATATCTCCGTAGCCGTCATCCATCGCGGAAACGTCATCCTCGGGCCGGCCGAAGTAGGCACTGCTAGAGATCGAGGTCGCACTATCGAAATTCTGGAGACGCGACTTGGCTTCGGCCTGGGCAGCGGGATCGAAGCGCTCACGGCCGAAGAACTCATCGGACGAGATACCCTTCTGAGTGCCGAATCGGGTCCTGGTCTGGGCGAGCTCCTCATCTGTTATACAGTTAGTACGTAGAAAACATCATGTGCGAACAGGGAGATTACCATCAGCAGCAGGCTTGGCAGGAGCAACAGCGCCGAAGCCAAGCTTCTTAGGGGCCGGAGGCTTCGACACTTGGCCGAACCCAAGTCTTCCCATTCCCATACCCAGCCGCTCGACATCGTTCGAGTTGCGCTCGCTGCTAGTAGCACCGAATCCGCCGCGGCTCGGGCTGATGGGAGTGGGAGAAGTGATTGTGGTGGTAGAAGCAACGGTCTTGGCCGCCTCAGCCTCAGCCTTCTCGGCTTCGGGGTCGTATCCGAGTTTCTCGATGCGCTCAGCCTCCTCCTTGGCCTTGCGCTCGGCCTCTTCGAAATCGATATCTGCGGCGGTCACCTTCTTCGCTCCGAGTTTAGGAACCTTCTTGGCTCCTAGCACGCTCTTCTTCGCAGCGCCGCTAGCGGCGGTAGTCTTCCGAGTAGCAGAGGAGGGGCGAATGGCGGTCGGGGCGGGAGAGGTAGCCTTCTCCTCAGACGCGGAAAGGGGCGACTTCGAGCGTGACCCGTTCGCATTGCCGGCGTTCAGGAAGGGGGAGCCATTTCGGCTCACAACGGGTGGCGTTCCAGTACGAGACGGGGGGTTGCTGGGGCGCTTGATCGAGGGCTTGTCCCAGGAGGAGAAAAAATCATCGTCTTCACCGGCAGGGGTGGCCGAGCCGTCGGACGGGGTGCCAGCAGGAATATCAGTGATGATAACCTCCTCGGGGTGCCTATGTTATGACCTTGTCAGCATCCCAAAACAAACAACCAAGTAGGGGAACTGACTGCTGCGCATCCGCCGCAGCTCGCCTCTTGAGCTCCTCCTTATATTTGACTGCCGCATTGGATGTATACTTGACCTTGCTGTCCTTGCTGGCCAGGGCCGCGGATCCTCCGTGTGATTGGAAATACTTGGTCGCAGACTCATTTCCACCAACCTTCATCACTCGTAGTTGTTCCCATTGCCACTCTGGAAAAATAGCATCAGCCTCCGTTCCTCGGTGGATAGTATGATCCGTATAAATGCGCTTGGGGATACATACGATCGAGATTCGTAGAGCGAACAAAGGAGATGTGGACACCGAGGTTGCGATGGTGGGCAGAGCAATCAAGGCACAGGTAGATACCAAAAGGCACCGACGACCAGGTCGGATTCTTAGAATTGCAGTCGAAGCATACCTACAGCGAGGAGGGTATTAGTGAACAATGACCAAAACACGCTGGAGACGGAGGCGGGGTGACTGTTTTGAGTCGTGGGCAGTAGGCAGTGAGAGTCGCGCACCTTGTTTGCGGGCTTCAGCTTCAGCTTCTCAAAGATTTTTTGAGACTGCGCCTTGGAGGCACTCATGATTGGCGAGGTCGAGGAAAGTCAGGGGAGGTGGAAGACGAGAAGGTCGGGAACGGCGAACGACGAACGTGGACACACTCAGTGCCTGTAATTTGGATTCTGCGGCGACACCCCAAACCCGGCGGTGGAGCATTGCCCACCTGCAAATATACCGTACCGTAACTTTGCCCACACGTGAGCTACTATCGTTATCGACTCGACGATTCGACGATTTGATCTGGGGTTCATCACACATCCTGTCGCCATGAACCACCAAGCTCTGCGAGCTCTACCTCGAACATCGGTCGGCGCCCCGGCCTCCTTCCGGTCTTTCTCTGAAATAACCCGACGGTACGCCACCCAAGGCAACTTCGGCGACGGCCTCAAACCCAAGAGGAGGAGCGTTACAGTCCTGTCGGACGATGGACGATATGCGTGGGGTGATTTGAGTGGACGAGAGAAGGTCGCACGGGCGACGCAACAGTCCTTCAACTTTGTGATCGTGATCGCTGGTGTGGTACTCACAGTACGTCCCAATCTCCACCCACCGAGATCTTGCATGGCCTGATGCAAACTAACGGCATGGACTATAGGGCGGTGTCTTCACACTCCTATATCAAGAGGTCTTTTCGCCAAACAGCGGGACATGGCAGTTTGAGAAGGCAGTCGAGCGCATCAAGGAGGATCCCCGGTGTACCAAGCTTCTCGGTGACCGACGAGAGATCAAGGCATACGGTGAAAATACCAACAGCCGATGGGCCAGAAGCCGACCTATTGCGTACGTTTTTCTTGAGAAGAACCCTATGGAATTGAGAATCTGACAAGCGAATACAGGACTACCTCTGAGAAAGATCGCTTAGGCCGTGAGCATCTTCGGATGAATTTCCACGTACGTCCAATCACGCTTTTGTTCGACAGAATCATACTGACGATAAACTAGGTTGAGGGACCCCTCAACTCAGGTGTTGTCCACGTGCATATGATTAAGCATTTGGATAAGAACGAGTTGGAGTACCAGCTGCTTGCTCTGGATGTCAAGGGCCACTCGCGCATCATTCTCGAGAAGGCCTCAGAGAGGCCTAGTGTGGCGAGCTCCCTGAAGCTCTTCGGTATTCAGTGGCGATGAGCTACATACGGCCACCCTCGACATGTTTTTTCATTCTCATTTGCGGATCTCTGTTCGCGAGGGATTGAGACTGAAGTCTCGCAACTTGCGTGATATAAGACTTTATTCGGTCGTCTAGTGGCGATTTTCATTGTACTTTTAAGGCTACTGCCTACCTGATCAAGGCTTCAGCCTTTTCTATGTACCATAAACCCAACTGCACCACCTCCAACGCAGTCTGCCTGAGATACGGCACCCAATACCCAATGGAAAAAAAATTCTATATGTGAACAAACAACCTTTGGAAAATCTGAATATTTTGGAACAGCTATGGACATGAATAACATAAAGGACATAGGTATAGAGGAAGTTTAAACCACCCGAGGGCCATCGATAATGCTCTTAGCCTCCTCGGACTGCCACCAGCTCTTACCTTTCTCACCAGGGAACGCAAAGGCATCCATGCTCTCAGCTTTCATCTCGACACTGTAGCCAGGCTCCATAGGAGTGACATAGTATCCATCCTTAACACTAGACGGGTGAACAAAATGCTCGTGCAGATGATCCACATACTCCAACACGCTCTTTTTACCGCTAACAACGACATAGTCGATTGTGCTCAGGTGCTGAGTGTACTCGGGCAGACCAACACCACCGGAGTGGGGCACAATGGGGACACCGAACTTGCGGGCCAAGAGCAGAATGGCCAGGACCTCGTTTACACCACCAACACGGCATGCGTCGGCCTGAAGCACGGTCAGAGCACCCGCCTGAAGCAGCTGCTTGAAGACGACGCGATTCTGGCACATCTCGCCGGTGGCGACCCCAATGGTACCGTGAGGTGTGTTCTCGAGGGCCTTCTTGATCGCGGCGTGACCGAGGATGTCATCGGGGGAGGTGGGCTCTTCGATGAACCAGGGCTTGAACTGGGCAAGCTCCTGCATCCAAGTGATAGCCTCGGGGACGGACCAGACCTATTACATGTCCATGTAAGTCTCCCAACTGGTTCAGCGTGATCTTTCAAACATACCTGGTTCGCATCCACCATCAGGATATTACCCTTGTCATAACCAATCGCCTCGCGAGCAATCCTCAACCGAGCTTTATCATCCTCCAGGTTCCCACCAACCTTCAACTTGAAATGTTTGTATCCCTGCTCGACACTCTCCTGCAGCAACCTCTTCAACTTATCCTCGCCATATCCCAACCACCCAGCGCTGGTAGTATAGGCCGGAACAGCCTGGCTAGCTTCCGCCTCCTGAATACGCTGCTGCTTACCACCCTCAACCTCCTTAAGTAACTCAACGGCCTCTTCAGGAGTAATAGCATCGGTGATATAACGGAAGTCGATGCAACGCACGAACTCCTCGGGGCTCATATCAGCAACAATACGCCACACCGGCTTGCCTAGAGTCTTGGCCCAAAGATCCCAGAGGGCATTGACAACGGCGCCAAGAGCAAGGTGGATAACACCCTTCTCAGGACCGATCCAGCGGAGCTGGCTGTCAGAGACCAGGTAGCGCCAGGTCTTGCCCCAGTCAGCAGTGAGCTCGTCAAGGTCCTTGCCAACGACGAGAGGGGTCACTAAGGAGATAGCGGCGCAGACGATCTCGTTACCGCGGCCAATCGTGAATGTCTAGAATGTCTCGATTAATCACGATTCGACGAGAATGGGTTGGCCAACATACCATGCCGTGGCCGGTGTACTCAGAGTCTGTGTTCAAAATACAGTAGGCGGAGGAGTAGTCGCCAGCTGCGTTCATAGCATCAGAGCCAGTCTTGTCGAGGGAGGTCTGCCATTGTTAGATATGCGCGACTTGCGGGTAGGAGGCATGACGTACTGGGAACCTCACGTCCCGTGTGGTGAAGCCAGTGATTTTGACCATGGCGAAGGCTAATGCGATGCAATTTGGATCAGGCTTTGTATTCAATTGCGCAAGGCTGAATGTGTCCGCGCAAATTCAATGGCAGACAACACGGTGCTGGTTTGCGGGGTGAATATCCGGAGCTCAACAGAGTAAGTATATACACGAAGAGATTGTACTGGGGATGGAGGGGAAAGGTTTGTACACCGAGAAGAAGAAGAGAAATGACAAACGCAGAATTTGGGAAATTGCGACGTAGGCCCCGTATATAGACAGCAAGTGACCCCCCACGTTGCCTCAACTTGCCCTGCGCCCCTCACTCCGCGTTGTAATCGCGCAGTCTGATTGGCGGATAATTGCGCGGGTCTGGAAAATGCGGGTTTCCACCAATGAGAGGACGGAACGCGACATCGGAGTAAATCCGCGTTTCTGGGGTTTGGCGGAGCCCTAACTTAGACGGTAGTGATGGGGTTTAGAGACTACTATGGAGGTGGTGGCATGAAGTATGGGTATGCATTTCAATGTAAATAATCCATCGCTTTTGGATCCTATCCCCTGAAGTATAGCAAGTTATCCCCGGACTGACAGGCTGCATGTGCATTTGCATCCTGGTCTGCATCTATGCCGACAGCCCGCGCTTCTCGCTTTCCGAGAAGAAGATGATCATTCGCCAGAGCTTACGGACCAGAACCTCGGCCTCTTCGTCCAGAGCCTGTAGAGAATATAATTAGCACACTATCACACGAGTGAGTAAAACAAGGCAATGAACTCACCTCGGCCAGCTGCTCGGCCAACTCCTGAGGGCTGCCGTGCTGCCGAATGTGCTCCTCCACAAGATCGATCAGCATCTGCTCTTGCACACCCAGATACTCGACAATCTTCTTTTCCACGAAAGGTTTGATTTGGTCGCTGATAACGGCCTGGTCTACAAACTCCCACTTGATATTCCACTTCCACAGGCCTTCTTTATCGGTGGGGATCTCAGCAGCAAGTTGGCGAGCAGCCTGGGCTCGTTCTTCGTCGGAGAGACCAGCCGCTTCAGCAGCGGTATCGAACTTGATCGGAATTAGAGGGCGGCGGGTTGTACTGGCGGGCTCTTCCTCATCCTCCAGTAGACCTTCGACCTCGGCCACGGTGCGGCGAGTAGTCGCAGCCTGGGCCTTCTGGGCAGCGGCACCCAGAGACAACTTGAAGCGCTTGGGCTCCTCGCGAGGCTCTGGGACACGGTTCTCGAGTTCCTGTGCCTGGCGAGCCAAGAAGTCATCGGCCATACCGCGTGCCTGCTCCTGTTGCTTGGCGGTTTGAGCAAGCTCCCTCTCCTCGGCGGCGCGGTCAGCCTCGTCCATGCTGGCCTCACGGGCACGGAAAGCCGCACGACTGCGCAGCCAGGCACCGTGGTCTGCGTAATACTCAACAGCCTTACGGCTAGCTTCGTTATCATCATTCCATTCCTTGAGACGCTCCTCCATCTCATCGTGAGCAGCCTGCAACTTCCCGTCTTCCTCCTTGTCTCGCTTCTTCTCACGCTCTAGGGCGGCTGTTCGGCTTCGCTCACGATTGAGCCACCGGCGCTCCTGATCAAGGAATTGCTTTTCCTGCTCTGCATCGCGCTTAGCCTGGCGACGGCGTTCAAGTTCCTCGTCGCTTGCATCGGTCTCTTCGTCTTCACGATCACGATAGGCCTGCCCTCCGTTAATCAAACCCCCGTTCACAAAGGACACACCCTTCTGGTAATCCTTGGGGATCTGTACGCCGAATCCCTTAGGACCAGATGGGGCACCACGAGGACCAAGTGGGATGTTATTGGTGCCACCGGCTGGGCCACTGGGAGCAGAGGCCGGGGGAGAAGCAAGACGATTCCGCCCACCAGCATTACGAGCGCGTTCCATTGACTCAATTTCCTCCTCGCGTCTCAAGCGTTCGGTATCCCGACGGTTGCTCCGCTCACGGAACGCAGCAATTTCTTTCGCGACATTCTCGCGCATTTCTGGAGGAATATCTGCCAGTTCGTCTTCTCCCGTAATAGGGATCATGACCACCTCTCCATCTTTCATGGGAGTACCGCCTTCTCTCATCTCAGTATCGCCTTCCCGGTCAAGTGCAGAGGCATCCTCCTTCTGTACAGGGGTGGCTGGATTGCAAAGTTGCTCCAGAACGCTCATTAGGGTGTTGTTAGCGGCTGTAAAACGAGCTTGCAGTTCTTCCGGGTCACGTTCGCCCCGGGTGGCTTCAAACTGCTCGAGATAAGTCATGGTACTCTCGTCCACCACAACCTGTTAAACCATTAGTCGTCTATATCAAGCCGTCAGAATACAACCAACATACCAAAAGAGTACTCTTTTCCACTTCTTGCTGCTCTTCACCCTCCTTCCGTGCGAGCTGTCGCTTCACAGGCACCTCGACCTCTTTGAGAATCTCGACGGCGATTTCCAAGCTCTCGGGATTTTCATACTCCGCAAATCCAAACCGGCAAGGCTTCTCATCGGCATCCGTGGCGCGCATCCACCGGCGCAAACCACCCGCAGACCGTAGAATTTGCTCAATTCCATCGTCACCGCCACATCCCTCTGTGATACCGCCAACAAACAGTGTGCGCACAATCTCATCGCGAGTAGGCGGCTGGAGCTGCGCCATGGTATCATACGATCTGTGGTGGTTGTCCATGTTCGATGACCCCAATCCTGGACGCCGCCCAGCGCTCTCTGACCCACGCTCACGACCAGAGTCCTGTCCCGCAGGTTTTGCCGGGCCCGAGGTGCCCAGTCGAATCACTGGCGCAGAAAAGTTGATGTTCGGCATGTTCGGGGGTGGTTGGAAGTTCGCTGGGAAGCCACGAGGGCCACCAGGCTGCTGGGCATTGGCCTGTTGCATACCGGGAGGAAGAGCGGTGCCGGGAGCAGCCATGCCTGGAGGAGGAGCTGTAGCTAGTCAGTCATGATATGTGACACTTTTGAATTGAGGTATTCGATTCTAACATACCCATGCCCGGCGGCGCACCATATGCCGCGTAGTCGGGTTGGCCGTACATGCCCGGAGCTAAAGAGAGGTCAGAGTATGATCATGCTGGAGTCAAAGTCCGCGACTGCGCAGATGATGGGTGATGCGAAGACTCACGTTGGTAAGGATTGTACATGATGCAGGCGTTCTCACTAGCTCGGCGCCAGCAAACTCGTCGATATACGTTTAGGCAGTGAGTACCAGCTATCGTATGACAAGGTTATCGAATAGTGGCGATCTCACAAGCTCCGTGTTGATATGAGCGCGCAGAGAAAGAAAGTTGCGATGTTGCGGATTTTAGTGGTCCGTGCGCCGATCTTGGCAGCGTTGCGGTTTACGCGCTTTCTACGTTATTCACCAGGTAGTAGGTACAATGATACCTTTGGACCGAGAAGACATTGTAAGTGAGTCTCAATCGATGGGTGTTAAGTACAGATATAGATAAGTTAAAGTGAGTTTAGCAAAAGGTACTCTAAACAAGATATCAAAAGGTATCTAAACAGACCTCGGAAGAAATGCCTAGGCAAAGAGTTGGAGGGGAATCCAAGACATATAGCTTAGGCCGATTCACAATACCTTGGCTCTTCTGCAAGAGAATCAAAGGATTGATTTACATTGCATATAAACAGGGGATACTGGAAAAATAGATCCGGGGCACTGGAGTCCGAATTAGAATCTCGGGCAAGGAAGGTCCGGCTTCGTGGGGGTACGGTGAATGCTCCATAGCCACGGGCTAGAGTGACTGCAGTCAATTGGTCATATGAGCGCAAGATGCCCAGGATCCAGATGTCCAGAAGCTCAAACCCCGGGAATCATAGTCCAAGCAGATTCATCTCAGGGTTGTATAGAGGCGCAAGGTAGGGATCCCAGGTAGCTCCGTCCTCCGTCACTGGGTACCTAGGACAACATCGGATAAACCGGTTAAAAAGGCTAGAAACGCGAACTAGACCAGCACACGAAGGACCGTCCTGGCACATGAGTAGAAGGTAAAAATAAGCCAGACTAGCTGATTATCAATTAACGTGATCCAGACCGGAAGCACCTTAGGAACCAGAACCGCGGGCCCGAATGCGGCAATGATGATGCTTGCCCCACGGCCCCTCCATCGGACCCCAACACGCCGGTGACACTTGACGCCATCTTTTTTCTTCCAAGCTTTCTCTCTCTTCTTTCTTCACCTCCAGTGATACCCCTCTAATTCTCCGTTATACCTTGTAAGTTCTTATCTCAGTGCTGAACGTCCTTCTTCTACTGCCCCGCACTAACACAATTCATAGTATTACCAACGTCATCATGTCGGGTTTCGCGCAAGCTTCCGATCTCAATGCCTGGAAGGAGCTCCAGGAGCACCACACCACCCTGGGCCGTAACATTGTCCTGAAGGAGTACTTCCAAAAGGACCCCCAGCGCTTCCAGAAGTTCAGCCGCACCTTTACCAACACCGTCGATGGCCAGGATATCCTCTTTGACTTCTCCAAGAACTTCCTCACCGAGGAGACTCTGTCTCTGTTGGTCAAGCTAGCCAAGGAGGCCAATGTCGAGGGCCTGCGCGATCAAATGTTCAAGGGTGAGCACATCAACTTCACCGAGGACCGTGCTGTCTACCACGCCGCCCTGCGCAACACCTCCAACGAGCCCATGCAGGTCGATGGCAAGAGCGTCGTCGAGGACGTCAACGCCGTTCTCGAGCATATGAAGGAGTTCTCCGAGCAGGTGCGCAGTGGTGAGTGGAAGGGTTACACCGGCAAGAAGATCGATACCATCGTCAACATTGGTATCGGTGGCTCCGACCTGTAGGTTTCAATCAATTCTGGAAGATATAGACGCGCGAACTGACATTCGTTTAGTGGCCCCGTCATGGTTACCGAGGCCCTGAAGCCCTATGGTCACCCTGACATGAAGCTCCACTTCGTTTCCAACATTGATGGCACTCACATCGCCGAGGCCCTCAAGAACTCCAACCCCGAGACCACTCTCTTCCTGGTCGCCTCCAAGACCTTCACCACCGCCGAAACCTGCACCAACGCCAACACTGCTAAGAGTTGGTTCCTTGAGACAGCTAAGGATGAGTCTGCGATCGCTAAGCACTTCGTTGCCCTCTCCACCAACGAAGCCGAGGTCACCAAGTTCGGTATCGACAGCAAGAACATGTTCGGCTTCGCGTCGTGGGTCGGTGGTCGTTACTCCGTTTGGAGTGCCATTGGTCTCTCCGTGGCCCTGTACATCGGCTATGACAACTTCCATCAGTTCCTAGCCGGTGCCCACGCTATGGACAAGCACTTCCGCGAGACTCCCCTGGAGCAGAACATCCCCGCTCTCGGTGGTCTGTTGAGCGTCTGGTACAGCGACTTTTTTGGTGCCCAGACTCACCTGGTTGCTCCCTTCGACCAGTACCTGCACCGCTTCCCCGCTTACTTGCAGCAGCTTTCCATGGAGAGCAACGGTAAGGCCATTACCCGCTCCGGTGAGTACGTCAAGTACACCACCGGCCCCATCCTGTTCGGTGAGCCGGCCACCAACGCCCAGCACAGCTTCTTCCAGCTGCTGCACCAGGGCACAAAGCTCATCCCAGCCGATTTCATCATGGCCGCCGAGTCGCACAACCCCGTCGAGGGTGGCAAGCACCAGCGCATGCTGGCTTCCAACTTCTTGGCTCAGTCTGAGGCCCTGATGGTCGGTAAGACCCCCGAGCAGGTCAAGGCCGAGGGTGCCCCCGACCACTTGGTCTCACACAAGACCTTCCTGGGCAACCGCCCCACCACCTCCATTCTGGCCCAAAAGATCACGCCCTCGACCCTGGGTGCTCTGATCACCTACTACGAGCACGTCACCTTCACCGAGGGTGCCGTCTGGAACATCAACTCCTTCGATCAGTGGGGTGTCGAGCTCGGCAAGGTCCTGGCCAAGAAGATCCAGGCTGAGTTGGAGACTTCTGGTGGCGGCAGTGATCACGATAGCTCCACCAGCGGTCTGCTTCTCGCTTTCAAGGCGAAGGCTAACTTGGCGTAAATTTGACCAAGTCTTGCATCAAGTACTTTGTTGGACGATGCGGTTTTGACGAGCTTTGACGAGCAACGAATGAATATTTGACACCATGTCTCCTTTTCTTAAATTTAAATTGAATGGAATCGCCGAAAATTCCCCGTGAGTCAGTAGGTGTAGCTTTGAATGCGCGTCTCAGTAATGACCATTGTTTCGCCTCGACTTCTTATGATAAGTGCGTCGCAAGCTGAACTAGTTACTATTCACCTCAAGGCTGTTAATCGCAAAAATTCCCACATGATTTCAGCTGTCTCGTAGAGTAAACAATGGTGGTGGCGACAAATTGCGCTTTCATAGCGGAAGTTGATCATGGGGAAAGGGCTCCGACTCCGACTCCGCGGGCCGCAAACACCTCCGTGTCTTCTCCGCGTCTCCTACATCCAACAACCCAACGCGGGGGACTACACTTCGCCATGAAATTCGCGAGCATGTCGCCTTCGCGCTCAATGACACGGCTCCCAGCTACAGCAACACTGCTCTCCCTCGCATGCGCGCTTTGGCCGACAGCCGCAGTCGCGGAAAGGACCAGTGGCAACAGTGGGGTGGGATACAGTCTTGGAGAAGAGATCCCAGTATCCTGCCTCAATCGGACCGCGTGAGTCTCTTCTAACCGATCCTCCATCCATAACAAAAGCAATTGCTAACCAAAAAGCCATGTACAGCGAAGGAGAACATGTATGCGCCTCGAACTCCTGAGCGCCCCCAGAATCCCATGTCCACAAATTAACAAAACAAAACAGATAACAGATGAGCTGGGCAAGCTACAGTACATCCCGTTTGCAACCTGCAATGAGACCTCGCGTCCCCTGGTCCTCCACTACGGTGTCTCCGAAACAATCACCTGCACGATCCCCTCACTTTCAGACTCCCTCTACCACCTCTACGAATTCTACGTGCACTCTGACGTCCCAATGACCTGCCGCGTCCCAACAGCGCCCTTATCAAGCACCACAAAAGCAGATAAAGAGTCCGAGTCCGGCGAAGTTGACTCGCTCGCCGCGCTGAACGAGAACGGCCCGCCCTTCACCCCAGTCACCGTTGCGCTGCAGGGAACACTGCAGCTTAGCCACTTACACATCTGGACGGATATGAATATGCTCATGCATAATATGGCTTCTGATCCTGCGGCGCAGGAACTGCAACCTAAACACGCCCAAACTGGGCAGCCTGGGTATGCGGTTGCTGGGACGGCATACTCGACTCCCGAGTTCGAGGCTACTGTTAAGGGTCTTGCGCTTGATGACGACGAAGAGTCTGTTGCTCTCGCGCAAGCTGCGCGCGAGCCTTGGACTACTGGACATGGTACCAAGGTTGTGCGTGGTGAGCCATTAACCTTTTCTTTCCATGTTGCTTGGGTTGAAGGTGGTGCTGGCATTGGGTGGCCGGAGAGGCCTACGTTTGGCTCTTTCTTAGGTGCTGCTGCTGCTAGCCAGAGCTCTCGCTCTGGAGGGATCTTCTCGGACCTGTTTCTCTTTGTCGCGGCCGCTTCTTTTGGCGCTTTTGCTGCGCTGTACTGGGAGCGCAATGGCGGTCGTTTGCGAGGTCGCTCCGGCTGGCAGGGTGATGGTATCTTGGGCGCGCCTCCTCGGGGTAAAGGACCCGGCGTGACCTTTGGAAACGGCGGGCGTATTAATGGCTACGGCGGATACTCTGCGGCTTCTAATGGCGCGGGAACTGGCGGCGGGGGATACGGATTTCCTACTGGGAAGAGGGATTGATGAATTGATATAGAGCCGTGTATATCAGTGTACAAGATAGCCATGCACAGTGCATGTGTACATGACTGTCAGATTCAAATTGGAGTCAAGGAAATAGATCCAATGCATTCCATATCTAATGCAAAAAGCAGAATCGAAAGGTAGTTTCACAAATAGTTGTACAAGCCAGACAAAATCGTCCTATCAGCGGACATAATAGCAAATCGTCCAGTCCGCAATATATACACCCTCCATGCAAATCACCATCCCTGCGCCTGCATGCGCTGGATCTTCTTCACGGTCTCTTGGAAAGAGAAGCGGAAAAGCTTCCTCCAGCGCTCCCGTCGCTGCTGCTTCCGCACCATACCCTTGCGCACGTGGAACTTCTGTTGGAAGGATTGCTGCTTGATCTTGTTCGCGTTGACAACCATGTTCAAGTTGCGAATAGCAGCGCCGAGGTCGACGCCACGCTCGGGCTCGACGTGAACCTGACGACCCAGCGTAGGGCCGAGCTTCAGCTCCGTCTTGCGGCTCGCCAGCTGGGCGGACTGCTCTTTGAAGCCCAGCCCACGCGACAGAGAGCTAGTTACTCGACCCTGGCCCTTACCAGCGGTGGGGTTCTCTGATTTGGCGCGGCTGCCGAGATTAAGCTGGTTCAGAATGTCGTCAAAGTCGGAGCCGGAGCTGGTTGATTTCGAGGTGGGTTTCTCGGCGTTGGATGGTGTGGCCGGAGCGGCAGCTTCTGTGGGTGTTTGAGAAGAGGGATTTTGTGATGAGGAGTCTGAGGAGTTGTATCGGATTGTGGTAGGGAAGAAACGCTGAGGTTGCTGGCGCGTGAGCAGGAATGGGGACGGCCTGGCGCGGAGGCCACGGGCCAGGAGGCGGGTGTCCATTTTTCAGAGCAGTCAGATCAGCCTGACGAGTTCAATTGAGGGTATTGAACAATTGCCCTGGGGTAGACGATGGTGTGGAGTGGGATATTGGTTCGTAGATCTGAAAGTGCAAGACTCGGGGAAAATCATTTGCAAGGGAAATTCCACGTCACGTGCACGTCGAGAAGTTCACTGCGAAACGGACGAAATCCATATCTTCTTCCTCTTTACGTGATTTTTTCTCGGTTACTGGTCAGTTATCTAGGAAACGATCGCTACCTCAACATCTTGCTTCACGTCAACAAAATGTCGACCATCTCGATCGCGACGCTGCCGCGGATGAGCCGCGATACCCTTGCCGCTCTACTCTCCGCCGAGACCCCCGCCAACAAGCTCGGAATTATTGACGTTCGTGACTCTGGTGAGTAAAAAAAATATGATGATAGCAATTTAGTTCAATGCATAATTAGTAACCACTATGGATAGACCACGTCGGAGGCCACATCCACTCCTCCAACTGGGTCCCCAGCTCCAGCCTTGATGTCCGTATGCCCGAGCTTATCCGCACTCTCAAGGACACCGAGAAGGTTGTTTTCCACTGCGCTCTCAGCCAGCAGCGTGGACCCTCTGCTGCACTGCGGTATGCGCGAGAGCGTGAACAAGCCTACGGCCCTGAAGAATTCAAGAAGCAGGAGATCTTTATTCTTGAGGGTGGTTTCGTGAAGTGGCAGGAGAAATATGGCCTTGATAAGAAGCTGACTGAGGCTTTCGCTGCTGATATCTGGCAAGAGGGGTACTGAGTGCGTCTTCGGATGGCTTTTTTGTGGCGCTTTGCTCTGTGAATAGCCATACTTTATGAGATATGAGACGATGAGATACCACATAGATAGTTATTGAAAGGCTCTACTTTCCGAGCTTGCCAGGTGCGAGGCGCACGAATTAGTTATGAAAGGAACCCTGTTCAATGTACTACACCATTGCTTGTAATACATTGTCCAGTGATACAGAATGATTGTACAGAATGTATACATCCAAGCTAACCCTAGTTAACCTGAACACCCCCACCAAATCCAACAGGGGGTCTCTTACCACCATTCTCAGGCACAATAGCCAAAACCTTATAGATCTGGCCCATGGAACCACCACCTTTCTCGACCAAGCGCTTCCACCCAGTCTCCAAGGTCTTCTTGCTCTCATCATCCTTGGCCGCACGGATCAGTTGTTCCATGCGCTCGGTAATGCCCAGAACCGAGAGGAAATCACCTTGCTCAACAGGTCCATGGACCTCAACACCATCACTACCCTCAATGGCTGCTTCGGCCAGAGAAGTAAAGTCAACGTCTGCGCTGACGTCAACCTGACCAGGTGCCGAAAGTGCAGGGACAATCTTATGGCCTTGGATTCCACGCAGAGAGTTGATAGGAATGGTAGACATGGTACCGTAATCCATAATCAAGGCTGCGCCGGAAGGTGTCATCTTCTTCAGTGCAGGGGGAGGAGTAGAGGGAGCCTTCTTAGAAGGCGGAGGAGCGGCATCACCACCGATACGCCGAGCGAAGTCGGCGGCGTAGATTCGGCTCTCGGGACTCACTTCAATCGTTGAACCGGCCTGATTTTTCAGTGCCTTGTAGCGCTGTGAAATCTCGGGAATCACGAGTGAAGATGGGGTTGAGGCATTGGCCTTGGTTAGTTGGAATTCGGGTTCGCCTTCGATATTCTCGTCGATAGCCTTGGGGTTCAAGGTAACAAGAAGCTCGCGCCATTGCGGAGTATTGGCATGTTTGAGCGGGACGTGCAGCTTTTGAGGCCCAGTAGGAGTCATGATTTCCTTGGGCGCATCTGGCACTTCATTCTCGGGTGATGGGGGAACTGATTCGAAGGCGTGGATTGGGAGTGCATCGAAGAACTCATGTGCGAAGATGAAGGGTGTTTTCCCTTCCTCTGTGAATGATATTAACAAAAATTCCATGTTTGAACGTGGCTGAGCTGCAACTTACCATGAGGCAGCAGACGAATATCCTCAACCCAGACGACCGGCACATCAAAGTACTTGCATTTACTTCGGTGTCCAATATCAGTCTCCTCCATAACAGCATCCTCTCCACAAAGAGTTCGCTTCTGCACCTCTCTAAGCGTAGCACTGGCCTCAACGAGATAGATCGCCTCAACACTCGAAGAAAACATCTTGAAATTCCGGAATGTCTGTTCCATCGCAACTCCGATTAGCCTCGGAGCTTGAATTCGTAAAACCATGACTTACACGCAGCATATCATCCATCAAAGTTCCTTTACCAGGCCCAACTTCCATAAGCTGTACACCACTCTTCTTCCGGCCCTGGGACATCCACTCCGCAATAGTCCAGATGCCAACCAGTTCGCCAAAAACCTGGGAGATTTCAGGTGACGTGACAAAGTCACCGTGTTTGCCGAAAACGTTGGTTCGAGAGGTATAGTATCCGTCTTCTGGGGCTGTCAGGACCTGGCGCATGAAGGCAGCGATTGGCACGGGGCCTGTGACCTAGATAGGTGAGGATCGTTAGTGGTTGATGCGAGATGCTGCTGGGATACGCGTACCTTCATCGCATTGGCCAATGTGCGGGCTAATGGTGTGGACCATTTCCTTTGGTCAAATGCCTCTGTTGCGGACGAGTTCCATCGCCGCGGGCATGTGGTGAATATCGAGTTGCGAGACCTCCGGAGGGTATGCGACGCCGCGCGGCGCGCCGTGGTGTTCATTGCGCGTAGGCCCTATTTCCAAAGTGTTTATTGCGTCAGGGGAGTATGTGTTAAGAGGACTCAAGATAACGTCTAGGGATTCAATTGATCCCCGAGACAGACACTGTCAAGAGTTGCTTCTCCAAATCTGCGGATCTCCGCAAAAGCTCCGCTACACGTGATCTTATCCTTATCGACAGTATGAAGCGTTTCAAAATGGTTCGATTTGGGATACTCGATATTCATACATGTCATGAGGTTGGGTACATCGGGCGCACATAATAAAATACATGGGATCAATGCAATTACCGTTTCAAGTTCTAGTTATCATTTTTGGACGAGTTCCGTTTAACGCTGGCGTCTCCGTCGCTGCTGGTTCTTCTGTGCCGGGGCATCCACCATCATCTGGTCGCTATAGAACCCCGGGCTCTTTTTCTTGTTGCTCAAAACGTCTTCATTATCATTGAATCCGTAGCTGCCGTCCTGCACACCTGGCTCCGAGTGGCGAGTCCGTCGTTGGCGATCTGCCTGCTCTCGGAGTTGGCTATAGGAATTTGCTTGGGGTTGCAAATTGGCTTTAGCTCCAATAGGCTTGAGTGTCATAGACAAAACTCTGCCGTCAGCCTAAGTATTATTTTAGCTTACTCGTATAATCCACCAGCTACGGCACAGTCTTACCCTCTGATTGTGGAAGTTTGCGACCATGTTCTCCGCCGTCCACTTGTCCTGGAAAGCAAATTCGGCCGTGACATTCGGGCTTTGCCCAGTGACTCGGCAACTGAGCATTGGTCCTGTAGTAGGCTCCAGCGCGGACTGGATATCTGCGGCTGTCGTTCCTGGGGCAAAGTTGCTCCCCACCACCACAAACGGACCTGAGGCACCCTTAATGAACAGGCCGCCACTGGGTTGTCGGATGGTCGCCTGAGTGTTACCAGTTTCAAGCGCATTTAGGAGGCGTTCGGCGTTGTGCTGCTTCTTATTTGCGGGGTTTGCGCGCGTGCGCGCAGATGCGACTATGGCGGAAGCTGGGTTGGGTTTGGGCTTATTGGTCTGGTTCGGACGGGAAGAGGTCGACGCGGAGCGCTACATGACAAGGAAGATGTTGTCAGAGATGCTTCATGCGTCTCAGATCTGGAACGATGGGTTTGATGATACCTTGGGCATGCCGATCCGGCTGGCTAAGCTCCCGGGTTTCGCGGTCGGTGCCTTGCTGACCGCTCCAGGTCCTGGTGCACTTGCGCGTCGGTCCTTCTTGTTTCTGTTCCTCCCCAGGAGCTGACTAGCCAGCTGCTCATGTTGCTTCTTCTGGCGATCTGAGGGCGCACAGGGTTAGAATGCGGGTAGAAGACGGATTGGGGGCGACATTACCAGATTTGATGATGTCGTCGAATGAAATAGATGGAGAAGGCTTAGACTTCGCCATTATGTAAGGATGAGGGGAGAAACGACAAGACTAGGGTGAGATGGGATGGAGGTGAGGATAGAAGGGAGGCGGAGAAAAGAAGCTCAGCGCAGCTCCATGTGGAGCCGCGATCTGCGCCTCTGCGGCAAACATGTTTGTTCTGCGCTAGTTGGCTTGTCAACCTCTTGCTCCCAAGGCCCCCTACTTTTCATATTGCATCTTTCAACTTGGAGTGGGCTTGCTAATATGGCCCATTTCTGACCTAATGACCTGTTTTGAAGGGATGATACTAATTGGGGATGTATTGGGGGCCAGAAGTAGTAGTCGCGCTTGGATTGTATATCCGTAGATCCTTCATGAGAAGACGGCACTTTCCATTTCGGATAACAATATGTAATTCTTTCTTAAGCATTACTCGAATTCTATTATTATCATCTGCCTTCTTTCTCGGATATTCCTGTCTCCGTACCCTGCATCTTCTTCCATATTACGAATTGCATTCTTTTTCACCCAACGAATCCATCTACGTCAGCTTCTGCACAGCTTCGTGTCGAAGGAATGGATCCAAACATGTCTCACCAAGAGACACCAAGGCCGAGTGATAGCTCGCACGAATTTGCCCGACGCAGATCCAACTTTTCCCTGTCGTTCGCACGTCGTTCGACCAAGAACAGAGCCAGGTAAGTTACCAGAAGTATATCAAGGTATTTACTAAAAAAATCCGCAGTGTGCTCAGCATCGATACACCGGAGCCAAAATGTCAGGAAAGAATTCACTATCCTGTCTTCAACCCAGACGATCCCCGTCACAATCCTTCGGGGCGTCGTCATTACTGCCAGAACTCATCGGTGGACTCCCAGAAGCAAGCACATTGGGTTCAAGACCTCCAAAGACGCTCCATCCACAAGGTCCGATCGGGATTGCTGTCTCTGCGAGAAGGACTGCTCCGCCTGTCGAGTTGGAAGGATAGCGATATTAAGGATACTGGCTCTATGCTTGAGCGTCCGCAAAATCATAGCAGAGAAGGAAGGAACCCAGCATTTGGGTTTTCGAGTATCTCCGATGTCAGCACCCAGGAGGATATGAACTTTGGAATTGGTATGTGCCGCATGAACTCGCCCTGGCCTTCGACTTTCCGTGAGCCAAGTATTAATAGATCGACTCGGGTCGCCTCTTCTCTGGCATTACCAAATTTGTCGGCCACAGAATTGCAGGTAAGCAGTGGACAGCACCGTCCAGAATCTCCATCATTCCGCAAAGTGATCCTTACATCTGGAGACGCGCCTCCGTACTCCACGAGATACGACAAACCTCTTGCCGACGGTCTCGCGGACGCGGACACGGATCAGGGGAGGTCGTTTGTGGACACCGAACGAAGTGTTGATGGAGATTTCAGTGAACATTTGGATCAATCTGAGGTGTCGGATTGGGAAACAATTGCATCTGGGAAAGAAAGTGGTAGTTCGGTGAATGGAGATGTCTCTGGGGCTCGTGGATCGTGTGACGACAACACGCCTGCAGAACAGCCTCACGCAGCAGTGACCCTCTTGAAAATTCCAGCAAATGCAAAGCGGTGCAAGACTGTCAGCCCAGATCTGCCTCACAAGGGAGTAAGATCCGATGATTGTCCGATGTATGAAGAGACCACGAATAGCTCCATGGGGTCGTTCAAGCTTCCAGATCCGGATGCGCCAAGTAGTTTCAGTCCAAGCAAATTTGATCACCCACTGGCTAATATAAGAGAGTCGGAAGCTCTGGTGACACAGGAGCGCCTGCAGATTCATCGGACAAAAAGTGAGGAGGCTGCTGCATCGTCCATTGCCATGTCAAGGAAATGCTCTGTGAATGTTGTGAAGATTGCTTTCCCTGGCGTGTACCACGCCTTGCTCGAGCAGTGGACGAGAGAGACTCGTAACCTTTTTGTGAACAGTGCTGAGATAGGAGGGGATATTTCACCTCTTTCTCACATCCCCGACTCCGCTGCAGAGCAGAATCAGCAGGATCTCAACTACCACGAGTTGCCCTGGAGGTGTGGGAACCGCACTCACGGACTACCAGCCAGCACATCCTCTGGCCACAGAACGTGGGGTTCAAGTGAGTCTTTCTCATCTGGTGAACACAGTTCGACAACCATCGAGGATATATGGGTTCAAGCAGGGCCCCCTTCACGCTTCAGAACCTCCAGGCCTGCCAGAACTGCCAACTTAACCCGAAGTTCATCCACAGCCCACACTCATCCTCCGGAAGAGATGCCAGAACTTAATACACGCCATTCTTTCGGCCTTCATATTGTCCAGGGAGGTGTGAGTGTTAAGACACAACACAACCTGAAAACTTACTGACAGTTATCAGGAACCCGACGAGAGGACCTCGTTAAATGATCAAGGTCATCAAGACAACCTACGACAATCCTCTTATCAACAAGTTCCCCGACAGGCATCCCAACAGGCTCCAACAGACGGCCAATACACATCTCTCTCTGCCCCTGTCACGGGTGGCCCCCTGGGATCTCCTTTTGATCAATCGGAATTTTCATCAGTATGGACCAATGCCAGCTCCATCTCTCCAGGTGCCACATCCAGAACATCCATCTCCAACATGCCATGGTCACCGATGGACTCTCCTATCGACGAAGAGGTTCTCTTCTCAAACACCATTTGGCGCGATGAATATTACATGGCTGATGGCAAGACAAGCAACTACTACCCTGATCGAGGTGACCAGCCTACCAAAAGAATATGGAGGCAGCGTCTCACCGATGACGGCAGCATTCACAGTGGACCTGGTTTGGATCGCACTCCCTCCAGTAGACTCCATGTCTCCGAGCTGATGGCCCCGGTGACTCTCCCGCGCCCCTGTACATCACTGCCAAACCGACCACGCCTCGAAAGGGAGGGCTCAGGTCAGCCACAGGGAAACTTCCCTAGACACCAGGCTCAGACAGGTCGCCTTGGATGAGAGTTCTCACCTGCAATGCACTCTATAGTCGCTCTTTCTAGCTTTTTTTGCTCTCAAGGGACGGCGATCACGGATGAAACCAAGCTCGTCTCTCGCTATCCTATTTCATTGCTAGCTGTGTATCTTTAGAAACTGTGACGATGCAATGTCTTCGCGTCGGCCATTCATTTGTTCTTTGAATCAAAAATCAAACTCCATGCTAAATGACGATGATATATGTCTTTCAAGATTTATTAGTCTGTAACTGCCATGTCAAACTATCCTAGACGCAGTGCGAAGCCAGCACCCGTCTCCCCCGACTCTCCTCCCGGGGCTCCTCCAAATACACTCGCAAAGTCCAGCTCGGGTGCTTCCTGGCCCCGCTTTGGGGCTTCAGGTGTGTAATTGCGTCTCCGTTTCTCCATTCCTGCTTTAGAAGGGTAGGTTGGGAACATCTCTTTGGGCTTTGGGCGTGGATCTTCCTTGAAATAAGCATGTGCCAGACACTGTTGTGCAGTCGGGCGCACGACGGGGTTCAGTGCCAATAAACTAGACAACAGACTTAAGCCTGCATTGGTCAAGTATGGAAATCTGGAACGAGGCAACAGAGGCGGGTTCCCGGCTGGCGAAGTTGAGGTTGATGGTATCTTCAATGATTTGGCATTTGGCAGAGAGCGAAAGCCCGGCCAAATCTGCTGGTTCGGAGGACCCGTCAAGGCAAAGATCTTGGATACCTGGTCAACTTCATTCTTGCCCTGTAGCAGAGGCTCCTTGGTGAGAAGTTCACCGAAGATACACCCAATACTCCACATGTCAATCTCCGGACCGTACTTTTCGGCACCTAGTAGTAGCTCTGGTGAGCGGTACCATAGTGTGACGACGAGCTGGGTCAACTTGGGTGGCGGATCACCGTAGTAGCGAGCCATACCGAAATCGGCGAGCTTGATCTCGCCGCGGTTGTTCATGAGGAGGTTTGATGTTTTGAGATCGCGGTGCATAATCCACTGGGAATGTAGGAATTCAAGGCCGCCCACGACTTGTAGGAGAAGTGTCTTGATCTCCGAGGGCAAAAATGGCTCGCGCATGTCGTCGAGGAGGGTTTTGAGGTCGTGTTCGAGGAAGTCCATTACTAGGAATACACTGTTAAGAGATCCGGTTAGCTGTCGTTTTCATCCAATGCAATGCGACGATCGAAGGAACTCACTCGTCCATCTTGTTCCCCATAACCACTTCTCGAAGATAAACCACATTTGGATGCCGAGCCTCCAAGAGTGTCTGAATCTCCCGCAGTCCAGTGACCGGGAACCCGTCCGGCGCATTCTCGATCTTCAATTTCTTCAGCGCGACCACCTCGCCCGTTGTGATATCCTTGGCCCGAGAAACCCATCCATACGAGCCTTCCTCGATATGATTCAATCGCTCGAAGTTGTTCACATGCCTGCAAGTTCCCCATTCGCGCACAGGGAACCGCAGCAAAGTCGACCGCTTCTTCTGCCCCTTCTGCTCATCGTTCTGTGGGATCTCACCAGCGTCGGGCGCATCGGGATCATTCGAAAGTCTGCGGCGCTTTTTCGGAGGTCCTGATTCCCCATTGGGCCCCTGGGCGCCATCGGCAGATTGTGCTGTCGTCTGAGCTTTGCTGGCCTCGAGTTGGCGCTGCTTCTCAGCTTTGGCGCGTTTCTTTTCTTCCTTTTCGCGCTTGCGTTGCGCGATAATTGCCTCAGTTTCTGGGTCGTCGTCTGCCCAGCGCGACTGTGCAGACATTGTGGCTCGCGGGTGGAGGATGAAGGGTTAGGGTGCGGAATGACGTTTGGCTCTGGGGAACGAACGGGCCGAAGTGCAGCTCCGATTTGAAATCCAAATGGGTCCCCGCCAGTTTCTAGACTTTGCAACTGGAATGATCTTATAACATAGCGCTCGGTTTCTCTTCGGTTCCTTACCTTCAGCATACTTTCTCATTCTTTCTGCCTGATACCCTATACTCCCACTTCTGCTGTTGCCGGCGTCGGACCTACACCCCGCCATGATTGAGCCATTCCAGGTCGGTACTCGGCCTTCTGTCTGTCCCCTTGGCAATGCTTACTGACACTTCTTGTCCTCTCAGACTACATTCTCGGTCCCCATGACCTGTGATGGATGTGTTAAGGACATCTCCAGCGCCCTGTACAAGCTTGATGGTATGCGCCGCCCTCGGATACGATCGAGTGGCATCTCCCCGCAACAACCTTCTGACAGCGAAAAACTCTCCGTATAGGAATTAGCAATGTGGACGCCAACCTCAACGACCAACTCATCTTCATCGAAGGCACCGCGCCCCCGAGTTCCATCGTGACCGCCATCCAGGACACCGGCCGCGATGCGATCCTGCGCGGAAGTGGCAATACAAACGGTACTGAACTCCGCATATTGTCCTAAAAGACTCATCCTAATTGATGATCTTCCAGGCTCGGCCGTCTGCATCCTCGAAACACACAAATCTGTCGTCTCCAACAAGATCCGCGGCCTTGCCCGCATGGTCGAGGTCTCCAAGAACATGACCTTAGTCGACCTGACCGTCAATGGCATGGCTCCAGGCAAGTACTGGGCCACCGTCCGTGAAGCCGGTGATATCTCACAGGGTGCCGCCTCTGCCGGCGGCATCTGGGAGTCATTGAAGAACAAGGTCTTGGGCTCAAATGATGCCCCGCCTACGGAGAAGGAGCCGCGGGGTGTCTTTGGATCAGTGGATGTTGATGAGAAGGGTCGGGGCAATGTGTTCATGGACCGACCTGTTGCTATTTGGGAGTTGATTGGGCGAAGTATGGTGCTCTCCAAGACTATAGAGGGTCCCTTCAAGCGCGACGATGAGCATACCCTTGTGGGTGTTATTGCGCGTAGCGCGGGTGTGTGGGATAATGATAAGATGGTTTGCTCATGCTCTGGTAAGAATGTTTGGCAGGAGAGACAGGAGCAGGTCAGTCAGGGTATGGCTTAAGCACTATTTTGACCTTATCAAGGATGAAATATGGGGTGGTGTTTTGGGGTTGAGATTGGTGCAGGCTTCAAATACCCAGCATCACGCAATTCTTGGAAGTGCAGGAAAACTAGCTGGCGGGGGTCTTCGGGGAGCAGTAAATATGAATGAACGTGACAGATTATTAACGATTGGAATTGATCGGAATATCAGGGGAGGGACTAGCCTAGAAATATTAGTCCCCTTACTATATCGGATATCGAGAATCTAGTTTACATTACAGGTGGCTAAGCCGTATACTGGCAAAAGTTCTGCAGAAATAATTGCCTTGTATAACCGAGGGAGCACCGCATGATGCAGTTGCTTGGGGATCGGCACAGGGAGCAACGGGCGAATTGCACTTTCGGCAGTGGGGCTTGATCTACTGACAGTTCAACTCGGCGTTTTGGCTCCTTGTTCTTCAATCCTGTCTGGGGCCTAGATCGTACTTCTAGTAAATCCTGTCGGGTATTTCAGGTGTGCTGTAGCTAACCCTGGGGATGAAACATGGATAAACGAGAAAATCACCGTGAAGCTCGCATATTCTTGCTGAAGAGTTGGGTCTAGATCAGTGACTAAGAGGATCACGTGGGGCCGCCTCAAAGCATTTCACTTCCCCGCGACCTGACCATGACTTCAAACTATCGTTGGACTTGGGTCCTTGACGATACTCACTATGCTGGCGCCGAATCTCCAGCTAAACCCTCCACTGCCGAGTCCCCCCGTAGAGAAGACGCCCACATATCGCCCGGAAGAAGTCCCCTCCTGCGGAGGTCATGGGACCTACGAAATTCTCGAGGTAATTCGCTTCCTGGAACACCATGGGATCGAATGCTGTCTCGTCGGTGTTTCAGCGTTGATATTCTACGGTGCCGGGCGTGTCCGCAATGTAAGGTGTCTTGAATCAAGGGCCAGGCCGGATTGCAAAGCTGACGGGCTGCAGGATTGGGAACTTTGTATCCCCACCGAGAAAGTCGGCGACGCTGTCTCATTACTCAATTCTGGAGCTTTCTCCGACAAAATACACCCCATAGCTCCTCATCCGATTCCTCAGCCTTCTTCATTACACTACACATACCACCGATTCAAAGGGAGGGGCATCCACTTCTACTTCCTTATTGTTCCCTCTCATGATGCCCACATTCCATGCGGTCCATTCCGCATTCAACGGAGCTTAAATGGACTGCCCTACCCGACATTACCAGTTTTGATGCAGAGCTTCCTCGACATGAACAATGATGTGGCGCTTTGCGACTGTATCGACGGTTCCAATGTCTCAGAGCAATGGGGGTACGAGAACCTAGATCTCGATGGGTCCAACGATTTAGAGTGGACAAAACGGATGAACGACACAGCTACACAATCCGCTAAAGGGAAAGGGTGGCTGTTTATCCAGTATTTCCCAACACAAACCATCAGCCGTCGGGAGAAGTGGCAAAACCGAGTCCGGAGCAAGAAGGGCCGACTTGGATGGACTACGCCAGAAGATCTCTTCGAGACACGCTTCCGTCTGAAAGGCTCCCCGGATCCATGGACGCAGAAACTCATATCATGCTAAGTCAGGGCTCATGTTCAGTATTTACATCCCATTTACGATTAGATTTTTTATGAATATACGTCAAACACCAAGCAGTGTCTTCATATTTTCAACCTGCTCTGGGAAGGCCACATACGTCGTGGCATAATGTCTCCAAAAGTACCTTCGCTGTTCCAAGTCATAGTAGTCTCGTAGACTGGGTATTTGAGTCGCATATGTTGAGAATAAGAATTCCAGATCCAGAAAGTCGTTGCTGCCCTCGCCACCGCGCCGGGAGAATGCATCGAGCTTCGCATAGATCTGGAAGAAGAGCCCAAGCACCAAAACAGGTGAGCCCTGGGGCGTGGGCCAAACAGGCATAATGGATTCCCTCGAGGATCCGAGATCAACGGGTGTGCCAAGGTTCCCTTGCTCTTAAATGATTAGCACTATCGCCACCGCTATAAGTATACAAAAACTCACCGCTAATCACCACATCCATACTAACCGCCAAGTCCGGAATGTGAGGGAAGTCCTTATCAAAATTACGGCCGACATCAATAAAAATCTGAACTGAGGTTTTGCCGTGTATGGCCGGGAAATGTATTCTAAAGCACGTTAAAACCCTCTCTCTGGCAAATACGCGAATAGCCGAATTCGAGTAAAGGAAAGCAAGTACCGGGATTGTGCCATCAGGATCTCCCTCAGATGGTCCATGGTAGTCTTTACGGAGATGTCAATATCCCTCGTCGTACGGCTTCCGCCCCTTAAATATACGGCCCATCCTCCAATGAAAGCATACGTGATCTGGCTTTCTTCGAAAAGGGTCGCTATGAATCTACCAGCGAGACCCAGCTGCATGATTTCGGCCGTGTTGGACGGGTAATAGAGCTCCGCGAAGCGGTCAGTATTATAGATTTCGGCCATCGTGGGCGATCAAAGGGAGGGGAAACCATTTGCGATGGCGAATGAATGATTCTGTTGATTTGGGAGGGTTGGTGGAGATGGTAAAGGGGTAGGGGGGCTGTTGTCGTGCTCGGACGTTTTAAAGGAGGGGGAGGCGACTAGGTAATGCCGGTCGTGCTGTCGTGCTTGGCGACATCCTTGTCAGTTGACCGAGTGTATATATCAATGCGAGGAAAATCAGAGACTATGACTCCAATGGTTTCATCATGATTTTTTTCTTTTTTTTCCTGAATGTTTAGTAGCATTGCTGCACAATATCTACATTCAATTTTTGTGAAATTTGTCCCGAACTAAGCTTCCCCGCGATGTCATTTACTTCCGACTTAATTCCGAAGTATCAGCACGTTTCCGCCATAGCGACGTCGAACGTTGTAGGATCAGCAGAATGAGTCTTGGAATGGATGAGAGCTGTTTTGACTCAACATCAACAACTCGGTGCTATCAACTACCTGATCAGTAGTTCCCGGGTTGTTTATCTTCTGATTCATTTCCATCCAAGCTATGGACTGGCATCTTCGTTAAAGAAGGCCGGTGCGTCTCGTATTGACAGCGAATTTAAGTACATGGGAACTGGAATGACTGTGAATATTGTCATGGGGCACTCAAATACCATATCCGAGGTCATTTGGAGTCTAGCCGACACCTGTGAGATATGGAACCAGTATCGTCGGTAACGGTAATGGGGACGCCACGTATGATCGAAAGGAACAGTAGATGGGAGCTGTGTTGACTCGCAATTGGGAGAAAGGGAAGATCAGCCAGTTGGCTGCATGGCCAAGGCAAGGTTATTGTTTCTTGTACGCTAAGCTGGCGGTGTCTTTGTGGACGAATATGTGGCAGGTCAGGCCTACCAAGACTTTGAACTGAGTATGCTATGGACCAGCCTGTCAAGATGCTCATAGTAAAGGAAGGCGTTTGCGACGCACTTGCTTTGATTCCGATGGAATATAATCTGGTCAGCGGTTGATCGTAAGTTGAAAGAGGATAAGAAGCATTTCCCCGGTTCTGAGGGCAATGAACACTTTCGGGCATCCAAGATATAGATGACGATGCTCAGTTGACCCAGACAATCGACCATAAAATTGGCTTAGTGATAATACCATGATCTAGAGGTCCCAGAAATCACTTTTCTCATTTTCTTATTCTCTCATTACCACGGGTGGATCTTTGACTCCTGCATATTCTAAAATTAGTTCTGCCCATTGGGCATCGGAGCAAAGATACAGAAGGAGCGCCTTGCCGTCCAATCGTCAAGCCCGATGGCCGGATCCTTCGTGTGTCTTTATCAAAAATGTGAGCAGACCATGCGTCCGACCCCAATATCCCCCGAGGTCCCCGACACTATCACATCAAGCTTCCTCTTGACGGAAGATAATGTCCAATCGTATATTCAACGGCACAAGCGCACAGACAATGCCTCATTCAAGAACCACTTGGCTGCAAATCGCGATGGTATGCTGACCTGCACGGTTGACTCCGTGGACCGAACATGACAATGATGCTCACTATGAGCATAGATACGGGTTCTTTTGGGGGGTATCCATCTAAATATAAACAATCGCTACCAGATTTACCCCTGCTCATAGCGGAGTTGTTGCTCGCGATTAGACCTATGTGGGCTTATACGAACATCTAGTTCACGGTACTTTTGCTCACGAGTACCATTGCGCGCACCTGGCGATTCAGAGATGGACATCCACCTCAGTATCTCCGGTGAACCCAGTGACCCCACTCTTCACTCATCTCGCTCCCCTTAGGATCCATCCATTGATTCAGGATAACTAACGATAGTGGTCAACTGTTGAAATCTAATCAAAGCACTGCAAGCGCCGTGACGAGACGAAGAGCCAATAGTAAGCGCCCAAGCCACCTGGACAAGGGTACAGTATGTATTTTCCGACCCCCGCACCCTCGCACGTTGGCCCATGGATCCTCACCGCGGCCCGTTCGTCGAACCAACCAGTCTTCCATCATTTCCCCCTTTCCTATGGGTCTGATGGAGTCCGGGAAATCATGTAGAGATGAAATGGCCAATGTGCTCCCCCGCCTGGCCCTCTGCACCAAGCGGTGTGACAGGGGGTCTGCGACCTCAAGAGATGAAGTTGAAGAGCGTCTAGGGTCCATAGAATAGAGACACGAGATTCATCGGTCATGCAGGAGACTCGCGACAAAAACGCCCACTCACAGACGCGGTCGAACGAAAGCTGGGACGGGGCGTTTTGATTGATCGCATCGTGCAGAAGTGCTGCAGGTGCAACGCAAGTTATTCTTGGGCCGTCACCTTCCCCTCGGCGCTTCCCAGTGGTCGTTCCCAGTTGGTTTGGACAAGCCCCCTCTCCTGCATGCTTGGCCTGCACTTCCATCTCTTCCCCTTTTCTTCTTTTCCCATCTTCTCTCCGATCCTAGCCTCGGTGTCTGCCACTCCGGGCCCTCGCACCGTGATCGGAGGTCCCCTCGATTGCCGGTCCCTTGTCACCCGGCTTGTAGGTATCGTGTGGTTCTATAAATACATTTCGAACGGATCGATTACCCCTCGGACGGCACGAGCCATCGGTATAGCTCCAAAGTTCCAAGTTCACAGTATCTCCCGTATCGTATCCGCCACCAACTCGCCCCCGCCACTCAGTTCCTGCCTTGGCGGAGTCTGACATCTACCCATCACATTGGACCCGGTGCAAATTGCTGTCGCTTATAATACCATCGGCTTGCCCACGCTAATTCTCTCCGCGTGACTTTCCGACTTGCTCCAGATCTGGAATCCTTGTGCCTGGGTAACCTGAGTGGAAGCTGTCTTGAATCACTTCCTTTCGGTTAGCCCATCAAGGCACAGGGGATACCAAAGTATTGTATGAGGATACGATGTCACTCAAGCAGGTAAGGATATAGACTGGCCGACTCGGAGTATGCGACTGATTCCATTCTAGGAAATCGAAACATGGGTCCAGGCTCTGGAGGCCTATGACAACCAGGAGTTTGAGGAGGCACTGCGACAGTTTGACCAGATCGCCGATACCTCGAAGATCTTTTTCAATTGTGGCGTGATATATGCGACCCTCGGCGAGCATGATAAAGCAGTATGTCTCGAATCGTCCAATCGATCAAGCAAGTGACTTACTTCAAACATAGGTGGAATGTTATCAACGAGCTGTCGGCTTGGATCGGTACCTCGCCATTGCTTACTTTCAGCAGGGTGTTTCTAATTTCCTGCTGGGTGACTTTGAAGAAGCATTGGCCAATTTCAACGACACTTTGTTATATCTCCGAGGAAACACATCGATTGACTATGAGCAGCTCGGTCTCATCTTTCGTTTGTATTCATGCGAGGTGCTGTTCAATCGTGGCCTCTGCTATGTCTATCTCCGACAGATGGGCCCTGGGATGCAAGACCTAGAGTATGCAGGAAAGGAGAAGGTCACGACAGATCATGAGGTGATCGACGATGCCATACGTGAGAACGCAGAGGTACGTCTTGGAATCTTGAACATCGGATTCCCGCTAACTGAAAGATAGGGGTACACCGTGTTCTCCATCCCTGTGGGTGTCTTGTATCGTCCCAATGCCGCTAAAGTCAAGAATCTCAAAACCAAGGATTATCTGGGCAAGGCCCGACTCGTTGCTGCATCTGATCGCACACAAGGTGCAGAATCTCAATGGAGACCTATAGTAATAGATAAAACCGCTCTCGATGAGCGTGAGGGGATGTCTTTTGCCGCTACCAATCTGGTCCACAAGAACTTGAGCAGCCGCACTCGTCAACAATCAGAACCTCCATTAAACCGCAACGTGTTCCCACCAACCCCGCCACCAGACGACCGATCAACAAACGGATCCACAGCAGGAGGATCACTACACCACCGATCATCATCTCTCCGAGCAGCGCGACCACCTCGACTAGATCTAGATCGAACAGGAGCGGGCTTGGATCGTCGATCCGGACAACAAGGGAATGGGCCTCCAGGCCCAGAGAAACCACGAATCGGTACCACACGGACTGCATCAGAGCCCCGAGGACCGACAATTAGGCATCAGAATATGCGAGGCTTCGCCCAAGACTCCAGTCGAGGAAACTGGCCCCGCGACCCGGGAGGACACCGACGCAACCTTAGTGACACCAGTTGTGCGACAGACCCCAACCCCCCCCAGACAGAACCTTACAATACATATTCAACCCCCCAAAGCCTATCAAATGCAGGCTGGGGTCGGGGAGGCCGACACCAACCACCACAATTCATCGACGAAGAAGATGAGTACGGCAGCGACGTATGCGACGGTGAGCCCCTAAACGGCGGAGGCTTCGAGATAGTAGCAGCTGCTCCAGGAGGGCCCGGGTCGTCCCCTTCACAACAACGACGTACGCGATCACCAGCGCGGTTCTCACGACGCGCCAACTCACGAAGGCCTGAAGTTCGACGTTTCCGCACCAAGGTACATGCTCCCGACGATATTCGGTATATCATGATCGGGCCGATGGTTGATTTCTCCGAGTTTGAGAATCGCATTCGAGAGAAATTTGGCTTCCAGTGTCCGTTGAAGATGAAGGTGCAGGATGATGGTGACATGATTACTATGGTGGACCAGGAGGATCTGGAGTTGCTGCTCAGCTCAGCCCGGGAGGTTGCTCAGAGGGAGGGGAGTGAAATGGGCAAGATGGAGGTGAGTTCTTTCTGCTTTCAGCTCTTTACACTCTGCTTGAGATCGTGCTAATGGTTATAGGTCTGGGTGGAAGAGCGGTCCATGATCTAGGTCTGTAGTATTGGGGTTCTTGGGCATTCTGGATAGCATTTGGATTTGATTATACCCTTTGGATTAGCATGGAAATACAGTGAATATGATCTATAGACCTGAAATCGCAAAGATTCCTGGATTTATAAATATCCCAATCCTATAGTTTAAGGTACCTCAGAGCCAACCAATTGCGGTGACGACTGTTGACGGCTCCACCCTCCAACTCCAACGCCAACTCCGCTTGTACACATCGTCACATCTTCCCTCAACACCTTCCCTCCCCCCCGCGCACACACACACACAATGACCGATCTCACACCCACCCTCAATCAACTCCTCTCCGTCAAAAATGGCCCCCAGGTCCCCACCTCCCGCCCATCCCCGGAAATCGCCGACGAGTTCCTAAAGGAGGCATATCGCATCGTCAGTGCCAACATCAAACACCCCCCAAAGACCCAAGCTCACAAACCCCAGAACTCGCACATCAGCTCCCTCCTAAAATATCTTCAAACAATCCGCCACGCCTACCTAACCACAACGCCCCAACGGCGCCCTCAACCCCAAAATCACGACCGCCACCCCTCCCAAACCCACCTAACCGACCCTGAGCGCGACTCCATCGACTCTTCAACAGCCCTTCTCCTCCGCGACCTAGCAGCCTCGATCTCAAACCTCTCCTCCGCCGAATCTCTCCGCCAATCAACCGAATCGCAAGTCCTGCGCAAGAAATACGGACACAGCGCCGCGGGCGAACTCCTCTGGCGCTGGGCTGGCGGCGCAGGAATCGGCGAGGAAGACGAAGGCAAGTCCGGGGAACAAGTTTTTGCAGAGGAGCGCGCGAAGACAGTTGCGACTGTGCGCGAGGGCGTGCTTTGGTTTTTGAGGACGGGGTTGGAGGGCGCGGCGAGTGTGCAAAGGGAGATGGTTGAGAAGAGGATTGAGAGGATTAGGGAGAAGGAGAAGAGTGTGTTGTATAAGAATGCAGGGTCTCAGGCTAAGGCTCAGGCCTCGAGTGTGGGGGAACAATACGGGCCACCAAAGATATCGCGCCTGGCTTCATCGACGCCCGACGCGGTGGCTCTCAGTGAGGTTGATTCGAGGCAGATTGAAGCGCAGCTTTCGCCGGAACAGTTGCAGCTTTTTGCCGAGGAGAATGATTCTATGCTTCGGCATTATGAGGATACGCTTGGGAAAGTACAGTATGTTTCTATTCTGGTCTTGATCTGTTTTAATCGGGGGGTAGGGTTTATACTGACCTGGTGCTAGGAACGCCGAGAAATCGCTTATTGAAATCTCGTCGCTGCAGGAAACTCTCGTTACCCATCTGGCTACGCAAGAGGAATATATCTCGCAGCTTGTTAGTGATGTCGATCTGACCCAGTCGAATGTGGGACGGGGAAATCGCGAGCTCAAGCGCGCGACTGAGCGTAAGAGTACGGCGCAGGCTGTGTTCTGGGGAACGGTGGGGCTGTGTACAACCCTTGTGGTGTGGGATTTGGTCTTTTGATTGCATACAGCGCATGCATTAGGTTATACGGTGCGAGGATTGTATATGCATACCCAGTCTCCTCTTTTATTTTCATCTCCTATCTCCCTCTAGTATACTTTTCTCAAAATAATCTACGGAAGCAACAAATCGGACGAAAAGAAGTCAGACGTCGAAACATATAGAGTATTACCGAAAAGCCCTAAATATTGGTCTACCATAATCAAATCCGATCCAAGCCCGTAGATCTACATGTCATGCAAAGCCCCGGACCCACCGAGGAAAGATAGTCGAACAAGCAGAGAATGGGTAATTCCATCAGCCATGGGAAAGTGTAAATAAAAGAAAATGAAAGAAAAGGAACGCCGATCCGGGTTGTCTAAAGAACAACTATGCTTCGCGGACGACGCTGTCAATAGCCTCGGCGAAGTAGTCGATGTTATTTGTGTTCAAGCCTGCCATGGAGATACGGCCGTTCTTGGTCTATATCAATTAGCGATTGTCTTTGATGTAACGGTACCAAAGGGGGGGGGGGGGGGTAAAGTGGAACTTACCATATAGACATGCCACTTCGACCGTAGCGTCATCACCTGCTTCTCATTCAGACCAGTAAAGCTGAACATGCCAATCTGGCTGGTAATGTGATCCCAGTTACCAGGTGTACCCTTGGCAATCAATCGCTCACGCAGACCACGGCGCATCTCCTGGATCCGACCACTCATCGTACGGAGATCCTCCTCCCACTGCGCAAAGAGCACAGGGTCATTAAGGACCTTGCTAGCAATACGGGCGCCATACGCGGGCGGGTTCGAGATCTCCGAGCGCTGCAGGATAGCCAGCTGGCTAGCGATGTTTGCATTTGCAACGGAGGCGTCGGCGCCGGGGGCAGAGACAAAGTGGAAAGCACCGGTGCGCTCGCCGTATAAGCCGAAATTCTTAGCGAAGGACTGGGCAACGCAGAGCTCGAAGCCCTGCTCGACAAAGTAGCGGATGGCCCATGAGTCGCGGACTAGATCGCCGGATGCAAAGCCTTGGTAGGCTGTGTCGAAGAAGGGGAAGTGGTTGTGCTCGCGCATGACCGAGGCGATCTGCTTCCACTGGTCCTGGGTGGGATCGACGCCGGTGGGGTTGTGGGCACAGGCATGCAGGAGGATGACGGAGCCGGTCGGCGCTGCCTGCAGCGCTTGCAGCATACCATCGAAGTCGAGACCCTTGGTCGTTGGGGAGAAGTAGGGGTAATCGGCGAGTTTGAGGCCGACGTTGGTAAAGATTTGCTTGTGATTGGCCCATGTTGGGTTGGAGAGGTAGATGGAGGGCTTCTGCGGGTGGAACTTGGAGAGGAAGAGGCCGCCTAGGTGGACGGCGCCGGTTCCCGAGATGGTTTGCAAGGAACAGATCTAAGGCGGATGAGTTAGTTTTTTGGTGCGCCTTTTGATTTGAGAGGCTGGAGGTGGCCGGGCTCGCATCGACTTACCCGTTTCTCGCGGATCGCAGGGCTATCAGCGCCGACGATGAGCTTTTGTGCCGCGGAGGTGAAATCGGCCAAACCGCCGATGGAGAGATACTCGTGGTTCAAGGAAGGGTCGTTGTGAATGGCATCATCGGCCTGGCGTCGTTAGCAGGGCGCAATTGACAGATGGAAAGAGAGAAAGCGAGAGCATACCTTCTTGACGACGGGCAAGATCCAGGGCTTCGCATTGTTGTCGCGATAGGCACCGATACCCAGATCGACCTTTTTATCGGAAGGGTCTTCGCGGTAGGCTTTCATTAAACCGAAGAGGGGATCTTCGGGGGCGGCAGCGACATTGGCCGCGGTGAAAACGGAAGGATTGGAGGCGCCCATGATGTGATTGTTGATGGATGAAAGACGGTCGCGCGCAGAAGAGGGGGGGAGCAGGGGAGTTTTGAAGCTGACGGGTCATGTTGTCTGGTGTTTGGTCTTTCCCCGGAATCTGGCCACCGAAACCTTGCTGCTTGCGTTCACCGGATGAGGAGGAATGAGGGGGTGGAGACGGACGGTTAAATCAGGTCGCAGTGATTGTCAGCTGCAGCTATAGTAAGTAATGTAGTAATGTAGTAACGAGAACGAGTATCTAGGTAATGTTTGGAATTCGTACGGTTTCTTCATTATATACGTCTCCTTCATCTTCGGAAGCTTTCAACGAGCCGAGGAACTTCCGTAAACTCTTCGTCGTATGACGAGTGGAGTTCACATGCTGTTGCCGCATGTGCCACTACGGTCCTGTCTATTACAAGTGACAAGTGACAAGTGACAAGGGACAAGTGACAAGTCACTAGATACCAATTACCAGCGACTGAAAATGACTCAAATTACCCGGTAAACCAAAATCCCACTCGGTGAAAAACGTGGCCCGCAGACGCCGACAGGGCCACACGCGCCGCGAAGCATCAAATGTGTCATACAACGCCGAAGGAAAAAGGCGCAAAGTGGGCCCTTCTGGAATGGTCTGGTTTGGCAACTGGCAACTTCACACTAACTACACTCGCCCTAGCTCTATCTCGGGCTATTCTCTCACCCTCATGCGGAGCCGCGTTTTCCCCCTCCCTCCGATCTCCCTTGGGGTTGGCCCCCCCCCCACGAGGAGAACAGGCGACTCCAACTTGAAGCCCTATGCCCTAAACTAACAAAAGTAGAGTAGTCACCCGCCCAAGACCAAACTAAGAAAGACGATCTCGGACTCCGCAGGGGGAAAAACGGAAATCCTCCGACCACGGGCCTTGCCCCGATAATTCATGATGTCAAGGTGGTTCTCGCACGGCGCTCCGGGTCTTGGGCCTTGGTCTGGGGTCTTGGACCATCACTTGGGCACCGTCACCACCCTGGCAAAATGCACCCCGAACTCCACCTGTTTCGCCTGTTTCCCCCACGTCTGCCAAGATGTTGATCATTACTGGGGGCCCCCCGTAGGCGTAGCGATTTCCCGTCCGGCTCGACTTGCCTGGTATTATAATTGATAGATTTGCACTTATCCGGTCATTCGGGAAGGATATGTCGTCGCATCGAGGGCCCCGAATTGAGTTTGCAAGGGTGGAAGTTGAACATAGTGAAGAGGACGTTTACCTCGGGCGGATATAGAATTCTGGGGTTGACTCTGGTTTGGTCTACAGTCGCTGGGTCATGTCAGCATTTGAGTATATATTTGATTCACAATGGGAGCTACAACACCCTATATCTCAATATACATGGCGTATGTGCAAGAATGAAGAAAATAGAAAAAAATCACAAGAATATAAAGGAATGGCTCTTTCCCCTCCAAGTCTCATAAACGCCGTTTGTGCCATAATCCCTCTTCCCAAGTCATAGAAAATCACCAACGCCAAAAAAGAAAAAGGAAAAAAAAAAAAGCCGTTCATAAATAATCACATAAGAATTTCGTCTCGCAAATTCCAGATTCACGATCAGGAGGGTCTCATAAATCATGTCGACTCCGGTGCCGTGTGCGCCGGTGCCGGGACGGTCGGGGTCGTGGTACCACTTTCGCCGGGGCTGGTGGTCTCGACGCCGTGAGCACGCGTGCGAATGCGGAAGCGCTCGCGGAGACGCGTGGCTAGGCGGTTGCGATTGGGGCGGGACGCCTCGTCGGTCGCCTGATCCTGGTTTGCTTCGCGGACGCGGCGCAGTGCGGTGAGGCGCTCTTCGACGCTGGCGTGGTGCATGCGCCGAGCGTTGAGATAACCTGTTAGTCGGTGGCCGTGGCGGCCTTGGATTGCATCGGCTGAGGTGCCGTCTGCTGCGGTTTCTCCGGCGTTTTCGGCGTTTTCACCTTCCGGATGTTCGGCGTTCTCTCCTTCCTTGGCTGGGTTGAGGTCGATACGGCTGGAGATGGGGTTAAAAGGGGATTGGGTGATATTGCAGGAGATTGGGAACGTACCAGAGAGGGCATGTGCCCGACACATTCATAAGCCAGGGATCGACACACTCGAGATGGAATTGATGGTTACAGGGGAGTACACGCAGGTCCTGACCCTTGACAAAGTCGTCGGTACAGATGGGACACGAGAAGTTGCCCGCCTCGGTTGCGTCAGTCTTTGGCTCAGGAGCCGGGGTCGGTCGGTCATCTTGCTGCTCGGTAGTCTCCATCTCGGTCTCACGGGGAGTCGTTTGGGCGGCGACATTCTCTTGAGAGTTGGCCGGGGAATGCTCATGATTGGGGTCATCCGATCTGGCCATCTCGATATCTCGCTTGGCGGCGTCCACACCATCGTTTTCGTTGAATTTGACGATGGGTATCGTTTCGAGCATGGCACGTGCAATGCCTCTCGCTCGACTTTGTCGAGGCCGACCGACAGTTCGGCGAGGGCCGTACCGCTCAGGATGGCGATGGGCACGGACAGCGCCCGTGATGATAATACCCAAGAACAAAGCGGTGATGATACCCGTAATGCTGTATAGGATGATCATCGCTGCGACATCATGTTAGTATACTACCCCAGATGACATCAAATGAAGACGAACCAGTGTTTGGACTGTTACCGGTGCCTCCGCCCGTGTCGGTACTGTTGGTATAGCCGGATGGATTGATGGTCGCCATGGCGATGATGTTAACAGTCTTGTTGGGGGAATTGAAGGTCTCTTGCAATGCGGTGATGGCCGTCGAATTATTCCCGATCAGCGTAAAGACGTAGCGAAAAGACTCGGCGGTACCATCGGTCGAGAGATTGCAATGGGTGGCCGATTCACTGTAGAGGATGACGGCGGCAGGATCCTGGCCGATAACGTAGTCGAGCGTCTGGCCGGCGTCTAAGTTCCCGGAGTAAAACGACGGATCGCACGGAATGCAGGCAATCTGCGAACTCTGCAATCCAAATGGATTGACGGAAGTGACTTCTTTGACGGCGCCCGAGATATCAAAGGCCTACAGGCGGAATTAGCGGGAGTGCAGGAAGCAAGCAGTAGTTCAGAGCCACCTTTTGCTGGGCGTCCGTCAGCTGGAGAAGAGATTGGGTGAGCGGGGCAAGATGCTGGTTGTCGAGGTGGCTGGAACCCCAAATGCGGAAGTAGGACGAAGTAGAGAGGGAATTGTTAGATGGCAGCACTTGAGTGTCCGCCTGGACCGCGATGAGGAAGAGGAGGACAGGAAGGAGCCTCATAACCGCGTACGGGAACGGACGGATGTGCGTGGGGTGGGCACACATTCGAAGAGAAGACGTGGAGCGTGGAGCGTAAGAAGAGCGGAGGTGGAGTTGGCATAAAAAAGGGCCGGAAAACAGGGAAAAGAGGGGAGAGCTAAGACCGATCGTAGTATGGATCCCCCGTGGAGATGGAGCAGATCCAAGCGATCATGACGATGGGGTTCTACTTGGGCGTCCCATTAGGGAAGTTCAGGCGGGTGGCTATGGATCCTGATCGGCTGCTCCAGACGCGACACATTACCTACTATAGGATAGAGCGTCGAGATAGTGATAATCAAAGGACGGTGTCATGAATCCATCACTTGACACTCTGGAGATTGAACCGGGGATCCACCGGCCGAGGTCCGCGTTGGTTGGTCTCACTCGATCTCGTTCTCGTATCATCCGTGAACTTATGGTTCGACCTTCACAGCCCAGTAAGCCGGGCTGAAAGGTATGCCTCTTATAGGAATGCCGTGTCCGACCTACAGCACAGCACAGTAGACCTAGGTATGGTTCCCCTCTGACCCGGTTTCACGCAGATCTTCAGCCCCGCAGGCACCGTGAAAACTTTGACACATGGATCGACCAAGCCCCCTCTCTCTCCCCCTTACAAAGACCGCTGCGAGTCCCAGGGGTGGTCCAGTCGAAGCAAATACTCAGTATTGTAGCTCCAACTGGGCTGCCGCCAAAATTGAACCTCATCCCTCTCGCATTCCTATCTGCTTTCCTCAGAAACCTAGAATGGTAAAAGCCTTCGAACCTAGTATCTGAGAACCTAGGGACCTAGAAACCGAAGAACCTAAGAAATCAAATCTCCCGCTCTCTCCCCATCCCCATCCCCATCCCCATATCCATATCCATATCCATCCCCGAACCCCCATCCACAGGTACCTAGGTACCTAACGACCCAAGTACGAGGTACCTGGGTACCTACAAAATACACGGGAATCTCTTCCTGGGCCAAGCAGGGCCCAGGCCACGTACCAGTTGATCACGCACGGTGATTTGCGGACTGCTCGGTGGAGGGGGGTCGAGGCTCTCATCGACCGGCGTACAAGTGAAAAAGAATGTCCTTACCTATGTATTAATAGTACCTTTTTTTTTTTCCTTCTGAGTTGCTTTAGGGAGCGGCTGCACCCGCACTTCGGTCCTTTTCATCTCTCTCCTAAGATCCTTCCCTTCTCCTCCTTCTTTTCCCCCTTCAGATCGGCACTCCACCCTTATCCACCCGGTCATGACAGTCTGAACTTCCACCTTTCCCCCCCTCTTCGTAGACTCTCGAGGGTGGCCTGTTTAGGGCCCCGATGCGTCGCAGCATGCCCTCCGAGTTGCCTGCTGCCCTGATCGTCCAGGGTTGGAAGCCCGTCTCATCGTAAGTCGCGTGCGGAGCGGGATGAAAATTCAATCTAACAAGTTTCGTGAAGAAACCCTGCCATCGCCGACCTTGACATCGAACACACCGAACTCGCCCAGACGTGGAGGTCCTTTGTCCGACATCTGATACCCGAAGATACCGTCGAGTGGGTGGAACGACCCCAGACTTCGCAGGATGTCCAGGCCCTGGTGCGCAATCTCCAGTCCCTATGGGCATCCCAACCGCGCCATCGGGTCTTTCGGTTCGCCTCATCTCTCTGCGACCGATTCATCCCCACCGTTGAAACACACGCGACCTTACTCGCCACCCTAGCGGATTCCGATTCCTATCATGGCCCCCTTTTCTACGGTGCTCTCCAATCTGTGCTCAAGGTGGGTTCGATGCACTTCCTCGGGTATCGTGACAGCCCGCTGATTCTGGCATTTTCCGCGTTTTAGGCATCAGCAAACTACCCCAGAGTGATGGAAGGATTACTCACAACCCTACTTAATATACATAGTGCGCTTGCCCCACTGGCCGACCGGGTCTCGTCCGTAAGCGTGGAGTCGATCGCGAAACTATACGCCCTAGTGTTTTTCCTCCTCACCGAGTTCATGGATTGGTACGTGAGGAGGTTTACGTGCCAGCTGCTCCCGAGTCATAGCCAGGATCCCTACACCGAGTTCAACCACCTGGTCAGTTGTATCCAACGACAGGCCAAGGCCGTCGAAAGCTCATCCGACTCGATGGATGTGGACGAGGATTCCGACGCAGCATATAGCCCCCGTGCCCTTTGGGAAGACTCCCAACTGAGTCAGGTGGGGCGTCAGGGGACAGAGCGTCGGATTGCGGCCCAAAACACAATAACTCGGCGGTTGATTTGGGAAATCCAACAAGATGCGGAGGAGCGCACTCGCATTCGAGAAACACGGGATCAGCTGCTGGTGCAGATGGTCGAAGCTGTCAGCCAGCAACTGCGTCCTGTCAGTGAGCAGAGCAGCGGCATAGTCTGTTTGACGACCGCAGCCCCAGACCTAGGTAGGCGGATATGCCCCAAACTCGCTGTTGAGCGACCCCGTTACTGACTCTTTACCAGTCACATCATCCTTCGAATGGTCCCGAGGATCCAAACGACGCCTCGCCCGACTCGAGCTTCAAAGCGCCTCCAAGCACCTCCAGGCATTCTTCGACAGCGACGACCAGATCGCCGACCTCCCCAAAGAGGTCCTTGCTGAAACCAGTGTGATCACCTCTCTGCAGAAATGGGCCAGGAACCCGCGGTCTCAGGCCCTCGCGGTAGGCGGGTCCCAGGAAACAACAGCCCCCAGCCCCGTGGCTCTTATCTCAGCCTGCTATAGTGTTTTCGCCCGACGGTCGCAACTGCCCGTAATCTCCCATTTCTGCGCTCTCCCCGCCCACGGAATACAGGGTGTCACCCCTCACCAACAAGGGCTGATTGCCCTCACCTACAGTCTAATTCGCCAATTGATCGATTCTCTTCCGAGTGTGGTCGACAGCGATGCTTTGTTAGACCTCAGTGCAGAACGCTTCCGCATGCTGGATGGAACAATGTCCAGCTGGAAACCTGCCTTGGCACTCGTTGATACCCTCCTCCACTTCCTACCGCCCTTACTTCTCCTTATCATCGATGGCGTTGACACTATCCACGACTCCTCCACGGACACCGAATTACGCGACTTGATCCGTGTTCTCCTCACCCACACCCGGCATCAGCCCCAATCTGCTTCCAGTGGGGGCACGGGGCCGATGTTTCTATTCAAGGTCCTCTTCACTGTTGCTGGGAGACCCAGCGCCTTGGTAGAAACCATGTCGGAGAACCAACTAGTCCTCACCGATGCGAGCCAGACGGACGAACTCACCCCATCCGATGCGGTCCTGACCTCGGACCTCGGAGCGGTCATGATGAACGCATGATCATGAACCGCCTGGCCCGCTTGACGAATTTCCTTATTTATTCCTCAAAAGGAACCTCTTGATTCCAACATAGATTTGCACTGCAAGGTTGGGCTACGAGGTTTATCACGATGCATGAGGTACACGAAGCAACGGCGACAACTTGTGCGATTTTGTTGTTATTTTCTCGCTACTTGCATGGGATTGGACTGGTGATACTCTTCGTTTTCTGTTGGTGTTGTGCTATGGCTATTGCTCTTCTGGCGTCCGGCATCGGGACATATCTATAGGCTCCGGCTCGTGCTTTTTCTGCTTTTTTTTTCTGCCATTCAGCGACCTGTGGTAGACCGCTGTACTATACTGCTTGCTCGCTGTGATACCCTTTTAGAACTAATGCTATTCACTCGGAAACTGAATTCCGGCTTGCATCGCCCACTTCCCATTTCCATCCCAAGCCCGAAATTCACCGAATCAGGCCTTTTTGGCGATCTAGAGCGGGTCTCGTAGTCGGTGGGAAAGGGTCGAAGGGTGCGGGGGCTTTGATGGAGATTGAATTCCGCCTCAGGACACTTAAATGGCCCGAGAGTTCGAAGCGTGCAGACTCATAGTATAATAATTCGAAACAATGAATGGCCACGCTTCCCTCCCTTCACGTCTCTATCAAGCCGAGTCAGTCCGGCTCGACGACTTCAAACAGATCTGCTCGCGCTCCATTGATAAATCCACCTACCCACTGGCCTGTGCCGTGGAGCGCAATGTCCCCATCTATGACCTCGCCGCCCTCGAGGCGCAGCCAGTGACAGCCGAGACCCTCTCGCTCCTGCAAGATGAATGGCATCACATCCTGCACAGCGGACCCGGCATATTTGTCCTACAAGGGATGTATGCACCCACCCGGTACAGCAACATCCTCTCCGCCACCAACGTAGCCTTCGACCGAATCATCGCTAAAGAGCGTGCCTCCAACGTATCAAAAGGCGACCACTTCGCCGCGGGCGACACCAACGACCGGATCTGGAACGCTTTCCAGAAACACGGCGAAGAAGATCCCGCCTCCTTCCTTGCCTACTACTCCAACCCATGGCTAGCTACCGTCTGCGACGCCTGGCTCGGCCCAGGCTACCGCGTCACTGCACAGGTTAATGCAGTTCATCCAGGCGGTGCAGCCCAACAGGCCCACCGCGACTACCATCTCGGCTTCATGGAAACGGACACCTGCGTGCGCTACCCGGCTCCAGCGCAATTGACCTCCCAGTTCCTGACGCTGCAGGGCGCCGTCGCGCATACCGACATGCCTGCTGATAGTGGTCCCACCCGTTTCTTACCATTCAGCCAGACCTACGCACCAGGATATCTCGCCTGGCGAAGACCCGAGTTCCGCGCCTTCTTCCAAGAGAACTATGTCGCGCTCCCACTCAACCTAGGAGACGGCGTCTTCTTCAACCCAGCCCTCTTCCACGCCGCAGGTGCAAACACAATGTCCCCATCGAACGGCTTCCGCCGCGTCGCAAACCTCCTGCAAATAAGCAGTGCATTCGGCAAACCCATGGAAACAGTCGACTCTCTCCCTTTAGTAAATGGGACCTGGGATCTATTATCTAAGCGCTACGCAGATGCGGGGACACTCGCAGACGCGGATTTGGATCCGGGCCGATACTCGCTTGCGCAGCGCGAGATCAAGGCGTTCGTGCAGGCTGTTGCGGAGGGGTATCCTTTCCCCACAAATCTAGACCGAAGACCGCCTGCGCCGAGTGGGATGGCGCCGGAGAGTGAGCAGGATCTTCTGGTGCGGGGTTTGGAGACGGGTTGGAGCCGTGCGCAGGTCGTTGCCACTCTCGAGGAGATGCGGAAGGATGCGAGGGCTTAAGCTTAGCTTGACACATGTCCAGGGTGCATGTTGAGGGCGTGAGCGGCCAGTTGGTTTTTGATGGGTGCTCTTAGCGGTTGTACATATATGTGTGTGAACCTTGCGGGGTTAGACATGGCATATGTTTCATTGGTTTATAGGAAGGGCCGGGGGCACCTGGGGTACATTGACACGGCCGGGTGGTGTTGGATGCACGCTTCTAAGTCTAGCCTGATTCGGTGAGTTATTATGCATTCACGTTTCATCACAATCCACCGTGTCCGATGTCCAGATTGAAGATCCAATACCAGGAAGCCAATAGCTAGCCAGTAAGCTAGCCACCTAGCACATCTGGGCGAGTATAGACAAGTATCAATCTACGGATATACCGGGAATTTGTGAATCTAAATGGGTCAGTTTTCCGGTGTTGATGCGTTGTCCAGCACTGGAGGTGGACACCTGAGTGCTCCACCTGTATCTAGTTATGCCCTAGGGTACACGAATATGCCAAGAATGAGCCAAGTTTTTTGGTAAGAACTAAAAAACAGACAAACATATGACCCAAGGCCTGTGGAGTAAACCAAACAATGAAATCATGCTGAAATCATTCAACAACGCAATAAATGTTACCTCCCAGAACGGCCGTCGAGGTCCCCCAGGGCGGGGCTCCAAGTCTTTATTTGGGGGTTCCAGACGTCATCTATGCCCTGTCCTTATTAAGGGACCACGCGAGACGCCCCCTAAATCCCAAACAGCCGGACTTTTACACCGGATCGGAGACTAAGAGACTACCTAAACTGTACTTAGAACAAGTGTCCCCATCTGGGCCGTGCTGGGCCTGTCGAACGCTACCCCTAGCCATCTGGACCCCCTGTGATCGGGACGCCACCGGGGGCATAAACGGGCTGCGATTCGCCGGACCCGTTGTACGCCCGGTGGGGATCGGCGGGACCTGCATCCTGTAGACGGTCGCCAGAGTCGACGGGAGTGGCAACTTTTAGAGCCGTTTCCCCTCAGGTACGCGTACGGATTCTAGCTAAGTATAGCTCTAGAGATCTGTCGTTCATACTACTCCATCGTCGATAGTGCTCATTGCTAGTCTCGAAAATACGAAGGGTCTAGCAAAATTGCAGGAAAATAACAATAATGCACTGGAATGCGCACACTGCCATAGTGGGCCTCAAACCGCGAAGAATGGCTGTCTCACATTTTTTTTGGCTTTGCCATGGTGAAACATGGCTTTGTGTTTTTTTTCGTCCCCTGCACGCGTAAACTGCCTTAAACTGAAGCTGAGCTGAGCTGAACATCCTGCACTCTGGGTTTCTTCTCGAACAACCTCGGTCTTTGCCGATCCAATCTCCACCGCGCTGTCCTTGCGCCGCTCTCGAGCCATTGTGAGTGATCGACTCCAACCGAAGGCGAATAGTGGCCCGGCAGACAGAGCCTAGCGAGACAGGCAGTCAACAGGCGCGAATTCTGGGTCTTCCAGCACGCCGTGAGGGGGAAAATCTGGCAGCGCAGCCAGTGAATTTTTCTGTCCCTCAGGCCTTTCTCCACCACGGGCCCATAATCGAGCCAACCAGTTTTCAGGATCGATCTAAACTGTCACAACGTTCCTTTTAAAAGGGCGGACTTCCCCCGCCGCCCGTCCTTCAAGATGAGAAGTCGCTTGGGGATCAATGCCAAGCGATCTTCGAATCACCGATTTGAGCAGATTCCTGATCTGCCTCACGACAAGATGAATCCCAACGACGCGACCATCGACATTCCTTTGACCGAGACTCAGAGCAGGAGCCAGAATGGCGCCCGCAAATGGGGCTCGAATTCCAACACTATCGCTGCGGAGGACGGTGAAAAGGTTCCCCTTCATACTGGCCCTGGCAAACGTCGTCGCACCGATATCAATGACTTGACGGGTAAACCGGCAGCCTCGCCCGAGGACGGATCCATTAATCGGCTGGGCCGCATCTACCAGGCCGTCTACAATTTCTCTATCGTCACTCGTTATATGATCTATGTTATTCCCATCGGTCTTCTGATTGCTATTCCCATGATTGTGGGCGCCACTGTTGCGCAGGACGCTTATATCGGTGGCGTTCACCTCTACTGGTTCTTCACCTGGATCGAGGTTGTTTGGGTCAGTTTGTGGGTGTGCAAGGTCTTCGCCAAATTTATTCCCTATTTTTTCCAAACCCTCTGCGGTTTCGTCAGTTCGGGTACTCGCAAGTATGCTCTTATCCTGCGCGCCCTCGAAACCCCAATTACCATTGTACTTTGGTGTGTTGTCTCGCTGGTGACCTTCCTTCCGGTAAGATTCTCGCTACCCTCGCTCTTATTCGAGTCAAATTTGCTGATTCAAACCTCTAGATTATGCGATATGGAGTCGATAATAGCTCCACCGTCGGGTCCTGGGAGAAGAGCGTCAAGAACATCCTCTTCGCGTTGCTTGTCTGCAGTTTGATCTTCTTCGCCGAGAAGGCTCTTGTCCAGCTCATCTCCATCAGCTACCACCGAAAGCAGTTCGACTCCAAGATCAAGGAGTCTAAGCGCAATGTCTACCTCGTCGGTCTCCTCTTCGAGGCTTCGCGTAACATGTTCCCCATGTACTGCCCCGAGTTTGCTGAGGAGGACACCACCATTCTTGATCCCCTCCTGGGCCAGGTCGTTGGCAATAGTAACAGCAAGCGCAGTTCAGTGATGCCTCTTCGCATGATTAAGAATGTCGGTCGTCAAGTCGGACAGAATGTCGGCCGCATTGGTGACAAGGTCACTGCCGCCTTTGGCAACGTCGCGTCCGAACTCACGGGCAAGCAGGTGTTCAACCCGGCTGCTACCCACTCCATTGTTATCCAGGCTCTGGAGCGGAAACGTTGTGCGGCTGCCTTGGCTCGCCGTATTTGGATGTCCTTCGTTATGGAGGGCCGCGAGTCTCTGTATTTGGATGATATCATCGAGGTTCTCGGACATGAACATGAGGCCGACGCTGAAGAGTGTTTTGCTTCCCTGGACAAGGACGGCAATGGTGATATCTCCTTGGACGAGATGATCCTGACCATCACCGAGTTTGGTCACATGCGTAAGTCTCTGAACAGCAGTATGCACGATGTCGACCAGGCTATCCGTGTTTTGGACAATCTGCTGCTTTCTGTTGCCTTCCTTGTCGGTGTTCTTGTCTTCATTTCTTTCGTCACAACTGGGTTCGGTACTGTTATCGCCGCTGGCGCTACCTCGCTGCTGTCTCTGTCTTTCGTCTTCTCAACCACATGTCAAGAGGTCCTCGGTTCTTGCATTTTCTTGTTTGTCAAGCACCCCTTCGACATTGGCGACCGCATCGAAGTTTCCGACAAGGCGTACGTTGTCGAGCGTATCTCTCTGCTGTTCAGTGTTTTCCGCACCGTTGGTGATCACCGCATGACCCAGGTGCCCAACAACATCCTGAACAGTCTGTGGGTCGACAACTTTACTCGAGCCAACGCCATGCACGAGCAGCTCTCTGTTCCGGTTGCATTTGATACTTCCTTCGCCGAGATCCAGGCTCTGCGCGAGGAGATGGAGTTGTTCGTCCGCGACAAGGAGAATTGCCGTGACTTCCAGCAGGATATTGACATTGAGGTTGTTGGTGTTGGTGACATGGACAAGCTCGAGCTTCGTGTCGACATCCGTCACAAGTCCAACTGGTCGAATGAGACTGTCCGTGCTGCTCGTCGCTCCAAGTTCATGTGTGCCTTGGTTCTCGCTGTGCGCAAGGTCCGTATTCGGGCCCCTGGTGTCGCCGTTCCCGACGAGGAGGAGAAGAAGGACGAGGGTGGTGATGACGACAAGGGTGACAACGCTGGTGCTGAGGCTGCTGCGGGCGACCGCAAGTCTTCTCAGACTACCGGCTTGGCTGCTCCTGCTGCCGCCGCCGCCACGGCGAACGATTCGCTATTCCCAAACACTGCCGCAGCGACTGGCTTTGAACAGAACCACTCTTCGGGTACCGTCTCCCACCGCGGATCCAGCGCACTTCAGCGTGAGGCCGCCATCGCCGAACGTCTGAATGCCCGCTCACCTGCTGCCGACTTTGGCCGTGAAGAGCAGGCTGAAGGCCTCTACCGCACGGTCACCGGCGCCTCCAGCCAGGGCCGCCAGAGTGTCCACGGCTCCGTCCCCAACAACGCGCCAAACCGCGGCCTCTCGACCGGTCATCGCAAGGCCGGTCTGCGCGCTTCATACAACGACGGAGAGGTCCCGAGGCCCCCGCCCCTCTCCTCAGTGCAAGCAGGCATGACCCCAACCACCAGCGAAGTGCCCATCCTCAGTCACCCTGCGCCTCCAGGATCCCGTGGTAGCGCCCGCTACGAGCCTCCCAACCAGAGCGCCACACTCCCTATCATCGGCTCGCCCGGGTCCGACAACTACCACTCCTACTACAACCAAGAAAACGCCTACGAGCCCACAACCCTAACTGGCGAGGCTCAGCCCTTCTCCGGCATGAACGAGTCATCCTCCCACTACGAGGTCCAAGATCGTTACGACCCTGTCTCGCCCCCCTCCATCTACTCGCCTCAACCTCCCCAGCCTGCTGCATTCACGCCTATCACTCAGCCGCAAGAGACCAACACAAACCCCACTCACCGGTCTTCGTTTATCTCACGGACGCTGAAGCGCGATAAGAACAAGCCCCAGAATGAGGGCGAGGCGTGATGTTCGATATCTTGATGTTGATAGATTTGGATGGTGATTTGTTACATTTCTTTGCCAAAATTTTCTTTTTTCGCGATTTATTCTTCTAGCTTTCTTTTTGATGTATGAATATGCGCCTACGGGCTCTTTTGATCTGAGAAATGGATATTCACATCCCTGATGACTATGTGAACTGGTCTGAAACTGAAAATGCTACTGCTACTATTAATCAATCTTAGCCTAAAGCCTTCTACTTGATCCGATAACTGGTGCTACGTTTTGGTAGAAACTCGTGCATGTTGCGAGGAATACCTTGTCTAGTAATGTGGTTACACGATTATGGCAGTGATCCGGGGCAAGTATAAGTAAATAGTTTTTGCCTAGTACTGTGTTTTATACCTCGGAAACCGCTTGGTAGATTCTACATATCACAACTTACACCTTCCGCTTCAGCAGACCACGGAAGAAATCAAAGCTGTTGCTGTCACTTTGCAACTGCCAGACCCGCCCAGTTGGTCGGTCATTCCAGCCCAGCTCCTCGGCAAGCAAGAGTCCATAGTCTCGTGTGATACCTTGGATACGGGCACGAGTACCACCTTCCTCCTCGAGTGTGACAATCTGGTGCATGTGAAGCCAGTCTTCGTAGTACATTGCCTCAAAGCCGCGGTCAAAGCCGACGCGGAGGAATCGGGTGTAAAGATCCTCGAAGGTTGTGAGAACCCGGGCTAGAAGCTTCTCGAGCGTTACAGGTGAGGCAGCGGCAGCGCCGGAAGTAGCGTAGCGTGCTGCAAGCGACGTTAGGGCTGTGGTCGGGGATGCGTTTGTGGCATTGAGACCGATGCCGACGACGGAGATGTATTCGTTTGACATGAAATGGGAATTGATGAGGATGCCACAGATCTTGGTGTATCGCTTTTGCTCGGGATCGTCAGGGTCGAGGGCATCTGGGAAGTTTAGTGACTGTTACCGAAGTTCAGCGTGAAGATCAACTTACAGATATCGTTGGGCCACTTCATTTTGACAGGAATATTCTCATATCCCTTGGCGTAGCTCTTGATACCTTTCACCACAGCCATGGCTGCTAAATACTGCAGGAATACCACAGGAGCCGATTGAATCTTCTCCATCGGATGCCGAACCACTGTCGAGAAAATCAGACAGCCTGCTGGTGAGATCCAGACGTTGGAGCCTCTTCCACGCCCAGCAACCTGAACAGTGGCGGTAGCAGTGAAGCCCTGTGGTAAGCGACGAAGAAGTTGTGCGTTCCTAAAGCGAGTCAGACTTGTCTAAATCATAAGAAAGTGAAAACGCTCACTTTTCCATGATTGTATTCGTACTTGTCACCACCTCGCCATACATCAGGGTAGAGCCAAACTGCGAAGCGCCCTCTTTCGATTCAGACTGGTACTGGCGAAGATTTGAATAGAATGCATGGTGGTTGAAGTAAGGAGTGAGCTTGGAGGACGGTAGATCGTCGTGGAACACAAGTCTCTTGATAACTTTCTGGTAGTCAATAATACCATCACTCGATGCGGTGGAATCGGTGGGAAGCGACTCCTCCAAGTCGCCCAGGTTCCATGTTCCCGGACGCTCAATCCGGAATGTGTCATATTCGTCTTTCAAGTATTCGCTTTGACTTTCCTTTGTCAAAGCTGGTGCTAGGCACGCCAAGATTTCCATGGTTTCATCTGCATCAAGACCAGAGACATGTAACGAGGATAGCGAAGGCACGTGTGCCGTCTCTTGCGCAACTTGTAGTCCGAGTTTAGACAAACAAGCCTTCAAGAAGTCTATACGCTCCTTGTCATCGGCAGCAAGTGCGTCGACGAGGTCTTTATATTCAGGTCCATTGGCCTTCGGGTCAAGGTTCACGGCAGCAAACCTAGAAAAGAGTGTCAGTAAGCCAATTTGTCAAGTCCGCATGGACCACATACTCCGGGTGCGGTCCAGTCAATATGGCCGCTCCATCGCCAACTTTACAGTAGATGACAGCTGCTGTGCCCTCACCGGGATCAACATTGAGCTTCTCAGAGTAGTTGGCTAGCACTTCAACACCCTGATCCTTGAACTTGGCTGCATCCACAAAGACACCACCACCATTATAGTATGAGTGGAAGTTTGTCGGTACATTTCCGATGCTCAATGCCTCTTTTGAAACGTCCAGTTGCGCCGCTCGTGCACCCGCCTCGCTGTGGTAGACGAAGCCAGGGAAAGCCCCTCCACGGCAAGTACCAGGGAAGAAAGCAAGCTCCCGGTCACCAATGACCTCCATAGTCTTATCGCCGACCTCAAATTCACACTTCTTGCAACCATAGTAGCCACCCGCACACAAACCGAGGTATTTACCGCCCCGGCGCACGAATTGGGTGATGCGCCGGTTGCCCGCACCATTGAGCGTCCGGCCGTATCCCTGATCGGCGCCGCCGGGGATTACCAGCAGGGCACAAGTAGCCGACCATGGCTCCTTGAGAAGCATATCACCAGTGACTGGGGTAACGGCATAATAGGGAGCAAGCAGGCGGCGGAGGGTGTAGAGGGTGTGTCGAACTGAGTCAACGGTGGTTCCGGTTCCTGTCGGGCCAGTGTCGGTCAGAAAGCGGCTCAGCTGCCAAGCGGAATGGGTGAGCGAACCGGAGTAGACAAGGACATTGAGCCTTTTGCCAGTAAGATTGGCATCGTTGCCCGTGGGCGTCGCCATTGTTGACTGTAGGGAGGAAAGTGTGGGAGGCGGACGATAAGATGGGTGATAAGGATAAAGCCGATGCCAGCCGTTTGACCTCTTCCTCTCCCCATCTATGACCATGTCGAACAACGCAGAACCTCGTGATGTCCCTCAAGATGACGATGATGAGCCTGATGAGTGGTAATTGATGTTCCTTGTGTCTTGTAGAATTGATGGAAGGTTGCTGATGGCATGATACAGGGACAAGCGCATCTTTAGCACAGGTTGTCATGGTAAGCAACTAACAAGCTGCCTTCGTCTGCCAATTGCTGAAGAAAGACAGCCGAGCAGGACAAAATGAACGACTGCTACTTTGCAAAGAAAGACTGGCGCGAATGCAAGAATGAGGTAGGCTAATATCTGTCATTCCTCTTTTCTCTAGCCATCTCTCTTCCGCCCAACCCAAAATTATCCATCACATCTTTCCCTGGAATTTGATCATCTGCTGCTTATACAATTATCTATTCGTTTCTTAATGTCTTATATCCCATTCCACTGACCCTCAATGCAGATGGAAGCTTTCCGCGAATGCTGGAAACGACAGGGCAACGACCAGCGAACGCAGAGTCAAGATGCGTGACGGCTCTGATTCATTGAAACTGTGTACTTTATTATATTCTAAACCAATATACAATCTCCTCTTATCGATCTCTTCAGACAGAATCGTGAATTCTACTTCGCTCAGTGGTTGTCACGTGATGCCGTTTCTGAGTAACTTGAGCTCTAGCACCAGCTTTCTGCATCATCCCATCACATCATGTCTGCTCTACGATGTCGCCCGTGGCGTACATTGGAGACTCTCCAGTATGCAAGAGCTGCTGCTCAAGCCCCCTGCGCTTGGATGACCGCCCACAAGCTGTCCAGCTTTATTTCCAAGCGCGCGATCAGCTCCAGCTCAACGCGCCCCCAGAATTCACAAAGCAGCGCTGCAAAGCCGGCGCCACCAGCTCAAACACCGCGTACTACAACCCCCACCTCCGCAGCTACAGCAACTCGTGCTTCTGCGGCAACACCCAGCCGTGCAACAACAGACAACCTCTCCAAGAGCGGACTCTCCGACCAACCCCGAGAGCTCGAAAATGCCACAGAAGACAAGATTGATTGGACACGCTCATTTCACGGTCTCTCCGCAACCCCATTCCCCAAGGAAGCAGCGGATATTCTTATGGCCGAGACAGACCCCGAGGAGGTGGAGATTAAACCGGACGGAATCCTCTACCTGCCCGAGATCAAGTACAGACGTATTCTGAACAAAGCATTCGGGCCTGGTGGATGGGGTCTTGCGCCGCGTGGTGAAAGCATTGTGACGCCGAAAACGGTGACGAGGGAGTATGCGCTTGTCTGTCACGGCCGGTGAGTTCCCTTCAACGTACCTCGGATCAACGATCAAAGCTAATAAATGTATTTAAGTCTCGTCTCTGTTGCCCGTGGTGAGCAGGACTACTTCTCGCCGGATGGTATCCCCACCGCGACGGAGGGTTGTCGCTCCAATGCGCTTGTGCGCTGCTGCAAGGACCTCGGTATTGCCAGTGAACTCTGGGATCCGCGCTATATCCGCAAGTTCAAGGCGAAATACACTCGCGAGGCATTTGTCGAGCACGTGGTGAATAAGAGAAAGACCAAGATCTGGATTCGGAAGGGCGACGATGTAACGTATCCGTGGAAGGAGACTAAGTAGATGGTTTTCGCGGTGGTAGATAGAGGGCATCGTCGACTAGCTTGTATTATACCTTTCTTTTGCTCATGTTGATTAAATCCACCTTGGAGAAATGACACCTGATCTCCACTCGAATTTCAATCCTGTAGAGTGCTCTTTATGCGACTGATTCACATTCTCCAGCGTGTCAGGTAAGAAGCAGATCGCGCCGCCCAGTGCACCGGTAACAACACTTCCATGGACTTCATCTTCAGAACACCTTTCCTTAGCTGCTCATATAAAACCACTCTGCTCAAGGCGCCCAACCATATATTCGCAGTCATCTCCCACTGGACTCGTCCTTGCCGTCTGTACCCGCTTGATGAATCTCATCAGACTGATTCTTTTCACCAATAGGTGGCTGCTCATGAGACTCATAAGCCATCCAAAATCCTGGTCTTCGATGAGTCGGTATACGCTAGAACCACTCTTCCTCTTGGAGGACAAATCCGTCATTCCTCGAAATCAATGGACTAAAATTCTAGTGTTTCTGGGTCCTTCAAGCTGTCCTCTATAAGAATCAAAACATACAGCGATAGAGTCATATACCTAGTCGCTCATTCTATTTACAGTATACTTCCGAGGTCCACGTCTTTTCACCAGTCTATAGTCCTAAGTGCTCATAGTGCACGAGAAGCTGGCACTACTGGTGCTGTCGTGGATGGACTTACCCGAGACGTAAAGGCCAAGACCACACTAGGAAATGTTAGCAATTGCCCGTCTTGGAAATCCAGAGAGAGAAGCTTACCAGAATAACACAAACACAGATGGAAAAGATATTGACAAATGTCTGAATGGTCTGCTTGGGCGATGAGAGCCACAAGCCCCTGCTCATATGCAGTCCAAACAGACCGGTGAACCCGAAGGTAAACCAGCTCCCAAATAGTGCCGTCTGTTGAATGAGTCGTGTTAGTTGCGAGCAGCAGGAATAGGAGATGAGGTCAAACCGACAATTAAACTAAGCAGGTCACTAAAGACCGGAATTGCGGAGGCAATGATCCACGCAATAAGCCATAAGCTGAAGCTGATTGCGATCCAGGAACCGACGGCGACCAAGTCGCTCTTATGCATGCGGTCTGTGCCAGCGAAGACGCGGATGTAGATAGATTTGGCAGCGACGTGACTATTTATGACGCCTGCGATGACAATCTGATTCAGTTAGATTTGCTGCCTTGTTGTGGAAGGGGAATGTAAAGGGTAGCTTACTGTTGGAAGGGCAATACCGTATGCTATTTTAGAAATCAAAGAATCAGCAGACCCCAGAGCCGGAGAAGCGACATCGGCACCGGTGAACCGGTAGATAACTACGGATGCAACGATGTAGAGTGTCATGTCGACTGTTTGGAGAAGAGCAAGGGCTTTAGGGAAGTCTTTTGGGTCTTTAAGCTCTGCAATGAAAGTGAAAAAGGTGTTATGGCTTGCTGCATAGTGTTAATCGTTCCCTTCCTGTTTAATGGTACAAATGGTCTTTCCACGTGGATGGGCTGACCGTATGAGAAAGCGATGTTGGATGCCGCGGTGAATCCCGTTATCAGATTGGTTTCAACAGTGGGGTGAACGATGGCATTAGGGTTTTGAATTCCGACGGCAATCATAGTGATCATAACAGCAGAGAAGATACTGACGAAAGCTTTCCAAGAGACACACTTTATTAGCCAAAAACATTCCATCATAGAAATAAGATGGAAGTAAAAACTTCAAACTCACACACAAGCGACAGCCACGACACCTTCGCGAGAGTCCGCGGCAGCGACATCAAGCAGGAAATGACCATACCCACGATCCCGAATACAATTGAGCAAGTCGCATGCCCAGTGATGGTGTTCAGTGCGACAGTGAAAGTCAGAATATGGCTCGCCATAATAAAGATTAGAAATAGTAATTGTGCTGTGCCAAACAGTTCACGGCCGAATCGACCCATAAGGACCTCTCCTGCATCGGCCATGCTAGAGATGTGTGGGTGCATTTGTTTGAATTTTCCGATCAAGTAGCCTGTGTATGTTGCAAGAAGCCCCATGCCGATGAGCACGATGAGTGCTGGGACTAGACCTAGACCTGCCATGGCTGCTGGGAGGGAGAGAATGCCCAATGAAATAGTCTCTGCGACCATGAGGAGGCCACCTTGCCTGAAACCAGACGGTAGTTAGAACGGCAAACATGACAGGTGAAAAAAAAGGCCAGGGTATACGCACCACCATTTTAGGACCTTGTACTTGATCTCTGCATTCTCTTCATCTCCGAAGGCATCCTCTCGCTGAGTTCTAAGATCGGGCTTTTCGATATCTAAAGCGTCAACATGATGCAAATTCTGCTCCGGTCCGGCATGTGTCGGTTCAATATCAATAATCTGAGGACGCATTGCCATTGTTCTCATACTATCGTATGATAAATAGAAAGTAGAAGATTAGTTTAACTCTCACCGAGGCTAGCGTAGTGAAAACAAAAGAAAGTGATTTGGTAACTTGGAAAGAATAAAAACTAGCCAAGGCGCTTGATAGACATCCCCCGGACCCCGGTTATTGCGAAAGCAAGCTCCTGCCTTCCCTTTCTAGCCGAGATGGAGTCGGTGGAGACGGGGTAAGTCTTCGGGTCACAAATTGATAGTCGGAGGCGTCAACAGAGGGAAAGGCATGCCTGCTAGGTGGTCGATAAGGATAAAGGCGAACGTTTGTCTCTTATCGCGAGACTTAGGTTTAAATGTCTCTTCGGGCTGGTTTGTGTCGTGGAGATGTCTAGTTTCTGTGTGCATATTGATGATTGTGTTGAGGAAACGTTCCCTACACAAGCTTGTATATGCTTAACTCTGTCTCTTCCCCGGATTCCTTCTTTCTCGAATTACGTGCCGGTTCGTAAATCTGGGGTATTCGTCTTGTCTTCGGAGCGGCCTGCCTGTTTCGGAGTCCACTTCTCAGAATGGGACCCAGGGTCATTCACGATAAAAAGTGTAGTAATTCTATGTTGTCATCGGAATAAATGAAGAAACTTGATCCCTGTTTCTATCATGTCATTGAAAGGGAACGTTTTGTCATTGCCGTGAATTGATAGGCAACAGACATTTACTTAGTCCACGTGTGCATGTATCCCAGACAATGCTACTACAGTGCCACAAATCACTCTGGAAGAAAGAGAGAGAGAGAGAGAGAGAGTAGTCGTCGCGTAGAAGAAATTTACAATGGAATCATAGCGAAATCGATTCTACCATGTGGTTTCTCATTTTGCGTCTCGGTCATCAGACGTCTATCATAAGCTTTAATCTAATTATGTACACATTTTCATTCAGCTCTACAGCCTGGTGCCCATGTTAACGTGCACGGCCTTGACCTGACTATAAGCTTCAAGACCAGCCTCTCCAAGTTCGCGGCCAATGCCACTTTGTTTGACACCACCGAATGGCACACGAGGATCACAGTCTTGGCTACTATTAATCCACACCATGCCCGACTCAATTTCCGCAGCCACACGATGAGCACGCTCCAGATCCTTCGTGAAGACAGCCGCACCCAGACCGTATTCTGTGTCATTGGCCCGTCGAATCGCCTCCTCCTCGGTGTCAAAGGGCAAAATCACCACCACTGGGCCGAAGACTTCCTCGCGGACAATGCGCATAGAGTCAATGACATCGGTAACAATAGTTGGCTGGATGAAGTATCCATCTTTGTGCTCAGCACTGGCAGGAGTATATGTAGCACCGCCGGTCAAGATTGTAGCGCCTTCACTCTTCGCAATCTCGAAGTAAGAGAGAATACGCTCGTATTGAGCGCGTGTCACCTGCGGACCCTGGAAAGTTGACGCGTCCCACTGGTCACCGATCTTGACGCTCTCCACGGCCTCCTTGAACTTAGGCAAAAAGGTTGGTAGGACATCCCGGTGCACGAAGATGCGAGATGTCGCAGTGCAAATCTGGCCCTGGTTTGACATGATACCGAAGTGGGACCATTTAACCGCCTGGTCCATATCGGCATCAGGGAACACCAGAAGCGGGGACTTGCCGCCGGTCTCGAGGGTTATGTTCTTCAAGGATCCAGCGGCCATCTTCATAATCTCACGAGCGGTGCCAGTAGATCCAGTGAATGCGATCTTGTCAACCAGTGGGTGGGAGGCGAGTGCGGCGCCGGCCTCTCGACCGTAGCCATTGACGATATTGACAACACCGGGAGGGAAACCAGCCTCGGCGATCAGCTTGCCGAAGAAAAGGACGCTCAGCGGAGTCTGTTCCGCGGGCTTCAGCACAACGGTGTTACCGCATGCCAAGGCAGGACCGAGTTTCCAAGTTGCCATGGACAGGGGGTAGTTCCAGGGAATGATCTGACCAACAACACCGATGGGCTGGCGGATGGTGTATGCGAACTTTTGCGGGGTGGTGTTGATCGTCTGTCCAAAAGACTTATCGGCCCAGCCGCTGTAGTAGCGAATGGTGCTGATGGCCTCGGTGAGATCCTCCTCGAAAGCAACGTGATAAGGCTTGCCGTTATCCCACGCATCAATAGTAGCAAGAAGCTCTCTGTTCTGCTCCATCAGATCGGCTAGTCGCGCCATCAACTGGCCGCGCTCGGTGGAAGGAAGGAGCTTCCACGAAGGATCTGTCAGTGCGGCTTTGGCGGCCTTGACTGCGCGGTCTACATCGTCGGCACTAGCAGCATGCACAGTAGCAATTGGCTTATCGGTACTGCCTGCAGTTAGCAGCCGGTTCTGTACATGAAGAGGAACTTATGGACTTACGCAGGGTCGAGCGAGGTAATAGTCTGCCCACTTGAGGCGACAAATTCGTTGTTGATGAACAGACCAGTGGGCTGCTGGTAGCTGTGCCCGTTAGGCGTGACGATATCGACAGAAAGCGTCATGATTGAACAGAATAATGACACAAAATGAGTAAATTGACGCCGCCGCGCAGATATAAGAGGGGCACGAGGCACCGCGTAGCAAGTGGGTCGCCCCTCCGCAAAGGCAGTCAATTCCGACAGAACTAGGCTGTGAACGTTAGGTCCAGCCGCGGAACGTTCCAACAAGCCCCGATAACGACTATCGCCGTCCCGTCATTCCCATTTCATGTTAGTATTGTAGTATTCGTTAAAAACATCATCTGACTGGAAAGCCAAGGCATGAAGGACCCGCGCAGATCAACTGACCCCACCGCAGAAACTATGGAGAGATCGGAAAACCGGAATCCAAGCAGGGACATACTTAAGGTAAAGCGATCGACGAGCGCTGAAGACAGAGAATAGTGAAATGGTTGGAGATAGAGCCTCCGATTTCAGGTAACAGCAAAGAACCCCTGAATCGGGCAGCCGACACCATGACAGGCGTAGGAAATAACCAACGCGAAAGTACATGTCGCACTATGGTACGAACAGTCATTCGAGGGAAAATGATAGAGCAACTGTTATAATAAGCTCCTAGTATTTTCCAGTGCTTACATCTGTAACCGAGCTTGATAGAGTGATTTGGCGCCATGGTACTTAAAAAGCTAAGCAAGGAAATCAAGAAGAATTTGCATAGCGGTGAGATGAGGTAACCTATAGTCTAGACTTATAGAACCTTGACATAATAGACCTAGATAAATTAAAACCTTGGAATCTGAAACCTTGGAATACATAGCTAGGAATGATTTCTTGTATGTTGTTCTGTTGGAATATAGGACAAAGCCACATAGGGTTAATACTGTTCCTCTCATCTAAGGTTAGCCCTGCAATTTATTCGCTTACCTTTCTTTCTCATGTAATGATTATAACTCAATAATTGCCCCTCGTACCCCGCAAGATCTATTATATTTCTTTTTCCGACTCATCTTGAGCCCTTTCGATCGAAAGTATATAATCTCAAGCACTTTTTGTCTACAACACGCGCGAGGCTTCAAAAGAAATATCGAATAATCTCAACTGAATTCCCGCGAAGTAAATCGATTTTCATGAAGATATTTTGTCTTAAATTGCGTTTGTTTCTCCTTAGTTACCTCTTCCTTACCTCTTCCTTATCGCTCGTTCACTTCGTGGTCGAGCTTCAGATTAATCTCGGACGAATATCCCACTTATTCATTCTGGCCACTTTTCAAACTTTATTCTTCGTTCGAAAAGAAATAATAACGAACAGTTGTTAGAGTATGATGACTGGCCCGCACTTCTATCCTTGTGTCATTTTGAAGGGTCCATTTTGTTTTATCTACATCTCTCGGTCTTAGATCCACTTGCCAACGACGACACCGACGCGAGAGAGTAATTGGACACTGGATACCGATGTAGGGGCTGCATAGCTATGAATTCTAATATACAAACGCCTCGATGTAGGATCTTATATAGTAATCTGATAATCTATAGAGGGCCTAGAAAACGAAGGTATTCTTGATCCATGCTTAAAGTAACTGAGTGTTTCTTGCATGTGATATTCGGGTAGAAATAATATTCGAAGACTGTGGGTGGTGACACCGATACTACCTTAAGTTTCATCCTCATTCGCCTTCAAATAAGTGCTCTACCTAGCTGACTTGATCTCTGGAACGTATCTAAGGGGCAATGTCTTGGTCAGGTCTATCGCTTCAGCGATGGCAATCTCAAGGCTCTGAACCGCCTTATCGCCACCTGATGACATATATTTCGCTCATGCTCAAGAGCGGCCAGGGATGTCCACTAGGAAAGCCAAGAGTTGTGAAACAATCCCCGGTACAAAGGCGAGGCTGTGAGGCCCCCTTTCCTCCTAATCTCGGGGTTTTTACTCCGCGCTAGACTGCTTTCATCGTAAAGAGGCTCTTCAATTGCGGTACTATAACCATTTTTAGGTGGTCTCTAAGGGGACGCGCTCAACGAGAGACACTCGGATTCAAGACGGTGTGCCCTAGCCGCCTCAATATGCAGTGATATACCTGGCAGGCTGTGCGATTGCCACTAAAAGCGGAGATAAGAAGGGCGCTCAAGTTCTAATCATCGTAGCGATGTGGCCCGTACTCAATGCCTTGAAAAATGGATTGTGCCACGCGAGTCGCGCGATTCATAAACTAGGAATACCTGCAGTGTGAGGGGCACTGGTTTCATGTCTCACTTATAGGAACCCTCCCGAAATCGTATTCTAGGAACATTGTTTGATTTTTCGAGACCAATTCGGAATTTGGGCTAGAAATTCATACATTTACTGCACTGCTTCTAGATCATTTTCATTTCGGCAATCAAAGGTGATTGACTTAAAGGAACCCCAATCTTGTGCTTTGAGAAGCTGGCCACCTGTAAGGAAATAGAAAGGTCGATTGGGCTCGCGAATGCAGGGTCTTGATAGAGGGTTCCTGCTAGGAAGATGCTTTATCGTTCATATAAGAAGGATGATCAAAGTCATTTATGATTCATAGTGAAAAAAATTAGAATTAAAGTTACCAAAGTAATACAGAAGATAGTGAGTTAGCAGCTAGAAGTAGCGCCTATATAGTATAGAAAGTCAGATACTCAGAGTAACCTAGGTTGCCTTTCTCTCCTACCGGTAGGTCTGCTTAGTCCTTTAATCGCGCTTGAAGCCTTTAGCTTATTCCTAATTACATAATATCGTAAGTAGATCCTGAGATGTATTGGCTCTCGGAGGTCTACTTCGTAAATTACGGCCCCTTGAATAGTTAGTGGCTATAGGGGTTGTAACAAGAGCGTATAGCTATAAACTAATACCCCCTGGATCCTAACCGGGCCTAACCCCGTACATCATATTAAATCCCTATGTGACTCGTCCTCGTACCATACGTCGCAGAAAGGATCATAGGGGTAAGCGGCCTAGACGTGGCCGGGATGCTTGTACCCGTGGACTTGGAAGCAGACACGCTCACAGCGTACCGCGGCAGTCAGCGCTACCAAGACAACAATATTAATCGTTACTCAATTTTAACCCAGCAGAACATACCTGCTACCCACGTGTATACAAGATAGAGTAATATAAAGTAAAGCACTGCGGCACATTAAGCAGTGGCCTTGAGCCCTTTCAGGTCCGAAAAAAGCTGTAGCCTTCTCGAAGATACGCTCAAGCATACTCAAGCTACTACTGCCTGTTACTTACCCTGCTCATCTGGATTTGATTAGGCCGCAAATGTTTAGGGTACAACCGAGTGGTTAAATCTACTTCTCCATAAAGCTTCGTTGATAATTTTACAAACAGACTAGTGTAATGGCAGATGGCTAGCAATATGCCCACTGAAACAAATTGCTCATGGCATTCTACCGGTTAAATCATTGTTGCTTGAGCCTTTCGTAACGACCCCTTTAAAAGGGCTGAGATCGAGCTGGGTGGGATTCTTGTTGCCGCGCGTTATGGCGTAGTCTAGGCCAGACAGCCGATGCGTAGTGCACTACGGGCGTGGCATATCCTTGGTAGATTTACCACATCTATTCAAGGTGTAGATGCCGTGGCCTACCAATTGCGATAGTCGCATTGGTTGCACATTCGAAAGCCTGCTGGATGTGTTTGTTCCCCTGGAGCCCCTGAGTACAGCAGCTTTACAAGGGTAGTGATTTGAGTATCTTCCTATCGATAGCTGTTTGTGTTTGGAGGTCTGGGCTCTTTTGCCTCGTGAAGTGGCTGCGCCCGGGTTTGTCGGCTCCGAGGTAGCTCGGTTCGTTGGGTCCATGCTTCAATGCGGGGTATTTTTTGGGACTGTATGGTGGCTAGCGCTGTCACGTGTCGTTTGACAGCCTCTACGAATAGTAGCCCTGACCACAAACCCGACGCCACCAGCTCGGCTAACCACTGCGGTAAGTACTCGATGTGGAGACTTCCTCCGTCTGCCCAAAGATAGCGTTGCTTGGCAATATGGGACATGGTATAACTAATATATCTGCGTGAAGGCCCAGGGACCATGGTATTGTCTCATCAATGCGTCAATTCTACAAATTACTTGTCTAAAGTTTTGGAGGTGCATTATGTTACACCAGTGCGCTCAGGCCCTCATAACGCGTGTCTGAGTGGTATACCATTGGCTATGGATCCACTTACGGGCCCCCTCAGCTGGATTGTGGACGGAGAATTTGTGTCTCGGAAATACATTGGATATGCGTAGTGCAGGGACCTTGTCTCGGCCAGATTGATTAAATCGGGGCCGCCATTTATTCCACCGGAAAGTCCCATGGATTTGGGGGAAGGTAATAACGCGGCTGATTGCAGGGCGCTCAATAGTCGCGGCAGTGTTCCCGACTTGGGCCTTCGCTTAGGCGAAGCTTTGGCCTTCTAGAATGTCTTGTTAGAAATTGAGTAGCATTTAACCCAATCGGCACATTGAAAGCCATCTCGGCAAGTGATACTTTAAGGACCCTGAAAGGCCGCAGGCTGCCGCGCCACCGGTCAAGTCCGCTTGGTCGGTGATTGACCGCAGGCAAGTGCTGGAAAACGGTCAACAGCTTTCACTCGTCGAAGAGAACAGAGAACAGAGAACAGATAACAGAAAGCATTGCACATTGTAATATTGTTGGTCCGTTGAAGGGTTGCCCGGATCGATGGAGGATGCTTGGGCCAGTAGTTCCAAGGATCTCGATCGTTCCGACCGGGAGCTACTACCCCTTCGGGACTTCCGAGGTCCACTTGGTCACACCTGGGCAAATCGATGGCCACACTGACCAAGCTTTTCGATCCTGCTTTACATATCCACACCTCGGCCTCCACTTTAAAAGTTCGAAATGGTCTGTGTAGGCGATCCAAGTGGAACCGGGACCTCTGCTTTCAGCCTCGTAGCCGGTCGCCCGGCAGGGATGCGATTACATATAGTCGTCGGTGGACATTGGTCAAGTGCTTCGTGAGAGTCCCCACTATGCAGGTGGGCATATCTGCCGCTTCAGTTCTTCCCCATCCTTTCTGTCCTTAATTCACATCATGGGACTGTCTGAAAGCTACCCTGCGTACGGCGGCCGCGGCCCAGATGACCTTCGCCTGGGACTTGGGTTGGGCACATTGGCCACCATTCTTATGATCTTGCGCGTCTACGTCAGACTGAGGGTCAACCAATTCGGCACAACGGCGTTGATTTGGTCACTTGTGGCTTGGGTACTATGTTCTTACCCTAATATTATCAAGCTATCTACTAATACATTTGCAGTTCCTCACTGTCATTACACAATGTTTTGGCGTGATATCTGTCCTTCACGGACTAGGAAACAAAATCGCCGTTGTCGAAGCAACCAATCAATTAGGAAACTATCTTCTATTCACATGGATCACGGTCTTCTTTTTCAACATGGCAATCCCGATTGGAAAGGTTGCAGTGGCAGCATTTTTGATTGAGATTAATGCGGGAGGCAGTACGTTCCCATTACTTCCTTGTCTCAGGGCCTTATCTAACATCTTTTTTTTTCCCCTCCTGAAGATCCTAGGATCCGCAAGAGTCTAATCGCTGTTGCTGCATTGAATATCATTCTAAATATCCCGCAGGTCTTGCTTGCCTGGTTCCAATGCAGTCCCCCCAGTGCACTTTGGGATCCCTCACGACAAAACTTGTGTAATCACAGCACGAGTGTTCATTACACCTACTTTGTTGGTGCCGTAGCGGCAGTCTCGGACTTTTATCTGGCCATCATTCCCGTTACGATGCTGGCACCATTACGGATTGATCGTAAGCTGAAATGGGGGTTGAGTTTCCTCATGGGGCTCGGTGTTTTTGCTGGAGGAGCTGCCATTGTTCGAACATGGGCAGCTAAGTTCATTATGAGTGATGACCCATCATGTAAGTCATAGTGTCATTCCCATCCGAAGTAATTGTAATCGCTAACATAGACATACAGGGGGTGTCGGCATTTTGTTCCATTGGGGTGAAGTTGAAGAATGGGTTGTTCTCATCTCCATGTCAATTCCTCCGGTTTGGCCTTTGTTCCGGCCATTCACCCACCGATTTATCAAATCTAGCGCGTCTCGCAGTAACCCGCTCTACAACCAATACAGCCAATATGGCTCGAAGACGGGTAATCATACCTCGACTGGCGCACCTCCTGTCGTCACTACTACTATTTCCATTTCATCCACCAAGGGCGTTTCAGCCGCAGCGATGCCGGTGGGGGCATCATCCTCGGCAGAGTCTATGACCAGGTATTCCGAAGAACCCGAGACACCTCATACTGTTTGGAGCAGCAATGGGGACCCAGAAGGCTGGGTGGAAATGTCTCACTACAAGCAAAATCATTGCCAGTGAGAACAAATCCAGCTTCCTTCTGTCATATAATTATAAGAAATAGATTTAATCCAGCTCTCTAGTCTTGGAAGGTATGGTTGGATGTAAGTTCCCACCGATTATCAAGGTCCTACTAGTCTCTCTCTCTTAAAAAAATAGAAATACCGCCCTCGACATAATTGTATCCATGGAACCCCACGCAAGAGAGGTAATCCTTATTTAAAACGTGACCTGTTTCAACGAGAGACGAACACATATTTGAATACTATACAGTTAAGTGTTCAAAGAGGGAAGCTAGCGATGAACAGGTCCCCGAAGTGGGGATTGAGTAAATCAAAATTCTCAATCGAGATAGATTGCCAAGCACTGGAATGAAATTATCTTTGTCACCTAAATTTGGTATACTCCAACATAGACTTGTCCGTTTCTGGGGCCCTTGATTAAAAGCCGAGGCTTGCGAAGCTTTATGTGAAGTCTGCATATATTCCCTCATAAATGGTAGAGGGCAACGTGAGGAAAACTTTAGCATTGCCAAAGCAAGGATCACAGTCTCGCTTTCTTCCAGGGAGGAATGATGAAACCAGTTGTGAGGTAAATACAAACGACAGAGTATTCCGTCAACAATCCCATGGTCAAGAATGGGGCTATCGGGCCATACAGAGCACTCCATCTTAAATCGGATGAATCAAACACCGAAAGGAAAAGGAAGGTGATGCGGACGACCATAAATGGTGTAGCTAGAGCCATGGCTTTCAGAGCCTGCCAATAGACCGTCAGCAAATAGTGAATCAAGCCTATCGTTAGGTGGTGTACCGTTCGGGCTGTTCTCGAAAGACGGGAAGATTGTTGCCAGAAATATCCTTGAACAACCAGCAAGCAAATGAGAAATACTAGCACGATAAAGTATCCAGCTTTGACAAGTTTGACACCTGTAAGTGCATCGGAGTTGTTGTCGCTTCCCTCAAGAGCCCCGCCAGCAACAGTAAGTCCCATTCCCACGAAGAAAAGTAGGCGGGACAGAAGCAGGCATTGTCCGAGCCTTGGGGTTTTGTCCTTTTCAAGAACCATTCTTATAGAGATATTAGACAACGATCATGCAGTATTTACTTGCTCTCGCTTACATGATTCGGATGAGTCCCAGAGTGGCTGCAATCAAGGGAAACACACCGGTATTGAGAAGGATAGTCGATGCTATCGCGACCTCGAGGCTAGGCTTCTGCTCTGTAACAATGACCAAAACTCCCGCAGCGGTCCGGACTGAATAATGATTGATGTTAGAGGCGTCGCAATCCCAAAAATTCGGAGCATTGTCGTGTAATACTCACTAAAGGCGAAAAATATCACAATTATCCACATCATGTGGGGTCGCAGGCGCCGATAACATGTTAAGTAGACTGCCAGTAGGATTACCGGTATATAGAATATGACGAGCGCAATGCCAAGTTTGGAATGGCTGTCGAGCATGTTGAAGTAGAAATGGGAAGAAAATCTCAGAATCATGCATTGATCAAAGTTAGTCTCAATTTCTATACGCGAGGGCTTCGACAGCTACAGAGGGCTTTGCATAATCCCAGTCTTATGAGAGAAGACGAAACGCTGGCTGCCTGTATGTCCTTGAATCTTTACGAGGCCATTGAATGCCCAGGTTCTGAGCCTGAAGCTTACTTCAATCACTGCCACGGAATCATAGCCTTGATACAGGCCCGCGGCGCCTATGCACACTCTTCAGGCGCAGGCCGTTTGTTATTCCTTGGAGCTCGGATTCCAGAAGTGAGTAGTTCAACGCATAAAAGTGATCGAGCCTATAATTCTTACTAATTTGAATTAGGTCTTACGAGCTTTGCGGTGCCGTACTTCAACAATTTTGAGCAACGAAATTTGGATGGAGCAACCCTGGTCCTCGATTCCAAAAACTTTCTACGATCAGGTAACAGATTGCCTCACCGAAGCCCCTGGTATTCTCGAACGCGTGGCGCCACTGTGGCATCTGAGTGCCACTCAACAACTTGACCTAGTCTATGAGTTGGTACATGAATGTAGGCACATCGACGAGAGACTGGCCATTATTCACGATGAAATGCTACGCGCCGCACCCGATCCACTATATTGGTCAATACCATCCGATTTTACGTTGATATTCGGTTCTGACAACCCTGTGACCTTTCCAGTCATTTACTGGTTCTCTGATCTTCACTGCGCTGCAACACTCATCCTCCTGTGGGCAACTCGAACGATGATATGGACGGGACTTTACAATCTATACAGCAATGTCGACAAAATCATGGCCACGAAGGGCTCGGTCTTTGAAGCTTATGAGACTATGGCTCCGCAAATCTCGGGAGTTGAAGTGGTCAACCCGCTTCCTCCTCTTGATCGCTGCACAGACATTCTTTCTATGGCTCACCGGGTGTGTAGATCCGTGGAATTCTTTCTCCGAGACGATATGCTACTAGCTGGGCCATTATCTATAATTCCAGCACTTGGTATCGTCATCGACGCTCTAAAGAACCAGCCATCTCACGCCCCAGAGGTTGCATGGCTACAGGAAGCTTTAGAGGTAGTTCGACAGAAGGGTATTCGCAGCTTGGAACACGTGAAGTAATCGATAGTCCCGAATAGTGTATAGCAAATAAATCGTACTATGAACAGCAAATAAGATGGACTTATTGCTCAGTATGTAGGAAGAGATAATCCTATACATTGTGGCGAGCCGCCCCCGCCCGGACTTTCCACTGGAAAAAATCGAACATCTTCGTGATTTGCAATAAGAAGCCTAGAAGTTCTTCAACTTAATGAAATTCTCAACAGATTTCACCTTCCAGCGCGTTCAATGTCTCACCTGGAACCATGTCTGTCACGTGATTTGCTCATGGAAACGTGGAGAAGGATCCACAACCAGCGGGAAGGCCCGACTGGGTACGAGCATCAACCTGTATACGTCAAAGAACTCCAAGTACAGCATCTAGTAGCTTCCAGAAGAGCCAGGATGGCCAGGGATAGAATACTTGGAACCTCCCTTCGCTGCCTTCTCCTCCTTTATAAAAAGACCTTCATCCACCGGTGACCTTCCGTCCCATCTCTCAACGATCTAGAGTCTCAAAAAGAAATATCCAAAGAGCTTCAATCTCTCATCTTCCACTATCTTGAAAGTCAACCTCCAGTCAAAAATTTGACCATTCTCTTATACAATATGTCTCTCTTCCGCACCAATCTTCCCGCCAGTGACGGCTTTTCGTCTTTGTTCCGTCTTCTTGACGACTATGATCACCACCGCACTGGTCAGCAACAGTCAGCGCTGCGTATCACCCCGCGCTTCGATGTCCGCGAGAGCAACGACTCATACCACTTGGACGGAGAACTTCCCGGAATTGCGCAGAGTGATATCGATATTGAATTTTCCGACCCGCAAACCTTGGTCGTGAAAGGTCGCACCGAGCGCTCTTACAAAACTGAGCCACAGGACCAGGTCGAGGAGGAAGAGAGCTCCAATACCGTGACGGAGACCGCCAAGACTAAAACAACCTCTAAGCCCGACTCGAAGACCATCTACTGGGCTAACGAGCGCGTGGTCGGCGAGTTCCAGCGCACCTTTTCTTTTGCTCAGCGCGTCGATCAAGATGCTGTCAAAGCCAGTCTGAAGAATGGTATCTTGTCCATCTCTGTTCCCAAGGCAGCTGCCGCTTCTGTCAAGAAGATCACCATTGATTAAATTGATGGGCTGAAACTTTTCATCGGTTGTAATTCGACAATCGGATGTCCACACGAATTACGACTGTATTGCTTGATTGATTATATTGGAATAGGATGGGATTAGCCTTTGTGTTTTCAAATATGTATTTTAAGGAGAAATAATAAACTGAATGCTTGACTATGACTCGTCAATTTCTTGAGTGTAAGGCAGAGTGTACGTAGATACTTACCATTTGACTGGTTGTTCAGGTAGGCCACATGTGAGCAAGTTCATGTGCACTGCTCAAGAATCGAAGCCGTCTGAGCAAGGTCGCCCCCCCGATGTGTCTCCATGGCCAGATGGAGACCCAAGCTACAGGTGGCACCATGCCGCATTTGCAAAAAAACAATTCAAGCGGCTAGAACATCTGCAGAGGCATGAGCGGATTCGTTTGTACCGCCTTCCTCTCATGGCTCCAAGGTTACTTTGATCTTATATTCACCTACCACAAGATACCCAAGAGAAGCCATTTGTTTGTCACTGCGGTTGCACTTTCGCACGACAGTCTTACTGTCTAACCTTTCACTCTTGTATCTAGACTGAACATTTGATCAATTACTACATAGGGACCTTCTCAGTCGCCACGATCGGCTATGCCATCTTCCTGCTGATGCTGAAGAGCCCACACCATTGCCCACTCACCCCCCGCATGTGCAAAGCCAAGACGAAGTCAGGCTTCCATCAGACTCGCATGAGACTTTCAGTCACACCCCGTCCAAGGCTTCAGGGAAATTATGCCATAGGAGACATCGTTTAGGATACTTTAACTTCCATATTCGATTTACGCGCTTAGTTCAAACGGCACGTGGAGTGGCTTTGCTAGAACTTTCCTAACCTCTTTCGTGTTCCTTGGCATGAAATAATGGCTATGGAAGGAAATGCCTCCAGTCGATGGTTACGGTAGCTCGGAGCTGCATTCCCCGACCCAGGTGTCCCTAAAGTGGGTCCGACATTTTAGGCAAGCGATTCCACCACGATATACGTCCCCTCCATAATCCATTTCGTAAGATACGAAGGCCAGATCGAATCAAAAAAAGAAAGCATTTCCGTTAGATCCAAGTATATCTTCATCTCTTGGTCGGCAAAATCAATATGCAATACCACTCCACCACTCACTTCAATCTTACCTCTCTCCAACTCCAACCAAACAAATCAACAAAATGGCGGACCTCGGCGGTATCATGGTGGCCTTGATCACCCCATTTACCGACGACAAGACCAAGATCGACGAGTCGCGTCTGCAAGCACACATCGAGCACCTCATCAAGGCAGGCGTGCACGGCCTCGTTCCCGGTGGCAGCACGGGCGAGTTCACTACCATGTCCACAGCCGAGCGTAAGCAGCTCACAGAGTTGTGCGTGAAATTCGCCGCCGGCCGTATCCCTGTCGTTGCGGGCACAGGTAGCACCTCATCCGCCGAGGCTGTTGAGCTCTCCGTCCACGCCGCGCAGGTCGGCGCCGCGGCCGTCATGGTCGTTCCTCCATTCTACGATCCCGTCAATCTCGAGCAGCTGCATGAGATTATGTCTGAGATTCACACTGAGTCGAAGCTGCCTATTATGTTCTATAACATTCCCTCCGCGACGGGATTGACCCTCTCACCCACCGAGATCGCAGGCCTGTCTAAGGTCGGCGTGAAATACCTTAAGGATACTTCTGGGAACGCGCCTGCTCTGACGGAGTTGATTTTCGGTCTGTCAGATCAGATCACTGCCTTCAATGGCTGGGATACATTGACTTTCTACGGTCTTGCTGCTGGTGCCCCCGGTGGAGTGTGGGGTGCGGCTAACATTATTCCTGAGCTCGCGGTTGAGTTGTGGGATGCTGTCAGTGTCAAGGGAGACTTGAAGCGCGGTCGGGAGTTGTGGGCTCAAGCGTGGCCTGTTTGCAAGTTCTTAGAGTCGCATAATTATGCTGCGGCTGTCAAGACTGGTGTCGAATTGACTGGGCAGGCTACCGGTGGCTTGCGGAAACCGTTTGCTTTGCTTAACCCGGAGTTGACAGCGGAGCTGAAGCAGCTGTTGGAGAATGCGGGTGTTAAGACTGTTTAGAAGGTATATATGCGAACTGGCTTTTATAATGTCATCAATGGATCACGACGACTTTGAAGTTAATTGGATCTCTGTAGAGAGAGAGAGAGAGAGAGAGAGAGAGAGATATACCAAAGCCTGCTATCAGCATGCATTCGAGCTAGACTCTTCTCAGATGTTGTTTCTATGCCTAGCTGGCATTTAATTAAGAATATGAGTAGTAAGACTAAATAGTATTGTACATTGAGTTATTCAGCAGAACAGAGGCCATATCTGATCCTCCTTCACAATGTCAATCCATGAGGGCATCGGGTCGCCACGGGTCGTCAATAGATGCTCATCCTGTCGGCACCACACTTTAGTCAAAATACCACGGGCTGTATCAAATGAGGCGTAACCAGATACTGAGCTTGCATGGTCCAGCCATCGCATGATCGCCTCTCTTCTATTTGACGTAATAGCCTCGCATCCAGCAATAAAGGCTGGCCAAGCCGTTCCAGGACCTGTTGGATCACCTTTCGACATGGAAGCACTGCATTCTTCCAATGCTGTGATGACACTGTCAACGTGACCTTGTAAGACTGCCGAATGGGTATCGCGAATTCGGCGGTAGAAGAATATCAAGAGTGCTCCGTTCAGCGCGTCAAGCATAAAGGCATGGGGTTTGGATTTCGCCTGTGGGTCTGTCTGCGCACCCTTTGTAAGGCCAAGGTTAAACGAACAGATCATATTTTCTAAACGAAAGGCGCGGCGCTGGAGTGTTTCCCACGCTTCGAGTCGTAGACTCTTTCCTGCGTTGCGTGCAACGACAAAGGTCGCCATGACATTGGCCAGTCTCGTAGTCTGCGATACAAGACTAAGCCAAGTTTCGGGGATACCATAGATCTGTTTGTATAAGGTCTCAGGAAAGCTTCGAGAATCATGCAAGTGGATATCGTGGAACCCTTTTCCGCGATCTTTCGGTTCGTCGATGTTTAGATCATTGTCTGAGTTTTGGCTTTCCAGTCTAAGGAAGTCGTCGAGGCGAGGGTTCGGTTCAGCTTGAGTAGCCAGATTTGAACTGCCCTCCCTGGATGTATGGGATCTTGATGATTGGCCAAGCGGCTCAAGACATGGGTAGGAGAGGCTGTAATCATGCAAGACAAAGGTGCTCTCGCCCACAATCCGTAGCCACGTGTATACGTGGTGCAGAAGACGGGCTTTTTTTGAGATCCGTTTTTTAGATAGACCTCGTAGACGTAGAAGTCGCTCTGCATCGATCAAGAAGCACCTTGCGTGTTGCTGTTGTCCTGACAGAATCTGCGCTTATCAGAACCGGTTCCCGAACAGATTGTTGAAGGGTCTTCTTACCGCATACTGTGTTAAGATATTGGCTGCCATCAGTTGGTCTTTATATTTGGCTTTATTTGGACCATGAGTCTCTTGTTGAAGAGACACTTGAATGTGGTCTTTTGCCAACTGATATGTTTGATTGGCAATCCGATCCCAACGTTCTGTGAGTTCCACCAGCTCGGTGGGCGGCTTCAAGGCCAGGTCAATGGCAGAACAGGCCAAAATACCGTATAGATTGGCAAGTCTTGCATGGCTGACACCACTGGTACCAAGAAAAGTCGTGTCCCCAAATGCGACGACTGCTGCTGGTAGGTTCAAGATCTTCCAAGGAGATTTCTCTCCGAATGGGATTGCCATTATCTGAGGAATAACAACATCTTGGAAATGCCTGAGTAAGAACTGCGCATCTTTCAAAATATCTGGTGTTGCGGAAACCACTTCGATCGATGCTTGTTGTGGATTTAGGATCCCCGTGGGTTCTTCTTGGGTATTTTGAACATCCTGGAATACGCTCATCTCATTACCGAGATCGATTGAAAAATCATTCGGCATGCTGAGTGTTGGGTACGTTGTCAGGCCTGCCTGATCTGGACTAAAACTTAATAGATCCGACCAGTGCAGAAAGTCATCCATCTGCGATAGAGAGTCAATGATTGACGCCGGGCTGGGATCCGGGATTTGTTCCTCGATGGTTGAGCTTGCCGGCCCCTGGACTGGGCCTGGCTCAGCCGAAGTCAGTTCATCTTCTTGGTAAATGACAACATCTGCCTTTGGCTGCCTCGCAGTGGTTGTAAAGTCGAGGACCGCGAAAGGACCGATTGCGATATCGCCTTCAGGTTCACGATCCGGGTCTCGCGATCTCAAGTCGACTTCTGCAAGAGATGCATCAATAGATCCCAAGAGTAGATTCTTGCTCAGTGCAGTACTCATAGATAGTCGGGATTGCTCTAGAGAATGAGTCAGGATGGACATTCGTCGACTAAACGTTGCTCAGAGTACCTGTGTAGAGATGACGACGCGTTCCACGTCGGCCGCCTTCAGCCACCTCGCCTTCATCACCGCGCATCCATAGAACTTGATCAGAGAAGCCCTCGCATGGAACACCAAGAGTCCGGCATGTACGGCAAGCGGGCCGTTTCTGGTCGCATTTGACGTGCCGGCGCCTGCAGGTAGTGCATCCGCCGAGCACATGGGAACGGCGAGCACGGCCTCGCTTCGAGCCTGCCATTGAGCTAACGAAATGTTTCAATATAGAGTAATCGACTTGAATTCATGACCTAGAATATCTTGAGGCATGGGAATCCGGGGAGATTGTTAGCCCCGCCGGACTGGGAACGCCTTCCTAAAAGGTGCGTATCTCTTATCTATTTGCCGCCACCTTCCAATCCTGGAATCCACTACAGTTTCCCCAATCGAGTCGCCTCCGCTTGCACTGTCAACGGAATCTCCTTCTCAATTGAATGTCCCTGGGGAACCCATCCCAGACGCCGAATTCGTTCTGATTTCTGGCAGGCATTGGTACCGCAGAACACGCTGGCGGGGGCCCATAGGGCGTTCGCTTCACTGGCGCTGATGGTCTTCACAGTCGGTGAGTCTGTCAGACCAAGCTTGTGAGCTGCCTCAGCGACAAGACTTGAGATCTTTCCAAACCTCTGTTCGAGTTAGCCATCATTTACGAATTAGGCGCTCGTGATTCTCTTACCAGCATGCCGTTGCCGACGAAGTAGAGACCGTTTTGGCCCCAAAATTCACCCTCACTGCCGTCGATGGCCTTTTCAATCAGCTTCACGAATACGTCGGCGACGTCGGCGATGTGGACATTGCTCCAGGTACTCTCCCCCTTGCCCACCTGAACGGTCTCGCGTGTTTCAATGGCAATCCTGGAGAGCTCCGGGATCTGCACGCTCCGCCCTTTGACGGGGCCTCTGCCCTGGCCATAGATAATCGGTGGGAATACAAGAGCAGTCTTAATATCGGAGACTTTGTTCAAAACGTAGTCGTCCATGACGCGCTTGGCGGCGTTCTGTTTGATGATATCACGGATCTCGTTGGCGTCTTCAATATCACCGTAGACCCTGTCGGATCCCTCGCCGAAGCGGCCGCTCACAATGTCCGAGATTGAAAGCACACTTGCGCCTGAAACTTGGATCCAATAACCTGGATGCACGGTTAGCTCGACTTTTTCTCTCGTGAATTCTTTGGCTTACCAGGCTTGGGACCAGTATGCTTGGCCAGGCCGCGAGCAATGGCCTCGGCACTTTTTACGTGACTATTGCTCGCGGCATCTATATAAATCGTTAGCCTAGATCATTATTCAATGCGAGCATTACCTACGAACGACCACATCGGCCTTCGCCGCCTCTTCCTCAATCAATGCAACATTATCCAGGTCACCAAGGATAATTCGAACATCGGGATACGCCTTGGAGACGGCATCTGCTTTGGCGCTATCACGCAAGAGAACACTGCATTGGTATTCGGGGTGTGTCGACTTGAGGACGTGGAGAACGTCCCCACCAATGTAGCCCGAGGCGCCAGTGCTAAGGGGAAGTCAGTATACGATATATCAAAATCAGGCCAAAGTGGCACTAACAGAAAGATCTGAGCCATTGTTATCAAAGCAATTACTTTCTACCGATTAATACTCGGAGGATGTTTGTGGAAGTGTCGCACATACACGAGTGCTTTAAAGCAGACCTTACGACTGCGGGGCCCCTATGAAGGAAAGCGATTCCGAGCCCCGCCATCAGGGATTCTACGATAGGAAGTCGACTCAATCTATGAACCTAGAAGGCCATTAGGAGCTCATCTCAATTGGGATAGCAGATTCATCCGAGGCCAATTGGCCACTGATTGGGACCATACTTATTTGCGTGGCCGTTCGCTGTTCGCTCCGATGTCTTCTTTCTTTTCCGACACACTGGACATTCACACATCCTACACGTGACAAAAATGTCGCATCGGGGCGAGACTCTTCACAAAGATGTGTGCTGCATTGCTGACCTGAAGGAGCTGGGGAGTAAAAGGCTCTCTCCCATGGTCCGGGGTAAGAGAGCAGTTTGAATGCGCGCTCGCGTGCCTCGGTACCTCGATACTAACATATACAGACTACTATAATGAAGGAGCTATGGATTTGATTACGTGCGATTTCCCCTCAGCCAAGTCCACCGCTTTATCTAACCCTGCTTTCACAGTCTGCGCGAAAACGAAACCGCTTTCGATCGCTACAAGATCCGACCACGAATTTTGGTCAACGTCGATAATGTCGACACCAGCACAGAGGTGCTTGACACTAAGGTCCGTTTCATTCTCAAATACCGACCAGCTTCTACGGCTTCTTACTATCAACCAGGTCAATCTTCCCTTCGGCTTCAGCCCTGCCGCCTCACACAAACTAGCACACCCAGATGGAGAACTGGCGACATCTCGCGCGGCCGCCAAATATGGAATTTGCATGGGCTTGTCATCCTATGCGACATACCCTCTGGAAGACGTTGCCGCGCAGGGTCTGGGCAATCCGTATTTCATGCAGATGTGTGTGTTGAAAGATCGTTCAATCACATTGCAGTTGCTAGATCGCGCAGAGAGTAGGTGGTCTGAACAAAAGCCTCTGATTCGATTGTACTCATAATATCTGCAGAGGCCGGATACAAGGCGCTTTTTCTGTCGGTGGACGTACCCGTGCTAGGCAAGCGACTGAATGAATATCGCAACGAATTCCGCATCCCAGAGGATATGGAGTATCCCAACATCCTCAGCAGCGGTTCCGACGTCTCAGATCGCACTAACTATGGTAAGATTGCCACGTGGTTACTTGTGGAACAGGGTTGACTCCTCTAGACCCTAGTCTAGACTGGGAGAGCGCAATTTCATGGCTCCGAGAACATACATCGCTGAAAGTTTGGCTGAAAGGAGGTTAGCGTCCCCATTCTATTGGATTAGCTCCAGTTTATTGACACGGCTTAAAGTTTGTTCCCCTGAGGACGTTGAGCTTGCGATTCAGTACGGGGTCGACGGTATCGTTATTTCCAACCATGGTGGTCGTCAACTAGATGGCCTTCCAGCGACGCTTGATGCACTAAGAGTGTGCGCTCCTGTTGCCAAGGGACGGGTACCCATCACTATTGATGGTGGCATTCGTCGCGGGTCAGATATCTTCAAGGCGCTAGCTCTTGGGGCTAGCTATTGCTTCCTGGGGAGGATCCCCATTTGGGGCCTGGCTGTATGTTTTATCCACCCTTATGTTGGGCTCTGCTGACTTGCATAAGTATGACGGCCAAGAAGGAGTGGAGCTGGCGATCAAGATCTTGCGCCAAGAGCTGATGATCACGATGGCACTTGCTGGGTGAGTTCCTCTCCTGAGTATCTAAATATGACCACGAGGTACTAATTCAATCATAGATGCCGCACCATCAACGACATCCAAAAATGCTATTTGTCGGTGCTGCACCCTGACGGCATTCTTGCCAAGCTGTAAGGTCAGCCCTAGCTCTCTTGTGATCCGTTCTACCCGATCATCCAGCGCGGCTTGCGTAAGTGGGCTCCGCCAAGGGCTTGGCGGTCCGCCCTTTCAGACAGGGCTGATGGGGTCAACCACACTTCTCTCCCGCTCAAACGTGGACGGCCCTGCAGGGCGGACGAGTCGAACGGGTCAAACGGGTCAAAAGGGGCGGACTAGGCTGCTGTAAATATCTAGAACCATGAAATCAACCCGAATATAGACTCAAACCTTGGGAAGTACGTACGAGCGAGGCTTGTTCGGTGGCGGTGTGCTTAGCACCAGCCCCAGTGTGTCGCAGTAGGCAGCACCATTCCGATTAGTCCCGCGCTATACTTAGCAGTTTCATGTATTGGGGAATGCGTATTCGGGTGCCCGTAGACTCCGTAGGCGCAGGATAGTTGCGGGCGCTAACTGATTTATTAGGGAGCCGATCCTCCACATCGAAGGGACCACTAATCTCCTCATTTTTCTCTATTTTTTTTTTTTTTTTACTTTTTGGCCCTGGTGATCCTACCTGATCCCCTCCCGACAACCCGTTTTATTTAAACCGTTTCCCGCCTTGTCAATTTTATTTTCTGACAATCGACATTCCCCTGAACATCTCAAATTTTTTCATCATGTTCAACTTCAACTTCTTCAAGTCCTCTACTGAGGCTGAGACTGCCAACGAGAACGGCTGGAACTCCAACACGGTTGCTATGCAGCAGCCTACCAGCCCTGCCGCTCCTTCTACCAACCAGCTCGTCTCCGAGCAGCCCGTACGTGATATCCCTTTTGACTTGCATTGTGTGGAACGTGACTAATGACCTCTTCAGGCTGGTCAGGAGCAAATGCAGATGCAGCTGCGCGGTGGTGGTGGCGGCGGCATGTGCTGTGGAATGTAAGTATTCGCTTTTATTGAGGTTTCCGGTACAGAGTCTCACATGTCACAGTTGTGCCGGTCTTGCCTGCTTCGAGTGCTGCGAGATCTGCTGTTAAACGCCCAGTACGATCGAACGGGGAGGAAAGGGAACACAAGATTGCGGTTGAATATCGGGCTTCTCACGAATCCGCTATAAACTAGGCTCGTAGTTCTCTGGTCGCATCACACGTCTTACACGATATACCCAATGAACAATTATGCAGAGATGGATTGCACTCTATGCGTTGATTCTGGTCATTTCTCATCGTATCTCATGGTATCGTAGCATTTCTGCTCTCTATTTAGGTAAACGGCCGTCTGTGGATAGCCGTCCGCAAAGCGGCATCTACGTTCCACAATTTAAATCCAGGAGCGCGGCCGAGGATTCGGAAATTGGCGAGAAGCACTGTCTCGGTCAGCGTATGCATCATTGGGAAGTTGGACGGAGGGCCTGACTCACGATCAAAGAAGCATTCAACGTCTAGGACATAAGTCGATTGGTTTAGATATTCAGTTCCGTTCATGTCAATTGGCGAGGTGCCTTCAGAGGACATGTAATAATGAGACGTCAATCCTTCCGGCGAGAACCCATATAGAACACCGACTGTAGTGGCTGGGACCTCCAGCCACAGTGACGAGCCATCTAGCATAACCCCATGGGATTCCAGATATCCTTGCACATCGTGACAATCGTACCATTCACCCTCCAGATCAAGTGAACGTAAACGATCCTTATCGTTCATCGCCCTCTCTGTTAACCCGATCGCATCTTGCAGATCCGGCTCCGCATCCCCACTCCAATCTTCATCCCAGTCTTGGATCCCACCACGCCGTAAGATCCGACTTAATCGTCGAAGGATCTTGCCAGGTCGCCGAAAGTTCACGGGGTAAACTGGCCGACCATCCGCTCCAATGCGTGGATAGTGTGTACCCGCACCACCGAGTGAGTAGAACGGCATTTTATTGGCTTCGAGCGAACCGCCAATCTCGCTTTGCAAGGTTCGCCGGATGCTGCGTCGTACTCCCGGCATGTCTTGAATGCATGGCATTAGTCCGAATATTCGGCTCATAAGGCTGGGGTCGGCATGTGGGTCTGTTAGCCAGCGGTATGTATGTTCCAAACAGAAGCGCTGGAGGCGTCTGGAGAGGTTAGATTCTTGATGGCTGTAGGTGTAGATGGTTGTTGGAGGGAAAAGACGGTTGAGCAGGGGAGATGGTGATCGTGCATATGGGCGTGTATATCGTGAGTTTGTCTTGTCATATTGATTCGTGTTGACGTTTTCGGTGTTTCTTCCAGTACGCGAGACGTGATACCCGAATATATCGCGAAGACTCGCCAAGCTGCGATCGGGCTGGGAATGCTCCCCAGAGATTGAGCGGGTCTTGTGGATTTCCGCCATCACTAATTGTCTGGCGCGAGTGAGGCTGTCGCCTTGCGACCCAACTGTAGTAAGAGCGTGGGTCTCTTGTTCGGCACCTAAAATATCTGCAACATTCTGCAAAGTCTGTTCAAGAACATCTACACGGGTTTTGAGCCCCTGGATAGTCGCCTCTTTCTTTTGTCGATACGTACGCTGTGCGCGACGGATCTGCAATCGCCGTCCCTGAAGGCCACAATCAGCACAAGTCTTTCCCAGTCGAGTTCCATTACAGTACCTCGATCGCAGCAGCATCTTTGGTAGTTTCCAGTCTAGGGCGGCCTCGTTTACGCATCGGGCGCTCCACGGGCGGGTCTCTGATCTCGGACGTTTCGGGCTTCTCCGATTCATTTGCTTCCTTCGCTTCCTTTAGGGATGGCCGTTTCGCGCGGACTCGTAAGCGCGGGCCCGAGTTACCCTCGGGCTCGATCGGGTCCTCCGAAACGACCGAGTCAGGGGTATCATGGCTTTGCGAGTTGACTATTTCGGGTTGAATGTGGTTTTGCGCTAGCTCCAGATAAGATCGTGCGGACAGCGTCTCCGATAGCGCGTGGTCTGATCGCGAATCGTCCGACATTCGCATTAGTTCGGATTGTAAATGAAACTGTGATATTATCCGGATAGAGTATAGTATGATAGGATACAATGAAGAGGGATATCCAAGTTTGGAGTTGGGGTTGATATTATCAAGCTGTTGAATAATCACGTTAATGCAGACCTCGGCAAACCCCCACTTTTCAGGGGCTCTGACCCAATCGTCAGGACGCCTGTCACTCGACGTTCGAGCTGCAGCTACCGGAAAGCTTTAATCATCCTGGAGGCGCACTTGAGGCCAAACTGCCAATAGCTGCGGGCCCTGCAGGGGCTCGGGGCTTGGGGCTTACTGTGGACACTGATGTGGCCGTTGTCTCCGCATACCGATTGATGCAGACTGCACTTACACCTTATACATGAGTTACATTAGATGTTCAGATCGTCGGAGATTTAACGAGTGGGTACCCACAGAGGAGAGAACACCGGCGACGCCGGTGTGCTAAACGACCCTGAACACCGGGCCATCCACACCGAGTAAAAGCGAGGGCGATCAGATCGGGTTAGGAATTACAAACAGAGCGAAGTCCGACGGATGAACGAACATGACCTCCGCTCTACCGCCCATTGGCCATCCATGGATCATCCTACCCTGCGAACATCTCCACCCTGGCACAGGCCTCGGCCTTGGTCACGACCACAGTTAAATATCCCTTGCTCCCCTCTCTGAGACGAGGAGCATCTTCGCGCCATCATGACTGCCAACTTCATCGTGGGGTTTGCGGCCGCTGCCGTGGTCCTGCAGATTATCCGCCTGGTGTTCGCCTCATGGCAACACTCGCGCAAGGCCAAGAGCTTGGGTTGTGGACGTCTGCCCAGTTTTCCGAGCAAGGATCCTCTTGGTATCGATAATCTGAAACAGACTCTCGCAGCAGACAAGGAAGGATTGGTACCCAAGTTGACTGAGAAGCGCGTTCAAATCATCAGTGAACGGGAAAACCGCTATGTCAGTACCTACAACATTTGCAACCTCGGTCGCAACCATGTCTTCACCATCGATCCCAAGAACATCCAGGCCCTCTTGGCTACTCAATTCAAGGATTTCGAGCTTGGGCAGGTCCGCCATGCGAGTATGCATCCCTTGTTGGGAACCGGTATTGTAAGTCACGTGTCTTGAAGTCGGTTAGTTCGGCCAAGTTTACATTGCTGACCTCGTCCAGTTCACGGCTGATGGCGAAGAATGGTCCCGCTCTCGCGGTCTGCTGCGTCCGCAGTTCACTAGAGATCAGATCAGTCAGTTGGACTTGGAGGAAGAGCATGTCAAGAAGGCTATGCAGGCTCTGCCCGTTGCGGCCAACGGTTGGACCGCTGCCACAGATATCCAGTCTATCTTCTTCCGTTTGACAATTGATTCGGCCACTGAGTTCTTGTTTGGCGAGAGTGTTGAAAGCCAGCTGGGTGCTATCAATGGCCTCCAGCGCCCCGAGGACTCCTTCGCCGCATACTTCGATAAGTCCCAGTGGGTCTGCGCTCAGCGATCTCGTTTCGAGAAGCTGGGCTTCCTCGTGAACAGCAAGGAGACGCGTCATTCCGATAAGCAGGTTCATGACTTCGTCGACAAGTTCGTTCACAAGGCCTTGCACTCCGTTGAAAACGAGAAGCCCGCCGACGAGGAGAAAGCCAACTACGTCTTCCTGGATGCCCTTGTGGCTGCAACTCGCGATCCCATCGAGCTCCGCTCGCAGCTGCTGAACATCCTGTTGGCCGGTCGTGATACCACCGCCTCGCTGCTCAGCTGGACTACCATGATGTTGGCCCGTAATCCCGAGGCATTCCGCAAGCTGCGCGAGACCATCATCTCCGAATTCGGCACCTACTCGTCTCCCCGCAACATTACCTTTGCCTCGCTCAAGTCCTGCCAAGATCTGCAGCACTGCATGAACGAGTCTCTCCGTCTGTTCCCCGTTGTCCCCTTCAACCGTCGTGCTGCCCTTCGTGACACCACCATCCCCCGCGGCGGTGGTCCAGACGGCCAGTCCCCCGTGTACGTTAAGAAGGGCCAGTCTGTCATCTATAGCACCCACGTCATGCATCGCCGCAAGGACTTCTGGGGTCCGGACGCCGACGAATTCAAACCCGAACGTTGGGTGAATCGTAAGGCTGGCTGGGAGTACATTCCCTTCAACGGCGGCCCGCGCATTTGCATTGGCCAGCAGTTCGCTCTCACCGAAGCCGGTTACGTCCTTGTTCGTCTGCTTCAGCGCTTCGACCAAATTGAGGATATCAACGCGGATCAGCCGATCCGCTGGGGCTTGACTTTGACTAGTTGCCCTAAGGATCTGGTGACTGTCCGTATGCACCAGGCGGGTGATGCTTAAACGTCTCCCTTCTTGGTACGGTACGGATAGGAAACCTGTTGGGCGATATTGTGAATGAATAGTCTGGACTTTTGCCTTTATTGTGGGCTTGGGAGGCTTGGAGGTGTCTTAATATGCGTGGTTTGCACGCACCAGTGTGGCGATTGGGCCTATGATATGACGATACGATCTAGTTACGTTCTTTTTCATACAAAATGTTAACTCTAATTTATGCATTCAACTTGAGTGTGAAGAGAAACCTAAATAACGAGTGATATACTATGTATTTTTAAGGTGTACGAAAGTGTAGGATAGCACCACAGGACCAAGTCCCAAAGCAGACATATGGTTCAATGGGAGCTTAGATACTTCATCTTAGTTCTTTTAAGCCTTTGAAAGATATTCTAGGTTTCTTGCAATTTCTAGAAGTTTTTCTTTCAGGATACCTGAACATCTTTCAATTCTTCTTCAAAGGTATGTCTGGAGTTTACCTTGGACACGGGTACCCGGTACTGGTTGACTGCGGAAATGGATCCCCTCTTCATCCAAAAGAAGATCATTTGCAGACAGGCTATCGTTGCATTTAACTAGGTCTTGATCTTTCTGATTGCTACGACCAAGGCTTTATTGATGAAGAAATGGATAAATGGATAGATAGCTGGCAGATGAAGAATAATTTTGATGATAAATGTAGTAGAATCGAAGTAAAAATATACAAGTACGGACCAAGTCCAAAGAAGTGTCAACCGATCTGAAAGTCTCCTCCTAAGCTCCCCAATACCCCAACGTAATCCAATAGACCACCAACACAGTTTGTTTAAACACACTGGTGGTAGTAAGGGTTCTGCTGGACGCAGGTGTAGGGGCTCTCGCAAGATGTAGCACCGGTCCAGTTCTTGCCACCGCACTGGTAGTAGTGTTGAGCTACGCTTCCGCTGGGAGTGCCAGTGACGCTGCTGGTAGGCGCAGCGGAGGCAACAGGCGAGGGAGACTGGATGCTGACCATGGTGGTAGGGGCGGAAGTGGGAACATAGGTGGAGACGGCAGAGGCGCTGGTCTCAACAGGCGCGGCAGACGTAGTAGAGGATTCAACAGCGCTGGACACCTGAACCTGGGTGTTGGGGGTGACGGTGGTTACGGCCTCAATGGTGGAGGTGGAAGTCTCGACGGCACTAACGGTGGAGGTGGACTTCTCGACGGCACTAGCGGTGGAGACGGACGCGGAGTCGCTCACAAAGTACTTCTCCAGGATGGGGAGGTAGGTTGAGTACGCAGGGCCGCTAGAAGGCTCCAAGCTGTACATGTAGCTTCCCCACCAGGGACCGGCACTCCACCATGAGGCGCCCATCCAGACGTCGGTGTTGTCGGACAAGTAGGAGAGCATGCCCTCAACGGCGGTCTCACAGACGGAGTTGACACCACCGGCAAACTCACCGATGATACCCTTCTTGCCGTTGTTCTTCAACCAGGTGGTGGCGGACTCAAGACGCTCCTTTCCAATGGTAGAGCTGACACATGTCTCGGAGGTACCAGAGCTATCGGAGTCGAGGTACTGGTGCATCTCGTAGACGATCTTGTCCTCGGTATCGGTCAAGCCGCTGAGGTTGTCGTTGGTGTTGGTCCAAGACCAGGCGCCGGAGTAGGCGTTACCCTCGACGAAGATGTACTGGCTGGTGGCGCCAGCAGCACGGATACCGTTGATGGCAGCCTGGTTGAGCTCCAGAACAAGGCTCTGTTCCATGTCGTGGTACTCATTGTTAGTATCGAAGATAACCTTCTCATTGTCGGCGAACTCGGCCGCAACGGTCTTCCACCAGCTCTGGAAGTTGGCGGTCGATTCGATGATACTGCCATCATATCTACCATAGTTATGGGGGTCAAGGACGGCATAGGCACCGCTGTCAGTGATGAAGTTAACGGTCTTCTTCAAAGCAGCTAGGTAGGTCGCATCGGGGGTGGCGGTGATGCTACCCTGGGTCAGACGCTCCATCAAGAAAGGAACTCGGAAGATGTTCATGCCCTTGTTGCGCAGGATCTCGATCTGGGAGGTCTCGGGCCAGGTGTAGTCGGTACCCAGGGTTCCGGGGAGGCTTGAGCCGAACTCAGCACCAGACTCGCTGACACCGACCCCTATCGTCTATTAGTCTTCCGTTTTATGCGTATAGATTGATAGGCATTCGTGGAAACACGTACAGGTGAAACCAGTAGACCGCTTCTTAACGTCGACACTTCGCTTGGAAGGAACGACCTCTCGGCCCTTAGGATAGGCACAGACCATGCTGGCAGCGCTGGCAGCGAGAACAACGTTGGTGAACTTCATCTTGAATAATAAAAGAGTGTGTGGGTTTCGAGTTTGTCGAGAAATGAATGAATGGAAGCAAAAAGAAAGGAAATATCAAGAACCAGTCTCGATGATTGTAAAGAAAGTATGGGTTGCCAACAGAAGAGAGTTCCGAGAAATTTGAAGTCTCTTATTATATAGCAAGTTCTGCAGCCTGGGACAGCCTGGGAGAGGGCGTCAATCAAGGCCATCTGGTGGGTTCTCGGTCTCGGGCTAACAGGCATCTGACACACGGAGTGGGTTCATCGTTCAAGGCCCCAAGAGAACAAGATCCTCGTACCGGTGCTTGACCTGTCACGGCCATAGTCCCGGTGAAGGCTGGTATGAAGCCATATTGCAGGGATGGATCTGTCTAGTGTTAGAGGATGAACGAGTGCGGGTATTCAGTAGGGATCGTTGGGCCACTAGGGCCGCCACGGGGTCTAGAACGGTCAAGCTATGTCTATAGCTTAATTTAATTTCCTACCAGATCTGTTGTGGCAGAGAATTAGTCGGGTTAGGCACCTCGTAGTTGGTGAGAAGGCGAGTTTTACTGGGGCGTGGAGTGGAGCCATCGACGCAGGGCTCTCAGGGGCTCAGGTTCATTTCCCTTTGCAATATGAACTCATATCACCAAGTTATAAGTGGAAAATCAAGTGGAAATTATTCCGGTGCGTAAAGCGCGCGAGTGGACTGGGCCTTTCCTTCTTGGGGTTGTGGCCGAGACCAAAAGCGCCGGGTAGATGGACTTGCTCAAGGTGAAACACGGCGGAGCGTTTCGCATGACGGCCGGTGAATACTCGCGCACTTGGCCTAATTGATGCAAAAATTCCTTTACAAACCGGCGCAGAAGGAGTCGATGAAATCGATGAAAGGGGAAATAAATAGATAGCATTGATGTCAATTACACCGATTGAGATGAACAGTGTCAGGGATAGGAACTAGGCTGGAGAAAAAAGTACACCATGACCCCGTCGTTGGAACCTTCTAACATGCAGGTCGTTACATCATCACGCATCATGTCTACTTTCATTAATGCCGTTTCAATGACCATTTGTGCTTGCCGTCTCGGGCTGAGCAGTAAATTCGATGCACTTGTCACCTTGTCCGGCGGGGACCGCGTTAGCTTGGTTGTCGTATAGTGTTCGCTCAAAGTACCGCACTCGTCCATTTGTCTGTGCCAGAAGGACAGTTTGTTTCTGCGTACCATAAAGTCCACTAAAAAACTTTGGGTCCATAAGGCCATTCGACGGCGGCTTCTTGGTTTCATCCTCGGTGCACGCTACAGCCACATCGGTCCCGATAACTGGAACAAATATACTCTTCGGTATGAATGGGATATAATCGTCGAGGCTACTCTCCTTCGGCAAGCGAGGCAGAGTATCGGTACTCAGCACCTGAAGTAGACGCTCCACCAGAGCATCCTCATCCTCCTGAGCCTGGACATGCTCTTTGATAGCCATTTCCATCAACTTCTCCCCTTCAATGATCTTCGGCCACGTTCGATCTCCAAAGTTGGTGTTGCTGAGCCCGAGAGTCTGGTTCTTCTCGGATGCCACCCAGATGATCTGCTCCATATCGCGAGAACGGTTGGAGACGATGGCCAAAGGCTCATTGATGTGACCGCACACGAGACTGAACCCGCCTACCTGCTTTGCTTCAGGACTAGCAACCATCGCCTGCACAAAGTCAAGTGTGGTCTGCTTTTCCGCGGGCGGGCTCGTCAACCAACTATTGACGATTTTCCCGCGACTGTGCCACCCAATAGCCTCGGAAGACTTTTGCTCACGGTAGTTGGTGAGCACTGCAACTTTGCCCTGTTTGGTGACTCCCATCCAGGTTCCGTGCTCGGATCGGGCTAAATCGCGTGACCCGAGGACAAAAGAAGATGGCTCCGGCCACCAGTCCGGCGACGAGGTCGGTCGATGAAGGAATTCCTTGGTACCGTCAGCTTGAGCCCATAGCGGATTCTATACCCATACATACATCTCTATTGTCGATGACGATTAATGAGTAGAGGGGGTGCGCGGTTGAGATCAGCGCGATGCACATTGTTGTAAGGTGGCCAAGTAAGGAGTATGCGGAGATGCGGGGAAGAGGGGGAATACGACCACGCCAGTTTCCAGTGTCAGGTGGTTCGGAAAATAGCACAAATATTCAAAGAAACTTGTATCATGAACAGAGCAGAGTGGCGGTTTGTTACAGATATGTTCGGGTTGATAAGGGTGATCGGGGCGCTCGGCATGCACGACACGCCATTCTAAATGACCACACGAAAGAGGTGGTGCGAGGCACTGCAAGACAGTCTTAAGCGATGAAAACAGCCGCGGTGAAGAGAACAAGGGAGAGTAAGGAGCCGCAGCGTTTAAACTCGCGTGACGTCAAGACGAGCCGTTGATCTCGTGTAGGTTTTTCTTGCCTCAGGCACCGAGGCACATTTCCAGCTGATATCTCTCTGATCTTCTACCCCTCTTCTGCTTCACTTCTTCACTTCTATAGAGATCGGGCTTTGAGTGTGATCTCTGAAAGACTGTGACGGAGCTTTGCAGTCCCACCCGTGCTGAATGGAGGCTGTTTCGCTTGTCTGCCTGATCCGATCTCCACCGCCGTTTCGTAATTCCTGAAGTTTGATCTCCTGACTCCTACACCCTCCACCAACATGTTCGGGATTATCGCGGACTTGATGTCGTAAGTCTGTCCTGGGCTAGAGCTCCCAGTGAACTGGATGGGCAATTAGAGCTAACTTGTTGTAGCTCGGTCATCACCATCCTCTTCCCGATCTTCGCCTCCTACAAGGCTCTCCGCACCTCCGACCCCTCACAACTTGCACCATGGCTGATGTACTGGGTGGTCTTGTCGGTCATTCTGCTGGCAGAATCCTGGACTGTGTTCATCGTCGGATGGTATGGACAGCTCATTTGCCTAGGACTAGACCGCAGCTAACCGCTATCTGTACAGGTTCCCCTTCTATAGCTGGATCCGCCTCTTTTTCATGTGCTACCTCGTCCTTCCCCAGACCCAGGGAGCCCGGCTGCTTTACCAAGACTATGTCGATCCGTTCTTGACACACCATGAGCGGGAGATTGAGGAGATAATTGGTCGCACTCATGAGCGAGCCAAAACTCTCGGCCTGCAGTATGTCTATAAGGCTTTCGATCTGGTCCGGGAGAAGTTGCTGGGCCTACCTGCTCATAGCCAGACACCCACTCCACCCTCAGGCCCGGCTGCTTACGCCCAGTCACTGCTGTCGCGGTTCAATCTGCCTTCGGCCGGAGCAGCCGCGAGCTCCAACGACTGGTACTCAGTACTCGGGTCAGCGTTGGGCTCGGTCACCTCGGCGGGCAAGTCTCGCGAGACACGTGAGGAAGAGCTATCGGCCAGCGGCACTCTTCTCCAGCGCAAGCTAGAAAACATGACCGGGCCCGAGAAAGAAAGCTATATAAACGTCCAGCGTGAGGCTCTTGATTTCTTGCGCTCGACTTTGGCGCGAGAGGAAAAGGCTATGGGCCGTGACGAACCCGATACGGATGACCTGGCCTACGGACCTCCGCTGCGAAAGAACCGCAGCGATAACAGCTTCGACGTGATCGACAACGAAGATCTCGGAAGCAGAGCCTCACGTCAGACCAGCGGGAAATGGGCCGGCTGGCTGGGCACCGAGCATGACTCGTCCGGCTCATCAGGCACCGACTATGCCGCCCGGACAACAGGCTACGATCGCTACTAAGGGAGGCATACGTGATTCGGGTGGTAGAGATCGAAAGAAAAACTAGACGCTGGCTCTTTGAATGTACTTGACGGAGTTTACGGGAATGGAGATTTTGCTGTGCATTAGCGTGACCCGGTAGTCCGTACTTTGACCAAACATGTCCGAGATATACAGGATTTGACAGGTTTCGGGTAAAGATCCCCGATTCCGTCCGGGAGAATGCTGCAGCAGAACCTTCTGCAAGGCGCGGAAGTCGGGGCAGATCGCAAGAATGCATATCCCTTGTATAATAACTTGATAGTAAGTAGACTAAGGGGGAAGGAAGACATCCCTAGAGTCATACAAGGTACCTGATCAGCTGGGCATGACCGTTAGTTCATGGCTCAGTGACTGTTCGCTCCGAATAGAGGCGTTGAGGTCGTTTCCATAATGACTTGGTGGCAACGGGGAAACCGTGCGGGATGTGGATTCCTTGGACGATCCACACAAGATTGTTAGCATCGGCATCGTTCTCTTGAATATCATCTTTGGCCCAGGTGTCCCGACTGTTGCGAAGTCATAGCCTTGCATTTATAGAATCTAACCTGTAATCCTGAATAAAAGAATAACTCGATGTTCATCTCTCTCTCACTTGCCGATGTAATGGGTGGCGGAGCTAAGAATCTTTCTCTGTAGATAGTACCAACTTCCCCCCTTCCTCCCCTTCCCTTCCCTTTTCTTTTTCTTTTCTTTTTCCCTTCTTTCAACCCTCCCAACAAACCCGTAATCCCATCTCCGTTGGGTTACTCATTAAATCGGTAAGTTGGGCTCGAGTGCCTGTTGCGCCGTGCTTCCACAAACCCCCGTCAATTTTTCCCACCGAACACAACTTTTTTTCCTTGGAATTTTTCTCCTTCCACAACCCACAACACCTTCAATCAAAAACACTCTTGTGGACCACACGCTGCATTCTTTCGCTGCGTAGCTGGTCGTTGTGTGTCGAATTATTCTTTCGGCCACTCCTTTTTGGATTTTTTATTAATCGAATCCCCGTGCAGATTCCAGGTTTGGATGCGGCCTTGATTGAGCCCCAGCCAACCCTTGACATCACTGTCACCTCTCCAAAAAACCCTCTCTACGCACACGACGTGGACACTACCTGTCTAATGACATCGAACCCTCCTCAGTCGGGCGTTCAAAAAGGACAGAGCACCGCTACTACCTCCCCTTCGCCCGCCTCCAACACCCCCCTGGCCGCGACTGCTTCGGCGCCGTCCAGGTCCTACGCCAACGCCACGAAGAAGTCCGCGACGGACTCGATCGCCGCTCCCGTCACCGTGGGTGGCTCGGCGCAACATGGGAAGTCGACTTCCGTGTCTCCTGTGAACGGCAAACCCATGCAAAACCAACAGACCCAGCAGGCAGCTTCGGGTGTCACCATCGTGAATGGCGCCCCGACTGCTCCTGCTGCTTCCCAGGGCGACCACTCGCGCAAGCCCTCCGTGACTATCACTTCGGCTGGCACCTCGGGCTACATCCCTAACGGCGGTCCCGCCAGTCGTCCCAACAGCCTTCAGTTCGGGTTCGCCAACCAACAGAGCTCGCCCAACATGGGAAACCCTGCGCTTGCCTCCAGTCAGTCGCAATCCGGCCTGAATGCTCCGTCTGCGAACCCGCGTGTCACTTCGCCTCAGACTTCTCCCTCCCCGATCCCACAGCCCGCCTCCAGCGGTGGCCGCCCCCCCTCCCTCGACCTATCAGGCAGGAAATGTGCCCAACTTTGGCAGCTTTGGAGAGTCTGGTGATAACAACGTAAGCCCTGTCCCCTGTTCCTCTTGCTGTGAATACTTTTTTTCGTCGAAACATTGGGTGTGCGCGTGGTGGCGTCTCGCGCGAGTATGTGCGGGACGCGACCGCGCCAAAGCTTGCCCCAGGACCCCCACGTTTTAACTCGTCGCTCACACTGTTTCTTTCAACTCCACAGGCTCCTCTCGGTCCCGGTCCTCAGCACCTTCGTCGCGAATCTTCCCAGTCGACCCACAGCGATATGAGCAACCATATGGGCTCTGGCCCTGGACGTGGTGGCTACCCTCACCAGGGCGGCCGTGGTCGTGGATATTCTCAGTCTAACTACCAGGGACAGCCCTACTCGCCCGGCCCTACCTTCCGCCCTACTCCCAACCAGCCTCGCGGTGGTCACAACATGGGCCCTCAGTTCCACGGCCCGAACCAGGGTCGCCCGATGGGCTTCCCCAACTCGCCGCACCAGGCAAACCGCAGTCCCGCGCTCGCCAATGCGCATCCCAACCCCACTACCCCCCAGATGAACGCTGTTCCCATGCACATGCCGCCCCAGGGCTACGGCTATAACCCGAACATGGGTCCCCAAATGGTAACTACACCCTCTCATCCTTTTTCTCAGCGCGGGCGTCGCAATTTCAACAGAGGCCGCCGAAACACCTCGATCCCTTATGGATTTGATACCCGAAATGGTGCCGGTAATGGCACGGGCTACCCCCCAGTGATGCCCCAACCTACCCCCCAAACTATACCCCCAGTACCCATGCTCCTGACCCGAATACCAATCTGAATTTTGCACCCGAAACGGGCGACTTTGAACGATATCTAACATGGATGAAAACCACTCAGGGCTACCCTCCTTACGATCCTACCTACGGTTACGGATACCCTACCGGCTACATGGCTCCCCAGGGACAGTATATGGCTCCTCCCTCGCCTCAACCCCGTGCCGGTCTGCCGTACAACCCCCAGGCCGCCGGATTCATGCAGGGCCAGTATCCCGTTCAGCCACCGCCGCAGTCGACTCCTCTCTCGCGCACGCCCTCTCAGATGTCTACTGACCGTCCTGGGTCAAGCCTTGGTCAACCCGCTCCGGGTACCCCAGGTGCTACTCACGCTCACACCGGTAGCAGAACTTCTAACAGCCCTGCGCCGAACAAGCCCAACTTCATCATTCCCGCGAAAAAGAGCGCCATTGTCATCAAGGATCCCAGCGGTGCTGTCAAGACTTTCGAGAAGACCCCCGCCTCCCCGGCTCGCGCCACACCCTCTCCTGTTAAGATCTCCACGCCTCCCACATCGACGCCGCCTCCCCGAACCGCTAGCGCCGCTGATCACTCTCGCACCGAGAGTAAGGTCGCTAGCAGCAAGACCGACGAGGAGAAGAAACAGGAGTTGAAGGACGCTGTTCGCCAGAAGATCCAGGAGGATGAGGCTGCCCAGAAGCGCCAGGCTGAGGAAGCTGCTCGCAAGAGCGCCGAGGATACCAAGGCTGCTGAGCCCAAGAAGGATGATGCCGCTGAGTCTGCTCGTGCTGCTATGGAGGACTTGAGCCTGAAGGAGAAGGCTGCCCCTGTTGAACGGGCCGCCCCTGCTGAGAAGGCCATTCCTGCTGAGAAGGCTGCCCCGGTTGCGAAGGCTGTCCCCGCTGAGAAGGCTGCACCTGCTGAGCAGCCCAAGAAGGCCGCTGCTCCCCCTCCTCCCGCCGATGAGGAAGAGATCGACTTCGATGCTATTGAGCGTGAGATGGCCGAGATTGAGGCCAAGGAGCGTGCTGCGGAGGAAGACTACAACCGCAAGAAGCAGGAGAAGAAGGAGGCTGCCGAGCGCAAGGAGCGCGAAGACCGCGAGAACTATGAGGCGAACATGAAGAAGGCCGAGCGGGAGGCTGAGGAGCGTGAGCTCGCCCGCGAGGCAGCTCGTGCCAAGGGCGAGACCGTCAACGATGAGTCCAAGGATCTCTTTGCATCTCTGAAGACGGGCGGCTTCGGTGCCACCGAGAGCTCTACCCCCGGCGACAGTGGTGCTGCCACTCCTGTTTCATCTGACATGTCTATGGGTCCCCCGGCTAAGCCCGCCAGTGCCACTGGCAAGAAGCCTGTTGGTCTGAAGCTCGACACCCCCAAGCCCACCGAGCCCCTTCAGCCCAGTGCTGCCATGAAGTCTCTTCAGAACGCCAAGTATCTGGAAGACCTCAGCAAGGTCACATACCCCTCCGCCTTTACCCCCCCGGACGCTGCTTTGAACGCCTCTTCTCCCGTCGGCCGTAAGTTCCACTACGACCGTGACTTCTTGCTTCAGTTCCAGGCTATCTTCAAGGATAAAATCTCCGTTGACTGGGATTCTCGTGTCCGTGAGACTGTTGGTGACAGTGACTCCTCTGCTCGCCCCCAATCTGCTCGCACCCCCAGCATGGGTGGCCGCTCCAACTCCCGTAGCGCCATGGGAACCTTCCCCGGCTCGATGGGTCAGTTTGGCCAGCCCGGAAACCGCCACAGCATGCCTCCCGTCAACTCCGGCATGGGTCGTGGTGGCTTCCCCGGTAGCTTCCCCGGTGGCCCTGGCATGCGTGGCATGGGTACTCCCTCCATAAGCCGCAGTGCCTCTGGCGTGGGTGGCCCCATGTCTCCCCGGAATGTCTCCAGCAAGGGCCGCAATGCCTCCAAGGCCAAGCACGGTGACAAGAAGGAGCATGAGCACAACAAGTCCATGCCTCTCACTGCTGGTATGGATCTGAAGGCTCTCGAGATCTCCACCACTGGTTGGAAGCCCCGCAGCATCGGTCAAGCTTCCGCTGCCGGCCCTGCTCCTGGTGGCGAAGGCTACCTCGCTCCTGATGTCGTGCAGCGTAAGGTCAAGTCTCATTTGAACAAGATGACACCTGAGAAGTTCGACCGTATTGCCGATCAGATTCTCGAGATCGTTTCTCAATCAAAGGACGAGTCCGATGGCCGCACCCTCCGCCAATGCATCCAGTTGGTGTTCGAGAAGGCTACCGATGAAGCCCACTGGGCGCCTATGTATGCCAAGTTCTGCAAGCGTATGCTTGAGAGCATGAGTTTGGACATCAAGGATGAGAACATCCGCGACAAGAATGGAAACGTTGTTGCTGGTGGCAATCTCTTCCGCAAGTACCTGCTCAACCGTTGTCAGGAGGAGTTCGAGCGCGGTTGGAAGCTCAACCTGCCCGAGAAGCCTGAGGGTGTTACTGAGGAGATCGCCATGCTGTCCGACGAGTACTACGTTGCTGCTGCTGCTAAGCGTCGTGGCCTTGGTCTCGTCAAGTTCATTGGTGAGCTTTACAAGCTGGGCATGTTGACTGAGCGTATCAGTAAGTTCTTATCGTTCTATTTGCAAGGAGTTCACGGATTGCTAATTTTTTCCTTCAGTGCACGAGTGTGTTAAGAAGCTGGTTGACTATGAGGGTATGCCCGATGAGGCAGAGGTTGAGTCTTTGACCTCTCTTCTGCGCACCATCGGTTCCTCTCTAGATGCTTCCGAGCGTGGCCACGCTATGATGGATGCTTACTTCGCCCGTATTAACCTTATGGGTATGTCGGCTCTCCCTATAAATACATCTGTAAACAACACTAACACAACTTCTAGTTGAAACACCTAATCTTCCTAGCCGTCTGCGTTTCATGCTTTTGGTATGTCAACTTCTACATTGGATGCTTGCTCTCAAAACTAACGAGTCCTCCAGGATGTCATTGATCTTCGTGCCAAGCGCTGGGCTTCTAAGGATGCCGACAAGGGTCCCAAGACCATTACACAAATTCGCGAGGAGGCCGCTCGCGCCCAGCAAGAGGCTGAGGCGGAGCGCCAGCGCCAGCAAGCTAACCGCGGCGGCGGTGGCCGTCCCCAGATGGGACGTGGTGATGCTCGCGGATTCAGCTATGGAGGCCACCAGGCACCCCCGCCCGACTACGCCTCCAGCAAGGTTGGTAGTGACGACCTTCGCCGTCTCCGCGCTACCCGCAGCAACACCAACCAGAGCACTCCCTTCGGCTCCAGCCTCCTCGGCTCGCGCAGCAGCAGTGGCCGCAAGAACCTGGGTCCCGGCGGCAGCCTAGTCCGCGGCAGCGACGATAGTGCCGCCAGCAGCCGCAGTGGCACTCCCGCTGGCAAGAAGGAGGACAAGGATGCCTCCTCTTCTATGAACGCTTTCAGCGCCCTTGCTGCACTGGAAGACCGCGATAACATGGCCACCTCCCCGCCTTCAAACCCTACCTCCCCGGCTCTTACCAAGTCGCAGCCCGCCACTGAGCGTCGGCCCTCAAAAACCCCGTCGAAGGATGACGAGAACGCAGCATAGATTCTTTAGGAGTAATGATCAACGTTTTCCATTTCTCTTGGTTCAACAAAAGATTTCCCTTCTTCTCGTTTTGCATGTTCTTCCATCTTGCTCCCATCACTGCGCCTGTTTCTAATGTCGAAAGTCCCCGTCCTTGCATCTTCCGACTGGTCGGGTTTTTACCGCGGGACTTTTTTCTTCCTCGTCTCTTTTTTTTTGACGATTCATAGTGTACAATCTTCACATCTTTTTCTATTCTTCTTCTTTCCACTTACTTTCCCGTTCTTGCCTAATACGGGGTCGAGAAGGAGATGTACTGCGTAGGGTTGTGCTACGGGGCTATGGGTTCTTTTGTTGTTGAGCTGGATTTTCTACGGCCTGCGCGTGGCTCTGTATGAGGAGAGGAGAGGAATGGACGCAGTTGCCCGATATTTTCTCTCTGTTCCGGTCGTTAAATACCCGAGGTCTAGATGGGAGTCTGATGGATGCTTTGATTCATTCCCTGTATATGTGTAAACACTTGCTCAAGCATCTTAAACGAAATTCCAAGCTCTCGACCAATGTCCGAAGTAGATACATCACATGATTGCCGTTGCCCTTGGGTAGTGAATCCATCTTGGGACGTGACAGAAGCTTAATCACCCCCGTGGAAGCACGCACCCTCGCTGAGAGGCAAAGTGATGATTCATTTTCCCGCCTTCAACTATTTTCCCAGCCGTACCTTGCAGCCAAGCTTTGGTTCATGTAAACCACCCAAGCTCCATGGAAGGTGCCGCACCCCGGACGACACTAAGCTTCCCACGCTACGCCAGAGATGATCGTGCCCTCTAGCCAATTGTCTTCTCTGCTGAGCAGCGCGGCAGAGGTGGCGTCAACTCCCACTTCAACACCATGGTTACGAACAGCAAATCGAGTGATAGTCGCGATCGGGCTCGCGCTAAGCACAAGCTGCCTCGCAATGCGCATACACACCAAGATTGTCATAATGAAAAAGTTCTGGTGGGACGATGGTCCGTTATCTCTATTCTCCTCTGCGACTGTATCGGCTTTTCCGGATGGATCATTAACACGAGTTTATGGGCTAGTGTGCATTATTGTTGCCTGGGTAAGGCGAGCAGTCACAATCGCAGGGAGCTTGAATAACTTATCAGCCGTCTGAAGATGTTCTCTGTTGGCACCCAAGCAACCATACTGTGTAAGTCCACTAAGCAAATAAAGACGCATTGAGTTAATTCGAACCCTTTCATTAGATGGCTATGCCCACGGTGGCATCGGATACCACATATTTGACTTGTCTCCGGCAACTATAGAAATTCTACAAAAGGTATCAAGTTCATGCCATGATCTCTCTTCCAAGATTCCAGAGAAGTCAAGACTAATTCAGGCTCTATCAATGCGCAAAGGTCGTCCTAGCAGCAGCAGTGATCTATATCCCCTCCCTCGCATTCGCAAAACTCGCCTTACTTATGCTCTACTACCGACTCCTCAACACTGTCCAAGCCTGGGTTTATACAATCTACCTCGTCGCCTTCATTATCTCCGGGTACAGCCTCGCACTGGCCCTAGCTCTTATTTTCGCATGCAGTCCGATTCAGAAAGGTTGGGATCTTACAATCACCTCGGGCTCATGTATCAGTCGACCAGGCATATACCTCGCAACAGCAATCACAAATACTGTCAGCGATTTGGTTCTGATCTTAATCCCCGTGAATATCGTCTGGGGGCTTCGGATACGGCTTATTCAGAAACTAGGAGTCATCTTCATGTTTGGATTAGGGTGTCTGTATGGAATTTCCCTTGGGCCGATTTATGTGGCCGATCTCCATCCCTTGCTATGAACTAGCATGCTGATTTGAGACGTGAAGGACCATCGTCACGAGTATCCTACGATTAGCCACTTTGTGGCCTCTGGTGACATCACAAGATATCTCGTACAAAATTTCTCTTGCTAGCATATTCATGTAAGCTCTGATTGGAAGCCTGGTAACTTTCTTGGATGAATCACTAAGGAGAAATGAAAATTTTCATAGCAACATCGAAGCCAATTTTATCATTTTATGTGGCTCTCTTCCCTACCTCCGCCAATTTTCTCGCCACTACTTTTGGAAACGGCCTCCTGGTCGCTGGATCAAAGGGCATTTGAAAGCGTCCTGGTCCACTCCTAGCTCTACGTCAGTGAGGAACGGTCGAGATGAGCGGTTTGCCGACTCTCGTCATCATCCTGACGAAGAAGAGCTTTGATGTTGTGCCGTAACAAGAAAACAGCATTCGAATGGGCAACTTCTCCCACGAAGTCAGGATCTGGCTCTATGACTTGTTAACTATAATTCAAACATCATAATTTATATTAATGAAGTACTTCTTTAGTGCCGTTCTATCTGAAACGTCGAGGTATAGTACTTGACTGTGTTCTACATATACCCTTGAACCGTAGACGTCCAAGATGCCTGAAATAGAAGTATAGGTACTGAAAGGAGATGATAGGAGTGTAGGCTCGGCTGGCTGAGATGGAATACCAAAAATGCATTTCGGCGTCAATTTCATACGTCCTCACAATCTATTTGTAAAGAGAGACAGAAAGAGTGTCAAAGGATGGGGACGTGTAGGGGTATGTTGCGCGCTGGTGGGGTATATGGGCCAGAGTTGGGTGCCCTGGCGCTGTACAAATGCAATTGCTCAGGTGTGAAATGATCGGTCGTTCAATTGTCCTCGGCTTTTTCATCATTGTTCTTCGGCACTTTTCTCGTCGGTGTCGTTGGAGACTTCGATCGTTGGGATCGAGACGGGGTTTGCAGGTGATTCTTCGGGTGGTGGCGCTGCGGAGTCGATGTCGGGTCCTTTGGAGGTTGATTCTGTATCGTCGGACGATTCTTCGCTTGTCTCATCGAGAGCTTCAGGAATGAGTAGATGTCCTGGTCTCTCCGTGTCTTCGCTAAGACTGATGCTCTCCTCTGAACTGGCAGGGCTGCCGATAAGAGGGCTCCTCATAACCACTGCATCAAGTGAGTGGGGAACTGGAGAAGTAGAATCGGAGTCGTCATGGCTAAGACTGCTTCGATCCGAGACAGAAAGAGAGCTGCGCGAGTGGGCATGAGAGTAGGATGCTGGAAGGCCGAGCGCTTCGGCAACGGCAGCCTCCTCGTCGGGAAGTTTAGAAACTCCATCCTCTGTGCTGGAACTGGCGTCGAAAATGCGGCTACCTCGCTGCTCGCTGAGATTGAGAATCTGGTTGTAGCTCTTGCGTGTGGGATCTGCGCGACGCTTCTTTTTCTTCTTCTCGCGCTTGGGTGATGGGCGTACCACGATGACCGGAATAGGTGACTGCTGCAGACAGTATTTGGAGACAGAGCCAGGCAGGAGACTGTGAACGCCCTTCAAGTTGCGCCCGCGGGTACCGACCACGAGCATGGCGGGCTCGTATATACGGATCTGGGTCTGTTAGACGAATGCTCAAATATAGGATATTGGCCAATCTTACCATCCGCTGAATAATATCCTCCACTTTCCCGACCACCAGTTCCAGGACCAAGCTGATCGCTTTCTCGTCCTGGCTATTCTTCTGAATCACCTGCTCGAACAGCCTCTTTGCCTCCTGGCGGTACTTGCCCTCCTCAATGCCTGCATCACTAGCCATGCGCGAGTCTTTCTCTACCGCACGAAGACACACGATCTCGTCGCCATCATCGACAAGTTCATCGAGTAGCCACTCAAGGGCGAACTCTGAGTAATCATTTTGATCCGTGCCCACCAGGAACGACCGGCTTCGCCGAGTACTCTGATACCCCTTATGTTTGTAGTTGAGCGTCAAGGAAAAGTCCGGCGCATCGGGGTTGTCGAAAGTGTTGAAGGAGACGCCCCGTTCATAGGTCCTACAACCAATCAGCATAAAAAAAAATCCATATTGCACCTCTGGGGAAAAACGTACTTTGGCGGCGGCGGTGAAGGACCTCGACCCGCTTGCGCAGACCGCTGGTCTCTCTCTGCTTCTTCCCTGGGCGACGTATCTCCATGGGATACCCGCTTTTCCAGCGGTCGACTAGGCAGCTGCGACTCTGCAGCGGCCACTTGGAACTGGATCGACCTTCGTCGGGGCCTGCCATTCTTCGGGTTGTCTTCAAAAGAGATATTGCGCTTGTGCTTGGACCCTGCGGCTGCAGACTTTGACAAACTCTGACTGGATTCCGGACGCTCCTCGGACTCGAACGAGGGCTTTGGCGAAGGCGGTGCTGACATGTTTGCGCTGAAGGAGGGAAACCCGATCTACCGGGTTGGAATCGGCCAGGGATATGTGTCTCGTGGAAGAAGAGGTGGATGTCGTTTTGAGAGTGATCTCGTGGTGCGTGGGGTTATTGACCCTCCGGGGATGCGACTGTGTTTCTGTTTCTCGTATATAGTCGTGCTGTGGAACAGGGATCGGGCACGATGCTAATGCTTCAGCCGGGAGGCACGCAATGATGGTATTTGCTCAGTCACGCATATCCTTCAAATTGATGACTTCAACATGAAGGAGCTCATGGTTTGGACGTGTGGCTCTCGGATGTCGAAAAGTAAGGCATCACTCTTGTGGGGAGGGCAGCTGTGACGCTTGCAGCGAGGGGCTCATCCTGAAAGCGCAGGCGGTGAAGGGTTATCGATAGCATGTTCGCCGCCCGAACATTCAGGTGTCATATTGGTTACACAGTCTTGGAGGGCTTTGTGTGTATTTTACCTGTGGCTGTTTGGTATTGCATTGGGGATCGAAGAGAACATTCGAAGGTTCCACGATTTCGTAGAATCTTCGGTAATAGCCTATCCGACAACCCGTCTGTTCTATGTAACTATCTGCGCGGTTCAACTCGGGCCGACAAGGGCCTTATAACCCATTCGGGAAATACAACCCTATGGACTCTCCCAGGGTCCGGATACCCCAGAGCTTCAAGAAATATGCATCTGACAATGCATCTGACACTCTCCGTTCCGAAGGTCAGCTGGACAGACAGCAGATAACCGTATATCGAGCCAGAAAATAGGTTTGCAGATCCCGGGCCTTTCCTGGTAACGCAATCTCCATCTCAACGCCAAGTGCTCCATACCCCGTCTATCTATACCAGAGATAGTTACCACCACCTTAGTCTTCCTCTAGATCATGACTAGTCAACGATATTGACTTAGCCCAGATCCAATTATTGAATTCCCCCTCCCCAGGTGCCCCTGATGCACACAGATCATATCCCCTGTAAGCCTGAGCATCTCCACCCAGCAAACCCTTCACGACACTAGTCACCCGAAGCGGAGCCCGCTATGCCGACTTAGCCGCGATGATCGGAGACTATCGCCCACTTTGGCGTGGATCTATCCACCAGCGGTGAAGCCCCGCGAGCACATCAGCGCCGAACTAAGCTGCCACTGCGCTCAGGGCGCTGTCCTGCAGGCCGATCGACCGGTCACATGCACCGTTGGAGGTGTGTGGTTGGCAGTGAATGGTCAATCGGGGACTGCTAGATACAGCTACAGCTACACTTGGGCCTACGTGCTTCCCAAGGTTGGATTGTGTACAGGTACAAGGAAGATGTCAAGTTTGAACTGTTTTTAATGGTATATTTGGTGTTTTGCTATATACAAGTTTCGGTCGGGTTTCCAATTTTCCCCGCCTTGGGTACAGTCTGGACCCGTCCACCTGTGGATGGGGAGAGCTGCCCGACATAGTAATCGTGAGATGAGATGCAAAGTAGAGTGGTGTATAAAGTGCCATGTGCGATGGGGTGTCGCAAGAACGCCGAAAAACAGAAAATGTAGAAGGAGAAAAAAGCTATGCGTCGCTCCAGTCATCGTTCGTAAAGCGTCAGGGTATCACAAGAGTCAAAAACATTTCGTGGGTGGTATACAAGAGAGAGATGCAGAATGGTGGGTCAAGGCAGGCGAGATCAGTATGCCTCGATCATTGTGCTCTCTTGTGAAACGTAGAACCCTGACTCGAACAGATGGGCCTGGGAGCCTTCCAACGGGTTGGTGGTGGCGGATGCCTCTTTCTCGTCAAATGCCTCGAGAGTGGGTTCGTCCGGAGAGGGCGGCGTAGCCTCGTCCTCGGAGCTGTCGTCCAGGTCGGCGAGCAGCTCAGGTGGTGATTGCCGGGATGGGGAACGAGTCAAGCTCAACTCCCCCAGATCCTCGGCGTCGTCATATTCGAAATCAGAGTCGGTGTCGTCCTCCTCTTCCAGGAGGGGCTCAATGGGTGCCACGGGCGATGGTGCCCGACAGCGAACGGGAGTGTTGATGACAAAGTCGCTCTCGTCGAAGTCAGAATCGTCCTCGTCACTGTCACTGAGGTCCGAATCAAGATCGGAAGCATCCTCATGCTCGTAGTCTTCGGGCTCCTCGACCACGGTCGAGGTAGAGGCCCATTGAATGTGTCGAGGCTCTTCCTGGGATGCCTTGGAGGCACCGCTGACGGTCTGGTTGAACCAGCGTTCTTGCTCGCGCTCAGCGTCAGCGAGATCAAGCATCAGAGAATCAAGGAGGTTGGCGTGGCCGACTAGCAGGCGCAAGTCGTGATCCGCCCGCGAAGCCTCACGAGTGAGCTTCTTGCGGGCGGTATGGGCGAGGTAGTAAGTTTGTGTGATGCTCATCTTCTTCTGTTGACGTCTTCGGGTGAGGGAATCAAAGTAGGGGGAAGCGGCGGAGGAGAAGGAGGAATCCTCGGGGTGTGCGAGTGTGAGGGAATCCATGGCGTTGAGGTGCTTATGAGCTCAATTGAAAATGACTCGTTCTGCCAAGGTGGTGACTCAATACCGTGATCATCCAGTCACAGGTGGCTATGGCGCGAGGCGGTGTACCCAAGGTGCTTGGGTGTTTCAAAGGTACTCAAATAGGAACAAGGGTGGTAAGAGGCTCAAGTTAAGTCGTGTTAAGAGTTTCAGACCTTGGGGTTGTATTGTTATACTGGAGATCAGAAGTGTAACACGGGGGACGAAGCGGATTATAAAACATGATGCTTGGCTTATTATTCTTTTTTTTTTCATTCCCGTGTACCCGTCTAAAGTCCGGGTCCCGATCGGAGCGCGAAGATCCCCACCGATTTTATGCGTGGATCCACCGAGCCCGAATATCCGCTGAATAATTTGATTTTTTTCTACGTAGTCTTTTCCTCTTTCGTCCTTTTTGCCTAATTTTTATTTTCCAACGGACTCTACTCAGCCAGGGATGCCTTGCGCCTCACACCGCTATCTAGCTCGTATTGCTAGATATGGTTATGCAGAGAGTCGCCTATTCGTTACCTGTTACCTCTCTAACTCTAAAACCTATCCCCGCTTGTTAATACCGTTATGCTTGTAAATCCATAAACCCTTTTACCTCCCGTCACCGTGAGTCACCTTATGTCCGTTCTTCCGTTTCTCGCTGTTCGGCATAGACCCTGGACCCACCATGGATGACCAATTCGGCCGGAGCCGTTTCTTTTTCTTAAACCGGTCATTCATTTTCTATTCGATTACTCAACTCAACCTTCCTCAGGTTTCCAAGGTCTGTTCTTTAATTCGCATAATCCCGCGCCGTACTTTCCTCAGCTGGTGATTTCCAATCACTATATACTTTAGTTCATGATCACATCACCGCCCTCTTGGGACCAGATGACAAGATGACAATTACCATGTCGTGATTTCTGCTCGGACCTTCATTCCGTAATCGTACTCTGTATTACATGCGGCTGCAATGTTATCCAAGGCTATCGCGCTGCCTATAGGCTTGGCTCTTGGCCGCATTCCCCAGAGTCATAGTCCTGTAATCCTTGTGGCTGCGCAGGCTGACATGAGGCAGCGCAGTTTCTCGAGACACGTACCACCCCTCCCCCGCCTCGCTCCTTGCAGCCTAAGAAGCGAGAAGCGAGTAACGAGGGAATTCAGCCCCATCCTTTGGGGGCCACACCTGGAATGCTCGTGTCTTGCGCCTGAAGTTAGCTGGAATGTCGAATTGGATGCCCAGAATGGCTAAACCCAGGAGCCTTGGCTAAACCTGAGAGCCTTGGGAGCCCCCCTAGTCCTATTCTGGTGTCCTTGTGCCCTGGTGGATTGTTTCTCGCAGCATATTCCCTTTGCAGCCCAATGTCAACTTGCGTTCCCCACCGGTGCCAAAGTTGGCCCGGCAGCCCTACGGTGATCACCGAAACACGATTCATGCCTCGAGTAACTCATTTAGAATATCGTATTCCGGCCGAAAATGGCCACATACCTGTCTAGGCAATAATTGAACGCCTTTATCGACATCACTCATCCAGACCCATCATGGGTCATCCAAGGCCCAGAACAAAGGCCCGCCGGGTGAGAGCTCTTGGAATGACCTCAGAAGCTGGAGTTAGCAGTGGCTCGTATCTTGCACCCAATTCAAATTCAATCTCCATGGTAGCTTGAGCAACTCGGGCCATTCACGGGCGCACCCAGAATCGCGAGGCTCGGCGTTTACTTCTTCGTCTCCGAGGCCGATCCACCCTGACAGCTCGATGACATCAAGACCATCAAGACCCTCTTGGTCGCGGAGATACGCATCTATACTTAGTTTGAAATATCGACAAATAGTGGTGATGGCATCTGTATAGAGTTCTGGATTATTGATAGAGATTTCTAATCGGTCGCGAGGCCCTCACGCGTGAAGCACAGAAAGGAAAAGAGCATTGATGCCTTACCTCTGGTGTCACCATTAGCTAAGCGGCCCCGGATGTCTGAGGAACGCCTGAGGAACGCACAACGCATTGTCCATCTCATTTTCGAGTCAAATAAGCTCATGCACAGTCACCTGTGATCACCTGCTTCAAAATCCCCGACATGTCCATCAAAAACAATTCATCCGAGTACCGGACCAAGGTGAGTCAACAGAAAACCCGGAGCCTCGGGCGATCCTCGAACGGAACCTGACAACTCCGACGCCGACTTGCCGTTTACTCCGGAACCGTGGGTCATCCTAGCCGCACACGCACAACTTTTATGTAGAATCCTTGATGGACTCTACTCCTAATCCACGTGCATCCTGTCCAGGTATCTGCCGTATTCCGGAATGGCATGGGTTCAAGCATGCGCAGGAGCATGATCCAAGAGCATAACATTGCTCGATGCGGGGCGTGTCATGTGGCTCTCCCTGTCTTTCCTTGATAATCCGAGTTTCTTTATCACCGGACTTGGTGCATGTCCTGATGTGCATTGAGCATATGCTAGCTAGCGGGTGAGGTTAAACAATTGAGACAGGGATGAAACCCCCCTGCTGAATGTTGTGCGATGATGACACTGCTAGACATTCAATGTTCCGGGCTAAGGTGCTGACTCGATCGTGTGATAGCCTCAGATGAGGCTGATAATTTGCCCAATCGGGGTCCCGAATGCACCTGAGGTCGCACAGTCCTGATTCTTTCCCAAGTAGTTTATTAGTTATACTTAATTGGGGCGTTTCAGGAATTATCTGTCAATCAAGCAACTTGTATTGTACATACCTAATCGTCAATCTATAGATTAGCCAGATCGAGGCACAGACATCCAGAGGGTCAAGGCTCTCCCTCGGAGATATATATAAAGGTGAATGTGCCCACCGGTGGATCGTGGCTGTCGATCTCCAGGGGCAAGTGGATTCCTGGCCGCATGGGACTTTTTCTTACATAGCGCCAACGGAAGAGAATTTGACGATATATTCCAGCAACTTGGTCTAGCTATCAGCATAATGAGTCTAATAACTACATGGTTTCCCCAAGGTGTGACCTGGGGCGCTCTCATTCCATGGTGCTGAGTAATGAATCTCGGCAGTCCTATACTGCCCCGCCGTGGCTGAAATAGCTAACATCAACGCCGTTTGACAAGATTCAATTTTTATTTCAGCAATATTGAGACTGTCAGCTTTCAAGTTCGCCGCGTGGGGTGCTGAGAGAGGCGTGGTTTCCATATAAATCACCGATCAGGTGTCATGGATGACAAAAGGCGCCGGACCAGGACAGGCTGCCTGACATGCCGAACACGACGAATCAAATGCGATGAAAGAAAGCCGGCCTGCGAGCGCTGCGAAACCGCGAATGTCGAGTGTGCTGGATACGCAGAGAAACGCCATCTTATGACAAGGCACCCAAAACAAAGCTCGGCCACGCTTACGGTTACGGCCACGACCGTGTCGCGCTCAACAGAGCCTGAGCCACAAGACGATAACACACCACATCCACACTTACGCATCGATGGATCGCCTTTGATAGGACTTCCAAACAACCCGGATCCATTACAGCGGCCGCACGCACGGGCCCGCGATGTATTGGCCTACCACCAGTTCCTCTTCAGGACCATGCCCAACATTTTCCCACCGGAGAGTCTTTCATTCTGGAGAGACTATATTTGTCAAGAAGCGTGGGAAGTCGAATACGTCTTTGATGCCATAGTCGCTCTCGGATCCATGCATCGGGCAACTTTGCTGTTATCACAGCAAAGCGAGAATGACCGCCATCGAGGTTTAGACACCAAGGTCATCGCTATTCGGGCGTATGCAAACGCTTTGCAAGGTGTTTCAGATAATCTGGCTTGTGATCAAATCCCAATGGCTCTTCTATTGGGAGTACTTATCCTCTTTGCATACGTTGAGGTAAAACATTCCATCTCTTCTTACCACCCTGGTGGTACTGATTCCAACACAGTGTTTCGACGGGAATGTTCCTGCGACAATGCGACATATCCATATGGCTCAGTATTATTCTCGGGCAATGTGCTCTAAGAATACCCAAGAATCGGAACGATTCAAGAAACCGATCGAGCTATGCCTTCAAGACTTAGATCTCCTTCGTCGTGTTACCCTGCCGGATCCAAAAGTGATCAAAATGATTTATCCGCTATATCGACAAGGTCAAAGTCCTAGTCTATCTTTATCATCATCTCAGGCGTCTCTGGACCCGTCACCGAGACTTATGCTGCAACAGTTACTTGACATTGGCTCTATGGACGCCGAAATCAAACAACTAACATGGTGCGCAATTGGAGTCAACCTGAGGCAGTTACCAGAGAGCAAACTTCTGGCCATCAGTGAGAGACTGAAATCATGGAAAGACGCCTATGCCGTCCTATTCCACAGGTACGAGGTCGATGAAGCATTATCAGACCCCGTAAACTTCAATTTTGCGGCTTTGGACAAACTTTCCATGCCCCCGGCACCTCACCTGCTTCTACCAAAAGACTACTGCCTCACTCTAGCATTATATTCATTCTACCGAGCGCGTCTGCTTTGGGCACTCAGCATCCACAACCATGGGGAAGGCAACCTCGAACTCGACGCCTATCACTTTATCTACCAGTTTCTACGATTTGTCAAAACAGCCACAGACACTCCACCGACAAACTCCCAAGACAGTCCCTTAGGATGCGAAGCCCTAAGAATAGGGTTCTCGCCAATGCTCTTCCTCGCTGCCCAATCCTGCGCCAAACCAGCATGGCTTCGCTGGATATCATTCGAACTAGCTCGAGTCGGCCAAGAAGGCGTCTTCAATAACAAAGCATTCGCTTCAAGCCTCGATGTCCTTTCGACTCTCGAGACGCGCGTCAATAGAAACGCGGGACAGACTGGTATCGAGCACTTCTCATCACCGACTTCACGTGTCCTTTCTATCATTTTCCCTGATATGGATGGACGGGCTTACGTCACATACTACGGCCAAGTCAGCGATAGAGATGCAGATGGTGGAAGCCTGTATTCTCCATTGTGTATAGCGCGCTGGTCAGCTTCTGTCAATGGGGGCAGACCTGTTGTGGACACGTTTGATGGTGCTCAGGAGACGGTGTACAGTGAATGGGTGTTGCATCAGAATCTGGTTAGGGAGTGGGTGCAATGGTTGACTTTTTCGGAATTTGATCTGAATCAGACGCTTCATGATCATATGAGCGGTAGTAGGCTTCTGCCTAATCGTGATGAAATGGATTGGTAATTGTTAGATATGTTCACTGAGATGTTTCAAGTTTTTTGAACTCGGACGACGTTCACCGAAATAAGCGAGTAGAGCGAGTTAGTCGTCACCTTTTGGATTAGCTGGGTGTCATATTGATAATTATGGCGCGCGCCTTTAGTAGATTTCGAAAGACCGATGATCTTCTTGACAATTCCGTTCATTGATTCATCTGTCTCGACATGGACCAAACCAATCAACCATCATTGAAGCTTTGGTACTCTCAAGGAGCATGCTCTCTCGCCGGCTCCGTCTTCCTCCTTGAAATAGAGTTGAAATTCGGCCTACCCCTCTAGCAGGTCGGCTATTTCACCGATGAATTTGTTTATAAAATTGAATCTGGAAGGACGCATGCCCGTTCTGTCATTCGACGAAACGCAGGCAATCCTTACCGAGATTTCATACCTGGCTCCTGAGAGACACCTCCTCGGAAAATTGATACTAGAAACTGCTCGAGTGTATGAGTAGTTTATTGGAAAAGGAAGAGGAATATATTTCTGAAAGCTTCATTTGACATGCATTACTATACACCATCCCCTTTAATAGAAACCTTCTCTGTGGATTCGAGTCAATGGGAAACCGGCGGCTTGTAGTCCGTCAGTGACCGAGTCCCCAAATCCATTGGGACCACAGATAAAGACCTCTTTGTCTAGTGGTAAGCCTTTCCAGTACTCTGCGACAACACGACCCGTGTGCATGGAGATCTCCCGGCTCGGTGTATTGAGATATGCTGTGTCGAAGTTCGATTCATTGCTGAACATGGCGATTTTGATGTTTATCGTCGATGACATCTTTTCAAGAGCTGGTTTCATCAAGTTGACCATGATTTCTGGCTCTCTTGTTGCCAAAACAAAGACGACTTCACCCTCGGCTTTGGACCCCCGCTCAGCCAGTGCACTGAGCATGGCCAGAAAGGGTGTTAGCCCAATTCCACCGGCTACCAACAGAATATTGAGCTTGCCCTGGCCCATGCAAAAGTCCCCCGTGATGCCAACAATGTCTGCAGACACAAGGGCATTGAAGTAAATTGGTTGACCGATTTTGCTTGCATGGGCTTTCCTCAGGAGATCAAACAAGGCACCAGTGACCGCACCTCCTATCACCTCGCGCATGGTTAATTCAAAGCAAATCGTCTTCCCTTCTTCGTGAGCGCTCGACACGGTCCAAGTGCGGACTCGATCGTCATTGATCGACCCAGGTGCTGAATTCGCCATGTGTTGGTACTGAGGTGGCCCAATCCAATCCATAAAGTCAAGTACGATAGCTTGCCCGGGGCGAATGTTAAGATCATTGGCACCGGCAGCTGAGCTGACTTTGAATTTGAAAACAGCAAGGTCGGAAGAGAGTTGTACTGCTTCTTGAAGCTGCGCTTTATGTTGTTGAGCACCGCCCATTTGTGTCCCCGCCTCTTCTACCAGGTACTTGATTTTCGGGCTGTACGGACTGCGCTCAACGGAGGTGCCCATTTGCTGTCGGACGGGAAGAGCGTCGTGAACAAAGGTGAAGCCTGTAGCATGTACCGATGTGATACTGGCATGTCTAGCCATAATCTTGAGCGCGGGTGATCCCACAATGTTCTCGGCAGTGCCTGTCAGGTAGAGAATATCTCCTGTTGTGAAAGATACGATAGTCAAGCCGACCACCCCACTAGACTCTATGTTTCCCAGACTGGAGACAAATCGGTTGCCTGAATAATCTGGAATCACCACTGTGCGACCATCGGATGGGCGGACACGAATGAAACCGGGTAAACCACCTCGCGCATTCATGCCGGCGTGCGAAGGGAATTCCGAGACATCTGATTTGAAGATTGACCCGATGAAGACGGTATCGGCGTCGGTAATGAATTGAATCATCTCTTCTGGAAGGCGTTGCTGCGGATTCAGATGCTGATGTTGGTAGACAACTTTAGGTCGCGTATGCGGATAGGGTACGAGCTTGCGAATGTTGATGTACTTTGGGCAGTTTCTGGTAGTATATTAGCATTTGATCTACAAGAGTAGCATGGTGATTCTTGACCCTACTCACCCTAGGGCCTCGATGACATCCACGTCAATTTGGTACTCTGAATCCGACCAGCGTCTCACACCGCGTATAGTCCCCGCAAACTTGTTTCGTCTTCGCGTTGAGAATTCAATGCCCAGGCCCGCAGTGAGAAATCTCTCGCGAGGTGCTTTTCGCCTTTTTTGATCGATCCATGCTTTGGCTGTGTCTAAAAGTGGATCACCTTCCCATAATCGAGTATGAATGGACAGAGTTTGTGAATCAGGACTCTTCACGAAACCAACTTCACCCGTAGGTCCAGCAACAATTGAGGCCCAGGGTCGGCCCTCTTCATCAAGAGTAGCGATGGGAATGAAGGGGAGATTGGAAGTGTGAAACAGGCGATGCTGCTCTGGCATGAAGTTGCTGATGCGGGACCAGCCATCAGTGACGGCGTTAGCGAACCCGAGCTTTCGCTGGATGCTGAGCTCGCCGGGGTGCCACCCGTGTAGCGCTGTTGTGGCCATGAGTAATTTGTGTCAGGAGTCAAAGTCCGAAATGGCGTTCTGTCAAGGCATTATAGCTGCGCGAGAGCGAAGCTAATTCCCTAGGGTCGTAACGCCTCTTATTATGCGGTGAGATCATAGTGTTTCGTTCGAATACGGGTCTACCAGGAGGCTTGACACCCTTTGGAATCATTTACCTTTCCTAAGGTTGGGTACGATCTAGCCTCTGGGAGACCCCCCGGTAAGCTGACAAATGTCGCCTTAGCGGTCTGAACCTTTTAGGCAATTCGTTACAACCCTAGTTCCTGTTCCGGTAGCCTTTACGCTAAGCAGGTCTGTCCTGGCCCGAGCCATCGTATCCTTCTATTCTTGTAGGCAAAAGCCGGTGTGCCTGTGGCTCTAGTGAGATAATACAATCCATACAGAGGGCGTCATCTACGGCATCGCCTCACCTTCACATCTGAGAAACGGACTGAAAGTAAGTGCTTATACTAGGTTGGCTCGGAGACATATACAGGTTGATCACAGCGTATGAATCTTTCGGGCTTCCTTCACGGATTCTCTCTCAGCCTGCCTATTTACGTATACCGTATAAAAGGGATACGTTTATTCCATTTCGATGTTCAGTCTTGACGCCCAAAGGTATAGTAGGACGAGACAAGCATCGGCGACAGTAAAAGAGTCTCCGACAGCAAATTGGGTTCCTGAAGCTTTCAGCTTTTCCTCAATCAATGCATAGACTTCTTGAATCGTTTCCCGTCCCTTTTGCCGAATCGCCGGATAGGTCGATGGGTCATTGGTGAATCTTTCCGTCCGGAAAACCGATGCTACGGCTTGAGCATGAGCAGTTGTGGAAAAGTAGTTCAGCCACTCATATACTCGGATAGTCTCCAACGTGGTGCGCCCAAGTAGTTTTGATTCTGGCGCAAGCGAGGAGACCGCTGTGAGTATCGCCGCCATCTCGGTGATGACTTCGTCGTCGATGGCTAGCACTGGGACTCGGCGTTTAGGATTCACTGCTTGAAATTCTTCCGCCATAGCTCCAACTTGGGCTAGGATGAGATCTGCCTTGATGCCCGCCTCGCCTAGTGCCACATGTGGAACAAATGAGCATGCGCCCGGGGAGTACCAAAGTCTCACGGTCGGTGTAGTATTTTCAGCCATGTTGGGTCAAGTTCTTCGAATTACTTCTTGGGCCATGTATTTAGATCGTTTTATTGCGCTCATGGGACGATTTCCGTGTCACGCAATTACCATACAGGCTGAGAAATTGATGAAATGGTCCATTGATGAGTGCGAGACACATATTCCTCTTAAATAACTTCTACCTTTGCAATGAAGAGCCGAACAAAGAATTTGTCCTACTATCCTTCCCGATTAGGATATTGAATCGGTGACCGGCTTCCGTTCCGCGTAGCTCGTTCGTCTCGCTTATCTCGCTTACCTCCCCAAAGATCTGCAGCGTCACCATCTGGGCACGGAGGGTGCAAGGTTGAACCTAGCAAATCACGAGAATTTACGTGTTATTTCCTAAGCGAATATGCCCAAAGCACTCTCGCTGGGTGTCAGACACGCTATAAGAAGGACATGGACGCATTGTAATATGTTCGCCATTCCACTAGTTGCAACTGATTTGGTCTACAAAGCTCTCTCAATCGCCCATTTCAAAGGTTGAGCTACTTGGCAGCTCAGACATAATCGTTATGGCCGCACAGAAGTCGGCGACCTTCTACTACCTTGACCTTGGCAGGCTGGGTCGGGGAGAAGTTGTCAAGTAGGTGTCATACCCCTCTATACCCTCTCCCCTACGCTTCCTTCGCAGTGCTTGTCGCCATGAGCTTGCAACACTTGGACTAACTTTACAAGTCTTTTCTTAAAAGACGCTGGCATTGCCTGCAAAGATATTCGCTATCAGTATGATGATACCTGGGCTCAAAAGAGTAAGACGCTCCAGGATCAGGGTATCACAAGAACAGGAAAATTGCCCGCGGTCGAGTATCAGGGATTGATCCTTACGCAAGTACGCTGCATTTGTTCTTCCCTCGCTACATATGATCGAGACTGACTACGTCCCTAGCACATCCCAACCTTGCGTTACTTTGCTCGAGACCTCGGTTCTTATGATGGGGAGACCAACAAAGAGAAATATGTGGTTGACTGTGTCTCGGATATCTACGTCGATTGGAGAGTAAGGCAAACCCACTCGAAGTAAGGTTTCAATGAGTAACCGGCATGCAGGCCCAATGGGTAGCCAACCTAAGCAACAAGACGGATAAGTACAAGGATGAGGTTGTGCCTGAGTACCATCGCCTTTTGGAACAGTACTACAGCGAAAATGGTGGCCCGTACCTCCTGGGTGACAAGATCACTTACGCTGATTTTGCGGTCTACCAATCCATTGATAATGATGAGAGAACTGGAACTCTGCCGGTATGCTCTCTCCGCCGAACGTGACTCGGAATTTGTCACTAACCACTTTCTAGTCATCTCTCTCTCAGCCCCTTCTCAAGCTTTGCGAGGCTATCGAGAAGCGACCCAATATTTCTGAGTATATTCGAGAGACTCGTGTGAAGAAAGACTAAGCTTTTGAAGAGCCAGCCAAGTGCAAGAATATGTGATAGTTCTATGCAATACAAGCTATCGATCTAGTGCTTTAAATTTTAATAATGGCAAGGTCGTTAAATAAAATACGAATAAAAACACCAACGTTGAATTTGAGGTTGTCGCGTCAAAGACGGCTAATAGCAAAGCATGGGCGTTCTATTCGAGCGCGGTGACAGCATGTCTGCTCGTTGGCCTGGGATCACGCGGCCAAAGGCAGATGCGACGTTGATGATTGAGAGGATGTAGGATGACAGCTCTTTACAGACATGTGGGCTCACTTATGAATTCACGACAACATCGAAGATGGGGATGTAAAGGCCTATGAAAGTCAAGGCTAAGCCGATGGTGAAAAGCGTATAGGGAATATTCTTAAACGCCGCAAATGGACCATCTTCCGTGTTGGCTTAGGAGGCGCAAGTCGACTCTTCATGACAGCCGTCCTTATTGAAAGAAGGCGCAGTGCGATAAAAGCAATTTCTCGGTCTTTGGCCCTCTCGGGACCGTCCACAAAGTCGGCTTAGTGCAAATTAGTCGCAACCTCGTGGCAACAATGGCATCTGTAACAAATTGTAGACCTCATTGAGTAATACTACTTAATTAGAGAGATTCTTTCTCCTTCTAGATCTCGTCATCGGGAAAGACAGCAAGCAAAAGATTTTCTAGAGGACAACAGATGCGACTGGGCTCGGGTGCATCGCTCTTTTCGCTTCTCTCGCTTGCACGAACAAGCGTCAACCTTTCATATGAATGGCAGGGAATTATGCAATATAGTGGACCGGCGCTAATTTCTAAGATTATTTGAGAATTGAAATGGTAGATTCTCTTGATCCCAATGCAGAATCTCATGTTCGGCCAGAAAGCAAGGCGCAGTCTAGGGCCAACAAAGGATTCCAGGCACCCAATCAAGGGACAAAATAAGGAGAGAAAAAATCAAGGGGAACATTCATCATCTCATTAATTAAAAGTAGCACAAGGCACCTTGAAAGGGCCATACTATCACGACCATCCCTAGGTCTTTTTCATGGTCGTGCGCAGCACCCTAGGCGTCACGCTCACTGCATTCCCAGTCTGATCCAAATTAAACACAAACTCATCAATCCCCACGCTCCCATACACTTGCGAGTCGACCGTGAACCAAGTAATACAGGATGAAGTAAAGGGACCGATTCCGGATGGCAGGGCTGGCGGTGTGACAGCGCGGAAGGAGATTTTTCCCGGGCTTTCAAGGCCTGTGGGATACAGACGAGTGCTGAGCTGCGAGGGGCCTGTCATTCCGTTTAAGGACATGAAGGCAGCGGCCATGGAGGAGGAGTCGCTGATCCAGTTTGTGACAAGTAGACCCGGTCCGTCGTCGGTGCTGATGGTTATTGAGGAGTTGGCGCTGTCAAGGGCGTATGTTCCTGCGAAACGCTTGGCTGCTTGTTTCTTGGCGCTTTTCTCGAGGGCGGGGATTAGAATTGCAGAGACTAGATCTGAGGCAAGTGCGAGTGATTTGTGGGTGTTGGCTCCTGCGCCGAGGACGACGAAGCCGACGCCGTGGTCGGGGGAAAGAGCGAATACAGATGAGTATGTGCCGATGTCTCCGGATTTGGTATAGAGATCGATCGGGCGCTCACTGCCAAAGGACAGGATTTCCCAGGGGGCTCCGACTCCGTAGTCTAGGGATGAAGTGTGGGAGACAGGCTTCAACCAGCGTCTGGTGAGGGCCGGAGGGAGCAGGGTGCTGTTGAGAATGGCTCGCCCGATGGTGGCCATGTCCTTAGCGGAGGAGTATATGCCTCCGGCACTTAAAATTCGTGAGCATTATGACCAATGTGGATTGCTATGGTGTTACTCACGGTATCTCATCGCCCATTGCAAAGTTCCACCACTCCAGACCTCCTTTATTAGGGATGACACCGAGCGAGGTGTCGGGGGCGCCGTAAGATGTCCGGCTGAGGTTGAGTGGCTTCAGAATATCGTCAGAGAGAACCTTGCTATAATCATCGCCTGCCATCGCCTCCACGACATAACCAAGAATTTGGAAAGCGGCATTGGAGTAGATTGGCGTTCTGGATGTGGGTACAATGGGGTGCCTCTGAACCATGCCCTTGAAGAAATCTGTGTACGTCTCGTCAGTATCAAATCCAGAAATGAGGAGTCGTGAGACATACGCTTCCTATCACAAGGAAAAGGTACACCACAGGTAGGAATTTGAGATGTTGGCAGAGCAGGGAAGCCCAATGCCTCAACGGTCGAAGCCTGTTCGGTAAAATCAAGGACGCCATCTAGGGATTCGGTTAGGGTTACAAGGGAGGTCAAACCAGGGTCAAGCCATGAGCACTTACAGTCTCTTCCAATACCAGCCATGTGAGTAGCCAGTTCTCCAACAGTCACCTCGTTCCATTTGGTAAAGTCAATCCCATTATCCCAGTTTGTGGAATTCCGGAAGAGGTCAATGATAGCGTCGCGCAACTCGGGAATGTAATCCGCAACTGGGTCCTGCATGGGACCGAGCCCGTTTTCTATCAACAGCATGAACATGGTGAAAAGCTTTGATGTGCTTCCGATGCGGAAAACGGTGTTCTCATCGACGTCGCTCACACCGAGAGTGGTGTTGATGTCGGCGGCAGTGTTGAACAAGCTGAGCAGCGCACCAGGGTCATTCGCATCAAATATTTGCAAAGAGATTGAATCTGACGAAAAGTTTCCTGCATCAATTGCGTGTTCAATTGTTGTGGTAATATTCTGCAGAGCCTCGATGACCACCGGGTCCGAGGAGAGGCCTGTTGCAGCAGGCCAGATAGGGCCCAAGATAGGGCATGGATTGACAGCATTGACAACAGAAGTGCAAAACAATGGCAGCAATGGAAGAAGCCTTGTAAACGAATACATTATGATCGCTGGGAGGAGGTAGTTACTCCCGTTCTGTGGCGAGCCGACGTGGTATTTATGCGCCGCGCTATCACAGTCATTAAAGTATTAGATTAGGTTCACACATGGGGTAAGTCATACGAATGAGCACTATATAAGCAAGAAGAGCACGGACTCTCGCTGGGAAGCATACCGGGCACAGTTGAAGTCCTTAAGGGTGGCAGGTATACATTCCGATTCGGTTGGTATTCACCGGAATGCGGCCCCGTTCACGCTCGAGTCAACGCGACAAGGATAGCAAGGATATCAAGGATAGTAAGGACTAAGACGCTTCTCTCTATTGATACGATGAGGTAGTGTATGAATAGGCCTTCTTTTTCTCGCGCCGGTGGAAGGGCTAGCTCCTTTCCAGGCACGTCCTTAACATTCTTTGTTCTCCTACATGATCTTGCAAACTGTCCTTGTCCGACTGGGTCTTTTCAATTAGCCAGCATTGAGTCAATTGAGACTGACAAAATAGACTCGGCGCCATTTGTCCTTTAACAACGTGGTGAAAAAATAAATGTGTTGAGCTAAGCACCATGTCATTATTCATGCTCGCAACAAAGTCATGAACTAATCGCGGCCTCGGTATCTAACATATGAACACTGTCTAACCTGCCTATTTATCACACGACCCTGAAGACGTACACTGTTGATCAGCAATACATAGACCGCAAACTCCACCCGGTCTCAACGCAAAGAACATGGCCCGAGCCAATTACAGACCAGGGCGCGCGTACTAAGATGCTAGCTCGATCGAGTCCGCCATTTGTCTTATCACGTCAAGACCCTGGCAAGCGCCACGAAATGATTCAAGTACATCGTGCTCGACCTCGGACACCGATGTCAACTCCACTGGGGTAGTAATTTCTATGCTAAGATGATATGCGCTTCGGCAATTCTCGCTCGATTTCACGTGCTCGGTTCAGATCGACTCGGACGAGAGGCCTATTTAACCCCCGCTCAGGTGCTAAGGCGCCGATAGAATTCAGATTTTGATGGCCGTGTTGAGATTGGAGCCGAGGTGCCCAATCTCATTTCTAGGTTGTATGAGTCCCACCGAGATTCCGGGGTTATGGAACGACAGATCTTGAGATTCCAACGATTTTGCGGGAGCTAACTTGACATGTGGTTTTGAATTAAGATAGAGGGCCATAGTTAGTAGAGTATATTGACTGCAGTAAGGGTTAGATATTGATGGATAGGTAATCTTCTCAGTCATGAGATTGCCTGGGTCATGCGGCCATGCACAATCCATTATCCATTCAATCCTGCAGGTATCGGCATGTTTCCTATAAAGTTCATTTGTGTCAAAAGTCACATCCGCTAGAAAAAGAAATCCCCCGAGGAAGTCGTAGTTACATCTACCGTACTTCCGAGGTTACAGCAATAGGCTCCTGGGATGGTTTTGGACGGGAGACTGCAATTATGGTCATGCTCAGCTGTATGGCCACGAACATCGACCTACCTATACAGCCAAAAGTTTGAGCGAAACCCAACTACAGCCACATAGGGATTGAAATATGTGTAAATTTCTAATTCATAAACAAAGAAGCTATCATCATCATAACCTAAAATATCTTTTTGCACCGGGACATCACTCAACAACAAATTCCAGCCACTAACCAAATCTAGTGGTGGAACAGACGAATACCCTGCTGGACGAAGGTAATACCCAGCTTCTCGGCGGTCTCGAAGACAGGGGTGTCGTTCTGGCTGCCGGTGGGGGCGGCAATGTACTTGACACCGGAGCGGGCAGCGCGGAAGACGTTGTCGATGAAGGGGAACTAGAGGATTCAGTCAGTATATCATAAACCAAAGAAAAAATGAACAAGGAACTCACGAAAGCGTCAGAAGAGACAGCAACCTCACTCAGCTTGGACAACCAAGCATCACGCTCCTCCTGGGTGAAGGGAGCGGGAACTTCCTCGAAGACACGCTCGTACTCGACGGTCTCGGCATCGGTGCGAGGGGTCTGGCCAGAGCACAGCAGGTCAATGGCGTTGCTCTTGTCGGCGCGCTTGGTGCCCTGCTTCCACTTGATGTTGATAACACGGTCGTGGAAGCGCATCCACCAGTTGTCGGCCTTGTCGCCGGCAAGACGGGTGCAGTGGATACGGCTCTGCTGACCAGCGCCGAGACCGATGATCTGGCCGTTCAGGGCGTAGCAAACCGAGTTGGACTGGGTGTACTTGAGAGCGATAGTAGCGACGGTCATGTCGCGGAGGGCGGCCTCGGGAAGAGCGGGGGAGTCCTTGGGGGTGATGATGGTGTTGAAGGTCTTGCTGGGGGAGATAATGACGTCGTTGCGGTGCTGGGACAGCTGCACGCCGTACAGGGTACGGGTCTCCTCGGGAGCGGGAGTGTAGTCCTCATCCATCTGAAGGACGAGGTACTTGCCGCCCTTCTTCTTGGACAAGATCGCCAGAGCCTCGGGCTCGTAGCCGGCGGCAATGACACCGTCGGAGACTTCGCGAGAGATGATCTTGGCGGTGGGGGTATCGACGATGTCGCTGAGGGCGAGGATGTCACCGAAGCTGGACATGCGGTCGGCACCACGGGCACGGGCGTAAGCCTGAGCCAGACCAGAGGACTCGATGCCCTTGATGTCGTCAACCATGTAGACCTTGCGCTCCTTCTCGTTCAGAGGAACACCGATGGCAGCACCAGCGGGGGAAACATGCTTGAAGGAAGCAGCGGCGGGGAAGCCGAGAGCCTGCTTAAGCTCCTTGACCAGAGGCCAGGCGTTGAGAGCATCGAGCAGGTTGACATAGCCGGGGGAGCCGTTAAGCACCTTGAAGGGCAGCTTGCCCTGGGGCATGAAAGCAGAAGCGGGCTTCTGGTGGGGGTTGGTGCCGTAGCGCAGAGAGAGCTGCTGCAGACCGTTGCCAGCGTACTCCTTGCGGAAGAAGCCAGAGATGGCGGAGTCGTAGTCGGCGGTCTGCTCGAAGGCCTTCAGGGCATACTGCTTGCGGCTAGCTTCGTTGATGGCACCAGCCTCGAGCTCCTTGAGGAACTCATGGTAGTCGGTGGGGTCCGACAGAATGGTGACGCGCTTGTGGTTCTTGGCCGCAGCGCGGAGCAGAGTGACACCACCGATATCGATCTCCTCGACGGCCTCGTCAATGGTGACGTTGACCTTGGCGACGGTCTCCTTGAAGGGGTACAGGTTGCAGACGACGAAGTCAACCTTGGAGATCTTCTGCTCGGCGAGGTCCTTCTCGTCGGATTCGATGTCGCGGGCAAGGATACCACCGTGGACAGCGGGGTGGAGGGTCTTGACACGGCCACCCAGCATCTCGGGAGCGTGGGTGATGGCAGAGACGTCCCTATAGTACAGGGATTAGCAATGAGCTTTCCATCCGATGCTTTGAGTACAGGAGGTCATAGTTCTTTCCATGGAGAGCCAAAACACCCAATGCAGGTAAGGTACTCACTCGACAGGGAAACCGGCCTCGCGAATCATCTTAGCGGTACCGCCAGAGGCAAGAAGACGGACATCCTGCTTAACAAGGCCCTTGGCCAGGTCAAGCAGACCAGTCTTGTCGTAGACAGAGATGATAGCTGTTGTGAAAACGAACCAAGATCAGTTCAAGTACAAATGAATCCCCAACCACCGAAGAGTAATCCGGGGAATGATATAGGTCAAGAACACCCACCGGACTTCTGTTGAGACATGATGTCGACACTAAGAAGCAATTAGCAAGTAAACCACTTCCTCCAATACCAATAAGCAATCAATTGGCATGAAATGGGCCAGTACACACCTTGAATCCAAGCAACCGTATACAGAGGGGCAGCTCAAAGTGAAGAAAAGAAATAATTCAGTCCCGCCGCGGGGTCCGCAAGAACGCAATGCCGCAATCGGGGGTTAACTTACGGTAATACCGTATGTCATTTACACCACTTGTTGAGTGGATACCACGTGACGGTATCAGCTAGTGAAAGTCACGTGCCCTGAGGGCTAAAAGCTGTTTTCTCGCGCGAAGATTTCTCTCTTTTTCTTTTCTCTTCATGAACAACGCAAAAAAATCACGTTCTTCAAAAGCGTTCCTGCGAGGACTTAGTGCCCATGAACCACGGAAATCGTCATAAAGAAACGGAGACTGAGTGTATTACACAGAGTCGATCTTGGGTGCAGTGCCTGCCTGACCTTCGGGTCCTGTGGTAGGAACTGCAATGATTGACACTACAAACCTTCGCCTATATTCCTCTTTGATGTTGGAGGGATCTGTAAGGTTCTTTTAAGAAAAAAAAAATATCTTAGATATTACGTACGTCGTACATAGCCAATATGGCACAGAAGCCAAAATTCTATTGCAATTCTTATGCCATTAAAAGTCTGTATAAACTATTTTCTCCTAAATCCCACTGTAGCAACCCGGGTCTTCACATTTGCAAAATAATGACCATTCGAGGAGTCGCTTGATCTTTGTTCTCTGAACTCTGTACTCTGCTTATGTCTTCAGGGTATTTCTCGTGCCGGCTCCGATGGCGAGCTGGCGACCGATGTTTCCAAAACAGACGCAGGCGCAGAAAATCACACTCGCGACCCAGGTGCGAACCGCAATACTTTCCTGTGTAATGCCAGCTCCCATCGCGTTTTCCCATCCTGTTCCATTCAAGAATGCAGTGCCTACCGAAGGACCGGTGGATGCGGGAATCAATTGAGGCTTCAGCCCGAGGACAGCGCTCATGCCAGCGATTCCAACGACGGCGGAGAGGACAAACCCGGTCGAGGTGCGATCAATCAGATACCATAGGACGGGGTTTGCGAGAGCGAGGGTCAAGGAGGCTTGGGTCGTAGATTCCCAGGGAAGTCGACGCTGAAAAAAAAAAAAAAAAAGTTAGTTTTTTTCACTTTTTTGTTTTTCTCTTTCAGACTTTCAGAACGTCAACATAAGGGAAAGACTTACCATGGCGAATGCGATTCCGACGAATGCACCGATACTGCGAGCAACAGTCACCCACGAAGGAGTTCGGTCCTGGCCGTCTTCACTGCTAGTTTTTGCTTGATAACTCTCGTCGGTCTCGCGCCAGCTATCCAGCCAGGGAAGAAGGTTGCCCAGCGCAATACCTGCCAAACCCCAGGAGCCCAAGTACTGCCATGAGTCGTAGTAGTGAACGTTCTCAAGCTTGACAGGTGTAATCCAGTGGTTCTCGTGCAGGTGGACCGTAATCACGCCGTAAACGATTCCAAAGCCAAAGAGCAAAGCACTGCTCATCACCTGCGGCAAAATAACGCCACGGAACATGCCCTGGCTCAGTCGCGAGCGAGTCCGTCGGAGGGCATACCGACGCGGCTCAGTCGCAGACTTCTCAGCCTCGCGCTGCATAGGCTCCGGGGGGTATTCGGCCGCAGGGGAATTCGCTTCCGTGCCCCAGGGGCTGTCTTCACCGCGAAGGCCATTGAACGCAGTGGGCTGGTAGATTCCGTAGAGGGTCGAGGAGGTCAAATTTAAGATTGAGCCGGTGCGACTCACGCTGGTCGAGGTCGATTCGGTCTCCTGAGTGTTGGGACTCAGCAGGTCGGCGCTGGCGGGATCGGCGGGCGTAGGAGGTCCGGACGACTCATTGGAGGCAGGGGTGAGTTCGAATGGGCGTCTTGGGCGCGGCCGCAGGACGCGAGGTGTTTCCGCCATCGTGTACGGGCGGTTGCTTTTCGAGTTATTTATGTTGACAAGACCGTTGGTCTCAGGGCGGACGGGATGCAATGTCACTGGGGCACTAGAGCCTCCGATCGTCGGCGCAAGGGACCAAGCGGGTTCCTGAATTTCCACCTGGTAATTGCAGCGGATGGATCGGGGTGTCGAAGAATAGACCCGCAGCTACAGCTGAAAAATTGGTCGTACACCGCGTCCGAAGAAAAAATAGGTGTCCGGGGAAGGGATTCGGAGGGATTTTCGGTACGATGGACCCTTGGGGAAATCCAAATGTGACAAAGATATTCCTCTCGCAAGATGCCAATAACTCAGGAGAGAAAAAAGAAAAGATTGGAAGCCAAGCTTAGAAGCTCAAAAGTGTTGGGGGATACGTCAGACCACCGAGTGTCGAGCCTTAGGAATCCGCTCGTTGCTGTTGGCAGAATCGTTAAGTTTTCGACTTTGGCCTCCACTTTTGAGCCGTGATGACTCTCTCTGAGTTTCTTTGCGTAGATCTCTGGTGAATTCGAAGGAGAACTTGGAGGGGAACTTGGAGGGGTAATCGCCAGGACCTTTACTTTCTACTTGACAGTGGCTCGAGACTCGGACGCAGACGTGGATGCGGAGTAAAAGAGGGGGGGCTTCACATGTAATTGATGCCCGTGTATGCAGTTGGCCTTCGACGGTGACATATGACATATGAGTGGGGGCCCAAGACGCCCTGGATACCCTCGACGATGATCGGGCCATCGCTTCTCGGAGGCCAACGCATCACGGTGGACTCTCGCCGCCCTCTGCTCCACTGCTTTCTCGTCATGCTGAGACACCTCCAAGCCGCTGCCTTCCGTCCAAGGTTGGAAGAGGAAGGAAATGAGACTCCTATACTACATCTAAGCCGAGAATGGCGCGTCTCAGGTCGCAGAGTCCTTCCAGTCTGGGTGGTCTAGAGGTCTCTAGGTCCAGGACCTCGGTTTCCCCGTAGTTGAGGACTCGAGCTTAAAAAGAGTGGATGTATATATTCCAATGAGGGTCCACCTGCACGCAACCAGCGGTAGCGCCCCAACACAATTGGAATATGCTCCCTGAACCCTTGGATGAACAGTCCAGAGTATTCTGGAGTACTCCAATTTATAAACCACTAGTTGAGCTCAAGGAATATACCGAGGCATCAAAGCATGGATGAAGCTCGAAGTGGCGACCAAATCGAGTTCATCCGCTCCGACGGCGGGATTCAAACACGACCCCCGAACGTCGATCTTGGCATGGAATCGTAGATACCATTTAACCTCGCGCAGAATTGACTTTCCAATCCGATAAGCTTATTCAAAGTCTTGCAAGAGCATCATGCTCTCCATTAATATCCCCCAGCATACCACGCCAGACAGTTACCAGTTGAGCGAAGTCCCCGTTCCTAAGATCGACAGCCCCAAAGACATCTTGATCAAGACCTATGCGGCAAGTATCAATCCAATTGATGTCAAAAAAGCTTCTGGTGCTTCGAAACTGGCCTTGAAGGATAGGTTAGTATATTAGTATACCCCAGGGCCCGAACAAGCTCGTAGTCTGACACTTAACAAGTTTTCCCTACAAAATCGGCTATGACTGCGCTGGCGTCGTTGAGGAAGTCGGATCCGATGTAACCTGCTTCAAAGCCGGCGATGAAGTCTTTGTGCGTTTACCGGAGTGCCACAGAGGTATATGACTCTCCCATCAGCAAAGATGGATCATTACCGATGAATTTACATAGGAGCATGGAGCGAGTACGCAAAGTCTACAGAAGACTTTGTCGCCCCGAAACCAGCTGGACTTTCCATGGCAGAAGCGGCTTCGATCCCTCTAGCAGCGATGACTGCACTACAAGCTCTCCGACGGTATCAAGGGAATCTTGAAGGGAAGACCGTCTTCGTTCCAGCCGGATGTAAGTCCCTGCTGATTCATTTGGATTCCAGATGCTGATCTTTCTTCACAGTAAGTGGCACTGGCTTATTTGCCTGCCAACTGGCCAAGAGCATCTTCAAAGCCGGCAAAGTAATCACCACCGTCTCCACGGCCAAAGTATCCAAAGTCGACGAACTACTCGGCCAAGGTGTCGTAGACGAGGGTTAGTCCCTACCTGCTCTACCACACCACCATGCAAAATACTAATACTGAACTACAGTAATCGACTACTCAAAAACAGATCCCAAGACTAGCATTCCCGAGCGTTCTGTCGACTTCATTCTCGACACAACAGCCAGCGCAATGGCCTATCTCTCTCTTATGCGCCCGGGAACAGGCACGATCGTCACCATCTCCATCCTGACTTCGGGAGATGTCCTCCAGAACTCAAGTCTTATGCGTCTATCGCCTGATCCGGCTGACAAGGCTCCTGCGCCGTTCCCTCTGCGTTTCTCGTTGAATGTACTAGATCGGATTCGTGTGTTGCGGGCTTCACGGTGGAAGGTGAAGTACTTCTCTATCTTTCTTGAGCCGAATGCGAAGGATCTTGAGTTGGTGAAGGGGTGGGTTGAGAGTGGGAAGGTGAGGACTGTGGTTGGGACGAGGGCTCATTATAAGGATGTTGGGGCTGTGAGGGACGCATGTCAGAAGGTGTTTGACGGGAAGGGAGGTGTTGGGAAGGCGGTTATTTTATTTGACTAAATTTTTTAAAAGTAAAACTAGATAGAGATGAAGATGAAGGTGTGATGGGATAAAATGAAATCCATGCCATGACAAGCGGAAGGATATAAGTGTACAGTCCAGCACAACAAGCCCTATATTATCTTAAAGTCACAGTGTACCCAACAACACCCCGGTCCTGGGAACATAAAAATAAAGCAATTGAGATATTATCGTCACAAAATCCTTAAAACACCCACTTAGTCCTCCATTGCCACGTCACCTCGTTCGCCTAGTCCCGACGGAACAGGGGATGAGCTCTCGTGTCGTGCGTAGCCGTTGGGTCCGTCGTAGGTTGACGAGTTCTCGTCGTCGTCGTCCGAATCATCTGAGGAATCGCCGTCGTCTTGTCCTGCGCGTGGTGGCATATCGTCCTCGCCGGAGGCCTCGCCGAGTAGCTCGCGGTCCAAGTCATCCAGTTCGCCTTCCATGTACTCATTTCCAGTGGCATGTTCAGGGTCCCAAGATGGTGTGCCCACCCCAGATGCACCGACAGGACGACTGCGACCACCCTTCGGGCGTGCAGACCCAGGCGCCTTCTTGCCCCCAGAGGTTGCCGCAAGGTTGGTGGACTTGCGCTTCGCGGGACCGCCCCGAGACGGTCGTGCGCGAGACCGGTTATTAGCAGCCCGTACATCAGCTTCCAAAGCGGCCTTCGTGCGTTGACGCTCCTCCCGCTCCTGACGGCGATCCTTCTTCGGTCCATTGGCGTACTCGTAGTCCCAGCGATCAAGACGTCGAGATGCTTTGCGGATCACAGAAAGGAAGAAGCTGGCGCTCTCGCCGAAGTCGTCCTCTTCCTCGGGATTCGGAACCAGGCCACCTTTGCCCCATGCAGTCTCTTCATCCTCTGTATCGTAACCGTCGGGTAGACCCTGTAGGAGGCGTCCATATCGGACGAATGGAATCTCGTTTTCGCGCTTGCCACGAATAACGCGATAAGCATTGCTTCTCCGCTTCGCAAGGAGGTATTCGATGCGTTGCCGGCGATTTTGCTCGACGGCAATCTGATGTTGCGTGAGAGGGCGCGGCCGACGGCCAGGCGCCTGTGATAGTGAAGGCTCAGGAATGAAGCGGTTCAGAACAGGGTGGTTTCCAGAAGGGGCGGGAGAAGCATCGGGGGTATGATCCATTCTGGTCTTCAAGATGAGACGCTGCTGGCCCACGGCACGGTTCAAAGACGATTCACGCTTAGCTTGCTTGTTGCGGGGTCGAGACATGCCAGGTGTGAGCTCGTCGTCGTCGTCATCCAAGCTTCGCTTCGCAGATGGATGAAGTGGTGTTGACATGGCGGATCCGCGTCCTCCCATGCCAGAGTAGTCGCCTGCGAAGGAGTCTTCGTCGAAGCCATATTCTAAGAGATAGAGGTGAGTTTCTGAAGAAGTGTGGTACAAAGGGATCACGACAGCTTACCTTTCTTTGGGCGCTTCGGAATCCGGGGAATTGGCTCATCCTCTTCCAAGATGCCTATAAAAGCATTAGTAAACCTCACAGTCATTAGCAGACCAAATAATCACTCACGCTTGCGCTCAAGCCTCTTCATTTCTCCATATTCCAGTTCTTCAGGTGAATCCACATTCTCCTCGTTGGCCTGCTCCTCTGTCAAGCTCTCAAATACCGGCACCTTCAAAGGCAAGCCCTCAGTGCCCTCACCTTCCAAACCAGGCCCAAACGGATTATTCCTTGCGGCCTCGGGTGTGAAATCGCTCTCCAGATACCACCACATCAGCCAAAGGAACGCCCGAGCGCGGCTCTTACTACTGAGGGTGGATCTCATGACCAAGTCGAAGAAGTCGCGCGGGGGGAAGAAATGCATTTCCGAAACCTTTGGAGCATATTGCGCCAAGACGAAGATGAGGTTGACAGGGTTTGTCCGAGGTGCATCCTGGCGCTTGATCTTGTCCAAGGTATTCGGCTGATCGACATCTTCCGAGGCGCCCTTGAGGATAGACTTGAGACGCGGAGCATCCTGCAGCTGCTTGTAGGCATTGGAATCTTGGTGGGCTTGAAGAGAAGGGATGGAGTGGTAGGTTCGCAACTGGGCACGCATTTCGGGAAAGACTAAAAAGTAGCGAAGAGAGACACGTTAGTACCGCGAAATGGGTAATACCATACGATAGACTGGGGAAAGGGCGTACAGTTCAGAGTCGTGTTCATGCGGCCGAAATTAACCAGCAGACAGACCATCGCCATGCTTATGGCAGCGGGCTTGTCATTCTGTAACTTGTCTTTAAGGATCTTGCTCGTCTTGCTGCTCCTCGCCATCGCATCGATGTATATGTCGGCAAAGTCGAGATTCTTTTGTCCGTCGGGGTACCGCGTGAAGACCGGGGTCTTGTCCTCGAAAACGAGCTTCAGAAACTGGTACTGGATATCCTTGCGCCATAGGGGAATGCCATCCTCCTTCTTGAGATGCCGAATCTTGTTGCCCGAGTAGACGGAGCCAATGGTGCCGTTGGCCTGGCGTCTCGTGCCGACCGTTGCGCTGGCGGTCATGCCATGATTCTGGTCGTCCGCAGCTTCGGACACAGCGAATGATTCGTCCATGGCGGGATTTTCGACCTCGGCCATCCTGGGTGATGATTGCGATCAGGTATGTGCGCCTGTGCGAAAGCTCCTAGGGATCCGAGGGAGGTTGGAGGTTCGAGGACGATGATGTCGCCCCCTTAGGAGGCGCGAGTAGATGAATACGCGGAGATGAAAAGGTTGAAAGGGGGAAATGGGGGGAAGGAAAAGAGGGGGAGGAAAAGAAAGATGCAGGGGGAAGGGAACGGACGAAATCTTGCCGAGTAGAGGATGAGTCCGTTCGTGGATTTAAGTGGTGATATCTACCCGCATTCACGTAACGTGGTGTCTAGTTACTTGAACCATCCCGACTAATTTCCTTCGTATATGACAGCTGGTTCAATGTAAATCTCGAGTACTTTGGAGTTGCTCATTACAGATTTACATCGGATTGAAATAGTCCTGGACAAAGGACGGGAATAGCCCGGCCCTGTCAAGTCCAAAAGTATACGAGCTACAGGGTCTCGTCTACAAAGAACCTCGGAACTTAGGGAAAAAAAAAGTTGAACTGGAAACACTTTTCAAATTGCATTGAAATAAGGCTTTCCTTCTCGCGGCCTCACCCAGACCTTCTGCGTCCTCCCGGCTCGAACCATGCGAGGAGACATGATACCCGTGAGCAAACCATTCATTCAGCGCCAGCGACATCCCATCTTCGGTTCCACGATGCAAGAAAATAAGAGAACCGTGGAAACAAAGCCTCCAGAGGACATATAGTCGTCAAGCCAACGCCATACAGAATGCAAAGAACCCATAAAGCCACGCAAAGCAACGACAGCAACCGCCGGTGCCATTGCACACATTAGCCTGAGAAAGAAAGCGCGAATTTTTGGCTTTCGAAGACCGAATTGACCGCAGAACACACGAGGGCAGCAACAGAAAGAAGAGTCCGCCATAAGATACCGACGCTGGAAAGTCTATACAAAGGCATAGCACAGCACCGAGAAGATGGATGCAGATAGAGAAAAAGCACTTTTCGAGGAGTGTCGAAAGCCGGCATTCTCCGCTCGGCGCACACGCGTCGATTCGAACGTATCCCCCACAGGGGACGCTCGAATAAAGGGGTATCTGATGAGAGCGGACACAAAAGACAACGCATTCTATGATGTTCATGCAGCGCTGATCACCTGGTTGCTCGATAGAAAAAGGAAATTGTCATGAGGTCATGACCAGGGAGCAACAAGAAAAAGGTAATCAGGACTGCTCGAACGCCCCGTGTCGAAACAAGGCCAGATTGAGAGCCAGTGAAAACGTGCGAAATGGAAAGCAGGCAAAACAGATACAGGAAAAGGAAGATAAAATATCAGAGAAAACACGGAGATAACAGAGAAGCAAAGAGAGCAACGACGCATGAATGTAGACAATAGGAAAGACGTGGCAGTCGTGACAAAGCCGTCCCTGAGAAATAACGAGGTATAAGAGAGCTCAGGGGCGCGTTCTGATCGTATCCATCAAAGAGAGAAAAGGAAAAAGGTGAGAGGAACCAACCAGACCTGACGGCCTCGTCATCAGACCACGACTGATTTACCACCAGGAAGAGGGGCCGGTAGGGCCGGAGGGGTTGCCGTAGCTGCCACCACCGCCGCCACCACCAGCACCACCACCATAGCCGCCGCCGTAGCCGCCGCTGGCACCACCGCTGCTGTAGGAGGGAGCACCACCCATGGTGCCGCTGCCACCGTAGGAGGGAGCAGCGCCGTAAGCGCTACCGCTGCCGAAAGTGGAGGCAGAGGCACCCGGGCCACCGCCGAAGCGACGAACATCACGGGTAGCGTTGGAGCTACCACGGCCACGGCCACCGCCGCGGCCACCACGGCCACTGAAGCCGCTGCCCTCGCGAGCAATGCTCTCCAGGAAAGCAGGAACCTCCTGGTGAGCTTCCTTCAAGAGCTCGAGGAGGTCACGGACAACACCGCGGTTGCCACGGTTGAAGAAAGCGGTGGCAATACCAGTGTTACCGGCACGACCAGTACGACCGATACGGTGAACATAGTCATCAATGTCGGTGGGCAGATCGTAGTTGATAACGTGGGTCACGTTGGGAATATCGAGACCACGGGCAGCAACAGCGGTAGCGACCAGAATGGGACAACGGCCGTTACGGAAGAGCTCGAGGGCACGCTCACGCTCGCGCTGGGTGCGGTCACCGTGAATGGCAGTGGCAGGGAAGCGCTGGTTGATGAGGAAGTCGGACAGGGAGTCAGCCATGCGCTTAGTCTCGACGAAGATCAGGGTCAGACCGGTGGTTCCGTGGGTGTGGAGAATGTCCAGCAGAACCGAGCGCTTGTCCATGTCCTCAACATACTCAATCTTCTGAGTAATGTTCTCAGAGGTGGAACCGACACGACCGACAGACAGGAAGATGTAATCCTTCAGGAAGTCGCGGGCCAACATCTGGATATCACGGGGGAAGGTGGCAGAGAACATGAGGGTCTGGCGGTCCTCGACGCGAGGCATATCCTCACCCTCAACAATGCGGCGAATTTGGGGCTCGAAACCCATGTCCAGCATGCGATCGGCCTCATCAAGGACGAGGTACTTGATGTTCTGGAGGGAGATACGACCACGCTCAATCAAATCAACGAGACGACCGGGGGTAGCCACGAGCAGATCGCAGCCACGCTCGATCTGGCGCAGTTGAGAGCCAATATCGGCACCACCATACACGACACAGGGGCGGACCCAGGAGCGGTAGGCGAACTTGCGGGCCTCATCGAAGATCTGGGAGACCAGCTCACGAGTGGGAGCCAGAATGAGCGAGGTGGGGTAGGCCTTGCGCTGACGGCCGTAACTGAACTGACCACCACCCTGCTGGGCGGGAGCGGCGGAAGGACCGTTCTGGAAAGCCTGGGACAGGATGGGGAAGAGGAAGCCACCAGTCTTACCCGAACCAGTCTGGGCACAAGCCATGAGATCACGTCCGCCCATGACAATAGGGATGGAGTATTTCTGAACGGGAGTGGGAGTAACGTAGTTGGCGAGACCGATGTTGGTGATCAGGTGGTCATCAAGAGGAGGGTTGGTGAAGGTGTTGACGGGATCGGGGACGTTGTCACCGGAGGCCTCGACGGGGATATCATCGTAGTTGGAGAAGTTGATACCGGTCTGCTGCTTGGTAGGGTCGTTGGGGATACCGAAGAGCTCACGCTCAACGCGAGCGTTGGCGGGTCCGGGAATGTGCTTGCCATCGCGCCACTGGCCATCACCAGAGCCACGGGCTTGAGCGCCACCACCGGCACCAGCACTAGCACCGCCGCCGCTGTAACCTGTTGACGCGGGATATCCGTAAGCATGTGGGTTAAAGGGTTGGGCTTCTCCAAGGGGGACCCAGTTGGACTTTGAATTGGAGGTGGAGTTAAAGTTACCATTGGTAGGGCCGCGAGGGCTGAAGTCGGGAGCGTTAGCGTTGGCCCAGTTGCCACCGCGAGGACCACCCCTAGAGAAGCAATTTGAGGTTAGTGAACGAATCTCACAAATATGGAATCGGTGAAAACTGTACCGAGGAGCACCGTAGCCAGGGCCGGGGGGAGGGGCAGCACTGTCGATGTTGCCAGCGCCAGCGCCCGTGCTGCGCTGGGAGTTGCGGAGGTGGGGAGGGATGTAGGCGGCACGACCCTGACCCTGAGGGGGGTTACCCCCCTGGGGAGCGTGCTGGGAGTCGTTGATGGACAGGTTGCCCATTTGGAGACCGTCGGCCATGATTGCGGGTATTTTGGTTATTCTAAAATGCGGCAAGACGCCTGTTGTCAGTAATTCAAAACGAGAACCAAATTTCAGATTTTGCGAGATGACGAAGGGAGAACGGTATGCGAACACAGTTCTTTGGCATTCACCGAGGGAAGTTTCTTCAATAAACAGACTAGAACTTCATACAACATGACGACTCTCGCAAAAATCTCGGGTGAAGGAAATACCTTTAAAAAGAAAAATGAGGTCTGTAGGAGACGAAGAAGAGCTCACTCTTTTTTTTTCCACTCAAACAAGAAGTGGCAAAAGAACAAGTGAAGGAAGAGGAGCAGGAGAGAAGGACGAAAATGCAAGTCTCCCCAAATCTAAGAACTCTATGAGCACCGAGAAAAAAAAAGAGAAAGAGGGTTGGGTTTGGAAAAAGGGATGTGAAGGGGAAGAAGGTGTCGCAGGTTTTCTGTGGGAGGCGAATCCGTACCCAGGTGAACTTGGTTGATCCTGCACCGCAGATCGGTACCGCGGCAGTATACTTTACATACAGGGGAGTCGATACTTCGGTACACCGCCATAATATACCGGATTAGGCTTGGCGTTTGATACTGACCCAGTAAAAACTCCGTATCAACACGCAGGTCAGATTTTTTTTCTGACACGCCAGTTGTTGAGACTATCTGACTAAGGCGGCATTTATGCACTGTGACTGGATGCAGCATGTGCATGTTACCTTAAAAAGCTATACTTGGAAGTACACGGTCCTCTGTACTGGGTACTTCGACATGGGCAACACGGGCTATAAATAAAGTAACTTGCTTGTTCTACCTAGGTACTTGCCTAAGCTTCAAACTCCTTCATTTCACGCTGCTGGTTGTTACGGCGAACAAGGTAGATTCCCACCACGATAACAATCGCCAGCAGGAACCATAGCGGGCGCATCGAGTATGAGGACGCATCGGTCTCCTCAACGGGAACTTCTGTGTTGACTTGGGGCTCGTCGTCGTCGTCGTATTCTTGGAGATGCATCGTCAGCCACCGTCTACCAGTAGCGGAGGCGTAGCACTAGGGCCGTTGCTGATCTACAGCTCGTCGCGGCTACCTTTGTCCTCGGATTCCTTATCCATCTCGAGCTCGCCACTCTTCACGATCTTGACAGCGTCGATGGGCTTGTCGCCGCGGGCCTTGGGAACGTTCTGGATCTTGTCGACGATATCGTAGCCCTCGAGGACCTCGCCAAACACGACGTGCTTACCATCGAGCCACGAGGTGATAGCGGTGGTAATGAAGAACTGGGAACCGTTGGTGTCCTTGCCGGCGTTGGCCATGCCTGGGAATCCGTTAGCGTCGCCTCGCGATGACTAGCATTGGGGTATATCATACTCAGTTGACCCTTACGGGTGTGGCGGATCTTGAAGTTCTCATCGGCGAACTTGTTGCCGTAGATGGACTTGCCACCGGTGCCTAAGCAATGATTAGTACCACGAGGTATACTTACCAAGGGACCAATACGAACCATCGCCCTTGGTGAAATCACCACCCTGGATCATGAAGTCCTTGATAACACGGTGGAAAGTCGAGTCCTGGAAGCCGAAGCCCTTCTCGCCGGTGGCCAGAGCACTGGGGTTCCATTAGTATTCGTCAAGGGTGATCGTGATCGTGATCGATGTCATCGTACCGGAAGTTCTCCGCAGTCTAGAAGATCATAAATCAGTCATTTGTCTCAATTGAAATCGGAACCAATGGATTTCGAAGTTACCTCAGGGACGGTCTTGCCGTACAGACCCATCACAATGCGACCGAGAGGCTCGTCGCCATGCTGGATATCGAAGTAGACCTAGAGAACGAGTCAGCTCTGCTAGAACCCCAGTAATGAGATGAATTACCTTGGTGGTGATTTTGGGACCACGGGGCTTGGCCTCCTCAGCCTGAACCAGGGCGATGCCAACGGCAATGACCAGGAAGAGGGACAAGAAAAGGTTGCGGAAATTCATGGTTGCGAATGGCCGAATTTGCAGTTGAAGAAGAAAGGAGGTCGAGAGGGGAGGCCAGCTTGCGCAATAGCGTGCGGAGAGTACACACTCCCAGATGGTAATATTTGCAGTATCTAGCTATTAATTCAAGGGGGATTTCCAATTATTTACCGTAAATACGGAACTGAAGTTTGAAAATACGTTGCGTGATCTGCAATTAATTACCCGGAGAAACATTGTTGCCGGTCGATTTCTCCCGCTCAACTCGGCCAGTGTCTCGACTCGAGCACGAATTAATTGACAGGCACACACGACAAGACAAGATGGTACCGTGCTCTCGCCTGGCCTTTGGATGTCTATATAAGCTAATACAGTGTCTATAGGTCTTCATCCTCGGCGTCAACTTCCCTGAGCGGAACCTGCTCAAGGTCAGCACACCCTCGTCTACATCACCTCCGATCTCAATCCTCCGCAACCCCCAATTGACCGGAAACTAAAGCCAATCTACATATAGAAATCCCTCGAGTCTTTCTTCGGAGTCGGCGGCAACACTTCATCTCGCCTCTTGGCCCGCTTCAACATTCACCCGACCTGCCGCGTTGGCGAGCTGGCCAACAAGCAAGTCCTCGACCTGACCGCCGTCCTGTCCGACATGAAAATTGAAAATGACTTGCGCCGAGAGGTCTTGAACGACATTAAGCGCTTGAAGGAGACTGGTACCTACCGCGGTCGCCGCCATGCGCTCGGCTTGCCTGTACGCGGCCAGCGCACCCGGACTCAGGTTGGTCTCTCTTATCCACTTTCCTTGAGGTGTTATTGGGAGCCGGAGGGCTAGCATGACTTTGCTGGCTCTCAGCAATATCGGATAGGGAAATGTGTATTCTGGAAGAATATTTACTAACCACTTTAATAGATCAAAACTCCTGTCCGATTGAATCGGATGGAGCGTCGCCTCTAAGTCTCATCGCTGCGTGGCCTTTTTTGAAAATATTATTGGGACAATCTCACATCTTGTGTGAGGCATGGGAATGGCGTTTTGTTGATTGCTGGATCTTTAGCCGGCTTTGATGTCACTGTACCTAGGTACCTCTGTATTATATCTCCAATGGGCGTGGAAAAAATAATCTACACTTTGGAACACTTGGAACACTTTCTTGGTCAAGCCCTAGGGGTATATACCTACTTTCTTACGTCAAAAAACCTGACCTGTAGGTGATGTCCACCGCCTTCATAGACTCCAGGGCTTACTCTCAACATCAGCATTGGAAGGATTGGAAGAACATAATAGATCGAAAATAGAGTAGATTTACACAAAGGTTCGATATAGTATATCCACATCGGTGGGTCTAAGAAAAGGCTGAAATCGAGAACAGACGAACAGAAACTTTTAAACAAAACCCGGATCTCAAACGCCTAGCCAATATGTGCAATCTACTGCTTTGCGGACAGGACACCCTCGCCGCGGTTGATCTGGATGCGCTTGTCCTCACCGGCACTGACAATGCCAACCTCCCTGTCCCAGCACACACTGAAGACCTTGACACCTTCACCACCGACGCGCTTGCTGTCGGCCTTGCCTTCCTCCTCGAGGCTCTTGCGGCCAATCGAATACACGCTCTCGCCGACAATACCGTCCTTGTCAGACTTGGTAGAGCGGATATCCCAGATTCGGCATGTGCCGTCGTGGCTACCACTAATAAGACCGTAGGTGCTGTGAGGGTCGCGGGCGAGGCTGACGACGGCGTTTGTGTGTCCACGGAGCGTCAAGGCCGTAACGGTTGTGGCAGATGCTCGGGGGTCGATCAGGGTGATGTGTCGGGCAGAGGTACCTGCTGCCAGGAGGTGGTGTTCGGGAAGGTGCTCAAGAGAGAGGAGAGAGTGGGAAGTAGAGCGAGTATCAACCAGAGCGCCGGTAACTAGATCCCAGGTGCGCAACGAGTGATCCCAAGAGGCGGAGTATCCAACAGTGGAATCTCTTGCGTCGAAGATGGCGGCAGAGACAGGGGCAGTGTGGCCTGAAAGAAGGGACAGAGGTCCACGCTGCGGCGTGCTGACGGAGTTGTTCAGCTTGCGTCGCTTTGAAGTCCGACCAATTGCGGAAGGGAGAAGGCTCTCTGGGGCGGCACCGGCATCGGCCTTCTTTGTGGACCAGAAGCCGACAGTGTGATCGGCCGAGGCTGTGAGAAGACGATTGGAAGGCGCATGCACAGCCAGAGATTCAATGGCGGATTTGTGTCCGTAGAGCTCCAGCTGAGGAGTAATCTTGCCAGAGAATTCATCGTTCTCAGTGTACTTCCACAAACGAACAGAGCGGTCTAGACCGGTGGACGCAATCTGGTTGGGAGACACGAACTTGGCGGCCTTGATAGACGCAGTGTGTCCACCTTCCGCGGGACCAGGCGAGGTCGCAATGATCTCCGAAGACATGTTCCATATCCGCAGCAGACCGTCGTAACTTCCCGACAAAATTCTCTCCTGACCCTTGGAGAAGGTGGCACCGGAGGCCCAAGATGCGGCGTGCGAAGTTTCAGAAAGCACGTCGGTAGCGCTGACCCAGTCATCATGCTGGAAAGACGCGATGTGAAGCGGGGGAATAAGAGCTCGGACATATTCAATCTCGAGGGTAGTCTCAGCAGAGATACCATTGGCAGTCAGGTATTCATCGATCGAGGTACGCAAAAAAGTTCCGTTGATCAAAAACTCGAACGGGATCGGCTTCTCACTGCCCAGAAGGTTGTTCACCAGAGTAGACAGAGCATAACGACGCAAGCCTAGCAATTATCCAGGATTAGAATTTTGAAGCCCATGCGAAACTCCCAGGGAGCTGTAAAAAGTTCTTACCAGTGGGAACGAGGATGGGACCGGTGCTTTCAGGCAGAGCGATATCCTCCTGCTGGCTAGAGAGCTGCACACGAACCTGTCGCTGCACAACCTCAGCGGCAGACGAGACCTGTTCTTCACTCATGATGGGCAAAAATGAGGCAATGTGGTCGTTTCTGGACTTTGCTATGGTGGCTGTCGCAAAATGAACGAGCCTTCGCGGGTGAGAAAAAATACGGTGACCGGTGCGGCACACTACCGCAAAGCGCGGAGATGGCCCCGCGATGCGTTCGTCTACCGTCTACCTAGCTTTACTTGCGAAAATTGAAACATAACCATCCACGATGTTTATATTGGATATGAATACTAGACATGAACTACCCCCGAGGAGCTCGTCGAATCTCGGAAATGGCTCGGCGACGATAATCGGACTCGGCGAATAGTGCTTCAATCAGATCAACGACCTCGTCAACCGAAAACTCTAGACCCAATTCGCCCTCTAACCACAGGAACTTGATGTCGGCCAGGGAGCTCTCCAAAATGTTGACCAGATATTGGAAGCGAAGCCAGCTCGGTACATACACGGCAGTGACTGGTAGAGCTTCGGCGTCATCGGTAGCTTCAGGCATGAAGAGATCCTCCAGCTTGGACACCTGGTTGCAGAACAAGACCAATTGCTTGGACTGATCTTCAGAGATATCACCCAGGTCCTCAACATCAATAATGATCTTGTTGATCACCGTGGAAAGCAGAGAACCAATAGATTGCAGCAACGCAGAATGCGACAAGATGGGCTGCCACTCCTTGTAGACATCGCGAATTCGGTCCACAGTCGCACTGATAGCGCTCTCACACTCTGACTTATATGGCTGCTCCGAGCACTGACTGAGCCCTTGCGCACCATCGAGGAGATCTGTGACAATGGTGCTCTGCGTCTGCATCTCTTTGCTGTAGGCAACCTTGCCGAACTTTTCGAGAGCTTCAACATCGGAACTGAGCCTGGAGAGGTCGTGCTCTTCTATCAACTTCCGAACCAGACCGGCAAGGTAAAGGCTGTCATTGTAAATATACATCTGCCCAGAGTTGAGCTTCAGAGAATAGAAGGTGGACGAAGTGGCCTTGAACATCGCCAGGATCAGCGTTGGCAGTGCCAGTAGACCAACACCAGAGGAAGAAACACGGGAAATTGAGTGTCTATATACCTGTTAGTCTCCATCATTCGGCAGGTTATCAAGTTCAAGACTTACGGTGGTTGTGAAATGTCTTTTGAGTCTGTGATCTGCCGCTGGATGATCTGAAGGACGGAATCCGGGATATCCGTAACCGTATAGACCTCTCTCAACGTGACCTCTCTGGGAGAGGGGGACTTGTCTGTGCTTCGCTCATTCGCCGGCCTTGATGCTGCGGCGGGTTGTGATGGTTGGGGTTTCCCACCCTTCACTTCCTCGTCATCATCGCCCCAACCCCAGGCGTCGTCTGCATCCTCATCTTCGGTCGGGGCAGAGGCACCCTGCTTGGTCTCCTCTTGGGTGTCTTCATCTAAACCCCATGCATCAAGATCCTCATCATCCTCAGGTGGAGTGCCTTTTGTCTGCTCAGCGGGCGTTTCTTCTTTCTCATCGTCCCAGCCCGCATCCCAATCGTCGTTCGTGGCATTTTCAAGCAAAGCTCCGTCAGCCTGGGAGACCTTCTCAATCTCAACCCGCTCGACTTGCTTTGTGGTTCCTTTGCTGGCCGCAAGAACTTTGCGCACACTGTCAAGCGAGTCAACTCGACGACGAGTGAGCCACAATCTAGGGGCTTGGTAAACCCAAGAAACAAGTTCTTCTTGCCCACTCCATCCCCAGGATTCAATGGTCTTTGTAAACTGCAAAACCTGGTCCAGAGTACCCTCGAAGTCATCTAGACCAATAAGATCTGTTGGGATGGCAGATGACAGCCAGCCGGATATCATCTTTGAAGAGATAGCCGGAATCAACGATGGGGACAAATCATACATTGTAGAAGATGGGAGGTTCAGTCGCAGGTAGTTCAGGAGTTCCGTCATGCGATTGAGAATGTCAGCCACAGTTGCCTTTGAAGGTTTGGACTCGACAAGGACGCCAGCCTCGGTGACAGCAACGGCATAGCTGCTCCCATTTTTGCGAGGCAGAAGAATGGGATCAATAATTACCGAGATGAGATCTTTTTGGAACTGGCCACTGGCAGACGTGAGAATGTCCATTTGTGATAGCGCAGCAATTGTATTCTCCAGCGAGTCTGGACCCTCCTGCTTGGTGACCTGGAACTCGCCCTTTTCTCGGTCAAATTTCAACTGCTCGCTCCAACGTAGACGTAACGCCTCTTCAACTTCCTGTCTCAATCGCGACACTTCGAGGGAGAGTATGCTCATCACATTCGTATTCGTAAAGAACGAATCTCCTCCGATGGCGGCGTCCGCGGCCACTAACTGATCAATTGCTGCGGTGATCTGGCCATTCACTAGGGCAGTGCGCCCGCTTTCCAACCGTTGACAGAGTCGCTGCACCTCCTCTAGAGTCTCCGCGACGGCCTGGTTGAAGGCTATCTCTGTCTCGATCAAGCCCACTTTTGCACTCGCATCTTCAACCTTGGCCTCTAGGGGTTTGGTGTGCTCATGTTGAGCAACGATCTCCCGTGCGGTGACTCGCGATCGTTCTATGTCTGCGTGGAGCTGTTTGGCCTGGATGATCCAATCGTCGGCGTCGAAGGTGTTCTCGCTGCTAAGGGAGCTGATCTCATTCTATTGGCAGAGGTGCCAGTTAGTCAAAGCAATAGAAAGACTGTCACTGGTGCCCGCATACCTCAACTTGTTCGCGAGCCTTGGCTATGAGCTCCAATTCCTTCGCGAGAGCTGTCATGGGGAACTCGGCGGCCACCACATTCTCCTCGGGGTAAGTGCCTTCTGTGACAAAGTTCAGCACCGACTGGCACACAGCCTCGGAGTCCTGTGGCATGGTTGTAATGTAGAGCACTACAGTCGCAAGTTGGTTGATCGGAGCTGAAGCGGCAAGCTGTCAACAACCCGTGACTTGGGCGTCACCGCCCCACGTGTGTAAATACGACTCGATTTTGAAGCTGAGAGAAGCTGGAAACCCGCAATAAGCCTGAAGATAAAATTTGCGGTCTAAAATCCTATATAAAAACACACATATACCCAAACCAGACGAGGTAAAAAACACCGCTCGCTTTGTAAGAAACGGGACCCAACTTTAGGAACTCTGGAACGTCTGGGACACTCCGCCTGGGCCACACTCAGGTTCTCCAAACTCCCAAATCCACCGTGTCTCGCTTTTGCCTGCGTGGTCTGAGTCTGGTGAGAACTACTCGCTCTTTGTAAGTGAGTCTCTTCACCTTGTGCTTCCCTATGACATCAATCCCGTCCCTCAATCTCTGTCTGCCCCGCCGTCACACACGATCCGATGAATCCCTGCAGGGTACATCGGTCATCGGTCATCGCTGTGGTGTGTGCTCTGATTCCGATTTTCTTTTCAATATCGTGGATACGGTGCATATAGCCCCTCTAGAGCCTGCGCGTCGAGCTATGGTGTCTGGCGGACATCAAATGCCCCTCACATATCAGGGAAATGTACATGCTTGGAAGAAAGTAGCTAATGAATACCAGTTTGACAAGTTTTCGGCGAGATATCTTCTCTGGAAGGTCTCAACTGATCAATATGTCGCCCTCGGTGCAACAAAGTCACTTCAAGCTGCTTCAGCAGTTTAAGCCCGACTACTCGCCGAGCGAATTCACTGAGTATGAGTCTCAGCGTACCGGCATGCGGGTGGTTGTCATCGACCAGCCCGGTCCCAAAGTCAATGGCTACTTCGTGCTTGCCACCGAGATTCACGACGATTCGGGAGCTCCTCACACTCTTGAGCACCTCTGTTTCATGGGTTCTCGCAACTACCGCTATAAGGGCTTCCTTGACAAGCTGGCTACCCGTGTGTACTCCAACACCAATGCTTGGACTGCCACAGACCACACTGCGTACACTCTTGATACAGCTGGCTGGGAAGGCTTTGCCCGCATTCTACCCATTTACCTCGAGCATGTGATTGCCCCCACTCTTACCGACGAGGGTTGCTACACTGAAGTATTCCACATTGATGGCTCTGGAAATGATGCCGGTGTGGTATACTCTGAGATGCAGGGTGTTCAGAACAATGCTGCTGAGCTGATTGATCTGGCTGCCCGTCGCCTGACTTATCCCGAGGGCAATGGCTTCCGGTATGAGACTGGAGGTATGATGGAACAGCTCCGTGTCTTGTCTGCTGAGCGGATCCGAGAATTTCACCGTGAGATGTATCAGCCCAAGAACTTGTGCTTGGTCATTACCGGTGAGGTGGACCAGAACAACATGTTGAACATCTTAGACAAGTTCGAAGAAACAATTATGGATGTCATTCCTAGCCCAGATGCGCCCTTTAAGAGGCCTTGGACCGATTCCAAGCAGGCCCCTGTTCTGCAGAAATCAATTATTGAGAGGGTTGAATTCCCCGAAGAGGACGAGTCGTTTGGTGAAATCGAGATCCGCTTCCTTGGTCCGGACTGCACCGACTCCATTCAATGTAAGCCTTACTTTTAAACAACTATTGAGGCAGATACTGACAATCGATAGCTGGTGCTTTGAATGTCGCTCTTTTGTACTTGGCTGGATCATCTGCGTCTCTGCTCGAGAACGCTATCGTCGAAAAGGAACAGATTGCCAGTGCAGTCTATTACGCTACCGAAGATCACCCGAGCATCGAGGTTCGCTTCACTTTAACCAGTGTTGAGACAGAGAAACTAGAGCAGGTTGAGAAGAGATTCTTCGAGATCTTGCAGGATGCTATGAAGAAGGAGCTTGACATGAAATATCTCAAGGAGTGCATTGACCGCCAGCGCCGTACCTGGAAGTTCTCGACCGAGTCTTCAGCCTCGTCCTTCGCGGAGTATGTCATTTCGGACTTCCTGTTTGGAAAGCGAGACGGCTCCACCATGCGCGACGTCGCTTCTCTAAAGGAGTACGACGCCCTTGAGAACTGGAAAGAGGATGAGTGGCGTTCATTCATGAAGAAGTGGATTGCAGATGCAGCTCATGTTTCTATTCTGGGTGTCCCATCCCTGAAACTGTCCGACAAGCTGAAGAACGATGAGGAGGCTCGTGTTGCTGCTCAAAAGGAGCGTCTTGGTGAGAAGGGCTTGAAGGAGCTTGCTGACAAGCTTGAGAAGGCCAAGGCTGAGAATGACAAGGAGATCCCAAAGGACTTGCTAGCTGCCTTCGAGATCCCCGGCGCCGAATCTATTCACTTCATGAACACTACCACGGCCCTGTCAGGCGCTGCTCTGAAGGCTGGACGCCCTAACCACAAGATCCAGAAGATCATTGATGCCGATGATTCGAGCCTGCCTCTTTTCATTCACTTCGAGCACATTCCTAGTAGCTTTGTGCAGATGTCGGTCCTCATCTCTGCGCAGTCTGTTCCCATCCAGCTACGTCCTCTGCTGTCTGTGTACACTGAGGCGTTCTTCAACATCCCCGTTGAGCGTGATGGCAAGACAATCGACTTCGAGCAGGTGGTTGTAGAGCTTGAGAAGGATACCGTTGGCTATTTCATGGAGAATGCCCGCGTTCTTGGAAATTCTGAGATGCTGCGTGTGTCCTTCCAGGTTGAGCGCGAGAAGTATGAGACTGCCATCGCCTGGATTCAGGAGATTACCTGGAACTCCATCTTCGACGTTGAGAGGCTCCGGGCCATCACCTCGCGACTCCTGGCCGACGTTCCTGACTCTAAGCGCAGTGGTGAGGACATGCTTGCCGCCGTGCATGTTATGATTCACTATGCCGAGGAGTCTATCACTCGGGCCCGTAGCACCTTGGTCAAGGCCCGCTACCTCAAGCGCGTCAAGCGCCTGCTCGCTGAGAAGCCCGAGGAGATCGTCAGCCGCATGGAGGAGATCCGCAAGTCACTCTTCCAGCCCGACAATATCCGAGTCGTCGTGTTTGCCGATCTAGAGAAGCTTACCAACCCCGTCTCGGCTTGGAAGCCCTTTGTTGAGCGTCTGGGAACCAGCACCGATCTAAAACCTATTACCAAGAAGCGCGACCTGCTGAGCGACGCGGGCAAGAACCTTGGTGGCAAGTCTTTCATCGTTCCCATGCCTACTGTTGACTCCTCGTTCGCCTATGCCACTGCCCGAGGCCTGGACTCATATGACGATGCCAAACTCCCCGCGGCTATGGTGGCTATTGCATACATGAATGCAGTTGAGGGTCCTCTCTGGGTCGCTGTCCGTGGCAAAGGTCTGGCATACGGCACCAACTTTGCTTATAACATTGATACCGGCGTCGTCAACTTCGACGTGTACCGGTCTCCCAACGCGCACAAGGCCTTCGAGGCCAGTAAGCAGATCGTTGAAGACCACCTTTCTGGAGCCTCGCCTTTCGATCCTCTCATGCTGGAGGGTGCTATCAGCAGCATTGTTGTTGGTTACGCCAACGAGCAGATGACCGCTGCTATGGCGGCACAGGGCAGCTTCATCCGCCAGGTCGTGCGCAACCTGCCTGCTGACTACAAGGAGAAAATGCTCAAGAAGGTCCGGGGTATCAGTGTGGACGAGGTTAAGGGTGCTCTTCGCGAGATCATTCTGCCGCTGTTTGATCCCAAGACTGCTAACCTTGTTGTCACCTGTGGCACTGTTCTAGAAGAGGTAAGTTCACCATCGTGATATTTCAAAAAAAAAAAAAAAGGCATATTCTAACCTTGAAAACAGCCTCTCAAGCAAGGTTTCGAGACCTTTGGTTTCACCCCGGTAGTCCAGCCCCTCAAGGAATTCGAGGATGACTACGGTTTCAAGCTCGACGGCGACAAAGAAGAGGAGGAGGAGGAGGAGGAGGAGGAGGAGGAGGAGGAGGATGACGAGGAAGACTCGGAGGGCGAAAGCGGCTCCGAGGAAGAGGACGATGACGAAGAAATGGATGATGAGTAACGTGCTCCGCGATATTAGACACAGCAGACCTAGGCAGATCTCATACAATGGCTACGGGACTGTGTTGGTACCTTTTCATCTAGACATATGGGCATCTACTGCATGCTGAACTCTGCTGAAATTGCGTATAATCTCACAATACCTCGTCGAGGATATAAAATATGGTACATGGTACAAGGCCGGACAAGCCTGAATGTTCCGTCTCAAGTCAACCTCAAGAATACACTTCCTCTAATATAACCCCCAAATGCATCCATCTCCGCACTTCCACCTCTTATATCAATAAATCTTTACCAGCTCATCGCCTTACGTCCCTTTACCCGCCGGCGCGTAAGAGTCAGCCGTCCCTTTTGAGCTTTGTTCCGAGCCAGGAAACCATGGCGGCGCTTCTGGACTCGTCGCGAGGGGTTGTAGGTAACACGGCGCACGCCTAGCGAAGCAGATGCCGAGAAGGAGCGGGCCTGGAAAGGCTTCTGGGCGAGCAGTGAGGACACAGACGAGGTAATGGGAGTGGTGAGGGTCTGCGATGGTTGGAAGCGGGTTGGCGTGGAGAGAAGCGAGGAGAAGGGTCGCGAGGAAAGGAATGACGGTGTGCTTGTTGTCTGTGGTGTGAATTGGGAGATTCTATATCGGTGTGTGGTCCGTTAGTGGTATGTTCGAGGTGGGTTGTTGTTGCGGAATCATGGACGGACCTGGTCATCGGGGTCTGAATGGAGACGGGGGCCTGGAGGGTGGGCAAAGCCCTGCAGCGGATGCGAGGCATGGTGAGTGAGTCGAATCCGGGTGAGGTTGGAGACTCGGGAGGATTGATGGCTGAATTGGTGGGTTGGGATGTCGCTGGCACTTGAGGCGCGGTGTTCGGAAGTCGAAAGAAAATTAAGCGCGGAGCCGCAGGCACGGACCCGCCTGTATTTTCAACGACGACAATCGAGGATTAATGTTCTTAAATAATGAGCTATAAAAGACTAAGCGTGGAAATTGAATATAGTTGAGTCCATTTGGCAGTGATTGAATATAAATCTCTGTAATTGTAAGGCACTTTCATTGATTTGAGTCCAGTATGCTACCCGATTGGGCCTAGTGCCACCGAAACTTTTTGTCGCGATGCGCCGGCGGATTGCTTCAATTTTTGATTCCAAAGACCCCGGTCTCACTCCCATACGCCCTGGACGCAAAGAGGTCATCTATAATACTCCACACGCCTATTCCACAACGTCTGCATCAGCCATCACACGCCATCCAGCATCAAAATGAACGCCCAGGGCCCGTCTTCCCTCCCGCCGACAATCGTGCACAGCACGAAGTCGATTAGCCAGTCTGAGGCCCACGACTTCTTGGCCGCCTACCTGAGCCGCGCAGCCAACGACCCATCTCTGCAACCCAATGCCAGCATCACAGAGCACGGTCCGGTCTCGCGGACCACCGCCGCAGCTCCCAACCTGATCCTCCACAACTTGAAGCGCGTGGAAGCCGGTCTTTCTGGCGAAGTCCTCGGCCGCGATCTTACTGTCGCTAAGCAAAATCCCGGCGAGGATTACCTGGATGTCGCCGCCGGAGTCTCGAACAACCAGAACGATGGCGAGGAACAGGGCAATGACCTCGGAATGGCCGAAGAAGGCTTTGAGACGGAGGCAGGTGCATTTGAGGCCCAGGAGTCTATTGATAAGAATGAGCGCAAACGCCTAAAGAAGGAGCGACGCGTGGCCGAGAAGAAGGCCCGGACCCAGAAGGGAAATGTCTCGGAAAGTGACTCGGAGTGAGCTTTTGTCTTTTGGATCTATTTGAGCCGTGGGCGTTGTTGCATTGGGACGGAGTTTTTCTTTTCTGTTATGTTCTTGAGGCTCTACCTACTACGGAATATGCGCGGGTTTGGCTTAGATCTTGATCACCTGCATTCTCATGTCTGGGCAAAAAGTTGTTATTTATCATAGACGGATTGACTTAGTTCAATCGATACATAATGGAAAGCTCAAGCCTTTTGCTCCTCTCCAATCTCCAATCCCCATTCTCTATTACCCGCCACTTTTCGCCAGCTTAAGAATCAGAAATAGGAGAAAGATGTCCGAGGCATCATGAATTGGTGCATGTCTACAGCTCGCGGTCAGCGGCCTTGACGGGCTTCTCGCTGTCCTCGGCCTTGGAGCTGGTGACTTTTCCGCCTTTCCAGCCGAGAGCAGCAAGACGCTCGGTGAGGATAGGGTGCGAGTAGTGGTAGCTGGCGTAGATCGGATCAGCATCCATGGTGCTCAGGTTTTGGATCTGAAGCTTCAGGAGAGAGGAAGCAAGCTCATCGGAGAATCCGAGGCCCTGGGCGAAAGTATCTGGAGAAACAATTAGTACGGGTTGGAATTTACTGGAGGTTTGTGGTTGAACATACCGGCCTCGAACTCGAACTTCCGGCTGAGGATGTTCATCAGGAGCTTCACGACAGCGTCCATGGGAGCGAGAGCATCCGAGAACAAAAGGAAGCCAACCATGATGGGCTGCTCCTTGATGAAGCCGAAGGACTGGTAAAGAGACTTGTTGTTGACGAAGACGGAGAACAGGGCGAAGATGTAGAACATGTGGAACTATATGAAAAAATTAGCAATCGTCCAAGATATATCAAAGACGCGCGGAGCCATACCTGAGCAATACCAAAGAGCTTGGTGGTGTGGCTCAAGCTCCAGTGACCAAGCTCGTGGCTCAAAACAGCAACGACCTCTTGCGGCTCGCTCTTCTCAAGCAGGGTATCGTAGATGACAATGTGCTTCTTCCACGGCAGACCGTAGAAGTAAGCGTTGCTGTGGGCACTACGCTTGCTGCCATCAATAACATGAAGCTCGGAGAGCGGGAACTTCAGCTTCTTAGCAAGGTCCTCGACGCCAGTCTTGATAGCGCCAGGCTCGAGAGGAGAGAGCTTGTTGAACAGAGGCAGAATCACAATGGGGTAGATGGTGATTGCAAAGATTTGGACGAAGACGCCGAACATCCACAGATAGTAGAAGAACGAGTTGCCGGTCTTCTGGACGATCTTCAGCACCGCACTGATAATAGGAGTTCCCAGCACAATTCCGAGCATCTGTCCCTTGAGCATATCCGTCACCCAGAGCTTAACAGTCTGCTTGTTGAAACCGAACTTCTCCTCGAGCACGAAAGTCTGGTAGTAGGAGATCGGGACCGAGAGGATAGTGCTGAGAATGTTGAAACCGAAAATAAACACAAGCGTCTGGGTGATTTCACCCCTGAAATTGACCGGGAAGATAGCGCGCCAGGACGAGACCACTGATGCTCCAAAGCTTGGGGAGGACATCGCCGTAGATGAAAGCGAGATTCTGGATTTGACCGTAGAGACCTGAGACGAGACCGAACTTGGCCTTTGCGCGACCATATGCCTGTATTCACATCCCATTTGTAAGCTTGCTGTTGTCCGCCCTTGGTGTTCCGCGATGCTACTTACCTGGGACTGATCGAAGACTTTCTGAGTAACCTCACCCTCGAGGACCTTAGGAGCCTTTGTTCGCTGCAAAACCTTGTATTGGCGGAGAGAGAGGAGACCCTCGAGGACAAACTGCCCGACGGAGAATCCCACGAGCACGTTCTTCCATGGGAAGAGCGGCCGATCGAGGAAACGCGCGAGTTGCTAGAAAAGACACCTGTCAGGACATGGTTTTCGACGAGAGCATTTCCTAGTGGAAGTTGAAATGAAAGGCTGAAGAGTAGAAATATGCTTACCTCAAGAACCCACATGATGCAGATGCGCGACAATGTCAAATGGAGATGTGTCGAAAGGCCGAAGAAGCTACTTTGTTATTGCCGGGTGCCTTAGTCAGATCTCGCGATCCGGGGCCGCTGCAATGAGACAAATTGAATACTCTCCGATCTGCAAACCGCACCGTCAAGCCACGTCGCGTGAAAAACGAGCAGGTCAGCGTTTTGAAAGGAAAGAGTGAGAGGGTCTTACGCGAAATGCGATCCAAAGTGAGGTGATCTCTACTAGCTTCAACTAGGGTGAATTTCATGACGGCGGGGGTGTTTAATTAGAGGGTCTGCATCCTGTCAGAAACCAGGCGGCAGTCGAGACTGACAGTACTGGAATTGTCAACATGATTGCACAGGAGCTCCGTCACTGTACATACTAGTCGCGTGCTATGGAACCTAGGAAGTAAAACTATCTAAAGGGGCATGTATTCAAGAGTGTGTCTTCAAAGGGAATAAAAGATGTCTCGAATTATACTTAGAGCCGTATCCTGATTCCCTCGAAGAGGCTTACACAAATTATGCATTCGAGTATACACATGCTTGGTAGGTAGGGAAACATCCATCGCACATACTTACAGTAGTGGAGGTCATCCGATACGTATGGGTCTAGAGATTGATACGCTATACACGAAATGGAAACAAAAGAAAATCTCTTCAATACAACTCCCTAGAACACACAAAATAGAAAGAAGTGCACCTCTTCTTCGTCAACGTGACTCGTATTCTAACCCAGCGCCATCCTCCACCCCGTACCCGCCAGCACCCTAGGACTTGATGTCTCCAGATATGCCGAAGCAGGTCGGGTGCAGGTGACCGAGTAGAACTTCGATAAACCTCCTCTATTCAGTCGGGGGAATCTGTAAATGTCATGCCTTCACTTTTCCGACTCGTCGTAAGCGTAAAACTTTTTCTGCAAATCGCAGTGCGTGAGCCCGGAAGCCGGCGGGTCGAAGTTTGTTGATGAAATATATTGCTTTACACGAATGCCTCTTGTCAACCAGACCTCTCCCCAGACCGACCAACTCGGGACTGAACGTCATTCAAAAGGCAGCAATTTAGTGCTGGGTAGGCTCCAGAGTGTTACCACTATAGTAAAAGCTCGTTAGTCAGGTACAAACAATGGCACACGACAGCAGAACTTACGCAACGATGTTGGCCCAACCAATCAGACGCCAGTGCTTGTCGATTCTTCGAGAGATGGCGATCTTCTCGCCAACTTCTGTGCAGGCAGGGGAGGTCAAGGACAGCTTGGCGGCATCGGCCTTGACACCAAGAACCTTGGCACCGGTGGCGGTGGAACCAATGTTGACCATCAGAACCTCGTTCTTAGCCAGCTTGGAAACCTTGGCCTGCTTGCCGTCGGCGGTCTTGACACCCAGAAGGCGACGGAGCAGGAAGTAGTTGACCTCGATCTCGGTGTAGATGGCGGGAAGATGGCCGCGGTGGCCCAGAACGAAACCGACGAGACGATCAGCACGGCCTGTGAATATGTTAGCAAGCTTGACAAATAATTGAATATCCAGCCTTAATATCTTGAGTCCCCCATAGAGGGCTCTCGTCTCCAGCTCTTCGTTTCAGGGTTGTTGTTTCATTCGATACTTACACAGAGTAGGGTCAATACGGGTACCAACACCAATAAGACCACCAGGAACAGCGAATTTAAGAGGGTTGCTCTCAGCGAAGAGGGACTCGACACGGGAGAAAATAGGGCGGCACTGGATCTTGCCGTTCTCGTCCTTGGTGACCAGACCGGGGCGGATCTCGATCTCGTCGTTGACCTTGACGACACCGGTGAGAATGGAGCCACCGGCAACACCACCCTTCAGCTCATCAATCTCGGCACCGGGCTTGTTAACGTCGAAGCTTCGAATGACCATCATGTTGGGCAGAGCAGTGAAATCGCGGATGGGAACAGGGATGTGAGACACGAGGTGTTCGTTGACGGCATCGATGTTGTACTTCAGCTGGGCGGAGATGGGAATAACTGGCGAGTTATCGGCGACGGTTCCTCGGATGAACTTGAGAATGGACTGGTAGTGCTGGAGAGCGGCCTCTTCGCGCATAAGGTCGACCTTGTTCTGGCAAATAATGATGTGCTGGAGCTTCATGATCTCAATAGCGGCCAACTATAGTTTTGGTCAGTAACACATTCTCGCGACTGACCGGACTTCAAATCCTACATGTTCCGAGGTTTGCGGTTGCGGGCAGGTCTCGTTTCCGGCGATGAGGAGGAGGGCAGCGTCCATGACGGCGGCACCAGACAACATAGTACTCATCTAGAACCGGTTAGCACTGGCTTTTTTCCAACCAACGATTGACAAAAGAAAACTTACGAGAATGTCGTGACCGGGACAGTCGACGAAGGCTATGAGGTATATCCATCAGTCATTCGTTCAAGTGGGATTTTCACAAGCACTCTTCCACGGTATTACTCACAGACGTGGCGGAGAAGTCTGTAGCGGCCCTCGCAGCCCGGGCGCTCACAGGGAGGGTCGACCTCCTTGAAACTGCTGTAACTCTTGTAGCATGTCGGGCGAGGACAAGCGGGGTTGTCACACTTGTAGATCTTCGCGTTCGCGTAGCCTAGCTTAATTGTGATGTTTCTCTCCAGCTCGTTCTTGAAGCGCACAGTCTGAACCTCGGAGATGGCCTTCACGAGAGTGGACTTTCCGTCTAGATTTTCCAGAGCCAGTTAGCGAATGTTCCACGAGAGACGAGAAAGAAGGCGACGCACGAGCGACGTGACCGATTGTGCCAATGTTCTGGGTAGCTTGGCGAGCAATAATCTCGGGCGTCAAGGGCGTGAGTGTCGAAAGATCCAGAGTCTCAGGGTTGGGCTGCTCGGGGAGCTCAGGCTTAGCAGCGACAGGAGCTGACTTCAGAGCGGACTTGATGGGCTTTTCGACCTGGTCGAGAGGCTCCTGATCATCGAAGTCCTGGGCATTGTTGGCGTCGAGGACCGGGGATCCGGGCTGCGACTCGTCGGAGAAGTCACCGTTGGTCGCCATATTGGAATAGAAAAAAATTCAAAGCGAGCCTCGTCCGTCGGGTTTGGAGGGTGGGAACAAGGACAGGAGGTGACGGGGTTGGTGGAGGGTGGAGTTGAAGGGTCGGATGAAAATTGCTGGTGGGCGATAATGATATGAAAGAATGGGCGTGGTGGGGGTTGTGTGCAGTGGAGAGCGAGCGGGCGGTGTCTACTTCCAACGCAAAAATGGCCTACAAGTTACGACACGCCCGAGATTTATTGTTTGAATTATTATTGATTTTATATATTCAGATCTCGTGCAGTTCATATCTGGTTCAGGTGGTGTGTGAGTCACGGGGAAAATCTGTGTGGCATCGCGGCCTCATCAAAACTAGGTATCTAGGCACGAGTGGCCACCCAACTGAAAATATTCGACGTCTTCATAATTTTAACTTTTTTAATTCCTAGTACAATCGAAAAGAACTCGGACTTCGTAAAATCGCTCGATGCTCACTTTTGGTGATCACAGTTACAACTGAGATCGGGTCTAACAGTACATTGGGTATAAGGTCACATAAGTCTAACGAGCTTTTATTCGTCGTCGTCGGATGACTCTTCCTCTTCCTCATCCTCTTCATCATCATCTCCCTCCGAGTCGAAGAGTGTGGATGGATCCTCCGCCGGAAGCATGACAAAGGCTGCCATGCATGTAATGCGGTTTCCAGTCTCATAGGTAGTCAAAAGGTTGCCGACCTGGCGAGCGGTATCTTTCTTGTCCTTGGACTGCTTTGTTGGGACAAGGTCCTGTCCAGCGACCTTCCAGACGCGAACCACACCGTCAGAGTTGCCAGTCACGAGTAAGAAGTCGTTGCGAATCTCCTTGGCCTGGTCGGCTAGGCTCAAAATCTCGAAATCCTTGATACGGCCGGGAAGCTCGGCTTGTTTGCCGCCAACCTGTGCCAGTGAGGTAGCGTAGGGAATTTCGGAATCATCGCCTTCCTCGGCATCCTTGAGCTCGGTAGTAGAATAGAAGATGACACGGCCGTCTTCCGTGGAAACGGCCAGAACATCACCCTTCTGATCCTCACCTTCGGGCAGAGAGACATACTTCATCTGATGGACCTTGCTTCGTGGGCTCGGCAGAACTCTGCACTTGGGGGTTGAGTCCTGTATCGAATGATTAGCTGGTGAATCAATGCTCCAACAATCAGAGGCAACTTACAACACCAAACACTACGACACCCCATTCGAATGCAACAGCAAATTCCTCTCCAGCACCGTTCCATGCGATGCGACGACCCTCGCCAGAGCTCCACTTGCCCTCCTTCACACTTGATAACAAGTCTCTGCTGAAGTTCAAGACTCCCGCCTTCTTGCCCGTCACTAGATTCCACAACCGCATACACTTCTCGCCCTTACCGACACTAACCATCAACTTCATACTCGGATGGACTGCAAAGTGATTGACTCCAGAAGGAGCAGCTCCATGTGGAGCTGTATCACCGCTGGGGCGGCCCTGCACCTTCGGGTTAGGCGCCTTGATGGTCGAGACCACAGTCCAATCGCGGGTCTTGGAGACGGAAATCATATTGTCCTCTCCGGCAGCAAGCAGCTTGCTGCGGGAAGGGAAGCTCAGAGAGGAGATACTGGCGGTGTGATGCAACAAGGATCCCAGCTCGCGGTTCTTGGGGTTCTCGAGAATTTTGTTTCCAGCCAGGGTTGGCACGGTGGGGTAGTCTTCGTTGACGGCGGGAGGAGCAGCGGACAGCTGGTACAGATTGATGCGTTCATCGGTCGAGCCACTGGCCATAATGACCTTTTGAGCGTCCGGCGAGTCGGTGGCCTTGGGCATCGGAGAGAGCGCCAGACAGCGGATTGCAGATCCATGGGCCTCGAACAAGAAAGTGTCGACGCATTGAACGGCATTTGGGGAATCTTTGGAAGCGTCCTTCTTGGCACTGAAACTGGAAGCTGGAATACCGGCTGTGAAGCCGTGCAGCACGCGCTCATAGGAGCCGGTCACTACTTGGACTGTGACAGCAGCATCTGGAGCTTGCAACGGAGTAGGAGCGGACTTGACGGTTTTGGCCGGGCTCTCGGTAGTCTTTTCCTCCTTGAGAGGATCGTTTCTCTTGCGTTTAGCCATTGTTATGGGTGCTATGGGGGATGGAGTCAGTTTATTGGAGAGCAGCGGGCTTTTTTTTTCGCAGCGTTTTTCTGCGGGTTATCGATAGGAGTGGATACCATGACTCGAGGCCTTGAAGCCTCAGGCTACAATAACAGGTGTCGAGGCTCCAAGGTACCAAGGCTGTAAGGCAGCAATTCGTGGATGCAAGCGGCCTTCCCAGTTCCAAGTTGGAATGCGAATGCTTACATGTTCCTTACGTGTTTCACACTTGCCAGTTGAAAGTCCGGCCACGCAGCAGCCAACGCATGGATACAATGTCAGACAGGCCATGGAATCCATGGATAGGCGTAGATACTCCAAAAACACAGCCAGACATTATATAGTCGAATAAATGAAGGTTATCTAGGAATACAAAGAATGCCCACGATCCAGGAGTTGGTAACATTACAGTACGGTACCTTCACCAACTTCTCCCCCCGAACGCTTCCCTTTTTTCCCGTGCCAACCCGTACAGAAAAGTCCTCCCTTCCCTACCCTCCATCGCCTCACGCGCCTTCCACATCTGATTTCATCCCGTATTGCGACTATTACTGTCTGAATGACCTCGGTCAATCCATTCCCTTTTTTCCCGCGTTAATCGGATGCTGTGTTCCCGAGTTAGACCTCATGCTCCGCGACGAGCTTCTCCGGTCTAAGAACGATGAGATCGCGTGAGTATTAATTCGGGAAAACTCGTTTCTGAGTTGTTTTCGGTGAAATATGATGGACAAATCGCTAATTTACGCCCAGAAACTGTTTGTTGTCGCGCAAGCGAAAATTGACCGAGTTGTATTATGCGACCGTGGGTTTTGAGGGCGCGACCGCCGACGCTCATTACCTGCGAAAGGAACAGGCTTTTCTCGAGGCCAACGACCTCTCCAAGTGAGTCTCTACTACCCATTGCTATTTCAAATCCCCTTTATTTCCTTGGAAGCCACTACGCGACATAAATTACGCGATCTCGATGCTCATACCTTGCACAGAGGTCGTTACTACGACGAAGCTACTCTGCCATCGCCAAACCATGCGCGCGCGCGTTCTCCCAGCATAAAGCCTGTCGCATCCGCTATCTCAGATTCCAAGGCCCATCCTGCCGCTGGTATTACGCCGCCACCAACTGTAGATGACAACGCCCCGACCGGAGCCAGTCCGCAGGCGAAGCCCGTCATATCTCCCCTCGGAGTCGCATCATCTGCAGAAGATGCACCGACATCTTCTGTGTCTGTGATTATTCCGGAGGCTTCTCAGGGCGCGGATGCATCGACGCCGACTGCGCAATCCAAGCAAATCGGCGACCAGAAAGCAAGCGCATCAGTGCCACAGATTCCGCTCAGCTCCCAAGTTCGCGATGGAGCAGAAGTCAAGATCTCTCCCGGCGCAGCGAGATCTGCTGCGACGAATGCGACGCCCTCTCTTGAAATCCCTCAATCTCTTCCCCGAAAGAAACACGACTCTCGACCCTCTCTTACTCTAGGCCCTTCAAACATCGAACAAACTCTCTCGCCCGCTTCATCTATCGACCCCTACTCTAATAATACGCCTATTCCCGTCGCAGCTTCACCCGACACAAGCCCCGGCGAGGAAGTGACCGATGTGGATCAAATTGGTCGCTCGAGTCCCAAACAAACCAGATCTGCGCACCCGTGTCCAGGCTTGGTTCCTGCGACTCCCGACGAGCAATTGCGGCTGGAGGAGGCACAGTCTTTGAAGCAAAAGACTGGGGAAAGTGTGGCTAACGCCGGATTACCTTCGTCGAACGAGGTCTTCCAGGAGAGTGTTGGCCCCGGGGCCGATAAGGATGAAATGGAAGTTGACCAAGAGCCTACTGTCGGGGTCATTGAGTCTAAGCTTCCAGATGAGACGGCAAGCTTGTCGCCAACCGAACAATTGTCTGAAGGGGTACGGTCTACCGGCGATTCTTTCGAGACACCTCACAAGAAGCCCGCCACTATCCCATCCACTCTCTCTAGCTCTACGCAACCGGAACGCATGACTACTCGAGTGTCATCCGGGGCCATTCGCCACAAGTCTGTTTCCGAAATTCTCGGGGAGACGCCGAAAGCCTTGACTCACGAGCGAAGCCATGGCGACGAGACACCCGACAGCGTTGCGCGGATGCGCTTCAAGGATCGCAAAGACAGAGAGAAGGAAAGGACCAGGCTCTCGACCGTTGTTTTCCCTAAGCAAACTCCGACGCAGCAAGATAAGGCGGATTCATTGGATCTTATCCACCGGGACTCTAGCGATGCTGTTTCAAAGGTGAACGAGGAACAAGACTATCTGTTCACTCTGTTTTTGAACAGGGCGTATGCTCCTCCTCGGGGTAGCCATCTTAACACCCTCCTCACATCCGCCCACAAGACTTTATCAACCTCAAATCATCTTCTCGAATACCAGGAGCAAATGGACTGCCGTACCTTGCGCCGAATCTATGCACTGCAGAACGCGAACCGCTGGCCACTTCGCCAGATGAAACGATCTATGGAGCCTCCTCGCCAGGGAAGCCACTGGGATGTCCTTGTTGACCATATGAAATGGATGCGAACGGACTTCCGCGAGGAACGAAAATGGAAGATTGCCGCGGCGAAGAGCTGTGCCGATTGGTGCGCAGAGTACGTCAACAGCGATGAGGAGCACAGAGCGCTGCTTCGCATCCACGCGAAGATTCCTACACCAATTATCGCAACTCAAGACATCCTCAAGAGTGCGGCTTCTCCATCCGAGGATACCGGCGACGAGGCTGTTGCCGTGTCTCATCCCACACCAGATCTGGTTCCATCTGCAGAGGAGGAATCAGTCAGCGATGGGTTTAACGAAGAGCCACGCCATGATCTGCGAGATACAGTCGCCCCTGCAGCTATCTTCTCTCTGGGTTCCGACGAGTTCAACTTCTCGATCGAGATGACTCCCGCTGCCGAGAAGTTGCTAGATGAACTTCCACTTTACGAACCAGTTCGCATCGCTCCAGAGGCTCAAACGCCAATATTCAAGCAACCCCCAGATTCTGTTTGGAAAACAGAGCTTCTTCCGGTATCGAAGTTTGCCTCTACCAAAATTACTTTCCACGATGATGAGCGTCCTCGCAAACGAAGCCGATACGATTACTCTCAGTATACTTCGGGCTTGGGCACTCACATCACCGAAATTCCTCCAGAGCAGACTAATGTGGCCCTCTTCCGACCTGAGAACAAGCACATTCGTGACCGCATCCATCCTGGCCATTCGTTCCGGCCGCCAACCGAGCACCCGATGCCGTCGGTTGGGTTCTTCGAATCTCGACAGTCGTCGCAGTGGACCATGGCAGAGGACGATGAACTTCGCCGTTTGGTTAAAGAGTACTCTTATAATTGGTCCCTTATTTCCAGCTGTCTCACTTCACCATCAATATTTACTTCTGGAGCCGAGAGACGGACACCTTGGGAATGCTTTGAACGTTGGGTGGGACTGGAGGGACTCCCGGCAGATATGTCCAAGACGCAGTACTTCCGAGCCTACCACCAGCGACTTGAGACGGCTCAGCGAACCGTGCTAGCTCAACAGCAGGCTGCCCAGCAGCAGCAGCAACAACAGGCCGCTAACAATGGCCAAGTTCAACAGCCTATTCGCCGTCGGACTACGCAGCCTCTGCGTGTGGACCGAAGAAGATCTTCCAGACATCTTGCGATGCTTGATGCCATGCGCAAGCTGGCCAAGAAGCGCGAGACCATGCTGCAAAAGCAACAACATGCTTCTCATCTTGCCTCTTTGAGAAAGGCCAACGAAGCTAACCAGCCCAAGCCTCCTATCTCGTCACCGGCGGAGTTCAGTCGTCTCAAACATGAGCGAGAACAGAAGTTGCAGGAGCGACAAGAGCAATACCGCCAGCAGATGATCGCTCAGCAGCGAGCTAATCTTACCGCTCAGCGTGCTGGTCAGATGCCAAACCAGCAACAATCACAGCAGCAACAGCAAATGATGAATGCTCAGGGCCGAACTCCCAACAACATGCCTCCCAATTCTGCCAACGGTGCTATTTCTAACGGCACACCTAACGGGGTGGCTAATGGTTTGCAGACAGGTGTTGGCGTCAATCAGAACCGCACTCAGCCTATGCAGGGCCTGCCAGCTGGAGCCACGCCTGTCAATGGTCAAATGCAGAATAACGCTTTGGCAATGAAAATCATGCCACAGGGCCAAATGCAACCGGGTCTTGGTGCGAGACCCGCGGTGCCCGTGCAAACCTCACCGGAGAACGATCGGATCGTGCGGGAGGCCACCCGACTGCAGGAGCAGCAGCGTGCTCTGCAATCACGCCAACAAACTCAAGTGCCTCAGCAAGCAGGTCAGCCTCAGCAAGCCCAACAGCAGTTCCACAACCAGCAGTTTGCGCAAGGCTCCCCGAATCTCAATATGCCGAACGGCACCAATAATCCTGCCATGATCGCTGCCATGCAAGCCCAAGGAGGAATGCAAAGCTCATCGTTCCACGGTGGGACACCACAAGGTGTCTCGACTCCGTCGCCCCGCATGGCCCAACCCAACCCTCTCTCGAGCGGTGTTGTTCCAACCATCAGCACCTACCAAAGCCAGATCCAACAGGCCAACCCAAACCTGCCTCTCGAACAGGTGAATAAGATGGCCACGGACCGCCTCAACGCGTATCGACAGCAGCGTAGCATCTCCCAACAAGCGGCTATGAACGCCGCTGCAGGCGGCATGAATAGCGTTCAGGCCAACTACCAGGTCCCGCATGATGGCAACTTCCAGACTCCACCTCAACCTGGCGTGCCAAATGGCAACCCGGCAATGCAGGTTCCTCAGAACCAGGGCTTTTCACCGATGATGCGAGTTCCTCAGGCCAACCAGCAGAGCCGTGTCAGCGTCACCAGCTCGCCAGCCATGAACGGTGCCGTTCCTCAAGCTAGCCGCAGCGCAACACCCCAAACACAACGCAGCGGTAGCGCCCAAGCCGCGGCAATGCAGGGCTCTAGCAAGAGCCCACACCCTCCAGCAGCCCAGACAGCGCGCAGCTAAGGGCCCAGTCCTGCCATTGTCCCGTCTAATACCCTTACTCTTACCTCCTACCTTCTTCTCCTTCTACTGTATATACCCTTTCACTACTCCTTCCTACCTTGATTTATTCTCTCTGCCTTTCTCTTTCTGTCGGTGGTTCGGGGTGGTGGCGCAACTTGCTTTTAACCTTATTTCCCCTCGACGCTTTTGCCTGTCGAGTTTTTTTACACCCCTCCGAACCAGCTACCGAGTTCATTAACTAAATGGACCAGATAAAGCGCTGGCTACGTTCTTACCAGCGCTGCGAACTTATTGATTTGAGCATGTATTTTTTTTTCATGGGATTGGCGAAAACTTCTGGTTCGGTGCAACCCGGGAAATTAACGAACATGAAATGTATGATTAGTTTCGAATTTGGGTCTTTTTCCAATCATTCTCTCGTTGTAGAGCTCACTGGTAAAATATGATGTAAATGCCTAATCTGTACATCTTTGACTTGATGTATCTTAGGGCTCAGGATGTGCACGTCCCTTCCGCTTTTGCCACCGCCTTGGAGCTCTCTTGTCAAATCTTCGACATCTCGTTGCCCCAAAACATCTTTCACTCTCCAAATCTCCTGCTGTCGCGATGTCCTCATCGCAGGCCCCGGGTGACCGCAACGGTGGCGGTCAACCATCTGCAAAAGTGTTTTCCCTATCATCTAGTTCAAACGGACGTGCCAAGAAAACCGCCTTCAACCTTCAGTCGAGTCGCGGGCGACCTGGCGCAAACAAGAGTCATGCTCTTCCCCGCCGTCCACACCACCTTGGTCATGGTGGTGAGTCTTCAGATGAAGAGGAGAGCGCCCCCGCTCACAAGGAAGTCGCCGGCTTCGATACACTCACTGGTGAAGCAATTACCGCGGACGGAAAGGCTATTAACGATGCGAACGAGCCACTGGTTATTCCGGTCACGAGCAAAAATAACTGGCGCGATAGGGCTGGTACGAATTCGAAGAAAAGCAAGAAGAATCTACTCCCAGCTGAGGTCCAGGCTTTACAAGAAGCCCAACGAACTGGACAGGCACCTCCTGGCGGTGCGGTTGAGACGGAGGGCCCGAGTATGGCTTACGGCCTCAGCTTCGTTGATAAGCCTGCGGATCAAGAGACAACCGCTACGGCGGACGAAGACCGGCCCATGCCGGATGCAAAACCGGCAGGAGAGACCAAGCCTCTCACGGACGACCAGCTTGCTATGCAGGCATTGATCAGCGAGAGCAAAGGTGAGGTGGAGCGGAGGTCAGATCTTGTTATTGAGGCATCTATGTCTCGAGATGACGAGGACGAAGCGCCTGGCCGATACGATGAGACAAGCTCTTTCCGAACAGACGTGCTATCTCGGCCCGAACCCGCTACCTTAGACCAATATAATGCCATTCCAGTCGAAGAATTCGGAGCTGCGCTTCTCCGTGGAATGGGCTGGAAAGACGGGCAATCCATCGGGCGGGGCAATTATGGGTCGGCTGCCAAAGCGGACGGTAACAAGCCTCGTGTTCCAGAGAGACGCCCTGGCTTCCTGGGTATTGGAGCCAAGGACTCAACAGATGGAAAGGGCGCCGAAGCCGAGTTCGGTGCGTGGGGAAAAGCAGCCATGCGCAAGGCGTCTAGGAAGGCGGGCGAGGAGAATGGGAACGGAAACACTGAGGGTGTGTATATGCCAATCACCATGCAAAACAAGAAAACGGGCGAGCACATTACAGAGGCAGAGCTCGAAGAATTGAAGAAAGCGTCGAAGTCCGAGCCCGCCAAGGACGACTGGCGCGAACGCCGGGATCACAACTTGGAGAAGAGTGGACGCGATAGTGATCGAGATCGAGACTACCGTAAGCGTGACTACGACGATGATCGCTCTGACCGGAGGACTGGATCTTCAAGGAGAGACCGAAGCTCATCTGCCAGTCGCCATTCCTCCAGGCGCTCGCGCTACGACGATGATGACCGTCGCAAAGATGATCGGTCATATCGTGATCGTGACCGTGAACGCGACCGCGACAGAGATCGACGACGGGATCGCGATGATGATAAAGTTTCTCGCCGGGACAGGGATCGTGATGGTGATCGACGACACCGTGACGATAAGTACAGCAGCTCCAGGCACACGTCTCATTCGTCTCGGAACGACCGAGACCGAGATCGTGACCGCGATTCTCGTCGAAGCCGGAGGGACGATTAAATAATGAATATTAGGCGGATTTCTATGCATCGCATGCATCGACCATGGAAATGGGAGTTGTCTCCGCAAATGTATACTTCAGCCTACAAAGATGGCATCTAGCCTACTACTCCAAAAATAGAGATACCCTGAATACTACAGCTCAGACTGAAATCAAGTGACATAACAGTTCAATTCTATGAGAAAGTAGATGCTTTTATCCTTTCCCACTAGCCCGATATACTCCAAGACAAAGCGCCGTCAATATACACAAGATGCAATGCAGACTTAAGTCTCCAACATAATCACATCCTTCTCGTGCTCCGGCACCTCCCCATTGCCCTTAGCCTCATCCAGATTCATCAGGCCAAGTCCACCAAGACCTACACCACCGTCCATCTCACCAAGCACCCACTCCACGAGGTAACTATCATCCGACAGCTCCTCGACACGGCGGTAATGGCGCTCCGTGTACGAAGCGAGAGCTTGAAGAATATCCTTCAGACCAGCTGCCGCACGACCGTCCTTACCGCGAACAGACTGGGTAGCCAGTTCGACGAAGGTCGAGGCAGGGTAAGACCGGAAAAGAGCAAAGAGGACACGCTGGGCCACGCGGGAGGTACGCGCGTTGGTGTTCCAGTCACGCAGACGGAGCAACAGAGTGCGCAGGTTCGTAGAGTCGAGAGACTGCAGCACCTCGTCAATAGATGGGTTACCAGTCAGACTGCCAGATGCACGCTCACGCTCCTCAGCTGGCAGAGTAGGGTCATCAGCTGCGTCAATGGCAGATGTGAAGAGGGAGAGAAGACGACCGGGGTGGTTGAGCTGAAGGGCCAGGGTGATGGCTTCGCGGTAGGCGCCTGCGCGGATGTAGTTCTGCAGCTGCTGGTCTTGCTCGACGCGCTCGGAGGTGGCATGTACGGCGGCCGTGTAGGTGGCGGAGGTGGTGTCGGTCCAGAAGGTCACAGTAGAGTCGGAGGAGCCACTGGCCAGGGCGTAGGGGGTTGAGTTGAATTTAGAGGATGTGGGCTTCACGTCGGAACGTGAACCGGAGGGAGTCGGACTGGCTAGAGACCAGACTCGGTCGGTGTGATTGTCGAGGGTAGTCTCGAGCTCGCCGGTATATGGGCTCCAGATCTTGACCAGTCCGTCTGCGGCTGCGGAAGCGATGAGAGGTCTTGTCTGCTCGACGTTCTTGCCGGTAGGGACATCCTCATCGTCCGAGTCATCATCGTCGTTCTTGGCCTTGGAGACCTGGGGAGGAGGAAGCCAGATCACCTTTAGGACACTGTTTGTGTGGCCCTCAAAAGTGAGAAGACAACTGTAGTCGGACAAACTCCAGACCTTGATGGTCTTGTCACCAGAACCGGTTGCAATGAGGCCTCGGCTGGTGCTAGTTCCGGCGTCGGAGTTGATGATGGGCGTATTTTGAGGCGCAAATCGCACACCCCAAACACCACGCTTGTGACCACGAAGAACGCCAATTGCGGATCCGTCCTCAGCATCGAAGATCTTCACAGTCTTATCCTGGGAAGCGGACGCAAAGAGGGAGGACGTTCCATCAACATCAAGCGAGTTGATATCTTTCTCATGAGCACGTCGTGTGTAGACTGCCTTAGTGTTGTGCGGCTTGCCGCCAGTAAGCGGACCCAGCTTGCCAATATCCCAGCGCTTCACAGTCTTATCCTGAGAGCCTGTAATAAGGAACGGAGGTGGGTGGTTGACCGGGTCTTTATAAGCTGCACTGTCAACGGGAGGCGGAGTCCGCGGCAGAGCAATCGCTCCCAATGACTCGGCATGACCGGTCAGGGTTGCAAAGCAAGTATAAGAATTGTTCTTGGGGTCAATGCGCCAGAGAATGGCCTTGTTGTCCTTGCCACCCGTAACAAGCCAGTGCCCGGACCAGTCCACGTCAAGGCAGATAATGATATCGTCGTGAGCCTCGAGATGGGCGATGTCAGCCCCAAAGAATTCCTCGCCTTGAACTGAGGGTCGATCTTCTGAAGGGGCAACAGAGACAATTCGAATGCCCTCGGTGTTGGTAGCCAACGCCAACATTGACCGATCACCACCAACGTAAGCCAGATCAATGAACTCGTCATCATTTCCGGAGATGCGGCGTGTGATGGTCAATGGCTCCAGCGTCGAGCCAGGCTTGTAATCCGACAAAGACTCGACCGAGTGAAGTCTGATAGTCTGGTCTGCGTGCACAGTCATGATGAAGGGCAGACCGGGTGAGTACTGAATAGCCACAATGGTCTCAAAGTCCTCTCCTGCTTCTTGGTCCTCTGTGATCTCGCTGCCGCGGTTGACATCAAAAGCGCGCAACTTGCCATTCTCTCCACCAACCACGCAAACTCCGCTATCAAGAATGAAGGATGCAGCCTCCACACTCTCAAGCACGGGAATAATTCTCCTAGTTTTCCAGGTACGAGCGTCCCAAACAATAATAGTTTTGTCTCTGGAGGCAGAGAGAAGTGCGTTCTCGGTCGGGGAGAATGACAAACTGCGCACGAGCGAAACGTGCGAGTCGAGCGACGCAATGGACTTCCTCTTGTGCAAATCATACACGCGAACTTTGCCCTCTTCACTACCACTGGCCAGTCGGAAGCCTGCTGTAGAGTCCGTAGCATGCAAAGCAGCCTCGTCCATCTCTTCGTCATCGTCTCCGGATGCCTTGCGCTTAGACTTCTTCTTGGACGAAGACTTTGCGTCGCTCTCCGTAGCGGAAACCTCGAAAAAGCAGAGCGCGGAGATGACACCACGGTCGTGGAAAGTGTGCGTCACATAGCCTCCACGGATATCCCAGACCTTGATGGCACCGTCAGCACCACCTGTGGCCAGAAGGGTGCTGGTCTGATCAATTGCGGTTGTCACGACAGGCGCAGTGTGGGGCTTGAGGGACCGGACAAGCTTCGCATCGATGACCTTGGAAGTTTCGTCGAACGGAGACAGAGAGTAAATGCGCATGGACATAGAGCGAGAGCAGACAACGGCGTGCGAAGCGGATGGCGTAACTAAAGAAAATGTGAGTATTGGGTCTCATGAGCGCTGTGAAAAGTTGACGTACTCGCCAAGCTCGTAATAATTTCTCCATCCTATCAAACTTATCAGTATAGGCTCTGCGACAGCATTGAACATTCAACTCACTCCTTCGAGACTGGCAAGCTGATCACCAGTCTCCAAATCGACGATCAGAGCGTCTTCGCCCACGCAGGTCAGCAAGATGCGGCCGCTGGCATTCAGTGCCGTGCTACCACCAGTGTAGATGGGGCGGAGCGTGCGAGACGCCTCGAAGGTAGTTTTAACAATTGCCTTCGACATTATGTGAATCGCAGCCCTTTGCGACAGCAGAAGTTTAGAGCCCGAGCTTTTCGCGGGCAACTTTTTTCGGTCATTTGCACTGTTTGCACCGATAAGATAAGCTCACCTAGCCGCGACGCCTCACCTTCTACTTTCTACTTTCTTTCTTCGTCTTCCATATTTATATCGGTCCGATGAACAACTTGATTGTCTAATATTCACGCTCATTTACCGAGTGATGAGTCTTGATCTCATATTTACACACGATGGGCCGACAGGCTTATTTAAACCGGCTCGCTTTGGTAAGCCTCCTTTCGCTGTTCGCTAGTCTTCATTCCTAGTCGCGCCAGGTTCATGTCCATTTTTCCTATGGGATGATAGCGACTTGATCAGCTTGTCCTTACGACGGCCCGTCCAACAAGCTGGTGGAAGTCTCCTCGCATGATGTGGACCAGCGCTGTTTAGCTAGAATGGACAAGTCTGTCTAACATAATAGCATATTGCTTTGATTTCTTGATCTTCGTGATAGCCAATACTAACTGATTACAAGGGCCGGTCACCTTATGAGCCACCTGAGATTGCCGCAGTGGATCCTTCGAACCCGGTACGAAGGGTGTCCAACATTCATTCCGATAGTCACATGCAGCAGTACGATGCTCGGGGTCATCCAGTCAATCCAGAATCAAAAGCCCTGGGGCGGGAGCTTCGCAGAGCAAAAAATGACATCCTCTCTACGATGGGAGTTGTTGTCAGCGGCGAGGACAGGAACGCTAGCTCTTCCAGAGAACAGGAGAAGATTAACCAAATTGCCACTGAGAACGACTTCGGCCTGGTTATCACCACGGTGGATCAACTTTGCGTATTCCTGGGTACCTGGTGGTCCTCATCTCTCACCGGGCGAATTCAGGTATGGTTACATCTAGAAACTTTGCTTTTCGTGCTAATATGGAGATGCTTGTCCTACAGGCTTACCGACACTATACGCATGCTGCTTTGCTTGAAGTAATCCGCTCCGAGCGTGGAGCGACTGGAGTACTCGGATTCTACTTAGCTGGCATCCCTGCATGGGCAGTGTCTAGTGGCTTGGCCATCATTCGGGACAACCCACTGAAGCGGGTTTTTATCACGGCACGCGATTACTTCGCGGATATCACCGGCAGTGGAAGTCTCTCGCTCGGAGTTAGATCTCTTTTCGGGCTCACGTATTATGTGTAAGCTTCTTCATTTTGTTTCTTTGCTATGTCCCTATCATGCTAACGATAGTTATAGGGCAAGAAGCTCAGTCCTTCTTTTGTCGGTGGAAGCCTACATGTACTCTCTGCTCCAGTCTCTTTCTCTTGTGCCTTCAAATGCTATTCCTAGCCTTCGCATCCTTGTGCCATTTGGCAAAGAATCTCTGGTTCAATTACCCCCTGTTCCTACCGAGCTATCTATACCGTCGGTTGGTGGGTTCTTTCTACGCCTGATGGCATCCCCAGGAGTTTTGACCTTCCTATTTGCCTTTTACTTGCGACCGGAGCTTGAAGAGCGCATTTACAGACTTATTCGTCGCCAGCTGCCGAAGCCTACTGTTGTCGACGAGCTTTCAATTCGAGTCGCATACGAAGAGAATCTTATCGACTGGGTGGTCCCCACTCTGGGACGCAGATCCGCAGAGGAAATGCGCCGCGTTAAGCTCACATTATTTGAGGATATCAAGTACGAACTGAGGTCTTTCCAAGGATGGCTGTTCTCTTTTTTCGGTCTTTTGTCAAAACCAAAGGTTGACACAAAAACCAAGGATGGAAATCAATTGGAGAGAATAGAAACGCTTCGACACTCAATTGAATCGTTACAAAACGAGCTTGAAGAAGTTCAACTTCGTAACCTTCCTCTTGACGAGGAACCGGAGGATCGGTTTGCAAGGCGTCTGGGGTCATTCTCCCGTACAAACACGGGTGAAATTGGACGGCCTGATCTGCCAATTGTTGCAGGACCTACCCACATGACCGAGGCGGAGCTGGCCCTGGGTATGCACCAGGTACTCACCAATGAAAATCGGATGTCCCAATCGCCGGGAGAAATGAGTAACGATTTCTTCTCTGAAATGGCAACACTGGGTCGAACAAGTGCCAACTCGAACACCACAGCTTCACAGAGTCAATTGAGCCACACACCAGGCGGGGAGGATACAACAGCAGATCGACAAAACTCTCGCTCAAACACACTGTTTTCTCGCCCGTCATCACCGGAGACTTCTCCCCCAACTTCACCTCGTGTTCGAGCCTCTTTGATTCACCAAAGTTCCGATATAATCACGATGCAGCTGGAGCTTTTGGGCAACCGAAGCCACAGCGTCCAAGGCCAGGGGATTGCCTCAAACCTACTGCCCAGAACGAGCCGAAATGGCTCTAGCTTGCGGCCTTCGGCCCTACCTGACCGCAGATCGATTGCCGAGTTCCTCGAGGCATTGATTTTGAGCCAGGCTGCCCAACAAGGGATTACGGCAGATCAAGATGGCGATTCAAATGTAACTGCAGGAGCGAGCTATACAACAGCTCAAGACCTCCCTATGAATGACGAAGAGTCTCAAAACTCGATAGAAGAGGCCATTGCAGTTAGCCATCCCATCCCGCCTCCCCAACAAGAAGGGCCAACCTTGAACGTCCCCAACATTCTTCCAGATGGTGTCGAGGAACCGAACGACGAGGGGCCAGACAGTCAATTGCCATTGGCTGTGGGAGCAGCCCAGGGTGCAAATATTCCAGTAGACCCCGCCCTCGGACTCCCGAATTTCGCTTCTCGCCTCCCTGGGCAACCTGGCATTAACCAGACCATGATCGCTCACCGGGTTACTCTTCTCTCTGCGCACCCAGTGGATTCGCTGGCATCACACCTTGCTGCTATTATCAGCACTATAATTCTTTCTCCCTTGGAATCGCTTACCCTGCGCTCTCTGGCCCACTCTTACCTTTCCACACACCCTTCATCTACAACTCGACTTTCAGATCTTTATTCCATGGATATCTGGTTTGGTGGAGGCTCTTGGTCTGATAGACTTGCATATACTGGGAGACTATTTCTTATGAGAGGCATGCAGGCCGCGCTAAGGGCAGGCGTCTGGGGATTCCTGGTTGGCTCCACGATGAGGATTGGGCGAAAGTTCTGTGGCTGGGGGAGTCTGAAGTGATCAAGCCAAATGTCTTCTCATATAATGTAGCGCTTTTCATGCATTGACAATCATTTATCTTACGTCCTGCTGAAAATGTAGCGTGAAGTCGTCATGTTTTTAGTAATACACCAGATCTGCCATTAACACAGATGCCCGGGTTCTGCCCCGAGGACAATCAAGAAACCCCCAATATACGAACAAAAGATCCCCAAGCCAAACTACCCTTATTCGATCCATGGTTTTTCAGTTTACTTCGCACGGCCCTTTCCTTTCTGTCCAGGAGCCTTGCGCCGCTCCCAGACCATCAAGTAGCCCTCGCGTGTGAACAGAGTCTCACTCTCGGCGCGCTTGACGAACAGATCTTGAATCTCGAGCCACTCAGAGTGCTCTGCAGCACCACCTTGGTGGCGAGAATTTTCAGCGGAGACGGCCTTGTCGTGAAGCTGGACAAGCCAGGAGACCTTCTCGCTGCCTCCACCGGCCCCAGAAGAGGATCCTGCGGCTCCGGAAGCGGCGTTGACACCCTTGTCAGCTGCGTCTTCGGTGGCACCTGGTGCCGCGATACTGGGGTCGAGAATGATGTTGGCAACGAGATCGTACATAATTGGTTCGCCTGGAGGCCAAACCTCTGGGTTGGGCTCAACGTATGGTGACATGTCGAGGCCACGAGGGGAGGGGAAGGTGACAATTGTTGGGTTGCGCTCGGAAACAAAGCGGTTCTTGCTGAATCGCTTGATGTGGAAAAATAGGAAAGGCGGGAGAGGATGGAGGAGGCGGTGTCGGACACGATGCGCCATCTTTTCAGAGGCTGTGAGGCCGTTGTATTTGTTGAGGAGGGTAGTCAACGGGACCTGAGGGATGATGGATTCGCGATTTGCGGATTGGAACAGGGGGGTTGGAGGTAGATCCAGTGTGAGGATCATGAATGGCGTGACATTGCTTTTGATATCTCCAGATTCCGTGAAGACCAGACGGGCGTTTTGGGTATCGGAGTGCGCGGTAATGGCCTGGGATTCGATCTTGACGCGGCCCTGGAATGTAGCATGAATGACACTCGTCGGTGTTTTTGATGGTTTCTTGGAGCCTCCCAGTGAGAGGTGAAGGGTGTTCAGAAACCAGGAAAGGAAATCCACGGGATCTGATTGTTCGCTGAGTGTGAAGCGCTTCGAGGATCGTAGAGCGACTTCCTGCAGCAATTCATGCGGAGATACATGGGACCGGAATGCCTTTGGGTTCCATAGCTTGCGCACAAAAGTTCTGAATCGAAGAACGAGCTCTGGGGTGCCTGGTGTTGGAAATTCGTGGAGAAGGAAGAAGTTCCGGATAGGATGGACATGAGCCAGAAGTTGAATGACACAATTAAAGTAGTCGTTTTTCTTGATCTGATTCATTCCCACAAATCCTGGTCTGTACCGTGACCCCGAAAGATCCCAAGCGTCGTGCACCTCTCTGTCGAGTTTCACCACCGCATCCTTGGTGAAATGGGGATCCACCACATATTTGATATCATCCAAGCTCTGATTCTTGACTTCATAGCCTTCAGGCAAGACATAAACCTTCTTCAAAGCAATATTGATGAAGACGTGATGTCCAACTTCAAGCGCGTGAAAATACGCATGCGACTTGGGGCCGCGTCCCTGGAAATATTTGCCGCAAACCAGACAAGCGTAAACGTTGATATTTGACAGACTGATAGAACACAGCTTCTCGAAATCGAAATCTAGCACACTGCGGTTGATGGTGTCGAGATAGAGGTCGCCATAACCTTCCATGGGCTGGGTTTGTCGCTTGGGCGCGCTGAGGGCGGAGACCTCTTCATCAATATCCGAGGACTCTGGCATATCTTGCGCCCCCTCCTGCAGCTCTTCTCCTTCCATGTCGGCGGCTGCTAATATATCGAGGCCATTGCGCTCGTCCTGCTCGAGCTCCTGGCCGCTGGTTCGTTGCGCGGGCGCGCTGTTGTGAAGATTGGCCTCGGTATCATTCTCCACGCGCACTTTTTTCGAGGCTGGCGACCCGGGAAAGTTCTGTTCCAAGGGCAGCTCTGCGTGTCTCTTTGACATTGCGACGGTCCAGAGGTGTGTTGGTGGCAAGTGAATGATACGTCGAAGATCTCTAGTTCCGCGAGCTTGGGAAGACGGATGCAAACGTGACAAACATCAGGGTTGCGCACCGCGTCAGTTCAAACAGCCCGATCGGTTCGGTTGTTTCAATGCTTCACTTCTATATAGATTTAGGTAATTTTACGGCTAATAAGGAGGTCTATAATTCCCATCCTGCTACTAAAGATTGTACCCATTATGCCACCTATGTGTAGGTTATTCCGTAATCAAATTTAATTCAAACGTCATAGGATATGATACAACAAACACCTTGGCATGTCGTCCATTAAGCACTCCGCGCAACACGATCGTTATCGAAAGGGATCTCCTTAACACCATCCTTCGTCACTACCTTCACCAAGACCTGTATAGAGTGGTTAGTGAAGCACTAATAAGAGAAAGAAAAGTAAAACGTACACCCTTGTAGTCAATAGGTAGCCGGCGCTTAAGCTCATCTGTGCACATCTCGAGGAGCTTCATGCCTTCTTCGAGAGAGATGTTGGGGTTGTGGTGCTTGTCGAGGAGGGAAAGACAGTAGTATCTATAAACATTAGGACTTATGGTTCTGAAGCTCAACTCGACTCGATATCCGAAAAGGTCAAGACGTACTGGGCATAGCCATGGGCGGCGTATGGTACAGGTGCCAGCGAGGCGAGATAGTCCACCCAGTACAGGCTGGGCTCCTCAGTGACGGGATCCAGACCTCCCAACAACAGGTTGACGGTGTACGGGCTTCGTGATCGCAAGCTGCGTGCCAGCTCTCCTCGGACGAAGTTGGAAACGGCGGCGGGGCTGAGTTCGGTATCGTTGCGCATCGAGTACAATTTGATGTTGGCTTGGATGAATTCCGCGAATTGCACTAGAAACCAACGATCGTCAGAGTCTGGTAAAGTTCCGTTGTAAATCACGAGCTACTCACCGGTATCTCCAGCCTCTCCGGAGAAAGCCATGAGCGTGTGGGGGTTCAGTTGCCGTGTCTTGTCATCCTCGGCCTTAATGATGGTCGGGCCTCGCATTACGGCCTTTGATGCGGCCATAATGACGAAGTCTTTGCCAGTGATACCCAAGAGAACCTCCCTGGCAAGCACGGACTGTCAGCTGCGTTCCATTGGATTGGCGAACAATAGGTACCAGGGACTTACATATTTGCGATGAGTGGGAAACAAGCGTAAAACGAAAAGGTGAGGTTCAAAAAGGGCGATGAAGGAAAGATGTGGTTGAATGATGACCGCGCGGCGAGCTTGAAGCCTGGAGCTCTCAGCTACCTTGGTGACTAAGCCGCCGCCGAGCAGCGCTTTTTCCCCGAAAAAAAAAGTTGATCCGCGCAGACTCGACTTCTACGAACCTCACTTTCCTGCCCGGGGCTTTTTACCCGCAAATATTGACAGGGACATATATTGGAAATCGTCTCCTGAAGATCGCCATGTCTTCTTTTTTCACTGTCCCCGCTTCCCAGCGCAAGCGCAAGAGAGACGACCGCGCCGCAGCACCAGGATCTAAGAAACGGGGTGTCGATGCCCAGAACGAAGGCGCTGGAGGTCGACGAGCCAGGGAAAGAGAGGAATCAATCTCTGGAAGTGACCTGGACGAAGGTGACGAAATTGCGTCCGCACAATCGGGCGAAGAATCCGATTCCGACTCGGACGATGGCGAGACGGCCGCAGACCGACGATTGAAACTCGCTGAACGCTACTTGGGCAACGTCCGGGATGAAGTTGACGAAGTTGGATTCGACGCAGCAGACATTGATCGAGATCTGATTGCGGAGAGGCTGAAGGAGGATGTCGATGAATTCAAAGGCAGAGTGTTTCGCCTACTTGGCTCAAAACTATCGTTTCCCACCGCTTCTCACTCTTTCTTCCGCTCCGACACGCAGTCTACCACTTCTATCGCCGTTTATGCGCCGTATGTCTACACCGTTAGCAAAGACAAGACCTTGATCAAGTGGGAGTTGGCGACTCCAGCCGAACCGAAACCTGCCGACCCGAATTCAAAGCGGCCTCCTCGTCCCCAACGCAAGACTCCTAAGCGAGTCAGATACTTCCGTGGTACTCGCAAAATTAATGGCGAGGTGCAAGGACACACAGGGAATATCCTGTGTGTTGCGGTCTCTCCCTCCGGAAAGTTCGTTGCAACTGGTGGAAGCGATAACAAGCTGGTAATTTGGGATGCTGAGACTCTTACACCGACCAAGACTTTCACGCAGCATCGTGATTCCGTCGCTTCTTTGGCTTTCGCCCGTCACATCTCGACCATGAGCTCCGGAGAACAATTGTTCTCGGGCAGTTATGACCGCACAATAAAGACCTGGTCTATCTCCTCAGCCGGTCATGCATATGTCGAGACATTGTTCGGACACCAAGATCACGTCACTGGTGTTGCTGCCATGACTATTGATCAGTGTGTCAGTGTTGGAGCTCGTGACCGAACTGCACGTTTATGGAAGGTCGTTGATGAGTCTCAGCTCGTGTTCCGAGGCGGTGCCTCCAAGAACGCGCCTTACCGTGAGAGCAATATCGACTGCATTGCACCGCTCCCGCCTTCTCACTTTGTGACTGGCTCTGACTCCGGCTCTATTTCGCTCTGGTCAATGCACAAGAAGAAGCCTCTTTATACGATTGCTCTCGCACATGGCGTGGACCCCATTCCTCCTCTGGATGAGCTATCGCCTGAGACCGACCCAGAGGTTGCGGCCCACAACACCCGGCACATGCGGCCCACAGCTCGCTGGATCACAGCGCTGACCACTCTCCCGGGTACTGATATTGTCCTGAGTGGTAGTTGGGATGGCTGGGTCCGTGCGTGGCGCATTTCGGATGACAAGAAGACCATTATTTCCCTGGGACCTATTGGTGCTGGTCAACCGATTGTCGACACCCCTTCACAACAGCTCAGCCATTCTCTTGCGCAAGACGGCACCCCCAATGGTGATGATATGGAAGTTGAGGCCACACCAGCACAAAAGGCCGACCTACAGCCATTACTCAAGGGTGTCATCAACGGTATCGCCGTTCTTGAGCGCCGTCCCGAGGGTGCATCGTCGGGCCAGAAATCATCCAAATCTCAGCCTCAAACAGAGCCCGAGGTACGGGGTCTGTGCATTGTCGCTGCAATTGGCAAGGAGCATCGGTTGGGCCGGTGGAAGTGCTATGCCAACAATTACCATGAGGGAGATGCTCCTCAAGGTCGCAACGGTGCCGTTGTGTTTGAGGTTCCTTTTGCCTCTAAGGAAGTCGTCGAGGCTGATGTATAAAAGTTTCCATTTTACCGTCAGCCTTGGGTAAACTCCTGCAATCGGACTGTACGGGGTTGGAGGATAAAAATAGGAGCGTTATTCGGAGTGTGGTGTCCTGGAGTCGGGATTTGCATGTATTTTATCATCTTGCATACATATTGATCTCTTCATAGGAGATATTACATGGATTTTCATTGCCAAAATTTGACCCAACCGTAAATTTATACCAGGCTTCCAAAAATATTTTCAAGAAGCACAAATGAGCGCCTCAAGTGCTCGGGGAAATTTTGTTTGCTTGAGTTCGACTTGGACGTCCGCCTTATACCGTCAGCCGTTGACCGCCTCAGGCCGCAATCCCAACTACATCCATTACTCGACAATCTCTTATAGATATTGCAAACAAGCCTCTGAGCCAAAAAGCCAGCCAGCGCAGCCAGATACCATGAAAGCTTCGCGGTACTCTAGATCTCGACAAAAGTCCTGCCAGCAATGTTCAAGTGCCAAGGCAAAGTGCGATCGCAAGCAGGGACGATGCACCAGATGCATCCACAGAGGCATCCCATGCATATTTCCTCACACCACTGCTCCTTTCACTTCTTCCAGACAGCCTCTCCAAAGTCCTACCATGAATGGTGGTATTGAGCTGGGCGCCTCAGTCCCGATGCCCGACGCCTCGTTCCCAAGCCCTAGTTCTGACCTGAGCGTGAATTTTCCACCTATGAATACGGCAGCGGTTCAGTCCAGCCCGCAAAATATGGCACGGGGTCTCAATCAAGATTCAATACAAAGAAATGAGAATTTGAATGATCTTGATTTTACAAATCTGGATTTGATCTGTCCGATTAATGTTGACGATATCAGTAATCGCTGGTTAAACCCTTACATTCCGAGTCCTGAACAAACCGTCAAGGAATATCCAGCTACAGTCACCCGTTTTATTTATCGAGTGTTGAAATCATATGCATCGTTCGCGACCCGTGGCCGAAATATTCTACCATTCATCCATCCCATGCAAATGAATGAGCAATCGTCAACAGGTTCACCACTCACTACATGTCTAAACCTGATTCGGGTATGCGAAAATCCGTTGCCCGGAAGTGAGAGCTCTGCAGCCATCATTCTTCGGCGTGAGATGGAAAGTATGACGGAGATACGAGAGAAATACGACGACATGTCTCTGCTGGCAGCCTTTCAAGCCTATCTCATTTACACTATGGTTCTATTCTTTCGTCTCAGTCAGGGACCTAGCCCTTTTTTCCGGCAGGCGATGATCAATCTTCAAGAACTTGCTTGTTCCTGCTCACGGCGAGGACTAGTATGTGCGGCTGATCAAAGTCACACGCGACCGAGGTGGGAAGAGTGGATTGTGACTGAGGCTAAGCGACGTACACTTTTCGTGATGTATCTCCTTGACAGTGTGTTCTCGGTCCAAGAGAATCTTCCTACTTTTCTTGGAACTGAACTACAAGGGCTTCCTGCTCCCTCTAATAAATCTTTATGGAAAGCTCAATCTCGAACTGATTGGGAGACAGAATACACCATTTTTCTGACGGAGTGGACGGAAGAGAGTCTCAGTATTGACGAGCTTTGGCCCATACCTGCGGGTTTCGATGCAGCGAGCATTACTCGGAGACGTGACAGAGTAGACAGGTGGCTTGAGAATCTTGATGAGTATGGCACCATGATGTTTGCGGTGACAGAATGTACACATGGCGGTTGAATATGATCCACCACAAATTCCATAATTAACTCCTTACTCTTCGCCATAAGCCAGGCCTATCAGGTCAACATGATGCTTATATCCATGATTAATATATTCTGCCCCTCTGCAAGTTCCAAAACAGCATCATTGAGCGAGATAACCTTCAAGTTCATCTACGGCAAAAGGTCACAAGCATGACTTTTGAGACAGGCTCACTATGATCCACCAGCTAGTCCAGCACATTATCTGTGACGACTAATGCTTTGTAACCCAAGTCAAATGGTTGGTAGATGGTGTTCATAACAGCGCCAGAGAGAGTCAGGCCAGACTACAGATTGCAAGTTAGCCATGATCCATGAATCGAAGCCTTGTATCACGTATGACTACTACCGTATCAATGCCCTGTGCCTTCAATATCTGTTCTAGATTTCTTCCAGTGGTGGCAGACCGTCTTTTTTTTAAAACAACAACATATTATCTAGTTTGAAGCGGGGTCAATGGCGGTGGTTCGATGACCCATCTTTCAACGAGCGAAAAGGTGCGATGAGCCATTGATTGGTCTTTTGACGAACCGCAATGCTCCAGCGAGCAAGATGCAAATTCAAGGCCTTTCACCTCAGGTGTTTCTTCGGCTTTGATCAAGACGGACATACAATCGACATTGAGATGGCATAGTGTTTTCCGAAGCTCACAGAGTCGGCACAAGTCTTTTCTGATGAACCAAGTATGCCCCAGTTGAGATGAACATGGTATAAATAGGGTGAAGTCTTTACTTTCAAGTAAGGTTAGGGGGAAAAAAAATTCTCGTTGCCATATGAATCAGGTCTATACTTTACGTGGGTCTGAGGTGAAGTCAGGGTCCTGTTCCGGTCATTGTGTCTAGAGGCGTCTTCAACTCCGAGTCTCAACTCCGTCAACTCCGGAAAGCGGAAGATTATGTTCACCATCCCAGGTTGATAAGTCTCACATTTGATCTTCTTCTCCAACCGAAGATTACTCTTTTCAACCCGTCCAAGAGGTTTCAGATCAATTATTTCTGGGATACTTGAGCCTTCTGCCCACTAACCATGGCCTCAGACAGCCATCAAGAGCAACCACTGAGTAATTCTGCCGAGTCAATACCTGCTGGTACCAATGTACCTTGCACCATCTTCGATAAAAGACAAAAATGGCTTGTTGTGTTCATCATTTCATTTGCTGCGACGTGTAAGCACGAGAGAATCGCCACCTTGAGATGTTGATTCCATCAGCTAACGCTCATAAAGTCTCTGGCTTCGCATCAAACATCTACTTCCCTGCTTTACCAACCATAGCAAGTGACCTCAACGTATCCCTAGAACAAGTCAACTTGACAGTCACATCATATCTTATCTTTCAAGGGATAGCGCCGAGCTTCTGGGGCCCGGTATCCGATGTGAGAGGTCGTCGTGTAGCATACACATGCACGTTCCTGGTGTTTCTCGGCGCATGCATTGGCCTCGCCGAGAGTAAGAATTATGCCACCCTTGTCGTGCTCCGATGCCTTCAAAGTACTGGAAGTGCCAGTACTATCGCGATCGGATCTGGCGTGATTGGCGACATCACTACTCGAGCTGATCGTGGTGGGTATATGGGGATTTTCCAGGCTGGTTTACTGGTGCCTGTTGCTGTTGGGCCGGTGATAGGAGGTGCTCTCGCTGAATCTTTGGGATGGAGGTCTATTTTCTGGTTCTTGGCTATTTACAGTGGCGTTTTTCTAATTGTGCTGCTCCTGTTCCTGCCTGAAACACTTCGATCCCTCGTCGCCAATGGATCATTGGTATCATTGAACCCACTGACCAGATACCCTCTGAATATCTACCAAAAGCTCAGCAAGACAGGATGGGACCATGAAACACCACCACCTCAGTTGGCAGCCAGGAAAAGCATCGGCATCTTGAGCCCTTTTCCCATTCTTGTCACCAAGTTCACATCACCTATTATCTTATTTCTTGCGATTTACTATGCTGTCTGGCAAATGAGCATCACAGCCATGTCGTCACTTTTCGAAAGCCGCTACGGTCTCAACGAGATGCAAATTGGTCTGACGTTTATTGCCAACGGAGTTGGCTCCATGGTTGGAACCCTAGCCACCGGCAAAATTCTCGATCGGGATTATCGCCGCGTGAAAGCCAAGTACGAGCCTCAATCCGATGTTGAAGCTGGAGATTCATCAAAGAATGTTGTCTGTCAGGAAGACTTTCCGATTGAAAAGGCTCGTCTTCGACTTGTCCCATTATTTTCGGGCCTACAGTGTCTTTCTATTCTTCTGTTCGGTTGGACTATTCAATACTCCCACCGCATCCATATCGCTGTTCCAATCGTTTCAACTTTTATCACAGGATGGACTGCTGTCTCTACGCAGTCGGTTAGCATGACCTATCTGGTGGATATTTTCCCGGGTCAAAGTGCTGCAGCTAGTGCGAGTTTGAACCTGGCGCGATGTCTGTTCGCTGCTGGCGGAACAAGCTTTGTCATGCCTATGATTAATGGCACTGGGGTCGGGCTAACATTCACCGTCTGTGTTGTTGTTCAGGTTATTGCCCTTGTTGGGCCTTTTTTCCAGTGGAAATTCGCGGGGTCATGGAGGAGGGAAACAGGAAGACAAGAGGCTCCATCCTTCGAAGGCGGGAGCTAGTAATACTGGCACGGCTGGATATGGGAATAGGATGAACGAAGGGATCTCCTTGGCATGGATTGCATATTGTTTTTTGGCAAAGACACTAGATTAGTATCTAATAGCCTAGAATTGCATGATCGATTATTTAGAATCATTCATATTCACATCTTGAAATTAGGCGAGGTGGCGCTTCCACCAATTCTCCTTTTGCTTGAAAGACTCAAGAATAGCCGTGTGCCCATGCCATCCATGGCCCTCGCCGGGGAATTCAACCACCTCAGCGACTCTACCATGAGCATGCATAGCTTGAGCCATATTCCAGGCTTGAGCCAACGGAACCACCATATCCACAGTCCCCTGAAGAAGGAGCAGCGGTGCCTTAATGTTTTCCGCAAAGAAGCACGGACTTCGCTTCTTCAGCTCCTCCTCCCTGTCCCGCTTCTCTGTTTTAGACAGAAGCAACCGATCCACATCTTGGCTCTCAAACTTGTACGAATCAGCCTGCAACATCTTCACGTCGCTAATACCATAGGAACTAATTCCAGCTGCCCAGACATCGGGATACATGTGCAGGGCTTGCAGGGTCAAGTAGCCACCGGCACTGCCACCATAGATGCCGACGCGGGCTTCATCGATCAATCCTTCATTTGCCAGATACTTGACGGCGCTGACTGCATCTCCCGTATCAACCAGGCCCCAGTACCCGGACAGTCGCTCCCGATACTCGCGTCCGAAGCCCGTAGAGCCAGTGTAGTTGACAGCGCAAACGGCAAAGCCGCGAGTTGTATAGAACTGGATTTCCAGATTCAGAGCCGGGGTAACGTTTGCATTGGGTCCACCATGGACATATACCAGAACAGGGGGAGGGTTCGACCCTTCAGCTAGGAAGTCCGGGTTCTGAGGAGGGAAATAAAACATGTGCACTTTGCCATCGCATCGTGGGCCATACTTTTGAGGGGCGGTGAATTCTTGAGCACGAGAGATATACTCCGGTGCGAGGTCAAATGAGGCAGTTGAGGTGAGAACCTTTGTTTGCGTTTCAAATGAGGGCGCGATTGAGACCAATGCCAGTTCTTGGAAAGAGGTTGCTGAGGCAGCAACGACTGCAAAGCTGTTTGGTGATACGCGGTAGATTGCGTTGGCGCGGAATCCGACGTCAACATAGGGAAGATCCAAATCTCGCACGGACAGATCAACCGTGTCAATGAGGACAATTTTGCTAGTGGCATGAGTGATGGCCGTTGCCACTATTGTCCTCTCGTCTAGGGAGATATAGGTGGAGCTAGACAAGATTAGACTCCTACCAGCGAGAGTTGAATAGTTTTCTGAACTTACCTTCCAAGTTCCCATTCCGCAATGGCGAAATCAGCCTTCTCTAGACCCTTAAGCGAAAGACTGCGAGTATTGGCGTTCTTTGGATCGTATGAGTAAAGTTGCCAAAACCCAGTCCGATCACTTGCAAAGTACAATAGCCCATCCAAGCCCCATTTGGGCTGCGCAATGCTCTCCACCATCGCTTTTCCAGCAATGGAAGTATTATTTTGCAAAGATCCACTGGCCCACTCCGCCACGTGAAGCACAGTGCCTGTCCATGGCATATCTGGATGGGACCATTGAATCCAAGAAACATACTTGCCAGAAGGGTCGAACTTGGGGTGGGAGTAGAAATCATCACCTTCCGCAATGGTAGTTTCTTTCCCAGATCTAATATCAATTGCCACAAGGGTATTGTGGACGTGAGTGGCCTGAGTCTCCGGGGTAGCTTCGCGGTGGTCTTCCTTAATTGCAATCATCCAGTCCGACTTTTTCGGGTGGGTGTTGAATTCCGCATAGCGAATACCCTTGGGTGCTTCGAGGATGAGCTTGACTTGGCTCGACTCCGGGTCCAGAAGATAGATATTACAAGAATCATCATCTGAAAGAAGGATCTGACCGTCGGGTCTCATAGAAATGGAGCCACCGCCGAGTTCCTGCACCGTGGCGTGAGCGCTCAGCTCCTTGGGCAAAACATCCTTTGTTTGCCCATGGAGATGCTGCACAATAGCGAAGCGGCCGTCCTCGTTGGGTCGGCATTCAATTGAGTAGATTGCCCCCGTAGATTCCTGAACCTAATCAGCCAAACCCGTCGGGTCCGATGTACAGGTACCACTCACATTGACAGCGACTTCTTGAAGCGATATGCTGGAGCCTGCCAAAAGCTCCGCCGTGAGCGGGCTCTTCCAATGACCGTACGGTGCTGTTTGAGAAGACATCGCTCTCAGTCCTGTTTGATTACCAAGAGTTGAAATTCGAAAGATGGATCTCGAGGTGAGACACGAAATGCTCGGGACCCTCTTCAATAAGTAGCCCGCTTGGCAGTAATTCTGGATGACTCATGAGTCAGAAAATAGATAGCAAAGTCACACGGTGAGACAAACGCTAGAAAGTTTTGGTGAATAGTTACTATATGGTCGTCCCAGTATACTAAAGGATGGCCTGGAACAGAAACTAAACGGTGCCCGGATGATGCTGCGTTTCATCCCTGTCTATTCCGCCCAATCAAATCACGGAACAGCCACCTTTGGAGAGGGTTTGTAGCCGAAGATTGAGACAAGTTTGAAGTAGGCCCTGGGACAAGAAGCGGAGAAAAGAGTACTGGTTGAGTTGAATAAATGACGGGAGAAAACTGGAGGACGCAGGACGGGGTGATCGGGCGTGTTAGCCTATTTTATCAGGCAACTACAATAAATTAACCTACGGTCAGAGAACAAATTGCTTGTCACCTTGATATTTAGGTATTTCATTTCATTGGAAGGACTATTAGAGATCCTGAAGCCAGGCAACTGGATTGTAATTAAAGTATCTGGGTTGTCCTTTGGCTCACTTGGGAGTTGCCAACAAAGAATAGATATTCGGAGATAGTTGAGACTGGAATCCAGGCCATAGGAAGGAAAGATGGGGTATTATGGAGCATGCTATTTTTTTTCACGTAGCAGAAGAAAGCATGTATATGGAAGACCCGGTACCACCGGTCGAGTGAAAAAGGCACTCCTGCAAGGAAAGCGCCGAGTGATTTTCTATCCCAGTCAAACGCCGCGCTATTTGAAATCATGGAACCAACGCCGAATATGCATAAGAGAAGGAGGCTGGAGTAAGAAAAGAGAGAAGATCGGATCATAGAGTTCAATAAGGAGTCGCTCGGGCAAGGCGGCGCTGGGTTGCTCTCCTCATAGGTCCGACTGGTTGTTCGTCTTCAGAATCATCGATAGTGATTGCGTTACCGGCAGAAACCCCAGTGGTCCTGGCGGGCCTCATCGGTCTTGGAGCAGAACTGTCGCTTGAAGGTTCACTGTCATAATCGGTAGGGTAGAAACCTTGTTCGTAAAAACGGTGGGCATGAGCCATTTCAGGGTCCGCTCCATCATTCGTTTCAGCCTCGGAGACCATCGGAGATGATCTTGTGTCGTGGAATGTAGGGCTGCTGGAAGATGGGCCCACGCGAGAAGAAGAGGAGGCTTCCCAGGGTTCTCTAGTCTCTGTAAAGCTATCTTCTTCCTCGTCGACCTCACTGCCTTCCTCTTCGTCGTCTGCCATAGGAGCATATGAGATGTCGCTATAACGCGGTGGGCCCCATGATGGTACAGCCCTGTTACGAATAGGGGCAGCGCCCACCACCGTGACTCCGTCAGACTCCGCATCATCTTCCCCATCCGGGCGAACTTCGTCGTCATCAATGAACGAATCCTGATCGTCGTATTCATCTTCCTCGTCTTCATCATCGTAATCAGTCATCTCCGAATGCATCACTTGCCCTGGGTGAGGATTAGGATGAGAGTGAGGCCGAGGATTTGGGTAAAATTGAGGGTGGTGTGGGTGAGGACGAGAGCGCCATGCTTGTGGGTGACTTGGATTATTTGGATGACCTGGATGCCACAATCCATTCATTGCCTGACTGATTGCCGAAACTACGGCGATGTTAGGGTCTGCATATGGATGCGACGCACTGAACGGTCCAAATTGGCTGAATACGTCCTCGGCCTCAAAATCCCCAAATTCGTCCTCTTCGTAATCGTCTTCATTGGACTCAAAGTCAGAGGCGGTCACGCTGCCGTCGTCATCGCCACTGTAATCTGTCATTTCGTCTTCTGGGTGATAACGCCAGTTGCAATTATGACATTCTTCGCCGTCCTCAAGCTCCCACGAGCAACATGGACATCGAGTGACGCCATCGTCGACGTCGACGACTGGCTTCAAAGAAGGACCTTTTGGCTTGAAGAGTCCTCCGAACAGGCCACCTCTGTGTGGATCTGCGTTTGCCTTGTCCGTGTCTAAACGACCCGCCTCTTCTTGTTGATTTTTCGAATGCTCCGCGGTAGTCTCCCCCTTGTCCAAGAGCTCTGCGCGACTTGTGAACATCTGCACGACTGCACGAACCTATGAAAAACACAAAATATTAGAATGCTGCATGAAAGCAAGTAAGAAACCATACTTACCAGATATGCCGGCGCTGGTTGGGTTTTGACGGGTGCCCGACAGTCCGGGCATGTCCGTTTCGATCGACCGCCAGAGAACCATGAGGATAGACACTGCACGATATTAGAGAGACCATGACGAAATGCCCTGGCTGCACGCAAGAGACTTACAGAATAGCAGAAGGTGTGCCCACAAGCTAGGGTGTAGGGCTCGTAGAGTGGCCGGATACAGATACCGCACTGTATAAGACTTCTAATATCATCCACATGGCCTTGGAGCGTGTTGACCAGCTAGAACCACGTTAATTTTGAACCTCTTAAGCAAAGGGCCTGGAAAGCTTACCCCGGAGGCCTCGGCCTCAGAGCCACTACCACACGCCATGTTGGCCGCCATGCTGGCCAAGCAGGTTGGGTGGATATTTGAGGTCACTGCAGCCGCAAATTTGATATTGAAGAGATCGCGTTTTTGAAGTGGTTGCGCGGAAACGCGAAGTCCGTGAGAATGCGGTGGGGGTCGGAGGAAAAGTTTCCCGACAGTGGCAAGAAGGCGATTTAGCAGGGAACACTGGAAAAATCCGTGTCAGAGGCCAAAAGCGAATGACGCAAGAATGGGACAATGGAGAAGATAACGGAGGAAGATCCAGGCATATAAACTGGTCTCCGACGTAGAAGTCAGCCAAGAATAAAGGTGTTGTCTGCAGCCTCAGGCATAAGCTGACATAACGGTGCCTTGTCAGGTCACGTGGTTTTGTTATGCATCGATTGCTTTACTTTCACATCACAACCCTGATCCTCCCCAATCTTACCGTCACTTTCTTTCTTTCCTTTTTCTCTTGCTCTTATTATACTAGAAAGGGGTAGCCACTGTGATGATTTCAAAGGCTAGTTTGAATCCGGTTGTACATACGAGTAACATGTTTACAACACGGGCCATGAGCACTATCGCTGCCAGTTGCCGCCTCCTTACATTCAGTATGGGAAATCTATTGGCTCGGCGATATGTGTTCATTTCCTGCAAGTTAATGCAGGGATGTGGAAAGTACAGTGGTTTATCACCCCCCTGTGGTGTAGTTGATTAATAGTGAGGCTGGCGCGGGAAATCTGGCCTGTCTTGGTGATACACATGGTTCTGGTCCACGGCCCCTAGTCTAGCCTAAGGGGCTATAACTTCATAGGTATTGCAATTGAAAAATCCAGTAATGAATCGACGTGACGCATAGTGCAATATTATACTAGTAGACTCGTCAAAATACCCAGTACGGGATACTGCCACATTGCTCTCTCAGCTCTCTTGAGCATGACTCCATGCTTATACTGACTGGGGACATGCGATATTGTCAACAGCGTTAAGTTGATGACTATGCGGCTCCGGTGGTTGGCAGATTCGGGTCTCCGCGCCAAGACCGCGGATCCCCAATTCTGCCGGAGCAGCACTAACGTCCAGATCTCCAATCCACCTCTAACTTCCCCCAAAATCGCATCAGACAAGTCCTATCGGTGCTCGAATCCTTACATATACCCATACCGGCTATTTTCATTCTATTGAACCGGAGAAGTCGACAATCCAAAGACCTTGTCTCGATGTCGGGTGAAGCTCCCAAGGAGGAACCCCACGGCAAGGCGTGGGAGAAGGCGGAGAGGAAGTTCTCCCAGTAAGTTTCAAATGTCATTTCCCTTGTTCTCAGCATCTCAGTTGTGGGGCCATTGATATATGTGCACATACTTGTTGCTGGACCTCCGTCGCAGTGAAACGAAAGGATACCACCTGCGCAAGGCGACGTTGTGATTTATATAAGACCAACTTCAGGAGAGGGAAGAACACCGTTTTGAAAACATTTTGATTCGAACAATGCCTTATTTCAGCTTGCATTCTGTGCCTCAATTCATGTACATGGCTAATCCGATGATACCAGTAAAAATGCCAGCGAATACTATGATCCCTGCCAGGACTTTGCGGATCGAAGTTTAAAGTGCATGAAGCGCAACGGCTTTGATCGAGAGATGTGCGGCGACTACTTCCAGTATGTCTCTTGCCCCTAGTTCCCGAGAAACTATGCGTTGAGACCTCGGTTGGCTTGATCGCCTGTCAATTCGTCTTTTCTCGTTCCATTATTCGCGACTAACTGGATTCACTTGCCAGGGCTTATCGCGACTGCAAGAAAAATTGGGTGAGTTGAGACTTTCCAAGTTTCTTCGTTGTCTATGCGCCCCATTGAAGGCAATTCGCGTAGGCTATTCTGGGACTCGCATTATGGTGACGTGAACGCTAGTATATTGAAGCCTCGCTGACAGTGACCACAGTTGAATCAAAAGAAGGCTTCTTAACCTTTAAATTAAGACTCAAAGGAACCCGATGCTTTCCAACGGAATAGGTGCCTGTGTTAGGAGCAACAGTTGCATCTTGTGTAACATACTTTATAACCCATTAGCATGTCATTTTTCATCTCAATTATTTTGAAATTCGTTGTCTTCAATCAATCCGTATGGATGACCACATGATCTTTCATTGGAGATCTTGTGTAGCAGGCATTGAATTGCCATCGAGGAAAGGGGATGCTACTGAAGTACTCATTGCAAAGCATAATGTGAAGCTCCCTTGGAGAAATTGGAGCATATTGCCTTACAAAGAGAAATCAATTATCACCCCAGAGATCCATAACGTTCCAAGTGAAAGAGGAGTTTCTTACATGCGTATGTCAATGAGAATGTGACACTTCTTCAGAGGCAACTCAAGCAGTCACATCCGTTGGGGCTTAGTCAGCAGGCGCCTCTAACCACAAATACCCCTCGGCCCTCACCGCCCTTCCTGCTTCTGCCTCTTAGCTTCACCGCCCTCCAACCTTCTGCCTCTTTTCTCTTCACCGCTCTCTTACTTCCCCGCCATAGTGCGACTGCGAGCTCTCTTTAAGTTCGAATTACTCTCTATTTCTGCGTGACTGCGCTGTTGGGTCGTGTAAGAGCGTCTCAAAATGGCGTCTGCGAATGATCCAGTCTTCCTGCGTCGGAACAACCAGGTTCAGGATGCGATTGACGGGCAGAATCTGAAGCAGGCGCTTCAGTTGGTCGAAAAACGCATGAAGAAAGGCGAGGACACAAGATTCTTGAAAGTACGTAGATCTAATTGCCACGGATCTGAGCTTCGAGTACCTCGAACTCGCGCTCTACGTCAGACGAAAGCATTGTTAACATGAAACTTGACAGGCTTGGAAAGCGCATATCCTCTTTCTCCATGCAGACGATGCTCACAAGCAGCGTGGAATTGCCGAGACCCTCGAGCTTTGTGCCGCCGAACCCCCTACCACCGACCTCGAAACCTTGGACAAGCTCTTCCGGACGCTGCAGAGGCTGGACGGGCATAGTGCGACTAGAAGTAGTCTGTGGGAGAAGGCCTCCAAGGCAAAGCCACAAGATCTGGAGATTCAGCTAGAATGGTTTACAACTTCGTTTGAAAGCAATGACTGGAAGTCGGCGCAAAAGGTCGGCAAGAAACTATGACCCCATGCATTGCTCACTCAAATCTGACTTTTATTTCTCTCTAATTACAGGCTGCAATGAGCCTCCAGAAGAACTTCCCTAGGGAGCGGAAGTATTACTTTTGGGCCATCTTACTCACGCATCTTCTCGCAACAGATGCTGCCAGTTCTGACATGGAGCGCAAGCTTTTTGGAACATTGGGGTATCGGATGGTCTCAAAAGCAGCTGCCGACGTTCCTGCCAATCCGGTAAGTAGCCTTTCCTGAATCTCGAATATCCTTTTCTTTATATTGCCTTTAAGGGATGGAAAGCTTACAAGTAACTATACCAGGCCGATCTGTTGAGCCACTCACGCGTAATTCAGACTTCTGAGGAGCTAAGATTGCTTATCAAGATTTTCGAGTCTCAGAACCAGCATGCCGAAATTGTCAAGATTTTGGATAGCGAAAACCTTGGTCTCAAATCTCGGATTATCCGAAACGACAAGAGCTTCCTCATCAGTAAAGCCACGGCCTTGGCGTCTGCTGGACTGTGGGACGAAGGCCTGGCTTTTGCGAAAGACCTTTACACTGTCTCCGAGGGTATGATCAAGAAGAAGCTTCGCGAGCTCGATGATTGGGGCATCTGGAGTCTGTTGGTTGAAGCTATACGGAACATCAAAACTCCCGGGTTTGTTTCTAGACCCCATTGTAAAAACGAGATCATGCTAACCATTCCTCGCTCTTTAGAATTGCCACTGAGACACAAAAATTTGTCGAAGAGTTCATCAAAGCCAATCCTAAGTCCCGCAATGCGGCTCTGGCCTTTATTGACTTGTCCATATTCGGGATGCAACGGGGAGAGATGACCGCGGATGATGTTCTCTCAGCTTGCCAGAGATACGCAGATCAACACAAGCACAAGCTCTATTTGTTTGGCGATCTACGAAGAGCGTTAGCTGATAACAGAACTGCCTTGTCGAAGATTGCCGACTATCTTTCAATTGCTAAGGATGATGGCAAAGATGTTAGTTTCCAAATTTCCAAACATCTCGCATACTTTTGTTGAAGTCTAACCGTCAATTCAGTTCATTGTTCCGATGATCAACTCTCTCAAAATTTCCTACTGTCTGAACATCTCAGGTGCCGAGGACAGCTCTTCCAAGAACAAGGTTGAGGCATTTGTTAGGCAGTGCCTGAACCTCTATCAGTCTTGCATCAACAAAGGAAGTCCGGAAAAGACCAAGGAGGAGGAAGCGGCTTCTGCCACTGAAAGCCAGCCTAGAGATGATCTGTGCATTCTTGCTGCTATGGCTCTTCTTCGTGCAAGTGAGACTGGTGAGATCCAAGCGCGGGTTCCAGATTCGGCTCTCATTCGTGCCGCTAGCGTTTTGGAACGGCTTCTGCTCGATTCGCCTCACAACTACCAGGCTCGTTTACTCTTGGTTCGCACCTATCTTATCCTTGGTGCCGGCTCTCTTGCATTGAGCACATTCAGCAAGCTTTCAGTCAAGCAGATTCAATTTGAGTCTGTTGCTCACAATCTCTTTACCCGCCTCGCAACTATTCACCCTCACTCTGCGCCGCCAGTCGAAGGCGCCGAGTACAAGGACTTTGACCCTCAAGCAGCATTTATTCAGGCCCTTAACTTCTACCGTACCTCCGAGGTATCAACACTCAAGTTCCGCACTCGTTGCATAGTTGAGGGAAGCTTTGTCAATGCGGAAGAAATGGTTCAGCTGCGGGATCGCCTCAGGAACAGTATCTGTCGCAAGATGTTTGCGCTCGAAGTGCGACGCTCGCAGAGACTGGCGGGAGGAGACCCATTGGCTCGCTATGATGATATAGGTTCGTTTCCACTTGTGTTGAACGTTAATTTTTGTTTGAAGCGGTTGTTAACTATGCTCACAGCTCGCAATGCCTCTCCTTCCACGGACAACCGAGATTACGATGTGTTTATGAACTGTGAAGGCCTAGAGAAACCTTCATTTGAGCAGAGAATGCGCGTTGGACCGATTCCCAAGGTATCTTTTCTTGGTTTGAGTTGTCTCCTCAACATTAGCTGACATTTGTTCAGGAAAACTGGATGGTTTCTGCCCGGGTTACCGACCAACTGTTTTGCGTGCTGAAGGGCATTACTTTGCAGAAGCCACTCACACTGGAACTGGATGTCCATGAACTCGAGACGTTGAGCATCTCCGAGGCAGCAGGTGATCAAACAGTCTCGGAGAAAGAGGCAGCCAAAATTCATTCATCGCTACTAAAAGCTGCAGTCTTTATGGCTGGGTCGAAAACCACCACCCCTGAACAAGCCGACAAGGCTCTCGTCGAAGTGGAGGAATTTCTGAAATTAAAGAAGAAGGATCTGACGCTTGATTCCACTGATGTCTCGCCGATCATTTCCACTACCGCTTTCTACCTATCCGATCTGCCGACTGCGCCCACCTGGAGATTTTTCCACGTTGTCTTCACGCTTCTGGAGACACTGAATGCTCTTTCTCAACTCACTACGTTAGCTTCACGGAAGGGTTCTAAGGCCACCAAACTCCCCAAAGAGCGTGTTGACCGGCTCTCTACTCTGGTCGCTGAGATCTTTGATCTCGTCCGGGCTAACACCAAGGCGCTTAAGAAGCGCGTTTCCGCATCTGGTGTGCTGAGTGGCCTGGTCGACCTTGTCGGCCAAGGCGACCCAACCAACAGCTACAACCAGGAACTCCAGCAAACACTGGAGGCCACCTTGGATGGATCTGCAGTCGAGGTATTCTGCGGCTCTCTGATGGAGAGCTGGGAAGACGCCCTGGATGGAGTCATAGGAGTCAGAATCTGATAGGGCACATAGATGGCTTGTCAAATTCATTTCTGGTGATTATTAAAAGATGCCCTAGAGAGATGGATGGCCATGGAACGCCTGTATCATTCTTACTCTATAAGAACATGTAGATCCCATGCGAGGGCATACAGTAGCACGTGACTCGTATGGTCTCTACTGCCTCAGGCAAATATACCCGCATGACCACTAGCCTGAATGGGTGATTAGCCCTAGCCCTAATAACTCGCCTACCGCACACCGCGCCAAGACCCGCAATTGTGCGGTTCCCGTTACTAGGCGGATCTGCTCACTGGATTCTTCATTCCCTTTCTACGACAACCACCGCCAACCTCCCCAGTCACCAACCGTCGAGATGGCCCAGGAACGCTCCGGAATTGTGCTCGGCACCAACAGTGGCCACGTATGTCCATCACCTTTTCCCCTTGGCAGTGTCATGTTTGGAGCTTTGTTTTTCGGTGGAAATTTTTCGAGTCAGGTCCCGTCGAGGGTTCAAGATCAACACACAATGCGCCACTGCGATGATACCGCAGATCAGAAGAACAGGTTTATGGAACATGAACTGGAAGAGGATGAGCTGGGGATGGACGTTCAAAGTTGCGGAAGAAAATTTGGACATTTGGGGGACCCGACAAAACATGAATCACCAACCTGAACTCCCGACACGATCTTGAACCGAATCAAATCGACGTACACGAATGAACAAAGCTCTCCAACATGAACATGACTGCAAATGGATCATTTGAACCTGACCGACTAACATGCTCAATTATAGAAAACCACTGCCCTCAACACCCCCAAGAACAAGATCAGCCGTACCAAGGGCCAATCTTCCCGCCGCACTCAGTTCGTCCGCGACATCACCCGTGAGGTCGTCGGTCTCGCCCCCTATGAGCGCCGCATCGTTGAGCTGTTGAGGAACGCCCAGGACAAGCGTGCCCGCAAGCTCGCTAAGAAGCGCGTACGTGTCGATCCCTCTTTTTTTCATTGATCTGTTCGCGTGTTGGATTGGTTTGATTTAGGAATTGTGTGGTTCGGAACAATCTGGTGCAGCAGGGTGCTTGATGCGATTTGCCGCTCAAGGAAGACACAAGTCGACCTTCACTCGGCTCATCCACATATTGCAAACCTGCACCATTTGCCCCGAGTTACCATTTCCATCTTCCAATCTCCAGCGAGAAGACAAGCAAATGACCGTCGAACCAATGCTAACATCATCTTCAGCTCGGTACTTTCGGCCGTGGCAAGGCTAAGGTTGAGGACATGCAGCGCGTCATCGCTGAGTCCCGCCGTGTCCAGGGTCACTAAACGCTCCATTCCGTTGATTCTTTTTCTCCTTAACGACTCGAATACCTGGCGCGCGCAAGGGATACGAACGAAAAAATCGCATAGCGTATGGCTTGCGGATCGGAATATGGATATAGTTTTTGACTACCGGTGGATGACGGGGATGGCAAAAGTGGAATCCCTTCCTCTTGTTATGGAAGAGAAACCATAATGAAAACATTTTGTTCAACGTTCTATGCATTTACTCGTAGTTTCGTAAGGTGTTTGAGTGACTCGTGGGGGTCATGTCTAAGCGTGACGATGTTGCGCGCGTGGTGCTATCTGGGGTTATGGATTATTTTAGGGATTCACTGGAATGAATAGTAGAGTGGAGCTAGATCGTCGTCAATCATGCAATTACATTGGTACAGCTCAGTATACGCAAATAGATCTATCGCCATTCGCACAGCAATGCAACGCGTGCCAAGTCATGGTCATCCAGAAACACGCATCACTCATGAGACACGTCTGAGTCGTTAAGATACTTCATTTCTTTCCAGGGAGCTTCAGCCACTTCGGAATGCCACCACTCTTTTTTGCTCCACCAGGCTTGCCATCGCCAGAACCACTCGGGCCTTCCTCGGTCTTCCGTGCAGATGGTTCCTCCTTGGGTTCTAGTGGCTGCTCGACCTTCAACTCCTGAGCTTTGCTTCGGAGTTCCGGGCGCAGCAAATTTGTTCGGCGCTGTGCAGAGGACACGCCATCGGCCCATGTGAAGTTGACCAGGACTCGACCTGCGAGACCCAAGTCCTGGATCAGGGTCTGATCAGACTCAGGCAGGGTGCTCGGGCTTCCAGGATGCGATGCAGTGGGGCCGCTGAATATGTTGAGGTTGAACTTCTCTCCAGAAAATGCTGAATCAAGACAGTTGCGTACGAATCCGTACAGTGATTTGCCAGAGTCGAAGGGTCCAAACTTCGCAACTATTTGGCTCTGGTCTGGGAACCGGACTTTCACATCTACCTCGCGAATTGCGGAGCGCCGCTTCTCCTCTGCTGCAGCTTTGGCGGCGATTTCAGCGTCGGTGAGTAAGCGCTGGTTGCGAGAGCTTTGGTTGAGTAGGCGCTGATGAGCTTTAGCGTGCTCGACCGAGGGTACATAGTCTTCCTCGTTGTAGGGTATTTGCGCAGACGATGGGGTATTGGCGGATGGAGGGAGAAGACGGCGATAGGCCGTTCAGGCGTTGACATTAAAGTCGGGTGCTCTGAAGCATCCGGCATCAGAGTATCCTGGTCATCTACTGAGGCCACAGTCGGTTCACTTGATGCTTCGGCTTGATCAGAACCAGAAAGCTGCTGCTGCGTTCCATTGTTTGTCTCCTCTCCAGGCGTTGCGGGTGCTTCGTTCGGTGTCGGCGCTGGCATTTCATCCTCTGATGCCTTGAAGTACTCAGCAATCTTGGTCATGGCCACGTGGAGCGGGTCTTCTGTCTGTCGGAAGCTGAGTCGCATAAGCACGTTGCCACTATTGAAGCCGAGCTGGGCCAGCGTTTTCTGCAAGTCCGCAAAGCTTGATAGCTCGCGCTCCAAGATCCGTAGGACCGGGATCTCGTAGAACAAGCTACCAGCACCGGAGTCGCCATCAGTTGTAGCAGGCACCCCTCGAGCAGTCAAATTCCGCAGTGGACCAGCTCCTGCGACTCCAGCTTCAAACTTGCGCAATACCAGCCAGAGCGTAGTCGAGCTCGGGAATTTGTCAAGTATGCGGCCGTTTGGTGCACCGCGAGCTTCGGATTCGGGGAGCTGGAGGGCGACTGTGACGACGGAAGGAGATCGAGATAGCTGGACAAGCTCTAGCTTTGCGCCAGGAATCAGGCCAGAGAGGCGATAGGAAAGGGAAAGGTCCAGTTGTTTGCCGTTGTGCCTTGTAAACCGGGTTAGCATCGCCACATGTCGGCGGAAGGCAGCTTGACTCACTTTAAGGCATATTGGTTGGGGTTGTATCCAAGCTTGGAGCATGCCTCCTGCAACACATCCGTCAAGTGTTTGGTAGGTGTTGTCTTGACCGTTGCCCGCCTGGCCGTCGCGTCGATCACCACGACGTGGGCGCTCATAGTTACGATGTCTGTGACTCTTAGAGTGCAATGGGGAGATGAAATAATAAGAAGAAAGTTAGGAATGAGGTGAGGTGAAGATAGGAGTAGACAAGGTAAGATGAGGAGAGTGTGGGGGTGAATGTTAGAAAGAAAGTAGTCGAAGGTCGAGGCCGACCAAACAGGCAGCGGTGCGGCGTCATCCGAGCTCTCGCGTACCTCACAGCTCCCCATCGCCAACTCACCTCCCCCATCATCCCCCCGACCTTCTCCTCCAACCCTCTTTGCATCCCCACCTGTCTCTCGTCAAAGCTCCAGAAACTACTCCGCTACCGGGATTGATAAGAAAGAACTGCAATAATGGTATGAGACAGGATCCCTTCCCCCATTCAATCCTAGCCGCTGGACCTCAAAGCTAACCACCTCCTGCCATCATCAGGGCTCTCCCTTCGACATCAGTACGAATCTATCTTGCCCCTAAACCCCAATCGGCCAATACACTAATATTTACACAGATGGCGGTGCCTGCGTCGCCATGGTGGGCAAGGACTGTGTCGCCATCGCTTGCGACCTTCGCTTGGGCATGCAAGCCCTGACCGTCTCCAACAACTTCCCCAAGATCTTCAACTACGCCCCGTCTACCTATCTCGGCCTGACTGGTCTCGCCACCGATGTCAATACCGTCTCTGATCTCTTCCGCTACAAGGTCAACATGTACCGCCTGCGAGAGGAGCGCAATATCTCCCCGCAGACCTTGGCCAACCTGGTCAGCTCATCGTTGTACGAGAAGCGTTTCGGTCCCTTCTTTGTCAGCCCTGTCATCGGCGGTATCAACCAAACGACTGGCAAACCGTTCATCTGCGGATTCGACAGTATTGGCTGTATCGACTTCGCCAAGGACTTCATCGTGAGCGGTACGGCCAGCGAACAGCTGTTCGGTACCTGTGAGGGTCTGTGGGAGCCTGATCTGGTGCGTACACGCTCTTTCATTTCCTTGCGATCGAAGCTAACATGATCACAGTCTCCTGAGGACCTCTTCGAGACCATCTCCCAAGCGCTACTGGCCGCCGTCGACCGAGACGCTCTCTCCGGTTGGGGTGCACAGGTGTATATTATAGAGAAGGACAAGGTGACCCAGCGGTTACTGAAGGGACGACAGGATTAAAGAGGAGGATACATGAGGGTTCAAGTCAGTTCATTTTGGGCTTTCTGTTGGTTTGAGGGCATCGGCGTCTGTGGTCTTCACTGGATGATGATGTGCCATCGCGGGTCAGCCACTGGTGCAATACCACAGTGACGCGAGGACGACGGCCAGGCCGTGGATTCGTCCTGCTATAAGTTTCTCATACTCAATATCACGATAATACAAGCCCCGTCATTTGGTCACAATTGTGTTTCATTCGCATGAATCTGGAGTTGATTCTCATCCAGGGATACTAGTTGTTTAATTCAACACGGGGTCAATAGCCATCTTTACCCTGGACCGCCTCGTAGGCTGGCCCATCCCTGCCCAGGAATGCTTTCACATCACCCGCCAGTACTTCGGGCACCTCCCAAGCAGCAAAATGGCCACCACGCTCAAACTCCTTCTCCTGCACCACATTTCCAATCGAACGGTACCAAGTAATAGGCCACTGGATAATCTCTCCCTTGAACTGCGCGACAGCAAACCGCACATTATATTGCGCAGAAGCCGACAGCACCTCAGAAAGAGTCATCCAGTTCGTAATCATCTCCTGCTTGCTATCACCCCCGGTGTCCTTACTTTCAGGCTTCGATGCCGAGCCTTCATGGTAGATCCGAGTCGATGCTGTCGGCCCAGCCCGCGAGAAATAGTACACGCTGATCCAGGTCAGGATCTCGTCATCTGTCCATTGGTAGTTATCTGACCACAAATGTAATTTGTCGTAAATCCACGCGAGAAGCGCCACTGGGCTGTCATGCAGGCCATACCCTAATGTCTGCGGCCGGGTCTCTTGCTGCTTCATGTACGCACTGCCATTGAGAGCATAGTCCACGGTGCGGCCGATAGCCCTCCGGTCCTTAGCAGAGAAAGGCACGCTTGCTAGGGAACAAAGGAATCGGAGAGGATTCCGCCATGGGAAAGGGGGTATCACGGGGATGAAGTTAAGGTGGATGGCTTGGATGTGCCTGCTGTAGTACTGTGCCATGGTGCGGGCGATCATGCTTCCCCAGTCTCCTCCCTGGATGACTGCAGAACACTCCGTCAGCGATTGGGTTGACCATTTATGATACCGTCGTCTTTACCGTATTCTTCATACCCTAGGGTGATCATCACCTTGTGCATAGTCTCGGCATACTGAGCTAGACCAAATCCTCTCTAGTAATCACAATCATCATCGGTATACATCCAGGAGACACCAGATCAAAGAACATACCATCTGCACACCCTGTGAGAAACCATAGTTAGGCAATGAAGGTACCACAACATCAAAGGCTGGACCATCATCGCCCTTCAAAAGCAGTGGGATTAATTTCGTAGCTTCGAGGAAGCTTCCCGGCCCTAGTATGCAGTTAGCCACCGCGCATCTGACATGAGCAGAGATTGAGCATGTAAAAAGCTAACATCCGTGAATAAACAAGAGAGGAATAGCGCGTGGACTCCCACTCTGATGATGCACGACATGGATATCGAGTTCACCAAAGCCATCCACACGAATGGCGACTATGAACTGGTTGAGCTGCTCGTTCAACTTCTTTTCTTGGGCGCGCCAGTCAAAGTTCTCACGCCATGTTGTGACCAGGCGCTTCATCTCAGCGAGTGGAACACCCATGTCCCAGCCAGCTTCGTCCAGTTCATCGGGGAATTTTGCTGCTTCGAGTTTCTCGTTGAGTTGTTTGAGCTGCGAATCCGGTACGGCGATGTTGAAGGGGGAAATGGAGCCCATATTTGGTTCAACACGGATTAGATGTCTTAGCAGAGAATTGAGGAGTTAGGTTTGCTGTATACATCTGAAATCAATGTTGCGACGTGATCCCTACACTGCGGAGCCCTAATGCATCATTGGTGGGGATCTACCTCGGTATCACAGAATCACGATGCCAACGGGCACTGAAAAGCTTTCAGCTACGTCTTAGGATTCACTTAAGAGTCATTGAAGAGCAGTGTTATTACTTTGTGTTACTATAGTCGTGTCTCAGGGTATTCAGTGGGGTCGTCCACGTCAACTGCCGGCTCGGCTGCTTTCATGGAAGTTAACATATATATGTATTCACTGCTCCGCTGCTCCACTATTCCATTACTGGACTTGGAATGCACCATCCGGCACTCGACCGTGTCTAGCTCCCAGTGTTGTACTCTTTGAAAAAAAAAAAAAAAAAAAAAAGCAAATCGAATTCAAATTTTGAATCCGATTTTGATACCCCTTAAAACGAGAAAGGGCATGCAACCCTGGGATACGAGCAAGGCCGTGCGGCTGAGATCGGCCAGTCGGGAATATCCCTGTTTTCCTGAGCGCAGCATAATTCAGGGATCGGGACTTGATTATGCACAGTTGCCTGAGGAGAAAACGAGAGAACTACTCCTGGTTCATTTGACTCGACAGATCATTTTTGGAATTGAGACTTTGAGATTTGGACTGGACGATATCAAAATACGCTCCGGCGGTGGAATGCCACGACAAGGAGAATTAGCTTGAGTAGGTGAGGGTCAACTGTTTTCCTAGGAGGGCATGTGTAGACAATGCTCTTATCTCCAGTGCCATAGTTCCAATGACGACGGTCGTCAGGAAATCGAAGATCAATCGGGAGTTCTCCACGCTCGCCTAGTTCGCCGAGCCAGTCCGAGCGTGCCCCGGTACCCAGTACGTGCCCACTGGTGCCCCCAGCGTGGCCACACAAGTACTCGCTACTTACGCGAAGGCTTGAGTCCTCATCTGCGCGGCGCAGGTCTAGATCCCGCCGATCCGGTCTTTCCGTACGTATGTGCGTGAACAAAAGAAAAGAAAGGGAGACATACCTGGATACAAAAGTGCGGAAGCTTGACTATATTTATTCCTATTACCAACTGCCACTCCCGAGGGTTGCACTTGGATCTGTTCCTGACCCGCGAACTCCTGTTTCAGCCAAAGGGCAAAGCGCCCGTTGTCTAGACCGCCCCGGTGGCCCCATAGAGCTCGGGAAAATCCCCTCCTGATCTCCCCTCCTGGCCGATTCAATCCTTGCTGACTTCTCGTGCTTTTGACCTCGATACCTGTTTCCTGGACAAGCCATGATCTTTACCCTACCGCCATAGAACAGCCCGAGAGAGCATTGTTTACCTACCACTCCACATGGACTATGTCCGAAACGCCCGAGTCCGATGTCCCTAACTCCGTACCGCGACCCGTCATGTCCTTTTCCTCCTGCAAGTCTGAAGCCGTCAACGATGGGCTTGCGACCGTGACCGAAGATGGGGACATGCAGTTTGACCCTTCGGGTCGCTCCTGGAACGATGGCGCTCAAACGACCGCCATTGAGCACCTCGTGACCCTCAAAGAGGGCTTGCACACCCCGGATACTGAGTTGTTCTGGAAACGGCTCATGGAAGATATCACGTTGATGGGCAAGGCCCAGTATGGATTCGTCGCCCGCAGAGTACATGGTGGCGAACCTATGGCCGAACTTGGCGGGCGGCGCCCGACCCTCTTCGGTGCCGCGTTCTATTACAACGACGGCTACCAGACCGTCGGGCTGCAGCGACACCGGTATTTCGCAGGCGGAAACCCTCTTTTGCATATGGATCATGAGCGACCCTGTCTGATTCCCGAAAACCTCAAATCTTTGGTATCATTTGGAGACGACCAGTTGCCGTTTGCTGCTGAGGCCTACTTGGCTATCCCCCTCTTCTCAGCCGGCAAATGCCTAGCATATCTCGGTCTGATGTGGTCTTCTGAAGGCCTCCGTACTCGAACCCTGTCCTGGACTTTTCTGGAAATGATGTTACATTCTCTCGAGGACAGGGTCGTTCAAAGACTCCTACTAGACGAAATGTTCACCGGCCAGAGTCTGAATTCTGTTCCAACGTCTGATACGTCGATTGTTCAAAATAACCAAACAGCTTCCTTCAACGACGCCTTTGATTTCACATCCCAGCCACTCAAACCGTACGCACGCAGCTTATCCCACGAGCTGCGGACTCCAATGCAAGGCGTGGTAGGCATGCTCGATGTTATGCATGCCACGGTCCGTGAAGCGATGGAGAGCAAGACCCCCGTGAAGTCGGGTGGTATCTTCCAAGCTCTTAAAGAGGGCATTGAGATGGTTCAAGACAGCGCAAGACGTGCTGTCGAAGCGGCCGACAACGTTGTACATGCCTATGATCTCAACATGCAAGTCCCCAAAACACCACAACGGGAGGAAGAGAACGGCATGTTTGAGAACCAAGGTCCGCCGCCCGTGACGAGTGAGCGTCGTCCGAGTGTTTTCATTGAAGGAAACAACATCGCAGTGAACCCGTACAAGAGGCGACGGAGTCTTCCCCTCGACATGAGCTCTGGTGGTCCAGCTCCCCGCAGGCAAAGAACCCGAGCATCATCATCGCGACAAGAACTATCACCTCGCAGTGAAGAAGTCAAGAATGCCGTCCACGAGAGTGAACAGATCGTTCATGCTACACCCGCCCGCCAAATCGAAGCAGTCATGGCTAACATGGTCGATCCTCGCCCATCAATCGCCGTTCGACGGTCAGCCCCCCACCTGCTACTGGAAGGCATCAATATGAACCTACGGGGTCCAGCTCTGCGTTTCACAAAATTGCGGGACCTTCTCCGCTTGGTGATCAACGAGTCTCTCCACGTTGGCGGCAGGCCTGACTCTGCTGTCAGCAATGCAACCGAGTCTGGTGAGAAAATTGAAATTCGGTCTAAAACGTCGAATGGAGAAATTCACACCAAGATTGTGGACTGGTCTGTTGACCCGGCTTTGCCCGACACCCTGCTTGCCGACGACAGGGATCTGGCTAAGTTGATCTCGTGCGTCTTTCTCAATGCCATCAAATTCACAAACAGCGGCACAATTACGTTATGTGCGACGATTGACACCAAAACCAACGATGTCTTGATTCGCGTGCGTGATACTGGCCCTGGCATTCCGGAAGCATTCATACCAAATCTCTTTAAACCATTTGCTCGCGAGGACGCATCAACGACTCGCAGTAAAGATGGATTGGGCTTGGGACTTCTTGTCGCGAAGGGTCTCTCGCGGAAGATGGGAGGTGATCTGATTTGTGTTCGCTCCTCGACTACCGGCCCCGATCACGGCTCCGAGTTCCAGATCCGTGTGCCCGTGAACCAGCGGGAGGCTTATAATCGACTTGGAACCCCGAATGAGAGGACCATGACACCCCCAATGATCAACGACCACTCCCGCCAGGGCAGTGCCAGCAGTTTCATCTGGGAAAATTCTGCATCCATCTCCCCTTCTTTGCCTCCGAGCCAGCTGCAACAACCGACACCTAGTACCGGTGATGAGAAATGTTCTGAGAGCCCGACACCGCCGCCAACATTGCCGCCATCCCGACCGATTCGCTCGCATCTCAACCGGGACTTCTACGATAAGAAGCTCGGCGAGAAGTTTCCATTACGTTTTCTCGTTGCGGAAGATAATCGAATCAACCGCCGTGTGCTAATCAACATGCTGCGCAAGCTGGGCTACCGGGACGTCCTCGAGGCTGCCGATGGCAGAGAAGCCGTTCAAATCGTACAAGACCTTTTGTCTGCGTCAACCACCAATAGCATCAACCCAGAAGGAGATTCTAGTGTCACTGCCCAGGCAAGTGATTTGTCGAAGGTGAAACCCATCGACATTGTGCTCATGGATCTCTGGATGCCCGAAATGGATGGTTACGAGGCGACGTCTCGAATCCTTCAGATGATGAATGATCACCGGAGGCAATATCCTGGACCCAACGATGGCTCAATGCAGATAGACAACACTGGTCATCTCGATTACATGGCTGTCGATCCAACCTCACCTACGATTCGAGCTCCGCAGCCTCCCACCGTGCTCGCTGTCAGCGCCGATGTCACTGACGAGGCGCTGAATCGTGCCTCGAAAGTGGGCATCAAAGGCTACATGACGAAGCCTTACAAACTTTCAGACCTCGAACGACTCATCGTTAAGTTCTGCGGTCTTACTGCCGACCCCGCCGCGGCGTAAGCACCAATTATTGACGAAGCCTGATACTTCCATTTTGCTTTCTGTTGGTCCTTTGGCAGGGACCGCCATATACCCCTAAAGTCGTTTCTGCAAGGAATGCATTCTTCCACGTGGCCTCGCGGCCTCCATTGCATTTTGAGCTGGAACTTGCCCTTCCTCGACGAGTAATCTACTCGTCATTGTCCATTTGGCGTCTTCTTTTCGAGTCGCCCTTTCCTCTTTGCCATATACCACTATTGGGCATTTCGTATTTACCCATTTCTATTATTTGTTCCGGACATAATGAATGATGACACTACGCACAATCAATCAGGGCATGCCCCTTTTACATTCTTTCAAAAAGAAAACAGTAAACTACGTAGCTACAAATACAGTTGAGAAAGAGAAAGAATAAGCAGTCATTACATCCATTATCAAAATCGACATCGCTCGAACCATGCGGCTCCAAGCATTCCACGCCCCTCTTTTGTTGAAACACAGACCCAAAGCAGACATGCCAGAGCTACTTCTAGCATATAACCAGAAAAATTGCAACCTAGCCATCGCTCCGGCCCTTCTCAAAAAGAAAGATAAACACCAAGTAGAAAACAAAGATCGATATTCGCGTAAACTGGGCGTGGGTGTGGTACATAGAGCTGGCAACCAGATGCAAGGTGAAGAAAAGGCTTAAACAGATTTAGATTAGCGAAACGTTCCCATCAACTTTCCATCTAGGTCAACTTCTGCTTGATGAAGAATGACCGCAGGTGCGAGAGCTGCCAGGCACAGGCGGCGGAGAGAACGGCCACCTGGATCAGGGCCCAGCGCACAACGCGGGAGTTGGTGGTCTCAGACTGGTCACGGAATTCGGCCTCGCGTTCCTATTCAACCATCAGTTAGACATTGTTCATATTAAGCCATGGATTTCCCATAAGACAGTCTCCTGCTATGGGAATGCCATCAGGGGCAGACAACATACCCGCTGGTACACCTGCTCCCGACGAATATCGTGCAACCGGCTGTTCAGATCACGAACCCGCTGCACAATATCCTTCATCTTGTCCTTATCCTCGGTCTCGATCTTGCTCGTCTCGCCAATGGCGATATCCAGGGAAACCTTGACGGCTCCTTGGGAGTTGGACAACCAGCCGCCAGAGGTAGCGTCGGTCTCAGCGGTGAAGCAGATGCGGTGCTGGCCGGCGTCAGCAGCGGAGAAGGTGAAGCGGCCAGAGTTGTTCTCGCGCTTGGAGACGACGCGGTGATCGTTGTCGAAAGTCTCATCGACCGTGATGAGCATCTTCAGGTTGGGGTCAACGGAGTAGGTGTTTGAGCCCTGGTTGATGACTTCCGTTTCGAACTTGCCTGTATATTGAAGATTGGATTAGTTGAAATGATCTCCCAGGCACAAGTGAGCTTGCAGTGATTCCATACCCGCTACGAGGGTGTCCTTCGGCAGGTCCTCGAAGAAGCACTTCGGTTGCCGACCCTCGACATAGAAGTACAGAGCATTGGCGGGGACGAGGAGAGAAAGAATGGAGAACAAGGCCAAGGCGGCCGCGAGCCATGATGGCGAGGATGTTGAGAGAACCATGGCTGGGAAGTTTGCGCAACTGGGGGGAACCTCAACTCCTGTCAACACGCGGAGTGTTGACCATCTGGCGACATCGCCGCCCTCACCGCCTGCCACCTTCGGCACTCTCCCTTGCCAGTCGCCGCGCTCGATTTTCATCGTCAAGGCAACTCCCTCCTCATTACTGCCATCTATTCTGATTGACACGCCTGTCTCGCCGACTTGACGTGGTAAAATCCGTGTACTTTTACCCGCAACACCCTACCTGAGCAGGGCTCACCGTTATCGCCATGGCCGCCGCTGCCGATGTGCGCGACATGCTGGACTTGCCGGCTGAGGGCCAGCCTCGACCTCACAAGAAGCAGAAAGTTGTGGAGAAGCGACCTGGTAAGTAGAATTGGAGCCTTTACTGCGGAATCCCACCTGACAGTCTTTTCGCAGAGGGTATCACACGCGAACTCTACGCGCTACTGGGCGAACGAGCACCGCCAATCGCTATCAACGAGAATAAATATAAGGGGCGCCCGAAGTGGATGAACAAGCTTCGAGTGCGACCATGGTATGTGTTATATATAACTTGAGAAAACTGCGATAGGACTGACTAGATTCACAGGCGCATGACTCCTTTCACGAACGGCGCCAGATCAGACGGTCTGGTCTTGAACCACTGGCAGAGGAAGCATGAGTCGACCCGGCCATTTGCGGAACAAGGAGCTCAGATGGATGTCGATGAAAAGACTGAAGAAGGAACGGAAGAGGCTCCAAAGTCGCTGGAGCAGGAATACAACTTCGCGAAATACAACGTCAAGGCACGCGTACCACGACGATACAACGATGAGGAGTATAACCGACTTTTGAGAAGCGACGCCTGGTCGCGCGAGGAGACGGATTACTTGATGGACCTGGCTACCGAGTATGATCTTCGCTGGGTGTTGATTGCGGACCGTTACGATTATCAGCCTCGCATGGATTCCGAGCCAGATGTTAATGCGATGGTGCCAGCCAAGCACGTTCGCACAATGGAACATATGAAGGCGCGATACTACAAGGTTGCCGCTACGATTCTGGCAATTGAGCACCCACCAGCCGAGATGTCCGAGGCCGAGTTCGACATGCATGAGAAGATGCAAAAGTTCGACCCCGAACGAGAGAAGGCGCGCAAGGACCTGGCCTCACTGCAGCTCGACCGCACCGCCGACGAAGTTCGCGAAGAGGCAATGTTGCTCGAAGAGCTCAAGCGCATCACAACCAATGAGCAGAGCTTCATCGCCGAGCGCCGCGAGCTCTACTCCCGCCTCGAAGTCCCTATCAGCGTCGGCAACACAGCCATGTATCAGTCCAGCCAGGGCTTATCACAACTCCTCCAAACTCTTCTCCAAGCGGACAAGAGCAAGAAGCGACGCTCAATCCTCGGCCCCGATGGCGCCGTTGCCAGTCCCGCCGGCCAAACACCCACACAAGCCGGCCCTCTCGGTCGCGCCGAAACACCCAGCTCAAATCCAGCTGCCAACAAAAAGGGCTCAACATCACAACCCCAGCCCATGGTCCGCACGCTTACACCAGCCGAGGAAGCCCGGTATGGAGTCCAGCACCACGAACGCGTCACAGCAGGTGTCCAATTCCGCAGCGACCGTGCCCAGAAACTCACACAGGCCAAGTCAAACGTACAAACACTCAAACTGGCCGGGGCACTCGCCGAGCTCGAGATTCCCGTGCGCCTGTTCATGCCCACGGAACGTGTCTGCAAGGACTTTGAAAAACTTATTCAATCCGTCAACTTACTGCTTGACGCCCGTAAGGTCTCCGAAAAAGTCGAAGGCGAGATTCGCGTTTTGGAAGCCGCTAAGGCCGAACGCGAGCGCAAGTCGAGAGAAGCTGCCGGTGACTTTTCAAAGGGTGATCACCCAGTGAAGACCGAGGCCGAGGATGGCGGGAATAGCGGGCTGGACTCAGCGGCTGAAGCTTCCGCTCCTGCCGATGATGGCGAGGATGAAAAGGATAGGACCCACAAGCGGTCTGCGAGCGTACTGAGTGGTGTCAGTGATAAGAGTAATAAGCGACAGCGGCGGTAGATCTAGAGGTCTTTTGAATTACCTAGATAGGGACGGAAAATCTACTGGACTGTACGATACAATTTCGTTTTGAGCTTGATATGATTGATACCTCTGTACGATTAATGAATTTCTGTTGGGAGTTAACTATCTATAATCCAATTTCACTCCACCTTTCACTGCCAATTAACAATAGTAACATGCCTGCTGGGTATAATAAAGTCATTGACGCTCCGCTCATATAGGCATTAACTCTTTTGTTTTATCATCATAAGTCATGGAATCAGTAACAATCTTCAGTCGTGCACAAGTCCCACAATACTTGGCTACCGCGGTTTGCCCAGCGACTGCCATCAAACGAGCCAGGCATGCGGAGACAATCCCGGTAGACACTCGCCGGGTCTTCTGTTCCGCTGCTTTTGGTGGAGTTTGTCCGTCTGGCACTGTTCGAGTCACACTCAAGGAAAGCCGTGGAAGTCTGGGAGGTTTCTTGTTTGTGCACATTTGAGAGGCGAAGACTTGCTCGACGCTTGGAAAGCTTCAACAGCCATCGTGAGCTGCGTGGATTGCTTGGGTGCATCTGGCCAGCTTGGTCTTCGTCCTCGTCATGCTGATCTACAGTAAGAGGCTCCGTTGCGGAGGGTTTTTGTTCAATGTGCCCATTTGAGTTGCCTCCAGTGTCTCCTAGATTACCGACGGAGCGCCCAATTGCCGAGCGTGAATCACCATGGCTGCCTGTCTCATGGCCGTCTAGTCGCTCTTCAATTTTTCGGGCTCGATGCACATTCATGGATCGACTGAGTCGGGCCCAGCGGTTTGCAGAGGCATCATTTGGATGAATGCTGTAGTGGGAGCTTTGTGGGACCTCGCAATACTCATTCTGAGCCGTTGGAGGCACTTCTGGTGCACGGACATTCGGAGGTTTGGTTTCATCCACCCAGACTGCACCAGTCTCATGGTCTCGACTGGATTGATTGGCTCGACTTCCCATGACACCCCCCAAATAAGGCCGCACAAGATAATCCTTGGCTGAGCGAGGAGATGTTCTGGCTTTGGGAATAGTAGCTGCTCCAATTTCACGGCGCTTTGCGTTCATAGGAGGTGGGATCGGGCGAGGCTCTTGAATAGTTGATTCCATAGCTTCCCCAAGACCCATCCGACAATCGTGGGATGGAGATTGGAATTGACGTTCATTCTTCATTGGCGGTCTCCAGCCCGTTACTTCACTTGAATGTCCGTCGTCACTTTGATGTTGGGTCTGTGCCTCCTCAGCATCTGACACCGGACTATAGCCATAGCCAACTCGCCTGCCTCCTGACATCCAACCCGCACTGACCCTGCGCGGAGAATCGAGATTATTCGGGCCATAAGGGTAGCGGTGATAATATGGAGGTGAGTTGGCAGCATCACAATGCTCGCGGAATCTGCTTTCATGAATAAAGCCATTATCCGTGACAGGACTTCCACCTTGACGCTTTCCATTCGTTCCCTGGTTGGTATAAATGGGGGTTTCGTGGTGAATTATCGGAGACTGGACACGCGGCGATATATTTTTTGAACTGGGATGACTGCTTTGGTGAGAGTAAAATGATGATGGAACGCGGCGATTGCTCTGCCCCTGCTGTGACCTCTGGCGAGGTTGAAAGTTCTCATGCGAAGAAGACATAAATTGGCCATGACGATTATTACAAGCAAGATCAATACTCGAGGGGTTGTGCGAACCAGAAGACATGGTATGGGAAGCGAGTCGATGAGATATATTGAGATCCCCCAGATGAAGTGCCCGAGGATCTGGTTGAGACATGGCCAAAGTCCCTGGAAGTCTCTTCTTGGCTACCAGGGCATCCGTCGACAGGTTTGGCACAGACCCTGAAGTCGCCGTGTCATTCCTTAGATCCCTCCTCAAGTATTGATTCCAATGGACCATGAGATTAATGTCATCTGCAACGGCTGATCCAACAAGAGCTGATGAGTGCGTTGAAACCGATGGACCAGAACCCTGGCTCGATGCATTCAAATCGGGGAGGGATCTTGCAAGCCCCATCTGCAGACCATGTTCTCCACGGGTGCGCTCATCCTCGAGAGCTGGATGCTGACTGTTCGCTTCACGGACTGGACGAGGGATACCTCTTAAGCTGCTTTTGGGAGTCGGTATATAATGCAACCCAAATGGGGAATCACAAGAATCTGAGTTGTGTGGTGACTGGTCCGTTGTCCAGCGCTCAGATTCATCCCGTTCCTGGCTTCTTTCTACGAGATCACTCAAGTCCACCCTGCGAAAGCCTTGAGCTGCAGGCGAGGCTGCCATATGGATCGCACGGGTTGGAGTCGGGATAGTTCGTGCATCGCTGTCGTACCCTCTCTCGTTCATCAGACTGCTCCCCATGTCTTCCAGTACCGTGAGTTCTGTCCCAGACTTCGTTGTGGACCTTGCCTTGAGGGAAAAGGGAAGACCAAGTTTGCCAGAATCATGGTGGCCATTTGAAGTTTTGGCCTCTCTCGAGAAGCGATGTCGAAGCATATGAGTGAAGGTTCCGGGCTGCTTCTGACTCAAAGGTGGAATATTTTCAAATTCAGATAGTGGCCCTGATATAAACAGTCAGTGTTTATTCTTTATACAATACTAATTGACAGGATGTGAAAGTGCCGGGTGTAGGGCATACCTTGTGCCTGGCCCTGCTGTGAGGCAACCCCAGCGTGGGTGCTTTTGTAGGATCGAGCAACCTCCGATGGCGAAGCCGGCCTCGGTTTTCTCAGCCAAGGACAAGTGAAGAATGACATATCGCATAACGGTGAAGACTCGAGCGGAAGGAAGAAGGATGAATCCCACGATGTATGGGGTCTTTTTCCCTATGCTGGCAGCAGGTGCCCTGCTGTGCTCCTTCCACAGCACGGATACTCCAGATCCACATATGTCTGTTCATGATTATTACCACGGTACCCGTCATGATAGACACCTTGACTTATTCAACGAGCTTTACGCACTTGAAAAGCATCTGGGTCAATCAAGAAATGCAGAGCCGGTTGAGAATACTCGGCGGGTCGAGAGGCCGATCTCAAATAGGCTTAACCCAGCCTCGAAGACAAGCCCACGTCGAGTCTTGAATGGTTCGTAGCTGTGCAATTGCCTAGGAACAAAACTCCAGCCACGCCGAGTGCGATAAACCGTGCAATGGCAATAATTTTATGTATTTTGCTCTATGACAAGATTCTCTTGCCTCCGCGGCCAGCTTTCCCTAATAAGTCCAGGCAATCGAGCCAAATGACTCCTGAGAATTGATCTACTGATCTACACGATTGCATTCGAAGATGGCGCGAAGCTAACTGTAATTGTCAGCCACCGATGCTGATTTGACCCGACCCCGGTCCTATGTCAAGGTTGACGCTTACATTACTCCGCGACAAAGTTTGTCCTTTTCCATGCTTACTCCGCGCCCCTCAATTGCTAATTATCACGGACAAACATGTGTATTAAACTCCTAGATGAAAGGCATGGAAGCTTAGCGGTGTGCAATTGGTGCAGTGCATAGCTAGCGTCCTCGGGATCCGAGAGGAGAAGCCGGTCAACCCCGCGTCAGCGATACGGACTTTGCTCAATTGCAGGAGACAAAGCGAAAAACAGATAGTCCTAGCAGTAGCAGAATTGAAATTGCTCGAAAGCATAGCATTACCGAAATTACTGGAACCATTGAGACTGTTATATTATTCACAAGAACCTCGAAAAGTGGCTATCGCCTCGTGTTAAGATGGCGTGATCTCCGCCGATCACGGAGACCCCTGTTGGGGTAAAGTTACATAAAGATTACCACAGTACACACTAAAATTTGGCTATATAAGTGGGGCAAGTGCATGATGTGACAATACCGATACCTGTGTGTCGAATTGCCCCTCCATCCCGTTGGGGTTAGTCTACAACCACGGACCTCCCCCTCCATTTTTCTTCTCGCTCTTCCCCTTCTTTCTCCCTCTTCTTCTTTTTCTCTTCACAGGCATCGAGGTCTTTTTCATCATCTCTAAGACTCCGAATTCCCCTTTCCCTCTTTCTCACACACATCCATCAGAATGGTTCAATCGTATGTTGCTCTCTAGCCCGCTGTTTGACTGTTGGACATGACACTAACTGGTTTAGATCCGTTCTGGGTTTCCCCCGTATGGGTAAGCTCCGTGACCTGAAGAAGGCCACGGAATCTTACTGGGGTGGCAAGATCTCTCGCGAGGAGCTCCTCGCTGAGGGCAAGCGTCTCCGTCTCGAGCACTGGAAGATCCAGAAGGCTGCTGGTGTGACTCAGATCCCCAGCAACGACTTCGCTTTCTACGACCAGGTCCTGGCTCAGTCCCAGCTGTTCGGTGTCATCCCCGAGCGCTACAGCAAGTACAACCTCGACCCTATCGATGAGTACTTCGCCATGGGCCGTGGTCTCCAGAAGGACGGTGTCGATGTCCCCGCCCTCGAGATGGTTAAGTGGTACGTGGACTAGACTTTCTATATAAGGTGGCCTCTTGCTAATTTTTTTTCCCAGGTTCGACTCTAACTACCACTACGTCAAGCCTGCTCTCCAGGACAACCAGGTCTTCAAGCTGGATGCCAACCCCAAGCCCGTTGTTGAGTTCAACGAGGCTAAGGAGGCCGGTATCATCACCCGCCCCGTTCTCCTCGGTCCCGTCTCCTACCTGGCTCTCGGAAAGGCCGACCGTGGTCAGACCGTCGACCCCATCGACAAGCTGAGCGATCTCCTGCCCGTCTACGTTGACCTCTTGGCCCAGCTGAAGGCTGCTGGCGCTGAGGATGTCCAGATTGACGAGCCCGTCCTCGTCTTCGACCTTCCTGCCAAGGTCAAGGCCGCATTCAAGCCTGCCTATGAGAAGCTTGGCAGCCTCGGTGCTAAAGCTCCCCGCCTGACCGTTGCTACCTACTTCGGTGACATTGTCCACAACATCGATGTCCTTCCTGCCCTTCACAATGTTCACTCCATCCACGTCGACTTGGTCCGCAACCCCGAGCAGCTCGACACCGTTGTTGCTGCCCTTGGCCCCAACCAGGTTCTCTCTGCTGGTGTCGTCGATGGACGTAACATCTGGAAGACCAATTACAAGGCTGCCATCGAGAAGGTTGAGGCCGCTATTCAGAAGCTCGGCAAGGACCGTGTCATTGTCGCCACCTCCAGCTCCCTTCTCCACGTCCCCCACACTCTGGCTTCCGAGAAGAAGCTCGACCCCGAGGTTGCTGACTGGTTCAGCTTCGCCGTCGAGAAGGTCTCCGAGGTCGTTGTCATTGCCAAGGCTGTCACCGAGGGCCCTACTGCTGTTGCTGCTGAGCTTGAGGCCAACGCCAAGTCGGTCCAGTCTCGCGCTACCTCCAAGCGTACCAATGACCCCGATGTCAAGGCCCGCCAGGCTGCTGTCACCCCTGAGATGCACAACCGCTTGTCTCCCTTCGAGACCCGTATCCAGAAGCAGACCGACCACATCAAGCTCCCCTTGTTCCCCACCACCACCATTGGCTCCTTCCCCCAGACCGGTGAAATCCGCAAGCAGCGCAACCTGTTCACCAAGGGTGAGATCACTGCTGAGCAGTACGATCAGTTCATCAAGGATGAGATCAAGATGGTCGTCGAGGAGCAGGAGAAGCTTGGCCTTGACGTCCTCGTCCACGGCGAGCCCGAGCGTAACGACATGGTCCAGTACTTCGGTGAGCGCCTGACTGGTTACACTTTCACTGAGAAGGCCTGGGTCCAGTCTTACGGCTCCCGCTGCGTTCGTCCCCCCATTATCTACGGTGACATTAGCCGCCCTGCCCCCATGACCGTTAAGGAGTCCCAGTACGCTGTTTCTATCAGCAGCAAGCCCATGAAGGGTATGCTTACTGGTCCCATCACCTGCCTGCGGTGGTCTTTCCCCCGTGACGACATTCACCAGAGCCAACAGGCTCAGCAGCTGGCCCTTGCCCTGCGCGACGAGGTGATTGACCTCGAGAAGGCTGGTGTTTCCGTGATCCAGGTCGATGAGCCTGCTCTGCGTGAGGGTCTTCCTCTTCGCAAGGGTAGCGAGCGTGACGCCTACATCAAGTGGGCCGTCGATGCTTTCAAGCTGTCCACCGCTGGTGTCACTGATGCCACTCAGGTCCACTCTCACTTCTGTTACTCCGAGTTCCAGGACTTCTTCTACGCCATCGAGGCTCTTGACGCTGATGTTCTCTCCATTGAGAACAGCAAGTCTGATGCCAAGCTTCTGGAGGTCTTCAAGGCCAAGGACTACCCCCGTCACATCGGTCCTGGTGTCTACGACATCCACTCCCCCCGTATCCCCAGCGAGCAGGAGATGAAGGAGCGCATCGAGCAGATGCTTGTCCACCTCGACCCCAAGAAGCTGTGGATCAACCCTGACTGTGGCCTTAAGACCCGTGGCTGGGAGGAGACCCGGGCTAGTCTGGTAAGTTTTTTTTTTTTTGTTTTCAAAGTGTGAAGATTGCTAACATGCCACCCAGTCCAACCTTGTGTCCGCCGCGAAGTTCTTCCGCGAGCGCTACGCTTCTTAAATTTTTTCTCAACACAACACACATCTTCCCTTTTAATTTCTTAATTGGGTGGGGCGGCAATCAACCTGCCGCCTCCAACACGGGAGTTTTTTTTTCTAATGATGAGTTACGACGATGATACCAAATCTCAACATATGGGTTTCAGCGAGGGTTTGTGATCAAGGCACCAAAAGCGGGTTACCATAGGGTATGGTACGGAGTTCAACATTTCTAACGATTTCAACATGGGTGCCACCAATTCAGGTGCCAATCTTTCAACAATTTTACTCTCCCTCCTTTGCTTCTGCATTTGCAAGGCATCGGACTTGGAGACGAGACTGTGTAGAATTAGCTGTGAATACTACTACTACCATTCTATACTACTTTTGTTCAAGTAAATGTAAGACTGTAAATCCGAAATCCGAGACTTTGTGAGTGCTCCTAAATGGTTGTTCATGCTGGGCACCATGACATCGGGTTTGTTCTCAGTGATGCAGGATGGATTGGATCGAAAACAATTTCACAACTTACACCCAGTGTCATTGTGGATCATTACAAACATTGAGAGAAGGAGTCTTGGCACAATACTACGAGGAGAAATCTGCCTGTGACTAGAGTCTAGGGGAACCCACTCATCTCCAACGGACATCCTCATTGGCGATAATGACAGAGCGAAGCCTGAATCAACCCGATCCATTTCGAGAGGACGGTGCCATTTCCGAATTGGCCGGAAACATAATGCCGATACACAGTGTGCACGAACCTGATGTTCAACAACTGCGATATCGTGGTCTAGGCTGATCGGATGCTTCACTGATGCTGGAAGTTTGCCAAGAACTGGCGCACACGCAGAGCCTCAGTCTCATTCGCACAAGTCGCTCATATTGGATCAAGACTGGGTTGCACGAGTGCCTCGGACGCGTGAACCAGAGCTACAGGATGTTAGATAGCGCTGAAAATATGTTTCCCTCTGCTCAGGTGGGCCCTTGAATACGATTTGGAATGCTCGGAATGCATTGATCAGGTCATCTATCTTCAGCATCAATTTCACCAACACGAGGAGAACGTTACATTGCGAAAAAGACTGATGTAGACCCCTTGGTCTCATGGAAAAGAATCTATACTGACGGGAAAAATCTTGAACACAGCTCGTGACGAGTTTTTTCCTCTCCAATACATTGCTTCTTTCTGCCCTGGCAACAAAAAACGTGCCTTTCATGACCGATTGTTGGCGGGAGGCTGCAAAAGAGTCATTGAAGAAAGATGATGTAGTCACGAGCACGCGTCCGGAATTGGTTCTTGCTGACCTTTACTGCGAGCTCACTCAAGATGAAGCCAAGGCAATTCGCACATGGGAAAACAATCATTGGCCAGTTCACTACCACCAAAGAGGTGCGTCAGACCGACTACCTCAAAGTCGGAGCCGTGGGAATATGTCAGACGAGAATATGTTAGATGAGGCCAGAGAACGACAGAGATGGGCTTGAGAGGCTAACCAAGGCTTTATTGGCGACGGGGGATGTTTCAAATGTGGTCGCAATCTCATATGCCCTTGGCTACTATGATGCTAACATTGACACTGAGAGCCATGAGTGGGAGCCTGAATCCGAGAACATAGTGAATACTTGTTCTGGGCCATACTTTATCAAGCAAAGTATATATGACCGGTTGTCTCAGTGTCCTATCTGCTTTGACCGGGCTTTTTGTGAGTCCTCTGTGAACCTCTTGCCGGAGGAGAAGTCAGACATGAATTGGTGTAGCCCGAAGCATCTTGAATACTTCATTTATACTCCTTACTAGCACGGGACCAGAGGGTGGATGGGACGGTCATGAGCTTTTCTGGTTGGGTGCTTTGAGAAAGAAGTGGGACTTGTAATCAGTTGATTTTAAAGGATTGCTATTGTTTATGCGCTACCTTCATACCATTACAGGAAATGCTCCCGCTTGCCAGTCACACACCCGGGTCTTTCAGCCTAGGACTTGGAAACAATTCGAGCGCCGGCAAAGCCACCGGTGAATCCGGACCGAGCAGCGAGGAAGCACCAAAACAACGTCGCCTGCATAAGCCTCTTCCCGTCAGCCAATTGCTTGTTGCCATTTCGGTCGCGAAAGGCAAGTGGATTCCTTCTCTTCAGGTTACCTCGGCTTCCCCGGGTTCCAGATAAACTCGGCATTGACCAATAGCAATCTATCCAGAGGGGCACGCGGGCGCCAGGGGCTGAAACAGGGTCCGAAGCCTTAGAATCCATCTTGAAGTAGTATGCAATTTCTGTTTGCGTATATGGGTGCTGCTATTGGAAATGGGATCGTTTGTTTCTTTTTTATTTAGCTAGATTCTTTTCTGGTGAAATACAACATTTTATCTCTGGAATTGTCTTTTCAAGTACCCTCAATGCGTTTTCGACGTTTTAAGATACGACGATCTCAAGTACGTTGAAACCCCGCCCCACTCCTCAGCTCACTACTGGCTCAGGCGTCCCTTCGGCTCGCCCAAAATACAAATAGGAATTGCCTTTTTCGTTCATCTTTCTCAACTTGCAGGGATCAGAAACCGAGGGCGCCTCATTCGAAGATTCAAAACACCATGTGGGATCGCGGCAAGCTTCATGATGACTAGTATGGCAACGTTATATCCACCTAGGTACTGAGCCCGGCTCCTTTAACCTCCGGCTGGAAATATTTAAGAGTCCTACCTCCGTCCGCAGATAGAGCGTATTCCAGCTTCCTCTACTACTTCTTTTTCATCAGCAGTCAATCACAGTATGGCATTTGTATCCTCAGTCCTGGTAGCATCGCTGGCTCTTCTTAACCCAGCGTTCGCCCAGAGCGTTGATGGCTCGAAGTATAACAACCCAACCGCCGGACCTCCCTCGAGCTATTTTGCTGCCGCTACATCGGTCCCTGTCGCTGCTCTGAAAAGTGCTGCTGCAAAGGCCAGTACTGCTGCAAAGGACGCGACTTATCCTATCAACAACGATGGTGGTGCTGCTAAGGTTACCATTCATAGTGATTGGTCCAAGTTTAGCGAGGTAGGTGGATTTCAAGACCATCAAGTATTCAGTGAACTCATTCTAACCTCTGTGTACAGGGTGCGGCTTTTGTTTGGGTCGCCGACATGGATGTCGATTGCGATGGTCTCGACTACAAGTGCAAGGTATCTTGAATTCCGCCCTGCGGCCGATGAAAACTGATGCACTGTCACAGGGAAATCCGGACGGACTGCCTGATACCAACTTCGGTGCTCTGGCTGCATATGAGGTACCATGGATTGTGATCCCAGACAAGTTCGGCACTACTTACCAAAGCGTCCTCCCTGGAAACAACATTGGTGCAGTTATCTGGTGAGCATCTCCGACCGGAAATGAGAAAAGGGTTCGAAAATAACACATTTCAGCGACGGTAAAATGTTCTACGGAATCTACGGCGATTCCGATGGTGACACTCCCCAGGTTATCGGAGAAGCTTCGTGGCTCATGGCACGAACTTGCTTCCCCAATGATGACTTGAACGGAAATGCTGGCCACGGTAATGTCGATGTGACATGTAAGCTGAACATCAAACACTCATTCCGTGCACATTTACTAACTTTAGGAAGACATTTTGTTCACTGGCAAAGACGCCGTGCTCCCGAGCAGCGCTCTCAACAAGAACTACATCACCAACTTTACCACTCTGCGGTCGATGGGCGACAATCTGATGGCTGCTCTTGCGAAGAACTTGGGTCTATCTGGTGGGTCTGGAAACCCTACCACCACTTTGACTACAAAGACTATTACCGGTACCTCTCCTACGGCTACATGCACCTGGTCCGGGCATTGCGCGGGGGCCTCTTGCTCTACCGAGAATGACTGCTCTGGTGATCTGGTCTGCAAGAGTGGAAAGTGTGCCAACCCTTGAATGTAATATAAGGATAGGACCAAAGGGTTCAAAGGTTATCATGTATCGAATGAACTATTCAGCTAGCTAGGTCTTTGACATGCTGCCTTCATTGCTTGAAGAGACACTCCAAATCATGCCTCTCAAACCACTCTTTGTTCTTTCCCCATCCTTGCACAATCAGATCCCTGCCGACCTTCACAACCTCCTCGATTTTTTCCTCGCTACCCCAACCAGCGACCCGACTGCCCCAGACAACCAGGTGGACGCCCACATGAATGGCAGTTCTGAAGGCCATATCATCGCTAAGAGGTCCATAGCCCTCCAAGAAGCCTTGAATGGCCCACACACCGCAGTCCACATTCTTGAAGAGCTTCGTTTCATACAACTCAGCAATCATTTGTCCCAGATCCAGAGCTCGGGTCCCGATCTGGCATAGTTCCCAGTCAATGATAAAGAGGGTAGTATCAGACTGTTCAACGAGTGGAACATTGGGAATAAGAACACTAGTAATCACGTTAGGATCTCCTGACTCAAGATTGAATAAGGAAGAACTTACTTCCCGGTCCAGAAATCACCATGAATGATTCCAAATCCATCTTCATGATCGCGTTCCTTCATCTCCGCTGCAGCGAAAGTTTTCACTTCCTCAAAAACATCCCGACTCTCTTCCAGAACACCTGGGAAGTTCGCAATCGTGTCCATCAGCATGGAGTAGTTGACGTAAAACTTCAATCCTTTCATCGATTCATTCTGGGCAAGGAAAGATCGGATTTCTGCCTGCTCGCCTTTCCTCGCCCAGTCATGGAATGACTTCAGCCAACATCCAAGCGACCGACCGAGCAATCGCCCTGAAGACGCCGACACGTCACGGCACCAACCCGAGAGAAGAAAGTTCTTCAGATCCAGTGAATTAGGCAAATCTTCCAATATCTGCGTGTTTCTTTCTCGATCAAAATTAAATACACGGGGCGTTTTCACAGTGATATTTCCCTGGGAGTGGGACGGTAGACCGTCGAGTGCTTGAAGGATGGCTTCTTCGAAGTGCTAGCTTCAATTAGTCCTCAATCCTTGATCGCAGTGCAGAAACTAACACATCGCTTTGCATCGAGCTTGAAATCCTGGTTGGAGGCCACATAGTCCTTGGTATGCTTAATGATGATTGAATCCGGAGACGAGGGTGTACCCCTGTAGACGAAATTGGCGGTGCCGCCAGATAGGCGCGTGAGAGAGGAGCATGCGAACGGAGTTTGAGAGAGCTGCTGGGTGATTTGATCGCGTATCTCATCTTTGTCTTCGGTGTTTGCCATCTTGGTGTGCATTCTTCAATATGTGGAGGAGATGTGCATTATCTGCTTGAATATGGACCCTGCACTAGGCCACTTCCAGTGCCCGCGATGGAGCGGAGAGCGCCAAGGCTTGCCCCACGGGCGATCAGCCACACCCCGCAGTGACTCACGGGCATTGGCGATCGCATTGAATTGTATTGTCTAGCGTTCATGAAGATCGCGGTCTGGTCATCTGAGGCTGACAAGTCTCTGCCTACTGAAAGTCTAAATCCTTAGGCATCTAGATTCACAAGTGGAGTGATGATTCGTAACGCATGTATTGGCCCTTCTATCTGGGGCTACGATGAGAGGAACATTGCTTTCAAGGCCACAAAGGCCAGATCTCACATTCAAGTCAAACAAAGGAAAAAGAAAAAGCCATCTCACCTCGAATCTCAATCCTCAAGCTTCTCCACAAACGAGTGAGTCACTAGAAAATAGCCAATAAAACCACACGGGCAGCAAAAACTTGCATAAAGCAGTCGCAGCATTGCACCCTTCTCATTGGCCGCCAGACACATATCTGCAGCTTATGGAGGGGCACACATCCATGGCCCTATCAAGGCCAACAGAACTATAGAAGCTCAAGCAGGAAGAATAAAAAGTCCCCGAGTCACGCCAAGGACCCAGATCGTTTCCCAGATGGGAGTCCGATTCGAAGTCTTAGGATGACTCAAACAAAGGGCCCGTGGGCGCATCCAAGCAGGCCCGGCTCCCTTGTTCCAGCTCCAAGACCGGAGGTAGGGGTTACCAGGTGGATTCCACGCTGGTGAAGACCGGCTTGCGGTCACGGGCAATCAATGCCGTCAGATGGAAATGAATCCTGTCGCAGTAAAGGCGGTTCGTAAAGCGTATAAATAATCATCAAATGCATAGTTTAATGCTGTCAAAGCGGATTTAGAAGCGGTAGTCTGCGCCTCGGCGGCGGATTCGAGAGGACTCGAATCGCTGCTCGGAGCGCTCGCGGTCGGAGCTATAGAGCGAGCCACGGCTGGATGGGCTGCGGGACATTGAGCTGCGAGGGGATTGATAGACGATAACGTGGCGTCTGTCCTGGCCTGGAGAGCGCTCAGAGCGAGGAGCTCTCTCGATGATCTCTGTTGCGGTGCGCTCCGGCTCCGGGGAGTATGAGCGGGATGGACGGACTTGCTCGATCACAGGTCGGCGAGTTGGAACATAGATAGTGCTAGTTCTAGGAGAACGGACGGGAGAGGCACGGCCACGACGAGGGGAGTTGAGGGTCAGGCCTGCGGCGACGGCGTCGAGGAGGTTGCGGATGGAGTTGGCTTCACGGGGAAGCTTGACTCTCATCAGAACATTACTCTCTTTGTCCACGACCGAGAAGTATTTTCCGTCCTTGCTGTATAGATATTTGGTCACGTCGATGGCACGAGGGTGGCCGCGCTCGCAGAGGCTGTCTCTGGGTTGGTTAAGGGCGGTGGTACACTGGGTGCAGTGACCGACGTGACGGTCAAACTCTTCGACTACGAGCTTCTCCGCGTCGTCCATGTCGCGGACGACGAGGGGAGGCTCGACGATTCCAGTTTGGCCAGGCATGGTGTCGGGACGGGTCAAACTGGGTTGACGTCGCGGGGACTGGCGTGGTCTTTCTATGGTGACGGAGTGAGGGTTGATATAGTACTTGGTGGAGTGGAAAGGCGACACCGTGACTGATGTCGAGGAGTCACGCGGGAGACGGTGTGTGATCACCGTATAGATAGGGTGGAAATAGACAGAAGTAGACGACGTGGTGGGATGTGGATTGTAAAAATGTAACTGAAGTGAACCGTGGATAATGGATAGTGGACAGTGTGAATGTAAAATCAACTGTAGAGGGGGAGCGGAGTATATATAGGTTTCCTAATTCGCAAGGCGCATGGCAGCCTGGGGACTGGCGCAAAGAACATGTACATCAGTGACTTGAGCCCCACTAGCCCTTGTACCCTTGAGACTTCAAAAGAGGCTAGCCCCAGAACTAAGAGTGTGGCTCAGTTCACTGAATTGAACTAATTTGAACTAAATCGAACTAAGTCGAACTAAGTCCAACACCGCCCGAGGGGCCCGAACCCGGTGCGCTAATTGGTCTCCGCCCTCAGTTGGACGGTCTACAATCATTTGAACGGCTTCTGTGATGTCGTGCATAGCCTTGTAAGGTGCTTTTCTCGCAGGAACATACATCATATCATTGTATCTCAAGCGCTGTCCGTCACTGCCACTACACACCCATGTCATCGACCCTGGACCAGTGGCTTAAGCCTCGTGTTCCTGAGAGTGCGCGTCTCGTGCACCCCCTGACCCTGAGAACCCATGTTCACGTCACTCGAGCGATCATCCATCGTTGAATGACAGCCATTACATTTGATGTGTACTGTTACGTCTGACGCTCGCCCTGGGCGAATTCTATCGCGCTCAACCCTCATTTGCTCCGCAACCGCTCCCCTCGACCCCAGCGTCTACCCAGACGGTTATCAAACAACCCGATCTATTATTCTGGCGATTCGAGAATCCGTGCTCAATTCCATTCTTAGAGTTCTCGATCGCTGTTTCGGACTTTGACAATTCCAAGAATAGAGCAGCGATCGCGACGATACGATACTTTGGACCCCACGCTATTAACCCCTCACGAGGCGCTCCTCAGCTCCAAGCCACACCACAATCCCCTTCACCTCCTGCTTACTTTTGTCCTCTCTCTTTTCCTCCAAGGTTCTACATAGCCACAGCCACAACGCCGCTTATCTTTGAAAATGATTCGATGCACCAGCCACGGTCTCTTTTCTCGTGTCGTTGCTGACCAAGTTCCTGAATATATCTCCGTGCCACTAGTGCTCAGTCCCGTCACCCTGCACCCTCAGGGGGTGTTCGAGCCATGTTCATACCCTCAAGGGTTCTAGAGGATTCGAGCGCTCTTTGATGCGCGGTATTCGAGGAGATTCTAGGACACTTGTCTTTCTGCCTTCAAGGCATCTGCCAGTCCCTCCATTCGTGCTCAACCCGGGCAAACGCCAGAACGCCCAGACCCCGCTGATCCTCCGAGCCGCAAAAGGCCACTTCCTCTTTCAGGATTTGGCCCGATTGCTTTGCAATTGCTTGTCAGAATTGGTCTGACCTCCCCCAAGGGTCTAGTCCTCGGCCCCTTGTTGCCCGCTGAGGACTCGTTTAGTCAATGGGTGAAAGACTCCATCAGCCAGTATGAGTCTGTACTAGGTCAAGTCCTTCACCAAGCCCTGCCGGGCTAGCTCAATCGGTAGAGCGTGAGACTCTTAATCTCAAGGTTGCGGGTTCGACCCCCGCGTTCGGCTATTCCTACAGAACAACCTGAGATATAATCTTTTTTTTCTTGCTAAAAAGTTTTTCCTCGAGGCTCCTGTCGTGGCCGGTGAGTGGTCGATCCGTTTGTTGGGGATCCACCGGGTGGGGATCGGCCCGTTCGTCGAAGAACGCCTCTACTGCGTACTAGGCGAGTCTGATAAGGACGACAGAACAGGCTTCATGACCAACAGGAAAAAGCAAATATTGTGTGGTAAGCCGAAAACACTTAGATGCCTGTGGACTGTGCCTGGATCGAGGGCCAAAGCGCAAGGCAGATTATACTATTCCGAATCGGGAGTGAAGGTTTTCTGTTCTGCAGATGCAGCTGATCATGGATTTGAAATGACCAGGCATCAGTGATGGATAACACTGTGAATTTGATAGACCGCGTTGATCGGAGTTTTTTCTTATTCCTTGAACCTTTGGGAAACAAGAAAGACTAGACTAGGCTTCCGCAAGGCTGTCATGCTCGCGCCGCAATTACATGCTATGCAGATTGGAGGCGAAAGCAAAGACGGCCACGGGGTGTTACACGTGAGAAATAAACTAGTTGGGATATGACTCCATTGAACGTAATTGGAAGTGAAATGAGATTGTTCTTTCAATTCCATTTTGCCAATCTAGCACACCTACACACTTGGAGTAGATCACGGAAGGCGCCGGCACGAACTCTTACCCACTTACATCATTGCCCCCTTCAACGCATAGTTACACATTCACATTCACTATACGCTTGTTCCGTGCACACATCAACTACTTCGGTCTTGGTGACCCAACCTCAATTCAAATGGAAGCCTCCATATCTTTCGGTACGCCCACCCGAAGACCATCCGAGGGCGTTCCAGATTCCCAGAAAAAAAAAAAAAATAAACCGGTTAGTTGCGTCTTCCATGACCCCTAGACCCACACAGAAAGCATGTGGAGCATGGTTCGAGGGTCAATCAACGCCAGCTCACTCAACACCAGCACAATCTACACCACCTCAATCCATCGATCTCAATGCCGGTTCCCGCATCTCAGAGCCAAAACCGGACAGAACAGTCTCATGGCCAGAATGGCGCTTTGAGCCAGTTAATTAATCGCTACCGGCCAGACTTAAAGCCCTTTGAGGGCATTTACCGCCGCCTTCACAAACAGCCCGAGCTATCCGGGCAAGAAGAACAAACGGCCAGCAAAGCGGCCGAGCACTTGAGAAGCCTAGACTTCGAAGTTTATACCGATATTGGTGGTCATGGGGTAGCCGGTGTCCTTCAAAATGGCGATGGGCCAACAGTTCTATTACGCGCGGATATGGATGCGTTGCCACTAGAAGAGAGAACCGGACTACCATATGCCAGCACACAATGGGTCAATGGCCCGAATGGGAAAAGTACACCCGTCTCACATGCATGCGGACATGACTCGCATGTCACGGCACTCATGGCGGCTGCGATGCTCCTGCATGCCGCGCGCGAACAATGGGGCGGCACGCTGATCTGCATTTTCCAGCCGTCCGAGGAACATCTAAATGGGGCTCGTGCAATGCTCGATGATGGACTTTACGACAAAATTCCCAAGCCGGATGTTGTCTTGGCTCAGCACGTTATGAGGATGAGAGCTGGCACTGTGTGTTTGAAATCCGAGTCGCTTCTTACAGCAGCGGACTCTTTCGATGTGCGTGTTTTCGGACGGGGAGGGCATGGCTCGGCGCCTCAGACTACTATTGATCCAATCGTTATTGGCGCATCCATTGTTATGCGTCTCCAGACTATTGTCTCGCGCGAAGTTACTCCTGGCGAGCTGGCGGTCGTTTCATGTGGCAGCATCAGTGCTGGACATGGTCCGAACATTATTCCCGATCACCTTGACTTGCAGTTAAATGTGCGAACACTCGATGCTGGGGTACGCAAGCGTGTTTGCGCTGCTATTCACCGCATTATTGAGGCGGAGTGCTCGTCTGCTGGTGCTGTTGAGAAGCCAAAGATTACAAAAACGTACTCGTCACCGGCCACCGTCAATGATGAAGATACCGTCGAAGCTCTTCGTGCGACATTCGAGCCGCATTTCAAAGATAACATGGCTGATATGGAGCGCCCGACTGCTAGCGAGGACTTTTCGCTCCTGGCGACGGCTGTCGGTGCACCCTACGTCATGTGGATGTTTGGTGGTATCGATGCGGAGACTTGGGATGAGGCTGTTGCTAATGACAAGGTGAATGAATTGCCCAGCAATCATTCTCCCTATTTTGCACCTGCAATTCAGCCTACACTGCAGACAGGCGTGGATGCTCTGGCCCTCGGCGCTTTGACATTCTTCAGTGCGAAATGATATTTTATGGTCATAATTGTACTCATTTCCCATTTCCCATTTCCCTGAATTCCAAACGAAGTCCTTAGACTGCCCTATTCATAATTGATCTGCATCTGGAAAGTGGCCAGACGACGGCGCCGTGACCACCCGATCGGCTGTTCGAGAGTGGCACTCCCTTCGTCCTCTACATAAAGTCTTACTCGGGTGATCGACATGACAAATCCCTGGACCCTGGCAAACTTGAAACAAGATAGTCATCCTATTGCACGCCTCGGGGCCCGCCGATCTACTTTTACCGAGCTTTTTGCGGCATGACTAAGGGGCAACTTCCGCACGACCAGGAAATCGGTGGTGCAAAATAGATTGAATATTTTCGCTTTTGCTGCCAAGTGGACTGTGTTGTACATCTCATTAACTTCGCGACCATATGATACCTTTGTCATTCATTGATAGAGACAACAACGTAGATCGGAAGACATAGTAAATCCGCCATTTGGTCTCTCCTCCATGATTTGATACGGATTATGCGACCGCAAAATGACTGCAAGATGAAAATGGGCTCGAATGATAAAGTGCGCTAAGTCTCATTTGACGGAGGTCAAACTCAGGGTCCATGTACTTCCAGCGGCTCATAGACGCACGACTGACTTTCAGGACTTCGAACAGAGAACTAAATCGGCAGTGGGAATTACGCACTCTCCATCAAGAATGGAAACAGCTCTTTCCTGTGGATAGAAAAGAGCGAGGCAGGGTACAGCAACCGACATACGTACAATCAGATCTTATATATTGAGGTTTAGCTGTCAATTCACCGTTTCTGAATTTTGAAACCAATGAGAGAAGTGTATATATGATGCCATTGGTTTGTGATTGATGTTGAGTACCGAATACTGGTCGCAGCCTTGCATGTTAAATAAAAGCAATTGTCTGTGAGCCTGGTACGGGCTTCGGAAACAATTATTGCTACTATATATTGAGACGTAGGGAATTTGAAGATCAAGAAGTAGCTGATAGTGGTGAGGTTAACTATGGTTATAACCGACGGATCGCTGTTTCCATCGACATATCGAAACAGGGTGCGCAAATATCGGGAAACAGTTGCCGTTCAATATCTTCTTAAATTAATGTGAGTGGCGCCGCTGTCTCCTGCGTCGATATGAACCGTGCTTTATACTGAAATAAACATCATCAAGACTGTGTATCGTTTTATTTGTTCAGCATTCCAAGGGTAAAGGCTTCGCACAGAATCGTGGCGGTGTCGCAATCATGTATAAGAAAGGGTCAGCAAAGGAGGACTGTCGGCATGGATATCCCCCGGATACCGGGAAAAGTGTTATTCGTTTGCATGTCTATTACACCATAAATTGCGGATTCAAGTATTAGAGAACACCAGAGTTTTCACTCTAGATGATGTATGCTAGATGTTGACATTTGTTACAGCCGTACAAGTCTCGTTCATTGCCAATGGCAATTGAACATACCATCCCGTGAAGCATCTCCATATCTTACCTTGTAAATAATCTTGAATCCTATATCGACCTGGCCCAACGATACATCCCCTTCAGTCAACGCACTGGGATCCTCTGGGTCGGTGATAAATAGAGATGCAGGAGACAATGCAATTGGCCGCGCCATCTTAAAGAACATTGAGAACTACAGCATCTCGATCACTGCCGCAAAGCTGCAAGATAATAAAACGTAGAAAAGTTAAAAATTACTTTAAATGTGTAATATATACTATATCAAATAGATTAAGAAAAAGAACTATGTTTCCTGTACCTTTTATACTAGAGGACGGTAGAGTAACCTTCAAATTATTGTAACCCTAGATATATTCTAGGAGTTGCTTCGTATTGTAATTGGCCTTTATAGTACGTCCGATAAAGTTTCGTGGCTCGGCTTTCACAACCCTAAAAGAAGTAGCCAGTCACTCCTAGACACTACAATAATAACCACTCAATAGTAGTATCAAGTAATAGCGCTTAGATTTAATTATAACTGAGCAATGTTTGGTGGGCGTAGCGTCACGATGTCTAGAGTTATCTTTACGAAGAAATTGTTGTTTTGCGTAGGAGCAGTAGCTCAATCAGACTGCACCTTAACATCCTCTTCAAGAAAAAAAAATAGTCGTGTCAAGTGCAGGCCAATCTAGGGAATGCCTCGACTCTTGATGTTAGCTTTGAGGTCAGCGACTTTCTGCATAAAGTACCTAAAGATGGGCAGTACCACACGTGAATTGTTACTTAGCCCACCCTAGACTTGAAGAGCGTCACACGCTAAACAGAAAGAGCCGAAATAAATCGCAGCATATACTCTAATAATGATTGAACCCAGGGCTTAGTGCTGATGGTCTCTGTCTGTGCCCGGAAGTGGTTGTATGTGTCCCCCCGCTCAGCCCTCTCCACCGACTTGAGTCTGAGCCTCTTTTAAAAGGAGGGGGTTACATGATATGTAAACTCGGTGAAGTCAAACTCAACGACCTAGCGTGTGGATACAAGTCGCGTGGGTTCATCTTTACGGTTCCGCCGTTCTCACATAACCAAAATGTACGTAACCATCGACTTCAACAACTCGAGGTGAAGATGGTGATTTCGATTCACGTTCGATAGTAATGTTTATATTCGACTTTTGTCTAACTGAATTGAATCTACCTACTTCAAAGGGCGGAGTGTTTTCCCGCATGATCCACCAACGGGGTAGAGTAGTCCGCATCATCCAAGTCCATCATTTGTATCCGGTGCTGGGTCATGTTCTCCTCGGTCTGAGACTCAACCTGCTTTTCCATACGCTGTTCCTCGCCGAATCCGTCCTGGCTATTCAGAGTATCACGAGCAGTCGAAGATTCACGATCTTTGATACCCGCTTCGGTTTCATTTTTGGTCCTCTCAGCCTCCAGCTTTTCATCTTCAACTGCCAGGGCATGCTCTTCACTTTCGATCTCATTGACATCGACATCTTGCAGCCCGACAGATTTTATGATCCTTCCTAGCAGATATTGGTATCGAAGGTGACCACTGATCATGTCACTGACGTTGAGGTTCTCGACACCGGGCACGTTTTCAACGGGCTGCAAACCAGCGATTCCCAGTTGGAGACTACTAGTCCGGTAGAGAAATCCAAGGACTGAGTCATTCTCAGAGTAGACATTGACAACGCGGCCACTTACGACGCTGCGAATGCGGCGCCAATACTCGGCATCGGATGGAGTTGGTGATCCCATCACAATGACTGACTCCACGAGACCGTATGCACCTCTCTTGCACAACGTTTGTAGACACGAGAAGATCAAGCGAGAACCCAGAGAATACCCGATAAGAGTCACTGGCCGTTCTCCTTGAGCTTTGTTGATCAATGCATCTGCCAAAACTTCACCCGCTTTGTCGGCCCGGGCCTTGGCAACGCTGAATGGATTATCCACGATGCCAGCGACCTTCATGAGACCCATCGGAAGCATAACGGCACTCATGATAGTGGCGAAAATTGTGCGGGTCAAGACTTCTCGGCCGGCGACAGACCATGCCGCGCTCGTAACCAGTGCGGAGATTGCATTGCCCAGCTTCATCAGTGGCTCCATTTCCCAACGAAGCGCGAAGACCTCAGAGTCAGCACCGAGTACTCGCCAGGGAACAACAAAGTTAGACTCTTCTTTCACCCAGCCAGTCACACCGATCGTGACTCGCAGCCGATGGTCTTGCTTAGCAGCTTCACTCTCATCCTCGGTCCGACGGCTCCGTGAACCGCGAGTAGGGATGAAGGCAAAGTCGTCTACCTCCTTGGCATACTTGTCCATCATCCTGCCAGTCATACGACCTCCATAGGCTCCAAAAAGGCCTCCAACAACAACGCCGCTTCCTGCCAGAGTTCCCAATAACCCGGCAGCTGCAGTGGCACCGAGGCCTAGTCCACCCATGACGGTTCCAATACCAGCTGCAACCAACGGAGCTGCAAGACCACCGGTGACGCCAATAAGAACAGCGCCGGCAACTGAAGCAATCCCGACTTTCCATTTCCGAGAATCATCACTCTTCTTCACTTGCTGCTTGGCCTCCGGCTGTGATGACAGCGCTAGCGCCGTGTCAAGAAGTCCACGTGCAACCTTGACTTCGTCTTGATTCAGCACATCGATATCTATACCCAAGCTAGATGCAACATGAAGCATCAAAACTCGAGAATAGGCAGTATACTTTTCCAGACTGAGCAGCAATAGAAGAAGCGAATGTAGAATAAGCAGTCTTGTCGCCTTAGGAACTTGCGCCAGCGGCGATTCCACAGGATGGTAGATTTGACAAAGCTTTGCGAGCCTTTCTTCGTCCTGGACAATGGGAACGTCATCTGACTTAGCGGCATCTGAAGGCTCTTTGTTATTGTCTTCTTCATTCTCATCATCCTTATTAACAACCTCGCCGAGTCTCAATAAGACAGCATCTCTCCAATCATCAAAGTGAGAAAGTGTCTTCGCTTTAGCGCGAGCTTTGACTCTAGCATTTCTCGCAGCCGCTTGCTGATTTCTGCTCCCCAGGGGTGGTGATGCTTTCGCCCCATCAGGCCTGGGCGGCAATGGGGGTGTTGCATCATCATCGCCCTGGTCGGACGGTTTTCGATTCGGAGATGAGCCATTTCCAGACGGCTTTGGCTCATCAAAACTCTCAAATATCTCGAGAATACCAATTCGCATCGATTGCGCGATCTCCGCTACAAGAACCGTGAGGTCGGCACGTTCAGAACGGTCCAATATTGACGTCAGATCTTGGCCGCGCTCGCTCTTCGGCGGTGGATTGGATTTCTTGGAGTCGAACACATTGCCATGTTTTTCTTTGAGATTTTTAAACATTTGGAAAACAGAATGCAAATCTAAATTATTAGAAAATGTCCCGAGTGTTTGATGTTGGGAGTTGACAGGACAAGAGAGGGGGATATTGCTTGGCTCGGGGGCGGCCGGAGCCTCTTCGTGGCCTAAGGCATACTTTTCTAGTCACTGCGAATGTCAAACTAGATCTATGGTATAGCACAGGAAATATCCAAAAACTGGAAGATATTGTAGTCTTCACCCTATAAGCAAATTGGCTTACTTGAATCCCTAAGTTGGCCGGTTGTCTCTTTCACTTGGCCCAAGGACCCTCAGTAAGGGTCTCGGGATATGCACGCGACAGTTTACAGTGTGATTTAGATTTTTCAACGACAATTATGTGCCTCAGGGTGAGCGTTCATATTGATTATGCAAAAATGTGCTGAGGATGCTATTCAGACCACAGGGATTTAATATTTCATCCCAAATAAATGAGGTTGTGGAGATATGAGGTTGTATTTTCGCATTTAAAGTGGTGTTTTGGGGTTAATCCCTTGCTTGTGCTCACTACTTTCGGTGGCATACTTGCGGGGCACTGTCGCGGCCCTACTCTTGAGTGCCAGACTGGCTCCTTTATCCCAGTTTCTGAAATCTGAACAACGTTATGAGGTAAGTTGTCCACATCATGTGTCAGCTTTCGGCTAAAAGAATCTTCCGAACCGCCCCTTGCAGCCGAGATAGAGGAAAATGTAGTCAATACCCCTGGTTATCTAGATGCGCGCTAAACATGTAGCCCTACTAGCCTTACAAGGAGTAAGAGGGAGTCTTCTATGCTCCCACCCCTGCTCGTCTTGCGGAAGTATACGATAGTAATAGGGTTTCTTAGATCATCTTGCCCTCGAAGAGTTCCCGGGTATGTCAATATTGGCAGTTGACGGTAGTAGATTTGAGTACTACTCTAAGCGGCTATAGACTTCCTCAGCTTGTTCTTGAGTGCATCGATCACAGTGACAAGAAAATAGGAAGTTTTCTTGCAGTAGCTTTTGCCGTGCTTTCACATCTACATACTTGCACGGATCAAAATAGCAAATGAAGCACTCGTCGCCTGCGGCAAGATCTCGCGAAGTCGTCAAAACCATCCGTCCATCGTTGTCTGGTTTCCAGGTGACCTAGGACATTTGAGTATGTGATTTAGTGTTCCCATGGAGTAACTTACGTTTGGAATGCAGGAATGGTTGATTATAGTGGCTCTTGGATAAATACCCAATCCGTAATCCACGCCTCGTTCGACTGGGGGGTCCGAAATTGGAAATAACCCAGTGTCCTTTGGATATAGGCCGAATGAATTAGACTCTTCTTTGCAGACGAGATCCACTAGGTCATCAACACTGAGATCTGACTGGTTATCATGAGTCAGGTATACCTCAACTAGCCTTTTCCAGTGCAAAATCTGCGTCTGAGGCCAGTTCTCCCGGTTACTGTGAAGGATTTCAATAGATTCCCATCCCCGCTGGAACCGATCTTCCCAGGAATAGAGCTTTGATGGCCTGGATCCTACCTGTAGCTCAAAGTACCTTCCAGCTAGAAGACGCATGACTGTCCAAAGCATGGTAAAATCATATTGACCCTCATTTTGACGAATAGTTTCTCCGTAATTCTTCAACCAAGCGCATTCAAAGTCATGGCGAGCCTGATCTGCAGTTCGACAAAGGTTGTTACACCAAACAACATCTCGGATGCAATTCCTTTGGCAACTCTCTCTCTGTGTGCACTGTGATACCTGTTTGCGGCATTTCAGATTACTGCAAATCGGGGCGTTAGGATGGGATGGATCTAGAGATGGGGTCAAAGCATATGGTATATCTGCGAGAATCGTGGTGCCGGCTGGTACAAATGCAGAGACTTGTAACAATCTTCCTTTGTGACGATTATAGCTTTGTACCAGACTTGGATGTACGTAGACATCCGCATCTTGATCCAAAGCATTGGAGGCTGTGGACTTGACTGGCTTCTGTGCAACGACCAATTGTCTGCGCTCCATCATGCCCATGTCTCCAGAGCCGTCTCGCTTCGCCGTTGTGATCTTTATCCCATCCTCTGCTTGCAGGGATAGCCCCGATCTTTGCAGAAGATTGTCCATTTCCTCCAGATCGTAAAGCCTGACGGAATAAAAAAGATCCTGGCGAATGGAAGGACCTTCCAAATCAATCACAATCTCTCGGCTGGCAAGCAGGGTTTTATCCGGAGAAAGCTCTCGTTCACGACAGGCCAGAAGTGTTTCTTTGCCCTCAAGCCATTCCCATCCACTTTGACTGAAGTTGGATCTAATCCACGATCCATCCACGTGATCAATGATGAAAATTCCTCCTGGCTTCAGGACCCGACAGACCTCGCGGAGGGACTGTAGGTCACCTTCATCATTACAGTGTCCAAAAGAATTCCCTAGAAGTATGACCAGATCAAAGGAACAGTTCGCTGCAGGAACCTGACGAAGGTCTCCCTTCTGAAACGTGACGTTACCCTGCACGTTTTCTGCAATTGCCCTTTCTCGAGCAAGGCCGAGGAGGTAGGTGCTTTGATCGATGCCGCAAAAGTTCACTGATGGAAAGCGTTTGGCAAGATTGATGCTATGTCGGCCTTGGCCACAGCATAGATCCAATACTTTGATCGGGGATTCTTGAGTCTGTAACATCTGCTGCACGCTAGGAATTCCAATGAGGTCGTTGCATTCGGTTTCTGTGATTGCGGGAACTTCGACACAGTCGCCATCGGTGTAGAGGTACATCTCATTGTAGGCCTTCTTCCACCAATCCTTCTCGATATGGGGAAACAAGGAGGCAACGCGACCAAGGTTGGCAGTAATCGACATTCTGAATAATCTTGGGAAGTGAAGATACAACTTGGAGACAAGACGATTCACGCGATAACTATTTATACACCCACGTGGGTAAGTAACTTTTCAGCAATAGTCCGGTGGCTTGCCCACACCGCTTCAGGTGTTGGTCCCCCCAAGCTCAACGTAAATCCAGAGCCCAATGTAAATATTGAGGCTATTCAGCTCTATTATTTTCTCCACCTCTATAAATAACCACTGTTGAGCTGGTATTCAGGTGCCATGGGTATCTGCTTGCGTCATGATCCTTCTCCTTCCTCTTTGAAATATAGCGATTCGCATCATTCGTAGTAAGGGCACCGAATATACCGATCTGCTTCTGTGACTTGCGAGCTTTTAAACGTATAGGCGGATGCTAGTGCTGAATAGTAGATGTTAGAAGGCTGATCTCCTCTGCCATCTGTATAACCTGACGGGAGAGTCGATTGATCTGACGGCGAGTGTCCAGCTGGATAGCCTCACGATCAGATCTCCTAGACATATTCTCTTGCGAACGGCGCGCCTGGGTCGCTGATTCAGGCGGAGGCCTTAGTATACTGGATGACTGAGGTGGCGGAGTGTCCCCGGTAGGCCAGTGAAGCTCTGGTGTAGGTGATCTCGTAGAGTCGAGGCGTTCCATGACTGGGGCTGGATTAAATGGATAGATGCCACGGTCCGCAAATACCTTCCGAATCGTACGTGGCTTTATAGCCTGCTGTCGTATGCCGGTGATTTCGCGAAAGAAGAAGCCTGTATCCTCAGGATCTCCACCCCACTGAGCGATCGTGTTATTTTTTGCACGGAATCTCGCTTTTAAGGCACGAAACGGGCTTCTATCGAGAGGATGGATGATATACGTGGTATGCGGAGGAAAGACGAAAGCGATAATATTCCACTGTTCGCAGAGATGCAAGAACTGCCAGGTAAGATGCGAGCTATGGCTATCGAAGAGCAATAGTCGCGGTCCACCACAAGCGCGGTTGCGTGTGTGTTCCTGAAAGAAATGAAGCCAATCGACAGCGAGGGTATCATTCGAATAACCAGATGAGGTTACCGCGATTCGTGTTTCCTCTACGCGTGTTCCGCCTTCATACCATCGTTCGAGATGCACCAAGCCTGGTGCCACGAAGTATGGCTCCATCAGCCATCCATCAGCTGCTATACACTCAATTCCAGTCAAGAGTTCACCTCGCTCGCTCGACAATGGCCTCGTACGCTGCTGGTTGCGACTGATAACCTTCTGAGGCTTTCCCTGGCCAAGCTGGAAGCCAGTCTCGTCAAAATTGTATATATTCGAGGGCGGGATTCGCTTCACGAATGGCTCAAGACGCTCATACCAGGCCTGCAGAGTACTAATATCCGCAGCCTCAATGCTTTCTCTTTCCGTTGGGTTCTGTTTTACCCAGTGAAGGCCATCAGGTAGGCGCTTAACGAAATTGTATACCCACATCTTATTCACAGGTGCTACTATATCTCCAGTTGCTTCGGCACTTCTCTGAATTATCGCATTCGCACTCGCTTCAACCATATAGGCAGTAGGTGGTACATGAAGGGCATCAAGGGTATCGATCCAGCTGATCAATGCTGCTTCCTGCGAGTCATCCAGGCGCTTGGTGGTGATGGTACGCTGCGTACGAGGTTGCCGACCGTGGAGACGCGCCCGCAGCCGGGACACAGGAACGTCGAATTCGCGCGCCAGCGAGGTGATTTTCACATTCTTTCGAGCTCTGGCGGCCTCGCAGGCGACCTGGATACGCTGTTCAATGGCCACATACGAAGAATTCATGGTGGGGGTGGAATGATGGAGTTGAAGAGCTTCAAGATTTACGTTGGGCTAATGGATTTACGTTGGGCATTGGGGGGACATCTGAAGCGGCGTAGGTAAGCCACGAGACCGTTCAAGGAAATGAATGACCCCCTGGGCACGGATCTCGATCGCGATCTTCATGCATGCCACGTCATATACATCATGCATGCAACGTCACACATTTAGAAAGTGGTTGATGTTGGGATCCAAACGATCGAAAAGAAATGACCGGGAACAAAACAAGGGTGAGTTGATACAAACAGCAAAGCGCTAAGCGACAGGATACTGACAGAATACCATACGAAAGGAGCAAAAAGTCAACCAATACAGGGAACCTTCGAGCCGGGAACGATAATGCAGCCAAGGTGGCGGGAAGTGCGGAAAGCGCGTGTCTGACAAATAAAGCCCCGAGAGGAAAAGCACCTGCTGTACAAGGTACTGTACTGTACAACAAAGCCCCCGGACGAACCAGGACGCTTACTATGGGGTCATTTGGCCCTTGTAGTTGATGTCGTAGTTAACGAGACCGAATCCCCTTATTTTTGGTCTGCTACCTCAAACACTACTTCCAAATCTGCTCACGCTACCTCAGACGCACCACGGTCGAAAGATGGAGGCTTCGATAAGCAGCCACTGGCGTGTCCTTGCGGCGGTCTGTACAATAATGTGGGGGATTTACTTTAGTACTTCCATCGGGTGTCCCCCCTCGCAGCACGACTGATTTGTCCAGTTTATGACCTTCCCGCGCCCCTGTCGGTATCATTACAGGAGCATTTATCACTTTCAAGCTCTCAGTACACGTACTTTGTCTCGGCACTCTATACAGCCTATGCAGCACCCAACACGGTCCTGCCCTTTTTTTCTGGGTGGGCAGTGCAGCGGTTAGGGGAGAGGTCGGTCCTCCTTGCTACCCTCGGGAGCGTGGTAGCTGGTCAGTTGATCTTCGCGGTCGCCCTTCAGTTACGAGTCCAGTCCGGAATGATGCTTGGGCGCGTCATTATTGGCTTGGGAGGGGAGATAATTGGCGTCCTAGGAAGTGAAATCACAACACGCTGGTTCAAGTGAGCTCCCATTCTACCGACTCGGGGTGGCTGCTAACATATGTTGCTCAGAGACAAGCAACTATCTTTGGCGCTGTCAATGGTTTTGTGCATATCGAGACTAGGCTCCGTCGTTGCATCCGTTTTCGTCCCCAGAATGGTCGAAAGCTTTGGCGTAGTGTGCGCTGTATGGATCGGGTCCATATTGTCGTTGGGAGTCGCCGTTACTAGTACTTTTTATCTATTAGCCGTCAGCGATACTACAACGTCGCATCATGAGAGAGAGGACAATGATTCAGCATATTCAGCTCGTCAGTTTCCTCGTGGCTTCTGGCAATTGGCTTTGATTTGCATACTGGGCTACGGAGGTATCAATACTTTCACGATTTCTGCGCAGAGGTTCCTAGCCACATGGTTCTACGATGGAGATCAGCGCAAGGCTGGAGCTGCCACAGGGCAAGTTGATCCATTCTTACGCTGTCCAAAGCTGACATTGTTTCATCTAGTATACCATACTTCCTCTCTGGGATTTTGACTCCACTATTTGGACTTTTATTGAATTCGCTATGGTTCCCAAGCTACCTGCGGCCCCTAGGTGCCAGTAATATCCTCATGATAGCAGCGCATCTACTATTACTCTATAGAATAGAACCGATTGGACCGATGTGTCTGCTGGGCATAGCGTATGCACTTTACGGGGTGGCATTTTGGGCCGGACTCGCGCGATGTCTTCTCTCTATCGTCGAGTCCTTTTCGGCAAAGGCAAATATGCCAGATACCCGGGGTAGAAGTTCCGTCGATGAAAACGAATATGGGACCTTTCACCTCCCGACACATCTCTCCGATGATCGCTCTGATGCTGCTGACGGAGAGAACGAGCCGGGAGAAATGGGCGCGGATGGAATCATCACGCTTGGCTACGGAATTATGACCAGTCTCAACAACCTGACTACGGCTGTGGTTCCGATCCTCCTCGCCAGGATAGAAAATGCCATGGGCTTTACAGGTTTGGAGGTATTTTTTCTCATACTATCACTACTCGGGCTTTTCACATCTGTTGAGTTGTCATGTTCTTGGAGGATCTAGAAAAAGCCACTACAGAATGATACCATTTTACCTAGACTTCTGTGTAAGATGGGTTACGCCATTCCTTTTTTGAGTTGCCCTGTTAATTTGAATCTGCATCGTAGTTCAAACTGTTCAGCTCAATCATTGACTAGATTTGCGTCACATTCTTTGTCTCAAACATAAACCCCTTCCTTTGCTTTTCCCTCTTCTTTTTATTAACGGGACAAGGCCATCCCCTCTTTCCAATCCTCCATTTTGTTTGATCACCAGCTCTATGATCTTTCTCTATACAAAACTGTGCAATCACGAAGCGAGATCTCTGTGTCTAAACAACCCGAGTTATGGCGGTCTCAGGCGAAACTAGCCAGCCGCTGCCGGAATCCCTTCACACCAAAGACTATACTCCTGTAGACGCAGAGGTCGCAAATAATCACACCGACGAGAACATACATACCAGAGAATCGATAACATGGCAGGGTGAAGCAAAACAGATGTCAAAAAACGCTGCCCCCATTATTCTGTCCTCCATACTCGAGTATTCCTTGTCAACAACTACAATGATCGTGGTCGGACGTCTGGGAACTACCGAGCTTGGGGCAGCGAGTCTGGGCAGCATGATTGCAAACTTCACAGCCTACAATGTCTACCACGGCCTTGCCACAGGCCAGGATTCTCTATGTGCCCAGGCATATGGCTCAGGGGCAAAGCACATGGTGGCCGTGCACTTCCAGCGCATGACCTGTTTCTTGTTGCTGGTCACCATTCCAATCATCGCCCTCTGGTCTGCAGCGGACATCATTCTCCCAGCACTCCTCCCTACGAAAGATCCCAGTCTCGCTATCCTTACTAGCCGTTACCTTCAGGTGGTCGCGTTTGGTGCCCCTGCGTATGCAATGTTTGAGTCAAGCAAGCGTTACATGCAGGCTCAGGGTGTGTACACAGCCTCATTCTTTATCCTCCTCATATGCTCGCCAATCAATGCCTTTATGAACTGGTTCTTGGTTTGGGTATGTACACCTGAATTTCCCCATAAGTAAAGCTCACTGCCATCTGACTGACTCTAATTAGAACCGGGGCTGGGGTTTTATCGGGGCCCCGATCGCATTGGCCCTAACAGACTACCTCCTCCTCTACAGCCTATTTTTGTATGTTTATCTTGGATCGCATGATAAATGCTGGACAGGATTCACCTGGCAAGCACTTTGCAATTGGGGCCCAATGGTCCGACTGGCCTTCCCAGGCCTGCTGAGTGTGCAAGCTGAATCTCTAGCTTACGGTGCCAACACCCTCGTCTGTTCGTACATAAGCCCCACTGTGCTAGCCACACAAACTGTTCTGTCCACCGTATCCAATATTGCCTGGCAAGTGCCCTTCTCTCTATCGCTCTCTGTCCGCGTCCACATAGGCACCCTGGTCGGCGCTGGACGCTCCAATGCAGCCCAGATCGCAAATAGGGCTGCGGAATACTTGGCTATTGGTGTTGGAGTAATACTTATGATTATCCTGTGGGCCTTGAGATCATACATCACCCCTTTCTTCACAACCGAACCTGCCGTCATCAAGCTGGTTGTTCAAGTCATGCCACTCTGCGCCGCAGCGCATTTTCTGGAGTCCATGGCTCTCATCTATAGTGGAGTCTTGTGCGGCATTGGTCGACAGGATATCGCTGGCTACGCTCAAACCGGCGCTTTCAGCATCATTGCGCTACCGATTGGCGTGGGGACGGCATTTGGCCTCGGCTGGCATGTCTGGGGACTCTGGATTGGTGCGTTGGTTGGGTTTTGTGCGGTAGTTGCAATAGAGTGGATTTTCTTGAGAAGGGTCAATTGGCAACGTAGTGTCGAAGATGCAAAGGAAAAATGCTTCTAACGATAGAGTACAAGGGATGGTTATCGATATTACAAACTGATTAGATTAATGGAAAGCAAATGACTCTTTGGCTATCAGTGGTCATCACGAAGTAATGCAACAACCCCGCCAAAAGGGCAGGCTAATTGCGCAAACGGTAATTCAGCCACAGCAGGCCTTGCCGAGGCTCTAGGTTCGTTTTCAATAAATGGTAACTAGCTCTTCTAACACAATTCCTTTTTATCTAAGATGCGGAACCACACCGGCGTCGCGATAAGGGACCGTAGGCCACCAGCAAAATCTTCTATATATAGCGGAGGCGGCCCATTATAACCCGGGTCCACCGCGTTCGTCAACTTAGTGTTCGTTAGCTTAAGTATAATGTATTGATAGACAAAGTGATGATGAAGAACGGGACAGGAAGACAGCTGTCCGGGGTATATTGCAACATATTGTACAGGTATAGTATCACAGTGCGCCCGAAGACGAAAGAACATAAATGCAGCATCGGGAGGGCTAAGAAGCTGCGCCACTGCCGGTATCGACAACAAAATATGGGCCCTTGGTCTTAGACGCCGATGCGAGCGCATTCCCATCCCAAGCTGACCCATCTGGGTGAGTATTTCTTTTGTCCTGGACGCGCTGAACTCGCCGCCTCCTCCCCGTGACGCGCTCTCTCGCAATGGTATCCTTGAGCTTATCGAATCCAATGGTCATCTCCTTCACCGCAGCAGGGCTCTCGTCACGGATACTGCGCAAGGGCTCGACGCCTGTTGTATCCACGCTCTGCATTTCTTTCACGAAATGAATTTGCGATTCGAGGGTCTTCAGCATGGATTGCTCCTCCTCTGCGCTGGCTGGTTGTGGGAGGGCCGAGAGGCGAAGGAGGTGGTGAAGTTGCTTTGGTGTGATTGATGGTGTAGAAGGCTCTGAGGACTGGTCTGGAAGGAGAGACCGGACTGACCAGCTTGGTTCGGCGAGAATTGACTCGATGTTGTATGCTTGAGGTTTGGAAGAATAGAGGCGAATAAAACCGGAGTGGGAAGTGAGTGACTGCGACAGTCGTTGGCTGGTTCTTAAAAACGCCATATTTGAGTTGTAAAGCAATGACTGCTTTAGAGGTTGCGACGTGATGTAAATCGTGGGGATGAGCAGGTCAGAGGCAGTAAAGTGAAGTTGATCCTCACAGACCGCCTCGGACCCACCGATCGATGCTCTCATCATACCCCATCGCCTCCTTCTAACTGTGGATTAATACCTTACAGTGATCACATCTATCTTTCACCATGGCAACTCAAGATCCCCGTGTTCTTCTCCAAAAAGTGAGCTCCCCTTGACCCTCCCCCACCTCGCCCGCTGGCGATGACGAAAGGCGGCATAGCTAACGATGTCTCGCATCCCGCGAGCAACCAGGCCGATAAAGCTCTTTCGGGTGCTTCCGGTGGCTTCAGCTGGTTTGGAGGACGCACAGAAAAGTATGAGAGTGCCGCCGATCTTTACACCCAGGCTGCGAACGCCTTTCGAGTACAGAAAATGAGTGAGCCACCCCGCGTCGCCACGTCTGCCTACACTACAGTCACGGCCGCTGACGAACGGTGTTCACCCGCGAATAGATAAGGAAGCTGGCCAGGCCTTTGAGAAAGCAGCAAAAATTCAGACGCAGAGCCTTAACGAGCCCGACGATGCGGCCAATACCCTCCAGGAAGCCTTCAAGGTCTACCGCAAGTCTGACCCAGAGGATGCGGCCCGTGTTCTCTCCAGTGCGATCCAGCACTATGTTTTGCGCGGAAACTTGCGCCGCGCGGCGACTCAGCAGCAGTATCTGGCCGAGGTTTACGAGGTTGAGCTGGGAGATATGAAGAAGGCGCTGGATGCATATGAGAAGGCCGCGGAGTGGTTCGAGGGCGATAATGCAGAGGCGTATGAATCCCACCGATGTCCGGTTCAAGAAGCAAAGCTAACAACTAGACCTCTTTAGTCTTGCAAACAAGCACTTCCTGAAGGTCGCAGATTTGTCTGCGATGAACGAGGACTACTACAAAGCCATCAACAACTACGAGCGCATTGCTCGCCAGTCCACAAACAACCAGCTGATGAAGTGGTCGGTGAAAGATTATTTTTTGAAGGCCGGCATCTGCCACCTTGCCACCAAGGTATGTCTGCCCGAATCCTCAACTTACACAATCTACTCACTCGCTCTAGGATCTGGTCGAATCGAACCGCGCCCTCGAATCATACCGTGAAATCGATCCTACCTTCGCCTCAACCCGTGAGCACCAGCTGCTTGTGGATCTACTCCAGGCCGTGGAGGCTGGTGATCAGGAACAGTTCGCTGATAAGCTGTTCCAGTTTGATCAGCTCAGCAAGCTGGACAAGTGGAAGACTACTATCTTGTTGCGAATTAAGAACAGTATCGAGGAGGCCGAGGAGGACTTTTCGTAGATGATATTGGATTTGTTTTCACCTTTGATTCCCCGTGCTGTGCAAGGAATATTGAAATGAAGTATTTTTGAAGATTATGCGGTAGTCGTTTCTAAGCAACTTTTTTTTTTGGCTTGGAAATGAATGCAGCCTTTGGATTTTCCATGATGGTCTTGAGTAAATAGTGCACTTCATAACTTTAGACAAATGTTGGAAATCTCGAGTCTACATTGACGACAAAAATGGGATGAACGATGTAAGAAGAAATCTCGTAATTCATTAGGAAATGCCTCTATGTACTTTTGGGGTGTATCATGCCACGCATTCCTGGCCAGGAACTGCTCTCATCATTTCAGGTATCCAAGTATAGTTCATCCATCTCTTACAGAACAGTCGAAAGCGCCACTCTATGCGCCATAAGCCTCGAGAGCCACCGAAGGACGAGGGAAGACACGCTTGTACAAACTGATACCAATCGAGTCCTGGGGGTTAAGCTTGGCATCAAAGGTAGCCTTGAAGTAACCATGAGTACCAAGACTCTCCTTGATATAACCACTGCGACCACGGCGAGTCCAGAGTTGCAGAGCTTTGAACCAGGCAACGTCCTCCTGGTTGAAGAACATGTACCGAACGGTAACGACCTTCTTGTGGATCTTGTACGGGTGACCGGTGAGAATGGCACGCTTGGCAATGACACGCTTGGGGTCGGGAGCAACGACAGTACCGGTGCCGATCAGCTCCAGGCGGTTCATATCGATAGGCTCCTGCACCGGCTTGTCGTCCGCGGAGTCAAGCATCTCGGGGTCCTCTTCCGTCTGCTTGTTGCGGAAGACGAGGATGGGAACGGCGCCCCAGGTCATGGGTCCAATCCATGTGGCGATGGCGCTGCGAGCGGGGTGCAAGTAACGGTCGAACTTGTGCACGTTGTTGGGAGTGTTGTCAGCAGAGGAAAACACTGGCTTGACCACAATACGACGGGCACCGCACTGCACAACGAGCTCTTCCTTGGCCTTAAGGGGCTTCTCAACGCTTCCATTCAAGGTCATGTTAACGTTGACCACGGTATTCTTGTGCTCGTGGCGCAGGAGAGAGAACAGGGAGAGCGGCTGGGCCTTGTGGCGGAGAGCAGCGGGAACTGCACGAAGATGGATATCGACACGGATACCAGGGTTGACTCCACCGATAAGAGCTTCACGAATCACACGGTTCTTGATGCTCTTGTAGTTACCAAACTGCAACAAACGACGCCAGTCTTCCGGCTCGAAGGGTCGGTCCTCAGAAGTCTCCCAAGTACTGATCTTCATGCTCTTCAAACCACGGAAACGAGCGAGACGCTCTCTAGCGAGCACGTTGGGGTGCAATTCAATCTCATCGGGGAATTCAAGGTCTTCTTCGGCCTCAGTCTTGCGGCTAGCGCGGTAATCCGCCAGCTCCTGAGCCTCGTCCTCGGGTGATGGGTCAAGGAACATCTCTGACTGAGGGTACTCGGAGGGACCACCTTCTGTCATGGCGTCGGCGTTGTCGGGGAACACGCCATCTTCAGGCGCACCAGCAGTGTCCATCTCCATCTCCTCATCGTCATCCTCCAAATCGGATCCAGAATCGGAGACATCCTCCAGATACCAAGCGGACTGGTATGTTGAGGTACCCTTGGGCAAACGCTTAGGCGTTGCGGGAATGTGAGAGTCATCGTCTGAGAAGTAGTGGTGGTCGTCGAGCAGGACACCCTTCTTCTCTGTGTCGGCCATGGAAACCATATCATCATCCTGCATTTCGATCTCCTCGGGCGCAACAGTGGCCATGTCGTCCTGGTCCGCACTGGGGCCATCAAGAACCTGGCTTGCCTGGCTGTCGTCCACATTCATCGCATCATCACGCTTGCCCTTAGTGGGCAATGGAGCTGCTGTGATCGAGTCGATCTGGAAGTCACCCCAGCCTGGGATGTGTGCAATTCTGTCGGCCTTCAAGCCTTTTCCACGGACGATACCAGTGATAACAACATCATCAAGCACTTCCTCGCTCGACTCTGGCCACTGCACGTTCTCAATAAGCATCCAGCTACGCTCGTCACGCCAGCGAATACCCTTGGGGGTCGCAGTGCAAAGAGAACGGACGGCATTGGAGCATTCCTGTCGTGAATCGAGCGACATGACCTTCTCGACGGCTGGGAAGAAATGGTTGACGAAAGACTTAAGCGAAGAAGCCACTTGAGGACGCTTCTTGGCGGGGTTGATCTTGTCAAGACCCTGAACAACGGTGAGAACGTTGGAGATACCTTGACTCTCAATGGAGCGCAAGAGCAGCTCGCCATCTTCCTGCACTTCCGTCTCTGACGACACGACCAACACGACAAAGTCGGCCATACGGCACACATCCAGAGCACTCATCAAGTCATACTTGGCCGGCATATAGAGTAAGCTCTGACGGAAGCGCTCGACGCGCACGCGGGTAGGTCCATCAATAGATATAGCACAGGAGATTTCGACACTCTCGTTCAAAGCTTGGATCGTAGCGGGAATATCAATATCGGGGGTAAGCGGGACAATGGCGATGTGACGAGGCGCTCCATTCTGACCAGTGAAAATGCTGGTCTCCTGAACTCGCAGCTGGTGCTTCAATTGCTGCCTCTGGCGGGCCTGATTGCGACGATCGAGTTTTGACTTGAGCTGTTGGTGGGGGGTTTTGCGAGTGCCCCGCTCCGTCTCGATTTTGCCTGCAAAATTATCAGGGGAATTCCATGCAAATTTCGTGAATATTTCAAAAATTACTCACCCTTCTGCTGGTCCTTTAGAGCACTCTTAGAGGCATGCTTGGTCTTGAAAGGCTTGTTCGCGGCCTTGGTAGAGTTGCGGTGGTGGTGCACCGGGTTGGGCGCCATGTTGGCACTGGACCCTTTAAAACGGTATGGAAGGGAGTCCAGATTGAAAAGAGAAACCAATTTCTGTGATAATTAAATCGAGACCAAAAACACTGAGATCGAAGAAATCCCACGCAGACAGAAAAAAATTGGCGATAAGAAAACAAAATTCGGCAGTGGAGAGGATAAGCGAGCGGTGAGCGCAACTCTTGGCGCAATTTTTTAGATTTCGCTTTTTCTCCGCGACTCGATTAGCGTTTTCCTTCGAAAAGCAGCACATCCTCGAAAATGGCGGACTCGGGTTCGAAACAAGTCATGACGGCCGAAGACCGCGCGGCTAAACAACGGCTCATCGAAGCCCAAAAGGCCTACGGACGAGGCAAAGCTATCTCAACCAAGGCCATTCGAAACAAGAAGATCCGGTCGACCCTCCAGGCGCAAGAGGTCAAGCAAAAGCAAGCTGTCTTGCAGGCGAAGGATTCGGAGATTCTTCTCGAGCACGAGGCCGGCTTCCTCGAGCCTGAAGGAGAGCTTGAACGGACATATAAAATTCGACAAGATGAGATTAAGGATAATGTTGGAATTGAAACGGCTAAGAAAGGCTTCGAGCTGCGTCTCAATGACTTCGGACCCTATCGTGCGGATTACACTCGGAACGGACGCAATCTGTTGTTGGCTGGACGGAAGGGCCATATCGCAACCATGGACTGGCGTGATGGCAAGCTGGGCTGTGAGCTCAACTTGAACGAGACAGTTCGCGATGCGCGCTGGCTGCACAACAACCAGTACTTTGCGGTTGCCCAGAAGAAATACGTCTACATCTATGACCATCAAGGAACCGAGTTGCACTGTCTCAACAAGCACCTGGAGCCTCTCTACCTCGAATTCCTCCCCTACCACTATCTTCTGGCCAGTGTTGTAAGTTCAATCCGCCTCAATTGGCTGTCACGAAAATTTTCTAACACGATTTCTCTACAAAGGGCATCAGCGGTTACCTCAAATACACCGACACTTCCATCGGCACAACCGTCGCCGAGTTGCCCACCCGCTTGGGCCGTCCCACTGCCCTGTGTCAGAACCCTCATAACGCCATCCTCCACGTTGGACACCAGAATGGACAAGTGACATTATGGTCGCCCAATTCTCAAACAGCGCTCGTCAAGGCCATGGTTCACAAGGGACCCGTCCGCTCGCTCGCGATTGACCGCCAAGGCCGTTACATGGTATCCACTGGCCAGGACCAAAGGATGAACGTCTGGGACATTCGCATGTTCCGTGAAGTCCACTCATACTCTACCTACCAGCCCGGTGCGTCGGTCTCCATCAGTGATCGCGGTCTTACCGCTGTCGGCTGGGGTACTCAGGTCAGTGTGTGGCGCGGCCTCTTTGACGCCGCCGTCGCCGACCAGGGTAAGGTGCAAAGCCCTTACATGGCATGGGGTGGTGATGGCCAGCGTATTGAAAACATGCGCTGGTGTCCTTACGAAGATATTCTAGGCGTCACCCACGACCAAGGATTCGCCAGCATCCTCGTCCCCGGCGCCGGAGAGCCCAACTTCGACTCTCTGGAGGCGAACCCCTACGAGAACGCGCACCAGCGCCAGGAGGCAGAGGTGCACTCTCTGCTTACCAAGCTCCAGCCGGATATGATTTCGTTGGACCCCGATGTTATCGGAAGGCTCGATACCATCAGCGACAAGAAGCGCCAAGAAGAGCGCAACCCAGACCACAAGCCCCAGGACCATATGGACAAGATCAAGAACCGCGGTCGTGGCCGCAACAGTGCTCTCCGCAAGTACCTTCGCAAGAAGGGCCGCGGCAATGTCATCGACGAGAAGCGACTCAAGGCCGAGGCTCTGCGCAAGGAGCATGCCGAGCGCCACAAGAACAAGCTTCGCCAGGAGCGCGAGGAACTTGGACCTGCTCTGGGCAGATTCGCCAAGAAGGACTCTTAATATGTTTCTTGCGTTTGCTCGTCTCTCTCGAGCCTCAGACAGCTATCCAGATACCCAGCTCTGCGGCTTTTTGATATTAGAGAGCAAGCTATGTAGCTGCATTTCAGGCGTTGGAGGAACCCATGTGTATAGAATCTTTGGACCGGAAAAGCTAGTACCTATGTACCATCATCATTTTATGGCATCTGAATATATGACCAACGTCTCACTTCTTCGTATATCTACTCGACACTGCCCGAACCACGCGGGGCACCGTTCTTCCACCGCTGCAAGCTCAGATCATATGCACCGCTTCCCTTCCAAGCACTAATAATCAGATTCACAATGTGATTCATGCCCGTCCCATGCTTCACAACGGCAAAGACAGTCGGCCCATCTTCGCGCATCTTCGCCGCATCCCGCTCCATAACCTTCAAATCCGCACCAACAGCCTCAGCAAGATCAATCTTGTTCACGACCAACAGATCCGAACCAGTAATACCCGGACCACCCTTCCTGGGGACCTTGTCACCACCCGCAACATCGATCACGTAGATAATAAAATCCGCCAATTCGCGCGAGTAGTTTGCAGCCAGATTATCACCACCAGACTCAATGAGCAACAGATCAGTCGTGAACTGCCTTTGTAGATTCTGCAGAGCGAGCAGGTTCGCGCTGATATCCTCACGGACAGCAGCGTGGGGACAACCGCCCGTTTCGATAGCACGAATACGCGAGGGCGCGAGGGCTTTATTGCGGGTAAGGAATTCTGCGTCTTCACGGGTGAAGATATCATTTGTGACGGCTGCGATGTTGTACTCGTCACGGAGGGCGTTGCACAGGGCCAGCATGAGAGCTGTCTTGCCGGAACCGACGGGTCTGGAGCTGTCAGGTATAATCCGGGGTAGGGCACGGATCATTTGAAAGAGGTTGTCATCACTTACCCTCCAATTCCGATTGTGAAGGCACGGTCCTTCCAGTCGCGGCCTTCGATCAGAGGCATCTCGCGGTTGAGGTAGGAGCCTGGGCCATCGAGGATATCGTGCGAGTGGCCGTGGCCGTTGAAGGGATCGTCATGGGAGTGGCTTACGCCAGCATCGTGAGAGTGGGAGTGGGCCATTGTATAAGATTGAGTCTCTCAGTATCAGAAGGTATAAGGGGTATAAGGGTAAAATTTAGGGAATGGAAGAAGACTGAGGTCGAGAGTAAGGAGGGGCAGTTGAGCAAGGGCTTGGCTTGGTGGGGAAATGCGATAACAAAAATGCCGAGAATGTCAACTTGGCCGAACGGAGGTCGCCGGTTCGGCCAACTATACTTCCATTGACCACGGAGTAGATTGCATAGTTGCATAATTGTATCGTGTAGAAAACGCTAGTACAGAGTTACAGGTGCAGTGCTGATATGTATGGATTCGTCAATATAGCGGCAGAACGATGAGCCCCGAGTGGAGAAATCATCAACTCCCAAGCTACGGGCCCAAAGGACCACCCCAATGCACGCAGACGTAGATTCAAGGAAACAAAAAGCCCGACGCCAGTGCAATCGCCAATACGGATATCAAACGAGTAAATCCAAAGGTCAGAAACAGCAAAACAAAGTCCAATCCAGAAATCGTCAAACCCCTCGCATTGGCAAGACTTCCAAAGCTCGGAGAACATGCAAATAAGTAAAGTCAGGCGATGATCCCGAGCCAACCGAACACACGCTGAAAGGGAGATAGAGTACATTAGGATTGAAGGTAGATCGGGAATCGATGGGGACGCGCTTCATATCACAGGCGCCGAAAGCCAAAAGGCGCGCAACGATGAATCCATCATCGACGACAGGCTTTATCGTCAGAGTACCGAAAGCTGAAGGAAACAGCTTTCTGAGAATCAAACTAGACCCAAAAACAAGAAGAGCGAAGACGAATGTCTCGCCAGGTATCCAAAATCGTACGCCGGTTCCCCGCCTCTTGAAATAATGGGAATCAAAAAACGAAACGACATGATCAATCAAGCGGCTTGCCCCTTTTGTCGTTTGGGTACTCGAGGGCTAGCCTTGACCTTGGCCGAGCCGGGAGCCGAGGTGCCGTTGACCTCTGTCCCGTCATCGCCTTCCATCTTAACGGTGCTTGCCCGGCGGCGTTTGTTGCCGCCCACATTAGGGCTATTGTTGACACCAACCGGAGATGGATGGACTGAGCCTGGCATCCCCGGGGGCCCAGCAAGCTGACTTTGAGCAGGGCTCGCGTGTGCAGAGCCGAGATGGGGCGATCCCTGAGCCCCCGGTAGACCGAGATGGGCCATGGCAGGAGATGCGAACTGCGAAGGACCATTGATGCTTGGATTGCGTGCGTTGGGCATGGGTTGCATGCCTTGCATACCTTGCATACCTTGCATGGCTTGCATGGCCTGTAAATTTTGCATATTTTGCAAATTTTGCATATTCTGCATATTCTGCATATTTTGCATATTTTGCATGTTCTGCATATTCTGCATATTTTGCATATTCTGCATACCTTGCATTCCTTGCATTCCTTGCATGCCTGGGTTCATCGGAGGTGCGAATCCTTGGTTAGGAACCGTCTGCAGGACGTTGACGAGGTTGCGGAGGGCTTCGGGGGGCGACAACGTCGGATTCTGCTGAGAATAGTGGAAAAGCATTTGCATGTGTGAGATGGTCTCTGCAACTTCCAAGAATCCCATTACCGGGAGAGTAACGCCGTGGGAGTTGACCAAAGACTCCGGCAGCATTGGTGATTGGGCCTGCTTCTGTGTCCGCTTCGCGGAATTTTTAGAGACTTTGGGGCTCTGCTTTAGCTCGGGCATCTCCAGTGTCTGAGCAAGACTTCGAGGAACAAACTCGTTGTGGCTGGTGACAGTGATGTCAAGCATCTCAAGCTTATTGTCAATTCCAAAGGATGCACGCAGCTGTCCGTTCGTGAAAAGCTAGATAATGGCCATTAGTAAATTGCCCAAGTGTGTCATGATATCAAAAATCTTACTTGGCAATCATTCGTAAACCAGTAGATGAAGGAGGTTCGAGGACTCTCGACCATGTGTCCTCCATTGGGCAAATCCCGCTCACGGGCGCCCTCGACGACCATCTGAATCTGGCGGATTCCACTTGAGAATTGGGTAAGGTAATAACGAGCGAGTGCAGGTGTTGTAATCTCAAACTGCTTTGATCCGGTCTGAGAGTTCCAAACACCCTGTCGCAGAACACCTCCGGGTGAATAGAATTTCTCAACAAAGCTGTTCCAGTACATAAGATCGGCCGTCTCGTTTCGACTCTGGAAATTGCTGAGGTTTTCGGCGTAAGCGTGAAGATACAAGATCGATTGGCCACCCGGTCGGTTCATCCTTTGCATCATCAGAGCGTGCTGCTGCTGCTGTGCTTTGATTTGGGCCTCCTGAGCAGCCAGTGCTTGCGGATTCGGCGGGCCACCTGGATGGCCTGGTTGGCCTTGAGCACCTTGAGGCTGTGACTGGGGGCCTGGCTGGCCTGGCTGTTGACCTGGCTGTTGACCCTGCGGCAGCTGCTGTGGCTGCTGGTTCGGTGTACCCTGAGCTTGGGGTGGTCCCTGCGACTGCGGGGGTTGAGACGACGGAGGTTGAGATGGCTGACGCGGTTGAGGTGTCCCACTCTGCGGCGGACCATGCTGAGACTGAGGGGTCCCACCCTGGGCCTCGTGCATGTTGGGAGGTTGCGCAGAAGCTCGCTGGGGAGTATGTTGGCCAGGCTGTCCATTATTTGCCTGAGCCTGTTGTTGCGCCTGCTGCTGGGCTTGCGCTTGCGCTTGCTGGAAAGCGAACAACTGTTGCTGCGTGAGATTTTGCGGTTGGCCGTGGGGCACCTGGCTTTGAAGATGCATCATATTGACCGGCCGCATTCCTGGATTTCCCTGCATCTGAGCCAGCTGCGCAGCATTCAAACCCTGGGTTCCATTGGGTAATGATACAGGGAGGGAGTGTTGCTGTTGCTGTTGCGCTGCTTGCTGCCGCTGCTGGAGAATCATTTGCTGCCGCATCATCTGCTGTTGGTGCATTAACTGGGGATTGTTCGCATCTGGCAGTTGAGCGGTGCTATTAGCATGTGTCCTAGATGAATAATGGCTGGGGCGCTGCGAGTAAAGCCCGGAGGGCCGCGGGTTGACCGCTACTGCCGAGTATGCGCCCGCGTATCCGGTAAAGCCCGCGCATCCAAGAGCAAGCAAGATGTATAGGAATTACTCACAGTTTTGAGCAAATGCCTGTTGCTGAAACATATGTGGTGCCTGCGGATTCAGATGGGACATAGCGTGGGCATTGGGCATGGGGCCACCAGGACCCGCAGTCCCAGCGCCCGGGGGCATCCCACCCATCATTGGACCGGCCTGGCTCACTTGGGGTCCTCCTGGCGCGGAAACTCCAGGGTGCATTTGTTGTACCATGCCAGGTCCGGGGTGACCAGTATTTGGGTGTTGACCAGCCATTGGGTGATGACCCGGGGGCAGGCCGTGCTGTGGGATGCCTTGATGGGCAGCGAACGGTTGCGCCATCATCATTGCGGAAAGTGTCACCACTGACGAGGGCTCTGTAGGGCGAAGTACCGCGACGGCGACGAGGAAGCGACCGAGATATGTATATAGGAGTCGCGCGCCTGAAGACTACAGGCCGCTTTCTTGGCGATTCGGAGCGGACGCCCAGGCGACTAAGGATCCAGTAGACGCGAAAGGCTGAAGCATCGATGGGAACCTCGGCCTAGACTTCGATTCGGCTCAATGCAGGCCTCGTTGTCCTGTAGGACGGGTGATTAGTTCTGGTGGGGAGGACGGGTTGATAAGAGACACGAAGTTGGGGGGCGGGAAACAAGAGGTAATAGGGAGGCGTGGAGGGGCTGGGCCTCCAAACATGGGAGACGACTCACACAGCGAAGCCCGAATCCGAAGTCGATGAGGCGGTGTTAAAGAGGACAGGGACAGTCGCGAGCGCCCATGAGAGGAGAGAAAGATGATCGCCCGGTGGGAGCGAAGAGGAAACTGGGGACGGAGGATCCGGCACCGAAAGTGGAGGATGTAACCGAGCAGTCAAGAAGGATGATAGGGGGCAAAACAGCAGATCAAGACGAGAAAGATGATCTCTTGTCTGTGAAGATCAAGATCTCACCTCTGGATTTCCCTTTCACCTTGAGGCTTTTTTCCCCTTCGCACTCGACTGCGATTGCAAAGCTGCCGCGCTAAACCGCTTTCTCACGGTCACGTGAGCACGGTCTATTTCAGCGCGTTTTTTTTCTTCTCCCGCTTTCTTCGTCTTCACACTTACTTCACTGTTGACTTTCTCTCTGGAGTGCCTCTCTATTGATGAGGAGAGAGGCCTCTAGCGTGGTCATTATATCGTATGACTCTTGAATCTCGCCCCTAACCAACCTGCTCCTGCAGCTTATGTACCTTTGGTAAGTCCCAACTGTGTTTCCCTCCCACCCTCTTCTTTCTCTGGTTCAAGGATGTCAAACACTTTTTACTTCTTTATCCGCCAAATCGACCATGACGAGACAGTTCGGATCTTCCTTTCCCGGTTGGTCTGCTACTTGCCAGTATATCTTGTCTGAGAACCATTCCAATTATCAATTGATTGTTGCATTGCAAGTTGCGTGAGACATGGGCTGACCCGACATTTGCATCAGGCGAACCACAGATTTTCTTGATCATGCCACGTTAAGATCGTTCAGGTTATACCATAATCTTATAGTCAATGCATGGGACCATTTCATTTGATATCATTGCTTCCTTGACCTTGAACTCCGTACTTGTGTTAGCTTTCCACCCGTAATTCGATCCACAAACTTTATTGTAATCCTGGCCGAAGATCACTCTTAGCGTAGCGAGTGCGTAATGTGACGGAATCCAATTTTTAGGCTGACAAGAGTCCTCCAAAACTCATGATTTTGACCAAATGAAAGAACATCCACGCATCAAGTCTGAAGATTGCAGATCTGGTTTTCCACGCGCACGTATTTTTTTTGATAGACATCACGTGATCTTATATTTCTCCCGCGGAGGCACCTGGCGTCAGCGCTGGAACGTCTTTCACGGTCAATGCTGTAATTTGATTCCCGTGACTTCGCGCTTTCTATTCCGGTGGCATCTAGTGCCCCGGATGTATCTGTCAATGCAATTGTCCCGGCTGTCTGTCGCACGCCCTTGTCGATTTATCGCACGTCGCCGCTATCCCGCGCTCATTGCCTCGCGGCCTTTCCACCTGTCGCGACGATATTTGTCCGCCCCGAACGATCCCCGGGACGGTCCAACTCCCTCTGAAAGTATTGTCGATGAACCTCGCTCGTCGGATATCGACGAATTACTCGCGAACAATGGCTCTTTGCCCGTCGACCAGACTGGCAAACCCGCTTCAAGGCCACACGGATCCGCTGTGCGGAGAGCTATGAGAAACAGGTTACCGAAGCAAGAAAAAAAGTCGCCACCTGTGCCAACAATTCCTGCGTGGTTTGTGAAACGAAACACGGTGAATCGAGGCCCCGAAGGTCAAGCTGCGGTACAATCTCAATATCAGGTCGAGATCGTCAAGTCAAAATCTATACCGGACTCCGAGGAGCCCGGTCAAGAAGCGCAAACTTCTGGTGGTGATGACAATGAACCTTCATCGACCGAACCGACGGGGTCAGAAAACCGATATGCCGTGGCAGATGCAACATGGGATGAATTGCGGGCTTCAGTCAAAGCTGGTCTGAGACTACCATCCGTGCAATATGCAAACGAACCCGCAGCGAAGAAGTCCCACCTTGTGCTTCAGTATCCAGGCAGTAATGGTATCGCGTTCTTGGATGCAGTTGTGAAGCGTCTTGCCCTTGAACAAGACACCCATCTAGTCACACTCAATGCCCAAGACATCGCCATTCTGTTCAGCGAGCTTGATCTTACTGAATCCGGTGCCTCCTCGGCTATTCGTTCCCTTGGATATGAGGTTTACAGACCCCCAGTCGTGGCTTGGCCCGAGCCTGCGGAGGGTGAAGATGGCGACGAAGATATATCAGAAATTGCTGCCGGTCAAGGTGTGCGCGCTGAGGTTAGCACCCCTCGCTTCATTACCATCGAGGCAAGCAGAGACTCAGGCGATATTCCGCTCCCTAATTGGATGGGGTTGAAATCGCTGGTGGCGTCAATCAATGGTCAGCAGGATCAGGATACGGGTACAATGCGTCATTTCGGTCAGGGCGTGGAGCAACGCTGGGCTGGTCTCCTCAACGAAATTATTTCCCCAGCTGATCAATCAACAAAATCTGCGCCTGCTGAGACAGACGGGCCTTCCGAATCGGACACTTCCAAAAAGGTACTGGTACGAGACACAATTGTGCACATCCAGGACTATCGCGAGATTCAAAGCACCAGAGAGGGCGCGAGAATGATTAGTCTTTTACAAAAGGTCATTCAGGATTGGAGGCGGGGAGGATCGAGAGTCATGCTCGTGGGCAGTACATCCCAGGATCTTCGTCATTCTTCTCCCCAAGACGGCTCGAGGATATTACAAAATGTCTTTGACGACAACTTCTCGAAGACCCTGGTGATTACACCCGCCATGTCCGCAAAGGCCGTTGAAAAGACATTTGCAGAGGACGAGAAGAACCGTACAATGGACATAAATATTCGTCATCTCCAGATGATGCTTCGCTACCGGCTCAGCGAGACTTCTACTGCCGCCAAAGATCGGATTTTTCTTGATAGCGCCTGGCCGCTGGATCCGACCACTATTAAGAAATCCGGCATCAGAGAGCGTTTCTGGTCTTACAACCAGGTGCACTGGGTTTCAACCCTGGCGCTGGGCAGTGCAGAGTCCGATGAAGCCTTTGGCTTCGAGCATATCCGAAAAGGTATCGAACTCATGGACAATGGTGACCGAGTTACCAGTGATTGGTTGCAAGAGAAATCCCCCAAATCGACAGATTCTCCAGCCGGCCAAAGTCGAGAACAATTACTGGCTTCCCTGCGAAAGACTTGCAACAACCACGAGAAGAAGCTGCTCAACGGCGTCGTGGATGCAAAGAGCCTCCGCACCACTTTTGCAGACGTACATGTTCCACCTGAAACTGTGGACGCCCTCAAGACTCTGACTTCCTTGTCGCTTATCCGCCCCGACGCTTTTACCTACGGTGTGTTGGCCACCGACAAGATCCCTGGCCTTCTTCTCTACGGCCCTCCGGGCACCGGTAAGACGCTGCTTGCCAAGGCCGTTGCTCGCGAGAGCGGGGCGACTGTTCTTGAAGTGAGTGGGTCCGAGGTATACGATATGTACGTCGGTGAAGGCGAAAAGAATGTGAAAGCCATCTTTACTCTAGCGAAGAAACTGAGCCCATGTATCGTATTCATCGACGAAGCCGATGCTATTTTCTGTTCTCGCACAGGAGCTAGCAGCCGCACCTCCCACCGCGAACTGATCAACCAGTTCCTGCGCGAATGGGATGGAATGAACGACTTATCGGCCTTCATTATGGTCGCAACCAACCGACCCTTTGACCTTGACGATGCCGTTCTCCGTCGTCTCCCTCGCCGGCTCCTCGTGGACCTGCCCACAGAAGAAGACCGCCGTTCGATCCTGAAGATCCACCTCAAAGAAGAACAACTCGACCCCTCCGTCGACCTCGCCGAGCTAGCCAAGCGCACCCCGCTATACTCCGGCTCCGATCTGAAGAACCTGTCCGTCGCCGCTGCACTGGCTTGCGTGCGTGAAGAGAACGCCGCTGCTGCGAAACACCAAGGCGATGAACCCTACCAGTACCCCGAGCGTCGCACGCTGACACCGACCCATTTCGAACGAGGAATGGAAGAAATCAGCGCGTCTATCAGTGAGGACATGTCTTCTCTCTCTGCTATTCGGAAGTTCGACGAGCAGTACGGCGATCGCAAGGGTCGCCGTCAGAAGGCCCCTGGGTGGGGATTCAACCCGTCTGGCGAGGAGCCTGTGGCGGATAGCGCACGTGTGCGCACTTGATTTTTGTGATTGTAGATTTAGGGATGCATTCTGGGTTTTGAATCTTTTCGCCTGAGGGACCCCTTTGTACTTTTAGTGACACGATAGACATGTACCAATATCGCGAGGGTAAATACGCTTTTATTTGCATTTTTTGCCTTCCACTTTATTCTGCCCTTATATTAGGCAAAGTTTAGAACATTTGAATCGATGCGATTCCTAATTTTGAGATATTTTAAACTATTTTGTTCAATTTGGGGCATCGGAATAAAGCTTCTGGGCCGATCTATATTTGTCTGGGCAGCCGACGATTGATGTCATCCATAATTCCAAGAATCCACTACGTAGTCGCCATTCGAACCTGGTCATATTCCCGAGGAAAGGCGTTGGGAGGAAAAAATAATAACCGGTCAGTATCTTCGCCGAAGTCTAGATCGCTGGCATACAACCGCAAGTGTTCCTTTGCCGCAACCTGTGAAGAACTACCCACACGGATCGCGAAGGACCGGGCCTTGAATGCCGTTTGAGAACCCCTTGGAAGACCTGCATGGGTGTGCTTTAGCGTGGCATCGTCTTACATCATGTGCAGGGGTCAACAGGGCTTGATGTGGTGTGATACATTAAGTGGGTGTTCTTAGCTTGATGGCATGTTCCCCCGGAGATTCAATGCGTACTTAGACTTCAGAATTGAACCAGTTTCAACGTGTTGAGGTAAATTCGTAGCGCATTGTTAGACGTGCCCATTTAGCGCAATTGTTGTCTCCTTTGGAATATTACAGGGTCTTGTCGGGTTTCTTTTAAACTAAGACATCGCTGCGTTGTCAACGCAGGGGGCTCAAATTCAGTGTCACCTTAGACTGTAGAACTTTACAGTAATCGATAACAGTCTGGTGCAAATGGTGTCCAAATGTATCAAATTTATCAAATGCGATGTCTCAATTCTCCGATGGTAATGGGATCAAGACTATAGGCTCTGTTACCTCCGTGTGACCTCTCTTGCTCCGACTTTCTACTGCGTACACAGTATGGGCACAGTGTAGCCAATCCTATTTCAGACTATTCTGACACGCTGTCTAACTACTTGTACGAACACACCTTTACGATATGATGCGATGTATAGTTATCTCGTATCTTGATCAGCAGGGATGTTCAAAGCCATAGATGCGCGGAATCGCGGACCTCAATACAGCTGAACCATAGAAAATACATTGAGTGCTGACTTGAGCTTGCGAAGCTTCACCGAGTGAGAACTCAGCGGAGTGCCATGGCTAAGACGCACCACTCTAATCAAGTCTGAGCTTGGTATAGATCAGCCCAAAGAGGCACTACTACTGCATGTCCCCCGCCTTCACACCACGCGACGAAATTGAAGACGTTACACTTGTCTCTTCCAAGCTTTCTGCTCAACCTTCGGTCACCGAAAGAAATCCTCATTTTCGAACATAGCGCTCTTATGCCCGACTTAGGCGGCGCCCGCGAAGAGAAGGCACGTGCCACGATGACATCGTATCCGTCTCCACCCGCCACTCAAGCTTCTTTTCTTCACTGGAGGCTGAGAGGGACTGCTTCGCCCCGGCCTGATCCCGCGATAAAACGAGTGCGCGTCGATCATACTCTCCTGCTACCGCCATTCTGCACGCCTTCGACCGAAGAAAATTCAGACTCCCCACCGAAGGCCATGTCTGGCGACTCACGCGACATTGCCATTCGCGATGCGAAACGGTTCGTCCGTGACGTGGTTCGTAATGACTGGGAGTTCGATCCCAATACAAGCGCCGATGCTGCTCGTCCCACTTCATCCTCATCTACTGATTCAACCGGCACCCTCTACCAAAATCGCCAAGTGACCGAATGGCGAAATCGCGAATTTGACAGCTCAGGCTCCGAGCTCGAACCGCAATCGTCGGACGATGATGATTCGGACTCACCCTCCGGTGTGAGAACGGCAGAAACGGCGATTGAGAGGCGGCGCAAACGCCGCCGACAGATGGACGAGGAGATGACATGGAATGAGGGGTTGCGGATGTGGATGGCACAACGGGATGCATGGTCTGGAGCTCGGACACGACGACAAATTCGAGCTAAGGAGCAGAAGCGCAAACTGGAGGAATCTAGCTCCTCAAATCAGGACCAAGCTACTGTCGACAGTGTTGATTCAGGCGTTGATACCAGTGCGGGGAAACCCCCACCCTCAGACCAAAAAGCTCACAGCGAGACCACCGAGGGGTCTGGACTGGCAAACACAACCGAGAGATCCTTGTCTATCTCAGAAAAGGAGAGGCTCGAGGAAGAGCAATCCACCGCTCCAGATGAAGAAAAGCGCAAGGAGTCCACCGAGACCGGCATCACCGAACCTGACGCACATACGTCCAAGGACCCCTCCCACTTGACGACATTCCCGGCCATTGACGACAGCGACCCGGAGGACACCGATGAAGAGCTCGACGAGCCTCTCATTCCTGTCGCGCCTCCATTCATATCCGCCGAAAACCCCATCCGCGCAACCATCGGCCCAGCAATCTACCCATCCATCTACGCCAAGGTGGTCGTGCAGGGCATGACCCCTACTGTACCAGTCAATCTAGCCGACTTGACTAATGCCATGGTACATGGCTGGAAGGCAGACGGACAATGGCCACCCAAGCCAGCCGTCACTTCAATTGTCCTCCAAGACGACGCCTCTGTTCCCAAGACGGCTTCATCTGATAACCCAACCCAGACAAGGCGAAAGAACAGCATCACAAATGCGATGCGCAAGGTCTTTCACAACCCCTTCCACCGACGCGGATCAACCGATGCTGCTTCCGGGCCCGGAACCCCCGGTGCTGTCTAGTATATATTCGGACGAAGAGTTGTCGCTTCAGTGTTCAACTTATCACGATATGTACGGGCTGTTGTCTTTCGCGCAATGCATCTGGCGTCTGCATTCGGGGGGTCTATGTCTTCGGTTTCTCGTTATCTAATTAGGTCGACCTGGGCGTGCGGAGGTTTTGTGTCATACAATTCTTGTGGCTGTTACTATCCCTTGACGATATCATAATTTTGTGCATGGTTCTCTCACACATATTTCTAAAGGAGGTTTCTACGGCCCACACCAGCAGGCCTTGATGATTCTTGACGACTTTATATGAGCATAAATATCTGAAATATCCATTTTGCATTAGTAGTAGTGCGTAGTAGAGGCAGAGCTATACCAAATGTGCAGCGGTTCGTCTGTTTAAATGACTTCCAAAAACCCCTCATCTACATCGATGGCTCATATATGAACAGATGCCGACTATCGTGCCAGAATCGTGGTAAACGAGGAGCCACAGCCCATATTTACGGACTGCCATGGTATGCTTTGTTAGACCCTAGGAGACCAAGCTGGACGACCGAATGCTATATGGCACCCGATCGAGCCAAGTTCAATGTTTCCTGAAACGATCATCGCCATAACCCATCAGTTGAGCCCACTCATGAGTTGAGATCCTGACTGTACCGTCTGGTCGTGCTTTCCAAAGCTCTAAAGCTACCGTCTGTAGAATTTCACTCAGTCGTTGATCTTCCACTTCAACCCCTCGACTAGATGTCCATTCCCTTCTCACAGGGCGTCTTCAACTCGAACAGGGAAGTGTACCTACCTCAAGTATCAGACTTGCCCATCCTTCATTAACCTCGTCAAATCTTCCACCCTCTCCTGCTGTTTACATTCCGATCTCAGCAACACCCACGCCATGTATCCTCGCACGATCATTCACTCCGGTCAATTCAGCCGTATTGTGGATCCAGAATTCCCCAAGAGTCTCAGAATCGGCACCGGACGCCTCATTCCCAGAAGATTCAATCCTCCAAGTACATGGGATTCACCGCAAACGCTCTTCCCACCTACCCGCGGTCGTAACAATACCTTGCCTGTGAATCGCTTCATCAACTCAACCGACCGCAGACAGTTCTTAATCTACACCGGCGGCGCAATTTCGGGAACTACCCAACAACACCCAGAAGGCAGCTGTGCCTTCGTCTTCCAGTCGCCAGACTGCGGGCCTGATGGCTATGCAAGCTTTGCTCTTGAGAGGGAAGGTCCCACTGGCCAAGCTCACCCTGGAACGAAAGTTCGAGCCGAGCTCCGCGCGGTCATTGCAGCTCTTCGATACAAATACTGGATAGAAGAGGGATTCAACAGTCTCGTGATCGCCACTGCCTCCGAATACGTGGTTAAAGGCATCACCGAATGGGTGTCGGTGTGGCTCACAACCAGCTGGAGAACCAGTACATGTGCTGATGTCAAGAATCGTGACCTTTGGGAATGTCTGCTGGGCGAGATTGAGGCGTGGGATGATGAGGGCATGGAGGTTCGGTTCTGGGCTATTCCAAGGGAGTGGAGCACGTGTGCTGACTCTCATGCTAAAGAGGCTCGGCTCAAGAGGCCTCATGAACAGTTTCATGATGTGTAGGGTGTGCGTGTATGAATCGTCTTATGAATGAGATCGAATACCAGACGATGGAGTGAAAGGAAGAAGGAATGATGAACCAAATGATGCACTTATATACTTTAGGGGCGCTTAATTCAGCTTTAATAGGGATTCCGAACAGGAATCCTACTGATGTTACTTTTCTCCAACATTATCAGATAGCGTCCAGATTAACCAATATGAAGTTCATAACCCTTCATTAGTGGTCCATCTGTCTGGACCCCTTATCTTGGAAAGATACAATTAAAGCCGCTATTCTAGCCCCAGGGCTCGGAGAAAATGAAATCGTAGTAATGAGTATAATGCAGCCTTTGAAACGTCCCCCATAATCATAACCACCGGACGCCAGTGCTAAATGCATGCAACAAATTGAAACATAAATCTTTACTGCAAGTGCAGCGATTGAAGACAGTCGTGTAAAGAAGACAAAGTAGACTCATCCATCCGTCCATGAGACTCATGACTCGGCACCTCAAGAGGTGGCAGCAGTCCCAATTGCTCTACAGCATACATGTATTCTGCTGTAGCATCCTCAAATGCTTTTTTCGCAACAGTTTCATTCTCAACCACTGCTGCTATCTCAGCCTCGAGATAAATTTCCTTAGAATCGTGACCGGGCCGGGTGTAGTAGTATTTTCCATTATGGAATGACCAGTTTCGAAGATATAACTGGTGGTCTTCCAAGGCCATGCGGCGAGCTGTGGCCCGTTGCTGAGGCATTTCGACTGTCATAGTGTTCGATAGTGGCTCGGGTGGTGAGAGCTTATCAGAACCTGGACTTGTCGGATCCAAGTATAAGGTCACAGCCATTATAAAGTCTCGGAACCATTGGATGTAGGAGATGAGTTCATCGGCAGCCTCGGTGATACGTTCGATGTAATCGATCAAAGGTAGAGAGGCGGTTATCATCTCGAGGAAGGCGGCGGTTACGGCTAGAACAGCAGGGTCTTTGAACTTAGTTGGCCGGTTGGAAAGTGGCCGAAGTGCTCGATAGGATGACTGGAGAACCACTTCGAAGATCTTCAACAAGGAAGAGACGCAGCTTGGATCTGAAAGGTCAATCTTGAATAGCAAGTCCTTAGAGACAAGTGAGATGCTCAGGATGACAGGACGGGCGAGGAGCCACGCGGCAGGGCTGCTGAATGCTAGTTCGAGGTAGGCTGGGAACATGCATTGCAGCAGAACGGCCCGAAGTGTTGGCTTGTCGGGTCGTCCGGCTTCATAAGTATCTTTCATAGCTGCGTGCAGCTGACCAGCAAGATGATTCTGCTGGCCCTCAACAAGCGCCCTCTCGGTAATGCCTTGGATAAACCCAGTCAGAGTTACAAGTTCCTTGTTCAAATAAAGCTTAGGTTCGTAACGTTTTAATTTCGCAACAATGTACCGTGGGTCGGTGGATGGAAGCGGGAACAGCGCTGGGTCTGTGAAGAAGGGGTCGACGGGCCGTATATCACTCGTGAGCTCTTGGAGGAATCTGATGATTCGATGGACGAACTCGACATAAGCGCCCTGAGCAGACTCAGCGGATCCATTACCGAGCTCACGGTAATTGTCTTTCATGGCTGCCATCACTCGCTGAAGTATTTCAGAATAGTCGTGCTTTGTGACGTTCAAATCTCGACTCATGGACACTTCTAGTCCGAGGATGTGTTCGCGCATGTTCGACAACACGCTTGAAATGAGAGATAATCGTCGCTGGCTCACTTCTTCCAAGATGATTGCATACCGCTCGGTCTTTTTGTCCTTCGTGAATGGAAGGTTTTGGAGCAATGGATCTTGGGTGCTTCCATTCAGAATTGCTTCGGTGAGATGGTGTTGGAATTTGAGCATTGAGGATCGTTCAACCAGAGACGACATCCACATGCTCATGACAATGATTCGACAATCGGAAAGAATTTGCTCATCTTTCTCAATACAAAGTGCCACAAATTGCGGCGCATATTTTCTTGTCTGCAGCGTGTCTCGAAGTCTCGCCCAGGACTCATCTCCGAATTGACTGAGGTAGGTGTCCCAATCTTTGAGTCCATTACGAACTAAAACTTGGGCGATAGATGTCCAGCAATCTAGGGAGCTCTTGAGAATGGCATCATCTGGGCAATGATCGGCACCAAAACAGTTGGAAACTAGGCGGGAAACCACTGGGTGAAGGGTTCTCTGCACATGCTCGATACTTTCACGTGGCGGAGAATTCTGCTGGACCAGCTCCGCATCGATATCGGCCCAGTCGGAATCACCGAAGCCAAATTCTTGGCTATCTTCATCCACAGATGGCAATGCCGCAGATACAGCAGCAGCAGCCGGAGGCAGAACAAGATCATCTTTATGAGTATACGCCACAATCACCTGCAAAGCCTGCGTCACGACAACATTTACTCGCGCAAGTTTTGGGTTGAAGAGACCCATGATAGAATCAAAGGGGGTCTTCGACATCAACCTATGCGCATGGTCCAGGGATGGCGCCAGCTCAATAGCAGTCTGCATTCCACCAAGAGCCATGCTCAACAAGCTTTCGACTTGTCGCTGGTTCTGGGATATAGTGCTCTCGATAAGCTGCTTGGAAACATCGCCCTTATTCTCTGCCTCAGTTTCCTGACGGGCAAGTGCATGCTGTTGCCGAAGCTCGTTCAAGAAGTAGCTGTGCCAGTCGGCGAATGGATCCAGCCCCGCAACATCTTCTTTGGTTGAAAGCTTGAATCGAACAAGCCTTGCCCAAGCACGAAGATTGATGCTGCACGTCTCGATATGAGAATCGGCGGGATGAATGAGGTTGCGAATGCTTTCCAGTCTCGGGCGACACCCGTCAGGAACAGCCCAGTACAGAGTGCAGAGGAGATCGTGGTGGTTTCGCAAAGCATCTAGGTCTTCGTGGTATATAGGCATGTCTTTTGGGTAGACTCGACCGTGGTTGGGTAGGAAACGCCAGGCGATGTTTCGAATTCTTTTGTTGTCGTACCGCTCAGACAAGAAGCGAAGGCCGCTTGCCATGATTTTGAGCAGTGTGTGGAAGCATGGCTCGTTAGGTCGGATTTCCAAGGAAGGTTTCTGGTCGAGCTCATCAAGGAAGGCAGGGGAGCCGTAGCTTTCTTCGAGCTTCAAGTTGTAAAACGTCCTTTGCGCGAAGAAATCGTATAAAGTTTCGAGGGCGGGCCTGCATTCCCTCCAGCCCCACATATTGATCAGACGATGACAACGTTGAAAGAGCGTTCGACAGTAGGCATTGTATGAGATTGGTTGCGCAGCAGAGTTGCTGTCGTAATTGTCTAGCGCTGGGGACAGAAGCCGTTTGACTAAAGTCCAATTGTCGTGGCTTGTTTTGAACCGGGTTTCACGGCGCGCTATACCATGGTGGTCGATCTCATGAAGAGGCATCGGAGTGAACAAGCTGCGCCATGCCATCTCAAGGATGACAATATTTTTGTGGCTGCGAACAATTCTCTTGGTGCAAACCTCGAGTTCAACGTCGTTAAGAATGCTAGTGAACCCATCTGAGCTGTGCAGGAGCTGCTGAACAACAACGTAAGCTTCCGCCGACGGAGACTCCTCATGGATCGCTCTCCCGTATTGCTCTGATGTCTTGATTTCTTCAAACATTTTTTGCAGTTCGGTCACCCCAGTTTCGTCGAAGACTAATACTAGAGTGTCCTTCGCAGAGGTTTTTATCAGATTAAGAGAATCATCGGCGAGAGAAGAGTTGACAAGGCTGTGAGATGCGATCTGACGGATCTGATTTGCAAACACCAGATTGTAGTATGCAAACCGGACCAGGCCAATCTTGTTATAATCGCTGCTGGTGATGAAAGCGGCCATTGGATCCTTGAGTCTGAAAAGCAGCCCAATTGCGCGAATGGCAAAGCCTGTCCGGTCCACAGGGTCGATGAACGACAAATGCTCCGTCACGTACTTGATCAATGATCGATATGCCAGTGATGCAGAAGTCAAGTCAGCCTTGGTACCCGGAGCAGCAGTGGCACTTTTCTCGACGTCCTCGACCATCATATCGAAAACATATTCCAAATCCGAAGAGACTTTCTCGTTCCAGACACCGCATTGTAACGTCCGGTCTCTGATTGGAATTGAAGAAAAGCCAGATTCACGATTCATGTTGCGTTTTGCAACATTCAGTGAGCGGAAAAACTCGCCACTTCCTATGAATGTAGATTCATGGAAGAATGTCCCATCACGCAATGGCAATACCCCAAAATCGACTGAATAAGAGCGTTGCCAATTGAATAGTCCGCCAACACAGAAAGATAAAGGCCGCACAGGTGCTGCAATATTTGAAGGGAATGGATCCAAGTCATCGGAGACTGTTACAATAGCCTCCGGATCTTGAGCAAATTCATATGCATCAAGGTTGAGTTGCTTTGGTGGGCGTTTCTCCAAGCGACCCTTGCGCTGACGGACTTGCGTACTCGGAGCTTTGTTGGTCGCGGTTTCTGGAGCAGTGATAGATGAGGGAGTACCGGCCGGAGATCCCGCAGATACAGGGTCAGTAATATACCGATCAAGAGTCAGACTGGACTTGAATTTCCGGGACGCTTGTTTTTGGTGGCGGAAGTCTCGATTGAGCAGGGTCAGAGAACGACCAAATCCTGCTCGATTTGCAACTTGGCTTTGACCAGGACTCGTTAGGCTGGCCGCAGCAGGACGAGCACCGTTACGCTGGAAAGATGATATGCCAACGTTTCGGCGAACGATCCATTGGTGGCCTTGTCGCTCGGCCTGGGCTGGACGTTTCGCATCTGAGATTCTTTCCTTTGAAAAAACAGGGTCAACAGAATTACCAATTGAGGGGTCGTCTGGTGGAATAACATCCTCGGGGGCTTGAATTGCTTCTGCCACAGCAAAGTGATTTGAAATTCGAGAGGTTCGAGCAGTTAGTCCAGCTCCGCGAACACCCGTCGATGGGTTTGCGATTGACTGGCTTTTGCGAGGCTTGGATTGAGGACGAGCAATTTTGCTTTGTTTGATTGCTCCTTTTCTCCAGTCTCGCAGGAATTCATTCGCATCTGCAGTCTCAACTCTCGATCCAAGTTGAAAGAACTTACGCGTTGGACTTTGTCTTCCCCTGTCTTGGCGCAAACGAGCTTTTCTAGCAGCGACCCTGAGGAATTGGGGTTGCTCTGTGCGAGGTTTAGATGCCACATCAGGGGCATCCAAAATTCCCAATCTGGGCACTGAAGTTGTACGTTTCTTTTCTGTTCGACGTCCTCCGTATGAGGCATCGGTGAGTCTGGTTTGTCGTTTTAAACGAGCTTTCTTCAACCGCCTCTCCGTCTGACGGGAGTCTTCTTTGGAATGCGCTCGTTTCAAGCTCTTTCGCTTCTCACGAGGCCCGCGAGCAATAGTCGGAAGCATATAGTCGATTCGGTTGTCCTCAAGAGCATCTCCATCTCGGTCAAATTCCATGGACATGTCTGCTCGCTGGTCGGCGCCTTCTTCGATATTGTGGCTGATTGGAGGCTGATTCTCTTCATCACTTTCAGAGTCTGCGAGGTCAATGAGGCCTTGCTGCAGTCTTGACTGTCCTGAATGTAATTTTCGAACGATTTTCTGGGCAACACCTTTGCCATCTGGTCGTTGGGCAGCATGTCGGGTTTGTTGAGTACCCTTCTGTTGCTTGAGCCTCTGTTCTGCATCGATACGGACCCAAGAAGCAGGAAGAACACCCCGAATGCGTCGCTGCATAAGACGGTTTACACGATCTTCGTTACTTCCCTCAGGTTCCGCAGAGCTATGAGAATCATCGGACTCCTCCGATTCGTCAGAATCGACGAGCAGGCCAGACTCGCCCTCTGCGGTGGGTTCATCAATCACTGGTGATGCTGAATACGAATCGACGGCACCAGACATAGTCGGCGGTACTATAAATCCCGTAGGGAAGCGGAAACCCTCTATTGCACGAGGGGTCCTCGAACCTGGCGAATCTGGCGGACTGGATGGAATATCGAAGAAAGAAAGGTCGACGCCGCTCGCGGGTGTGCGATTTTGAATCACCACTTGCGGCCTAGCTTGAGCCTCTGAGCGATGCCTATTACTTGGCGAAGTCAATCTGTGAGACTTCTTCCGTCGTTTGTGAGACTGTGTTCGCTGGAGCAGAGAGACTTGCTTCTCACGATTTCGGATTTCTTGACCTGATGAATCTCGTTCTCTCTGTCGTTCGGTTCTGAGAAATTCTTCTGGCGGCGGACTGGACTGAAGTACATCGGGGTTGAAAGCATCTTGCTCCTGGCTCTCATCTGTGGCTTCTTGGGCTTGTGTTTTGGATGCTTCTGCGGGTGGTCGAATTGGCCTCATACCTCGTTCTCTCATTTGTCGTTGATATTTGGCAAGCTCGAGGGCATAGGGGTGCAGCTGGATTGCATTTCGCTCCCGGAAAGACCTGCGCGCTGGCTGAGAAAATTTTTGTAATTGTTCTAGTGGGACATCAATCTTTGCCAGGCCCTGGTCTATAACCTTCGGTGACGGAATTGTTGAGACTCTGTCCTCCACATCTGGCTCCTCTCCGGATGGAGGTTGGGGAGATGCCGGGGGCGATGATAATGGAGAATCATCCGAATCATCTTTCGAGGGTTCTTCTTGAACCTTGAAATGTTCGATACGCTGTGGTGGTCTCGGCGGTGGCTCTGTAACCACGTTTAATTCATCGGGCGAAGAGCTCCGGGATGATAGTGCATCTATCTGCTCTGGCCGATTTTGTGGTTCCTTCGCATGAGGTCGTAGTGCAATTTTAGAGGGCGAATGTGGTTTGGGCGTAAAAGATATTGGCGTGGACTCATGGCTTCGTGATTTACCTCCAGACCTGGCTCCTAGTACCGGTGAACTAGGAATATCCCATATCCTATCGTTTTCGTTTTTCGGTGTGGATTGCGGTTCTCTGATAAGGGAGCTCGGCGTTCGTGTTGACGATGTATGTCTCCCATATGTTCTGCGCGCTCTTCGTGGTTTTGGCGTTTGTTCTCCCAGGGACGGGCTTACTGGGCGATCCTTTGCTATCATGCTGGCCGGTGAAGGTTCTGTGTTCGGCTTGCACGAATGGTCATCATTGGCTGTGGGAGTCGCGTCCCGTCCACGCTTGCTTTCTTCGGAGACGTCGTTGGGATCTCCAATATCCGAAAGCGTTATCGAGTCGTTGTCATTGTTGATGTCGGGCTGCTCGTCCACAGCTTCTTTCCCTCCCGAGGTCAAAATCGATGTGGGTAGATGGATATATTCGAGATCGACCACATTGTCGGTATCCTCTGCGTCGTCGATAGAGGCATTTCGTGTATCCAAAGAGTCGAATTCGTCTTCTTCATCGGAGTCCGGGACAAACCCTCGTTTCCGCCATGGTTCCGTGGACATTCTTGGCGGGGCTCGCCCATGTCTCTAGAGTGTCATCGAGTCTTGTTGAGAGATAAACAATGTCAACCCATAACCTTCAAAACAATTGAGTCGTTGTGCCAGACTTGACGTGTGGTAGACGCGTTCGAGAAGTGAATAATTTGGCGACGCGCCGATAAACGATAACGCTCCGCATCTCCGAATCCACTTTAACTTCTTCCGACACTTCATTCCCCAGCACTCGAAGCTTGCATCTGCCAAAATGAGTCGCAATTTCTTTCCCGTTGTGATGGCAATCGGAGTCGGTGTATTTACTGGTATTTATCACTTTCCCCTTGGTCACGGCTAGAGTCGCTCGGTGCTAACGTTACTTTGTCTCCGCAGGTTACTACACCTTCCAACCAACCTTTCAACAGCTTGCGGCTGAGAAACCCCCCAGTGTTCAGTCTTCCAACCCTGCTGGTTCATCTGATAAGGCCACTGGAGCTCCCACTTCTGGAGCTCTGCCATCTGCTACTAAGCCCGAGGCCGAGAAGAATCAATAACGTTGATGACGTTTGCCATGGGGGATCCAGAAAGATTGGCCATTTTCGCGAATTGTCCCGGGAAGAGAGTACAACTACTGAAGCCTCACTTGGGGGTCTAAAAAACATGGTTCACATCGGGACATATCGCACTTTTGGGCGTTTGGGGGTCTCTCAAATCCACGCGCGAGATTGCCAAAGCTGCGCGGGCGCAGAAGCTCTTCGGACTGGCTTCCTGGATTTAATCGCCCTTTTGCGACCTCTCTAGGATTCCAGAGGGCCATGGCGCGCACTGGATCATGTACAATAGACAAATAACGACCGCACCGTTGATATTCTTGAAATGTAAATTTTGCTCTTTGGGCTTGAAGAAACCCAAGTTGATAGATGTAACGCCATGCCTTAACTAGTACAGAAGAAGCCGAGACAACCAGCCGGTCTTCGGATATAATCCAGTCCATTCCCAACCCAGATAGCCACCCAATGCGCCTCGAACCGGTGCAATATGTTTGCAGTATGCTTTTATACCTCCTCAACCATCTTACCGGTTGGAGCTGCGAGAGGAGCGCCAAACACACGGCCGGCCGGAGTGCCGAGCCATTCCTCGGGTACGCCGACTTTGCAGCCCTTCGTGCCGCTGACCCATCGGACCATGAGAGGATCGGCTTTCTCAGGCTCACGGGCCTCTTGGTCGCCGGGAGTGGTGTCGTTGGCGTCCGCAGCGACGGCGGCACCTCGGCCACGCCGTTTCGGGGGCTGTTTTCGGAGCAGACGGTTGATCGTATCCATCTATATAAGGTCAGAGATCAAGTTCCCAATCGGCCGTGTATCCAGCTATGAATGGTGTGAAGCTGGCACCGGTCATGATTTACCTTTTCTTCTTCATTTCGCTTCTCACTCAAGTTCTTTCGTCGGCGCGCCATTTCAGCTCGTCGCATAATACGTTCCTCAGCTGTCAGGTGTTTCTTGACTTGAGGTTCTATTCACCCGTTAGCATCCTGTTGAGATTTAGCAGCAGAAAATGCTTACCCATAGGGAGCTGGAGGAAATCGTCGCCCAAGTTCCCTCTTTGACGCTTGGTCTGTTTGCCGCCATCAAGTGCAAGTGCATCACTGTCAAGCTCGTCGTCCAACTCGTCTTCCTCGTCCTCTTCATCCAGATCGTCGACGTTGACATCCGGAACCGCGCTCTCGTCCATGTCGTCGGGCTCGCCTTCGGCGTCGGATTCGGTATCTGAGACGTTGCCGTCCTCTTCCTCTTCGTCCTCTTCTTCGTCTTCCTCATCTTCTAGCTCCATCTCCTTGGCTTCCACGCTTTTGACATTCTTGCCACGAGCTGGTGCTGCCACTTTGGCATTCCGCCTAGCTGGCGGTTGGGGTGGGGCATCATCCATATTCACGTCGCCATCGGCATCGGCATCTTCATCATCTTCACCGGGAGCATCTTCGTCTTCGACTTCGTCTTCCTCTTGATCTTCAATATCCTCGTCGTCACTCGAAGGAACCTCGACAACCTTCTTTCTGTTTCGACTAGAACGAGGCCCCGAGACGATAGGGTCCTCTTGGAAGACATTGACCGAGCGCCGGCCAGGACGGCCGCCGGTGGCTTCGCGCATTTTACCAGCGGGCATCTTTACTGTGAGACGGAGGCTTCTGCCCGGTTCGCCAGATGAGTGAGACTGAGAACGGGAGATAGTAATTGAGGCTGAAGCAGCAGTAGCACGATTTCGCCTGTTGGATCTGGTGACGATATTAGTTTCTGGCTCTGGAGGCGTTTCACGTGAAGCTCGCGATCGCATAGAGCGACGTAGTTCCACCATGGCGACGATAATGACAATGAAGCAATGAGAGTGGGGAATAGAAAGAACGGAAAGTGCATTCGAAGCCTGGGGGAAGAGGGCGGGGTGAACGTGAATGCCGATGAGCAAGTGTGTGGCAGTACAGACTGCTCTTGCCAGCCCGGAGAGGGAAAAAGCCCAGCTCCCACGAGGACCCAATCGCAGTAATTGGGGCCTCAAAGCAGTGCAAACGGGAAGGATACAGGACCGGCATGTTTCAGGCGCCACCGATGAGCTCGTAACCTTTGCGAACAAAGCGCAGGTTACAGGGGATCTGGGGTGTCTCCTGTCGTGTTCCCCGGGCTCTTCGTTACGGGGAGATGTAGGGTCCAGGTGGATGCATGGCGACAAAGAGATACAGGGGATCCCAGTTGAGGGCCAATCGGGGTCAAACTCACCAGTATTTTGCAAAAGGGTTTCAATGTCCTGGAGTTTTGTCGCTGGCGCCGAACGAATGAAGTAACCATCCCATTCTGCCGGGCGGTGGCTGGTGGCTGTATACGCGATAAGGGCAACAGAGACGAATTATTTCCTTACGTACCCTAGTTATAGACTGGGAATGGTCATGTCCGTTTAAAAAGCCATGTCTAACTGAGCTTGAATACTTACAGCTAATTAGTCTGATCGGTACTATCTCTATCCAATGACTGCTGGGTCTCACTGAGTCTTACTGTACTACCAATTGATGAAAAGGCTTGACGGGATGATTTAAGTCTGACTGAAAGATAGGTAGGCACTAATAGACGACCTTGGTCAGGTCATTCTAATAGACTACGTTTAATCTGACAATTGTTGTATAGGTTGGTGACATCAATCGGGGCGAGCCGAGTCAGTGCAACAGCCGAGGTCGGCTCACATGGACCCAAAGTCACCCAAGTCCGGGGAAGTTCCTCTTCTCTCCAACTTACACTTCCTGTGACAAGTCAGGGCCAGACACAAGTAAAATGTCAGACCCATCATCCAAGCCAACTTCCATTCCCTCGTGGCAACGGTCAGGGTCTGCGCCAGACCAGGCACCCTTGTCCTCGTCGCCGAGCTCCGATAATGCGCCCGCATCCACTTCACGTCAAGACCTGGTCGAGTCAGCGTCCAGATTCCTCGAGGACGAATCAATCCGTGATGCTCCAACAGATCGCAAGGTCTCTTTTCTCGAATCTAAAGGGTTGAACTCAGACGAGATTCAACAGCTTCTCGGCGTCTCCCGAAACCCAGAGGCGACCAGCAGCACCGTGACTGCAGCCGAGGATCAGGGTTCAGAAGCACCACCAGCCTCATCTTCCTCCGACCAGCCCGAAGTCACTTCTTCTACACTTTCCACTCCTGTCACTTCGTCATCGACCTCCAACACCATGTCTCAACCGCGCTCCACGACCACCGCAACCGCCCCCTCCGCACCACGCGATCAGCCTCCGATCATCACCTACCCCGAATTCCTCTTCGAGCCTGCCAAACAGCCCCCGCTGGTAACAATGAGCAATATCCTATACACAATCTACGGCGCCGCAGGTCTCGGCGCCACCATATACGGCGCGAGCGAGTATTTGATTAAACCAATGATTGCAAACCTCACCAGCGCACGACACGATCTCGCTGTCACAGCGCAAGAGAACTTGAAAACGTTGAACGAGAAGCTCGAAGCAAGTGTCTCTGTCATTCCCGCCCAGTTAACCGCACGCAAGATCGCATCTGATGAGGAAGATATGTCCAATGAAGACGGAGACTCGGTCACCTCCGATCCTACAGAACTCTTCCACCGAGACATGGGAACCCAGACAACACCAGACATTACTCCATCACCCGCTCTAGAGGCAAAGGATGAGAACAGTCCGCTGGATGCGCCGGTCGAAGCCGTGAACAACCACATAAGCCGCTTGGCCTCGATTCAATCTCAGCTCAAAGAGATCACCGAGTTTGAGAAAGATGCGAGTAACGTCGACGATATGGCGCGTGCCACTTTGTCTGATCTTCACCACTATCTTGACGGATTGATCTATGCTGCGCCTACATACTCTTCCTCCACGCCCAACTTTGGTCTGTACACTGGCAATGTGAGCTCGGACAGCAGATCGACTGGTGTACGTAAGGCAGAGGATGACGCTATTGCCAGCTTCAAGGCGGATATTCGTGGTGTCAAGGGTGCTTTGCTGAGTGCCCGGAACTTCCCTGCGAGCCGAGGTGGCAGACTTGCTGGCGTCCGGTGATGTCTTCACAGCTAGCGAAGTATCGGCTTTTGCAATGTAAATTGTTTGTACATAAAGATTCCTTTTGATACCAAGACATTTCTCCCAGGGTTAAATAACATATTACTATGCACAAAGCTATTGTTCTCCACCGATGATAAGGGGAAGAAGAAATTCGATGGTATCTGCATAAAGATTTATCCAATGTCCGGCAGCACTTTCTTCAAATTAGAGACCATCATAGCAGAGTAATGATACAAAAGCATATCGTTTTACTCCGGCACAACGGCAGCCCAGTCATGCTCGGTGCAGCCCTACATAATGTCGTACAGCAATTTCTTGAGCTTTCCAGTCACCTCGCTGGGTCCGCCATCTGATCCCATGGAAACGTCGATAAGCTTGTCCCGGTGTTAAATTGCCGAAACGGGACAAATCAACCACTGCAAGACGAGTGAGTCAATGTTAGGTCACGCATAGTAGGAAGCACGTACAGCTGTATCCGCAGAAAAAGCCTTCGGAAGCCGGTCCTCAGAAGCCGCCTCGGCCAAATCATCGATGGTGAATTTACGCTCAGTAACCTCAATCTGTCCCTCAAGCCGCTCTTTAACCAGTTCAAGCAACCCCGCCGTATCACGCCATCAAAAATCAACCGATCATCCAAAGGCGCAGCGAGAAGCTCCGTATCTCCATCCTTGCGTTTCCAAACCACGAAGAAGTTACTTCCACCTGCCTCCGTGCATTTACCCTGATCCCCATAGAGCCAAAGAATCTGATGGAATCCCTGCCTTGCAGCCTCTTGACTAGCAGCAACAGACGGCCCATAGTTGGCACCTACCTTTGCATGCCCCAATCCACCAACCCAAGAGCGAACTATATCGTCCGGGGATGTAAGAAGGCCTTTTCCACCAGCAGGCATCTCAGTAGGTCCGCAAATTCGATAATGATATATAAGGTAGCTTCCTTTGGCCCACGGTTTAGCCCGGGGGAATTCAGTCCCGAGAGAAGAAGGATAAGCTTTTTAACGCGCCAAGGATAAGGAATAGCTATGGAATTTACAGTGATGTCCACTTAGCATTATATTGCAAGATCCTACATATTCCTGCCTCGATTCTGTATCGTCTCAAATCCAAAAATTTCATACTCAGCTTATTTTTACAAACAGTATACGCCCTATTGATCTGAATGCCCCCCAGGCTCCATAGAGAAATGATTCTGCCTGTAATGATTCCGCCGAAAGTTGGAAATCCACTCAGGGTTATCGGCAAACGTCTGATTCCAAGGATCGTCTGAATCGTAAAGAACCCGTCTAGCTTCCCGCTGGAACATTTCATCCGTGGGTATGATACCCTGACTCATATTTTGCCGAGCGAACTGGCCAAGGTGCATAGTAACAACTTCTAAGAAAGTGTTCAGAGGAACGTTATTGGTTTGCAACTGTTCAAGAGAACTAGTCAACATAGCCGTGCTTTCATCTTTCTCCTGAAGCTCGCTCTCTTTCGGACTCCCCTCCGCCCGAATATTTGCTCCATCTGCTCGCGAGGAGATCTGAGCAAGGTGGTCTTTGCTGTTGGAATTCGTGGCTGAGAAGGGTACCATTGAAATGGACTCGGATGCAAGAAGATACGGCGGTACCGCGTTCATCACTTGTGCGGCAATACTCGGCTCAAAGTCGTGATCTCCATGCCAATGGCGCATTGTCAGTCCTTTCTTAAAGTGCGCCGCCAGGTGCTCAACACGTTCCTCCCAGCTTTCGAGGCGATGATCACAGAAGCCGCAACGAGAGGTCACTTCGACAGAGCCAGTCTTCCATTCATCGAGGACTGGTAATTTATCAAGCCGATGAGCTAATCGGAGATGCTGAACAAGATGGTCCTTTCTCCGGAAAGTGCGCCGTGTTCTCGAGCACGGACCGTAGTTATGTTCGTCAAGATGTTCCAAAGAGGGCTCCAGGCAATAGCAAAAGACGCAATGTTGCCTTCCAGTCAATGGGGAAATTGGAAATCCTCCATGTGGAGCGCAGACCCAACCTTCCAAATTTAGATGAAGGGATTTCTCATGACGGACCCAATCGTATTTGCTCTTGAATTTATCGCAGCAAAAAGTGCAACAGAACGGTCGATTTGTGTCATCTTTAGCCGCCGTTCTTCTTTTTCCGGTCTTTCGAACTCGATTTTGATTGCGGCGTTGCGTTTTTTGTGATTCTTGCGTTGCTGATGATGCCTCAGATCTAGTTGAGCGAATTGATTGATGGGAGGAAAAGCTGGTGTCACTATTGGAGCTGGCCAGTGAGGCAGGTCGTCGATAACCATTAAAGGCGCCGTGGCTCCCGATTTTCATATCTCTCCGCTCTGATGACCTTAAAGCACTGATGATCGCAGACCTGGAGGCTGGCTCGTCCTCCGGAGGGGACTCTTGCCACCGCTGCATGGGGTTCAGGTCACTGTCGGCCTGACTTGGAATGAAGATGGGAGACCCAGAGCTCTGGGAAGATCTGATCAGATATCGACTTCGTCTTCTAGGAAGACCTGTATTGGGGGCTGCATTTGGCACAGGGAAGTTCGGTCCGGCATGCTCAAGATGTGCACGATGGATAGACTCAGTCAAATGGTTCATCGAATCCAAATACGAGTGTTGAGAATGTAAATCGGTCTCGGTGGGGAGAGCTAGTGGAACATCCGCCTGTGAGGCGAAGAGTCCGCTGTTCACCGCTGGAAATGACTGCCTCTCATGGGGATCGATAGTCTCATCATTGTTGAAGGAGGTGGTGACATTCCGTTCCCACGGGATCTCGAAGAAACCAGGGTCATATATGTAGTTTGAAGACTCATTTTGTTGCGTGGAGAGTCTTTGAAATGATGTATTGAAATGAGCAGTTGAATCCAACTGCTCCGGGAATGCTTTGGCCAAATTCAATCCCAGTGGTTGGAAGACTGGATCGGATGGATCATTGCCTGGAGAAAGATTAGATCATGGGTTCATTAATCATTTTCCAGTATGTGAATTAGTGGCGCACCCGAGGAAAAATTAAATGGCGAGCCACCCGAGCGCGGCATCTGCTCCATGCCCCAATGGCACGACAACCCACTGTGTGGGCTACGTTCAAGGGTAAGGAGTCGATTGATTTGAAGTAGCAGGCAGGAGGTGAAGTCAAGTGCCGGACGGTGCCGTACGGTGACTTGACTCACGCGGGTGGGGGGTTCCATGGTTCATGCCGGGTGAGCTCTGGGTCTACTGGAAGCTAAATTCTAGCTCTCTAAAAGTTGGACCAAGGAGAGGATTTGGAGGCTTCGGAATATGCGGCCATTGTTTTATATTTTTAATTCATCTTCCCGGGGATATCAAAAAGGTGCTTCAATGCTTCAATTCTTCAATGGAAATGATCAAAAAAAGTCTATGATTATACTTAGCGTCATTCCTAGGAACTTGAGAAGCACTACGAACAATGTCTCCAGGTCCCCGTGGATCATCTCCTTGGTCGGCCTATACACCCATGGACGTTACCTATGATCAATCTACTTGTTCATTTCATAGCACGTCTATCTGACACTCTAATCCATTCCAAGCCCAGGTATCCGTGTTATGAAACATTGGGAATTTTTCTTTTCTCATGACAGTAATTGATCAGACTAGACCCCCCGGGGAGGACGCAAAAAAGGAAATACGCAGGCATTAATAGTAAAATGAACAAGAACCAAAATCTAGGCCGTCATATCGGAACCTCAATCAATCTCCGTCTCAATCCTCTCTATCGAGAGACAGCTAAGCATCAAGTCCTAGTTCGGGGAGAGCTTCACGGGGTAGCTTTGCTCATGCTAATCAGACGCTTGACACCAACCTTCGCTATAGTTAGTATTGTAAATCGAAGAACGATTAGACAGAAGAACTCACCATCCAGTTACCGCACTCGTCGGTTCGATTGGTCATGATGTCAACGTGGATACTGCGGGCCGTCTCATAGTCGCGGTTCTGAATGGCGCGGGATAAGTTGGCCATGTCCTCGATGGTGTTGGGCTTGAGCAGGTCCTCGTTGTTCAAGTGGTCAAAGAGGAGACTCAAGCGACGCTCGGCATCATCAACCTGGGCCTTGAAGGAGGTCGGGGCCCGAGCCTTGACGCGCTCCATGTCGGCTGAGAGGATCTCGAAGACCGGCATGGCGTTCGCCGGGATATGAGAGCGGTCACCAGGGGCTACGAACAGTCAGCGATTTTTTGTCCTTTCACTTGGGCTTAGCAAGAAAAACTTACGGTACTTGGGGGTCGAGGGGGGAGGTGCCCGTTGAGAGGTCGCCGTGGGAGGGCGAGATCCCTGTAGGGGAGCTCCTTGGGGCGGAGGCGGGACCTGCGCAGCCATAGGAGGGGGCTGCATGCCCATGGGAGGAGGTTGCATGGCAGCACCCGGGCTAGGCGCATATGGGTTGGCGGCTGGAGGCTGGGCTGCTTGTTGAGGGGCATACATCGACGGAGCCCCTTGAGGAGGAGGTGCTACAGGGGCGCGAGTTTGCATTTGCGGGCTTGCAGCCTGAGCAGCCGGGCTTGGCGCGTACCGGTTGGTAGGCGGGGGCATGCTAGGCGGGGCATTGTATGGCGAAGGACCCCTGGGGATTGAGGCCTGAGGAGGAGCCATACCCGAACCCATTGACGGGGACTGGGGGAGAGAGGCATAGGGGTTGACAGGCGGCGGCGGCGAAGGTCCAGGTGCCATGCTCGATGCTAAGGGAGATGTCACGCGCGGGGGTAGTGACCCAGCCTTGGGAGGAGGAGGAACAGAAGGTGCTCGTTGAGGCGGCCCTGTGGGCGGGAGAGGGCCTTGGGCCATAGGAGGTGATTGCTGGTTGGCAAACGGAGAGCTGATGGCCGCGGCTGCACCAGGAGTGCTGCGACGAGACATGGGAGCCTTGGCAAAGCCCTCGGGGAGATCGTTCCATGCAGGGAGACCAGTGGCCGTGGTGTAGGTCGTTACCTGGCGAGCGGGTGACTGAGTTCCGGCACGAGGGGGAGGGGGAACACCAGCTGGTGCGGTCGGTCCCCCGAATGGAGTCGAGGGAGCGTACGCCGGCGCTCTCATGCCCTGAGTCGGCTGGTATCCGGTGTTGGGCTGGTAGCCAGCTCCACCAGAGGGAATCGAGGCGTAAGGATTAGCGGGCTGAGCCGGCGCGGCATTCAAGGGAGCATAAGCATTCACCGGCGGCTGCGGAGCAGCAGCAGGGGTGATAGGTGCGTAAGGTGCAGGAATCGCAGGAGCCGCAGGGCTGAAAGTTTGCGTAGGCTGGTAAAAGTTGGGCTGAGTGGGCAGAGGCTTGAAGTTGCCAGGTCTCGCGGTGGCAGTGGCCTGTGCCTTCTGGGGGGCCTGTCTCATAGCGAGCTTGATGCGATTACGAGCAACCTCGGCCTCGGGGTGCTTCTCGGGCACGAGATCAAGATACTTCTGAGCAATTTGAAGACGGCCGTGGGTGGCCACAACGTCAGCGTACTCAATATACTTATCGTACAAGGTACCGAGGCGCCAGTCGGAGTCCTTGGTGCGTTCCGTATCCTGGAACTTGGTGACTTGGCGGAAAATGGTAACCTTCTCGATCAGGCCCTGCAAAGCACGAACGTGGATAGAGAAGGTCGAGTTATCCGCATCGGTCTCGATTCCTCGCTGCTCGTTCTCGCGCAGTTCCTCAACCCAGATAGCCACGACCTTTTCGAGCTTGGAGCCAGCCAAGAAGCAGAATGATGCATCCTTGCGAGCAGTCTTGTCATCAGTGTTGCGAACCTGCTCCTCAAGACGGTCACCGAGAGCATCACACAGATCGGGGAATTCCTTCTCGTCGGCGAAAGTGCACAGAGCAGCCATGACCTCCTTCCAGCTGGAAAGATCAGCGTTGTGCACAACATCCCATAGGTTCTTGCCCACAATGGAAGCGAGGAGTCGCATATAATTGGGACCACCGGACTGCTTGGTGAAATAATACTCCTGGGCCTTCTCAATGCACTTCTGACCACCACAGATGGCAATCATGAAGGCATCAGACATGCGGTCCTCCTGGAGAGCGACATCGAGAGCTTTGTCGAACTCTCCGAGAAGCAATGCCCGGGTAATCTTCTGCTCAGCCTCGCTTTCGGAACCATTGAAGATCTGGAAGGGGTTGTTGGTCTGCGCACCCTTCGAAGCAGCAAGTTCTGAAAGGAAATCGTCACTGTCGGGGGTTGCATCAAACATGGATTGCAAACGCTTGTGCTTCTTGGCATTCGACTTGGGCTTCTCTGTCGGTTCGGGGGTCTCATCGTCATCCTTCTTATCAAGACCAAGCTTAGACAAGGTATCGGCGGCCTCATCAGCCGAGTCTTGGAAGCCAAGATACTCCACCAGGCCCTTGCGGGGGTTATCAGAGAGCAAAGCCTGCATAACCTTCCACTCAGACTTCTCTTCCTCGCTGGAAGCGCCAGCCGCGCGAGTCTCGCAGAGACTGCGAAGGTCACCCTCCTTCAAAGCGTTCTCAAAGCTCTCAGTAGCATTGCCGACGCTCTCATCAACTTCGAAAGGAGTTATCCTGACCTTCGATACGCGGGAATCCTTCTCGGAGACACCGAGAGAGACGACGCGGCCACCAAATCCAAAGGAGGCGGCACAGGGCCGCTCGAGCCAGCGAGGAGGCTTCGGGAGGGAGAACTTAGAGACTTGGGGCTGTGTCTGAGCCTTGGCGAAGAAGTCCTCGCCATCAAGGTTCTGGTTTTGGTCGGCAATCGCCTGCGCGTCATCGGTCTTGGTGTTCTGGAGAGTCTGCACCGAAATCTTTCCATCGAACGAAGCGGTGGCGAAGAAGTTGGGGTTGTGAGGGTTCCAGCGAGTCTGGAAGGTCCAGTTTGTGACAACGGGGAACTCGCCGTAAGGAGTACCGGTCTGCGGGTTCCAACAAATGTTGCGGTTGTCTTTGCCGGAAGACAGCAGGAGATCGGGGTCGTGCTCGCACCAAGCAAGTGACAACACTCCGGATTCGTGGCCCTTGAGAGTCCTCTCCGGAGCGTGCGAGTTTCGCAGGTCCCAAACGTAGATCATGGGGTCCGACTCAAGAGGAGTCGCAGTGATCAGCTTGGTGGGCTTCTCAGGGTCCCATGCAACAGCGCTGACAGCCTTACGGCCCATGTTGTTGAGGGTCAAGCTCTCCTTCTTCGTCTTGACATCCCAGACAGTCACGAAACCGGCGCTGCTACCCGTTACCAAAATATGAGCGACCTTCTTGTTCCAGTCCAAGCATTCAATATCGTCTGTGCGAGCCGCGTTGGTACCCAATCGGAACGGGTTTTCGATATTGTTCAGATCGGAGATGAAGAGCTCGCCCTTCGCACCACCAGTGGCCAGGAGGTTGGAGTGTTTAGGGTTGAATTGGAGGGCCTTAATAGCGCCGGAGTGTTTCGATGTTCTCGAGATCAGCGATTCACTTTAATACATTAGCCATTGTACCTATGTATATTGTTTAGGTGGAATTTTGCGCACCTGGAGTTGGCAAGCAGCTTATCGGCGTTCCACAGGTCCAAAGAACCATTCTCCAATCCACCAGCAATAACACCACGTTTTGTATCGTCAAACTCTGTCCAAGCCAAGTCGTTGAAGCTAGGCACATCCGTCAGTACAATCGATCATCACAAAGTTTCAATATCGGCACCATACCCCGAGTCGGTGTCGAGCTTAGCTATAGGCTGCAGCTCTTCGCTCGCATCCTGGCGATCCAGACCTAGATCCCAGAGCTCAAGACATGTTTTGTTGGAAAAATCGACATCGACGGCACCTGCGCGAGTTCCAGTGGCGATCAATGGCGATGCAGCCCCAGGAGACCAGGCGAAGGTGGCCGTCCTTGGGATCTCCCTCAGACGGACCATGATGAAGAAGAGGGGTATATGTGAAGGAGATGAAGCCGGTCGAGGCACGGGTCTAAGAAAACACAATCAAATCCCACCCCTGTACAAGAAATTGACAATGGGGGGCGTGCAGCTCAGAGTAAACCAAGTGGCCTCCTGGACTTGGAGGGACCGGGGAACCCGCGCTAAACCCAATGTGGTACTCGCCAAAACACCCCCGAGGCTTGTCGCACGTGATATCAGTTTCTCTTCCTCCAGCAGAGCTACGGACGAGCAACAATCCACGCCCAGAACACGTTGACCCTTGATTCAACGAGCTGTCCATATCCGAACTTGGATATATCTATGCGATCGCTTCTATTCGCACCGATTTAAAATACGATTCGAGCTCAATTTACAGCAAAGTCTCCACCATGAGTGAAAGCGCACGCCTAAAGAGCACAGTCTACGTGGGCGGTCTGGACCAGGCCGTGACAGCACAGACACTGGCAGAGGCATTCGTACCTTTCGGTGAAATTGTCGACATCTCTCTCCCTAAGCCAGAGGCACCCAACTCCTCCGAGGTCCATCGCGGCTTCGGATACGTCGAGTTCGATCTCCCCCAAGATGCCAAAGAAGCCATCGACAACATGGATGGCAGTGAGCTGTACGGCCGCACAATCAAGGTTGCCGCCGCCAAACCACAAAAGGACGCCAACGAGGGACTGGGCAGCAAGACTGCAATCTGGGAGCAGGTACGTCTGAACTAATCTTGCTATCTGTCGCATTACGACTAACCATACATCGCAATACAGGAGGGTTACCTGGCCAAGTACGCCGTCAGCGACGAGGACCGCCAAGTCACCGCAGAAACCAAGGCCGAGGGCAACCGCCCACAAGACCCGATGCAGGGCTTGGAACAGCTCGACGTTGCCGGGCCGAAGCCCGAATAATGTATACTATTACGAAGGCCACGATAATAATGAAAGACCACGAACGTCCTTTTTTGCCGAAATACGTGAAACAAGGCAGTCCCCTAGACGAGCCGGACTATATACATAGACGCCGGTACCGAACACGTCTTCTTCCCTGATGCGCTCAATTGCATTTTCTCTCGGCTTCCAATCTGTCTGAAAACAATACAAGCGGCAAGGATTCAATTAAGAAACTTGGAATCGCATTCTCGGAGCTTAAAGAAACATAATGATGGTACATTTAGTGCTCACGGCTCTCGGGGCTGTTGCGGTAGAGACGGAGAGTCTTGTCGGACATGAGCTTCTTGCTGCTGGCGTAGACGGCGGCACCGATGGCGACACTGCAGATATTGAGTCAGCATGGACAATGAGGAATGCTCAGTTTGATTGAGGGTAGACGGGGTGGCCGATCAAGAAATCTCGTGCATATCATGCGCGGATCGATCGGGGATGGGAGATCAGATAGAAACGTACCCAAGGACGATGCCTAATAACATAAAATGGTTAGATCTTGGATTTGTTATGTGTAGTTCCATGGTAGAGGACATACCGAGAGGGATCAACTCCGGGGGAACCTTGCGGAGCTGGCGCAGGCGCTGGGAGATGGTGTGGGCTAGAAACACGTTAGTTCAATGGCTCTCTCTCTCTCTCTCTCTCTCTTTTTTTTTCTCTCTCCCGCTTGAATTCAAGGCAGGCGTATCAATGGCTTGTAGCGTGGTGGTAACCAAGGGGTAGTCGTACCGCTGTGAGCCTCCTTCTGTAGGGAAATTAGCCTTAACCGAACCGAATCGTATGATCACCGACCACACCCGATAAGGGGCAAAAGAGAACTTACAGGAGCCGGGCTGTAGAAGGCCCGCGAGGGCTGCATCTGGAAGACGCGGGTGGGAAACATGGTGGTGGATGGAGGGGAGTTGGAAGGTGGAGAGAAGAGGGAAGACGAGAACTTGGAGGTTAGCTTTCCCAGAGCGGGCTGTGACTGGCTCGGGTGGTTTTGGGAAAAGCAGCGATGCTCAGTGGCTCTCGCTTGACCGCCCGCGGTCACACCCGGCTCTTCACAGCTTCCATCACCCAACGTCTCATCTTGTACCTTCGCTCTAACCTCTCCCCTCTCACCACTCCAATTGTCCTTCTGTGTTCTTTCTGAGTACACATCGCCAACATGGGTGCCATTCCGGAACACGACCCCGACGAGCCCGTCGAGACCAAGCCCTTCAAGTTCGTTACTGGTATGTCTGCCCACTCCCCCCTCCTGTGAAAACGGCCATTTCTCCAATTCTCTCCGGGTCAATTGCTAATTCCGTTATAGCTGGTGCGTATACCTTCGATCTCCTTGCGATGTGACGCCCTATCGGGATACTTTTGGGGTGTCACCCGACCAGCCGGGACACAGCGAAGTTAACATTTTCCGAACGCGATCACAGGTTACGACGCCCGTTTCCCCCAGCAGAACCAGTACGCGACCCGCCCAATACGTTAATGGCATCATCTCTAACATCTGCGCTCCCAGGACCAAGCACTGCTGGCAAAACTACGTCGACTACTACAAGTGTGTCGAGGCCAAGGGTGATGACTTCCGCCCCTGCAAGCAGGTACTTTCCACCCAAGCGACTACCCGACTACCACAAACGCTAATCAACCTCCAGTTCTACCACGCTTTCCGCTCCCTCTGCCCCAAGGCCTGGACCGACCGCTGGGACGGCCAGCGCGGTACGTTTTCGTCTCTTAAACCAATTTAACAGCGCATGCTAATACACTCAAACAGAGGCCGGCAACTTCCCTGCCCACCTTGACCGGTAAATAGCCAACGGCCGCTTTGTGTCGGTTGGACTATATCAAATTTTGTGTATTGACAACTTCCAATGTACTCTACCTGGTCATGCGGGGATGCATTTCCTTTCTTCCTGGATGTAATCCGATGCTCGGGGAAAGGGTGTCTATAAACCTGCCGCCTGCTGAGAAATGTGTTTGATTAGACCATGCTCTTCTGCCGTAGTCCTGAGTAGCAATGATTTCGTTGAAATCAGTAACATCTGAGCCTTACTTTTGTTTGAGCCCTGGACGCTCGAACCTGGTATCGTATGATCAATGATCACGCATGGAAACTTGGTGAGAAGCCATATTCTAGAGATTGCCTACGCGATTAAACATGTGATGATAAAAATTGATGTTCCTTGTAGGAGACATTCTGAATGCAATTCAAGGTGTATCTATGTCTATATGATTTGAGTCTTCCGGATTCTACCATACAACGCATCCTGTACACGGCGATCCGGACCAGAGTATACCCCCGGCCATGGATCACCAAACTGCTCAACATTAATGAGCATGCAAGATATGTGCAAGCTGAATGCTTGTGTCCGCTTGCTCCGCCCGAAGATCATAAAAGGAAGCGGGAGCCGTATATACTCGGAATGGGTCGAGGGAAAGGTGTAGATAGGTATGAGGGTACAGACCGCGAGGGGGGGAAAAAAAGAAAAAGAAAGAAAAGAAGATGCGCAAACCTCTGAGATCCAAATCTAAATGCCCTTCAACTTGCGGTATAGCTTCTTGTGCTCCTCAAGGAATAGGAATGTGGCAATAGTGTGAGGGCCCAGACGAATAAAACTGGGAACCCAGCCGCGGAAAGTCCAAGCCAGGCCTTCCTTGCGGCAGATATCGCGCAGCAGGTGGACAATGCTCTGACCACGGCCATCGGCGTGAGAGGCGGTCATAACACGGGTCTTGATCACGTCGACGGGACTGCAGACAGTGGTTGCGACGAAACCAGCCATGAACGAGGCGGTGAAGTGAGTGCCCAGGTGATCGCCCATACCAGCCTGCTCCATGCACATTTTCTTGAAAGTGTCGTAGGAAGCCAATTGGGATGCTGTCATGAGGACCGCGCGGGTAGAGTTTGGCCACACGCCACGGAACAACGAGCCGAATCCTTCAGTCCGGGTCATCTCGATCAAGCCATGGAAGGCGTGGCGGTAGTTTCGGCGCTGGGCCGGAGGAAGAGAGGCATCGTGCTGCATGCGCACGTTCAGCACGTCGGCCGGGTTGCCGACAACACCGCCGATGAAGCCGGAGGTACATGAGATGCCGAGGAGGGTGAGGATGCTCGGCGAGGAATTCGGGGAGGATGTGGCGACACGGGATTTTAATTCTTCGTAGATTCCGAATCGTGTTGTAGAGTAGGTCATTTGGCGCAGGAGGGCGGCAGAGAGCTGTATCAAAGCAATTGCGATCTTGTCAGCCAAAAAACATCCCCATGCAGGGTGATCATCGCGGATCGGCGATTGGGCGCGCCACATACACCATTGTACAGGCCGAAGAGCCCATTATTTCTGATGATATGTCCAAAAGTGCCAACCATGGTCTTGGGGGCATCGGGAGCGCGTGTTTGTAACCGGACCTAGAATGCGACGAACATGTGTATCAGCGATCGGGTTCGGAGAGGCGAACAATCGAAGTCGGAGCCGAAAGGTACCTTGACTGTAGATGCCGAGTTAGCTCGCGATCACACCAAGTCGTCAAAGAATCGAATCGCAAGAAGACTTACCCAAGTCTAACGGGTGCGTCACGCCGGCCGCAAAGCATGAGGCTGAACCTCCAAACCAAAACGGATAGTGCACCTTTGATGTCGACGGCGCAGGCGTTGTCACGGGGGCCACCCGCGCATGGACGGGAGCCTCGAGAAGTTTGCCGCTATCAGCCATCTTGTGTCAAACAAGGTCGCTATTGAGCGAAGGCGGGGTGGGGAGAAGGGGAGTGTGGTTAAGAGTACTGGGTCATTTTTTCCAAAATCACAGCGGTTTGACGTAATTTGGTACGGAGACAAATCAGGCCGCCGATACTCCGCTCAGCCGCGACCGACGGCGCATCTCCGCCAATGGTTCTTCGTCTCTCGATGGACCCTGGCACTATGGTCCAATGATATCCTCGGTTTTGCCTATCCCCGATCTCGTCTGTAAGGGACATACAACCCTTGTCATGGCCATGATGCATTGCTCGTGCTGCTCGTGCTGTCTTCGGAGATTGAATTAGACCCGGACGAGTCTCTCCACGATCAGATATACACTAAGGAAGCTCGGTGTTCTGACGATAGCAAGGCAATTTGGCGGCATTTTCTCGGGTATTCGGTGGAATCGCGGACTTCCGCAGGAGAGGGGTTACCGAGGAGAGAGGGGGGCCAGGTTTTGCCCCTCTCCGTATGGAACTCGCAGGTGGATCAGATAAGACTGACCTGCTCAGTCTCGGATCAAATAGGGTCCACCATCTATCTCCCTATGCTTTGGGCCACTGGGAAAACCGGACGAGAACAGCGCATGAAACAGACGATCTGATTACTGAACCTGATACGAACCCAAGACCGGTGCCTAGGTGAGTGCTGCCGCCCATCATAGACTTGATGGTATCGGAATTCAGGTGGATCAATCCGTATGCAATTACTGCCCGTCAATTTTATCGCTCTCATGAGATCGCCTCACAAGGGATCTAGGGACCATGATCTTGTATTACTTCGGAGTATGCATTAGTGTTTCCGAAGCCGCAAGGACACGGCTCCCTTGAGTCAGTTCAAAGCCGTATTGAACATGTTAATTCAAGCTGTTGAAACACGCACAACAAACCCAGCAGGTAATCCGTCTTCCAGGAACGAATTTGCTAGAAATTGGTTCCGCTCTCCCTCGCAAACAGCCACGACTACCCATGATCATTCACATGATATGCCGAGCCACTCACCTTCATGCAGTTCTTCTTCGAAGTTACAGGCCCATCGGCTCAACGGGAGCAAGAATCTCAACCCGGGAACCTTTCTGGCAGCCAGTGGAACTTGTGGAACTTTCATTTGAGCCCTCTGGTGCCTATGAATGAGAATGAAGAGTGTATGAATAATGCTTTCAGTTCTTGAAGATAAAGATGTACATGTAGGAATGACTGATACATTTCATGTAAATCAATGGAAGAACGATTTGACAACGTAAGGTGCTTCTGGCAAGGCTTCCAATGCGACGGACACTAACTTACCAATATGTACTTCGGCGACTTGTTTCCCCGGCCCGAGGTGTTTTTGAGATCCCGCAATGCGTAGAGCCGATCTTCAATTGACTGCCACTCCTTCACTAGCAATGCGGCTCTTAGCTACTGGAAGAGCCCTGCGGGCTAGCAGTAGCAGATGGTCCACTGCTGCGACTCGTCCTAAATCCTGCAGCCCCCGATTGATTGGCCTCCGACAGACCGTCCCGACGCCCACTCGGAGCTGGAGCTCAACCGCAGCTCTCCGCACCGCAGACCAAAAGCCCAGCGCTGGCTCACCAAGCTCATCAAAGTCTACGCTGAAGATCGAGGGCGAAGACTACTCCACAGACCAATGGACCAACACCCCCGACACAATCCTGTCCCATGTCGGCCGACGACTCTACCTTGACGAGAACCACCCTCTCGCCATTACCCGCAAACTCATTGAGAGCCAATTCCCCTGTCCAGTCTTCGGCAATTACTCTGAGAAGAACCCGGTCGTAACAACTAGACAGAATTTCGACGTCTTGGGCTTCCCACCGGACCATCCGGGTCGTTCTCGCACGGATACCTACTACATCAACGACAAGACGGTCCTGCGCACACATACAAGTGCGCACCAGCAGACATATTTCCAACAAATCAACCGCAATGAGAAGGTTCGCCCGGAGGAAGTTGGATACACCGTGATCGCTGATGTCTACCGTCGTGATGCCATTGACCGCAGCCACTACCCGGTCTTCCACCAGATGGAGGGCGCCATGCTGTGGAAGCGGCCGGACAGCAACCCCCTTGCGAGCTCTACAGAGACAGCCGCTAAGATCAAGGCTGATGTGGATTTGATTCCGCGCCATAATGTTACCGTCGAAGATCCCAACCCAACCATCCACGCCCAGCGCAATCCCTTACAGGCCGAGCACCACAGCGAGGAGGAGGTCGAGGCTATTGCGGAGCACCTTAAGAGGTCTCTTGAGCGAATGGTAATCAAGGTCTTCACAGAGGGTAGCAAGGCCGCCGCGGCCAGCTCTGATAACAACATCGAATCGGAGCCTTTGAAGGTTCGCTGGGTCGAGGCGTACTTTCCCTTCACGAGTCCGTCGTGGGAACTCGAGGTCTTCTGGCAGGGTGACTGGCTAGAGATTTTGGGCTGCGGTGTCATCAAGCAGGACCTCCTCATCAACTCCGATGTACCAAACCGCGTCGGCTGGGCGTTTGGTCTGGGTATCGAGCGCATCGCCATGCTCCTCTTCAACATCCCCGATATCCGTCTCTTCTGGTCTCGCGACGAGCGCTTCCTGTCCCAGTTCCGTGCCGGTGAAATCACGCGCTTTAAGCCGTTCTCCAAGCATCCTGCCTCCTACAAGGATGTTGCCTTCTGGTTGCCTCCCTCCGCTGTGACTGGTGGAAGCAGTGCTGCTGGCGGTGCCGTGCCTTTCCACGAGAACGATGTGATGGAGGTTGTCCGCGGAATTGGAGGTGATCTTGTTGAGGATGTCACCCTGATTGATGAATTTACGCATCCCAAGTCTGGACGCAAGAGTATGTGCTACCGCATTAACTACAGGAGTCTGGAACGTACCTTGACGAACGAGGAAACCAACGAGATGCATAACAAGGTTCGGGAGAAGCTTGTCGGTGACTTTGGAGTGGAGTTGAGGTAATTGAGGATGTTGTCTGTACTATATAATCTCTACTATACTCAGAACTGTACAATATGAGAACTTTCCCGACAAACTTTACAAATTTTACAATCATGAAAATAAATCGAGGCCATCCGGAGGCTGATAGCCTCCAACGGGTATATATTATACAGAGATGAGGAGAGAGTTATCGGGAGGCACAGATTGCGCGAAACAAGTGAAAGAAATACACACCCAACACGAATCCGGACGCCTCCAGTCACATGCAACAACGGTGTATCATACAGATCCAAGAGATAAGGGGACATGAGAAAGAAGAGTTTTCCACGGACCAACAGCCAGCCGCATCCGAGTGCAAATCCCAACCGTGATCATGACGTATGATATATGGTACAGATAGAATGAAAAGAGGAGGTAGGAGAGAAAGCAAAGCGTTATGCTCGAGAGAAGATTTAGTCGTTCTTAACAACACCGACCTTGCCAGCCTGCAAAAGTTATGAAAGTCAACAAAGAGTCCACGACAAAGATAACCGAAAATATAACTTACGCGGAGAACACGTCCATTGAGACGGAAGCCCTTAGTCTGAGCGTACATCACATCACCGTTTTCCATGCCCTCAGCCTTGGCCATGAAAGTAGCCTCGTGCAGGTTGGGGTCGAACTTCTGGGGCTTGCCCTCGACCTTCTCGCCGGGGTCGAAGCGCTCGAGGCCGTGCTTTTGAAGAGTGTTCATAAGGATGTTCTCGGTCATCTTGAGACCGGCAACAAGATCAAGCAGAGCCTTGTTCTCCTCGGTCTGAGGAGCCTCGAGCTGATCCTTGGGCACGGCCAGCAGCGCCCGGTCGAAGTTGTCAATGCTCTCCAGGAGGTCCTTGGCGAAGCGCTGGATGGCGAAGTTGCGCGCACCTTCCATGTCACGCTTGGTACGCTCCTGCAGGTTACGGAACTCGGCGACGGAACGAAGGTATTTGTCCTAATTGAAATTAGTTTTGCGCACGCGACAGTGAAGAGGCTACCGGGATGAAACATACCTTCAGATCAATGACTTCCTTGTTCTTGGCCTCAAGCTCCTTCTCGAGGGGGTTCTGCTCGGCATTCTCACCCTCGCCCTCCTTGGTAGCTTCCTTCTCGGTGGAGTAGAAGCGAGTGGGCTGGGCAAATGGCCGGATGGCAGCGGGCAGCTGTTGTTGCAAACGTGTTGTCCGTCGGAGAGCGAGGGATGCGGATGTGGAGGTGGAAGCTGCCAGAGCCGACCGGGCGGCCTGGGCTTGTCTGAGAAGAGTGCGCTGGAACATTGCGAAGATAAAAAAATTACAATTGAGTAGGGTATGAGTTGAAGAAGAACGGTTGTAGCGATAGCTGATCGGGCAAAATTCATCTAGCATCACCTGACCGCTTTAGCTCGGCAAAACCGGTGGCCGCCAGTACCGCCTTCTCTAACTCATCTATAGGCCATGTCACTCTCTATTCAGCACCCCAGAACCTCCCAGCTTTACGGTAAGAAATAAATTGTACTTAGCGAGAATGTTATCCGTGATCCCCGGGCCGCGGACTTACAAATAGGTATCCTCGATCGCGCTCTTCACGGCTGTCTCGTCGTAAGGTGCGATAGATACTTCCAGAATGCGTAAGTTTCGTGAGTAACTGATAGTATCCAGCATTCGGTCAGTGTCTTTAGGTCTTATCGCGCGGATTACATGATCTACATTGGTACTTAGAGCCTACTGGAGAATACGTTCCTCAACCTAGTCGAGTTCGGCGCCGGAAAGATCCTTATTCAACATCCGTAATGCTGGAACGTATCCGGCGAAACCCTGACGCTGTTTATTAACGATATCAAGGCCGCTGATCGGTTCGAGAGAATTGTAACCGTCTTCCATGAATTGAACTGGTGTTATGGTTGGTGAAAGCGCTCGGCGTAGCGCGTGGAGCCTCCACTCGTGGTTGGGGTGGCTGGGTTTCCAGACTCGCTACGCGAGCTATAAAAGCAGTAGCAGTTTGGGTTGCGGCAAGTGCATTCCGTGCCGCTACATCGGGCATCGTTCTTCTTTTGTCCCTCGCGCTTCGTGGAAATTCGGCGCGTCTCTTGCGGTGTTTAGGGTCAACCGAGTTAGCTATTATGGGCCAGAAAAACAAAGCTCTTTCTGGGTCAATGTCGCTATCGGTTCAGCGTGTAAGGTGCCGTGATCATATGAAGGATGCCGAGTTCGACGCATTTTGCTTATGGAATAGAGAGAGGGGCATTCGCACAGGTACGGGGATTATAACTCGGGATCTTGGCTAGGGGCATAGTACTCGTGATGCTCTTGTTAGCCATGAGCACGAACAAATCAGGTTTAGTGTTCCTCTCAACGTAAACCTGGCATAGAGGCTCGCTCAGATAGTAAGTAATCTTCGGTGGCGTAAAGAATATGATTAAAGCTACTTTTGATCTATAAAAATAAGTAAGTCAATTAATTGTAAGGAATCTAGTCATCTCAATTTAATTCTTATGATTCTTACTTTATTCGTTATTTTCTCTTACTTTTCTCTCACCTTCCTCTTCCTTTTCTCATGCTTCTTTATCTATTTAGCGATATCTTTAGCCCATAAAGGTGTTACTTAGATAGAACTCGGTATCATCTGAGGCTATTGGTTAGTATTCTAATATAGATAGGCCTTTAGGACTATATTACAATATTAGCAATATACTATGGTGATGCTACGTATAATTATAAATTCTCGGAGTTCTCGGAATCTTAGAACCTAGCTTCTACTTATGTCCCCACTTAAATGCTACCTATGATGTAATAACACCTAACATAACTACTGTAGAGAGGTTAGATAAGAAAGCTTATACCTGAACTCGCGAATTTGACTTTCATCACTTTGGTCCCGAACATAGTGAATATTTGCTCGCTGTAAGCCTGGGACACCGCATTTGCTAAAGCTAGGGTGATCTCGCGATTGATAAGGCGGGAATGCACGCGGGTGCTAAAATAGATCTAAATACTCCGCAAGGCTTTTGTATACGCTATAAGTTCTCGGAGAACGTCCTAGTGTATTTTACGACATCTGCCTAGTATCTTAGATCCATTCAGGGACTAAAGTAGTACGCTCCACAGTGCAAATGCAACCTCGGGAAGTAGAAACCTTCTCGCCTGGAGACCTGCCTAACTTCGTTAACGGTGGATATTGTTTAGTGCACTTCGGTAAAACAGAACTCGGAACTGCACCGCGGAGTTATAACATTTGAAACCTTCAAATTGCCAAGCTCAGCCTCGTCACATATCGGTTATGATCTGAAGCCTGGAAGCTTGTAGCATTCGAATGGTGATAAGGGCCCACTCCACATGTGCAGGGTCCACTGTTCAAATAGGAACCGTTTGGTCCGAGTACGAGATATTTTTTGGAGCGCATATTGAGGCTGAAATAGTTCAATTTCAGAGGAGTCCACTAAGATGAACTTTACTACCCGGACTCTTCTCTGTCGTTCTCGTTGTAGGGGGGTCCTAAGGGTGCACCCCACTGATAGGATTCACCAATCTCTCCCTGGGTCCAGACCGCGCGATCTTGGAGGTAAGAAGGACCAAGGTTCGCAATTTCCGCTGCCTTCATAGATTTCTCACGGTAGGAACGGATTGCCCGTCCACACTCGTCGTACCACACTATGAGGACAGTCCCTGCGTCGGGGCCTTCCGAGGCTAAAGTCCTTTTATCGACGACGTAGATATACCTAATGACTAACTGGAAGAGGTAATCCGAATAGAAGCATATCCAAGGGTTTTCATCTTCCTCTGGGTCATATCCCTCTTCCTCAGCACGCTGGGAATCAGTGGTATCGTACTCGATTGCCTCTTCCAGGGCCTCCTGAACCCTCTCTTCGTATTCCTCGAACGAACAACGATTATCGAGTAGCTGTGGGGCACGAAGAAAAATCTTCTCCCAGTTGGAACCAAAGTTATACAAGGCGGGGTCGTTGTAGACTGTGACTGGGCCACCGACTTTGGTATCAATATATTCTTGGATCTGAGCCCATGAGTCTTCTGAGGAAGGGTCATAGCAGGTGCGGACCCAGCATGGGTCATCATTTCGCACACGCTCAGCGGGCAGGCGGATACGATCCAAAAGCTCTTGGCTATGGGACGAAAGATCTCGCACTTTCTTGTTCGCTAGCCTTCGCTGCTGGTCCCAATACGGCTATTCCGAGAGGTGAGTTTCAAATTTCGCGTTAGAGTGACCGGGGGCCAAAATCAAATTACCTCGCGACCGCGAACTCCAAGTGCCACATATTTAGCGAAAATAGCCTCGCGTTGGGCATCAACTGACAGCGACGAGTCTTCTTGCCATTGCTCCTAAAATGCTATTAAAAAAAAGGATCAAATTGCTAAGCGAATGATCTTACCAGAAGAAACAAATCGGCCTGGAAGGCTTGAAAGTCTGACATATTGCACAAAATTCCCAAGGGGCAGGATGGTGGGACAGTGAGAGAGAGTGATTCGAGGTTGTCTCGGTACTTAAGATTGCTTGGTTGACTTGGCAGGGCTTATTACGAAGTTGAAGTGGAGGATGTCTTAGAATCACCAGCAGGAAATATGCAAGCGAAGCGGGGTTCGAAATGAAACTGGGAAATTAGACAGAAAAGGAAATAAGTGAGAGAACAAAAAATTGAGGGAAAAAATGATCTGAGGATTGGGGGGAGAGGCTAGGGTGACGGAATAAGCTTCGCCAGCGATCAGGCCATGTTACGTCATAAGTGTTCTCAGGGCTATAAAGACAGGAGCCCGTAGGGAGATTTGCAATCAACATTACAGTCCGAACTTGCTTAAATTTGGGGTTCACACTTTGCTGTCAAAACGCCGTTTACAACCATGTCGAGCTTCCTGCACCACCATCACAAAGACTTAGAAAAGCCTTCTGAGCAGTCCCCCCAGCGTGACTCGCAGGTAGACGATAAAGCCAGTATGTGAATCTTCTTTCTTATGATAGTTGGAAAAATGCTAATCGATCTATAGACAACAACGCCCACCATCACCACCACCTCTTCGGCCACCACAAGGATGGCGAAGAAAAGACTCACCACCGCCCCAGCCAGGCAGAAATCGATAACGCTGAATTTGCTGCTGCGAAACACTATGACCACGCTCTGAAATCTAGTCATGGTCCAGGTGTCGGCTTCGAGGGAGGCCGCCAGGGTTAGAAAGGACAGCATACGATACAAGGGATCACAGAGGTACACTGCTTCTGTATATAGATTTTACGAACCTTCATGTAGACCGAATTTCAATGATTTGCACTGTTTCCAACGAACGTTCCAGTACTAATTTGATTGGTTGATCAAATACAGACATTGCACGTACATTAATCCTCACATCTTCCAACCATCAGCCTGATTGTACTTGAGAAGCCGCAACCCCGCCAAAAGAATCATGCCCGCAGCGACCATCACTGCACAAAACAGCTGTGCCTTCCAGAACACTGCATCTTGCAAATTGAGCAAGGCACCGGCGATAGGATTTCCAATGAGTAGTCCCAATCCCGCAAAAATAAAGCACATTCCCAGCCATGTACCAACAACACTCATGTTAGGCGCCAAGTGTGCAACAATCGTAGGCGGCAATGAAACAAGAGCACCTGATGCATATCCATATATGCAAGCGAAGACGATTGTGCCAGCCTCATTGCGGATACCGATCCACGCGAAAGCCAAAATTGTCGCGATGGCGCTGATCGGCACGATGGTGTTTACAGAACCGATCCTGTCTGCGAGAATGCCTGGAGTGATCCGGCCGAATACTGAAGCTGCGTTGAGAATGGCAATTGAGTAGAATGCGATATTGGTATCGGAATGTAGGAATACGCTGAAGTAGCTAGGTAAGTAGAAGAAAGGGAAGTATAGTCCGGTAAAAACAAAGAATAGACCAAAGCAGAAGACGAGAAACGGTATCTCTTTCAGTGCGCTGAAATCGAACATTGAGCGGCTATGTTTAGGTGGCGAGAGGCGCATCTTCATCACTGCTATCGAAAAGCAAAGCCCACCTAAAGCGACGAAAGCTATGACTCGGGTCGTCCAGCCGAATCCGAGGCGATCGATTAATTTATGAAATATGACTGGATATATCACAGCCCCTAAACATATTATGATTTTAGTCTCCATCAGACGATAGACATCATTACTTACCAATACTACCCCCGGACGCAGTAATACCCATTGCCAAAGCTCGATGCGTCGTGAAATACGTAGCAACGATAGCAATACTAGGGAGGAACAAGAAGGCACAACCAATCCCCACGGATAATCCATGGGCTAGGAAGACCTGATAGTATTCAGTCGACAGAGAAGTCATCATCAGACCGAAGACAACAAGGAATGTACCGATGGTAATGAGCACTTTGAGATGTCCTTTGTCGAAGACAGGACCGACCACTACCCCTGCTAGAAAGAGGCAGAATCCTTGAATTGTGCCGATCCATGATATGGAAGATGCAGAGTATTTTGCAAGGAGAACGTCTTCGTAGTAGCTTTGGAATACACCAAACGTGTTTACCACGCCCCTGGTATGTATTTTAGTAGCGAGATTGGAAGTAATCGGACGATGCCCACCAGGAATTAAAGAATAGGAAGAACGCTCCGGCAACCTGTAGCCAGGCCATGAGCCCTCCATCCGGCGGGGGTGGAGGAGACGGCCGTGTAGCTGTTTCTACTGAAGATTGTTTCTCATCGGATACTGCGATAGGTACCTCCAAGGAGACGCCCCTGATGTCTTCGTCGTTTTCCGTAGAGATAGACATGGCGAATAATGAAGAGAATATTTGACTGCTTCAGTCCGCCATCTGGAGAAAAGGAGAGAAAGATTTGGTAAAGATAACGATGGTAAGCGCTGTATTTAACTGCTAGGGGTAAATGCTGGCTGAGAGCTCGGTCTTTCGGCTTATCTTACCCACAGGGGGGCGTTTCTTATTCCCCACTGTCGAGATATTGTGGTTACATGACATTCAACATGTACACCTTGGCTTGGGCAAAAGGTCCCAAGCCATAGAATTAAATATCCACATCAAGACAGCTAATGGGCAGCAGGGCATGCATGCCCTTCATGTTGATCATCTTGACGAACGAGATTTTCAAATGATTAATTTGAAGGCAGCTTGCAGTGTCGGGTTGTTGAAAAGATGCGAAGAGCATCGAATATTGCTAGCAAACCACAAGGCATATAGTTGTTGGGAAGATTCTAAAAGGCTCTGAAGCATTCAGGCCTTGTTTACACCCATCGGCTGATAAATCCAGGCTGCGTGCCCCGAAAATTTCGGAAATGATGATAAATCAATAATCCTGCCCTTTCTTCTTCGAGATTTGGGTATGTCCAAATTTAGTCAGCTTGATGGATTGGGCATGCTGCATGATGGAAAACCAATACTAAGTTTGGCAGCGTATATTCTAAAGATGACCACAGGAATGGTGTGATTGGCGTCAAACGCGCGGCCTAAGTTAAGAAAGTAATGAACAGAATAATTAAAAACAGGTTTTTGATTGAGACACTAAAGCATTTCAACAACCAAACTTTGCAATTAAAGATTTAATAGCAGACCGAAGTAAGTGGTTACCTCGGAAAACGAACAAAAAGAGGTGAAGGTCAAGAGAGAACTGAAGAATCATGTGTAGAGGGCCCTGTCATCTCGACTAGGCCATAGAAATAGAAATAGAAACCTCAGATCAATCTTGAAAAATTGATTAAGGTAATATTGCAAAGCTTTCGCCACAGAAGGTTTCGGATGTAAGACTATTCTTGCTACAGATCTTTAATCTGTCGTCTGGAGGAACTACTACAAATTGATTTATAGCCTGATGAAGTTTTTAGGTTTATAGTTCTTCGGACCGATCTTTAAAAAGCATTACCAAGATCTCCAATGCGCGAGCTAGCCTATCGAAAATTCATCGAGATCACAAAGGGGCGCGCTGAGCGCATTGAGCGCGCGCCCATTAGCCGGGCATGGGGTATAATGAATAGAACGCAATACATGTCATTGTTTCATTGCCAAATTGGGCAGGTGATGGGTATAAATTAGCGGCCCTCGGCGCGCTCTATCAACTGATCGTCCAAGCCCATGGGCTCCCACACATCTTTGGTCTTCTTGTTCTGTACCATGACAATATCGCCTTGCAAGAAGGCCACCACTCCACCCCTTCCTGTTGCGCTGGCTGTGATGCGAAACAGCGGATGTCCGGTTTGCGGGTGTGCCTCGCGCAACGGCAGCATAATAAGACCTTGTTCCACACACCAATTTTCCAGAATATCCTTGAATGAGATCTCCTCCTCGATGTGTGCCTTGGGCTTTGGCGGAGGAGCTGCTGCTGCTGCCGCTGCTGCTTCGGCCACGGCGTCTTCACGAGTGGGAAGCGTAACGCGAGCAGTGACTGGACGTGGGAGTTCAGCAGCTGCGCGATCTCCAAGCTCCGCAGCTTGATGCATAGTTTGAATACCCGTGCTCCACTCGCTGTCCACTTTGGGGACTTCGTTGATCTCGGTTGGGATTTGTTCCTTCCACCAAGAGAACCACGTAGCAACTTCCTCAAGGTTGGGATCATTGGTGAGCCAAATGTAAAGAATCTCGTGCCACTTAGGGAAGAAGCCAGAGACGAGCAGCTCGCCCATAACGACGGGCTTGAAATAGACTTTCCACCGGAAAACATCCTCTAGTGCCGTCAAATCTTGTTCCTGGGGGTTCACGACGAAGTCTTCTCGGAGATGACGTGCCAAGCGTGGTAATAAGTGGTTTCGTAGACAAACATCAAACTCGCTACCGAGAGCCTCTTTCCAGAGGTCCAAGCCACTGATAAGACCCCTGTGTAAGCTCCAGGAATCGAGCACCACCCGGAACTTTCTCTTGGTGTCTGACATGAGACCCGTTGGCTGCTTAGGATTGGTGTGTTTTTCATCCAGGTATTGCAGCCATTGGAACAGCCACCAAGGGAACTTTCCATCATGTTGAGATGGGTGTCGTCGGCTGCTCCGGGGCTTCCACTCCTTCAATGCCCCGCTAAGCTTAGGAACAACCAGTTGGTCAAGAAGGTTGGCAAGTACGAATGGAGGAATGATCACCCTCCAGGAATTCACCAGGGTAGTCGCAGCAGTCGGGTCGTAAACATCCCAGTCATTCATCAGCGCTGAACGGACTCGCGGAAGCCAGAGAGTGTATATCATCGTTTCGTAGGGCGATGTTGATTGCCGTTGGAATTCTTCTTTTTCACTTCGGCGAGCGAGAAGTGGTTGAAGGCGGGTGAGATTCGATACCAGAAACGTGGGATTCTGTAGAGGCTCCCATTCCTCCATGGCCTGACGAAAGAGTGGGTGCATAGCAGCTACTGCAGCCTCAGCTAGCTTGTACTCGTCCATGACATCCTCGTATTGTGTTTTCATGCCCTCAAGCTTGCCGGTCATTTCGTCGAATTTAGCTGCAATACTTTCATCATGTTCAAAGAGATCCAGCTCTTCCACGGCGGCGATCAGCCCAGTCAGATGATTGAGACGGGCTTGATAGGCGTCGAGTTCATCCACGACCTGCGCTTCTTCGATTTCAATGAAGTTCTTCCTTTCGGTCAAACCTTTCCATTCGTCTGCAAATGCCTCCAAATCATGGCGAGCACGCCTAGCAATCTTTAATGCTTCTCCTTCGCCCGAACCGACGAAACCTTGCCCAGCCATCAAACCGGCAGTCGATGTCAGGGTGCGTTGTTCTTTGCCAGTGGCGTCGATAAGCGATTTCAGCACGTTCGGCACCTCGAGACCCTCCATATCGGCTTCCATCTCATGCGCTGTCCGGAATTGAGGCTTCTTGGGTCGCGGTACTGGGGTGCCTGTGCCACTGCGAGACTCTGTCTTGCGTCCATCCTTCTTCTTCCGATGTCTCGGCTTCTCCTCATCAGAACTTTCTTCGACTGCATCGCCTCTGCGCTTGGCATCTCGTCGTTCCTCGTCGCGTGCCTGCTTGGTCTTCTCTCGAACTGCACCGAGACCGGCACCCTGCGGGCGCGCCTGGGCTTCGATCGGGTTGACGATACCCTGCCCGGTAGAGCCAAGACCCTGCCCCTCCTTGTAACCCATCTTCGACATCATGCGCGCGGCGAATGAGTTTCCAGCGCCCTTCCCTCCACGGGCGGTGCCTCCACCGCGGGGTGCCGTGTTCTCGCTGGTTCCGTTGTTCATTTTGTTCCAAGGATTGCGATTGGCACTACCCAAGCCGCCCATTCTCGGAGGCGATTCGGAGGGCTCTCGCGCTCTGGCGAAACCTTTAAAGCCGGTGGTCGGGCGGTCATCTTCGCTATCGGAGCTCATGTCGGCGACCTTGCGCTTCTGGCCGGCGTAGGGCGACGATGGCGAGTCCATGTCCGCCGGTTGTCACTGCAAACAAGCGACAACTTCGTAGCTCACAGCTCGATCGTAAGCTCTCAAAGTCAGAGCTCGTGAAATTCACGTGTAGAGCCGGGGCGGAAGAACCCGTATCCGAGGCGACGGAAACAAGATGACGTTGAGCTCGGTTACTTCATAGCTTCGAGGATTCCGTTCGTCCTTTTTCTTCCATCTTACATACACTTTTCTCACTGCACCCCTCATCAATACTCAGGTATTCACAATGGCTGCTCTCTTCTCCACTTCCGCTCGCGTTGCCCTTCGCTCGGGAGCTTCGGCTTCCTACAAGGCCGGCGCTGCGAGCTTGACCTTTGCTCGCGGCAAAGCTACCCTACCCGACCTTTCCTGTAAGTTCTTTGTGCTGGCGCAGAGATTTTGTGTCAATGTGTTCCCTGGCGCAACACAGGTATACTAATTGTAATCCAAGACGACTATGGCGCTCTTGAGCCCTCTATCAACGGCAAGATCATGGAACTTCACCACAAGAACCACCATAACACCTATGTCAACGGCTACAACACCGCTATTGAGCAGCTCCAGGAGGCCCAACACAAGGGTGACATTGCCGCCCAGATTTCCCTTAAGCCCGCCATCAACTTCCACGGTGGTGGCCACCTGAACCACACTCTCTTCTGGGAGAACTTGGCTCCCAAGAGCGCTGGTGGTGGTGAGCCCCCCTCCGGCTCTCTGGCCAAGGCTATCGACACCACTTTCGGTGGCCTCGATGGATTCAAGGGCAAGATGAACGCCGCTCTGGCGGGCATCCAGGGCTCCGGCTGGGCTTGGCTCGTCAAGGACAAGCAGACCGGTCAGATCAGCATCCGCACCTACGCTGTGAGTGCCGTATCTTCTAAACAATCTAAAAAAGGCAAAGCTGACCCTTAAACAGAACCAAGACCCCGTCGTCGGCCAATTCGAGCCCCTCCTCGGTATCGACGCCTGGGAGCACGCCTACTAGTAAGAAACCCTACTCATGTATCACCGCTTTCCAATGCTAACAACCTGTTCTAGCTTACAATACCAGAACCGCAAGGCTGAGTACTTCAGCGCCATCTGGGATGTCATTAACTGGAAGGCCGCGGAGAAGCGCTTCTCTTAAAGAGAGATCTTATATATCGGCCCCGTCATGACCGGAGCCCAGAATTCTCCTGTATTGTAGCATCTCCTGATAATCTCAGTCCAGAGCAATTGCTTCCAAATATCAAAATTTAGCAATCTAAACGTAAATCCCAAACTCGCAAGTTCTAGGCCCCGAAGTGGCTGAAAGTGACTGTCTCATCGGTCCGCGACGGCCCGTCACATCATGTATAATGTAAGCGCGTCACCAGGGTCTGCGACGATCAACATTCCAACAAGCTCCACTTCTCTGAATGGCAAACTCCGACACCATCACAATCATGTCGGCAGAAAGCCCAGGCCCAAAGTCAGGCTTCAAATCCTTCTTCTCCAATGCCCTCCGCCCAAAGAAATCCCGCCAGACCCTCCGGAAGGGTGGCAGTCGATCCACGACAGACCTGCGGCAGGCCGTTCGTCCAAGTCTCGACGATGCTCCCCCAATGCCCGACATGGCGCCCTTGCAAGTCCATCGAATGAAATACCAAGCGCAACATGCGAATCTCGACTCCCAGCTAGGCGAACGCCAGGACTACACAACCATTATCCACTCGATAGGATGTTTAGAAATGGACGACACCACCGGGCCCGCCGACATCCACGACCCGAATCGGAAACCGGGAGAAGGTGATATCGCGAAGTTATCCTCGAGACTATGGGCGCATGTCGCATGGTATCTGGATCCAGCCTCGGCTGCTAGTCTAGCTGTTTCCAGCTCCACATTATACCACCGGCTAGGACCTTGGTACCTTCAGGCCCTGGAAGCACCGCAGAACCGCGAATACAAGATGCAATTCCTCATTGGAATGGAAATCTCTCTACCACATCATCTGCTGTGTTTCCAATGCGGCCGATACCATAGACGCACGCAGGAAGGCGTTGAACGTATACGACCTGCTCACGTCCTCAACCCGCTATTCAAGTGCCCCGAGGTAACAAACATGCTGAACCCGCAGGCACGGACCCGTATTACGCATGGACGCACGCTGCCTTTTACATTTGTGCAACTGGCCACGCGCGCGCATAAGTACGGTCCTCAATACGGTATCTCCGTTGAGGATATGGGGAGACGCTGGCAAAGAGACAACTGGTCGCATGCTTCGCGCTTTTTCATTCATGAAGGACGGCTTTTGATGCGTGTTACGAGCCAGACGTTCGCGGCGGCGGCTCTCCCGCCTGCTTCTATGCGAATGCTCCTGTTCTCGCGCGAGGACTACTGGCCTTATTTCTCTGCGTGCGCACACTGGCGCGACGGTGAATTGATGGCTGTTTGCAAGTGTGCGTTGGGACATATCCCCGAGCCACGGGATACTGGTGGACTACAGGGTCTCGAGCATAAGGTCAAAGACCGGATCGCTGGACAACGCTTTGATCCTAATTCCTTGACGACCTTATGTGGGTTCTGTCGGCCTATGCGTCGATGTCCTGAGTGTCCAAGTGAATACCTGACCGAAGTCAAATTGTGTGAAGACAAGTCGGATCCTCGCAGGCTGGTGTTCAAGCAGGCGATTGTGGTGACTCGGTGGACTGATCTGGGTGATGGGTCTACACCGAATTGTTTGCAGTGGGGCGCAATCAATGGCAAACGGGATGACTTTGACTCGTTCCAGCATTATGCGAAGCGTGGGATTGCGAGTGTCTTCGAGGCTGCGTTTACAGCTGATACGCTTCCCGGTCAAAGGGTTCTTTCTATGAATCCCAAGAAAAAGAAGCTGGGTGAGGCGGGGGATACTTGGTATTAGTCTGCTGTTTTCTGGTGCCTTGGTTTGTCTTCTGGAGCCTAGACTGCTCTGTATATTATATGACTCAAGTGCTGCTTTTTTTTCGGCGTTGGGGTGGTGAAAATGGGTTGAGTATCGACAACTTGGAATACGGACTAATGACACTATGTAGCTTGGATACCTAAAAAACTTTGAAAATCCTACTAATATGTTATGGAACGTGGCGATAGAAAGTTATAGTTGTAATACAGCCAGACCGGGGGGGGATAATTAAGAAGATCTTGGATAAACCGGCCATGGCCTGTCTTTCTGGTTGTTCTTAAAGATGTGTTGGGTTGGGTTTGAATCATATACTGGAGAGGAGCGAAATGTGTCTAGTAAATCCTTAAGCGACCTCTAGGAAGGACGAAAGGAACGGAGACATGAAATACTTTTAGTTAATCGCCTTGGTCGGGCTGCAGGTAGTTATCCATGCCTTTGAGGCTGTGTCATCTGATTTTTCTCCTGTCGACCAAGTTTCTATCTCATTGTTGAGAACGGGGTCAGCCACACATCGAATGAGGGAAGAGCCTTAACTCCAATGGCTTGTTACCTGGGCGTAGAACTGGTCACAAAAGAGTAGTTACCGAATCTGAATTTAGCGTAAACCCAGTTTGGTTGAAAGAAACACATTGATTGCAAGTTGTCAAATAACCAGGGTTATAACGTCAAGCGTAAGCTAAATACATCGATGAATTGCAAGACACGAGAAGCCCCTCTGAACCAGCAGAAGGCATAGAATAAAAAACCCTCCCAACGTAAAATGCATCGAACATCATAATCTGAGTTTCTCCAAACCTCGTGAGCGCTCCGCCTCCAGGGCGGAGATCGATAAATAAAGAGGCTGTAATACAACACAAATGCTGGCTTGAATCCATGGGGTATTGTACAAAAAGAAGGGGTATCATAAAAAATACAGGATAATTTTCTGATTCAAGCCAGCATGAGCATCGTATTCCTCAGCTTCGACGAGACCGGCGACCCATATACCTAGGCTGTCGAGTTGTATCATCGGACCCGACGGTCATCATGGAACGAGGCCGGATGGTGGGTGCGTCCATAGAGTCGGGGGTAGAAGCACGAGGTACAGAGAACTGGGGAGGTTCCTTCATTAGACGCGCAGGGTTCCGGTTCTCCTTCGGTGCGACGTCTGTGAATTTGTCGCTGACCAGGGGCGCAGGCTCCGAGCGTTTGCCGCCGACATTCTTCATCCAGCCGAAGATTCCTAGTGAGCTGCGGCGTTTATGTTCTGTGTTTTGAGATGTTGATGGACGGCCTGATATTGTGGCGGATTCGATGGGCTGGCCTCCTTCCCGAGCCTCCATTAGAGATTGGTGGAAGGCCCGAGGGCTGTCCTCGAGGTTTTCAATCGCAGCAGGGATGTTGGAGTACAAGTCGGCCGAGTTCGTGATAATCTGCGACATGGGACGTCTTGGGGCGCCACCTGGGTTCCTGGTCTTCGGAATAATGGGGGAGGGTGCGCCATCTTCCTCATCATCAAAGTATTCACTCAGCGTTGGTGAAGACTGTAGACGGCGAGGGCCATTGTGGCGATTGAGGAAAGCAGGGCGGAAGCTGAAGCGTCGGCGTGGCTCCGGACCAGTTTCATCCTCAGGCTCGGGAATAGAAGCAAGTCGCTCAGAAGCAGGGTTCTCGAGGATTGCGAGGGCTTCCATATTCAGAGTTGGGATACCAGGGACTTCAGGCTCAACGGCGAACGAGTCGACGCTGTCGTTATCGTGGAAGGCGGCCTGGCTTATGATATGTCGATCTGCTTCTTCCTGCTGTTCGGTCCGAAATCCGCGAGCTTTCTCCTTTCGAGATCGGGGGGTTTTCTGAGCGGCTGCAAGCCAGTCCTGCGGGGTCAATGGCGGAGACGATTCGAATTCCATGGACCTTTGCTGTAACGCGCGGGATTTTGTGGGTGTCCTCCGGTTAATTGGCGGAGGCACTGCTTCGTCAATGTTATGTGGGTGGAACAGGTCGGCAAAAGACTCGAGAGCAGGGTTGTTAGGGCTTCCGGGTCCAAGCAATTCACTGGCCTTGGAAGCAACTGTGTTGAAAGGATAAATCACCGGCGATTCCGAATTCCTGCCATCGAGACGGGGTGTGTCACTGCAATTTGTCTGCATACTGTCTGTGATGTCGCTACCGGCTCTGCTGCGGCGGGTCGTGAGTTCATCAGCAGAACGGTGACGCTCCAGGCGTGGACCACTGAACAGCTGATCACGACTCTGCGGAGGGCTCTTCGGGGGTGCGATGCTTCCGTTTGAACCGTTGTGGACGGCTGCATATGCTGTGCTCATAGTGTCCGGGGTGGGAGGAAGCCTTGCGCCCTCAAACAGCGAGGCATCGAGGCGCTGGCGGCCTCGGGGTTTGCTCGTAAACAAGTCGCCTCCGAAAGTTGGAACTACTACCTTCGATGCATCTGACATTGCCCGGTTCTGTCTTCGTTGGATTATAGTTTGCGACTGCATCCAGCTGTCGGTCTGATTGTCCTTTCTCTCCACCGGTCCAGTTGGGGGAACATAGCTGTCCAGGCTGCTCGTGGTAGATAGTGCTTTGCTGACAGGAATTTCTAGTTCGTCGTACGCGTACCATTTTGACGATGTATCAATAAGGTTTAACTCACTGGCCTCGCTGAGTACACTCAACCGAGGAGATGCCGGTTCGGTGGCATCAGCCATCGTGTGATAGCTTTCCGACTTGGTCATTTCACTGAAAGCCGAGTGGGACTGGTTGTCATCTGGGACATAAAGGCTGCGCAGCGCGGCAGTGTTCTGGTTTTCCTCGAGCAAGAACGAAGGTGCCTTGGAAAGCAGCTGCAAATCGGACGATCGGCGCCGACTCAATCGAGATTTCAAAGTTCCGCCTCTGGAGGAAGTTCTCTCGGGAATTTCGAAAGTGGTCTGAGCCTGAGCCTTGGGTGTCGAGGCATTTGGGCCATCGAGGACCAGTCGACTTGGAGACAGCTGTGAAGTCCGCCCACCAGTCTCGAGCTGCTCGATCTTCGACTCAAGCTGGCAGATGAGCTGAACGGCCTCGGTAACAGCCTGATCCCGTTTTCCCAGCTCCAGGCGAAGCTCTTCATTTGACTCCCGAAGTCGGCGATTATCCTTTTCAGCCTCGCGGAGCTCCTCTACTTCCTCCTCCAGCCTCTGCATCTTGGTCAACTCCTCCTCTATCGACTTCATCCGTTCCAATTTTTTCTCTAGGTTTCCCATCTGCTGTGTGCGATGAAAAACCTCGAGTTTCAAGTCGAAATTGAGTTTATTCATTTTGGAAACGTACTGGCCACGGTTAGTTTGTGTTTATCCCGTGGTTCTACCGAGGGACCCACCTGATCCATCTCTCGCATCGCCATCTCCTTGGGCTTTCGAAGTCCGGCGGAGAAGGCGTCGCTGACTTTTCTCGCCCTTTCTGAGGCCGTGAAAGTGCCGTCTTCCTGTGTGCGAGGTCTTTCGGGAGTTCGTGGGATGTCCTCCCAATCTTCGGGTGCGGACCCGCGCGAGTCACGATGCGCGCGCTGTTCCTTGAGCATATCTTGAAGAAGAGTAGAAGCCGGATTTACTAAAGTTGGTGTGCCTTTAGTTGGAGTTCCTGCGTTGAGGCCCCATGTTAGTCTCTAAATTTTTAGGCGAAACAGTTGTGACAGGACGCACTCTGCTGTTGGGGTGGTGTTCTGCTTCCCCCACGGACCGGCGACTGGTCGTTCAGCCATGACCGGTCGGGACTCATCTGGGGCGGCGTATACATGTTGCTTCTGCCCTTGACACGAGAAAGCGACGGATGCTGAAGACGACGGGGTTGAGCTGAATGGTAAATTTATTAGTTTGATCTGAACACCCTGTATAGACCGAACTCAGTCGAGGAATGGCGTACAGCTTGAGCCAGACTTGGAAGGGCAGGAGCTCGGAGGGGCCTCGGGATGATATATTGGGGCCTGAGAGTGAGAGGCTGGAGGCTTGACAGGAGGCTTGACGGCCGAACTCCGCCTGGCCTTCTCCATTACTGGTGCATCCATGGCCTGCAGGTTATGCGCATGCTTGACGCAAAGACTCGACTGGCGGCCTGCGTCTGGAGCAATCAGCGCCCAGTATAGATCGGTAGATCACAGATGAATCCACCACATCGGAAGATTAATCGTCGGGATGTGCCTTCCGCGCGGTCACAATTGGACGGCCGCTAGTCAATGTATTGGATGGTCCGAAAAAGTGGAGGATAAACAGGATGCAAGAAGCGAGGGATGCAGCGTAGAAGAAGGGAATCAATCAGACTCGAGTGGGCTCGGTGGAGCAAGGAAAGTCTAAGGCGGGAAAAGTGAGGTATACGAAGCGAGGGGAGATCAGAGAATCGGATTGTGATAAGTCAATCGTCGCATTGAAGGCAGCGAAATCGGGCACATCTGATGGTGTTATTGTTGTGCCCTGCGTTGATCACCGGAATGCGCCAGGAAAGAATGGAAGAAGAGAAGGGCAGGGAACGAAGAAGGAATCTCAGGATCTGGTAATGAGCACACCAATTCCCTAAGCTACGATTCGAATGATCGCCGTGTGCCTGACATCGAGACCAATCGGAAAGCGGCCGTGGAGCGAGACGGTCTCAGCTTGTCCTTACTTGGTGGCTCTCCTCAGCACCGGGCGTGGGTTTCTGGGTTTCGCCTCTGAGTTCCACCCCGTTGGATCCAGTCCTCACTGGGAATCCAGGGGCCCATCGAATCTCCGTCGTTCCCCTAACCTGAATTATGTGTTTCTGACACACAGCAATGGCCCTCCGATTGAAAATCCTAAGGCCCAAGTTCCAGTGCCTAATTTCCACTTCCAATCAACTTGCCCACCCCGCTCCCGTTCCACTGCGATCCATGGGAACTACGAACTCCAGTTCATCTCCTTTCGGTGATTGTACTTATCCCCACTCGGTTGCAGTAGTCTCCTATAGAAAAACATAGATCAAGATCCAACCCAAACTACGTACGCTGGATGGCTTGACAGCTCGCATGCTCGGACCTAAGCCTAGCGTCCGTCAGCTGTGCCCGCACTCCACGTCACAAATTGTGAAACGGTGGCGACGAAACCTGTGAGTTTTCACCACCCCCTCCCCGGTCTAGAACGATACTTTAATCCCCTAGACAATGTCTGCGACCCTCACCGACGTAGTATGGAGAAAGAGCATTGAATCTATTCAGAGATGAATTCGTCCCGCTGTCAGGAAGGATCATCACCCGTGGAAGTGTCATTATCATTCGAAATAGAGTTATGCGATACATCTCACGCCTACTGACAGTACCCAGACGAGCTCAGCTCAGCCTAGTTGCCCTCACTACAGATCATTTCCTCTTCGTCTCCCCTGACCAAATACGCATTTCTTTGGCCCGGTCGTGTGCCGCACGGAACACTGCGATATGTCAGTTGCCACACTCAATATCACTCCGATCCATGCACATACATTGCCGCTCGGTCTCGTCTAACCCGCGGAGGAAATTTACGCCCTCCCCCACGGCACCACGCGGGTTGTGGGCGTGGTCGGCAATTTCTGCAGCCCGTTTCTTGAAGGTCTAGGATCAGGCAATTGTCAGCGGTGACAGCTCGTGTAGTTCATAGGCCAATGAAACCCTCACATCACTCAGCACATCAACCATGTCCTCTTCCTCAAAGATCTCAAGAATGCGCTCGCTGAGATTGTAGAAGTGCGGTGCTAGTGCGCGTAGGTCAACTGTGCGGGGGTCTGCTTTTAGTGCATTCATCACCCGCTCTGACAGGGCCTCGGGCATGTCGAGAGTAACGAGACGCGAAGTCCCCAGACGCGCACTTGTTCTGTGTCAGAATTTATCTCCTTCTGGAAAAAGGCCATATCTCACCCGATCGAAAGCATCTCACCCAACCATAGCGGAAGGTCGATGCGGGTCCCCGCTTTGATCTGGTTCTAATCAACTGCTGAGCACGACACAAAATGCTCCTGGGTGACATACATCCTCGCCGGGGTTCCCTTCAAGGATTCCTAGGCCTGGGACTTCCAGCTCAAAAGTGCACGGCAGTTTCTGGGTCCCGTGGGGTTAGCCGGGGAAAGCTCCAAGCTGAAAGGTCAAACATCGGGGTTGGACTCACCTGAGCATCAGTCAGAGCGGAATCAATATCATAGTAGGACATTTCGGTACATTGACTCGGACGTGATCCCCGCAGGCCGTTGTCGTTGGGTGTTCCAGGGTTGATTGATTTGATATTCGCGGCGCGTCCAACGGCGCGCGTGGTCACGTGCGAACCGCGAAAGGAGTTTCCTATCTGGGCGTTAATGCCCTGACACCTGGTGGCGCTGATTAAGCACTCGCGCGAGGAACCTATCAAAGAAGTTATTAAGAGCCTCTGTCATTATCGCCATTTGACAACGACTTCTTGCCGCCTTCAAAGAGATAGCGCTACCGGAAAATCGCCTCATGTTGGCCGAAAGGTCATCGAATGCCCTTAACATTCTATTGATAACAGAGTTGAGAAGACATATAGCCCGATCTAGAAGTTGATCTAACGGGGCGTCCGCACTTGATCATTTGTTTCTTTCTAGAACCCTTTCTGGGCTCTTCTCTAAAGCTCGTTCTAGACTTCTTTTCAAATTTTGCTTTGCTCCTCTTCTAAGTCCTCTTTTTTTACGACATCGCAGATGTCCGAGAGATCAAGTCATGGCCGTATATTTAGGTTCATTCGTCTTATATTCATAATACGGCTATATAGGCCGAGAGAGCCACTGAGCATCTTATAGTAAGGATTCGGCGCCGAAATGGAAAGCGCCTGCGGCTATATATATAAGATAAATGTGGCCTACCACTTTACAAATCCAGCGTTGAGAGCTTATTGTTACAGTGCCGCCCGTTATTGCCTTCCATATCTAGAGACAGAGAGATGCTCTTTCAAACCCGAATCACGTGATGGGATGAACCCAATATGGAATAGCGTCAATTACGCGTCATGGCTATACGTAGTACTGGTACCTGAATTTGTACCCCTAGTTGTACCGATACAAGTCTCTGTAGGCAGGGACGACTAGAAGGCTCCATGCAAACTAAGCAAACCAGCGACCGTTAGCAATCTGGTCACTTCCCTCCTCCATCCCTCAGCTGCCTCACTGTAGAGGGTTTGACACTGCGTTTAGTGTCCATCTCTGGTCAAGTTGGAAGGCAAGGCTTGACAGTAATATTTTTTTCGTGATTACCATTGCTAATCGCCATGTGGCGGATTCCGACGTTCATTGGGCATCAGGCATACCTAGCTAACCCCTTACGGAGTACAGCTCGAGGCTACTCCTCCTCTGGACATATTCGCCATGACCTATAGCTCTTTTGATGACGATGCAGATCAACCTCGGATAATTGACCCATTGGAACCAACTTGGCACGACGCCCCCACTCCTGGATATTTCGGTAGAACATCCGAGACGTCGTATTCCCCCAGCCCTACCCCGTATCGTGCCACGGGTCAGCCACAGTCGGATCAACTCAATTTTCTACCATTTGCCGAACGGGAAGAAGGTGGCGAATACGATGAAGAGCCGCCGAGATATGTCAGCTACACAATCGAATGGAAGCTTATACTCAACCGCAAGACGGTAGGTAGAGTGACCGAAGAAGATTTGGTTGTAGCTCCTAGCGAGTATTGGGAGGAGACTCTGAAAGCAGCAGTTGAAGATATGCTGCAAATGAAAAAGAAACGTCATCAGAGAGTTCGATCTGAGGGCACAGCTATCATGATGAAATCGAGTGACCGGTCCTAGAAGAATATCGAAAAGTTCTGCAATTCCACAAACATCGACTGGAAACCAGTGGAGAAGCAGCTGCGTAAATGGAGCAATTTGCTTCGTATTGGCAAGACGCTCACCATAGTCATTGCATTTAATTATAGGAGTGAAGATGATGATCATTCTGCGTCAGCATCAAAGAGAGTCGACAAAAGAGGCCGTGTCTCTGCAACAAGCAGAATGTTGGCTGAGCGAGAGGCCCATATTGCTGACGAGGAAGAGAGAACCGGGAGACCTGCAACGTGGAGTGCTGTATATGACCTAATGCGGTGTAATGTTCGTGCATGCCCGCTGAAGTCTGATTGGTGCTGGGAGGACCCGACAGACAGAAAACATTACAAACTAAGAGCCCCACATCTGGTAAGACTTATCGAGCATGTTGATGGGGGTGGGAGCCTCGATTGTCATGATGATGTGCCTAGCGATATCCGTTGAGACCTGGTTCTGGAAAGTCAGATAGGAAGAAAGTCGAAAAAAGCTGATATGGCATCGACTGGCGCACCATATCCTCCAACCATTATCAATGTTCTGCCAGCACAAACCGGGTTATCGTCTACGGTTACTTCCTCCCTGCCCATGTCTTTACCCGAGCCTATCGTAATTCCTGGGCCTCGGGAAGCGGCGGTGAGGGAATACTGTAAGTGGCTGGAATCACGCGCCACCGACGAGAAATACAAAGCAGATTTCCGGAAAAGCTGTCAGGTGACTTTGGAAAATCACCTGGATCTTGAACTGATCCTCGAGGACCCAGACTCTGACTTCTTTGTTCAGCGAGGAATTCAAATTGGAACTGCCCGTCGCTTTTTGCGCGACATAAATGAATCGGCTACTTTGATGAGACCAACGATGCGACTGGATCTGTCCGCTGGAGAAAGTCTCGGTACCGAATCGACTGAATAATTGCCGTTTTTTTACAATCACTATGACTGGCTCCATTCGCGATCAGTTGGCGATGTTATTGTGCGTTAGGGAATTTTGTCGTATATTGGAATTAATTCTGCAGTAGTTGCGTCTTTTGCAGCGATCACTCGTTCATATACAGTACTCCATAATTAACAACTAGCCTAAGTTGATGGCCAAGCCTTCGAGCCATGACCCACATTCTTAATCAGTAAAATAATAGAGCCTAGCGTCACATATTATCGGAGCAGTACCGATATCCTATAAATACACGTATCAGTCATTTTGATGCATCTTATCTGTGTTCCAACAATGTATTTTGGCGACTGGCACCGCCTTGATAAAGCACTGATTATTGGCAGAGAACCTAGAATGTTTATTAGTAATCTCATCACGTGGAGAGGGGAACTCGTTTCAGTTCCGTTTTTAAGTCCCCCAAACTACAGTAACGTTGTACTTGGATAGCTACTGTTGCTCAACGGACTATGCTAGTGACAACACGGTCCAGTCCTGATCGACCACGACTATAGGGTTGTCACAGGATAGCCGCACGAGACTCCACTATATGATTACTCATCATCCCAGGGGCTGGACACGATGGATAATGAAAAGAAGGCGCAGAAGGTATGCGACTTTCATGGAGTCTCCCTGCGATACTTCATAGTCTACACGGTATGATCATTCTCCAAGGATTCCGATCGACTTGCTCGCGTACGTGAGAACCAGCACAAAAGCCGTGCGCGCAAACAAGCTTATGTCTCGGAGCTAGAGCAACGAGTGGCTGCGATTCAGCAGGAAACCCGGCAGATGGACATCACCAATCGAATCGTCTTACAGGAAATAGAAACGGAAAATCGTCTCATCAAGAATCTGATCGTGTCGCTCGGCTTTTGGTCGGAGTTGATTAAGCGTTATCTGCAGTTGGCCGACCAGAACACAGTTGTGGATCGTAAGGTGGCCATTCCGGCCGCGATAGGCCGGTCGGTTGAGACGCGCTCGGTCGCCTCCTGTCAATCGCCATGCTCAACGCCGTCGCCGCAGTTGACGACTGGTGTCTTTGCGGTGGAAAACCACTCGGTTGAACAGCCCATGTTGTATGACTATGTGCGTGGAACTGGCACGGTCCCTACACTGCAATCGATAGAGGGGCAACAGAATTGTACTATGGCCATTTCAACGGCGATGGGCCGGCCGGTTGAGGCGCGCTCGGTCGCTTCCTGTCAATCGCCTTGCTCAACGCCGTCGCCGCAGGTGACTACTGGCAACTCTGCTGGGGGAAATGATTTTGTTAAACAGCGCGTGCTTCATGACTATACGTATTCAACGAACACAATCTCAACGCAGCAACCCATAGAGGAACAACAAATGTCTCCTATCTCTCCTTCACGCAAGGAGGATACGATAGGCAGCATGCTTCGGAGCCTCAACCCGAGCATAAAAATGCGCTCAATACGACTCTATGTGTTGCCGCTGAGGATCTTCTTGACTAACATAATGCGAAAGGAATACATATGGATGGTCTTCGGCGAAGAATATGCCCAGGAGTTGAGGAGACTGACCTTGATTGCTGCCGAGTACAGAATGACGTCTAACTTCAGGTTTTGGACGATATCAGCAACATAACATTGCACTAAACAGTCGATCAATTCGCACTGCCTACATCTTACGTACCCGTTCGGCTATAAGGGTATCCGTCACAATCGCCGGCCGAAAGAGGTCAGGCATATGGCAACTCTAGAATCACTGACATCTACGTGAAAGTATGAAATTTCAGGGCCTCAGCGACCGAATTGGTTGGCAGGGTTTGAGATGCATGTGCGAAGATTGGCTTACAGTAAGTTGCGAAAATGGTGCAATAAGAACACTCTTAGACACTCTTTCTAGCCCCGCTGCCAAGGCCTTAGCGCAGATCATTTATTGAGCGGAGCTTGTCTAATTGAGGGACACTAGGCGTCGTGTGTATGGTACTGTATCTTGCTATGTATCCACGCCCACGAAATTTCGCGAAATATCACGTGACCTCTAGGATATCTGAGATATCTGACCGTACGTACAGTGGCCGTCCAAAAGTATTTGGAACACAGTACTTGCCATCCCTACCGCTCTACACACCGCCTACCTTAAGTAGCCACACCCGCCCTCGCCCAAGCGGTTGAATCCAGTTAATTCGCCTAAATTATTTGCTGTTTTGTGCAGTTGGGGTGCTCAGTATGAATATTGTATGTTACCATTGTCTTGCAAGGTGATTGGCTATGAAAAATCCATTCGATAGTTGCCCTCAAATTACTGCTTCCATGAACAATTCTCCGTTAAACAGCATCCATTTATAAATGTCAGACTACGATAATAGTCATTCCATTTTTCCCCTTGTATCTAAATCAAATAATTTTTGATTTGCTATATTGTGAGATCTCATCTTAGGCCAAGGACGCAGAATTTTGACGGCCCCCTGTCATTGAAAGATTAGATGCTGGTGTTTTCTCTAATGCTAGAACAGTGAATCCCTGTCCTTAAATAATACATAGAACATTCTGTCGGTTTGATGGAGCGGATCATGGTATTTCCGTAACGTCAAACGACACGTGACCTAGTGAGGCAGAATATCAAGGCGGGGTTGATTTACTATTGGTGCACTTTTTGGTGGAAGTGGGTCCACGAAACCTAGCCTAGGGGTGTGCGCCCCGTTCCCAATACAGCAGAACAGACTTCCCTGTCATGGAAGGTCACATTGATCAGATAATTGTACGGACTAGCCCGTCAATTGCATCACACAATAAAATGGACAAGATGAGCGCATTCCAAGGCTGATCTTGGCAGTTTCTGCTCGGTAGGGTAGAGAAGACGGCTCCTGCCAATAGCGTCGTCTGTCTAACCGCCCGCTACTGCACGACGTGTTCATCGTGAGGCTGAGCCTCCCCGGTTGGCAACCATTTCACCTCTGTCTTACAGGGCTTCTTTCCTTCTATCAACCCTCCTCCTCTCTCCTTTTCTCATAGGCGCATATGTTGTTCCTATAAGCTGAGCCTCCATTGCACACCAGAACTCCGAACTTTCGAAAGATCACGCGGGTAACTCATTTGCAGGCTGTTTCTCTACCGTTGAAGCCATGTCAGATCCTGCCAGGTATACTGTGGGTTTGATTTGCGCCTTGTCCGTGGAATACATTGCTGCACGGGAGTTTCTCGATGAAGAGCACGACAAACCGAGCTTTGTGTCGCCAAACGATGCCAACGACTATACGCTAGGCAAGATAGGCAAACACAACGTTGTCATCGCCAAGCTGCCCGATGGTGAATATGGAACAGCTTCCGCGGCGAGTGTAGCGACAGACATGCTTAACAGTTTTCACAACATCAGGATTGGCCTTATGGTCGGGATTGGCGGGGGTGTACCAAGCGAGAGCCATGATATTCGCTTGGGCGATGTTGTGGTCGGTGCGCCTCGAGGTGGCAAGAGTGGTGTTCTTCAATACGATTTTGGCAAGTCGATCCAGAATCAAAGTTTTCAGCATCCGTGGTTCTTCAACCTGCCGCCGGCTATATTACGCGCTGCAATAGCAGATATTCAAACACAATACGAGAGAAAAGGGCATCAATTCGAGGAGGCCATCAACAGCGTTCTTAGAAAGAACATAAGACTACGTCAGATGTACAAACGGCCAGAACCAATCGCGGATAGGCTGTTTCTTCCGGAAGTTATTCATCACCAAGTAGGCTGTGAGAAATGTGCAGCTGATCCTTCAACGTTGGTACTACGGAGTGAGAGGGCCGACGACAAATATAACCCTGCCATTCATTATGGCCTCATTGCTTCTAGCAATCAGTTAATGAAGGATGCTGTGATTCGAGATCGGCTTGCCGCGGAAAATGACGTTCTCTGTTTCGAAATGGCAGCCGCTGGGCTGATGAACACTTTCCCATGCCTAGTCATCCGAGGGATCTGTGACTACTCGGACTCACACAAGAACAAAGAGTGGCAAGGATATGCAGCTATAGTGGCAGCTGCATACGCGAAAGACCTTCTGCAGAGGATCCCTCCGAACAGAATTGAAGCCGAGGAGAGGGTCAGTGTTATTGTGTGTGGTAAGTCTAGCGAAGTCCTTTAATGATAAAGTTAGCCAATATTGACCTGGACACTACTCAGAGGAGCTGAAAGGCATCAACCATCGCTTAGATCAAGTATACAGTCAACAGGAGCGACACTTTAGTGAACAGATAGCAAGAGCCTTAACGGATCAGCAGCGCCGATGCCACCATCTGTTCAAGGTCGTTAACTACGCAGAGCAAAAGAACATCAACCAAAAACGGGCTAAGGGAACCTGTCGGTGGGCCTTGCAGAGCTCTGAGTACATCCGTTGGTGGGAAAGCAACAGCAATGACCTTCTCTGGGTGTCGGCTGACCCAGGCTGCGGCAAATCTGTCCTGGCCAGATCAATCATCGACGATTACTCAGAGAACTCCCATCCATCTGTGAGAATATGTTACTTTTTTTTTAATGAAAATGATCAGCAGAACAATCTTGCTACGGCACTATGTTCCGTACTTCATCAGCTATTTAGCCAACAGCCATATCTATTACAACATGCTATTCCGACCTGGGAAAAGAATGGGGAGACACTCCGACAAGAAGTCGATGAGCTTTGGCGGATCTTGATAGCGGTAGCGTCAGCTGACACATCATGTAATACCATTTGCGTACTTGACGCACTTGATCAGTGTCGCGAAATGGATCAGCGCCGATTCATTGAAAAGCTCCAAGCGTTTCATCGCCAGCCATCTTCGTTAATAGAGAAAAGCTGTCTGAAGTTCTTGCTAACCAGTCGTCCCTATGATCATATACAGTATCACTTTCGAGCAATCACCGCTTCTTTCCCACGTATACATATCAAGGGGGAGGAGCAGAATGACCAAATCCATGAGGAGATTGATCTAGTGGTGAGGGCTCGGGTGAGAGAACTAGCTGAGACAATACCACTCTCGCCAGATCTTCATCATCGAATCGAACAGCAGCTGCTTAAAACGGAACACCGTACATATCTTTGGCTACACCTAGCTATCGATGATATCCGCACTACCTTCAAAGACGGCCTCCGACCTGTAGAGGATTGGATTACGCTGATTCCACCTTCTGTGAATGCAGCATATGAGAAGATACTCTCTCGAGTCCCAGCCGATCAAATGGAAGAAGTCAAGAAGATCCTAGAGATCATCGTGGCGGCACGGCGTCCTCTGACAATACAAGAGATGGCTATGGCGTTGGGAATTGCTACTAGCTCAGGATCATCAACAAAACAGGCTGGGCTAGATCTGATTGGTTTAGACGGCATACTTCGGCGATGTTGCGGCCTGCTTATCTTTACTAGCAATTCGAAAATCTTCTTAATCCATCAAACAGCCAGAGAATTTCTCATTACGAAGAAAGATTCCAACAATCCCAATTGCGCATACTGGCACAGTCTGACTGATGCGGAAGATCAGATGGCTAAGATCTGTTTGCGATACTTGTTGATGGAGGATTCAAAATACGATGGTGAATCGGGCCCCTTTAGTGGAAGTTTCTTGGAATATTCAGCAGTACATTGGCCCGATCACGTACGAAACATGTCTTTGACTTCAATGCTAAAAGAAACGGACCGAGTGCATCGATTATACGACACGAATGGGAAACCTTTCTTGAGGTGGTTTCCCATTTTTTGGAGGACGATCAGACCATACGAAAGAGCTCCTGTGATGAGTGCACTGCATCTGGCAGCATTTAATGGCCATGAACAACAGGTATATTCTATACTTGATGTCGATGAAAATGACGTCAATGCACCTGATGATACAGGAATATATCCAGTCACGTGGGCTTCAATCAATGGACATGATAGGATTGTGCAACTTATGTTAGAGCGAGGAGCCGATGCGAACGCCCAGGGTGGAGAGTACGGAAATGCCCTCCAGGCTGCTTGTGATAGAGGACACGACAAGATCGCACAGATGCTACTAGACCAAGGAGCCGATGTCAACGCCCAGGTCGGATCTAACGGAAATGCCCTCCAGGCTGCTTGTGATAGAGGACACGACAAGATCGCACAGTTACTGCTAGACCGAGGAGCCGACATCAACGCCCAGGGTGGACGCTACGGAAATGCCCTCCAGGCTGCTTGTGACAGGGGACACGACAAGATCGCACAGTTGGTACTAGACCAAGGAGCCGATGTCAACGCCCAGGGTGGACGCTACGGAAATGCCCTCCAGGCTGCGTGTAGCAGAGGACACGACAAGATCGCACAGTTGCTACTAGACCGAGGAGTTAATGTCAACGCCCAGGGTGGACGCTACGGAAATGCCCTCCAGGCTGCTTGTGATAGAGGACACGACAAGATCGCACAGATGCTACTAGACCGAGGAGCCGATGTCAACGCCCAGGGTGGACGCTACGGAAATGCCCTCCAGGCTGCTTGTGACAGGGGACACGACAAGATCGCACAGTTGCTACTAGACCGAGGAGCCGATGTCAACGCCCAGGGTGGACGCTACGGAAATGCCCTCCAGGCTGCGTGTGGCAGAGGACACGACAAGATCGCACAGATGCTACTAGACCGAGGAGTTAATGTCAACGCCCAGGGTGGACGCTACGGAAATGCCCTCCAGGTTGCTTGCTCTAGAGGATACGTCAAGATCGCGCAGATGCTGCTTCAGCACGGAGCCGATGCTAACCTGACGGCTGGTAGCGTCTCTGCCCTTTCCTTGGCTACCCAAAGCCGGAATGGCGATCTTCTGGAATTGCTTCTTGTCTCCGGAGCAAATGTTGAAACAGCACTACAACCGCTAGATTCAACAGATGACCAGGCTTACCTGAAACAAAATGCGCTGGATTATGCTGCTGCTGCAGGAAATCACAACATGGTGAAGATTCTGATCTCAGCAGGAGCCGATGTCAATCATGCGTCGAAATCAGATCTTAGGGTGCCTTTGCACCTGGCAGCTGAATCAGGCCAAATTGACGTGATTACGGCATTACTTGATGCAAACGCGGACCCCACGAAGGAAGACAGCTTGTCTAGGAATGTTCTGTATTATGCTAGCCTTGCTGGTTCAACCTCAGTTGCTCAGATCCTTGAGAGTGCAATCGGTCACTACAACAGAGGATTCAAGCTCGGACTGTGCTACAGGGCTAATACCGGAGGATTTTCGGTGCACAAGGTCCAAATCACTAAGAGAATAAGCGACTATATTCTATTTTCAGACATCCTTCACGCATACAGACAAAGGCGATGTCAAGGATTGCGCCGATATTCTCTGAAGGGCCTGCAAGGTGTAAAGCCCGTCAAGGTGAAATAAGAAATCCTGTCTAACATTAAGAAGAGAATCTCTAACGCTTATTAGTATGAACTTATCTACTCGGATTCTGACCAACCAGCTATCACTGAAGATTATATGCCTCTCTCAAAGCTACTCGCGACATGTGCTGGCCAAGCGCATCTCTGCTCCATCATCATGAATCCTCCGGAACGGAGCAAGGGTCAAAAAATATGGGTGGATGTTATTATTCAAGAACTTGCCGAGGAGGATGGCTTTGGCCTTCTTTGTCTTGAGAGTTGAGTTATCAAAAGGATCACAGTGCTTGCTGTAGCATGTGTTGTGGGCGCGGGGTTGATTGGAATTTTGTGGGCTACAGTTTTAGATAAAACCTCCGATGGGTTCGCCATCACAGGATGTCTAATTGCTGCCGAAGCCCTAGCCATCAGTCTCATGCTTTTTGAGGCTCAACTTAGACCGGTCAACTAGAATATTCACTCCAGAACTATGGGGCGACAAATGGAAAATCTCTGTCCGAGATGACTACCTGTGCAGAACAAACTAGACGACGGGGAGACAGCCAACACAACTGTCTGCGTCACTACGCATCGTGTACAGTCAATAGCGAAATTCACTTCTTCATCGACGACGGCTTTTCGCTTTCGTGAACTCACTGCTGAGGTGATACTTTATGAATTCCACCACGATCATTTGAAGGGCACAGTAAAATGCTTCTGGACTATGACCGTTGCGATCAATGTTTAATAAGTAACGCTTCCTGTAGTTAACTAAATGTTGGATGTAATTACAGCAAGGGATACAGTATTTTACTCCACATATTGATAACGGCTCTCAACTTTAGAATGGCTAGATCAATGAATATTCTACGCTGATGTCTTGGCAGCCGTTCCCAGGAAAGTAAAGGCAGTCTTTAGGAGGAAGCTGTTTTCGCTGGTGACTGTAAGAGGATGCATGTTGTAGGCTGTGAAAGAAAATCCAAGTCGCTTTACACACTGTCGGGGATTGATGGCATCAGGCCTTCTCACATTATTTGCGGGGACCAACTTCCGTGGTATTCCATAGAATTCTGGTAAGCCTTGTGTAACTTTACTAGCCAGATACGATATACAGTATCGTACACATGACGCCTAGTGTCCCTCAATTAGATAAGTTCCGCTCAATAGATGATCTGCGCTAAGGCCTTGGCAGCGGAGCTAGAAAGAGTGTCCAACGTACTGTATTCTGCATTTATCCCTACATAGACTTTGACTATGGTGGTCACTTATGCCTTTTCTATTGTTATGCCTGCATGTCTGAAATGACCTTCCGCGCTCTCCTGTTTTGCACCAACTTCATGAACACACCGCCGGAGGAAGGCATGAAACCCTTGGTCCGGATTCTCTTCGTATGCTGACCAAAATTTTCTGATATAAGCCTTGAGCTCCGCGAAGAACTCTTCGATAGGGTTGAAATCCGGGGAGTAAGGAGGTAGGTACAGTAGTTTAACTCCCGCGTTAGCACATAACTGCTTGATTCGGTCCGAATGATGGAAAGACACGTTATCCATAACAAGCACAGATTTTGGCTCCGGCCACCTCCCACAATGCTGCAGAAGCTGCTCGATAAAAGATTCGAATAATGTAGCGTCCGTTGAGCCTTTGAAAATACGAGACAAAATGATCCCATCTTGAGCATATGCAGGCAGTATCTGGAAGCGTTGGCCGCAATGAAACTTCGACACTTGGACCGGTGTCACCCCGAGCGGTGACCAGCCAGTCTGCCTATATCCAATTCTTTTATCACATCCGGATTCATCAACAAATAACAGATGATATGACCGAAAATTGGATAGCTTATGCTGGTAGAAGTCTCGTAGCTGAGGGTTCTGTTCTTTGGCTATCTGCTGTGCTTTCTTTTTTGTCCAGCCAGCATGGGAAAGAGCACGCTTGATGCTAGATGACGATGGTAATATGTTGAACTCATCCCAGAGGAAAATAGCCATCTCTTCGGCGTATAGGCCAGGCTTTTGGACGAGGTGGTCACAGAGGGCGTCAAGCATAGTAGGGGCGATACTTGGTTGTCGACCGACCGAGACTTGGGGAGATCTGGCACTACCGAATAACCGCAAGTTCTTGCGGATGTTAGTGATAGAGCGCTCGCTACACTGCGCGACCTTTGCCATTTGCGATGTAGTGAGTTTGCTCTTGCTACATATCATATGAATAATCATCTTACGCTGCCAGGTATTGATGTTTCTGGCCATTCTGTAAGGGGTTTGGGTGATGCAGTTGCTAGGTTGGGAATTTGGATGAATATCCATTTGGCGGTTTTCTTGTTGGGGGGGATTTAAATTTGGATATGGGTTATTTTTGGACATGTCGCAGTACATTACTATACAGTCTAATACTTTCAGCCGTAATATCATGCAACCCTGGAACAGATCCAAAAATACTATGCTAGCCATATAAGGTTTAGCGGACCACGTGACTAGGGTTTGAATGACTATCTCTCTGTTTCTAGATATGGAAGGCAATACCGGGCGGCACTGTAACTTTGACGGACAGTCTGAGGGATTTACGAGAGCGTAGCCTTTCAGCACATGGTAGTCATATAATTGAAAGCGACCAAAATAAGCGATACGCCGTTTAAAGACTAGATTTCTGATAGAAACAGGGAATAAAGTTAGTTAGCCGTCGCCCAATTTACTACCACGTAGCATTTGGTGTAGTCCCGAACGCTTATCTAGATTAACATTATGAACCAATAGCCTTTTGAGCACTTTCATTGGTGGTGGTGCTACCTCGCTTTGCATGTTTAACGTCCTACACTAGCTAATATGCTTTTAAATCGCGCAAGAGAGGTAAAAGAAGAAACCTGATATTTTATAGAACTGGCACAGCGCTTGTAGACCCAAACATATAATCTAAACCCACTTGATATTCACTTTACCTTGATGACCGAGTGATGTTTTCTAGGTCACCGAGAGGAAAAAGTATACGACAGGACACTAGAAAAGAGGGCAATAGAATCCAGGAGAACAGCGTTGTATCATATAGCCGGTCTTATAAAGATGGGGAATAAAATAGTTCGTTTAATGAACCAAAAGTCTTATCAATATAGAATGTAGCCTAGTGCGATGCCCGCAGATGCTTAGCACCTTTTGCGTTTGCCAATGTAGGTTAACCCACTATTGGAATCGAAACCCATGTCGTCATGTACCTCGCTAAAATCTCCCTTTCAAATTTCCATACTCCCTATCTTTCTTCCCGATATCTTCTTCATAGACGTCGAGAAAGCGTCCACGGGTCGACCCGTTCCCACTCTTAGAATAGGCGCTTTCAAAAAGACTGCGATTGTCGTTATCTGACCCACACCAAGCGGAAATAAAACGTTCCCTGGATAGTGTGATCAGGCATTCATGGTTCCTCACCAGTACCGAGACAGAGGTATTCCCCTTGATGATGATAACCCCACATGTGATGAGATGGCCAAATGGGGTAACCCCTCCGTGAAGGTGGCCCGCCTGACGTTCTTCAGGGAAATAGATGAACCTTTAGCGCCCAGCTAGTGAAATTGCAGCAATGTGACCGACGCCCACGGAGAAGTTATGGGAAGCTAAGATTCTGCTCCCTGTACGCGACCCCTGATGATCCAATCGGCTCAGGCGGGAGAATTGGCATTAGAATATTCAATCTCCGCCTCGGCTAGCGAGGAGTCAATCATTTCTTGAAAGAGAGGAACGTGTCGAGAAATTCTCTTTTCTCGGCTCTGCATTTGCTGTCAGGCACCAATGTAATTATCCGTCTCTCGCTGGCGACGGGGAGATTCGGTGTAGCTTGAAGTATACAAAAGATTCATATAAGAGGATTCTTGTCGGAAATTGAGGACCTTGATGATTACATCTCCTATGGTTCCAAGATTATAGCTTGCTACAATGCTTATCTCTAAGTGGATTGCTTTTGCCGGTTTGCTAGGTGTTGCAGTCGCTTCTCCTGGCAAGTCTTTGGCGAAAAGAACTACAGTGGACGAGGTGCTCACTGATATTGAGGGGGCGGTGACGTGTGCTGCCTGCGAGGTGAGTGATCCTGCTGGTGTCACTGATCTTCAGGAACAACATAACCAGGCTGACCATATACCACAAACAGGCCTTGCTCGTAGTCCTTCAGGCTCTGGCCCATGTAGGCAATGATGATTTCGTCGATGTCATCACCGACGTCTGTATTTTGGCGGGGGTTCGTGAAGTTACTCTGATAAATCGATCCTGGCTGACGCTCGTTAAAGGTGGAAGACTCGGACGTCTGTACAGGTGCGATCGCTCGAGAAGGCCCAGTACTAGCTCATGATCTTCGCGAGATGAGCATCCCTTCTAAGACGGCGACTCTCTTCTGCTCAACTATTTTCGGACTTTGTGACTACCCTGCCGTTACTGAATACTCTCTCGACTTTCCATCCGCAAAGCCAGACACTTCTCGCCCATCGCCCAGTGGCGAGACACCGATTCAAGTCGTCCACATCAGTGATATCCACGTTGACCTGTTTTACGAAACTGGCGCAAGGTATTTCATTCGTCGATACATTAATTCCCTTGGAAGCAACTGCTGACTTGAATTAGCTATAACTGCACCAAGAACATCTGCTGTCGCCCATATACTTCAGCCGACGCTCCTGGAAATACTAGCTATCCTGCTGGTGAATATGGAAATCACAACTGTGACGCTCCATTGAGTCTGGAGCAATCGATGTATGAAGCAGTGGCCACCTTGGTGCCCGATGCTTCATTCACCATCTTCACTGGCGATGTGGTCGAGGGCGCTGTTTGGCTTGTCAACGAAACCGAAGTTACCAACGATCTGAACGACGCCTATCAAACACGCATGCCTAATTATCTTAACTTGGTCTACCCTGTTATTGGAAATCATGACACTGCCCCCGTCAATTCCTTCCCGCCAAGCGATATCGACACCACACTGGGTAGTGACTGGGCCTACTCTACCCTCAGCTCCGACTGGACTCAATGGATTGGATCAACAGCCGCGACCACTGCCGATAACTACGGTGCTTACTCCGTCTTGTATCCCCACGGCAACCTTAGAATCATATCTTTCAACTCCAACTTCTACTACAAGGAGAACTTCTGGTTGTACGAGAAGACCATGCAGTCGGATCCCAATGGCCAGCTGGCATGGCTCGTAACTGAGTTAGATGCAGCTGAAACTGCTGGCTCCCGGGTCTGGCTCGTAGGACACATGCCAATGGGAGGATCAGACGCTTTCCATGATGGATCTAATTATTTCAACCAAATCATCCAGCGTTACGACGCAACTATCGCCGCTACCTTCTATGGACACACCCACAAGGACGAGTTCGAGATCGCTTACTCGAACTATTCCAACCCAACTGCCGACACTGCGACTATGATGTCCTACATTGCACCCGCCCTGACTCCGACCTCTGGAAACCCTACCTTCCGGGTTTACTCCATTGATCCAGTCACATTTGGTGTGCTCGATTTCGAGGTTTACATCGCGAACATGTCGGACCCGAACTACCAGACCAAGCCAACTTGGGAGAAGTACTACTCTGCGAAGGAAACCTATGGCTCTCTTCTCACCCCGGCTGTCACAGACAGCTCTGCTGAACTGACTCCTGCCTTCTGGCACAACCTAACTGTCCTGTTCGAGGAAGACGACACTGTTTTCCAGGACTATATTGCTCGCAAGTCTCGAGGATGGGATTATTCATCTTGCACTGGAGACTGTAAGACTGATGAGATCTGCCAGCTTCGTGCCGCTGAATCGCAGTATAACTGCGTGACCATCACCCCCGGCATTAGCTTCAAGAAGCGTGATATTTCCACTAAATTGCACGAAGAGAGCGTATGCGGTGAATCTGTTATTGGGACTATGTTCTCGGATTTCGAGGGCGCTGTGTCTGCACTCAAGTCGTCCTTGGCTTCGAGTTTCTTGAACACCACGGTCAACTCTACTGTCGCGTAAACCATGTTCAATCAGGATTAGAAGGAGTTTGGTCATATTTCGCCTATTTATGTTAACCTCCCGAAATTGAACCCTAGATTGTACCCTAAATTGAGCCTTAAATTGAGCCTTGAATTGGAGACGCCGTCTCCACGTTCAGACAAATCCGCAGTGTTGATAACGAAACTAAAATGATTCAATCAAATGATCTGTCAGCTTTTTAAGGCAATTTATAAACTTCTTCCAGGGCTTGTCCCACATTATCGGACACGTTCCATAGATACCATAGGACAATTAGTCTACACCATAGAGGGCTGTCTGCCCACGACAATCGCATGAGCTTAGCGCCTCTATAGCCTCGGAGAAATATAGGAGACAATCTGCCCAGGCTCTAGTTCATCTCGGTTAAATATTCGGGGCGTCCGGCATACCGACACGTGGTCCGGTTATAGGCCTGTGTGTTCCCCGTTGACGCTAACCTATAATTGCAGCTAACCACAACCAACGCGTCTCCGGGGAGTCCTTGGCGAGAGAAGTATATAGACCGTGCCGATTGCTTCTCAAATGTTGCATCTAGCAAGACAAATTCGAAGTGCTTCGGCAACTCATTCTTTTAACCATGGCCAACTCTTTGTCTATCCTTTCAGTTTCTTCTTTAATGTTGGCTGCCGCGGCTAATGCCGCGACGCTGGCCCCAGCGAATGATATTTTGTTTCCTTCGACCTCGAACTCCCAGAACCCTTTGATCTATTCTGGAGGGAACACTCCTTGGTATGCCGGTCCCAATGTCAATGGTATGAGTAATTCTGTACCCAAGACATGCACCGTGCAGCAAGCGGCATATGTCGTGAGACACGGTAGCAGGTATGACACCCAGTGAATGCGCATGAAGCCTTTTCTTACATATCAAAGATTCCCTGATTCTGGCTCTTATTCATCTTGGGTCAATCTTCACGAGAAGGTAAGCATTATTCCGGATCCTTCGTGGTTGTAAACGACTAACACGACTAAAGATCCAAATCGCCGTCAACGGCTCTGGTTTCAAGGCTCGTGACGAGCTGGCCTTCATTTCCGACTGGAGCCCGGTTCTGACCAACCCAACTTTGCAAATTGCTCAAGAAACTATGACTGGATGGAAGGAGGTATGAGATGCATTGGCTCTGCAGGTTATTTGAAATAGTGCTGATGAATATTAGGCTCGCGATCTTGGTTATCAACTCCGGGCTCGCTGTAAGTCTATCTGCGTTGCCTTGAGGCTATGACTGACAGTGATAGATCCCGACTTCTACGAGGACGGTAACCCCTTCTACGTTTGGGCGAACCAGTACGCCTCTCCTATCATCAAGTCTCGAGTAGTCCAGACCGCGCGCGCGTTTGTTCAGGGTTACCTCTACGGCTTTGCTAGCACCGCAGGCACCGTGGTCAGTGTCAACTCGACCGGCTCTATTAGCGCCATTGGTAATTCACTGGGACCTTCAGATGGGTGTCCAAGTTTCGCGGCCGGATCCACTGGAGGAAACAATGTCACCAACTGTAAGTCTGAGGAAGAAAGATGAAAGATTCTAAGCAAGAATTTCCATTGACTATTACATCCAGTCGATGCTACTTGGGTCCCGACGGCTCTGAAGCGCATCAATTCCATGATCAGCGGAAACCTGACCTTTGATGAGACCGACATCCTGTTCTTCCCCTATCTGTGCGGATACGAGAGCCAGATTACCGGTAATATCAGCCCGTGGTGCAGCGTGTTCACCCAGAAAGAGCTGCAAAACTATGCCTACTCCCAGGATCTTAGCTACTACTACAGTGTCGGCCCCGGAGCCGTTGGTGGACCGGCACCTAAGCTTTTCCTGCCTTTCCTCCAGAGCCTGACCACTTTGTTGAGCAAGGGGCCTGGCCAGACCGGTATCGCCGCTGATGGCGGCAATTTCACCGTTCCCAACCTGATCATGGCTTTCCTCAATGATAACCAGATCGCCGAGATGACGGCTGCCATGGGTATGTTCGATAATGAGGACCCTCTGCCCGATGACCACGTCCCCAAGGATCACCTTTATAATGTCTCTCACTTCATCACCATGCGCGGTACTGTTGCCTTTGAGGTTCTGAACTGCGAGGTTGGCCATGGAAGAAAGACTTCTGACGAGCTCTACCTTCGCATTATGTTCAACGATGCCGTTTACCCTATTCCCCGCTGCCAGAACGGTCCCGGCAGTAGCTGTTTGCTCTCGGATTACATCTCGATGATTGAGAAGAAGAGCAAGAAAGCCGGCAACTGGCTCGACTACTGCGATGTGACTGAGACTACGGAGCCTGTGGCTGGAGCTAGCTTCTTCACTGATCTGTCACTGGACTTTTTGACTATGGTCAGCCCGTGAGCAGTCTTTCTTTTCTTGTATATTGTCGAGGCTGTGTACGGCGGCCGATAGAGACACTCGAGTCATAGCATAACCTTTTCGGGCTTACCGTCCTAGGTTCCGCTCTCAGCTTCATAGGTGTACTGCGTGATTAGATCCTCAAATAGTATAGTTATTGCCAGACCAGGAATATCATATAAACGGCTCTAAATCGGCAGTCATGACTTGTTCTCCCCGATGTATTCGATACTATTGAGAAGGACCCCTTGAAAAAGGAATCAAAAGATGGCTAAGAGCTTTAGCCCGTCCCTAAAAATAATGGTCAAGAAAGAACTAAAGGATTAGCTAATGGACGGCCCCTTTTCAATCTCTCCACTGTGGCTTGTGTCAGTTGGGCTATTAGTGTATAAGCTGGGGATCCGGCCGGTTCCTAAAGGGCTATGTATCGAATGTCTCTATCAGCCGCTGTAGCTGCAGGAAGTGCTGTGGGAAGTGCTGTGAAACGAAGGCCGTCCCTTCATTTCGTTTTCGGGGCCCGGAGCTTATCCCGATGACAGAGAACCAATAGAAAAGCCTCCTCTTGATTATCATCCAACCTTTGCCAAGCAACGCCTTATCTTTAGTCCGTTCACGATTGGTTGTAGATCCAATGTTGTAGGCAATATTAGGGACGTAGCCACGAGACAGCGAATTCGGCAAGGGAGCATGCGCAGCGAACAAGTCGAGTGGCAGTCAACATCACGGCCAAGTGCAGGTGCTTATCATATTGCAGAGCGCAGCGTGCAGCGTGCAGCGTGCAGCGTGCAGCATCCAGGCGTTGTTTGCCATGAGGCAAGAAGGCGCGAACCAAGCGGACAAGAAAGAAGGCCCAGAACCTCCGTGCTTTCCCCACCTGCCCTACGCTCGTGGAGAGGTCTGAGGTCCGGCTCCAGTCACTAGTGGGCTTGGTGCTCTAAACCGGTCTAAACCAGTCTAAATCTGTCTCAATATTAGACTAAGTGGTCCGAGACATGGGAGTCCCTGCAACGAACTCGACCAAACTTGAAAAGTGGCTTGGCTGTCAAAGTGCCTGGTTTTTAGAGTGGACATGCGCCCCCTCAGGGCCCAAAGGGGTGTACAGTATGACAATCCAAATTTAGAGAGGCGAAAACATTGGGAGTGACCACGGATGAAACATCCACCCGGTTCTGCTCGTCCCTGAACTCCCTTCCTTCGTATGGGACTGAACTTGTTCAATCCCTGCTCTCTGTCTTCACAGGCTTCGGTCTGGACGACTCTTTGATCATGGCCTACAACCTGGTCGCTCAGGTTGACGAAGTGGCCTCCCACTCGGGTTCCGACGCATCGCGCTCCCCATCTCCAACTCAAGCTGACCTGGGACCGAACCACCCAGGGTCAGGCCGGATCGACGACAACCAGGGACTAGGCCGACTGGGCTCAATACTCCAATCCATGTCCTCGACAAGCTACGATATAGTCGAGGCCGATGACTACGATGTCGATCCTTCCCTTGCGAGGCAATCGAGCAACCCCCGGAGCATTCCGCCGCTCAATACCAGTGTCGCGCGACATTCCTCGTCCGAAACCCCCTTGCGCAGCGCATCTAGCGATCTCCCGACCCCTCTTAGTCACCCAACTCCGGACCTCCAATCTATCCAGGGCGCCTACAAAGGAAATGTAGAGCGGTTGGAAATGAGCGCGGAGCGTCTCAGCCTCCATTCAGCAGACATCGGCAGCGAGATTCGCAGAATGGACCAGGAACAGAAGCGACGCTCCTGCAGCTCCGCGTCAAACTCAATCAAGATGCGGAATGGAGCATTCTCTCCAGGGGGGATCGCTTCACCCATTGGATCGACTATCTCCACGCGACAGCGCTCCGCGTCGGGCGCATCTCGCCTCGCCCAGGTGCCGGAGCCCGACTACGAAGGTCACTTCTTGGACAACTTCCCAGCCCGCTTGCCGATCCTCCCCGATTCGCATACCCCAGTCTATGCTCATGAAGATGAGGTCTACCAAGAACAATACGATGTCCCCGCGGATGTCGAGAGACCCGGAACGGCAGCCTCGGGTGATACCTACCAGCAGGCTCGAACACTATTTACTGACTTCGATGGCGTTCATTTCGCACCCTTGGACCGCATGAATACCGGACGGCAGCTATCTCTCACCCAACCGCCCCTTGCCAGCAAGCCGGAGCCATTCAAGGAACCCAAATTGGGCGAGCACATGGTGTACTACCCAGCTCCTGTCCCTCGCATGCTGAACCTTCCCCCAAAGCTATCCCGCAAGCCAATTGTAGAACGCGAAACGCGTCGCATGCAACTGTTGACCTCCATTGTCGCAGAAGACAGAAAGGCGGAGGCATGGCATGAGCAGGAAAAATCACGCGGTAATCAGAAGGAGAAACGCCCATCCACAATTCCACCGCAGCTTCGCGCAAGCGTCTTCTTTGAATCCCCGAGCCAATCGATAGAGGTTGATGTCAAGCAGGATTCGGCTGTTGCCACGCTTGATAGCATTCTCGACGCTTCGGCCAACGCACCTGTATCGGCCTTTACGGATCACCCTTACGCTGGTCAGGTTGGTTCGTACGTGTATACGAAGTCGAAGCGCAATGCCATAGCGAAAGATCCGAAGAAATTGAAGGCGCGGAATTCGCAGCTTTCCATGGGTCAGCATCAGAGTTCCCAGCGAGGTAGCACGGTTGGTTCGGAAGATCGAAGGGGTGAACAGCATCACGATGAGCATGATTCCGAGCTGTCAGGCAGTGAATCTGAAGAAGATGAAGATGCTTCAGGAAGCGAGGGGGATGAGGATGAGGACGACGAGGTCTCGGATTACGTTGGGCCGCCAAACACACTACTGGCAGAGCTAGAGTTGCGGAAACAAGAACTGAAGCAGCGACAACGTACGTTCGTGCCGAAGCCTACGCCGGGGATGAGGAAATCTCTCCTCGAGCTGGATGCAATGGCCCAGATGCAGAGCGAGAAAAGACGCCGGCGTCCAGTCACCCTGGCATGGGACAATCACAATGCCGATGACGAAGAGGTTCCGTTGGCTTTGCTTTACCCCGAGAAGTCCAAATCCAATCTTGCAGCAGAGGAGGACCGCCCTATTGGGTTGATGGAACAACGTCAATTCGAAGAAAATGAGCCATTGAGCTCACGTCGGGCGAGACTTCGAGGTGAACCCGTTCTTGAAAAACGCCCTGTCACTGTGTATTCGGAGAACGCTGCATCAGCCTCAGCCTCAGCAGCACCAGAACCAGAACCAGAGAGCGGTGACGAGGGTGAGACGCTAGCAGAGCGACTACGGCGATTACGAGGACAGAACCCGACAGAGAGCGAGTTTGCTCATGATCTCCTGGCCGAGATCGATCATCGAGCCGGAGTCGCACCCGCTTCGACTTCTGCTTCTGCCTCCGTGGAGCCCGTGGTAGCTCCCGAGGAAGAGACTCTGGCACAACGACGCGCTCGTCTTCAAAAGGAGAGTGGCGGCCAACAGGCAAACGTGAAGAACCCTCGCATGCGACGAAGCATGGCAGCTCTTCCCCAAGTCCGACCCAGACACGTCGTGCGCCAGTCATCTCATGATGTACTTGGCCGGCCCGGCATGATGCAGTATGGCAATCGAACGTCCATGCAACCGTTCTCAGCCCAGATGCAACAGCAGGGGATGAACAGAGCTTCATTCCAACCATCTTACGCCTACGGAACCGGATATCCGCCTGTTTATCCCTACAATATGGGCATGAATGGAATGGCATATCCACCACCGGGCGCCTGTGGCCCAACCATGCGACAGCCCATCATTGACCCCAATCAAGCCGATGTCATTGACCGCTGGAGACAGAGCGTCCACTATTAATATTGACCAACATTCTCATTTCTTATGTCTTTCTTCCCTCGTTCCATCCTCATAGCGTCGTCGTTCAGGCGTCCTTTTTTTTTTTTTTTTTTTTTTTTTTGGCTTTGGGTCGGGATATCCGTGTAGAGTAGCAAGCTTGTGTATGATTTGGAGAGGCAATTGGGTCTCTGGTTGGTTTTATTTCTGCATTATTTTGAGGCCTAGCTCAATCTATCTTTTGACACTTTTCCTTGATTGTTGATGTGGACTAGATCCTGGAATGATATGAAGCAGACAATCCATGGTTCGGTGCGTCAGTGGCACTAAATATACATTGGTGGCTAAAATCATCTCCGAGTCTGATAACATCCTAACTAATATTATTGAACGAGTAGCCGTGAGACTCTGATAAGCTAGCTAAAGCCGAGATTAAATTCCTGAATTAAAACCGACTACTGCATGCACATGTAAATAAGGAGGCCAGACACGAGGCGAAGCTCTGGGGTACGCTGCACCGGTTACGTCTCCTTTATCGGCCGATCATTTTTATTTTTATTTTCCATCTCTAAGTGTTGCTTCTCCTGATTTCGCTCTCGAGGTCATTCTTCTCAAAGCTACGAACCCTTGAGCTTCAACCCAAGTGGCTCGTGCAAGCCCCATCGGTGCCTGGTATGTGAGATTGAACCCAGTCCTGCTTCACCTCTTCTTAGGCTAAGACCTGCTACAGATGATAACCGCGATGGAGTCCCACGTCCCTTAAACTTTCACTCTGCTTCATATTGCGCCCAGGCCTACTGGATCTGTGGTCACGATGCCCCCGTCCACTGTCTTCTCCTACTGGCGACGCGACCACCGCCGCTCGACCGCGCCGCCCGCATCGTCTCCAGCCTCGAAAGGTTCAAATGACAGCCCACCCGCACTCGGCCCTCCTCAGCTCCCCGAGATCCCTGATACCCCTACCATTACGACCCCGTTCGATGTCAACCAGTCATACGATGCCCCGCCTTGGGCCGATTCCCCGCTAGAGATCGATGCTTCAAAGCTCAACTTCAACACATCCGTCGCGCCACTGTCTTCCTCTGTGAGCCTGGCCGTTCCATCACCTTCCCCCGAGAAAGATAATCGCCCGAACTCGAGTCCTAATGAGAGTGTGCCTGAGCTGGGCCTTGCGTCGCAGCCCCACAGTTCCCAGCCGTCTGACAGCATGCTGCGACCAGAGCAGGGAGATGTCGAGTCGAACTCGAAGCCAAATTCGCCTTTTCGTCTCTCTTTCGGGGGAAGACCGCGTGCTTTGCAAACGCCAACTACCGAGGGACAGAAGCGTTCACCCACTGCGGGACCAGGGAGCAGTTACTTTGGATTGAAAACGTCACCAGGAGAATCACCCTCAGAGAAACCGGTCATGCCACACAAGGAATCCAGGATAGAGGGTGCGATTACTCGGTGGGCAGGAGACCGTGAAGTACCCGGGGATCATGCCCATCACAAGCCGGGGAAGGCAATGCTTCATCTCTTGAACCCGATGTCCCTGCTGGCTCGCCGACGATCGTCTCAGATTGGTAGTTCGCGCGTGGAAAACCCGAAGATTGGTGCGCAGAGCTCGATTCCTGCAATTCCTGACGACTATGATCCTCGAATTCGCGGAAACATTGTGCATGACTTCTCTGCCCCCAGACCACGCCGCACCTTATCGGGCACTCCGAGCGGCCCTACACCGTCTGATGACAACAGCAATATGCAAGATGCTTCACCATCACAGAGTGGTCTAAGCCCCGCCACCCGGTGGAACAACCAGACGAGGAGACACAGTGATCACTCACCCGTGTTTAAAGAGCATTTCGAGGACGATCAGAATGTACTCCAACCTGAGAAGAAGGGTTATCTTCAATCGTCATTATTGACAAATCCCACACAACATGGATACGAAAAATCAATTCCAGTCTTTGCGAGAAAGCTGCCTTCTCACTTGCCAGAGGAGCAGAGTCCTGAGTCTGCAGAACCGAATGTGTCTCCACCAGCAGAGCTTCTTGCAGAGCTTCCCGCAGAGCTCCCTGCTGAGCCACCAAAAGCAACTATGCCCGAAGATCAACAAAACCAAACCGATCCAGATATTATTCCAAATGTGCCACATCCACCCTCGAGCATTCCAAGGCATCTTAAGAGCAATTCTTCGCGATTCAGCTTCGACATGGGTGGCGTGGAGTCATCCGTCCAAGAGAAGCTCCTCGAGGAGAGACACAAGGCAAAAGAGGCTACACGTAAAATGGAAGATGGATATTTTGATGACTTCGACGATGACTTCGATCATGACCTCATGGACGACTTGGACGACTTGGAAGAGAAGATCCCTGGTGTCAATGCTGACGCCGATGATGATGATGATGATGATGAGTTCTCTACGCCCTATCTTAACGTGAAATCCTGGGCTGCTCCAAAGCTGTCACCTGTGGTTGCGAGCCCCATTACTCCAGCGCCTCCTGAGATTCAAGCCAACACGACTCTAACGAAGTATCTTGACCCCGAGGCTGACTCTCCAACTTCGTCTTATTCATTCGAAGATGATGAGACGCAACAAGGGCTCGCTCAAGCAGAACAGTCAGACCAATTGCGACCGCCCTTTCCTGATCACACTGAAATCTTGGGAGCTGCGCCACAGGTTCCAGACACTCATCAAAGACAGATCATCCACGATGAGGACGATATGTACTTTGACGACGGGGAATTCGGCGACCTTAGCCTCGATGACCAGGATGGAAGATTCGACGAGACTGTTTTTGACGACGTGACAAGCCACCTCTATGAGCGGAAGCCAGTCATGCCACAAGAAGCTCAGAATCCCGAAGCTGATGGGCCTGATGACGAGTCTTTACAGCATGACATTGATGACCTGGAAGAAAATGCTACCCATAGCCTCAAGCACATGCCCAGCGTGGCTAGTACTTACCAGACGACGTCTGTCAAGCGCGGTCCACTCGGCGAGCCGATTCCAAACATGGGACCTGCCAGGGGTCATGGCGGCGTGCTCACGGAGCAAAACTTGGATATCTTGCACAATGCGTTGGCTTTTGCAGCCAACGAAGCAGCGAGCAAGAGCCGAGTTGAACGCAATTTCAGTACAAGTGATCGGTCTTTAGGACAGGAGAGTGTCCAAACCGCACAGACGGTGGATTCTCAACCTGGTCTAGTATCGGATGATAGCCGCCTTAGCCAGGGGCCTGATATCATGACCTTTGAAGAATCCTACGACGATCAGATCTTAGATGATGATGCGTACTGGGATGACGCGATTATCGCCGCAGCCAATGCGGAAGCTCTAGAAAACGACGACGACGGCTTCTACGGCCAAGAATTCGGTTTCTATGCGGAAGCACATGATACCGCCAGTTCCGAGCTTACGAATGGAGGCTACTTTGGCCCTCGAGGCGTCGAGAGCATCACCCGCAGCCACAGCAGTCGTGGCAAGTTCCAAGAACCCAGCCTCACCCCCATCACTGAACGGAGTGAATGGAGTACGCGCAACTCAATGATTTCGCTAAAGGCACACGGTGCTGCTCACTCCAACCCTTCTTTAGCAAGCCCGGGCCTAGCCCAGCTAGTGGATATGGGCAATCTCGATGACGAAATGTCACTAAGCGCCCTTATGAAGCTGCGCCGGGGTGCATGGGGCGGAAGCAATGGAAGCTTGCGGAGCAGCGCGGGCAGTCCGCCACCTCATACCCTTCCGTCCTCCAACCGTGCCAGCTTCACAGGGGCATCTGATGCGAGTCCCTCGGATGTGCGGCCCCCTGCCGACGACGGGTTGGCAGGAATTGGCTATCACCAGGACGATAACAACCCCTATATGGCCTCACCGCTCAAAGATCTTGCCGATCTCCCGATCCACGGAATAGGCGGACCGAACAACACTGAAAGCGATGTTGACATGCCGGCTTTGACATCCCAGCATGTCAATGTTTTGTAAACATTCACTTGGATATACTCGTCACTTTTTGGGCGTTCCTCTTTGCATATGATCTTTTTCTCCATCATCTAATTACGATCTAATGACTACCCGAGTGATTGCGTTTCCGGTTGGCAATTTGCTCTACGCCTATGCTGCTTGTTTGTATTTTTGGGAGGAGAGGGAAAGCCTATGGTTAGCACCCCATGTCTATATGGACCGACAGTTACGAAACAAGTCCATCAGGAACAGTATATAGAAAACATTACAAAATGGTAATTGAGTTGACCACTATTGGGCCGAAAACACCCGCAAAGGGGCCGAAATGCTTAGCCGGGGGCGGAGTGTGGCTTGTCGTCACATAAAAATATCGGCTACTGTTCGGGCTGACTCAGCGCACCAGCCTCAGGCCGCCATTCCCTGAAGGTCTTGTTCTTGTTCTGGCTCTTTCTTGCTCTGCCTCTCCACTCACCTTTCCTCCGTTTTGTACCAGCAGAGTTTCTGCTCTCTGATGATTTCCGATCCTATACAGGTGTTACGGCAGTACTAGTCGACACCTGTCTTTTGCGCATACCCCCTTTAGTACGTGTTCACTTCCTTTCCTCCGTGTTTCGGTATCCTCGGCAGATCCATCACAAACCCGGCAAACTCCATCAACTGGGGGATTCTTGAGCAAACCCCAAGCTAACTTGCGCGCGTGCAGCTGGTTTGACTCGAGAGAATCTTTGAGTCTGAACTTTCAGTTTCTCCCCTTCTCATCACAACTACTTCGGATTCATCTCCGCGATCACCGAAAAACTCCGCAATGTTTAGAAACACTGCCCTGAAGGCCACCCACAGCGGTCTGCTGCGTGGTGCGACCTCGACATGCCGTCGGTCCGTCCACCTGGCCGCGAAGAGTTCCAACTTCGGCCTGTCTGCACGCCGTCCTATGGCTGTCGCCAACCGCGTCTTCAACGGCGCTCGGCTCTATGCTTCGTCCGTAGAGGCGGGAGTGGTAAGTTTGCAACACACCCTGATCAAGCGCGATCCAATTCGAGATGCGCGAAGGGAATCCCCCAAATCCCGGCCATTTCACTAACGCGACGGCACGACTTTGCCTTTCTGAACAATAGGACCCTAACGATTCCTTCCTCTCCGGCAACACTGCCAACTACGTTGACGAGATGTACATGGCCTGGAAGCAAGATCCTTCCAGCGTTCACATCTCGTGGCAGACCTACTTTCGCAACATGGAGGATGGCAACATGCCCATCTCTCAGGCTTTCACTCCTCCCCCAACCATCGTCCCTACCCCTACCGGCGGTGTTCCCCAGGATATGCCTGGCGCTGGCATGGCCGCTGGTACCGACGTCACCAACCACTTGAAGGTCCAGCTTCTTTGCCGTGCCTACCAGGCCCGTGGCCACCACAAGGCCAAGATTGACCCTCTCGGCATCCGTGGCGACGCTGAGGCTTTCGGCTATAGCAAACCCAAGGAGCTTGAGCTTGACCACTACGGTTTCACTGAGCGCGACCTCGACCAGGAGTTCGCCCTCGGACCCGGTATCCTGCCTCGTTTCCTGACCGACGAGCGCAAGAAGATGACTCTGCGCGAGATTATCGACGCTTGTGAGAAGATCTACTGTGGCTCCTACGGTGTCGAGTACATCCACATCCCCGACCGCAAGCCTTGCGAGTGGATCCGTGACCGCTTCGAGATCCCCGAGCCCTACAAGTACTCGGTTGACGACAAGCGCCGTATCCTCGACCGTCTGATCTGGAGTTCCAGCTTCGAGTCCTTCCTTGCTACCAAGTTCCCTAACGACAAGCGCTTCGGTCTGGAAGGTTGCGAGACCCTGGTCCCCGGTATGAAGGCCTTGATTGACCGCAGTGTCGACTACGGTGTCAAGGACATCGTCATTGGTATGCCCCACCGTGGCCGTCTGAACATTCTGTCCAACGTCGTTCGCAAGCCCAACGAGTCCATCTTCAGTGAGTTCGCTGGCTCTGCTGAGCCTTCTGATGAAGGCTCCGGTGATGTTAAGTACCACTTGGGTATGAACTTCGAGCGTCCCACTCCCTCCGGCAAGCGTGTCCAGCTTTCTCTGGTCGCCAACCCCTCCCACTTGGAGGCTGAGGACCCCGTTGTGCTCGGCAAGACCCGTGCCATCCAGCACTACAACAACGACGAGACCAAGTTCGACAGCGCCATGGGTGTCCTGCTCCACGGTGACGCTGCCTTCGCTGCTCAGGGTGTCGTCTACGAGACTATGGGCTTCGAATCTCTTCCCGCCTACTCTACCGGTGGTACCATCCACATTGTTGTGAACAACCAGATCGGTTTCACCACTGATCCTCGCTTTGCTCGTTCCACCCCCTACTGCTCTGACATTGCCAAGTCCATCGACGCTCCCGTCTTCCACGTCAACGCTGACGATGTTGAGGCTGTCAACTACGTTTGCCAGGTCGCTGCTGACTGGCGTGCTGAATTCAAGCGTGACGTTGTCGTTGACATTGTCTGCTACCGTAAGCAGGGTCACAACGAGACTGATCAGCCTTCGTTCACCCAGCCTTTGATGTACAAGCGCATTGCCAACCAGAAGGCTCAGCTTGACACCTACGTCGCCAAGCTGATCGAGGAAGGCACCTTCACCAAGGAGGACATTGATGAGCACAAGAAGTGGGTCTGGGGCATGCTCGGCGACAGCTTCGACCGCAGCAAGGACTACCAGCCTACATCCAAGGAGTGGCTGACCTCCGCCTGGAACAACTTCAAGACCCCCAAGGAGCTGGCTACTGAGGTTCTTCCCCACCTTTCCACTGCTGTGGGCGCCAAGTCCCTCCAGCACATCGCCGACAAGGTCAGTGGTGCCGACGCCCCCAAGGGCTTCACTCTCCACAAGAACTTGAAGCGTATTCTTGCCAACCGCAAGAAGTCCGTTGACGAGGGCAAGAACATTGACTGGTCCACCGCCGAGGCTCTCGCTTTCGGTTCCCTCGTTGACGAGGGCTACCACGTCCGTGTTTCCGGTCAGGATGTTGAGCGTGGTACTTTCTCCCAGCGTCACGCCGTCCTGCACGACCAGGAGACCGAGGCCACCTACACTCCCCTGAAGAACATCAATGAGAAGCAGGGCAGCTTCGTCATCTCCAACTCGTCCCTGTCCGAGTTCGGTGCTCTTGGCTTCGAGTATGGTTACTCTTTGACGTCTCCCGAGGCTCTTGTCATGTGGGAGGCCCAGTTCGGTGACTTCGCCAACAACGCTCAGTGTATCATTGATCAGTTCATTGCCTCTGGTGAATCCAAGTGGCTGCAGCGTTCCGGTCTGGTTGTCTCTCTGCCTCACGGTTACGACGGCCAGGGCCCTGAGCACTCTTCCGGTCGCATGGAGCGTTGGCTCCAGCTTTGCAACGAGGAGCCCCGCGTGTTCCCCTCTGCTGACAAGCTGGACCGCCAGCACCAGGACTGCAACATGCAGATTGCCTACATGACGGAGCCCTCCAACTTGTTCCACATTCTCCGTCGCCAGATCCACCGCCAGTTCCGCAAGCGTATGTTGAATCCCCTCTGCATTTTGAAATCATGAACTAACCATCTTCCTAGCCCTTGTGATCTTCTTCTCCAAGGCTCTGCTGCGTCACCCTATTTGCCGCTCCGATATTGAGGCCTTCAGCGATGACTCCCACTTCCAGTGGATCATCCCCGACCCCGCCCACGGCACCGCCATCGACGCCCCCGAGAAGATCGAGCGCGTTGTCATGTGCTCTGGCCAAGTTTACGCCGCTTTGGTCAAGCATCGTGAGGCCAACGGCATCCGCAACACCGCCATCACCCGTGTTGAACAGCTTCACCCCTTCCCTTGGGCCCAGCTGAAGGAGAACCTCGACAGCTACCCCAACGCCAAGAACATCGTCTGGTGCCAGGAGGAGCCCCTGAACGCCGGTCCCTGGTCGTACGCCCAGCCCCGTATCGAGACCCTTCTGAACGCCACTGAGCACCACAGCCGCCGTCACGTCATGTACGCCGGCCGCTCGCCTTCCGCCTCCGTTGCCACTGGTACCAAGTCTGTTCACCTGAAGGAGGAGCAGGAGCTTCTCGAGACTGCTTTCTCCATTCACCAGGAGCGCCTCAAGGGCGAGTAAATGCCTGTTGATTGGGTTTCTCTGGGAGATAGCGTCTGATTTGGGTTTCATTTGTACTACCGCACCCTCTGCATGAGTTGTCGCTTGTGCTCGCAGCTGGTGTATAGACCTGTCGTGCTCTTTCCTGATTACCGACGAGTTTATACCTAGATCACCTATGTTTGTAAAATACAAATCTCATTTACTTGTTGCAATTGGAAGAATTGGTCTGCTAGGTTTGTAATAACTCGAACGTAGCGTAGAAGCTTTGAAGAAGAAATCATTCAAAAGGGTCTGATAACGCTTGTTTTCACAAGTGTAACTAGTAACAAGGCCTCGATTTCTGGTATTCATTCCCTGACATTATCCATCGGTACGAAAGGAAAGTATTCAACGCCTCGAAAAGCAACAAAGCACCCCAGTCTTCGCCAGGAACCAAAGAGCTCCAAGAAATCGGAAACAAGACAACCCAGAGGTCCCCCAAAGAATAACTTTGAAATACCACGCCGTCCGCAAGGTCGATGTGGTCTATCAAAACGTTAGCACCTGCTTGCTCACAACTCTAGTTCCAACATACCGTCAAGCAAAGCTGCTTCACTCCAACATTGTTAATATACAACGCCAAAAGCCCATTACTAAAGGTCCACAGCAGCACCAAGTTCGTCCGGAACGACTTGTACGAATCATCCAAGTTAACCTCCTTCTGCTCCTCCGGCTCAACCCACTTTTCCAAAGCCCTCTTCACCGCAAGCTCAAATTGCACATCAATATCAACCTGCGGCTTGTCCGGCTCCTCCAAATACGGCGCCTGCCCCAAAGCCGCTTGAAGATCCGATTTCGTCCTTGCCGAGGGCAACGCATCAGCATTATCAGACCCCTTCGTGCCCCATGATACATCATGCCAGTTGCAAAATGCATAGACCATCAGAATATTGATTGAAGAAGGCATGCCTAAGAAATACGCCCAGGATGAAGTGAACATGTGCCATGGGTCCATGTATAGGAAGCTGGCGATGAAGTAGATGCCGTATGTGGAGACTAGTGCGACGAGGACGATTCCGCCGGTTGAGGTGACGAAGGAGCTTAGGAAGCCGCCGATGCCGTTTTTGAAGTTGAAGTCGAGGTTGTCGCCCGTTAGGGCCTGGGCGACGAGGTAGAATGATAGGACGAGAATGTAGGCTTGGACGATTGAGAAGTAGATTAGAGAGAGTGTATATGGAAACCTCGATCTGTACATAGGAATATGTTAGTAGGTGCCACAGGGTGGTGGGGTTGTAACGTACCCTTTTGGTCGATTTCCGAGAGCCAGGATGAATTGGAGCATGAGGAATGCTAGATAGCCGATCTTGAAGACGTTGTTGACAATAGGTGTAGCTTCGCCCCCAAAAGGCCAGCCTTTGAAATGGTTTACTGCACTCGGGGTTCCGACGATGTCCATGATGACTGAACTGGTAAGCCAGTATGAAGCTGCTCGCGAATCCCCGATTAGCTATAGTTCAGACCACGCATAGACATGAAATACCTAGGGAAAACCACGTCATGACCAACTGACAGATGTTATAACCAAGCTGCACATGAAGAACACACAACCGAACCCAATTATGCCCGCTTTTGTAAATGCGATTGAAATGCATCGTCGCATACAGACTCGCGGCGAAAGATCCGTTCAACCAACGCCTTCGCTGGCTAAGGAATTCTGGTACACCTTCAGGCACATCCGTCTCTCCTTTCGAAGCTTTGACATAAGTAAGCTTCCATTGACACCCAGCTTTAGCGACGAGTTCAAAACAAAGAATTCGATCTTCAGCTAAGAACATATTCTTCTTGAAGATATTCATCCCCTCGATTCCCTTCTTCCCCAATCTTTCAGAAAGCGTATGGTCACCGTGGAAGTATTGCTCCAGAGGTCGTCCGACTATAGCTCGATAACGATAGGCTGAGAATGCGCCTGGTAGAACGCTCACATAGCCAAAACTGCTTTCCAGAGGTTTGTCAAGGATGTTGGAGATTTTGTACTCGAAGTTCTGGGCGGCGACGAGCGGATTCCAGACCTTAGTCCATCCGCGCCCAAGGAGAGCGTGGATTTCTCCACATGCGCCGCCGAGGTGTCGATCATTGTAGAATGCTTCCCAGAGGGTGAGAAGTGACTTGTGACCTGGTTTGGTACCGGCATCGATCAGGATGCAGACCTCTGGGTTTAGGATTCGCCCGAAAGCATTGAATAGCCAGCGATGAGAGTTAATCTTTTTGCTGTTTTGCTGCTTGAGGCAGAAGATCATTTGAACTGGAGGGAGATTGGTCGGGTCATTATCGAATGGGCGAACTAGTTGCTGGGTTGGTGTTACCGATAGCTGGGTTGTATATTCGAACTATAAGGATTTATGAAGGTTAGCTGGTCAATGTCTCATGGACGATTCATAGCTGGATGAATAAGAGAGTAACTTACAATATGAGCAACTGTCTCTCTGCCATCCACATCGTGTTTCATTACGCCATCTTGGTATACTCCCACGGTTGCGAGAATATCCAATGTTCTCTTGTCGCAGGGCTTAAGCCCATCAAACACCAGACAGACGACGATTTTCTGCCATGCTGGACCTCCCTTGGTCCAAAACTCTGTCTTTTTCAGATTTACAATGTCTCGGACATTCTGCATGACGCCGTGCAGAGTTCTGGCTGTAAGGACTTTATCTTCATTGTAGTAGGTAATAGCGATGAGCATCTCGGTATGTCGATTGTACATAGAAGGACGGAGATTGTATCCATGTTCCAAAGTAAATTCGTCCGGGTCGCATGTAGCCGCAGTGTCTATTCGAAATTAGTATTGTGTATCAAATTTCAACTTTAGCTTCTTACATCTCATATGAGTAAACTCTTCAGAAGGGTCTCCCTCCAGGTCACGGTATTTTGCCTGTACGGCGTTGCATATCGCACTAGGGACTGGATAATCAACACTCAATACGGTACCCTGGACCAGTTTGATTCGACGAGTGGGATATCGACGTGGTAGTCCAGAGCTATTTCTTTGACGTTGTTCCCAGCCCTTTGAAATTGTGGACCTTGTCTCGGCAACATATTTTCCATCTTGCACCTCCACGTAGCAAGGACTCGATGGAAATACCGCACTGATGCGGAATAATGGAGCATGGATTGACTGGCTCTGTGTGCCAGAGTGCTCTGGTACATTAGATGGGTAATGGGTATGGAGAGGAGGAGGCAGTAGAAACTGCCTGGATTGATCGTGTTCTTCGGATACGGAAGTTATCTGATTAGCAGTGTTTTAGCCAAGCCAGAATGATATGTAAAGGGCATTGCCTCTGCGTTGGAGAGGTACGTACACCAAAGGTATCTGGATTTTCTATGGACTGGCTCCTATTCGGCGCGCGGTGCGTCGGGCCAAGCGGGTGGTCCATAGCTGGTACCGGTTTACGCTAAAGCAGTCCAAAAGGATAGTCAAACAAGTGCAGAAGATAAGAAGACAAACTAATAATGTGCTTGATGAGGTAGCAAGGGCAGCCTAATCGGCGGTGGTAGGACACAAAGAGTTTCACATGCGATGTCGGAACCAGAAAAATAGCGGCAGTTATTGACTTGTGTGAGAAAAATTGTTACTAATTTGAGATCCCGATAGACCCTTGCAAGTTCCAAACTGGAGCTGGCATATAAATAGTGAAGTTAACTTCCGTCAATCTACAGGGTCCTCCGGCTATTTAAAATTGGCAGCGTAACATTTGAAAGTCGTCTAGACAGCTGGGTAGCTTTCGGAGCCTTACCTATAGTCTTTTGGAATGTCTGAGACATACCAAGGAGTCAGAGAGGCCAGTTTGTTGGGCTTAAGGACAGAATATTTAGCCCTCGTGTGGTGTCTCTGCCCAGGACAATGCTAGTTTGGCAGGCTATGATACATGGTCTCATGCCCAGTGTCACATCAGTAACTCAACGATAATCAAAAGAGTCGTTTCCAAAGAAACCCGCTCATGTCTAACATACTAAATGTATTCCTGTGCTAGGCCCGTTAACCTTCTTCCGTACTGGTCTTATTTAAACCTGCCGGGAGATTTATCGGACGCCTAGCGATGGAGGTGCATGTCCATCTGGATCGTGATGACACAATTTACACAAATCAGGATACAAACTTTGAAGAAACTGTGTTCATCACAGGCTTGTCGATGAAATGGCGACAATACATAGATCAAACAATGGCGAAGTGAGACTCATCTGCTACGGCGACTTCCGCCTTCACCCGGAGAGGCTAGGGCTACGACAGTAATCAAATATTCTTTCAAGATGGCTGTTAATGGGATGGAGATTCCCCTGACCGCAAAGTCAAGGCGAACTCACGGCATACTGTATCTTCCATTATCTCTTTTAAGCACCTCACAGAATCCATTGAGGAAACAAGAATACATCAACATTGTCTCAGAAAATGCTCGTCGGCTTTAGAACTGATAAATGCCCGCTTCAAAGGATGCTTGGGGCATCTGTTTCCTGTATTCATTGCAGCAACCGGGTTACCAAGATTTGACCCATCGGGTATCACCCCGAGGGGAAGCGAGGACTCGACCAGATATCGACGAAAGCTGACGTGAACCTCCTGGTAGGCCCAAAATAATTTGCAATTCGGCTAGGTTATACTTTGGTAGGCTTATGGACTCGATGCTGGTTTGAGGGGTTTGCAGAATGGACCAATTCGTTTGTATCTGGACCATGTCATGCAGCCGGTTCCCAGTATAGAAATTTCGGAGATTGCTACTTATCATGTATCTACCCCTTGATAACCTGCATGAACTTCAAAGCCCCTATCCGGAGAAAAAAAGGGTGGAATTACTTGAGGCCCAGAGATCTAGTATATACCGGTATTACCCTGCACTATGCTTTTATAATCGTCTGGCATTCCTAGAAGAACTTGAATATATTTAAGCCAGTATTAAATCTCACTAGAACCGATGAAAAAATGACTGGGAATCTGTATCTACACTTAGTATAACGGTGCAATGGCGTTTATCCCAAGCCTTGCTGCTGAGCTTGGCACTGATTGATGATTTACAGGTTCACGGTCTTTACATCAGGAGTCGAATTGAGAACAATGTGCCATGCACGTCTATTTTCAATTTTGCCATACTATTCACGGACTGGATGGGGAACACATGACATTGAGCATGCAAGAATAGGAGAGGTCGCCGATCGCCCAGGACTATAAGTTTGGGCCCTATTCGCCCTCCATCTACGGCTTTTCCACAACAAGATAACAACCCTACCTTTGATTATATAACTTCTAGTTTTACACACTTTGTAAAAATGAATTTTGCCGCCGTCTCTGTCCTCGCCTTCATTGGCATGGCCCTAGCTGCCAACGCTCCGGCTCAGGTCAGTACCCCCTCTCATGGAAAAATATTTGCGAATCTCTAATCAAACCTAATGTTAGCTCGCCGTGGGAGCCACCTGCAACAAGGATGGAAGTATGGGAAACTGTGCTTCGGGGTTCTGTCTGGTATGTGTACTCTTTGATTATCTCTAAGATTTATAAGATTTCTAATAATTCGCTATTAGCAAGAGGCCACCGCTGCGACTGGAAAATGCCAGTAAGCACAAGTTGCCGGCTACGGAACAGTATGACAGACATGATCAAAATGGAGAATATAGGTTGCATTCCATGTACCCAGGAGCTCTTTAATAAATCTTTTGAGACCATTGGATCTATCTTGTTAGGGCCAATTATTTTACTACCTTGATGCGGACTATGAGGACACCCGTGCCCCTCATTTTGATTATTTCCAGGTCCGGCTGTGTAGCCAAACCTATAAATCTGAGATGCTACTATCCAGCCTGCGATCAGGTATCAATTCGACATCTGCGCAGACACTATCGATTCAAGAATATCCACCAGGCTAATGAATAACGGAACGTGCTCAGGATCAAATTTAAGAGCTTTACCTCTCCATGTCCACACCCCCAGCTCACCCAGATTTATGGGCACCACATGATTAAGCATATTACTAGTACTTAGCACCCCACCTTGTCTACATACTCTGTCTGCTTTCCTCTTCATCATCTGTACCTGACACATGTGACGTCATTTATATACACGTGACTAAGTATATTCATGCCTCACTACGCAGGCACCAACTCACCTGATCCGAGTGCTCTTCTCCGCACGCAAACTTCCCGACTGTTGCTCCTCCCTCACTGTCTTTGGTTGCTGCATAAGCTCTTTCAGGACGTGCGTGCCTCGGACTGTCCATACTGACGCCATTCTTTCTCTCGTATTCCTCGCATTCCTTCCGATCAGGTCAGGTGCACCCAGCGCTCTTCTAACGGTGCATCGCCCAGCCTGACCTTGCTCTTCACGCCATGTCCGCCGTCTCGTCATCAGTCATGAATCTCCAGGGCCAGGGGATACGTCAATCTGCTCGACAGACTCGAACAAACCCCTCTCGAACCTCCAAAACAACCGGCCGGTCATCATTGGGCTTTGGTCGAGGCTCGACAGTCGAGATTCCCTCAACTCCCCCTGTTCCTGCTGGCTTCTACCCTGCCCTCACCCATTTTACCGACGCGATCACTGCCCTCCCACGCGAGTTTCGCCGACACAACTCATTGCTGAAGGAAGTTGACGCTAAAGCATGGGCGCTTGAGGAGAATTTACTTGAGTTGCTGCAGGTTTCTTCTGAGTCGCAACCCGTACCTCATCCTACCCACCCGGCGCCTATTGTCGGGGGTGTGGTTCGGGAGGATGTCTTGCCACAGGTCAGTAACCGGTGTTGTCAATAATGTGTATTTGGACGAATTCGTATTGACTATCCATCTGTCATCAGGAGCTTTCTCAGGTATCCGAGTCGCCCGAGAGCCAAAACCGCCGACTCCTCTTCGATCGCGTCCGACAAAACCTCTCTGATCTCATGATGACCGCGGACGAAAAGAACCATGTGATCTCAAACGCAAACGAAGAGTTGGACCGCCAAATCGTCCGCCTGGACACCGTCTTCCCGTTCATTGCCGGCGAGATAAGCGACGAGGCCCGCCTGGGTAGCTTGACGCACTGGGCCTACTCAAATAAGACTGCTGCAAAGGCTGCGACCAATGACCGACCGCGCCGGGAAGCTGTGAACCAACGACAAGACTTGGCGGCTGTGCTTCACGAGGCTGAAGCCGCTAGTCGCAGCGAGGTAAGGCGCGAAGCTGTCCAGGCGCGCAAAATGCGTCGCAACAACGTTGATGCGGACTATGAGGACACCCGTGCCCCTCGCAAGACGAATGCCGCCAAATCCCGAGGAGAACACACAACGGCAGATCAGAGCGCCGCCGCCAAGCGCCGTAAGGTGGAACGGCCTGCGGCCATGGACATGGGTACACCGATGGAGCGCTCCGCCAGCGGCGCAGGAAGCCAGCGGGTTTTATCCAAGGATGGCGCAGAGAAAAAACGATCTCGCGCGCCCAACCCCAATGCCGCCGCAGCGCGAAAGAAGTATGTATACTCCTCCACCCCGATGACGCGAACTAACCTCCCCTCAAGGACCAATACGACATCCAACGCTGGGTCACCTGTACTGGCACCTTCTCCTCTTATCGGGACTTTCAATGCCCCGCGGGGTGCCGCCAGCCCTGGACCCAACCCAGCTCGACCGCAAACCTCGAGAACTCAACAGAATGCAGGACAAACTAGCAACTCTCGACAGCGGCCCTCATCTTCGGCATCAAATCGCCTTGGCCAGCCAAATACCTGTACGTTGACTCGACTCCAATTCCCCTCGATGGTTGTCTAACACTTCTTTCTAGCCAAACCCTCCGACGCCAGATCCACACCCCGAGACGGCCCCCTCAAGAACGAAGTCGCCATTCCTGACGCACGAGACTATGAAGAAAGCAGCCGAGTCTCTGTCCCAACGGGGAACAAACGCGAAGATATGGACGTACGACCCACAGACCCCCAGGAGTCCGAGACGAGCAAGGGACGAAACTCCAAGACCTCCACACCCATCCTCTCCACATTCGCCGAAACGCAGTCTCGCGCACGACCAACGCGAAGTAATGACACGGCACCTAAGCGTAACGCAAAGAAACCCGCCATCCCCGCGCCAGCCATTCCCTCAGACGAAGAGTCCCTTCACGAAGGCGACGACGAAGACGAGGAGGGCGAGCCCCGGTACTGCTACTGCGACCAGGTCAGTTTCGGCGAGATGGTCGCATGCGATAATGACGCCTGCCCGCGCGAATGGTTCCATCTGTCTTGCGTAGGGTTAACCAAACCACCCGGGAAGAATGGTAAGTTTGCCTTTTCCTTCAACGCAACAATCCATACTAACCCGAGACAGTAAAATGGTACTGTAACGAATGCAAAGAAAACATGCGACGGAGTCGCAACGGGCGGTAATTTCTATCTGGAATAGAAAAAGCCATGTCATGTTTACACTAGCGGATAGACCGAATATACAACCATTACGAATCCAAACCTTTTCTTGAAGACATAATGCATTGTTCACCCTAGACTGGACAGGGCATCTTAGCCATGAAATCCTTCTTTAGAAAGCACCTCTCAACCTCTCCATAAGCCCACTACTTTCCTCTCCAGTCCCGCTCCGCCTCTGTCCACCATCAACACCTGTGGAGGCAGCAACCTCCCCCTCCAATCTTCTCCTCAAATCCTCATACCGTTCCCTCTCCGCACTACTCCCCCCATTCGCAGCGCCCCTCCTCTCCCTCTCACCGACCAACCAAGCCGGGACTCGGAACCCCGTGCTCGAAGGCGATAGACCTGGAAGTAACTCCGCGCGCCACGCGACGCCGATAGTCCAGCCCACAGCTGAAGGGAGCAACATCGCAGGGAATTGCGAAAGGGCAAGCTGAGCTGCCACGAGGTATGTTGTTGATTTGTCGGAGAGGAGGAGGGTTAGACTGCTTGGTTCGGGTTTGGGTGCATTTGTGTTCTCGGCTGTGGCTGTGGATGTGGATGATGAAGATGATGAAGATGCAGATGCAGATGTTGTGCCGATGCGGTAGCGGAACGTGTGGGGGATTGTGGCGTAGTACTGGGCTAGTAGAGCGAAGACAGTCGCTGTTGGGCCGGAGGGGAGGTAGTTGAGGGAATTTAGGGGAGAGGGGTCTAGCGACGAGGGAGAGGAGAAGGGGCGGGAGGATAGTGGCGTATGGAAGCGTAGTCAAGAGGAATGTCTGGACCATGTCAGTATCTGCGTTGGTGGTATTTTTCTTGTTCCATTCGTGGGAGGCTTACAGCCATCTTCCGCTTTCCCCAAGCGCGTTCCACGACTCTCAGGTGATACACCAACATGGCGGCGAAGAGGGCCTCCGTGGAATTGGAGAAGCCGGCGACTTGCCAGATCAGGCCGCGCCAGAATTGGGCGTAGGGCCAGAAGTGTGGCGAGACATGGATGGAGGCTAGGTGTTTGATATCGAAGAGGGAGAGCGCGATTGATGAGGTGATGGTGTAGACCAGGAGGGACTTCGTGAGCGGGGTATTGGTGAGGCCGGATGTGAGCATCTTTGCCAATTTGGGTCGTGCTGAGCCGGTGCTGTTAAATAGGGATTGTTGGAGGGCTCATTGGGTTCGTTCGCGGTGGTTGTTGAAGGTGAGTTCGGCGAGTGGAGATGTGAAGGAGGCCAGATGGCACGTCGGGGGATCCGGGGTACCTCGGCATGCCGAGATGATCTATAACAGGTGCTCCATGAGTGTAGAAGTACATGAGTGTACATGCATGGATTAAGCACTAGTTTGCAGATCACATAGTATAGTATCGGTGCAAAGCAAATGGTATTTGTGATATTATACAGTTCATGCCCATAAACGCCCGTCTTTCCGTTTTTGGTCTCGTTCATCTACATAGTCATCGCGGTTGACTCTTTCGCCATCTCCTCCTTTAAGGCTTTGTTATACTTATCCAGGGCCAGTTGCAAAGCATGGATCATAGGTCCAAGAAGTTGATTCACGACTTGGGCGCCGCCCTCCACCTCCAGGTTGACCCTGATTTTTCTTCCGGTCGTTTGATAGACCTCCCGCGCGTGGCTTTTGATTTTTTCGACCTCCAACTGTCGCTCCGCTTCTGCGTTTTTGGCCACGACTTGAATGCGGTCTAATGCACGCTCAAGAGACTCGGATAGTGATGCGACTTCCCCCGCTCGGTCCGGGTTTCCAGATAGGAAGGCTTGCCAGAATTGGTGCAGGAATTCAGTTGACGTCGCTTGGGTTAGTGTCAATCGATCATAGATTGCTATCGAGAGACCGAAAGTGTCGGAGGAGGAGGCTTCGCTCATTTGAGTTCGTCGCTCACGCACAGCCCCGAGAATCTGAGAGAATGCGTCATGGAGCGCTGCAGATGATCCAACTGGACGTTGACTGGCTGGGGCATCATCCATTTCCTCGTCTTCCTCATCCTCGGGATCGACAAGCTTCTGTAGCGGTGCACTGCCACCGAGCGGGAGATTATGTGCAATCTCTCCGCGGAGCTTCTGTAGAATGAGACTGGGGTCCTGCTGCGCAAATTCCTTCTTCTGATCATCCTCCTGAGCCTGGGAGAAGAACCGGTTCTGGTCGCGGATGTTTAATGTGATGCGAGACTGTTCCTCGTCTCCGCGAAGGTCTCGTAACTGAAGCTTCTTATACGCCTCTTCATCCATGCCAATCGGGGCGCTCATATCCCCATCGGCTGGCGCGACGTTCGCCATGATTTTCTCACTCAGGCTATTCAGCGTGCGAATGATCGGGACCTTGTCCACACCAGAGGGCCGCATGTCCAGATCCGGCCGGTTTCCACGGCGCTGACTATTGTGGCTTTCGTTGGCCGCCATATCAAGAAAATGCGGGATATTGGCGTCGCGGCTCCCATCCGAAGTTTCATCTCGAAGATACTTGTCCAGAACAGCGTCAGTGGCATCCGCTTCGCCAATTCGCTCTCCACGCAGCTTCTTGAACAGCCGACTCTGGAAGAACCGTGACCAAAACTGCTGCTCGCTGAGCTTAGGCACATTCTCATCATACACGCGCTTTACGAGCGGGTGCTGCGTAAAAATAAGCTGAATTTGCTCTTTGCTAATATTCAACCTGGTCACGTTGTCTTCCACGCGTGGTTTCAGGGAAGATAGGACGTTGTAAGAGCCGCGAGTCTGGGTTCGTTCGATCGCGTGCGCTCGCAAGAGGTGAAGCCGAGTAGACCAGAACTGTGACATGAACTGGCCGGAGGTCAACTTCTCGGGTTTCGTTTTCATCGATTCCATAAACATTTTTTGTAGCACGGGGTCTGCCTTCAACAGTGACTGTTGGAGCTCCACGTCGCCTTTTAGGCGATTATCGTCGTCCCACGGGTTCTTCGTTGAGGCGCCCGAGGAGACAGCATTTGCAATAGCCATCGCCGCTGAGAGACCTCCTCCGCTACCTCCAGGTGTAGGGGTTCCGGACGGCGTCCCCGCCTTTGCCGCGTTGACTCGGGCGCTGAGTGCATCTTTAATAGCATCAGCCTGCGGGCGGGCGTCTGCCCCGGCTGTGAACTGGAAGGTATAGGTGTCTAAAGTACCGTTCGGTGGGGCATCTGCAGCCAGTGCAAAAATCTTTAGCATGACCTTGGCGGCCGTGGCGGGCGTCTGCTGTAAATCTACGCATCACCGGGTGGTTAGCAAAGTGGCAGTTGGCGCAGGGTTCAAACAGCTGCCATACTTGTGATTTTAGACACATGAATCGTCAAGGCCGCAACGTCAGCGGCCGCAGGATTCCAGGTGAGTGACTCCTCATCCCGGCTCAACGTCAAGATGCCGTCCTTCTTCTTGTATGATGCTGCTCCGCTTGGAGGTGCCATCGTCGCGTGTCGAGACAGCTTCCACTGTCCTTTTCGGCGACAATGATACCACCCATCGGGATGAGCAGAGATCCCCCGGGCAAGTGAAGCGAAAAAGGACCGGTGCCTTTGAGGTGGTGAGCAGTGGGTGAATATGAAGGACGCTGCCATGAGCCGCAGCTCTTCTGTAATGTGTCACGTGATCTCTATCATGGGTGAAGTACCCCAGCATCTTCCGCTTATGGGTTGGATATTATACGTAAAAGAGGAATCCGAAGATACTACTCTAATCTACATGTATGGAAAGGAAAAATTGGATAAAAATTGTATGAGTAGAGTGATGCGGAAACGCCGTTAATCATATCGACGCCAGATGCGGGAATTTTGAAACGCAAAAACGCTGAAGAGATCCTGAATGCTATACAACAAAAGAAGACGCAAAGGAGAGCACGAACCCGAAGCCAGGAGCCAGAATGCCGAAATTCGTAAGCCATATTGCGCGCCGCCATGCATAGACCGGATATCATCATATCATAATCATCAAAAACAAAGTCCACCTAAAGACGTAAGTGCAGCTAAATGGGTAGTAATCAAGGGTATTTGCACCAAAAATAACATGAGAAATGAGAAGCAAGAGAAATGCTTTTGCAAACAAGGTCGAGAGGATCGAGAAAGAAACCATTGCAGAGAAGGAATCATTTCTTGAACATGTAGTGGCCGTAGATACCACCGACGTCGCCGACAGCCATGGGGATCTTGCGCATGCCCCACCATCTGGCGCCCATCTTCCAGGAGCGAGAGCCATCATCGATAGCCTCGTTGGGAACAGACCACCGGTCACGAACGTACCAGCCACGGCGACCGAGCTCTCGCACGGTCCAGCCCACGGAGACTCGCTGGGTCTTCGCTCGCTCGCGAAGCGGGTTGATGATCCTGTCGACGAATTCGACGACCTGCAACGGATAGCTTTGGTCTGACAACAGGGAACAGGTGTTTGAGTTGAAGATGGAAGCGATGGTCATGGAGGAAACCTTGGTAAGGTCGAGGTAGCAGAGAGTGCTGGGAGGCAGACTCTCCTCAGCACCGGACTCAGTCTGGCGTGTGCGAGCAAAGAAAGAGTTCACATCCGTCACTGAGATATCAGCAGAGGCCAGGCTCAGTTCCTCCAAGTGCTTGGTCAGAGGGACCAGCAAAGGAGCATGGTCGGATGTGACTCTCGCGCCTCCCAAGTTCAGGGAGCGCAGAGTCTGAGGAAGCTTGGGCAGCAGGGCTGTCACGTCATCTTCTTCCAGCAGGCGGAAGCGGGTTGGGTCCGTCATGAGGTTGAGGAATACCAGAGAGTCACGAACCGCGGGGTGGGTGGTGAGGAACTCCACCAGCGCAGACGGACGAAGGCGAGTGCATCGGGACACACTCAGATGTGTGATACGAGCCGTTTCAGGGATAGCAAACAGAGCAGAGTCATTGACCTGGGTGTGAGTCAGGTCTAAGTGCGTCAAGTTGGTCAGACGTGACAGAAGGTTGTCGAAGAGGGGTGCCGGGATGGTGCTACACTCGTGGAACGAAAGGCGTTGCAGGTTGGGCATGCTCATAGGCAAAGGCGGACCACCGGTAAGAGCCTCAGTAATCTTCTGGGAGAAAGCCTGGGTGGCGCATCCACAGAAATCCAAAGCACGAAGGTTCGGCAGGTCCATGAATAGTTTCCGAAGGATATCCACGCTGAAATCCCCCTCGAGGTGCTCCTGCAAAAGACATTCCTTCAGGTTAGGCAAGAGATCCAGGCACTGCATCAGAGTGCGCGAAGTTAGGTTTTGAATCTCGGCGTTCATCTGCCTCGAGCGACTAAAACCAACGTTGGTGAAGTGCGAAAAATCCAGGCGGCGCACCAGGGTGCCAAGTGCAGGATACTGCGACACATGGTTGAGAGCCTTCGCGAAGACGCCCGAATGCGGGAAGGTCATGTTCCTGTACAACACACTCAAGGTCGCGGCGTGCAACGTGCGCGAGGCGAGCAGGCACGAGATCAGGTCGACATTGCGCGGAGTATAGCCATTGGGTGGTACATCCAGGGCCAAGAGAGAGATGATTTGATCTAGAAGGTTGGTCAGTACACAAGCCTACATCTGCGCGCGAACATGTCTTACCGAGGACCTCTGGCGGAACTTTTTCAAGAGCCGATGTGCCGGGAGGAGGCGACGGTGGAAGTTCTTGTTCCACGACGACGGGAACCTGAGGGGGCTTCAGTTCTTTTCCGGAATCGGTAGTTTCCCACGCCCAACCCTTGGCCTGGAGATTTCCCAACCCACGTAGATCCCCAAAACTCCGACTCAGACCTCTTCCCCCTAGCCGAATCTGCTTCCAGCCGAGAAAACCACCACAGGGACAGCAAAAGTCCGGAGTCGGCTGCATCTCCGGGAGTTCCAGTTTGCGCGGCTCTTTTTGGGAGGGCGTGTGCTGCTGGGTGTCCACGAAAGACTGCGCAATGCCTGAACGACAGAACGATATCAGTAGGCGTAACCATAAAGAGACTGGCCGTACGTACCGTCGACGTCTTCCTTAATAGAACCAAAGGATGGGCGCCTAGAGCTGGAGCCGTCGGGAGTGCCGCACGAGGACGGCGATGAGTCGCGCGAGTGCTGATCGCCACAGCAGTTGGTGTTGAAGCGAGGCACCATAGGCTTCTTCTCAGAAGGAGAGACGGCGGCCATTGTGTATACAAGATAGAGCGGGCCCTCTATAAGGGCTCGCGGTTCCTTTTCAGTTTTTTTTTTTCTTGAGAAATTGGGAGGTAGTTTTGGAGTAGGGTGGAAACACAGAAAGATTTTTCAGAAAGTCTGGCGAGTAATAGGCAGCTTCCCCGGATTCCACAAAGCAAAAAGAGTTTCCGGTCAATAATTAGAATCGGGTTGAAAAGGGCGACGGCGGAATTAGGGCTGTTAAAAATGGGCGCTGAGGGGCGGGGAAGAAAAAAAATGGTGAAGCTGTTAGTCACGGAAAAGGCCGACCCGGTGTTGCGCTGTCTTAGCGGGGAATGATGTGGTCCACCGATCGCTTTTCGGTTGGAGAAATAGTCAGAGTTCTAAAAAAGAAGGTGAAGGATATAAAGACCTCTGAGGGGCCGATGGCAAAACCGGTGGCGGCTACTTCATTGTAGAAGTTAGTTAATGTACCTAAAAAGTACCGGGGGCGAGTCACCGGCCAGACTCGGCTTAGATCGTCGTTAGTTGAAGAAGCTACCCCTGCAGCCCCCGATTTGCTTTTCTTTTCTTTTCTTTCTTTTCTTTCTTTTTTCCTCTTTTAATTCGACCTTCTCTGTCTATTACATGGCGTCACCGGGAACTGCCATCTCCGACCGATCGATTATCTACCCGTTCCTGTCTTATCTAACATGCGATGAAACCCTAGCAGAATCGCATTATTATCTCCAACCGTTTTCCTCGGGAATATCTATGACATAACTTAAACCGCCGTTCTGGGCAAGCGTGTCCGGTGGGTTGGTCCATCCCGGAGCCCGGACCAAAGCACAGGTCAGCTGCTTTACGCCTCAAGGTTACCTTTTCCTATAGTTGCCAGCTGTCCAAGTTTCCATTATGTACCCCAGGATGCGTGAGATCACAGAGTTCTTGTTACCTAACTCTTACTACTTTTCCTGCAGATGCTATTCGCCCAGCCAGCCGATCCATGCGGGGACACGCGCGCTATTACCTAACGGAATGTCATGTGACCTTCTATACTCCTTCCCCCCCCCCTTACACTAGTGAACGAATGGGTCGGCTCACCGACATTATTTCCATGACTGGATTGATTGATCAGACAAGTCTGATCGACTGGCCAAGAGAGCTTGACTTACTGCCGACCGGACTTGCTCGGCGGTGTCATGTCCAGCCCCGTTGCATTCTTGGGTTGCGCACTCCGATATTGGGATATTGACTGTCACTACATCCTTGGTCTCCGGTGAACGGCAGGGTTGGCAAAGGCTTGGTTTAGAGTCAATCAGCATACCATGTGACACCCTCCCCTGTACTTCGTTGTCGAGATCGGGATGCCGGATGACGTTTTCTCCGCGGAGAGCCTTCCTCCGGCTATCGGAGGATGATGCGATCCCCAAGAGACGTGAGATCGACTGCCAACGGAGGGTGGGGCTCTGTGATCGTCTTGGTCCACTTTGATCTCACGTAGATTTACGGCCGAACGACATTAATGCAAATGGGCCTTAACGCTAGTCTCTTGGTCTTCCTAGGTATCTCTCCCTTTTTTGAGACATACTATGGAAAGCCTCTTTATGTATGCCCTCAACAGTAATTCTTAGCTGCTGTATCATTCAGCCCATCTAGAACATTTCTTGGCGAGTTATGTGTGTGTTGGCAGATCTACCGCAACTTCGTAGTCGGTCTATAGGATGAGTTGTAGACTAATACAGCAAACATGTAGGCAGTTGCTTGGCAGGACTCATTTGCTTACAAATTCACCTTGACCATAGGCTTGATAGGATGTTGTCAAATCATTTTGGAGATTCATGTTCGTGGACATGACTTGACTTGGCCCCGCGGGTGGTTGTCACTCGTACAATACACAGAACTGCCACTTTTTGAATCTCATCGGTTGATACTCGCACTGTGTAAAATTTCACACTTCGTTCAAACTATCCGAGTCATTCTCATACCCGATGCCTCGGTGATCTAAATATAGTGATGAAATGGATCTCAAAGATCTGATATGCGGAAATGTATCAATACAGATGTCCAAGCATATAGTAAAACCAACCTCAGATCGTCTCACCTGGTGCTCTCACTCGTTCTTGGGATTGCCTATCTCAATCGATATTATTGAAAGGATCAAAATTACTTTTCTCTTCATCTTCACATTCTCTTAGGCGAGGATTCTGGCAAAGAAATATAGCTCCTAACCTTTATCGAAAGATTCTTGAACTCATTCCTCTTTATCCACTTCACCACCCGTCGACAGTTTCGGAGACAAGCCTGATCTTCTCTTCAGAACGCTATCCAGGCTACTCTCTTTCTCAATTCAGTATCTATCGACGAGATCGGCGAGATGACCAATCTCATTTCGGTGCCAAATGCGCCACAAACGGCCGTTCGCAAAACCTGGCGCCAGCAAAAACCTCGAACCAAAAGACTCCAAAATTACTTCAATCAACTCCTGGCTCAATCTCACGAGCTTGAATTGGAGTTTGAAAAGGAGAAAGAAGCCCATGCAGCAGCCAAAGAAGACGACATCCAACGTCTGGCTTCGGAAAATAACAAGCTGTTAGAGCAAATTACCACGGAGAGACGGGCGCATGAATCCACAAAATTGGAGCTGTCCAGCAACAAAGCCTACAAATGTGATAGAGACGACGCCATCAAGAAGAACAACGACCTTATTGAATCATACAACCTTCTCGTTACAGAATATCTTGAGTTGCGGATCAAACTTAATTTAATTAAAGTCGAGATCTCAAATCTGCAGACCGAGAAAGATGCGCGTCTGAGACAACTCAACGACTACGAATCCGAGTTGGATGAGGCATGGGCCAAAATGAGCTATGCTTTCTTGCGTGTGAAGGTAAGCGATCATTCAAGAGAGGATATAACTGCACTCTACTAACGGGCTTCCCTTCCGTCCTAGAACGTCAAGGAAGCTGCGCCGTAGTTTTTTAATTAAAATGCTCATCAACAGTCAAATGCCGACGCTGGTCTTCACTAAGAATTAATGAAATTTCAGTGGAGGGGAGGGATGGCAGCCCTGAAGGGGGGGGTGTATCACAATATATTCCACTATGAGGAGGCGTGAGGTATTCGAAGGTACCGCAAGTTGTTGGTGATTTCGTGGTCTATCGTTGCTGCTTAGCTAGGCGAGGCTAATTAACTGACCATCAATTGGAATATTTTATTCTCAAAATTTAGAAAAATGAATTAGAAATGGTCTCGGTACCCAGAGATAGACTTATCGATGTGCTCGCATGTGCTCGTGATTATCTTCTGGGTCGAGGACTTCGAAAGCTCACAAGAAAGTGTCTCGTTCTCGCAAAGCAAAAAAGGAGAATAATTATTCCCAAATGACATGCGGAATAGCACATAAATTTCTTTGACCTATCGCAATTCTTAATTTCTATCCGAATTTTGTATGTAATTTTAGATTGGTGGCATAAAGTTTGAACAATTCCCAGCCATCCATCTTCACTTGTGCACGACTAGTCATCTATCGTTACAGAACCCCCTCATCCCCAACTTCCATTTTGGCGGTTACTCTCTACTCTCACCAACAAATCGCACGCAATAAAAAGCAGAAATTCCATCTCTCCTTAATTACGCAGATGAGCAACATGCTATTTGTGGATGTCGCCATTTCATGTACCACTGACCAGCGAGGAAGCCAGCTGGGAGGGAGCTTCGAATCCAACTATGAAGACTGAGCCCAGAAATTGAAGCCGCACGATGACATGAAGGGCTTGATGAATTCAAGGGGCTTAAAATGGGATTGGGGAAGTATCTATCTTGCAATATAGTCCATCGTGGAGGATAATCGCGGGGTTCAACGCGCTGAACAGGGTCATTAAGTGGTCAAGATCGCTGCAAATTAGCTAGTCAGGGTCGGTGATCCGATTAACGACCAGTTTGAAATTCGTTAATCCGTAGAATCAAAAATGACCCGCATACTTCTTCAGGGTTCAATGCTCGCCAGTCACCAGGCCAAGACAGAAGGGGATCCCGGTACAACAAACCATGCAGGAACCAGTACCACGTGGCCGGGTGCAAGCATCGATGACTAAATATCCGACAGGTCACATGTACAAAGTCCTTCGAAAAAAAAATCACACGATCTAGAGTCTAGCCGCTGCTACCCGCGGCCACGGATAGGGCGGATAGGTTTGCCACTCGCGTGGAAAAGACTTGCATATTCAGGGTTTAATGCGGGTGTGCCTGGGCAGGTGATTAAATTTAGAAGGGCTTCATTTGTGCATAAGAAAAAGTCTGTATTGGTTTAAATATGATCAACATCCAAGAAGAAAAAAAGGATGCGAACGAGTGTTCACAACTTGGGCACATATGGCCAGAATAGAAAAACACAGTCTAGCTGTAGAAAAAGTAAAGCCGATATCATTCAAATCTGCTTGAAATAGAATAGGAACTGAGGCGAAGGGGATATCAAAAAGTCTTGAAGTCTTGAAGCCCGGAAGCCCCCATTATTTAACCAGGAAAACCATGGGGGAACATGCAAAATAGAGCAAGACAAAAGGTCTAGCACTGGGACGGAAACGCAAAAACTCCCGAAGCGTCACGGAACGGAGGCTCATAATTCGTGATTTTGGTTCATTTACTCAACAGCCGAGCTACCTTCGGCACCGAGAACAGGGTTGACCTTGGGGTTCCACTTGAACTTGAAGTCCTGGCCAAGTTCTTTGCGGATGACTGCCTTGACGGCGTCCAGGACGTGGTCGTACACGCCGAAGTTGGCAGGGTTGTTGGTATCGTTCTCGCCTTCCTTGCCCTGGAAGACACCAGTGCGAACCAGGCAGGTGTTCCAGCCGTACATGTTGCCGCCGACGATGTCGGACTGGGGGTTGTCACCGATCATGTAGACATTCTTGGGCAGACGGCTCTCGTTGTGGATCTCTTCCATCCAGTTCTTGAGAACTTCGTCGGCGTATGTGTATGTGGCGCGCTCAGGCTTGCCGTAGACAATACGCTCAAGCTCGACGCCAGTAGCGGCCTTATATTGGGCCTCGATGGCGATACGGAAGGCACCTTGGGTGAGACGTGAGGGGCCTCTGTGGGCGGTCGCGAAGACAAAGTCACCCTGGGAGAAGTAGATCGGGATGCGGCTGTTCTCTGGGTCCTCGGCCCGGGTCAGGAGCTTGCCGTTGTCTGAAAGAAGCAAGTCAATGATAATTTGGAAATCGGTGGCATAGTCGCGGGAGTCGGCAAAGACCAGGATAGCATCAAACTTCATCTTGGAGAAGTCGCGGGGCTTAGCACCGGCACGGTCCTCCTCAGTGAAAGTGCCCCACGGGGAAATAGTGGGGTCCCAGGCCTGGATATCCTTGGGATGCACGACGTGCTTGAAGCCATAGGTCTCAGCAACTTCGCGAACCTTGTATCCTTCGCCACCGCAGACGAGAACAGTCTCATAGTATTCTGCCAATGCTTGCATGGGAGTGTGAGATTGGATGAATTGTTGGGTGGAGATGGGGACCTCCAGCTGCTCTGCAAGCTGCTTGCAGCGAGCTTCCTCAGTCTTACCACCACCGTTGGTAAGTAGAACATAGGGAATCTTGATTCCCAGCTCATTGTCTCCGTTGAGCATCTTCAAAGCCTGTTTGGCTTCCTCAATAGGCTCTAGACCATGTGCCAGCACACCGTCAATGTCAAAGGCGAAAGCCATGTTCTTCGCAGCCTCGACCTTCTCCTTGGACATATCCTGCACCTGAGAAGCCAGAATATCCTGGGACAAAGCGGGTCGCTTGGATCTCAGGTGCGAATTGCGCGGTGAGCGCGGAATTGGAAGAGAAGTACCAAAGGAGTTGCGTGAGCTACGGCGCTCCTTCATAGAGGGCGACAGACTCAGGTTGTGCATGAGGGCAGCGGCATCACTGATAGAGCTACCGGTCACGGGAACTTCCACAATCTTTCCAGCATCGCCCGGGATGAGCAAACCACTAGCGGTACGGGTCATGCCCGGGCGAGTAGGCTGCTGAGGGGCATGGCTGGCGGTGCGCGAGACAACCGGACGAGGGGTTTCCGAGCGAGAGACATCCTCAGGAGTCAGTTCTGACATGCGAGTCATTTTGTAAGAGATAGAGAGAGGGTATGTGGGTGAGCGAGTAAGGTATTGCACAAGTAGTAAGTATCTGTGTGATAAGAGGAGATCGCCGGCGATGTATGTCCGCGTCCAGTGGGGAGAAAAACAGTGGGGGAGGATAAGAGACTGTGGGGATCTGGAGACATAAAAGAGGGGATGCATCAATAAATAAATAGGAGAAGGACAGTAGCCTTGAGGACGGTGGAGTATGCGTACATGCCTCCGCGCAAAACCGGTCTCAATTGGACAAAACAAGTAAGTAACATCTTGTCACCTGTTTGCATTGGGGGGAGGGGAAGGGCCCCACTCAACGGTAGGCATCAGAGCGCCGTTCCTAGGAATTTTCGTCATGGAATTGGCGTAACACCTCTGGCACTGCGGCTGGGAGGAGAGGGAGTGCTCTGCCACATGGGTGTAGGGACGGGTACCCGGTACCTGCATGGTGGCAGGACATACGGCGTCATTCCGAGTACCTGCTACATGGAGTGGTCTTCTCCGGCGGCCGACTCAATCAGGGGTGCATGATTGGTTCGATAGGGGCCATTATGGGCCTCTTTGGACCATCATGGGCCGGACTGAAGCAGTAGGAGACGCCGAGTGGGCCGGAACAGGGCCCCTTCACCCGAAGCGGACTCATCATTGGCGATGCGCCCAGTTCGCCCGTGGAACGGCATAAGATCGATGGAGCCGATGACGATCGGGCGGGTCAAACGCTCGGAGCTGTTTCGAGGTGCCCGTGATGTCATCGCGGCATTTTGAAAATTACACTGAAATTTTGGACGCTGGGCTCAGGTACATTTGCAGGAGATCCCGAAGGAGGGGAGCCAATGATCCAGGCAGTAGTGGACGAGATCGGCACCGGGATATTCACGGTAGCAAGGTACGAGGGGGGAGAAGGACAAGGTGTAGATAGTAGTCGGGAGTCCGAGTGTGTAGTCTGGGAATAGGAAGCTGCACCTTACCCCTCCACCCCACCCATCAAGAGCGTCATCGCTTGACGAGCTGCTTAACCCCCCACTTCTTCTTTTTCTCAGCCTTCTTCCTTTCTTCTCCTCTACATACTTTCAATCCTCTCTACAATCATGTCTAACGGAAAGACTCTCACTTTGAACAATGGCGTCAAGATCCCCGCTGTCGGCTTCGGCACCTTCGCCAGCGAGGGCTCCAAGGGCGAGACCTACAATGCTGTCATGTGCGCCCTGCGGACCGGCTACCGCCACCTCGACTGTGCCTGGTACTACCTGAACGAGGACGAGGTCGGTGATGGTATCCGTGACTTCCTGAAGGAGAACCCTTCCGTGAAGCGTGAGGACATCTTCGTCTGCACCAAGGTGTGGAACCACCTGCACCGCTACGACGACGTCCTCTGGTCCATCAACGACTCCCTCAAGCGCCTGAAGCTTGACTACGTCGACCTTTTCCTGGTCCACTGGCCCATTGCCGCCGAGAAGGACGGCCAGGAGAAGCCCAAGATTGGCCCTGATGGCAAGGTACATAATTGCACGATCTATATGGCCTATCTCCGAATAGAAGCTAACCAATTCTGCAGTACATCATCCTGAAGGACCTGACCGAGAACCACGAGACTACATGGCGCGCGATGGAGAAGCTGTATGAGGATGGCAAGGCCAGGGCCATCGGTGTCTCCAACTGGACCATCCCCCAGCTTGAGGAGATGGCCAAGTTCGCCAAGGTGCAGCCTATGCTTAACCAGATCGAGATCCACCCTTTCCTGCCCAACACCGAGTTGGTCAACTACTGCTTCTCCAAGAACATCATGCCCGAGGCCTACTCGCCTTTGGGCTCCCAGAACCAGGTCCCCACTACCGGTGAGCGTGTGGCCGAGAACAAGACCTTGATCGACATTGCCGAAAAGGGTGGCAACACCCTCGCCCAGGTCCTGATTGCCTGGGGATTGCGCCGCGGCTACGTCGTTCTGCCCAAGTCCTCCAACCCCAAGCGCATCGAGTCCAACTTCCAGAGCATCGAGCTGTCCGATGCCGACTTCGAGGCTGTGAACAAGGTGGCCGAGGGCCGTCACTTCCGCTTCGTCAACATGAAGGATACCTTCGGCTACGATGTCTGGCCCGAGGAGACCGCCAACAACATGTCTGCTTAAATCTATCAAAAGCGAAGATACCTAGTACCCGTTCGGGATTATGAAGAATGAATTATATCCGTGACTGCGAGAGCGGTCCACACCTCCTCACAGACACACAATTGCCTCGTAGACTGTTTTCACCCAAGATCCGACACCCGACTCCGAATAACCAAGAGGAATGTGTCAAACCGCCCATCTTACACGCCGGCCACGTCCCCGCCGGGCTCCACGCGCCATTCCACCTTATTTTCCAGCCTCCCATAAATGAGACACTTTCGAGGTTCATGAACTGTACCCAAAAATTGCAACCTAGTATCAAGCACGTATAGCCTACGTATTTGCAAATTCCCAAATTCCAATCCCTACGCCTTGAAAAGGTCAAAGCAACCCAAGAAATAAACACCACCAATAGCGGGGTCAGCCTCCCGCCTCCAAAACCAATTCGGCATCTTCACCCTCCCAAAACACTCATTCCACAGCGTTACACCGTGTCCAGCCGTGCCTGGCCCTTCTTGCGAGGGAGAAAAGGAAAAAAAAAAAAGCGCGAAAAAAAGGTTACACCACCAAAGACACATCGTCCATTGTCCAATACGGAAGCATAAAGAACAGAAAGGAGCAGAGTGCTCCGGCATTCTGCCTCCTGTCATCTCATTTACAATTGGTGGCCGGGTGAAGCCGGAGCTGGGATTATATTATAGAACACCGAGTGACCGGATGGGGTTTGGTGCGTGCGGGCCGAGAGGTGGATGCGCTTTGACGTTCTCTCTGGTGTCTTGCGTTTTGCCTTGTGGCTGTACTTGGTACTCTCGCGTGAGTGAGATTGAGGATGTTGGAGGGGTACTGCGGACGAAACTGAGACTAGGGCTCTACAGTATGCTAGTGCTCGCGTGAGATATCCACTTGGTCTGAACCCAGATGTGCCATTTGATTGTAATTGGTGCCTGTCGGAGATTACTTTGCCTTTGGAGTAGGATTCCGGTTGGGGTCTGTGTTGGACTTGGACTTGGACCTCGCTTTGCCCTCGAGTGTTCTTGGTTCTTGGTTCTCGGTTCTAACGTTGACTTCCGGAGTGCCAAGTCCAAGTATACCGAGCTCTTCATCTCGGGAATACACCGGTGACCAGGCCGAGATGGATGTGCAGGGGCCTAGTCATGGATGATATCTTGGTAAAGATAGTTTGTACCGACGTGATTCCCGTCCGAGGGCGCAGTTGGCACCGAGTTCACCCTCCCATCACAACTTCAAGGCTAGTGACCCTAGCCCTTTCAGACCTGTGCGCTGTGCTAGCCCGCATACTCATGCAAGCGAGTTGCTCCACTTCCCCCATAGATCTCGGACACTCGCCCGCGCAACTCTGGGGAATCCTCGCTAATACCCCGCGGAAAAGGGTCTAGCACTAGTAGACCAACCTCACAACACTCCAAGCCACCCAATTGATCAGATAGGGAATGAGAAAGACCGGGGTGCAGTAGCAGCGGCACAGACGTCACCCCGCATGAACAAGTGCATGGCGTGGTCTAGACTGCGGCTACGGCGTTGATCGTCACGCCATGAGAATAATTTCAAATGCATTTGAAGGTAACAGTAACAGTAACAAAGCTAAAGCAAAACAAAACGACAATGGTATCTTGAAAAAACACAAAACTAAACTCCATTGTGCATGGAATGAGGCACCAAATGCTCATGTATACAAATGCCACAATCAACACCGATCAGAAGGGCGTTTCTATATGATTAGTTCCTCACTCGGACCCGGCGGGGGTGCATCCTGCACTAGACTGGAGCATGCTCTTCCGCTTGGGTTCCTCGTTGGAAGTATTTGTGCGGCGTGTAGGAATACTACTGGCGCTTCCCTTTGCGACGGGAGCCGGAAGCAGCGAAGAGCTGGGAGACTTCGGAACAAGCTTGCGACGAGCCTTAGGGGGGGTTGATGGCGCATCCGTGGGTGCCGTGGCGCTCGAAGGCTTGCTGATGCGACCACTGCCGGCCTTCACAGGTGTGCCCGACACACCAGTTGAGTCGCCCATGCGCCGCACCCGTCGAGAACGTGGGGCTGCAGCTGGCGCTGCAGCAGGGGTGGTCGAGGAGCTCTCGGACTCCAAGCTGGCAGCCTCATGGCTTAACTTCTGCACATGGGCACGGCTGCTACGGCCACTGGTCGATGCTTTCTTCTCTGCGGGATTGGCTTCAGATCGGATGGAAGCATCGTCGACGTCACTCTTGCAGCTGCCGCTATCCTCTTCCTCCAGCTCCGGCGTCGGGTTGTAATCTTCGAACTCCACGAGGCGGTCGTCATTCCACGTGACATTCTTCGAGGCAAGTCGACGGCCAGAAACCTTACGATCTGATCGGTCTTGCACCGGAGCTGCTGAGTCTTCATATTCCTGCTCGGCCATGGCCTGGAGGACATACTTGGGCATCACAGAGTCACCCCTGTTGTTGCGAGTGTTTTTCTTCGTAGCCAGGGCCAATTCTTGAGCCTCGGTCCGCTGCAGAAAAACAAATTCGGTACCCTTTGCCCGCCGGAGTGCGATAGTGTTGCGCACAGCTGATGGGTTAGCTGCGGGAGCTTTGACGCGAGTGCTTCGTCGGCATGCAGGGCTTGCAGGGGCCGGCTCATCATCTTGAATTTCCTTGCTGATTGCATCTTCCCGGGCATCCTCAAAGGCGATCGTATCGCTCTTGATCGGTGAGGCCTGAGTCTTGACGGGCGAAGGAGAGTTCGCGTCCAAATCCTCCAGAACTCGTCGGGAGCGTGGCGTGAGCGCTTCCTCTGGTGACTCTTCGGGGCTGGATGACACCTGAGTAGCGCCCTCGTGGGCATCCACGAGTGCCGCCTTTGCTGCACGCTTGGCCTTGGCCTTCGAGAGGAAATCGTTCAATAGCTCGGCATCCTCTCCATCCAATGAGCTCCGAAGCGCTGATCGGACCAGTGTTCCCTCCTGCTTCTGGGTCAGATCTCGCACGACCTTCGTAGGTGTGGGCGCTATGTTCTGATTGCCTTCCTCCACTACATTGTTGATAATTTCGTGGTATTCTTGGTCTCTGGATTGAGTGTCCTGACTTTCGAAGGTCTTGGCTTCGGAGATTGATGAGTTGAAGTTAAATGGCTGCATAGAATCCTGGAAGATTGTCGCCTTGGAAGGGCTTCGTAGGTGGCTGCGCGGTGTGGGCGAAGCGGTCATCGCTAGCTCGCTCTCAACGTCGCAAAGGCCATTATTTTCATCGTATTGGCCGTCGGCATTGCCGGTCCCCACGGACTGGCTCAAAACCAAAGTCGGCTTGTGCTGCGAGCTTTCGTCGAAAATATTGAATGGCGCATCGGGCAGTTTGCCTGTAAACCGTTGTTAGCGACAACCACAAACCCGTGTTGAACCAAACTCACGTCGCTTCCGCATTTCCCCTTCCCATTTAGTCTCGAGGAAAGAGCGTCCGCTCTGCTGGAAACCAATGTCTTTCCGGTCATCGGCGCCATCAGAGCCGACACGAAGGCGCTTGACGCCGCGCGCAAATGTTGTATCCTTGGATGGGTTGATGGATGTGTTGGTGAATGAGTTGATAGCGGTCTGAAATGCGTTTTGCTCCAGCGCACTCGATTGCTGAAGCGACTGCATGTTGGAAAAAGACGCGTGGAAACGTTTCCACAATTTCTTCGACTTGATTCCACCCTGGAATGGGGTCGCTGGCTTGCGTTCCCAGAGACGGGGCAAAGCCTTTATAGCCTTGATGGGAGTAAAGCTGAATGTATTCTCTTGTTCGGGGTCGTTGAGGCCACTACAGCAAGAGACGCGCTCAAGCGCTTACCGTTAGCGAGGTGAAATAGACGGATTCAGGATTTTCGTGATTGCGTCGAATTGTGGGTACAGCCGGCCACGAGGGGGTAATCAAGGAGAGAGCAGCCCCTGAGCCAGGGAGGAAGTGCAATTGTGTCTTCCGGACGTAATATAAAAGGTTCAAGAGAGCAAGGAAAAGGAGATCACCCACCATGGCTGGGCCTGCGACTGGGTATGATCGCTGTCCATTGTTGACGCGTCTGGAATGTGTCAAAATACCGGTGGAATCCGGCGGTCGATATAGGGTAAAATGTCTAGTTGAGACGGTGTCGAACTATTGAGTTGATAACCTTGGAGCCTGGAAAGCGGCGATAGGACCCAAGATGCAAAACGCAAAAGCGCACGATGCGACCGGTGACGATGTTTTGACGAGGGTAAATATAAATGTCACGACGGTTTTGTGTTGGCGCACGAGACCCGCCCGTTGCCCCGTCAACCGCCTCATGGCCGCGGACCACCGCTCTTAGGGCTCTGGACCGAAATGAAGAGATAGAGTCTACTAATCGCACTGAGGATAGCACCAAAACATGCTTCAATAGTCTCTAATCCGACACCGTGGAATATTTGTCCTTTACCCTAGCCTTCGGGCTGAAGGTGTGGACTTTTTAATTTATGCCAAATGCAAGAAATATATAAAATAATCTGCAGTTGAGAAGATAGAAGGTGGCAGAGAGGGAGAATGGGTGTGGCAACACACCAAAATAAAAAAAAAAGGCTGGAAGAGAGACTGCTAAATTAAAGTAAACTGGCCGAGACGAATCGATGTTTCCAAGAGGGACAGCGAGTAGAGTTGAATTTATCCAAGCATGAAAAACCTCTAATGGAAAAGAGAAGTGTACAGCCAGATCATGAGTAAATATACAGATAGCCTTTAATACGCAGCCGTGAGTTATGGTCCAAGATGTGATCAGAAGTTTTATCAAAAAAATCAATTGGAAAGGAACAGATAGAGGTCTCACCCATCCCCAGAATGAGGTCACCTGGGCACCTTTTTGATCGTTTCAAATAGAAGGTCTGCTACTGCCTTCATTCCTACGAGTTTCGGATGGAGATTCGGACCGTCCGATCCATCAAACCCTCCAACCCAAGGTTCCTCGCTACCGAGCGCATGTCCCAGGCTAAAATCGTTGACTGGTACCCTCTGACACCACTCGCCTCTACTTTCTGCTGCATCACGATAAGCCCTTGACATTGCAGATGCGACTGCGAGATGATGTTCCACTCTCTCTTGATTGAAGGGAATATCCTGACCAGGTCGCGTGCCAGGTCCAAGGACGGCAAGGTATTCGACAAGAAAAACGTGAGCTCCCGGGGCTCGCTTGTGTATATTATCGAGAACCCCGCCTAGTCTTCCAGCTAGTTCACTTGGAGGTACAATGTCGGTGCTTGGCGTTGGTATTTCAAGGCCAAGTGCAGCACATGCATCGGCACCCAGGGCTCCGATGTAGTTGATGTCGTTGCCACCGGCAGTGATGGTGATGATATCCGCATCTTCGGGCAGATTGGAGATCTGGGGTGGGAAAATCCCACCGGTCAACGGATCGGTTCTCTGGTTGACCGTTATGTCGAGAAGAGTTGAGCCAGAAACAGTCAGGTCGGTGAGCTCGGCATCTAGCTGCTGCGCCAGGAGATGGGAGTAATTCCGCCCTGATCGCCCAGCACCGAGTGGTTGAACTTGTGGGGGAATGCCCGGGCCAGCGGCAAAGGAACTTCCCAGACTTGCAATCTTGAGCTTCTTGTTTTTCAACTCCATAATCAATGCGGAAACCATAGGAAGGAAGAAGTAGTAGTCAGTATTTTGGAGAGCGCGGGTCGTGGCTCCAGTTGTGACTCCGAGAATGGCCGGGTTCTATCTCTGGTGGCCGAGATTCTTGGCACGTGTGAAACCTGATGCCAATTGCCCAAGAGCCTTTATGCACCAACTTCAAAGTATATGTACTAACTTGTTTAAACCGAAGATGAAATAGCCTTATACGTATATATGCCCAGGTGGATTGTTATTGACAAGAAATAGATTTACTTGCCACCAAAATATCGATTCTTCAACTCTTCAACTCTGCTTATTCACATACACATAAAGAAGAATGCTGCGAGCCGGAAAAGATCTTGATCCAAATGAACCTACTTTGCATTCAAACTGAAGCTGATCCATAGCACAGGGTGATTCCCTAGCGAGCCCTCCATCCTAGGGCGATTTAGGCAACGAAGTACAGCAGGGCATACATAATGCTTTACAAACATAACGTGTTATCGCCCCAAGCAAAAAAAAAAAGTCACGGTAAAGGATCAGCACAAACAGCGCCCTGGTACATAAGCAGAGCCCAACAATTAACCCCCTTGTGGTGATCGAACCGATGCCAATAGAGTTCGAAGAACTTTTCGCCAGATTCAGAACATAATCACGGCCACTTCTGGATAGTTAGGTTCATACCACATAGTACCCATCCCCATGGAGGATGTGCATGTCATGGAAGAAACCTGACGTGCCGGGTAATGGTCAATAGATATTGTCAGTAAGCCAGAAATGGAGTCGACTAGATCCGATGCCGTAGTAGTGAGATATCGCAGTATTGAGTAGTAGGGCGGCTGGACCCCCCGTTTCGTGAGAAAATTCCTCTTTTCTTCCGGCCCCATTCATATCCCACTGCGCATGATCATGATCATGGCCACGGCCGAGGCGGGGGTAAATGACTGGACTGAAGGTGTGGGGAAAAGGGTTGCGATCGGAAGCGGCTGCAGATCTCCGATCGGCCTTTCTTTTGGGTTTGTTTTGTTCTGTCTGTTTGTTCTGTCTGTTGTTCTGTCTGTTTGTTCTGTCTGTTTGCTCTGTCTGTTTGCTCTGTCTGTCTGTTCTGGTTGCTGGAGTTTGGATGGTTTGTTTCGGTAGTGCGGGAAGCCCCCCTGGGATTGGAACTTCAACACTCTAACTCCTCAACTCCGTACACAGTTGTAAGGGGAATGGGCGTCACAATGGCAGTAGGGAAAGTCATTTTCTACCGCTTCGGGCTTGGTCCAGAGCACCCCGCATAGCAACATGTATTTAAAGTGAGCTTTACCGGGTTAAAGGATTCTACTACTAGTACAACTACTACTAATAATCGTACTTTGATGCCGACAGTTCTAGACCGGCACGTGACTGTGGTTCATCTGTTAGCCTTAATCCGAATTTACCAGGAAAGCGTTCCTTGTATTTCACAACATAGAAATTTATGCCTTTAGCTATATACCCTTGAACTCGAGTGCTCATATGCAGAGTGACCTCATAGTTCCAAAACGTCGTGTGGCGATTCTGTTTGTCTTTCCACGGCGGTATGATTACTCTAACATATAATCACGCCCGATGACAATAATAGATGCGCCTTCGTGAACGAAAAAGTATACCTCATTTCTCGAAACCCCTTATCTATAAATGAGCCGCCCGAAGCTTGAGTCCTCTTCTTTTTTTCTTTATCTATCAGACCCGGTTTCATTGACAATTGTCGCTTCCTTTATATCATCACCCAAATCACGCTTTAAGAAAAAAAAAAAAAAAGCAAGAAGATGACTGACAGACCACTACTGGAGATTATGGCGCGTAACCGGTAATTATCCCAGGGTATAGCAAATTCTTGATGGATACTCACTGACACCCTGCAGCAAGTTCTCCCAGGAATACAAAGCCCCGCCTCTTTTGATGCAAATGGACCCTGCAGTGAGAGCTTCTGGAGATGCCATTGTCGTGTTATCCTGTTGTGATCCTCGTCTCAATCCTTACCAAATACTGGGTATCGATTCAACCATCCGTCAGTTTCCCATTTGAACTGCTTTTCCCGTCTCGTTGTCTCTAAGAGATCTATCGTGTTACGACCACCATAATACTAACGAAAAGATTAAAATAAAACAGAGGCGATCATGATTCGAAACGCTGGTGGTCGAGCTTTCGACGCCATTCGAAGCCTGTCTATTATGCAGACTGCTGCCGCTCCAGGCACCATTGTTGTCATGCACCACACGGGTACGTTACGCTCAAGAATCTCAAGCTGGTTCCTGATCTTTGATGTTGGATGACAATAATTGACAAACTTTAGACTGCGGCATGACTCATTTTCATGACGCCTATATCAAAAAGGCGCTACTAGAAATTGCGCCGCAGGAGGAGGAGTTAATCGAGGCTTCTAAGTTTGGAGAAATTACTAATAGGTTCGTATCAAATCAAACTCTGCTGTGTCCTGGAGTTAATTTTATTTCCCAGCATCGAGGATAGTATCCGAGAAGATATTGCCATTCTCAAGGCCTCTCCGTTGATCAAGAAAAGCACCCGCTTCATCGGTCTGAAATTTGATATCAGTACTGGGCTTCTGACAGAAATTCTGTGAGCGTGGTTCAGCAGATACTATATCAGGGTGATCTATTCATCATTTCATCCTTCCGGGACTGCTTTGGATTTGAAATTCAAATCGTGAATGAGGACGATGCTCTTAATCGTGAAGAAGGAAGACATGGAATTGACGTGGTACATTCTGGTGAATTTTAAAGTTTCCTTTTTTTAGGACGCTCTTTTTTCTACACTGATAGATCTGAACTTCAGATTTTAATGTTTTCGGGGCGTCCTTTGATGGGTGGTACCTCGACGTGAATGTAGAACTTCCAAAAGGTGCATTGCTTCTCCTTAGACCACCTATGCCGCAAAAAGGTATGAGACTGTAATATCAAATCCCACATAAATTACCGTACTATTCTTGGTAGTGTAGTTCTTAATAACTCACAAGTCAGGCCAAAAGTTGACCGCAGGTCCGGTGATGATGATCTAGCTCAGTGAAACTGGCTCGGCAGGACAAGTGGGTTCGATGGTTATCTCCGTGATCGGACTGTGTCCGTCTGACCCATAGCCCATAGCTCAGGAGAGAAAATTTTCAAGGAAAAGAAGAAGAGCTACCAGTCTACCATGACAAAGGCGGAAATGATCAGATGAAAGCCGTGCATCTCAAAATTATTGGACTTAAGAAATACGATCCCTGGAAGTTCAAAAACTGGATTCAGAGAGGTATACATGTACACCTTCCAAGGTTAAGTATTCAAAAAGTCGAATGGTACGAATATGTAGAATATTATAGGTAGTTATGTATATCCCATATGTATCTTTCAAAAATGGCACGTACAAGAATCACCTCAAAATTAAAGTTCCCAAAAGCCTGGAGAACGACGGATGAGAATATTCAGAATATTCAAGGGTCCACGGTTCAAGGCCCATAAGATGCGATACTGCTATTCGCGCGGCATCAACGCCGTAACCTGTGTCGACACAAGTTCGCCCCGGGATTTCCACAAAGGATCCAACAAGACCAAGATTAGAAACGGACTTCGGAATGATACGTGGGCGATCATCAGAGGATCTGGTTAGCAAGGTTGAGCTCATTCGCGGCATCGCTCGTGGAATGGTGATAGACTGCAGTAGAACTTCTGCGGCCATCTCGCTAGGAAGCTCCAAATGATGAACAATCTCGGCCATAATTTGTGCCCCACAGCAATACACCATCGAGTTATTGACACAGTCCCCTTTCTCTTCGGGAAATCGTCCAAAGCCCCAAAGAACGCGGACATTAGGCGGCTGGTGAGTGAATACCGGCTGAGCAGGGGTGCAGAGACACAGTCCCCAGCTACTGTCTTTGATTAGAAAGATTGCCCCCGCCTCTGATTTGCATCTTGAAAGAGAGTTGAGATAGTCGAAGAATTCCATATGCTCTGTTGTGATCGTAAATGACTCCATCATGGACTCCGACTTCCGCGTGCAGAATGTATACGGATCACCCATATCTGGATACTTGTTTCCAGCCTCCAACCATAATGACCAATTCTCATCAAGATGGTCGCTTGGCTGTACAGAGCGCCACGCTGGTGGTAGATTGTTCGTTCCTATTGCTGACCCCGAAACGGTCGACCCTAGAGTCGCAATGACAATGTCATCGGGGCCCAAGTTGATTTTCAAGTCCAACTCATCCTGCCTGACGGACAGGCCAACGATGGTTTGGATGCGGTCTTTGCTCGCACTCGTCTCTACGTTTGCCACTTTGGTGTTAAACTGGAAGTCGACGCCCAGGCCCTGGAGATAAAAGTAGATTGGAAGGAGGATCGAGTCGTATTGGTAGTATCCGGTGATATCCAGGCAGGTCAGTATACTGAAATTGCTGAACTTTGAAAGATATTGCCTGACAGATCGTCTGAACTCAGTGGCACTGTGCCAGGGCTGAAAGCCAAACCTGTAGTGCTTCAAGTTAATCATACAATCATTGAATGGACCCCGTGGATATTCACTGTATGGACCATATCTCCCAGAAGGTACTCTCGAAGAACTTGGCTCTGAAGAATTCCTGAATTTGTCGTTTGTGTAGGTGACTTTCATGCTTGAGCAAAAGCCGGATCAAGCTAAATCGGTCTTTGATGCCCAAGTTTAGCCTTTTGGTAGGCAAATGCTTGAAAGACCCGTCTCGGCCACTGACGAAGCAGGTGCCGTGTTGGCTGTTCAGAGCGAGTCGTTTTTCAGTCTCTTCATGGATATCATCCAGAAAAGATCGCTCTTCTAACCCTGCCGATGGAATCATGTCAAGAAGCTCCTGTAAGCTCCGACCGACAGGGATAGGGAGGCATCCTGCGAATTGATCGTATCCAGTCGAGGAGCTTCCTTCGCGATGTAAAAGATGCTCCAAGGATATGTGCTCGTCAAGAATGTGTACGCTTGACGGGGGTAACATAGCATGCCTGATCAAATACACCGCCGCTGCTAGGGACGCAGTTCCGCTTCCGAGAATCCATGCCTCGGCCGTTACAGAAGGACGCCGATCATATCGTAGGAACTTCTTCATGTCGACCACGAGAACGTCTCGAGGGCGTGGAAAACGCTCGAACGTGGGGAACGAGGGCTCAAATTCATCCGAAGGAATGATTTTACTTGGAAGTGGTCGACATCAACTGCCTGGCGATTGAATGACGTTCGGTGCCAAAACCGAAGTCTAAATACCGGCACCCAACTTCATCTCCTTCTTGATTGAGCATCATATTTCAGGGATACAGAATTGAGTCGCGAAAGTCCTCGTGTTCTAGAGCTGATGACGTAGAAGGCCCTGGGCTAACCATGGGTGAGAGAAGTCTGTCGGAGCTATAACTTCATTTCGCGTGGCCGGTTGGCAACCCTTTCCCTGCTGTAGAATATTTGTTTGAAGAGTGATGTAATTTCAAGATCTAGAAGCTGATAACAAGCGTACGAATGCTATCGGGATTTGAATCATGATCTCCACGCTCCGGGAAGATAGAAAGACGTCAACTAATCAGCCGTCTAGACTCACACCCATCGAGGCGCATCCCTCTATTACTTCGTCACATATCCAGAATCTAAAACGGTCAGAGACTTTGAATTCATCACCAAGGGGTGTTTGGAATCTCTCACCCAAAGTAATTTCTTGACCCGTCATCGACGTATTCTTGGCGATTGCCACGTACATGTCGGCGCAATCGTCGAGGTAAACCTAGATAGTCGTATTAATCAAGGGGAATTCCAAGACGAGCCTTAAAAGTCTTGAGCTGACCTCGTGCTTAAGGGCTGATTTTTCCGTCCATGACTGGATCTGCTCGGCAGAGTATTGCAGGCCCTTGAGAATCTGTTACTATCCTTCGAATGATTGATAATTCAGGAGTCGTATCCTTGAACTTACCCACTCGGTCAACAGTAATCCGGGCAGTACTGAGTTGATGCGGACCTTAGGTCCTTGTGATGCCTTGAGACATTTCAAAAGATGCAAGCCTATGTCTCATGTTAGTAGACACTCGGCAACAGGATCATGATCTAACTCGCCGGCAGATTTGGTGACTGAGTACGCCATGCTGCTACCACTAGGAGTGATGCCCTGGAAGTATCGGTCAGAAAATTTGTCATTCTCCTCAAAGGGGTATATTTCGAGTCGTACAGCAATAGATGAAGTTGTGATGAAAACACCACCTTCTTCATTCGCGTTGAACGTCGGTAGAGCCTCTCTGAATAAGAACAGATTGCTTTTGACATTTGTTGCCCAGCACTTTGGGTAAGTTATATTAGACCCCAGATCCGACGTAGAGTTTATTCGTCTTACCTTATCCCATTCATTTTCATCTAGAGCATACAGATCTTCAAAATTGGAAAATCGTGTCCACCCCTTGAGCAGTCAGGGTTAGTTATTTCAAAACGACAGGTTGAGTAGTCTTACGGCATTAGAAATAATGATGTCCAGCCCTTTGAACTTTTCAATTGCCGTTCGGATCAACCTAACACAATCCGCCTGGATACCTGCATCCTAAATCACGTCAGGATTAGCCATCTATACCAACCACCACAGCATATACATAATAGAATCGTTGGAAAGCGAGAAAACATACTCCTTGGATTGTGGTTGTTTTGATGTCGTAATCCTTCTCCAGTCGCAAAGCAAGGTCATCGGCTTGCTGGTGACTCGAGAGATAGTTGATTGCAACATTACAGCCCTCTGCGGCAAATTTCTCGGCAATAGAAACTCCAAGACCCCTGCCTAGGCATTAGTCCGGAGTCAAGATAAGCCAGCGCGATAAAAATTAAGATAGCACAGGACACGCACCTCGCACCGCCAACAATGAGAACGTTTCGGCCGTGAAGCTTGTAAGGCATCTCTCTAGATTGAATGCTGGAGATACTTAATCAAAGAGGAATTCTAACACTCGTGTATTGAAAGGAACCGTCTAAGGCTCAGTCAAAGCGAGGACACCCAATACTTTTTGTAAAGAGGAGGCCGAGTTTGACCTCGGGCAGCAATGCGGGGGGATTCGGCTGCGCCGATGATCCACCACAACACGAACGATCGGCACTGCCGATGATAGGCGTTCCTGGTAATCATAGTTCGCTTTGATCGCAAAAGCAGACAAGCGATAATGTTTGGATTTTTGACAATGCGTCGCTTGTTTATGAGCGTTCATTGAGTGCGATATCTCTTGATGGTTTAACTCCACGATATCGTGTGGATATATGGATCATACGTCTAGTTTGCACTGAGTATCTAGAGATATATAACTGCAGCCTCGGGGTAGGCAAAATTGACCAGTAATCTGGTTCTTGAACTCTTGGGAATTGGAATCGGAGTTTGTTCACGTCGCTTAGGTTAAGCTATTACCGAAGAAATGGAGGATGGATTAGATCATTCTGGATTATACTATGGGAAGTTAAAGTATTCCCAATTTGCCAATGATAATATCTGATCCTCCAACTGATTGTCAACATCTGACAAGAAGTCATTGAATTGAAACTCTTGGCCACTTTGATCATTTAGCAGGCCGGGCCATTCAATTTCACTCTGGGGTTGGGCTGATATTGGCGTTGGTTCTCTCCTGGCTCTGCGAAGGTTGACGCGATTGGCATTTCTAGAACTGCGTTCAAAGGTTATTAGCTTCAATCAAAATTTTGTGCAGAATGGACACACTTCCGCGGAGAGCCGATAGTGGACGGGCATAAAGGTGTTTCTTTTGATGATAGTGCATTCGGCTTGTCGACTTCATTATCCGTCGTCACGTCGCGAGACTCCCGAATATAATTCATTATACCATCGGCAATAGTTTTGAACCCGTCTAGCGAAAGAGGTTCCTCGACAGTTCGCGATTTTATTATTAGAGCTCGGTATAATCCAATCTGATTTATCTTTAAATTGTTAGCAAAGAATAAATTCGTAAGTAAATCAGCGTACCCAGTATTTTGGCAGGTCCCAGAACCGAGATAGAGATTCCATGGCTTTGATGTCGTCTTGCAATAGAGCTTCTGCTTTTCGTGGAATCGCGGTATCTCTAAAGCCCTTTTCATCAATCAGCGTGAAAAATAGGTGAGTAATCGCGGTCTTCATCAAGCACAAGCCGATGAAAGGATAGACGCCTGGAAAGACAACAAGCTTATCCGTCAATAAACGAAACAACTCGGTGATTGAATCCGAGCTTCGAGAAATTCCTTCGATACATCCTTCCCACCAGTGTGGCGGAGCATTTCCCCACTCTTCAGACACCGATTCCACCCTTTCAGGGCCATCAAAAGGGTTATATCCTTTTGATGGAAGAAAGGGGATATACTCGGAAAGCAGGTAGATTTTGGCAAGAAAAAAGAATAAGTAAGCGAGGCCCCATACTTTCAACTGATTCGAATTCAGCATTGAGATTGCAGCAAAGGTGTCCTTTGAATATTGAAGATGACTGGAAACCTGCCGCTGCCAATCCTTCAACTTCTTGTTAAGAACAGTGAATGGCATGTCATCTTTCCAAGGAGCTCTGGGGTCAGTATATCGTCCACCTCGCCCGTGCCAGATGATTATCTCCCCCAAGATCGACAATATGCTGGTGAGGGAAACATAGAGATTGCTTGATGTTCCGTGACTCAAATCGACAGTACTCAGAGTGGAAGGTTGGTGAAGGCGTCGGAAAATGAGATCCTCTTCAGAGACGGGGAGATGACAGCAAATATCTTTCTCGTCAATGATACTTGGCCGATCTCTGCCGTTGGATAGGAGTTTGTCGAGAAAAAAGCAACTCCAAAATGTCCTTCGCTTCAACTCGACTGTGATTGCATCTTCGCTCGGGTTTCGAACAGGCCGACCCCAATCAAAATTGGAGCTGGGTTTGTCCATAACGGACAAACGGAGGATTTGTGCCATCCTAATAGCATTTCCCAGATGGATCCAAGCGCTAGATTCAAAGCCACAGCCAACTTCGTACACGCAATGGATTAGGTATGCTTGTACCACATGGAGTGAGACTTCGTTACTGTCTTTCCGAAGAAACTCCCGGGCTCTTGTCTGATATGTCCGAGATTCCTCAATCGAGCTCCAGGGACTAAACCGAGCGGTCAGCGCGAGAATTGCAAAAGTGAGACTCGGTGATAGTTCTCCAGAGCAGAACTGGGTTGAAAAAGTGAGTGGGTCGATGAAGAAAAGCAGTGTTGAGCCAAAATTGTCGCGAAAAAAATCAGCAGCCTGTGCCAGCTCGGTGGCTGGTATTTGTGACAAGTCTCGGGCTTCATTGCCCGATGGGCTTGTGGTTTTAGCTTGGGGTGCTATATCCATGGCCGGATGGCCCTGAGATACCCCTGCATATCGGCAGTCGATAGATCTGTTGATGCAAGCTTTGCAGGATGGCCAGCCACTGGTACATCGAACCTTGCGCTGTCTTCAAATGAAGTTTTAGCGATGTGTGATTCTTATCGCCGCTGAGATGAACGAGGTACCCACCGACAGGGAATGCATGCAATCGCAGCTCGTTGGCCCGGGAGATGAACTGGACGGCGCGGCTTCCTTGGCCCAGTAGACTCCCGACTCATCTTATGTTACATCAGCAGCCCAGATTCATTGATACTTCACGGTCGATGGTAGTTGATCAGATTTGAAAATCGGTCACAGGCGCGTTCTAGCCGTGTGGGGAGGGGAAACTAGGAAACTGACTAAAAAAGTACCGAGTTCTTGGACTTTCCTCCTACGTCCGCCAAAGCACCAGATGATGTGATTCATTTACGAACATTACAATTATCTTGGCAATAGCAATAAAAAGGATTTTATACATAGTGCCCGCGGAATTTGAGTTGAAGTGAGGAAGCCGTCAAGCGAGGTCGCCTTGACTCTATGGCGGGGAACATAGTGGATCGCTCTTATCGCCGGCACTGCCGAGAGCAAAGGTGGAGGTGCACGGCACTGCCGTTTCAACACGCTTCCCATAACACTATTTAGACTCGGTTTAGAAGCAAGAAAATGAACTGGTTGGAAACAACCTCAATGTCACAAATCAATATGGCCAACACGCAGCAGTCTGAGCATTCCCCTGCTGAAAAGATCATGACTCTGTTGCACGATGCCGAGAATGACTACAAACAAAGCAATCCAAATTCACAAAAATGGCATGAACGAGCTATTAGAGTCTTACCGGGTGGCAACACTCGTTCGATCCTTCATACGGACCCATTCCCCATCTACATGGACCGAGGCGAAGGTAATCGATTGATAGACGTTGACGGTCACGAGTCAGCATTCCAACCCCTCCACATCTTAGTTACCCAACACTAATCAGGTTGTCCCTCAGATACCTTGACCTAGTTGGTGAGATGACGGCTGGTGTATGCGGTCACTCCAACCCCATAATTCGCGACGCTATCATCTCTACAGTCACCAAAACAGGTCTGAACCTTGGTGCTACCACCGCTGCCGAGCTTGGCTTCGCAGAGCAAGTCCGAAGCAGGTTTCCCTCGATGGAGCAAATAAGATTCTGCAATTCCGGTACAGAGGCGAATATCTACGCTCTCAGCATCGCACGTCAGGCGACCGGTCTGAGTAAAGTCATCGTCTTCAACGGCGCCTACCACGGCGGGGTCTTAACCTTTGTTCACGGCGCTTCCGTGAATACTATTGACAGGAACGACTGGGTTATTGGATCTTATAATGATCACGAAGGAGTACAGCGACTCATATCCGAGAACAGGGGAAAAGCCGCTGCGGTGCTTGTTGAGGGGATGCAAGGTGCGGGCGGATGTATACCGGGATCGGCCAAGTTCATGCACGCTATTCAGAAAGCGACGAAGGAAAACGGTATACTTTTCATCCTGGATGAAGTCATTACCTCCCGACTAGCTCCAGGTGGCCTTCAATCTACAATCCTGGACCCCCACGATGGTGCTCCTTTGAAACCAGACATCACGACTTTAGGCAAATGGATTGCCGGAGGAATGACAATTGGCGCCTTTGGGGGCCGCCAGGAGTTGCTCTCGATATATGACCCTCGCCCAGCCTCCGAGTCGGCAATGCAGGGAAAGCCGGCACAAATGAGCCATTCGGGTACGTTCAACAACAACACCCTCGCCATGCATGTTGGCTTAGTTGTCCTTTCATCCGTGTACACGCCTGCAGTCTGTACAGAACTCAATGCTCTTGGGGACTGGTTTCGTCAAGAACTGCTTGATAGGTGCCAAGGAACGAGAATGACGGTGACTGGGGTTGGAGCGGTGTGCAACATCCACTTTGGTGCCCACGAGGATCAACGTGAAATTCTCCGGATCGAGCACTTGGATGAGCGACACTCGAAGGCCGATTCGAGCTTGAGAGACTTTTTTTGGTTTCAGGCTGTTCAAAAGGGGTTCTGGATAGCTCGCCGTGGCATGGTGACTTTGACCATGGGAACTACTAGATTGGAGCTTCGGGAGTTCATTGAATTTGTGGAGGACTTTGCTCGATCGACTCGGTCTCTCCTGTGCTAATCGAATGAAAAGGGTCATGTACCTGCTAACTCTAATCAAAGATATGAAACTCTGCAGTTATCAGCTCCTACATCCTAACTCTGAAGATCCCTACTCTAAACGGGCCTAGACATTTGATTCTTCAGATCCTTGTCATTCCTAAAGCTCTATTTAGGCCTCTTTTGGTTCCTCTTTCAGGCCGTATCTTGGAATTATTTCGAACAAGTCTGGAGGATAAGCCACCACCGCCTTTATATAACAATTTGTGTCATATACCTGGTCCGGCTATATCTCCATCATGGATTTCGAGTTTCCAGCCTCACGCACTCATTCGACTGTGCATGCGGGGTGATGCGTAAGTTTCGTATCTCATATCATACATTTAGAGCCAATAATATAGGACCTGGACGCTTTGTCCTGTTCGTTTAGCTCACATTGAAGGCCAATTTATGCATATTATTTCCCTATTAAGTAGCCGGTAAGAGGTACGCACTCCGCGGTGTGCTTTATCATGTCTTGACAGTCCAATCTTTGAGGCTGAGATTAGACACACAGGAAATCTAGTCTGTCTATCTCTCTGTCTCCCCGAATAAAGCCATTTAAGATATATCTATAAAAAGTTATGTTTCAACTGGGAGGTACCGCCTTCATCACCGGAGCTAGTTTAGATAAGTCGTCAAGATAGAAACGAAGAAAACACCTAACGTGAGATCTAGGAATCGGAAAAGGTGTAGCTCTTGCCTTTGCCCGTTGCGGGATGAAGCGGCTCGCGCTTCTTGGCCTAGAAGCAAAGGGACTCGAGTCTACCAGGAGTCAATTAGAACTGGACTATCCCAACGTGGAGACAATACTCGAGCCAGCCGACGTTTCCGATGAATCCTCTATCCAGAACGCAATCAATCGAGTGGCAACAGACTTTGAAAGAATTGATTATGGTGTGAACTGTGCTGGGATCGAAGGAGCCCGTTTCTTGACCCATAAAATGCCTCTGGAAAACTGGCAGAAGGCCATTGATATCAACCAGATGGGAGTCTTATTCTGCAGATGCTCAAGCAAGAATATGTCTATGAGCGTTCCTTGTAACCCAAATCCTACGATTCAAGGCTGGTTCAAACCTCTGGCATTGCGAGTAGTGTTCGGGGTCCACGTGAAGGACGCCGTGTCATTGTCAATGTATCGTCAATGTTCGGAAAGGTATCACCTGCCATAGGACATCGCCTCGCATTTTATATCTCCTCAAAGCACGTATGCTCTATTCAGTATCTAGACTATCGAAAACGACTACTAATTTGGATACAAAGCCATTATGGGATTGACAAGAATGGTATGAGCATTTCATCCTGCCAGCCCAAAAGTCGACTGGAACTGAATAACACTATAGGATGCCATGGGGTACGGTCCCAAGGGTATTAGAATCAATGCTATCTGTCCAAGGTCTGTGACCAACCACCTTCTCGCCGCATATGAAATTGTGCTAAGTTTAACCCACTGGTGGATTGATTCGTGGACACTCCTATTCTTGAAGATGCCCTGAAAACAGGCTCTCTGTAGAAGGCATTCGACCAGACGGCTGCCGGAAGGCCTACCACGGTCGAAGAAATAGCCGATGCTATTGTCTTCCTTGCATCACCGATGGGCAGCTTCATGTACGGTACAGGACTGACTGTGGATGGTGGGTATTCAGCCTAGTTTCATAGCTCGGTAGACATAGCATGAAGCGGGAATCTATTTTTCATTTTGCTCGGACGAGGCTTGGATCATTCCCGTCATACAACGTATTGTGTATTTTTCAAGTCGTGTCTCATTAAGTCATATCTGCCAGAGACATGTAGCATCTTCAAAGCAATCCCTCGTGCTGTATTACAACAACTTCTCTTCCAAGTCGCGCTCATCGAAGGGGTCTCCGAACTCGTCTTTGAAGAAAGCAGTTAGTCGATGCTAAAGCTTCGAGTCAATTCAGACACCACATACGCAAGTTAAAGTCCTTGTCCACGACATGTTCCATCGCTTTCTGGTAGTCGTCCTGAGCACGCTTGGTCTGCCATGCCGCAATGGGATGTTCTAAGCTCGCTCGAGACTTCTGTGCCCCGGCCCCATTGTCCTTCATGACGGCAGTCGAGATATTGGGTAATTGTTGGGGCTGGGAACCGGGAGGAGAGAGTTCAGATGCGGTGGCGGCAGATGCGTGAGCGAAATGGGTTGGAGTGCGGGCGCCCGGTGCATCTGAGTCAGTGTGGACTGAGTCGGCGGATGAGGCCATCTCAGAGTCGCCGTCTGGATCCCGAGAATCTGTGGACGGTAAGTGGAGGGCCGGCATTTCAACAGAAACAGGTCGCACTGCGGGGATGGGGATAGCCTCCGATACGAGACTCACAGAGCCCCTGGTGACTAAATCACCCTTCGTTTGGAGTAGATGGAAAAAGAAAGGGACGTACCAATAGCCATGTTTCGGTTAAGTATAGACCTGAAGTGAGCTGAAGTGAGCTGAAGTGAGCGTAGTAGTATCGGATGGGGAGCGGAGATCAACGCGTGGGCGGTGGCCGATTGGGCCTTTACCTCGATTTTTCTTTTCTTCCTAACATCCTTGTATACACTCTGAGCATATTGCTAGGCTTTATATTTCGTGTTCGCATTTACTGTCTTATCTTTGAATTCTCCCTGCCTTTTTACTCATCCTGTGCCATGAGCGCAAACGCTGAAACCCCCAGCGCTTGGGAGGACGACTGGGAATCCCAGGCAGATGTAAGCCGCCCGCCATGTCCTTCTGCTTTATTAAAGGGACATTTCCTTGAGGGCTCGGCGACAGAAATGCTGATAATGGGATGCAGACCCTAGCAACCGACCCATCCATAGAGCCGGAGAAGAAAGTCTCGTCCAAGATCACAAAAGCACAGCGCCGCGCGCAGCAGGCAGAGTTCAACCGACAATTATGGGCAGAGGCGTACGTCTTCTTCTTCTCTCCAAAGAAAGAAAAGAAAAGAAAAGAAAAGAAGTTAGAAGCACCTTGAGACTAATTCGAATTTTTATGGTAGTGACACCCCGCAAACGTTCCACTATGTTGAAGCGCGCTCCGAGGTTGTACCCCTCAAGCAGGACATCAAGCCAGCCGTCACCCTCCTCAGCCGAAAACCGCAGATCGCAACTAGGAGATCCACCGCGAGGGGAGTAAACGGCGCTACAGCTGGACTTGGACAACTCTGTCTAGATGGCGAGGAAGACGATTCAGACGACGAATCAAAGTCTCGGCAGCCCACGTTTGAGGAACGTCAAGCTATTGCACTCAAAGCCCGGGAAGAAAAGCAGCGCAAATACGAGGAAGTTCGAGAAAGGCTCTTCGGCAGTCCATCTGCTACGACATCCGGCACTTCATCTCCCGGAAGTACAACCCCGCCCCGCCAGAACTCGTCAGGAGATGGCAGAGGAAAGGGCAAGGGCCGTGGTGGTCGGGACTACCAGAAGCGAGACTCGTCTGCTGCGTCAAACAAGTCAAGTCGACATCTCTACGATCCCTCGACTTCTACTAAATCAAGCGGCCCGCAATTGCAAAGGCGAGAGCGCCAAGGTGGTCAGAGCGGCTCTGAGAAGCCGCCTGCACCGCAGCAGCCGACTCGGAGCCCTCGTGGTCCGGATGGAAGTGGAAGGGGTGGTTTTGGATTTGCCAACAGAGGCGCGCGAACAGGCTAAGGGTACATTACGTCGGATTCTCATCACTTCGCCCGTGCTTACTCCCGCGACCAGCGGCGAGAGCGAGGGCATCTCTTCCTGGTCCATGGAGAGCGCTCTGACCATTCAAGGAAGCCCGTGTCCCGAATTGATTGCATTTGCAACTTGAGACGTGTTCGGGCGGTTCTCTGTCATACAACATGTCAGCGCTGAACGGCCTGATGCGGACGGCCTGATGCTGAGTCGATCAAAGGCACTCACCGGCGTAACGCTCATAGCTGTCAAGATAGAGCTCATCTGTACTGGTTGTTGCTCGAACATGTTCATTGGTCTCGAGGGCGTTCACCCATGTCCCCCATCTTGTTCCTTCCTCGGCATCTGGCCAACCTCGATAGGGTTTCAAGACCCGACTGAGCCGAAGGACCCATGGAGCGGCCTGGACATCCACGAAGGAAATATGTGGCCCCATGAAGAATGGCCCACGGGCGTGCGCAGCGGCCATCAACTGGTTGAACGCGTTTCGAAGCTCCTGTGCTTTAGCAATCTGTTTCTGCTGGTCTTGTTCCTGCAGGACTCGGTAGAAGGTTGGCACAATATTCCGGTTGATCTAGGCACTATCAGCAACGTTCGGTAACAGGAGTTGGAGGATTTACTCACATGGTCTGCCCAAAGCCGGCAGTGAGCACGCAACTTTGGATCGGCTGGCATGAGTGCCGTGCCGAGATTCAAGTCCTCGAGCTATTTTGCGTTAGCAGTGCATGAGAGGTGATGCTCTAAATGGCAAGCTCCTCACATATTCCATAAGCACAATGCTTTCATAGCATCCCCAATCGTCGTGTCTCAACGCTGGCACAAGACCTCGCGGGTTCACCTCCAGCAGGGACTGAGGCTTTTTATATGGATCTACTTCAATGTACTGATAAGGAATGCCTTTCAGCTCAAGTGCGATCCAGACACGCTGCACAAAAGGGCTAGAGAAAAACACCGAGTCAGTCAGATTTTCATGCTATGAGAAGGCCGTCTGCACAAATGCAGAGGAAGCCTGACTCACCAAAAGCAGCTGCCAAACAGCTTGAGATTTGACTCGACTGAATGGCTAATCGCGGTAGCGGCGGCCAAGCCAGTCGCTTTGGTGTGGTATGACTTCTGCATCTGAGTGTCGTCCATGGCTCGATACTGTGGAAACTAGATTAGAAATGATTCACGATTCAATAATAAATTGACCTCAAAACCGCATGATATTTCAAAACAGTAAAAGTCAGAAGTGGATGTTCATATGGGATGACGTAGATCTTGCGGGGACCGCCAAGCCCCTCCGAGGTATCGAAGTAGAAAACAAGTTGAACATACCGTGGACTTCTTCCTTTCCTTGTCATGTTTCATGAAGTGTCTATGGACACTATTCTTCTTAACTCGATCACTATCCTCGAGCGTATGTTGATGGCCACCTCCCACGCCTTCACTCTTTCCATTGGCACCATTCCCATTCACGCGTTGTATGGTGAAATATCGCGCTCCGTTCACCCCAGGATGATCTAAAGGTAAATTGGAACCTGGCGCAAGCACGCCAAAGGGCTGATTCCCCTGGACGGGAAACAAGGTGTGAACTCCAGGCAAAAGTTCAGCGGGAAGCGATTCAAATCCACCAGTTGTATCTATAGCTCCGCCGCCGGGGAAGTACTCCGTAATCTTGATCTTGACGTCGCAGAGATCTCGCTCTCTGGCCGTACGCTTGCGCTTTTTCTTAGTCGGGTCGTCGGACTTGGGTGTCCCTGGAGGCCGGCCTTTCAGACGACAGTCCCAGTAGTGGGATACGAATGGTCTGCGCTTGTAGCGCTGAGTGGAGCGATGAGAGTAGACATTATCAACGTGTGGGAAGTAGGTCTGGAATCTGCAACGGAGTCTGTCAGTAATCAATGAAGCTCGAAGAGTTGATTGCGACATGAAATAGCATACTGTTCCTCGCTCAGGGTTATGGTTTCATCCACGTGGAACAATCGATCTCTCCAATACTCTAGATCAGGTGGATCCGGGATTAGCTTGCCCTGTAATTGTCCGGCAAAACTTGTAGAGGCCGCTGTGTCGGGCGCCAGCCCTCCATGGTTCGGTTGCCGAAAGGACGAATCCGACTGAAGTAAAGATATTCCATCTTCTGTAGTGCCTTGCGCGTTGCTTTCCAAAGCTATCGCGTTCTGTGCAGTCGCATTCTGTAGAGGCTGATGCGGGTCGACACTGTCAGTGGAACGGAAGGACGCGAAGGCCTGCGATTCGGGGTGGAAGTGGCTAAGCTGTGATAAACCCTGTGCTTCATCAATGATGTCGATCGTCGAGGCTAGCGGGCGCGAAGAACGCAGGCCGGAATCCATGAGTGGAGTGCGTCGTGCTGCTTTTGGCGGGTGCGGAGAAGAAAGGGCGGCGGTTCAAGCGGCGTTGCGAGTTCCGCATGTTGGGGTTGGAGCAGCATATATTACTACACTCGTTCAATATACACCTAGGCTCAAAGAACTTCAATCTATATGAGTACACTCCTCGTAGATGGCCTAAGATGCTCGAAATCTAATTTAAGCAAATATGAGACGATTGAACATATCAGGAAGGTTTATTTATGCTGCACATCTGAGCCACATCTTTCTTCCGCAACTCCCAAGCCTCCATGCCAGCAAACCCGGGCAACATGATATATCTTCGTCAAATTCTCAACCTTGTCGATCCTCAAAGACCCTTCTTCCCGGTATGCTTCTTAGCCGCCTCTGAATTGGCAAATGGGAATCCAGCGGTCCTCTTATCAGCACCAGTCCGACGACTGATCTTACCATCACTGCTCGCAAAGAGCACACACCACAGGCCAGCAAAGGCAAGAATCGAATGCACGAAGACCGCCACAAGGAACGACCCTTGGCCTTTGGAGACGTACCAGGTGTAAGCATAGAAGCCGGTGGTGGCGTGGAACGCCGAGGTCACCATCAAAGTCGGCAAAGCGTATGGAGCTTTGGAATCCGAGTCCTCGGTTGTCACGGGCCCTGAGATTGTGTTTGTAAGAGGGATTGAGCCCGTGAGCATTGCGGTTAAGACGGCAAGTGTCAGAAGACTGAAGCCTAGGCAGCGGGCTAGATAGACCTCGATAGCTTTGACAGGGCAACGGCATTAGTATGGACTTTTGAGTGCTCGGCGGTCTCCCAAGAGAGGGCTGGGGGGTATCACGAACAGGAAGCAGGCCGAGACTCATCCAGTAGCATGGAGACTAGCATGCTCGGGCCAGTGATCAAGAACAAGCTCTGCAGGGAAAGCCATCCTGCTGTAGAGTATGTGTATGCATTAAAGACCTTTTATTTCGAGGTTAGTAGCTGCAGCCTGGATCGACGATGCCCTCGCATCTCAAGCAGACTTCGTGTCTATAACTCAATGTGTAGGGAATGTCGGCAGTACTAGTAACTTACATCCATGCTGGGCCCGTCAATTTAAATTAGATCTTGTAGTGAAAGTAGAAATCAATTCGTGTCGTGAGAATAGAAGTGGGAAGTGGTTGCACGCCAGGAGGCGTCAAAGTAATGTTAGCTTGCCTCGACTCTATGCCATTAATGACGTCATTTGATTTGTTTCGTTTGCATCGCAAAAGGGCTTTGTATCGAGTTGAGACAGTCCTTAAAGGTTCGTCAGATTAGTGCAAAAAAATTAAATGCTTCACACTTATTCAGGACTCTTATTTGGGTTTGTATCTTAATGCAAAACGAAAGGAAAATTCAACACCATTAGCCACCAACTCCTGAATCATGATCACAACGCCGCAATGAGAAATCCCAATGCTCATCATTGGTTCATGCTGGAGGAGCGCAAGTAACGAGTGAAACTGTTATCCTGGTCAGAGGGCTGGTCTTGCCCAAGGGCCTGCTGGTAGCGCTGAGAGAGGCCTTCATCATTGCCAGCACTGGGGCCTTCATAGTCATCCTCACTATCATCCTCTCCATCGGCCAGTCCTCGCTTAATAATCTCATCCTCGCTATCATCCTCGGCCTCGCTAACAGTCTCAGGCCCAACCTCAGGACCTTTGGCTTCTCTGCGACCCGATCCGGAGACATTCATATCCTTCATCAACTTGCCCAATTCAATCTCACGCTGGTCGGCCTTGCTCTCCTCGCGCTCCTGCTTTTTGCGCTCGAGTTCAGGCTTGTAATCACGCTCGAACTCTTGGCGCTTTTCCTCCACGGCTTCGAAGAATTCGTCAACGCCGTCTCCGGTCATGGAGCTCACGCCCACGACGCTCAAGTGACGGTAGAATTCCTCGAGCATCAAGCTCATGCTGTTTAAAAGTGATCCCATATAGCCACTACCAGCTCCGAACCCGCCGGATGAGCCCTCGGCACCGAAGGCACCGGATTCTTCTTCTTCACGCAAAGCTTGCTGGAACTTATCGAAGTCGGTCATCCATTCCTTGGCAAACTCGGCGTCCTTGACATCAGTCTTGTTGAAAACCAAAATCATAGGAAGCTTAGTCTTGTAAAGAATACTGCAAGCATACAGCATGTTGCTCATAAAAGTGCTGGTTGAGCTGGCGCGCGGGGTATCGATAATGTATGCGATGACGGTCGGGAAAGACGAAGCGAGGGTTTCGAGAAGAATACTTCCAGATGCACTCCACACGAATACCTCAATTTGACCCGGCGTATCAACCAAGATGTGTTCGATCGGTTTGGCGGCTGGCTTGCTGGGATCCGGAGTAGTGCGCTTCTCCAGGAGCGCAATGATCTGGTCGACCTTGGTGGCGAACAGGTTCAGGGATGTCAAGATACCACCGTTGGGCCCCAGGTTGTATTGGCGCATCACTTCCTTGTAGTTGATCGAGTCTCGGATATCGATGTTGCAGTCAAAGGGCACCGAGTGAACCGCGGGGTCGAGGTTCATCACATAGGGCACGCTCTTTTTTGAGTGTAGGTGAGAGTTGATTCGCTGCATGAAGGTGGTCTTTCCCGAGCCTAGATGACAAGATTGTCAATGTTTCGGTGTTCCAGGTTCGAGCTCGTGAGGGGCCGATCGCCTTACCTGCCATGCCCACGCAGACAACGGACACCGGATTCGCCATGATGAAATGAAGAAGCTCTGTTGTAATGACTAAGATCAAATGAGTTGCGTGTCCCGAGCTTAATGTGTCGTGGTGTCTGGTGCAAGATGTTGTGGCGATGAAGTGAGGAGCTCAACTTTTTTTCTCGGAAATTCTAGTCGCGGGGAACCCGACGATCTGCGCCTGGACCGCCCGGCGCGCCAAACGTCATTCCGCCTGAGCTTTTCCTCCCTTGAACCACCATCACCTCACAGGAAGCAAAATGACCCTGGAAGATTTCGAGAAGTCACTAGCGGAGGATCAGGGTCAGAGGGAGAAGGATAAGGACCGACACCGCCGTGACCGCAGCAGCGAGCGTTCACGGCATTCTCGCCATCACCATTCTAGTCATCATCGACGCCATTCGTCTAGATCCCGAGAGCGCAGAAGCGATCGGGATCGTGAGTCCCGCCATCGCGATGATGATGGGCATCGGTCGAAGCGTTCACGTCACTCGACCAACCATGGTGACGACGATCGTGACCATGAGCGCAAGCGTCGACACCGCCATGAAAGCAAGGACGACGCGGAGTCTGCGCCCAAGGCGGCCGCGGAGGAGCATCCGGTTCAATTGAAGCGTGACTCTTGGATGGAAGCTCCATCGGCTCTTGATATTGACTACGTCCACCGGCCAGATCCCAAGCGCGTGGAAGAGGTCTCGAAGCCGAAGATGCTTTCAGCTGACTATGAGCTTAAGATTCATGACAAAGAGCTCAATGAGCACCTGCGCGATCTCAAGGATGGAAAAGCACTCGAGGATATCCAAGAAGAGCCGGCGCAGCATGAGGTGGATTACACATTTGGGGATTCCGGATCGCAGTGGAGAATGACCAAGCTCAAGGGTGTCTACAGGGAGGCCGAAGAGAGCGGCGTACCTGTGGAGGAGGTTGCCACTGCTCGTTTTGGAGACCTACGATCATTCGATGATGCCCGTGAAGAAGAAACAGAGCTGGATCGTCGCAAGATGTACGGCGAGTCCTACGTGGGCAAGGAGAAACCAAGCGGAGAAATGTTCCAAGAAAGGAAGCTTCAGAACGATGTCCGCAGGGATCAACACCAGCATATTCGCGATCCAGCGGAGGAGCTCAAAACGGAAGGCCAGGGCAAGCAGATGGAAACCGAGCCTCCTTCAAGGACTACACAGCCTCTGGATCAGACGGCATTGAATCGTCTCAAGGCTCAAATGATGAAAGCGAAGCTGAAGAATGCTTCCAATGCGGCTGAGCTTGAAGAAGAATACAATGCTGCCGTCGCTGCCATGGCTAACCACAAACAATCCGACGTCGTGGTGCTCGGTGTCAAGGACAATCGCATGCTTGCTGGATCAAGAAACGAGGTCAAGGCGGTGGATACCAAGAGAGGCCGTGAAAGAGGACTTGTCATAGAGAATGACGACATGACGATCGACGACATGGTTCGCGAAGAACGCAAGACTCGAGGTCAACTGGGAGGTGAAGGAAAGCGATTGGCAGAACGTATCACCCGTGATGGAAAGTTCGAGGTAAGTAACGGCCGCTCTTTACTGTTCGGCTTTTTCTAACATGGATATAGAACGATTTGGAGTACATGGATGACAATGCCTCCAAGCTGGCCAAGCGAGTGCACCGATCCGAAATCGACATCAAGAGTGCAACAGTCAATGAGTTCCGCAAGATGAACCAAATCTTAGACAACTGCCCACTCTGCCACCATGAAGACACCAATACACCACCAGTTGCTCCCATCGTATCCCTCGCGACTCGGGTATTCATGACCCTCCCCACCGAGCCCGAAGTCAGTGATGGAGCTGCCACAATTGTGCCCATTCAGCATCGAAACAATCTCATAGAATGTGACGATGATGAATGGGAAGAGATCCGCAACTTCATGAAAAGTTTGACCCGTATGTACCACGACCAGGGCCGGGATGTGATCTTCTACGAGAACGCAGCCCACCCCCAACGCAAGCGGCACGCATCCATGGAGGCAGTTCCCCTACCCTACAGTCTCGGAGAGACCTCTCCTGCATTTTTCAAGGAGGCTATTCTGAGCGCGGAGTCTGAATGGTCACAACACCGCAAGCTCATCGACACCCTGGCCAAAGCGAAGCAGGGACTTGGAAAATCTGCATTCCGCCGCACACTTGTTAAGGAGATGCCTTACTTCCATGTTTGGTTTGAGCTTGATGGTGGCCTGGGACATATTGTGGAGGATGAGAATCGCTGGCCCAAGGGAGATCTGTTCGCAAGAGAGGTCATTGGAGGCATGCTCGATGCAGCTCCGGACGTTATCAAGCGGCAAGGCCGTTGGAATCGCGGTGGTGATCGCCGGGTGGAACCATTCAGGAAACGCTGGAGGAAATTTGATTGGACTCGCATTCTTCTTGAGGGATAGGAGTCATTCGCGCTTTATGTACATCTAGGTGCTACGGCCACTAGAGCTTGACCAGAAGGATGTTCCCAATGGGCCCTAATACTTTCTTCTCTTACACTTTTGAAAAAGCTCTTCACGACTGGATAGATAATTATGTACGATATCTCCTGAGCCGGGTCGTAGACCCAGTGCATCGTTCCAGTACAATTGATGCACATTTGATAAAGAACGCCAAGGGCTTGATTTGCAATCACCTGGGACAGAAGATAAGCCCCATAAACCAAGACGGAGGGTCTCCGAGAATTCTTACTTCACACGGGTTGGCATCTCCCGAACTTGCCCAAGGGGATGGTTTTGCCCAGGTATCTAGATCGAGTGTGAACCTTGATGTCGATGCCGGGTTTATGATTGGCGATCGCCACTGTCAATGCAGTAATACATGCAGTGTTGTAGGGCTGAGGTTCCAATCTCGCGTAACGAATCCACGCCATCCGACTAAAGTTCGAACCAAACATGGTGGCATTCCGCGCGGGGAACTGTCCGCGATAAAGGGCTCTTGTGGGGGCCCTGTCATCTTCTCGGCCGATGCCTACCTTTACTGACTCTGGCCATGAGACCTTCTTTTCTCCTTTGCACGCCTTCTCTTGCTAGATTCTGCTCTTCCAGGCTGTCAATTTCTTCGAGCTCGTTACGACTCACGGAATCCTTTGTCTCATCTATCGGAAATTGCCGCACAGATCCCCACGTTTCTTATCGGTAAGTTGTGCGCCTTCTCAGGACATATCTGCGTCTCTTTTTGTCTGCTCTTAAGCAACACTCCGGGTCTTCACATTGCGTTACTGGTGTAGATACTGCCATTGAGTGTTTTGCGGGATTTCTAGCTGCAGTAGACCGGTGCGCTCGGAGATCGTAGCCGGATGGATCAGCAGTTCGAACTGACAGCTTGCACGACAGAATTTCTCATAAACGCTTCATAAGGATGGGATTCGTGGAGGCCAGACCCAAAATTTTGCTTCTGGGAGATATAAACCAGTAAGCTATCCGACTAGATCGCGCATTGTAGTCAATACTAATAGGCTGAACAGTGCAAAGAAATCCTGGAACGCGCTGGGTGAACTCGGCGAGCTGATCGAGCCAACCGCCACCAACCGTGCTGACTTCATTCAAGAGTGCCGGGATGGGAAGTTCGAGGGAGTTGTCGCTGCCTACCGTACCTTTCACTCCATCCAGATCACAGGCCGGATCGATGAGGAGCTGGTGAAGGAGCTGCCACGTTCTTTGATATATCTTGCTAGCTGCGGTATGGCTTGATATCAGTAATAGACCTGCCAATGTACTAATTTTCCATGACCAACAGGAGCCGGTTATGATCAGATTGATGTCCACGATTGCAGTGCACGCAACCCTCCGATTCGCGTCTCCAATGTCCCCACTGCCGTGGACGATGCGACCGCTGACGTGAACATGTTCCTTATCCTCGGTGCTCTGCGTAACTTCAATGCTGGTATGTACGCTCTGCGTCAAGGGAAGTGGGTTAGTGGAGTGAACCTTGGGCACGACCCCGAGGGGAAGACCCTAGGAATCTTGGGCATGGGTGGCATTGGCCGAAACCTGAAGAAGAAAGCCGAGGCTTTCGGTATGACGGTTGTTTATCACAACCGTCGTCAATTGAGCGAGGAGCTCTCTGGTGGAGCTCAATATGTCACTTTTGATGAGCTCTTGTCCACCAGTGATGTGCTCAGCTTGAATCTGCCTTTGAATGTAGGTGCAGTCCGTAAACGTGCTTGTTCACATAGAACTTCAGACTGCTGATCTTTTCCAGAAAAACACACGTCACATCATTGGTAAGAATGAGTTTGTTAAGATGAAAGATGGTGTGGTTGTCGTCAATACGGCTCGCGGTGCTGTCATGGATGAGGCTGCGCTCGTTGAGGCTCTGGACAGTGGCAAGGTCTTTTCGGCTGGTCTTGATGTCTTCGAACAGGAGCCCACAGTTCATCCCGGCTTGCTCAGCAATCCGAATGTGATTCTGGTACCTCACATGGGTACTTGGACGATTGAGGTGAGTTCTACAACTTTGGGTCTGTGCACGAATCTTGAAAACTGACTAGGTATGTCGTAGACGCTCACTACAATGGAAGAATGGGCTATTGAAAATGTCCGTCTGGCGTTGACTACTGGCAAGCTCAAGAGCCCAGTCCCGGAGCAGGCTGACTTGTAATGTTGACAAGTTCGAGTTTGGCTGTGAATATAGTTAGAGTGGCTTTGTATAGACTTGCCACAATAACCTTGGAAATAGATGAAGTTCGAGATAAAACTTGCTTGATATTCACCCAATATTGGACTTCGCCCCAGTGGCTTATATATAACTTCAACCCGCGAATTCTCAAACCATAAATGACATCTACTGAGAAGAGCAAAGCAAATCCCGAACAGAAGTGGGAGACAAGAGGTGTTACTGCTTTGGGACTAGTCTGATTGCGGAGCTTGATCTTATCGCCTCAAGAGTCAACCTCAACTTCGACTTGCACTACTCCTGCCAACATGGCCGAATACTGGAAATCAGCAGTGAGTTACTCTTCCAAATATTAAAATACTACCTCTCTAACCAGACAATCACTATCACAGCCGCGCCATTGGTGCAAACAGTGCAAGGTCTTCATCCGCGATACACCCTTCGAAAAGACCCAGCACGAGGCGAGCGGGAAACACCAGTCCAGCCTGAGGCGCTTCCTCCGCGACATCCACAAGAACAATGAAAACCAACAAAAAGAAACACAGCGAGCGAAAAGTGAGGTTGAGCGATTGCGCAAGGCCGTCGGAGGCGGGTCCTCTGCATCCTCCGCGTCCAGCGACCCAGCGCCTAAACGCGCCGCGGCACCAGCGCCCAAGCCTGTCAGTGTAGATGAAAGGAAGAAACAGATTGCACAACTGGCTGAAATGGGTGTTGCAGTCCCGGAGGAGTATCGTGGCGATATGGCCTTAGCCGGTGACTGGCAGACGCTCTCAGAAACCAAGGTCGATACAGAGGGACTGGAGGGCGCTGCTAAGTCCATTGGTGTTCGCAAGCGCAAACATGATGGGGACGAGGAGGATGAACATATTCCGGAGCCAGTCGCGAGGCTAGGGTGGGGGTCGAGAATGAAGACATACCCTGGTGCGCAGGACGAGGACGAGGATTTGGACGCTCTTCTTGCGTCTACAAAAGATATCAAAAAGACAAAACAATCTGCACCTTCAATCGCAAAACAGGAGCCAGAAGAGCAGAAACAGGAGCCTGCCTCTGTCGTGAAGACAGAGGATGAAGCGCCCGACTCGAAGAGCGCGGGAGCAGATGAGTCGCTTCAAATTAAAACAGAAGTGCCCATAGAGGGCTCTGCGCTTTTAGCGGACGAAGAACCGCCAGCCGAAGACGAGACAGGCCCTATTTTCAAGAAGCGCAAGCCCAAGGTCATGAGGAAATAACATTTGACCGACACTATTTCATGAAACAAATCAAAATTTTTGCCGAGCGTTCAGCTCCTGCATATTGAACAGCGGGACACTTGAAAATCCTGAAATCAGGGCTCGCGAATGGGCTACGATGCGCTACTTCCACGCTCATATTTTGTCCAGACCCTTTTCGGCCCAGCCAAAGCTCTTGCGCTTAAAGAACGGTCAAACGAGATGAATTGGACCACCAAGGTATGAAAAATGAAGCTTTGGAGACCTACTTGATCTTTCGCTTCTATGTCTCTACTTTTCGAGAGGCATAGATGGACAGATGGCTCCTTCATTCGAGATCCCTTCGGCGGGAAATACCCCCACCATGCACATGCAAACCAATTCAAGTCTCGAAAGGATATCAATTATGAAGACATAAATGTATAAGATGAAACGAGGAATGCTCTTCATACACTGTAACCATGGTCTCATAGATCACACCGCTGGCAGTATACAACGGCCACGGTCCACTTCCCCACATGTCAAAGGACAATTGTAAAAATTGATCTCATCAAAATATTTTGAGTCTCAATTTGAGAATCCATTAATCAATGCGTGGTTATGAGCGTGGTCAGGCTCGGTGTTGTAGTATAGACTTGCCACCCCATTTTTTTTTTCGGCGTCGAAGCGGAGACTTGGATCGCCGGAAAAGAAAGCTCCTTTGGTTCGCTCCAACTTCGCGCATCTCTTCCAGTCTGCCACCAACGCCCCATATACGCAGGCTTCTCGTCAACTCCTGCGGTATATCCTTTTTACCACCCTACTACGTCTTTACCCGGTGAGTAGGTTCGTTTTAAACCAATCGCGCGTTCTCCAGCCCAGCAAATCAGCCATCTTCACCCGAGTCGCATTTCCCTCCCATTTATGCAGTCGCCGCGGATCCTGCTCTCTAGCCTCTTCAAAATCCAGTTGTTCCTGAACGAGATCCTTGGCTCCCTTGAGATTCCCCACGCGATACTTTTTTCGGCTTTGTGTGAGCCTGCGAGCGGGGGAGCGTTGTCTTCGGGGTCTTACCACGAAGAATGCGACAAGCGGACTCCGATCAGCTGGCATGACCTATGCGAAAACTTGGCGATCCAGATATCAGGCCTCTTGGCCGCGGAACTTTTGCAATTTTGCCCCGGTCGGAGCTTGAGATTGTGTCGTATTGCGTGGTTCTGCCCGCCGATTGGATCTGCTCCCACCTGATAACCTTCCACATGGCTCTGGACAACAAGAATTGTCCCATCTGGAGCTTCAGTTACGCTGCATACTACCCCGGCTCACACTAGCGTAAATGCGCATTATGAGACGCGTTTTTCTGCGGGACTTTGGCAATGGCTGGATTTCTTCAAGCACGCGGGAAAACTCTGGCTAACACTTCGCGATTCTAACAGACCGAAGAAAATAAATGATTTACAACTACCAGCCCGTCCGATCTGGTGTGGTGCCTCTGCTTAACAACAAGCCGCACGATCTTTGACCTCCAAACTCGGCCTGTTCCCGCCTAGGGACTAGTCCTCGAACGCGACGGCGGGCCCAGTTCTTTACGGCCCTACGCCTCGATTGCACGTACTTCTGTGCCTAGGAGGCTACACATTCGAATATGTCAGAACCAACGGATCCCAACTCTGGCGATCCGGCCGGTCTGCCCACCGAGTCGAATGCGCCAGCTACAGAGACTAGTCAGCCCCCCGCACAGAGTGGACAGCCGACAGAAGAAACACATGTGCCCTCGGATTCGAATCAGGGGCCAGCTGCGATGAGCGAGCCTCCGTCAGAACCCCCACAACCAGCGCAAGATACCAATCAACAAGTGAGCACTGGCAATCCGCAGGAAGGAACGGAGCCATCTGCACACGCGCCAAATGTCACCTCGTCGATCGACCATGCACTGCCTGCGATGGACTCCCACATTCCATCCTTAGACTTTGACACGGAATTACCATCGATTGGATCGTCCGCAGACGTGGACCTTTCCCTTCCAGCGATCGATACAACACTGCCTTCACTCGATTCCGCATTGCCGGCGATTGGAACGGACATTCCCACCATGGAAGACCATGAACGCCACTCGTTCGAGAATGATTTCGACCACCATGACCATCACCACAACGGATCCGTTGATTCTGGAAACAACTTTGATCAGCACTCTGAGTCGATGAATGGTTCGAGCCATTACCAAACGCCCGCCAATGGCAATTACCACTATTCGCCAACGCCGCAACAGCAGGATGGGCAACAAACGCCCCAAGGGCAGTCTCAACATCAGTTCCAGTCGCAACCGCCTCCGAATTACCAACAGCACAGTCCTGACATGTATCACAACTCGGGTGGCTTCTCCTCAGTGAACTCGAATTCCGGGAATAATGGCCAGGGACAGCCTGGTCAGGTCCCGCAGGCTCCCATCGGATCGCCGATGCCCGCACATATGCCTCCGATGGCATCAATGGGCCAGTACATGACGGGCTATCCGTCCAATGTTTCGCAGAATCCGAACTCGCAGATGCGTTACCCGCTCCCCGGTGATCCTAACAAGATTCTATCGGGCGGGAGACATAAAAAGGAGGTGAAGCGACGCACAAAAACCGGATGTTTGACATGTCGCAAGCGAAGAATCAAGGTACGTAGGTTGAGTTGAGTTTCGCTTTTCGCGGGGCGCTGGCCTCGCTTGTGCCCGCAGACCCCGCCATCGTTTATTTTATCTCCCGCTCAACGCACGACATCACTTTTTCTCGCGCCTCTTGACAAGATACTAATTTTGAGAAAAGTGTGACGAAGGACATCCGGTCTGCAGAAATTGCGTCAAGAGCAAGCGTGAGTGCTTAGGCTACGACCCGGTGTTTAGGCCTCAAGCATCTACCCCCTCGGCCATAGCTCCAAACCCCCCTCCGTCGCTGGTTGTCAACCCCCAAGGCCCTCCTCCTGTTCAGTCGACTACTCCTTCTTACCCTTCCGCGCCTCCTGGGTACATGCCCGCTTCCTCGCAACCGTTTGCGCCGTCCCTTCACTCCGAATCTCCCAGCACCTCGACCGACCAGCCTGAACAACATCACGTAGCTTCCGTTGACCATACCTTGGGAGCCCACAACAACACACACCACCCCACAAATATGCAGAACTCCGGTGATTTCCGGCCTCAGAGCCTGGAACCCACGTACAAAGGTATGCGCTCCTTAACATTCGCTCTTGATTTCTTCGGGGCGTTTGCGATGCCCAATCGTAGCTAACAGTTCTCCCAGCAGTGAAAACTCTCCACGTCAATGACTTGATTGCATTACGGGGAATCGACCCTCCGCCCCCTCACCCCGTTGGAAATCTTCCCCCCGGTCGTCTCGAAGAAATACAGGCTGTATTCCTGGCCACTTATGCGCCTGCGATTGACAAGCTATTGGAAGTCCGCTGGTACTCAGAAAAGGCTCTGTCAGTCCTCATGGCAGATTCGCAGCTGATGGCAGATTACTCAGCATTGATCAACGCGTTCAATGAATGGAATCTTGCCGACAGGGACACTCTAGCTCGCCTGGAAAGCTTCGAAGCCTCAATTATCTGGAGGAGTATGGTTCTCTGCCGCCAGGTACCAAGCGCAGAGAATGGACAATACGGACAAGACTGGAATTTGCTGGCGACGAATGCCCGTCTCAATGCCATCGAGGCCCTGTTGAGCTGGAACCACATGGACCAGAATGCCTTATCGCGGCCGCTGGGCATGGATGCCGCTACTCCACCCAATGCCCCCGATCAGTTTTTGCAGCGTCAGCTGGATTTCTGGAGCGAACTTGGTGACTTCTTGACTCTCCACGACAACGAGGCCAGCTCGGCCAAGCAGATCGACGACACTCTAAGCCGGCTTCGCTCAATGCTGGATACATATGAAAACCGCGATATCATCTACTCTATTGCTATTGCGCGCCACCTCGGCCAGCGCTGGGCCGACTTCCCTCATAACCCGCCGAAAATGGGCTACTCGAACGAGAAAGAATCCGGCACCAAGCTTTTCGTCGCACAGAAGTTCATCGAAGAAGAAGCTGAGGGCAAGGGCACCACTCAGATCTACAAGCGCATTTGCTGTATGGCAGTGCGCTCGTGGTGGGTTGCTCGCGAGTGAACAGCTCCAGCTCCAGCTCCAGCATCAAGCTAAGATGCACTCTCTTCCAATTTTCATTTCACTGGCCTACTGTACAGGCTGGCCGGTATTTACGGATCTATGCGTATCTACGGATTGGATTCACAAAAAAAAGCATCATGGTTCTGGCGTTGCTTTCTCGGAAAGATTTGACTGATTTGCGTTTCTCCATTGTTATTGGAGTTTGGGGGACTGGGCAGCGAGTGAGCAAAGTATTATGGCGTTTCCGGCCTCTTCTTCCCCCCTGAACGAGTTTCTTGATCCTGTGCATATCTCGCTTCTTGTTTATTCGCGGGAGTTCCATACCCAGTGGCACCCAACATCGCCTGTTGGGTTGCTCACGTACTAGTACTTAGTTAAAGAACAATTTCTAGATTACTCTTGCTGAACTGTAGATCATTCATCAAATGTGTGGTATTGCATTATGTCCTGTTGAAAACGTAAATACGTAACAATCCGTTATACAGGATATACATCCACCCTAATCTTCATCTCGCCCGTCTCTCCCTGGAACATGAACCCGATATCCCTAGTCGATTCCACCAACTCGACCTCCCGCCGCACAAATCGACTCTTATTCTCCGAGATAGGGTCGACATTGGCCACTGCCGCCTCATCATCGCTATCTCCATCCCAACCAGCATCTTCTTCACCGACATCTTTTTCAACAGGATCCCACTCATCAGTCTCCCAAACCAACTTGAAGCCAAATGGAGGAAGCCCAAACAGCTTGTCCACGAGAGCCTTGACCTGGTATGAATTGAAACAACCCGGAATCTCTTTAACCTGAACCGGTCCATCTGACCCAGAAAGACGGAACGCCATCTTTACCAACCGCGCCGCCACAGATCGAGGGTGAATAACCCGTTTCCCAGAACCGTCAGATACCACAGCTCTAGTGATGGTCGGTTCGCCATACAGCTCGCACAGCTCGGCGTAGCGCGGGTGCTCGGCGAGAATACTGGGCTCTTCTTCTTCAGAGGTAGCAGAGAGGGTCTTGCCGATGAGGGAGAGGTAATACATCTCCGCATTAGAGCGGTCCTGCCAAGAGATCTTGCTGAAATTAAGCGTGCGGAGCGTTGTTGGGAAGCGCGAGAGCGTGAGCATGAAGGCTTCGTCAACTGTCATGGGTCTAGAGGCGCTCATTGAGGATGTAGCGGCTGCGATGGCTGTTGGTAAGGGTGCTTGTTCGTATAAGGGGTTTCTTGAGAGGCGGAGGGTTGTTAAGCCTGGGAAGAGGGCTGAGAGGTGGTTTAGGAATGTCCATGATGAGACCTGGTTGAGGGAGAGATCGACTGAATGGACGGTTTGTGGAAATTGGAAGTCTAGGGTGCTGTTGGGGTCGTCGGTGATAGTCGTGATATTGTTCCCGCGAAGAGAGAGGTGTTCTAGATTTGGGAGAGATGATAGATGGCGGATTGATGATAGCGATGTGATCTCGTTCCACTCTAGGGTCAATGTGGTGATACTGTTCGGAAGTGGACGTGTCGTTGCTTTAAGCTCGTTGGTCGTTAATGTTAAAGAAGTGAGCATGGGAAAGCGAGAGGCCACTTCGGTAATCTATGCGATGAGTTAGTGTCAGACATCTTGAGATGATGGGTTCAGATCCCATACTTCGTCCCAGCTCAAGAAGGTTTCCTCCAGGTGCAACTCGGTGATTCCCTTGAAGACCAGACCTTCTTCCAGAGATTGGAAGCGATTTCCACTATACATTCAGTCAGCTCACAGATGCATACCGTGACAGGACTAAGAATATCTTTGGCGCAAGGCAGGATGCACAACTTACTTCACCTTCAAGCGCCGTAGATGCTTCAATTGATTGCAGATTTCCCATACATCGCGCCAGTGGCTCAAGAGATTTCGACTGAGATCCAAGTCGGTAATCTTCGGACAAGTAGCTGCGACCTCTCTAGCAGACTCTTGAACTTTATCGTGAGGCTGTTCATAGGACGACAACACTCCAGCAAGACGCAGTCCATCCAGGATAACAATGCGCAGCTCTTGCAGTTCGGCCATCTCTCTGCGGATCTTGTCAAAGCCGACCTCCTCAACGACTTTGCTGCTAATTTTGATTGAATGTTTAGGTGTCGCACTGTCGGCTTCTGCATTTTCCTGTGCAGGCTCAGAGGCATACTTCTCGCGCAGAGCCTCCAAGAAGCTGCGCGGGGGCTCTGATGGCCTGGAAGGGCGGACAAATGACCCCGCCGTAGGCTGCTTGCTTCTACCTGTGAACGGGTTAGTAGATCTTCAGGAATTAGAAGAACGAATGCAAGACCAACATGTAAAATAGCGCAATCCCTTGTGTTCGCCCGAGTGCTTGCCTCTACTTGCGTCGTCCCATTCGACACCGAGCCAGTCGCCCACCGTGCCCTGGACGCTGCCAACATAGCGGACGGTGCATAGCTGACCGTCAAACGATCGACGTTGACCAATTAGATCAGAAGTCATTCCTAAAGAGAACCGAATATCCAGATGTAGCGTGATATTCGTTCAATTGTGTACACGAACGGCCTGCAGAGTGCTTACATAACCACTTTTATCTCTCTTTGCAGATTTGCCATCTCCAACTTCTCCAGTCAACAGCAACGCCATGGATTACCAGGTACGCATCTCCTCTCCCTTGAATCCGGTCTATTTGAATCCATGTTCTCATGCTAACATACCCTAGAACCGAGCAGGCTCCAAGTTCGGCGGCGGCGGTGTCGCCGACAGGTCCGCAACCAATGCTGACCGACGCGAGCGCCTGCGCAAGCTTGCCCTGGAAACAATCGACCTCGATAAAGATCCCTACTTCTTTAAAAACCACGTCGGCAGCTTCGAGTGCCGTCTCTGTCTGACTGTCCACCAGAACGATGGCTCCTATCTTGCCCACACGCAGGGGCGCAAGCATCAAACCAACCTCGCCCGTCGCGCTGCGCGCGAAGCTCGCGAAGGCAAGAACCAGGATCCGAATAGCATGCCCGGCGTCGCCGGTGTGCAGGTTAGGAAGCAGATGATCAAGATCGGACGCCCGGGATACAAGATTACCAAGGTTCGGGATCCGTTGACGCGGCAGATGGGATTGCTTTTCCAATTGCAGTATCAAGAAATCACGCCGGGGATTCTTCCGCGTGTGCGGTTTATGTCGGCTTTCGAGCAGAAGATTGAGGAGCCGGATAATGAGTACCAGTATCTGGTTGTTGCGGCGGAGCCGTATCAGACTTGTGGGTTTAAGTTGCAGGCTAGGGAGATTGATCGGAGAGATGGGAGGTATTGGACTTGGTTTGACGAGGATAGCAAGGAATTTTGGATCCAGATTATGTTCAAGACTGAGCGTGAGGAGCGGTTCAGTGGTGTGCCTGGTTTGGCGCCTATGCGGTCGTAATTCCGCACCGATTGTTACTCGTTCTTCAATACCCGGTTTGGGCTTGCTACAAAAGATGATGGCTGTCTACGGTGGGCATTGGAGCTCTGGCGTTCAAGGACTTTGTTTCGTGTCATTAATATTCATGCAAAGCGTTGGCATCTTTTATGAATCGAGATATTGGTGGCTTACACCTCAACATTACGTGAACTCTTGTAGATCTGGATTGTATTCAAATAAATGAATAAACGTTCTTTTTGGTATTTCACATCTAATGATATGCAAATCAAATCAAGACCTGAAATGCAGAACTTGGTGTTTCTCGGGCTCCCCGATACAGATCACCATGATAGACAGCGTTAGACTCGACAACTAAGAATAAAAGACGGCGCTCGTGTCATGATTCAGAAAACATCGCGCTGATATGCTGAAGACGAATTCGTGATAAAAATGTTTCCGAGCCTCCACCGAGCCAAGAGTAGTAGAAGGTAACATGAAATCAAGCCCTGCCTGGTTCCTTGTGACCAACGTAGGCAGCTAGCCGGCTGAGAGTTCTCGAAAGGAAGAATGCAGCCGAATCTAGCTGCTTTGGAAGGCGTTGAAAGCCTTGTAGGTGTATCCAATGAAGGGCAGGCTCATCTCGGCCTCCTGGGAGTCTGGCATGGCGCGGGCCTGAGCACGATGGATAGCGCTGGTATCCTCTTGCGGGATCTCGTCAATCGGGAAGTAAGACACGTCGATGTTGGAGCTAAGACGGGGCTCGAATGGCGCACGAATGCCACGGAGCTGCTCCCAAACCACGCCGCGGAAGAAAGGATGGTTCTTGATTTGGGTTGCGCCACCATGCTGGCCACCCTCGCCACCAATACGGTGCTCGGGATCACACAAGAAGCTGTAAATGTTTAGTAAGAATGCTAATTTGTGTTTGTTTTCAATGTGTGAGCTTCTTACCTTCGGATCAACGATTCAGAGTCACGAGAGAGAACCAGCTCATCAGGGAAGTAGAGGCATTCGCGCCAGTTGACGATCTTACGGTAAGTGTCATGGGTATCCTCAGCACAGAACGGAGGCCAGCCGACGAGACACTCGAACATGATGGCACCGACAGACCACCAATCGCACAGGTAGGTGTAACCTTGACCGTTGAAGATTTCGGGAGCAATGTAGTCGGGAGTTCCGACTGTCGAGTAAGCCATGGCGCGGCGGGACTTTCTCCAGGTGTTGATTTGGCCACGGTTTGAGACAGTCAAGTTGATAGCATCGTTGAAGTAACCAGAGTTGCGGTTGCGGTCCTTTGATGTTGAGTTCTTGAGAAGGTTCTGGTAGTAGGCATTGTCGTGAGTCTTCTTGCCTCCAGTCGACAACCCGAAGTCAGTCAGCTTGACGTGACCACCTCGATCAAGGAGAATGTTATCAGGCTTGATATCACGGTGCAAGAAGCCAAGCTTGTGAACAGCCTCAATGGCCATGACAACCTCGGCCATGTAGAATCGGGTAATATCCTCCGAAAAGATCTCATACTTGATAAGCATCGTCATCAGATCACCTCCAGGCAAAAACTCCATCAGAAGGTACAGATAAGCCGAGTCCTGGAAAGATGCGTGCAGCTTCACGAGCCACGGGTTGTCCTTTGAGTCCGCCAGAATATCACGCTCCGCACGAACGTGTGCCAGCTGATCTTTCTTGAACATCTCTGTCTTGATTAAAGATTTGAGGGCATAAATCTTGCCGTCGGTCTTGCGCTGCACCAGTTTCACCTCACCGAAAGCACCCTTGCCGATGATCTTGATGGTCTGGAAGTTTTGTGGGGTCTCCTTGGTTCGCAGGAAACGAAGGAAGTCTGATTCCCGCTTCGAAATTGACTCGGCATCCTGGCGCTTCTGATCGGAGGGGATATTGGCATCACGAAGGGTCTTGTCGAGGTCCACGGAGCTAGAAAACAGATAGAGTCAGCTTCTATCATCAGCGGAGAAGACGTCCAGATACTTACCGCATGTTGCGATCACGGGCCCGTTCGATGTTTTCATGGAAGAAGACGGTCACCAGCTCCTTTGCGGCCTTGCCTCGCTTGTGCACATTTTCTGAGTAGCGATCCGGGAACCGCTGCAACTCCTCGTTCTCCGCCGGGGGTCTAGGGCTACGAGGCACCGGAGGGGCCAAGTGTGCGGCCTGAGTTGGGCCCGCAGCGGCGGAGCCGCCAGCGGTGCGAGGTCGCTGAGCAGGAGAGCCTGCACGATTGAAGAAGTTTCCACGGTTGGCGTTCAGGTCCTGGTTGGAAAATTGCTGGATAAGACCATTGGCGCCGTCGTTGGCGTATCCCATGCGAGTCTGGTAGGCGGGCTGAGGCGACTGCAGGGCCTGCTGTTGCTGTTGCTGTGCGTACTGCTGCTGCTGGGCATACTGCTGCTGCTGCTGTTGCTGCTGCTGTTGCTGCTGCTGTTGCTGCTGCTGTTGCTGCTGCTGTTGCTGCTGAGCCTGAGGGGCATATCCGTTGTTCATGAAATATCCCGGGGCATAAGCGGGATTGGAAGGATCGACGTAGTCTTGGGCCCCCTGAGTTTGGTAGATCGGCTGGGGAAACGCGGAGGGGGTAGTGGGATAGGCGCGGTTGTTGGCCGCGTTGTAGTGCTGCTGGTCATACCCGTAATTCATATTGAGGCGATTGGGGTTGTTCGGGTTATTAGGATTGTTAGGATCCATGGTGACTTTGCTCCTGACAAAGAGTTTCAACAAAGAGAGTGGATGGAGAAAGGAGAAGGCGGGGAGGGGAGGTGAAGGAGCGGTGGCTCAGGAGATAATCCACCCTTCTTGATGGGGCTCTGGTTGGTCTGTTTCGTGCGTGTGTTGTGTTGTGTTGTGTTGTTTCGTACTTTCTCGAATAACTGGCTGAGGATTGAAACCCGTCTCTCCTTTTATTCTACATTCTATTTTCGAGACAGAGGGGCTCTGATATTCAACCACTCACTGTTCACAGTGGCTTTAGATCTAGGACCGACTCTTGTTAAATCCGAACTATTGAAAATATCCCCTCTCCCCCTCTCTATAGATGTTCAAGGGGGAGGGGTACAAGCTACAGGGTACGGGGCTCATGATGCTCGGCACATTCCACTCTGATTGTCGACAAGAATCTGAACAGGTCTTGCCGGGGGCGTTTAACGACGATCCATCACCGGGGGGTTTCCGCAAAGGAACACTGCCATTAGATAGCACTTAGCAAATACCAAGTCCAAAAATTATGAGAGATATCAAATTATCTCCCGAATGAAAAATCTGCGATTTCCCAGGGTGATGTTGGACAAACACGTCAAATACGAAGACGAAGGCGCCTATAGACTCGCGCACGTGACGCGGATCAACTCCTGCGCCGGAAGTCGGCGCGACTTTTTTTATGCTCGTCACCGTCGACTCCAAGTCCTGCGATCAAAATGGCCGATTCGTCCAATTCTGCGGCCTCTGGCGCCGAAAAGCCCAAGGCGGCTCCCAAGCCTGTCAACCCTGCCTTCAGGGCACTCGGTATAGTCCCAGATTCGCACCCCAGAAGCCTCGGAACGCACAGGAAAGACTAATGCAATGCGATACAATAGGCATGCCCAATTTCCGGTTCAAACTGCCCTCTAGAAACTGGATGATCTTCTTGACCGTCACTGGCTCCTTCGCTGGTGCTATCATCTACGACCGCCGCGAGAAACGCCGTGCACAACAGAAATGGTGCGACCTCGTGGCTCATCTTGCATCGGAGCCGCTGGCGGTGGAGCAGATGCGCCGAAAGTTGACTGTTTACCTTGCTGCACCCCCGGGTGATGGTATGCGTGTTGCTCGCGACCACTTCAAGGAATATGTCAAGCCTATCTTGACCGCGGCGGCATTGGATTATACCGTGATTGAGGGTCGGAGGGAGGGAGATGTACGAGCTGGTACTGCGGAAAGTATTCGCAAGCTGCGACGAAATGCCGGTGAGCCGAGCTCGGTTGTTACTGACCCTACAGTTGAATCCGCTGTGCTTGATGCGCGAGAGCGCCTGGGAATCCAAGACGAGCCCGGTCCCAAGGGCGACTTGGTGATCGGTCGCCACACCTGGAAGGAATATGTCCGCGGCTTGCATGAGGGTTGGCTTGGACCTTTGGACCCTCCGTCTCCCCCGGTCGACACTTCGGTTCCTGAAGGAACTGGGGAGGCCATGAAGGACATTGCTACTGGTGATGCGCCAGCTGATAAGCAGGAGAATGTCGAGACCCTCGAGAAGACCCTCGAAAGTGCGGAGAAGCCCGAGGAAAAGCCCGAGGAAAAGAAAGAAGAGAAGCCTAAGCCCACTGGTCCTGCCGATGCTTATATCTATCCTGCCGAATACTCGTCCGCCTCTCTCCCTCCTTCCCTCCCCCAGTCCTTCGACAACTCAGTCCCCGTTGAATTCCCCCACATCCTCGGCTTCCTGAACACACCCATTCGACTCTGGCGTTACATCAATGAGCGCCATATGGCCGAGAACATCGGCCGTCAGGTTGCCTCTGCCGTTCTCGCCGCAAGCTCAAGACCCTTCCGCGATGAATCCTTCAGCGCAGACTCCGACTTGAGCGGAGCCGACGTTGACTCCACGACCTCGCGTGGTGGCTACGAGCAGCAAAACATCTTGGATGTGGAAGAGAAGGAATGGCACAAGTCTGTGCACAAGCGCGAGGAGGCCGACAAGGAGCGCGAGTGGCTGGACGACATCGTGCTCGACCCCCGTATTGCCTCCCGCATGCAGACTGTCATGATATCGCCCGAGGACGAAGCCCGCTCCCAGCGTATCTTCAGCCAGGAAGAGTACATCCTCGGCCAGGAGCGCCCGGCTCCTGTTCCGTTCTGGAAAGGTTTGTGGATCAAGTATGGCTACGGTGAGGACGCGGAGACTATCAGGAGAAAGCCGATCCTACCTAATGTTGATGAGGAGGATGCGTAAATACTGCATCGTGATTACTGAACCTTGTGCTATACCATAGAAGGTCGTGGGTGTTTTGTCTTGTTTCTCTTTGCATGGGTCATGTTTTCCCAATTTGCATACACTCTCCTCCGCTGGGTTAAATGTTGTATATTAGAGGCGCTTTTTGTCCGATTTCTGTGAGATGTACATAGCAAGGTGCAATGTACCTAGGAAAATCATCTCTGCAATCCGGGCTGGAACTATAATGGCCTACTTAGAGCGAGGCGTTGACTGTGTCTTACTCTTCGAGCGATAAAAAATATGGATAATAGATACTGATACATTTTTGATGTTATTTGGCTGTATATTGATTTTTGAGATTGATTGATTTCAGGTATATCATCCCCTTTCGTGTGGTCTAATCTCCCTTCTGTAAGCTCCCATCGCAAAAGCCAGCATATGGTAGTTGTATAATAGTCGTACCACAAATATATTGGTCTTCAGAAGAAAACAGATCTCACTCAACCGTCAAAGATCATACAGTAGACGGAAGAGCATAACATGGTTGATGTCCCCTTGGAGTAAATCTAGTTCAACTCAAAGACAGAAGACTCGGGCCACTTCTTGCTTGCCTTCTGGGCAAATGCAGACTTGTCGCTGGCCCAGTTGTCCAGCAGATCGAGAGCCGAGACGGCCTCTTCAATGGTGATATCGGACGAATCGAGGGTAGCCAGGAGGTCCTTCTCGGACTGCGCCTTTGAGTCAGGCTTCAGGAGCTGACGGGCGGAGAGAGCGGCTTGAACGTGAGCAACGCTGTTCTTGTTCTTGGACAAGAACGACTCGTTGAACTCCTCAAGATTCTGGGACTTCGAGAGGAGCTTCTCAAATTCAGCGTTGACAACCTCGGCAGTTTGGGCCGGGAGGGGCTCGGACAGGCTGTCAAGAGCCTTGCGGAATCGAATGAGCGCAAGGTGGAGGGTGGCGTTGGAGGGGTCGATCGCGTGAGCGGCTGTGAGGCATTTCAAAGCGAGCAAGTGCTTCTCTGTAATAATTACTCGTTAGCCTTTATTCAACTGAGGTATTTGAACAGTACTCTTACCTCTCCGGAGGTAAACCTCGAAGCCAAGGCACTGAGCCTCGATGTTTTTCGGGCTTTGCTCAAGCAGATGTGTCAAGAACTTCATGACATCCTTGAGCGGCTCCTTGGTCTGGACCAGGGCGTTACCAAGAGGATCAGGGTCCTCCTTCTTGACTTCTCCGTCGGCGCTCTTGGCGTTGGCGGCAGCGGCCTTCCGTGCCTCCCGCTTCTCAGCCTCAAGCTTCTCCAAGCGATGCTGCTCCTTCTTGGCCTTCTTGAGAGCCTTCTTCCTCTCAGCATCGTCTGTAGAATCGAGACCGTTGGCGACGCTGGATATGGGACCGTGTGCAAGGTCTGGCTGATCGTTGAGAAGCAGATAGGCCTTGATGGTCGCGATAGCAATTCTTGTGTAGAATGGGTGCTCGCGCAGGCGGTCTTCCCAGCGCACCATGTCCACGTAAGCTCTGACCATACCCTTGCGCAGGGAGAAGCTGTGGAAGTCAAACTGGTCCTCCTGCCAAACGTCAAAGATGTTGTGGACTGCAGTAAGGCGCTTGAGAGCAAGGCCCAGCTTCTTCTGTCGCAGGTAGGCCTCGCCATCCTCGGTCAGATACCAAACGCACTGCATTTCATGGAGATCACCCATAGCTCCACCAACAGTCTCATTACGGGTGAACTTGCTCATAAGGTCCAAGGCCTTGTCATTCTCGTTGTTGCGGAGCTGGTACTTGGCGGCCTTGGTGTTGATGTGGCGATCCTTCTCGTCCAACAAATGAGCCTTCTCCATCTCCTCTGCGGCCTTCACAGTGTTGCCGTAGTGCTTCCAAATACGAGCACGAGTCATCTGGTATTCAACAGCCTTGGGGGAGACTTCAATGGCCTTGTCAACATTCTCCATAGCCTTGGGGAGGTTGCGGCTGAGGTGGAAATTGTAATGTTGAGCCAAGAAGTAGTAGGATGATGCCAGAAATTCATTGTTGCTGCCATTGGTCTCCGCAGAACCATTGGCCTCAGAGGCAGACTGGCCAGAAACATAACCCTCTACCAGGGCCTGCACAGCATCCCTCTTGGCCGGGTTGGCGTAGAGCATTTTAATGTTGGCGAAAAGCGAGGGAACACCCTTCTTGAGCATACGCTGCAGGTAAACATCCGCGGCCTGCTTGAAATCATTACCCTCGAGGAAGTCAAGAGGAATACGACGAGCCGCATCGCCGCGGGGGTACTTCTCCACCCATTCGTCATACAAAGCCTTCAGAGCTTTGTGGTCGCTGTCGGAGATCTCCTTGGCCTGGATCAAGCCATTGTAGTAAATTGAGTTCTCGGAGTTGCGCTCCAGCAGGGCAGTGTAAGCCTCAGCCGCCTCAGCCTTGCGACCAAGTCGAAGAAGATAGTCGGCCTTCATCTCCATGACCGCGAGAACATCGGTACATCGGTAACCGATTTTCTCAAGGTGCTCCAGAGCTCTCTCCAGATTTCCTGTCTCCGCAATGATCGAATTCTTGTACAAGAGGGCCTCGGAGTGTTCCATATCCTGAACCGAAGGCGAAGCCTTCAGCGTATCCTCAAACGTGGTCAATACCTTCTCAGCCTCCTCGAGATCTCCAGCCAAGTGGTGAGCAATCGCAAGCGCGGTCCAGTTCTGGCGGAAGCCAGGGCGGGCCTGCAGCATGGAAGTACGGCTCTGAATATATCCTTGGAAATCGCGCATCTGCATCTGGAGGAGGGCCAAGTCACGCTGGATAGGCTGGGATTCGGGCTCGAGGCGCAGGGCAAATCGGTAGGCCTTGATAGCTTCCTCGTAATTCTTTTCCTGTCGGTATAGTAAACCGTACACGTGCCAACAGATGTGCGACTTCATGTCATTGCGCAGGGCCTCCTTGGCCAGGACGAACGCCTCCTCCAGCTGATTCATGTGGCTCATGATCAGAGCTTTCATCGCCTGTGTATCGCCATGCTTGGGGTTCTTTTTTAGGACCTGATCTGCCGTCTTGATGCCTTTCGCGATGAAAATGCAGGTTAGCTCACATCACCCGGGCGAAGGCGATTGGGCGGGGTATCGGACCTTTTTTGTACTGCTTGAGCTCAAAGTTGCGAACCACTTGACGAAACAAGGACTGGTCCTTGGAGTTCAATGGTTGCGGCATGGTGGGCGATGCTGGGTCGATTGACTTGTGCGAGGGAGGAATCGATGTGTGCGGGGAGCGGCTCCTCCGAGTCCGAACTTGGCAGTGCGAATGGGCCGATAAGATAGGCCCAACTGCGTCAATCAACTCAACTTTTGTACAAATTCTACTTTCGACTGATTCATTTCTTGCGTCTGGACGTAGTGGGCCAGGAAGTCAATGCTACCATTTCCAGAGCCTTTCGTGTTACCTTTAAGCGTCTTCAAATTTTTATTTTTTTTTCTTTTGCATAATTGCTCCTACGTGCATACTCCTAGCGCTCTAATATCGATGGCTTCCTACTCAATTGTAGGAGCTCAAGTTGAATAGAAAGCTTATGTATGTGGGATTGTGTTCAAAGATAACGCCGATATATATGCGGTAATGTACACTTGGACATAAAGATCTGAAGGCAGAGAGTTGCGAGAGTCTGATTATCAACCAGTCCATACGCAGTTGTGCTATGGTCTGTTCTCGCATAGACACCTTATCTCCCATGGCTCTGCCGCCAGGTATTCAAAGCATCTTCCCAAGAAGCCGAGGAGCTACTGCATCTTTCGGTCACCATGCCCCACGTCCGAGCCCGGATGATCTCTTCAACAGTGCGCTGGTTGCGGACCAAGTTAGCCAGAGACTCAGTTCGAGCTTCTCGAGGGAAAAAGCGAGCTGAATAGGGATCCAATCGCTCATTAACCACACGTTCTCGGTCTCGGGCGGATTCGGTTTCTCGTAGAATCAGGTCCGGATCCTCGGGATCCGGACTTGTTGCAACACCGGCACAGTAGCTTAACACATCCGAGCGAGTCTGCCATGATGGGAACAGAACATTATCCTTGAAGCCCTGGCACGCGTTCGCGTCGATTGCTTTCCGAGCTCTGGAGTCGGTTTGCCGAATGGCTGTGGACGACGGATCGAAGCCCCTCTGAGCCGGCGTCACCAGCGCATTGAGGTTTTGTGCAATCGAGTCATCAATAGTAGATCGGGAAAGGCGGAGAAAATCTAGAGTAGACATCATGGTCAGTTTGAAAACAGTCCCAAGAATACGATCGTGCGATCCGACAAACCCTGAAGAAGCCTTTCATCGAAGCAAAACTGAGGAGTCAGCGCCGGAGCCTCCGTGGATGAGGCCTGTGTCATTTTCTTCTTGGCTGGCTCCTCCGAACTTCGATTTCCCGATGATGCCCAGAACCAAGCCAGCTTGAGTGGAGACGCGGATGGACAGGCTATCGGCGGTAGGGTTTAGTAGCCCGGACGGGGTGCTCAAAGAAAGCACAGGGTCGATACTGAAACGCGAAATTTAGTATAGAAGCTTATGGAGACGCAATCAGGATGATTTTAGCAGACGAAAAGAGCTTATGAGGTTGTATTCGAACTCGCCGCTGCAGTGAGCGCATATGTCCCCATCGGGACTAGTGGGGCTTGGATGAGTAATCACTGAATTTTGGCGCCTGAGGCTGCAAATTTCACGTTGCTTGAGTAATGTGATTACAAACTCATTCCATTGTATTAAGCTAGTGAGCTGGCGATGGATGATTGAATGAGTAGAGAATGAATATGACAGAAGTCATAACAGTGTATACATACGACAGGAGCAAGGAGATGTCGCAAGTGGGTATGGATAGTCGGCCTGGAACATCTACTTTGGTGTATTTGGAGTAGACCTCTCATACAAAGTTTGTAAGAGAAACAAACAGATGTCTCCAAGACCTTGGGAAAGACGCTTAGAGGAATGCTACCAAAGTCGAGACTATTGGCAATATCCAAGTAGATCCGATTAAGGTCATGTGACAGCGCGTCACGCGGGGAGATCGTCGCGTCTGGAGAGCTGACCCTTGATGATCATACATACATTCACTCGGCTGAGTTCCCTGTTGATTGCATTTTTTGCGTAATCCTGTCAATATGCCCGAGCTTGCAGAAGTGTCACGCATTGTGCATTTCATTCGCCAACACCTGGTAGGGAAAACCCTATCCAAAGTCCAAGCGCAGCACGATGACATCGTGTACGGCAAAGTTGGGACCAGTGCAGCCGAGTTTCAGAAGGTCATGACAGACAAGAAGATTGTTGGCGCAGGACAACAAGGGAAATACTTCTGGATCACAATGTCTTCACCTCCACACGCTGTGATGCATTTTGGCATGGCCGGATGGCTGAAGATCAAGGACGCCGATACATACTACTATCGCTCGGACAAGCCTGCGGATAAGGAGTGGCCTCCCAAGTATGCGAAGTTCTTGCTTGAGACCAGCGATGAGTCTAAGACTGAGGCTGCGTTTGTGGATGCTCGCCGACTGAGCCGCATTCGCTTGGTGGATTGTCCCGCCGATGAGATTCGCAAACACACTCCTCTCAAGGAGAATGGACCGGACCCGGTCGCAGATAAAGATACCGTGACAGTATCATGGTTGATGCAGAAGCTGAGGAGCAAGAAGGTTCCCATCAAGGCACTTCTTCTCGACCAGGCGAATATCAGTGGCATTGGGAACTGGATGGGGTAAGTGGTTTACGCAGTGACTTTGTCTTATCATACACTGACATCTTCTTCAGAGACGAGATCTTGTATCATGCCAAAATCCACCCAGAGCAATACAGCAACACATTGTCCGATGACCAAATCAGGGAACTCCACACTTCAATGCACTATGTCTGCTCCACTTCCATCGATGTTCTGGCAGACTCGGAGAAGTTCCCTGAGCATTGGCTTTTCAAGCACCGCTGGGGCAAGGGCAAAAAGAACCAACCATCCGTGCTTCCTAATGGAGACAAGATCACATTCATTACAGTTGGTGGTCGCACGAGTGCTGTCGTTCCGGCGATCCAGAAGAAGACTGGTGCTGTTGCGAAAGATATTGAGGATGACACCAATGGCGCATCTTCAAAACGAAAACGTGATGTAAAGCAGGAGCATGAGTCCGAGGCCGAAGAGGAAACCGAATCCAAGAGCCGCGGGTCGAAACGCAAGAGTACCACAGCGGTAAAGAAAGAAGAGGATGATGAGAAGAAGGTTAATGTGGGTAGGCGTCGGTCTACACGTTCAAAGAATTAGATTGAATTTCGATTGTGAATACATAGTTATTGCATGTACTCTTTACCGTTAAGATTATCTAAATCCTCGAGAAACAAGTTCAATAATGAATTTCCAAATTGACTGACATAGAAAAGTGAACGGGCCGTGCAGGGTTCGAAGCGGCCGTAGATCAATGCTCCGGTCTCGGGGATTTGACAGTAAGGTCGTGCAGCGTGTTCCAGAATATGGTATAATTCTCACCAGTGTCTAGGACTGCAAACACAATATACTCAAACCATCCCCGGAACTCCTTCTCCTGCAGCACAACCTTCCAACAGTCTGTAACTTCTTGAGCAGGATGCGCAAATACTCCGCAACCAAGAGCGCCGAGAACAAGTTTCCTGTGGTGATTGTCGGCTGCACAGCGAAGAACCACGCGCATCTTGTCCTTCATGTCAATTCTGTCGGACATTCTTATATTTGGGAGGGGTCAAGAGTTTATCGATAGGTGGCCTCGTGGTTGCAGCCATGCTACAAACTGCAATCTGGGGCAGACGATGAGCCCTCTTGCACCACATATAAGCATACCCCCTGGTCTCGTTATCTCGGAAATTTTAGATATGGGGCAAGTATATGCAGTCAATTTTTCTCATGGGGTAGAAACGCGGCAGCAGTGTTTCTATCAGCGTGGTACGGTAGCATATCTGTTCTTCCTGGGCTCGGGATCCATTCATCCAGCCTCCTCCAAGTACAGTGGCGTTGGCAAAACTCAAGACAAAGACGGGCCCGGTGTCGGTGTTTCTAAGGAGTTCGTGTGCATTTTGTATGAGAATAGCTGCGTCCAAAGTATCACAATCGAGGACCTTCACTTGAGTGTTTTGAAATCTCGGATAGTACGTCATATCTCGGTTAATCAAAGGCGGCATTTTCACAACAGGATCCGAGGGAAGACAGGCGGAGCTTCAGTCTCAGGTGCCGTCAGATGTATAGAGAAGATACAAATGTATGCAGAGGGTTCAAAGCTCGAGGAACAGGGCGAGGCTTTATGTCCAGATACTTAATGTGAACCCAAAGAGACGAAAGATCAAAAGGACGAAATGCTTTGAAAGAGAAGAAAACATAACTATAAAGATCTGGATAGATCACAGGCAGCCAACCACAGTGCGCGATCTCCGACCTGGGCGGTGAGTTCTTATCAGGGCCGATGTCGCCACGCGATGACAAAGCCGCGACGCTCGTTGGTTCTTTCAGGTCTCTCCCAGGCTTTTTAATTCTTGATAATCCCTGCTCAAGTATCCTTTACTACACAAAGCCCATAATCGCGTGGCATACTTGATTTTATTCGAGTTCTATCCTGGCGCGGGGCTCTCACTTGAAAAAGACCCGAAGCGGTGTCCCGCCACTATGAGCGCGATCTTGTCGGCAGACGATTTGAATGATTTCATTTCGCCCGGGGTCGCGTGTATTAAGCCAGTGGAAAATCTTCCCCAAAAGAGCCCAAAGGATGCCGAAGTCAGTGCTTCTGTGGCTTACAACTTGTCAAAGAACCTTAGACTAATTCTAATCTTAGAATCCGTACGAAGTTACAACAGAGGACAAAGTCGAGCCTGAGAACCTTCCCCCGGCGCAGATTTCCTTGACAGACTGCCTTGCATGCTCAGGTTGCGTGACATCCGCGGAGGCTGTCTTGATCTCCTTGCAATCCCATACGGAGGTCCTCAACACCCTCGATGCTCACCCAGAGATTCCTGTGGCACACAAGCACCATGGGAAAACGGCAGGGAATGCCGGAAATACCGAAGAGGGCATGATATTTGTTGCCAGTGTCAGCCCACAGGTCAGAGCCAGTCTAGCGGCAACTTATGGTATCTCGGAGAAAGAAGCGGGGTACATGATCGATCAGTTCCTAACCGGCCCGCAGGGGCTGCGAAGTGGCGGAAAATATGGCAGTGGCTTCACGTGGGTGGTTGACACAAATGTCATGCGCGAGGCCGTTCTTGTTCTCACCGCCGATGAAGTTTCCGAGTCGCTCGGCTCGGGTTCTGCTGGAAACGGTCCATCTGGTGCCGAGTATCCCCTTCCAAAGCGGCCGATCCTATCATCTGCGTGCCCTGGATGGATTTGCTATGCTGAAAAGACACATCCCTTTGTGCTGCCACATCTATCTCGCCTCAAGTCCCCGCAAGCCCTGTCCGGAACATTCCTTAAAACTATCCTAAGCAAATCTCTTGGAATTCCTGCATCTCGCATCTGGCACTTGGCTCTCATGCCATGTTTCGACAAGAAGCTTGAAGCTAGTCGAGAGGAGCTTACTGATGTTTCATGGCAACAGGGTGATCTCCAGAAGGGCTCTGAGTCACACCAACCCGTTCGTGATGTGGATTGTGTCATCACAACACGCGAACTGCTTTCCCTAGCCGCTGCTCGGGGATTCTCGTTACAGAGCCTTCCTCTGCAGCCTCTGCCGTCCGCATTTACTCCGTCTTTCCCAGAAAAGACTCTCGATTCCTTTATCTCCTTCAAGCCGCCCCCTACTCAGCAATCTTTGGAAACTGGTACTTCTGGAGGCTACTTGCACCAAGTGCTCATGGCCTTCCAAGCTCGCAATCCGGGTAGCCAGCTTGTGACAAATCGCGGGCGCAATGCTGATGTCGTCGAGTACGTCCTCATATCTCCAGAGGGACAGCCTATCATGAAGGCAGCGCGATACTACGGCTTCCGAAACATCCAGAACCTTGTTCGGAAGCTGAAGCCCGCCCGCGCATCCAGAATGCCCGGCGCAAAACCCATCGCTGCTAGTCGACGTCAGCCCGTGTCTCGAAACGCAGTCTCCGGAACCTCAGGCTCAGATTACGCCTACGTCGAGGTCATGGCTTGTCCAGGCGGCTGCACAAATGGCGGCGGACAAATTCGAGTTGAGGATGCCAGGGAGGCCGTCAGTCCCTCCGTGGATATTCAGATGGTGGATGTTCCAGAAACTTCCACCAAGCCCTCACCTCACGAACAGCGTGCCTGGCTGGCACGCGTGGATGAGGCATACTTCTCAATGGAATCTGATTCGGAGAACGAGGCAGACCATTCTCAGCTACAGTCAATTCCAGATAAAGAGACTCAGATTCACCAAGGTTTGGCCCGCTGGTCAGAGTTCATGGGAATCTCACTCGACAAGTTAGTATATACAACATACCGAAAGGTTGAAAGCGATGTTGGCAAAGAGCAAGTCTCGACAAATGAGACGGCTAATGTGGTTGAGCTCGCTGGGAAGATTGGAGGCGGGTGGTAGAAATCATTCGCGGTACACGGTAGTACATGAGCATTTTGTCCCTTTTCATTGCGTGGCGTCGGGATGTATTTTGTTTGACATGCATATTAAGTGTGGGAGATACCAGACAATTCATGGGCTATAACATTTGAAGGTTATTGGGGGCTGGCGGCGTTGTGGGTTTGCAATTGTTCGTATCGAAGTCCCATGTGAATTTTCATGAAAGCTGCAATGCAAGCCAACTCCAAATCGATAGCCTCTAGCTACACAATTAAACAAGCTATACTTCCTGGATAGGCAGTCGGCCGCATGCTGACTCATCGGTGCTGGAGTAGATTATTAAGCATGTTAAATCGATCCGCCGCAAAAGAAAAAGAATCTCGCCGACACCGAGAAGTCACCAGTCAACCTCATCGCCGAACCTTTGTTCTCTCGACGAACGCACCTCTCAACTCGCACAGACCCGCAAACCCGCCCACACACCAAATATGTCTCGTGAAGCTTACCAAGTCCCCTCCATGGGCACCCAGAACGCCTTCAGCAATGAGGGCAGCGGGTTCAACTCCATGGCCGTCGACACCCCCTCGGTCGTCTACCTCTGCGGCGAGTGCTCCGCGCGCGTGCCCCTGAAGCGTGGTGACCAGATCCGCTGCAAGGACTGCGGTCACCGTGTCCTGTACAAGGAGCGCACCAAGCGGTGAGTTTCTTATTCCTCGCGTGTACTTCCTTGACGCATTGCTGACGATTCTATCTTCCTTTATGCAGCATGGTCCAGTTCGAAGCTCGGTGAAAAGATGCGAAATTGAATGGAAATACCTGTCTAGACACTCCCTGGACGTGGAGGAGTTGATGGAACTGAGCTTTCGCTATCTTTGATTATACTTATGTTCTAACGAACGATGCATTCAGCGGCGCCTTTGGAGTACAAATGCGAATTAGACTTACGGAATACATACATTACCTGAGATTTGACACCGAGAACGAGGTGATTCGCCTGGTGCAACTCAATAATTCTAGGAGAGTAGCGCGCATGCCTAAGTAATCTTTTCTCTTTCAAATGGCTTTTTGATTTCACTCCAAATCCCAACAGACAAGTTTAAATATTCTAACTCATGTCCGCCAAGGGAGCGACCGGAAAAGTATTAGAATTGTACATCGATATATCGACGTCACCCCGAAAATAATGACAGATAGAAGAACGAAATGCCAGGTCAATTTACTTTAACCTTTCCTAGAATAGATCAACTATTCCAGCATGCGCATGTAATCCAATGCGATCACGCAAGCTTGTTTGATACCTCGATGAACTGCTCGAAGACCTTCAGAGCCGAGCCGCTCTCAATTGCCCAGCGTGCCCGACGCAGACCCTCCTTCCAGCGGCCACCGCCAGGGCCACGTTCGGTGATAACCTGCCCATCATCACCCGGGCCCATGTTACTTGTCTCCGCCTCACAGACACCGGAGGTAACAAGCAGAGCAGCAACGTTCATAAGAACGAATTCTAGAATAGGATCTTCACGGGGAAGCTCATTGCGGAGAATGCTCATCAACTTGTTAGCGTTATCCTTGGGCATCTTGCGTCCGTAAACCTCGGTGAGTGGGTGGGATTTAACGCCGAAGTCGGAGGGTTGAAGCTGGAAGATATCAAGCTTGACTAGCGTGCGAGGGTTCTCCTCGTCTTCAGAATCATCGTCGTCGGTACTTGTCTCCTGGTATGCCGGGTTGGGGTACTCAGACAATCTCCAGCAGTTGGTCTTTCCAGCGCAGCTGATCTCGTCCATATCCTCCTCACCGCAGACAACAAGCGCCTTCTTGGCACCGGCCTGTCGAAGAGCCTCAACGAAGACAGGTCCAAGGCTCTGATAAGCCACGCCCACAAGGCGCGCTTCAATGGCCCACTCAACGGGGTTGGCCAGAGGACCCATCAAGTTGAAGATTGTTCGGAGTCCAAGAGCACGGCGGACCGGATTGGCATACATCATGCCGGGGTGGAAGTTCGGGGCGAAGAGGAAGGCATAGTTTGTTTCCTCGTACACCTTGGCCACATTGGATGCATTCACAGCGGAGATGTTGGGGGGGATGGGCTGGACGGCATTGAGAACGTCTGCGGATCCAGAGAAGGAAGTTTGAGCGCGATTGCCATGCTTCGCGGTCATCAACAGCGGTGAAGCAATGATTGACGAGGTAGTCGAGACGTTGAAGGTCGAATGTGAGTCACCGCCGGTTCCGACGATGTCGCACTAGGAGGCGATACTGATTAGTGTAGTTACAGACATGGGATGAATGGAGCCTTCCTCACCAGTCCACCTTTATAATTTCCCTCGCTCTTTCCTCGGGCCTTCACAGCTTTCTTCAGGGAAGCTTTGTCGATCTGAGTAGCAGCCTCGCGCATCCGGTGGGAGCATTTCGCAATGATTGCAGCATCTTTGTCTTTCCCAGTGGAGTGAAGGAGGGTCAACAATGCTGCGGTCTGGATGTCTGACAGACGGTCTTCGAATATCAAGGCAAAGGCAGAAGCAATGTCATCTGCGCTGACTTGGATGTCTGCAGTAGCGGGGTAGGCCAAACGTTTGAGCAGAGGGGAGATGGAGACAGACTCCGGCCTCTCGTGCTTAGGTGAATTAGCCATGTTGTACGTGGAGGCAATTGAGTGTCCCTGTGAGGTCTAAGGCAGATCACCGGGGTGCATAAAAAAGAAGAAAAGAAAATAGTAGCTGTCTGAGTCAACAGGCCCCTCATTACAGGTTCATTGCCGGCAGAACCGGGCTTACCGCCCAAGCTGGCACTTTTCCTCTTTGGGCGCCAAAAAATATCTCCAGGACTGCCCTTCCAAATCTCCGAGGCCTTTCTGGATCCGCTCCATCATTGTTCCTTGTCCATTCCCCCTTTCCCTTCACAATGCCTCCGCGGGTACCCATATCATCGTTCCGGCGACAAGCCCTACGATGCCCATATGAACTTCGAATCGCCAGGGCTGCCAGCACCGCTGCGGCTCCGGCCGTCACACCAGCTGCGCCAATTGAGCAAATGACACGCTCGCCAGCTCCAATTGCGCGTACTCCTCCCACTCAGCCGCCGTCGCATCGCAGTCCTGAATACCGCCGGTCCCAACTCCTGCGTCAATACACCTCCCTGCTCCGCACCTCCCCTCTCATGGTGCTTTTCCAACACAACAATCTGAAGTCCACGGAATGGGCTGCTATTCGACGAGAGTTGACCAAGGCCTTGCAAAAAGTCGATGAAAAGATCGCTGCCGAGGGTCGGACATCCCCGGAGTTGTCTCCATATATCAAGTTGCAGACTGTCCAAACCAGCATCTTCGAGGTGGCCGTTCGTATTGTCGAATACTTCCGGCCTAGCGAGGATGCGCTTGCTTCTGGAAACCCCCCAGCGCCGTCGACCCCGTCACTCAGACCTCTGCCGAACTCCCTGCTTTCTCCGGTTCCAGGGACGACCCTGCCCTGACGCACGATTTGTCTCGCTCTGCTCACATTGCCGTGAAGAAGATGAAGGGCAAGCACGAGCTCGCCGAAGTCCTCACTGGCCCTATCGCCATTCTTTCTATTCCTACCGTCTCCCCCGAACACATGAAGGCCGCGCTGTCGATCCTTACTCCCAAGGAAGCCGGATTCCCTGCACCCACCCGCAAGGGCAACCCGGATTACCACGATCCCACCGTCCAGCTCGGTCTGCAGAAGCTTAACCTGCTTGGTGCCCGCGTTGATGGCAAAGTGTTCGACATCGCCGAGACCAAGTGGGTCGGCAGCATCGAGGGCGGTATGGATGGCCTTCGCTCACAGCTCGTTATGGCTTTGCAGAGCATGGGCTCCAGTGTCACCAGCACCTTGGAGGGAGCTGGCAAGAGCCTGTACTTCACTATGGAGAGTCGGAGAAGCGTTTTGGAGGAGGAGCAGAAAGGCGAGGGTGAGAAGAGCGAATCGTCCTAGCATGGATTTGGCCACGCCTGCATTCTTGTATAATAAGTCATGTTTTTTTTGCATCCCAAGGGACCCAAGCTTTGTTTTTGTATAGGCTGTACACCATGCAATAGATTCTTTGCAATACTCTCAATTTGAAATGGGAATGGATATCTCAATCTATACATCTATGCATGCAGTCGTAAGATAGGAAGCAGATCTATTCTCCAGGCGGCTTGGCATCTCTTTAGTGAGCCTGAACTCTATATCGAACACCAAAATCTAGCATATTTGTATCGTCTTCGTCGTCGGAGAAACTAGTTCTCGCAGTATATGATCCATGTCTGAGACGTCCACCGGGAGCTTCTTCCCATCCTTGGTCTGGACGAAGGAAAGGGGATCAGCATCAGACAAATATACGTACCAATTAGGCGTCCGGCACTTACGAGGTGTATTAATCACATTGGGTGTATCCGAAGGACCAAACGATCCCTTTCCTTCCTGTAAGCCTCTTTCTAGACACAATCTGGGACCAGTGAAACATACCAGCATCTTCGTACCTCGTGAGTGCCTTATACCTTCTCTAAACACTTCTTGTGTCCGATATAACTCAGAAATTTGGTCTCCTTCCACAGTGAACTTCAAGCTCGTCTTGTATTCTTCACCTTCTCTGAGGTTGAAGCCTTCGGTCTTCGCCTTTTTGACGCCCTCGGGCGTGGAAAGATCGAATATGATAGGGTCTCGGCCGTCGTGGAAGGTGACTTCATAGGAAATCAGTTTGACGGTTGCGTCTACTCGACGATTTGATTAGTGCGTACCAGCCTAGGTTGATAATAAATGATCCAAAGATGGAGATTTCGAAACCTGTGTAGAAAATAGGTAATCTGGTAAAGGGGTTGGGGACTCACTAGGCATGGCTGTCGAGATTTTCTATATTTCTAGAGAAAAACACAGAAAGGAAAAGGAAACAAAAGAACACAAAAAAAAGACGAAGAAAAACCGAGAAAGCTAGCCCTGGAGGCAGGAGTGAGATAATAGAGAGGATGAGTCAATCAGGCGCGAGATTTGGAAAATTGTCCGGCGAAGAGAAAAGCCGTGCGGTGGCCACTTATATTAACGGGGCCTTCAAGGAAACTCGGAATATTAATCAGGCACAATGATATCAGTACGACTACCCAAACTGAATTAGCTTCGCTGCCTTGTGAGACCGTCTAAGTAGCGTGAACACTGACCAGCGTGCTAATTGGATGCAAGTTATCTCCTTCAAGGGCAGATTGCCTAAATGGTCCACACGCATTGCATCGTCGATAAAGTACAAAATATGCGTACGAAACCCTCCTGGGCTTAGGGGATAGCCCCACTATATTCAAGGCTGTTGTAGTTATTCCATTACACGACAAGAGGGTAACATTGTCAGACTGTACCCCGCTCGTAGTAAGATCGACCATGTAGGTGACGATAGCTTTCTTACGGCATGCGTACCCGTGCCATTTAATTTCAATTATGCTGCGATGCAGACAAGCAGGTCATTTGAAAGGGGGGTTGGACTCCAGAGTATAGAATGGTGTCACTTGAAGGATGTATAGAGTTGCTAAGACCTGATAGGATTATATACAGGACCTTCAGGGCTCCTAGCAAATCGTCTAAATCTAGTTCTGTCGCATGCGCAACTTGGCGTTCATGCCGACGATGCAGCGCACAAGATCCCAGTCACCATCAAGACCCACCCAGTCTGTGACCAAGATACCAGTGGATGAATCACCATCCTCATTCTCGTGACGCCGACAGATGTAATCTACAACCGCAGGGTTGACCTTAGCCGCGATCTTCTCGGGCCAGGTATTAGTCTTCCAAAAGTTGCTCGCACTCAGGAAGTTAATGTAGAAGGGGTGTGGGCCTGGGTGTTCACCGAAGGGATAACGAGACTTGCTAGCGCGGTCGATGTGGTCCTTGACGTATTGTATCTTCTTCTCGATGTTGGTCGACTCCTGTACCTCGTAGAAGTCCTGAATGCACAACTGCCCACTGGGGCAGTTGGCGTTGGCGGTGTTATCAGCCCATGCAGCGCCGTCGATACCCCAGCCATGCCCATCGTGCTTCTGCTTCAGATCATCGGGGATGTTAAAGCGGCGCAGGAGGATCACCTTGCCGCGGGCTTCGCCTAGAGTAGGGATCTTTGGTCGAGTCCACCAACGTTGGTTGTCGTCCTTGGCGTAGTGCTTGTTGAGAATGTGCGCGAGCTGTTCATCCTTTGAATCTCCAGTACCCTCACGCTTGAGAGAGATGATCAATGTCTCGGATGGGTTCTTGTCTAGGAAGTCATTGATCTCCTTCATCAAGTCGCGGAAGTATTTATTCCCAGTCAGCGAAACGGGGAACACGCTGTGAACAAGGATCAGCTCCTCCTTTAATTCCTGCGGGTACTGCGGCTGGACACGAATGTCGAAGAAGCGAACGCCGTTCTGGAGCTGCTCACGTGGGCTGACGGCTTGGCAGCGCACAGAGGGCGGCGCGAGGTAACAGGTTGGCGAGTTGTGAGTGCCGGGAATAGAGAGCGAGGATAGGAGAGTATCGTCGCGCAGCTCGTGCATCCATGCATTCAGGTTGGCGGACGAGTAAATTGCTAGGAACGACTCAGATTTCACCCACACGCCGGTCAAGCGGTGCTTGGGATTGTCGACGGTTTGCATGGTTGCCGTCTCGGTCGTAGGAACGGGCACCTGGATCATGTGTTCTTCGCCCTCGGTCCCGAAGACCAGGCGCAGGCGCTCCTTCTCGGAGTCCTTGAAAAAATCCAAATCGGTATCTTTGGTGGTGAATGGCTCAACGCGGATGCCTAGCTCTTTCCGCTCATCGAACGGCTTGTCCGCCAGGCTGAGGGTCGCGACAGGCGCCTGGCTGCGAGTCTGGTTTGTCAAGATTCGAGTGAAGTTCTTCGCCAGCGAGGTGATCTCGTCGGTTCCATAACTTTGTCCTGGGGGGCTGAAGCGCTGGAGACGCTTCAGATTGATCAGGGTGTCCGTGTTGTTACGGATGGTCAACTTTTTGGCTACCATGGCGGACAACGGAAGCTTGCTGAAGCTTTGAGGCTTTGGGAAGTTGAGAGGAAAGGAGAACCCGGGGTGAAGATCAATGCGATGAAGGAATATGGAGATGCAGATACTGCCCCTCATCGCGGGACGATCGCCAAGAGCTAAGCTCTATCGAACCCCATTGAATCCATTCCGATTCGATGTTCAGACAACCAGTGACGCTATGATCAAGGCTCCACGAGTCCAAGTCCCTGAAACACAGCGTATTTTTGATGACATGGATGCTATCTTCTCCAAATCTTTTTGATTGGCCCTCTTGAGCACGTTCAAGAAGCAAGACTGCATCCTCTAGCCTGCCCCAATCCCAACGTCGAAGAGTGTGGACATGTCGAATGAGTATTCCCAGGTTGGCTCGAGTACGGCGTCGTCGACGTTACTGGCTGTTAATGTGGGCTCGCTGCATGGATTGGAGAGCCAACTTGGGTTGCACAAGCAGGCTGATGAAAGTAAGGAAGTTTGTTTGGCGGGGAGTGATTATGAAGGGCGCGAGGGGACGAATGAAGAAGGGTGAGCAAGAAAAGCGAAGGCTGTGGAGGAGTTTATGGATTTGGAGGGCATCCAATCTTATTAGGGGTACGCATGGAGAGAAAGGCGATCGAGGACAAGGGGGCGAGTCCAAGGAGTCGGGAGTGTTGAGATCAAATTTTGAAGTATACAGGCATTTCCGATACACATACTGTATAGACCTCGGCATATAAATGGCCGTTCTCTTTACTTCAGAAGTCGTGATTGAATTCACAGATACTTAATTGACAAAAGAAATTAAGGTATCTATTACAAGATCAACGGTAGAGTTCAAGTCCGAAACGGAATCTCCAATATTGTTTGGTGTGGAAGTTGGACAGGAATTTCAACATACAATGCGAGCAGGTCTAGTCCAAGGTAATTTACCCATCACCAGTTAAATACTCTTGCCTGCTATCTTCATTTTCGTAGAAACCAAAAGAATAAGGCTATGTATCATAGAACAATGGGAGGTATACGTGTCAATGAAGATGGAGACTAGGGAATGTGGTAGTTTCTTCCTTCGACCATCTCAGTCTAATCGTGATTGTCACATTGATAAAAGTAGTGAGTAGTAACCAGACAGCCGTCATCGCTGTGATAAGAGCCACACGTTTTACAGCCACTGATACTGCAATCGTCACCTTAGATAAAGAATGCCGCAGCCCCGATTCTGATCGCCCCAACAGTTCAGATATACTATACTATCTATGATTCTCCTCTGGCTGAACTGAATGTAAGAGTCGGTGTAGTCCTATTTAGCAAGGATGATCAAAAGCTTGTGGAATCTCCTCTCTGTGGGACAGGACGAAGTGTGAGTAGAGATTGGCTGCCATCCAATTCGTATAATATCAAAATCATGACCTCTGATCCCAATTTCAGCTGAAATATTGAGTTCTGCCAAGGTAGGCGGAATTTGAGATAACGCAGAAGCAATCTGGTCCAGGTCGACGATAGGTTTATTGAATTCATTGTCTAACTATAGCCATAATACAACTTCCAGCTCGGTTTCTCAAAGCTTTTGGTGACTGAGAGTATTTGTGCCTCCCGGATAAACGATAATTGAAGCGATTTGAGCCTTGACGGGTGAGGTAGACACGCTAACTAGCGATAGGCCATTTGAATGTGGTTGGGCTCCTTATCGACACTGACATATGCTCGAAATTTCAGAGATCAAAAAAAAGGCAGGAGACCTGGGGTGTTCTGGAATTTTCTGCTTCGCGTGCCCGATCCCAACCGGCTCGGGATAGGGCCGACACATCCCTGAGATGAGAAAAGTTGGGAAATCGACATACTCCAGGCTCACAGACGGCTGAGCTGAGTACCATACCAATGAATGTACTTCGTTGTACAAAGATAGGTCCAAGGTCCAGTTGCCTCAGATTTGGAAGTTGTGCCAGGAGAAGAGCAGCAACAGACAGCGTCTGTCATGCCTTTGCGCAATTACTGTATCCAAAATTAGCTATAGGAGACCACACCCTGCGACCAAAGAATTCCTGTTATTCAAGGTGGCTGTAAAAGATGGTATAGGAACGATGCTTTGAAGCAATAACAGAATAGATGTCTATAACGGCTTGATAGCATACCGTATCCATAACCTTGGCGTAGCTGCTATCTATGGCAGACTTCAGGCTCGCCTGCGTATCCGGAGATAGGAACAGCAAAATCCCATTTTTATCTAGATCCCGAATAGCAGTAGCTTCGATCACAGACCCTGTGAGCACGGGTATAGGTACCTGCAGGGCAGACAGATACATTTTTTTGAGTCATTTTTGCGGGCAGAAGATATTTGGACGCCGGTACACACCTCATTTATAGTATACTGGCTAAGATCGCCCACGATGAAGGTACTATCAGCTCTATTCACATAGTCTATCTAAGTAAGAACAGACAAGAGGAGGACGAAAAAGAACCAAACTAGTGATGGGGTCACTATCGCGTACAAAGCAAAGGAGTGTGGCGTCTACGATTCCTAGGTAGGCTAAACCGAGTGCATACATTATATAGTATACTCGTTCCGCGGGCGAGATTCCAGCTCAACACTTCCTAATACCTCACCAAGACACACTGGCCCAGATCTTTGTGATTCGCAGCGATGATGAGTTACACAACTCACGAGAGTTTCCGATCAGTGGCCGGGTTATTGCCTCAGGTCGTTTCTTTTGTCGACTTTTTTATCATTACTTTGTCCTTAACTTCATGGGTTTCCTTAACTTCCCACGCCTCTTTTTCTTCTCTGATCCTTAGTTTCTTTTGCCTCTTGCAGTTTTGCTCAGACGATGGAGCTCATTGTATTGTGGGTGAAATCTCAGGCAAGGAAGTTGCAATGGTAATACTCGGTGCTAAATGACTTCCCAAAACATAGTTGCGGATGACGTACTTAACCCAGACGCAACGAAAATACTCTGTGCCGGAAAAGATATGACTAGACCTTTTTAGGTCTGAGATATCAGTAAGGATTAGAGTCAGGAGTACCTAGGGCGCCTGTAGCTGGGAAGGTGTAGTTGGTAGCCCGATCACCCATTACACCAAAAGGTGCCCGCACCCAGATAATATCACAGTGGTGACTGTGCAAGCCGCCCAGCGGAGGGAGTTCTATCCTGGATGCACTTCTTTTTTGCCATTTCTTTTTTTTTTCCTTTGTTGGTTTGACTGTTCCAGGGTTTATTTTTCTTTCGTGATCTGGGTCGGCTTGCCTAGTCGTTCACATTTGGTATGAGTGCCTGGATGCCTAGATTGCGAAATGGTTCCTATGACACAATATCTACGTGGGTCCTTTTTTCATAACTCTGAATGAAGCATAGGAGATAGAAGATAGAGAGCATAACGTTAAGGCTTTGGGAATGATCGATTAGCTGTGCTGGGCTCCACTTTTAGCGCGTTTGCCCCCACACGCCCCCTTTATTTGAACGGCATTCGATAATTATCCGTTGTGGACACGTTAAGATGTCGCCTTCATCTTCCCAGCCATAATGCCTCCAGGGCCTGAAGAGCCTGGGCACCAGGTAAAAGTTGTTTCAAAAAGCCATGGTAAATCACGACAGATATGGCTTGGCCTCAAGGGGATCTTTTTGCCGGTGTTGATCGGCGTCTTGGCCTTGGTGGCGGGGCTCTTTCTGGACAGCCCCAATATTGAAGCTGCACTCGGCTACTTCCGTGCCGAGAATCAAGACAGCTATTGGAAGAAACATCGAGAAGAAGTCAAGGATGTGTTTGTCACAAGCTGGGATGCGTACTCTAAATATGCCTGGGGTAAGTTGGGAGAGCTTTGGTCCTGTCGCATGTCCTGACGCTTCAGCATTGATGACAGCAGGTATTTCATTTCTTCGATCCAGAGCTGACATTTGACCTCAATTTAGGAAAAGATATTTTCCACCCCATCTCCAAAAGAGGAGAGCAAATGAGTCCAAATGGACTGGGTTGGATCATTGTTGACAGTCTAGACACGTTGATGGTCATGAACCTAACTTCGCAACTCTCCGATGCTCGGAAATGGCTCAAGCGGGACCTGACCTACGACCAGGATCAAGATGTCAACACCTTTGAGACAACTATCCGCATGCTCGGCGGACTCCTGTCCGCGCACTTCTTGTCGACTCAACTCCCCGATATTTCATCACGTCGTGACCACGTTTACCTCGAAAAAGCCATTGATTTAGCAGACCGTCTTCTGGTTGCCTATGATTCCCCAGCTGGAATTCCTTACTCCAGTGTGAACATTGGTACTCGACAGGGTCTCAGATCTCATACTGACAACGGAGCGTCGTCGACTGCTGAAGCCACGACTCTTCAGCTGGAGATGAAGTACCTCGCCAACCTCACGGGAAATGAAGTGTACTGGCAAAAGGCCGAAAATGTTATGAAGGTGGTAGATGATCATCGCATGCCAGATGGCTTGTTGCCCATCTTCGTGAGTCCTGATACAGGCAACTTCCGCTCCAGGATAATCCGTTTGGGAAGCCGCGGCGATTCTTACTACGGTACTGTCCTCCGCTTGGGTGACTTGAAATGCAATATAACTAATGAACCGCAGAATACTTGGCGAAACAATATTTACAAACTCATGAGCCAATCTATGGCGAGATGTGGGAAGAGGCTCTAGCAGGTATCCAAAAACACCTAGTCACCACCACCAAGCATTCCAACCTTCAGATTGTGGCCGAGCTTGAAAAGGGTATCGGTGGGAGATTATCTCCCAAAATGGACCATCTCGTTTGCTTCTTGCCTGGCTCGATTGCAATCGCCGCAACTGATGGAAGAACCGAAGCCGCAGCACGTAAGCTCCCAACTTGGAATACCCAAAAGGAAAAGCAGATGGAGCTCGCCAGAGAGCTCACAAAGACTTGCTGGGCAATGTACGCTGTCACAGAAACAGGCCTGTCACCCGAGATCGCCTGGTTCAATGTCGAAGATGACAATCTCGAGCCGAACCCTGGCTCGAGGTTTCAAAATAGGAGCAGCGACGATTTAAAATCTTGGCAAGACGATTTCAAGATCAAGTCTGCTGATGCGCATAACCTGCAGCGTCCGGAAACCGTGGAAAGTCTTTTCTTATTATTCCGGGTCACAGAAGACCCTATCTATAGAAAATGGGGATGGGAAATTTTCAAATCGTTCAAAGAGCATATGCTTGTAACCAGCGGAGAGGGCTATACGTCTTTGGACGATGTCACTACAATTCCTTCACCAACGCGCGATAATATGGAGAGTTTCTGGCTGGTAATCCCCCCCCCCCCCCCCTCTCTTGGTCCGGCAAGTGGTTCGCGAGCTAACACTCTTGCAGGCCGAGACATTGAAGTATCTTTACCTCCTTTTCTCTCCGAGCGAATACCTCCCGCTCACAGAGGTCGTTTTCAACACCGAAGCACACGTGTTCCCTCGATTCGAGCCGAACAAATTCAAAACCGGCTGGAAACGAAGAGAGCGCAACGAATCCAGGAATAAATATCCATAAGCATTCCTTATACCCTGAACCATTCTACGAAAGAGCCGCTGTCTGTCATGTGTAATATTATTGTAGCAAATGAGATCGTCGCAACCTTCACGCCCATGCCAAATTCTCTATTCTACTTCAGGAATAGCTCCGATGCTCACAGCCAACAAACGATTGAAGTCTTCCTCGTCTGAATGAGCTTTACCACTATCCCCATCGCCCGTCTCTGGGTCATCTAGAACTCTAAACGTTCCGTCATTTCCAGCAATCGGAGCCATAGACGTTTGCGTCCGTTTCGGCCCGAGATATTGAAAGTGAGCTTCATCCTGCGACTGACACGCTTGGCAGAACGACAAGGCCGGACCCTTGATTCCCACATGCTTCTGCGTATGGAACAAAAATCTGCGCCCTCTTCGCACTTTCTCACCAAAGAGCGAATTCCTCGTAGGCGCGGAAGCAAACATTCAAAGAACCCACAGTCTCGTTATGGTCACTCCCGTGCCGGTTGAGTATTGTTGCGAATATCAGCATTAATGCCGCGGAGCCAGTTATTGCGGCTGCTTGAACGTTTATGCGGCGGAATGTGTATTGGGCTTCGTAGAGGTGGAGGATTTTGGCCGTTTCGGTTGAGGATTCGACGCATATTCGACGCGCGTGGTTGTAACCTGATCCTTTTGGGGTTTGGGACTGGACTGAGTATTGGACATCCATGACCTATGGGCGTTGATTATGGCTTGGTGGCAGTGCATGCTGAGTTGGGGGTTATGAATGTCTATCGTAGGACTTTAGGTAGCTTTAGACTTACTGGAGTAAGAGTGAATGAGGCAAGTAGGGTGATGTGATGGGGTCGTCCAAGCGGACCTTTAAGGTGGCGGGAGCTTTCTTTTCCAGTCTAGAAATTTGACATGTTTTTATCATGTTGTTGTTTGCCTCTGTCTACGGAATTGTTCTTCTTTTTCTGGTAGGTGGGCTGTATCTTGGAAAATCCTCCTCACTTTTCGTGGTCCTAAATTGGATATCGGCTGTATATTCAGCTATATGTATGCACAGCGACCTTATACGAAGATATATAGGCAGATGTTTGGAGGGAGAAGGGCTTTGGATCAAACAGCAAATTGAAATTCCTCCCACTAAGTAACCACTCATCCCTGTCTCTTGAGACCGACCTTCACGCCATTGGCGCCGCTCACAGTCAGAGTGAGGTCCTCAATCCACGGTCGTGGATCCCTGGATTCAATTTCCTCGAATTCCTGCGCAAAACGCACCAATACATATAGTGCTTCAGTGAGAGCATATTGCTGACCAAGGCACACACGTGGGCCACCATTAAAGGGTAGATATTGCTATTGGACCGTGTTAGCAATGAGTCAATTTGGATGCTGCGAACAGCAAATGCAACGAGATGAGAGAAATATACCCAAGTGAACTCGTTCTTCACCCAGCGTTCCGGACGGAACTCATCGGCATCTTCGCCAAACAGATCTTTTCGACGGTGCATAGCGTATACTGTATAAATAATCCAGTTCCCCTTCTCGATGAGAATGGGAGCATCACCATCCGGTCCTCCACCCCGCGGTAGAACAGTATCCCGAATGGCCATTTTCGCATTGTTGGGGACGGGAGGATATAATCTCAATGCTAATATATCGAGTAAGAGCGGTCAGCAGAAGTTCTTTCTATTTTGCAGGACTGGCACGAACTTTCATTAACGCAGTATTTTGCGTACTTCAAATTTCTTAGCTGCTCGTACTGTGGCTTTTGACCATTTAGTTCTGTGGCGACCTCTTCTCGAAGCTTGCTCCAAATTTCTGGTCTCTTCGCAAGGCAGAAGAAGAGGCTACTAATAAGGCTTGCAGTTGTGTCACGCCCAGCGAGGAGTAAGCTCAAGAGCTCATCTCGCAGTTTGTCTTTGTCATCAGTGGCAGTAGCGAGCTCCTGCAAAAAGGTTCTTTTTTTACCATCCTTTTTTTCCGCCATATCGCCCTGATGTGCTTTGCGATACTCCAATGCCTGGTCAACATATTTGTCGATGTACTGTCGACAAAACCGGTGTGCCTCAACCGCTTTGGGATCCGTCCGACGGAATTTCTCCCACGGGCCTAGGCGCAAGCCAAGAGAGATGTCGTTCAAGGCGTACACAAAGGCGTCACTGAAAATCTGATCACCGCCCTCGGTAAGAGTATGAGTCGATGTTCCAAAGAGAAATTCTGTGGAGGAATCCATGGTAAACCGGAAAAATGAAGGTTGTAGGTCAAAGGTTGTGGCATGCTTGGCCCCGTCCTCCGAGGACGGGATCAGTCGAAGCAGAACCTGCAGATGTGACTCCATGATGGTCAAGTCCGCGACCTGAGATTTGTTGAAACTTGGACGCAAGAGTGCTCGCGAATGTGCCCATTCTTCACCGTCGGTGACGAAAACTCCCCGTCCCAATAACGGCCCCATAATAGCAGGGCGATTACCAAGTGAATAATCCTTGAATTTCAACGATAGCATAGTCTTTATGTTGACGGGATCGATGGTGAAAACACCTCGACCACCCATCGCAACTACCTCATGGGTATAGCCAATTGAGAAGTAGCGACTGGTGAACTTGTTGAGGTAGGCCTTTTCTTTGAATGCATTGGCATTCTCAAAGATGAAGGAAAGCCCGAAGAAGCGATCCTTGTATCTTGCGAGAAGTGGTTTACAGCCATTTTGACTGCTGAACTGACGTCGTTTGAAGAACAAATTAAGACGGGAAGAAATGAAATAGATAAATAAAACCAAGAGAGAATTGACGAGAAGCAGCGTTGATACTGAGCTCTGCCTAGCATAGAGGGCACTCATCAAAGTCTGGGAAAAAGCCATTGCTTGTTGGCGGACTTCTGCAACGAAGGCTGCCAGAAGATGAATGGCAATTGAGGCCAGGACAAGGGGAGGGGTATGCCAAATGGTTGTCCTGGCTTGGAGCAGGTTGCTTGCCCAATGTTACTTCCACAAAGAACATCGGCCATAAGCAATAAGAAAAACTCTGCTGATCACCAATCGTGGGGCCCTTTCGATCTGGTATACCATTTCCCTAAAACGGTTGTGTAAAGACATGTAAAGAAATTCGGATACAGGCTCGTTTTTGCTATTTGTAATTGAGCGAACTAAAATCTGACGTGTTACACTGAAAGCTATCCAGTGGAGCGATGTGAAGACATGAACTTCGCTGTAGATGGTATGTTGGTACGTCAGCTCCAAGCCTCCTCTAGTGAACCTTGTAGGCTTTTGACGTGTTCAGGAGAACTCTGCGGAACTTTGGTCCCGCATGTAAGATTGGGGGCTGCTCTAGTCCCCACAGAGTTGAAATACGAGATGCTAGAATAAAAAAGCCCCTAGTAATAAATTTTAACTTGACTATCCCTGCTAGGTTATTATGAATTTTCAAGCAACGTACCGATTAGGCAGCCCAGTAGATACTCCAGTGGATACTCTGAGCCTAAAAATGCTACCCTATCCCTCTTAAATACGAGCCAAGCCCCGTTTGGGTACAAGAGGTTATTCCTGAATATAGGAAGATGACAAGCCTGTGACGTCCCACCATAGGTGAACGGAGCGAAACTTTCTAGGGCTGTGAAATATGGAAGTATTGAAAAGGCGGTTTTTTTGTTTTGTTTTTTTTTTTTTTTTTCATTTTTACACGAGAAAACATCCAAGACCCTAATTTTTGGCAAGTCTGACAAGTTCATGAGATTCCTGCTCTTGGGGCCTGGGCGCCTGAGGCGGTTCGGGCTTCTCAGTCCTCCGAATGTTCTTCCAGCCCATTCCCCATGCCGAGAAAAACGTGGCGACGCCACACCCAGCTCCCAGATAGTATACGCGATCGACACTCTTTGCGTATGCAATCAACACATTATGAAGGGTAGATGGTGGAACTGCATTCCGCAGACTGGTTGCCCCTGCGGCCACAACAATGTCAGGATTCACGGAAGGAGCATATTGTGGAACCAGATTTCGGAGACTGTTAGAGAAAATAGTGTTTCCGAAGCTAACAAGTAAAGCGCCCGAAAGCTGTGGACAGAACATCAACACCCCCACGGCGACAGGGAGTTGATGAAGCTGGACGGAGTTTTGTATGGCGACCAGTGGCTGTTGATTGCGAATATTGAAGTTAGCTTCAAGTGAAAGTGAAATAGATAGAACCAAATATATGAAATAGAAATGGAAGAGGAGAAGGACTGACCATTTGAAGTGAAAGACCGTAGCCAGTACCTAGTATTATCTGGAATCCGATTCTCCTGGCTAGAGGTGTCATGGGCGAGTACGTTGAAATGAGACCTGCGCCAACTGAAATAAATACCGCTCCTATCAAGCTGAACGGTATATAGTATCCTATCCTGGTGACTGTCGAACTGGAGTTAGCAACCTCATATATTTCATTTCTTCCAGTGACAGGTCGGGATCACCTAGAATTCCACTTAGCACGGCCGCCAATAGCTGAGGTATAATATTCGGGAGTAATTGAACACCGCTTAATAGAGGAGTAGCACCTAGAACACCCTGGAAGTAAACAGGCAAGAAGTATGAAGTCGTGAAGAGTGACCCCATAGTCAAGCCGTATGTTAGGCAGCTAGACCACACGGGTCGTTGTTTCATCAATTTCAAAGGAATCAGAGACTTATCGCTCTTTTTCATGCTCCAGGCAATCCAAAGAAGGAAAGTGATGCCAGAGCCACAAAATAGCCCGATTATAGTCGGACTATTCCAGGGGAAGCGAATGCCTCCAAATTGAATCGCCAGTAGTAGCATAATGACAGATCCAGCGAAACCAGCTACCCCAATGAAATCCAACTTCTTGTGTAGAGTGCGGAGTACGGTAAGCGAAGGCTCTTTGAAAAGGGGATCTGGAATGCGGATGAAGACTACCAACAAGGCCACAATGGCGCCTATCGGCAGATTTATCCAAAAACACCATCGCCAAGTCGTGTATTCTGTCAATGCTCCTCCCACCAATGGCCCAGAGGCAAGACCTAGTTGAGATACTGTCGTCGCGCTTAGCTAATGGCGGTCATTGAATTATGTCTGCACGGCTCTGACTTACTTCCCATCATGATACCAAGTAAGGCTGGGCGTTTATGTAGAGGGACCATCCCAGCAATAATAGTGACACATCCATTTGGTATACCAGAGTTACCCATCCCGGCGATTGTCCGACCAACAATTAACATATTGGATGATGTCGCCAGAGCACAGATTAAAGACCCTACTTCAAAGACGAAGAAATAGATCAAGAGCGTCCACTTGGGTGTAAAATGGGTGTAGATTTTTCCGGACAAAGGCTGAAGCGCGGCACTGCAGAAAGATAAGTATTAGACACCAAATGGCTGCGATGGTAGACCAAACTTACTTTGATAACTGATATGCCGCTCCATACCATCCAAGGTCTGGAAGTGAATTAAACTCATTCGTGATCGCAGGAAGTGCCTGTAGTCATCTTTAGTATGCGAGATCACGATAGTTCTTGCCAAAGCCAACCTACGGTAGACACAACTGAAACATCGAGCAGCATCAAGTAGGACACGATAGTAAGGGCTACCATGATAATTATCAGCGTGGATCCTTGTAGCCATTGTGGCTTGCCACCCTCTGTCTGGTCCATATGTTGCAAAACCGTGTTGTCTTCTTGAGGTGTATGATTTGTTGGAAGACGCGAATCGTCAAAGCCCGATTGCAAGTTCTTCTCCATGGAGGTATTCTTATTCGAGTGAACGGTTGCCTCTCGCGACATTGTGAATGTACGCTGTAGGGCAAACGATACGCTGGAAATATTTGTGGGCTGCGAAGGGAATGGGACAAGACAGCTCCAAAAACTAATGATGAACATCCTACGGACCTTTTTTCATCAGCCAGACAAAGAGTTGTGGGGACAAACGCTCCTTTGGCCCCAGATCCTCATTAGCGCCTGTTCGGCCAAGTGCAGATCGCCCGCCGTTAGTGTCATGCAGTCAGAAATTAGTCCGGACGCAAATTTGGGGAGAAATGACAAGGGTCACTGCAGATCAACCGCCGTTGGTGTCATACAGTCAGAATTTGGTCTGGAGGCTATCTGGGGGGTATTTTAGATGTGCGTCCCTTTCCGAATTTTCCCGACAAAAGACCTGGCAGGGGTTACTGCTACAGGTCGCTGTGCACAGCCCTGGCGGAGTAGCCCTATTTCTTCAGGCCCACTTTAGCTGAAAATGCTGTGGGCTCAGCTCCTTAGTACCTTGGTGCTTTGGGTCAGAGACCTAGTTAAGGTGCCAGTCTGAGCTGGAAACACGACCTAAGCGGGGTGATTTATCAGAACGCCAAGATGATTTCGCAATGCATGTAGGGAGGCCTGAAGAGAAGGCAATGATATGACAAATATATGTTTTTCACTAATCAAGAACAACAGCGCGCCGTGAAGTTTGGACACCATGGTTTTATTGACTACCAAGCTAGACCTTAATGTTGCGTGTTGAAAGGTGGAAACTAAACTATCGATATGCGAAGGCTGCGGTGAGATGTTAAAGAGAATTCCAACCATATCTTAGTTAGAGCTCTTAGGACGTTGACCCCAAACGATTCGCAGGGGGAAGTAACCACCCTCATTACGAAGCTCCTCACCAAGATCGGAAATAAAGGTTTCAGATTCGGCCTCAGTCATGCATTTCAGACCGCCAGGGAAACCTGTTCATCCAATTAGTTCTTTTGATTAATATTCAATGCGGGCTCAACTAACCTTTGCAAGCCATCAAGAGCTGAGTGGCGGTGAAGCAGTATGCTTCCACGGTTTGCTCGCGAAGTGCGGGATCAGGGCAGTTTGCGCCTAACATAATCGGTGCAAGCATGGAGCCAACACGAATAAAACCCTCTTCTCGGATCCATGATTCCATAGCACCGCCTCTAAAGCTCAAGTCAGAGCCCATTCCAATAGAGAGCTCTTTGATCAAACCGCCGAGACGCTTAACCATGGGCCCATTTGGCTCATGCGAACTGTTCTCGGTCTCGACCAGCTGAATCCAACCACCTGGCTTGACGATATCCATGAGCGACAGAACACATTCCTTTGACTTGGTGCCGAGGCCAAAAAGTGTAAGACGCTGATGCACAAGGTCAAAAGATTGCAGCCAATCCTCAGGCCAAGGTCCCATGGAGCTTTGGGCTACGAGCTTGATGCCAGGCGGTGGGTGTTGCGGAAATCGCTCGCCGGTAATATCAGTTCCCAAGAGCTCACATGTTTCAGGATGAGCCAAGGATGGCCTGAAATCATCAAGCCAGTAACCTGAGGTTGAAAATCGTCATTAGCAGGTTCTATCCCAAGAATTCGTAATTGAGTAGCTTTACCATCAGAAGTACCCGCATCGAGAATTCTAAGCTTCTTCTCAAACACCTGCAAAGGTGCTAAGACCAATTTGCCCATTCCCAGTTTGATAGCTTGGTGCTGACCCGCAAGGCGTCGGTTCTCAACTGACTCATCAAAGACATACTCGTATTTCTCGTTGGAAGGCATGGTGGTGTATACTCGATATGTTTGCAAAGGGAATCGAAGATAATGACTGACGGGAGATAGACGGAAGGGCTTTATTTTGGATTGAGTGAAGCACAATGAGACCCTCATCATTTGTTGATTTTAGTTACAATGTTTCACCACCTGTAGCCAAACTCGGCCTTATTTACGCATTTACACCCCTACAACCCCTGTAGGCCTTCGGGCACGACCCGCTCACCATCGTCAGCACTAATTTAGGCTTCTCGTATTTGCTTCGGGAGCTCGTCACTGATCGTCGTCAGCCACATATACTTTAAGCCCCCACAATACTCTCGGAAGCTCCCCGTGTATGCGGCTGGTTAGCCCCATATTCTCAATTGAGTAAACGGCTCCACCTGAGTTCTGACAATTTGATCCACATCCTTTTTGGTCCCTGATCGCCACTGGCTAGTAAAGCTAATCGACGCAATAGCTGGCTAAGAATTCTAAGCTAGAAAACCCAACATACGAAGTCTGGACCGCTGTACTCCACAATGTATTGCGGCCCGATGCCACCGCAGCTTGCTGAGGGGATGGCCGTGCCGCTAGTGCCAGTTTTGTACGTTCTAATACAGCCTCCAAGCCTTTCGGCTTATATCGGGAATAACTTTAACGTTGATGGGGTTTCATCGCATCTTCTGTGCATTTTCACCGCAATCACTTTACTCAAAATTAGGTAACTCATTGAATAAACAAGCCACTCCCATCTTGAAAGACAAATTTCATATCCATAATATGGTTTCCTCGGGCTTTATCAGATGTTTACGATTGTATTGACGGTTATGGTGGTGTGAGACTAAAGTCCTCAGTAAACTATACGTACCTATGCCTACCTATTCTAGAAAAAAAGATCTAAATATATCACAGCCTCTCTATTTGCCATGTAATCTGACTTCAAAATGGAAGACCCAGTGGAGCTGCGTGATAACGCCCCTATGTTTCGCCCCACTGCTCTCTTTCACCTTCGCATCATCGACAATGCTCGCATGTCACTACCATTTTGGGAGAGAGTATTATCCACCCAGAAGTCTTACTCAGGCCTATAAATACTGTCGATGGGGAAAAGAAATATTTATTCTTACTACTTAGAACCTGATAAATCCTAAATAGGAATTACCGGTGAAAGCCTCGTTCGCGCAATCATAAATCACAAAACTAGCTCTAACTTGAAAGGGTTTAGGACTTCGTATCCAAGTTTGTGATGTTTATTCAGTAACAATACACAGTAATGACACTTGAACAACCCCGTTGTATGCAAAGAACAAGACTTGTAAATTGAGAAACAGTGTTTACAGAAATTTTTCAAAGTCCACCTAGGGCCTACTATATTAACCCCGGGACTGCACCAAACCATGACTTTGTAGCCCATTATACTCAAGTTTATTCATTTTCAGATTCCCTGAGCTCAACTCTCAGCATGTCCTTTGCCAAGGAGCCGATAGCGGTCATCGGGAGCTCCTGCCGATTTCCCGGCGGTTCTGATACCCCTTCCAAGCTCTGGGAACTTCTAAAAACCCCCACGGATTTGCTTCGCAAGGTCCCAGAGAGCAGGTTCAACATCAACGCTTTTTATCACCCCGACCCGATCCATCATGGAACAACCAACGTTCAAAGTTCCTATTTTCTGGATGAGAATCCAGGGAAGTTTGACACAAATTTCTTCGGTATTCCTCCTAAAGAGGCAGAAAGCATTGACCCCCAACAACGACTTCTGATGGAAACCGTGTACGATGCTCTATGTGCGGCCGGTTTGCCCATGGAGAGCTTACGTGGCTCTTCCACTGCAGTATATGTTGGCCTTATGTGTGATGACTGGTCCTCGATGGTGCAGTCTGAAATTGACGAGATGCCTACGTATACTGGAACAGGTGTGGCTCGTAGTATCATGTCAAACCGCCTATCATACTTCTTTGACTGGCACGGACCTTCCATGACAATTGATACTGCCTGCTCATCAAGTCTCGTTGCTGTTCACGAGGCTGTTCGTGTCCTACGCAGTGGGGAATCAAAAGTGGCGGTTGCGGCGGGTGCAAATCTTATCCTGAGTCCTGGTATGTTTTTCTTTTCTCGAATAGAGTAGTTATAAATACTCTGCGACTGAAGCTAATGGGCTCCTGTAAAAGGACAATATATCGCCGAGAGTAAGCTGCGTATGCTATCCCCCACTGGAAGATGCCATATGTGGGATTCTTCTGCGGATGGATATGCTCGTGGAGAGGGCATTGCATCAGTAGTTCTTAAACCACTGAGCCAGGCATTGCAAGATAAAGATCACATCGAATGTATCATCAGGGAAACGGGTGTGAATCAAGATGGTCGTACCTCTGGCATAACAGTGCCTAGCAGTGTTGCCCAGACCAGTTTGATTCGAGACACCTATGCACGAGCGGGACTTGACCTGAGTAAAGCCAGCGATCGTCCCCAGTTTTTCCACGCTCATGGAACGGGAACAAAGGCCGGCGATCCCAAAGAGGCAGAGGCTATTTACCAGGCCTTCTTCTCCGGAAGCCCAAACGCCGAGAAGCTGTACGTTGGCTCCATCAAAACAGTGATTGGTCACACTGAGGGCACAGCTGGACTGGCGAGCCTGATAGGAACCTCCCTCGCCTTGCAGAATGCGATCGTTCCGCCAAATATGCACTTCAACAACCTCAACCCTGACATCTCTCCGTTTTATGACTCTCTTGAGGTCCCTGTTTCCGCAACAGAGTGGCCAGCTGTCCGGCCAGGACAAGTTCGAAGAGCGAGCGTTAACAGTTTCGGTGCGTCACGGGACAAATCCTTCTTGAAGTGATCGGAATCAAAGTAGGAACTCCGAGTATAGTGGTTGCTGACATTATTCATGTTACACAGGTTTCGGTGGAACGAACGCCCATGCGATTCTCGAGGAATATATTCCAGAAACGGATAGCACTCTCAACAACCTAGTGTCAACACTGTGTACACCACTTGTATTCTCCGCAAACTCGACAGCTTCCCTCAAAGATCTCCTTACACATCACTTACATTACCTTCAAGCACACCCCAACACTAACCTTCGGGATCTGGCATTTACACTTCAACATCGCAGGTCTACACTGCCATTCAGAAAGGCTATTGTAGGCTCCACGGCGGATTCTCTTTGCCAAAGCCTCGAGAATTTGCTGGCCAGTACCGACCCTCAGCTCGATACTCGCTATTCCAATTTTCCGAAACCTCGTATCTTGGCGGTTTTTACCGGACAAGGAGCCCAGTGGCCGCGAATGGGCGCTATCTTGCTCGAATCATCCGAGTTTGTCCGAAACCGTTTTGCCAACCTGGACAGATCGCTGCAATGCCTTCCTGAATCCGAGAGACCTAAATGGACCATTCAAGACCAGCTTCTGGCTTCATCTTCATCATCTCGGGTCACTGAAGCGGCTATCTCGCAACCCCTCTGCACTGCTGTGCAGATTATTTTGGTGGATCTACTCCGAGCTGCCGACATCCGCCTTCATGTCGTTATTGGCCACTCATCCGGTATGTGACATGTTTTGATCATTCTCGGAGACCTGAATTCCAGGCACTCACTACTTTTAGGCGAAATCGCAGCAGCTTACGCTGCTGGGCTTGTATCCGCCCATGATGCCATTCGTATCGCATATTACCGTGGTTTCTATGCCAGACTGGCATCCTCTCGTAATGGATCTAAGGGCGCCATGGCTGCCGTGGGCGCATCTTTTGGAGAAGCTGAAGATTTCTGTCAACGAGAAGAAGTGAAGGGTTGTATTCAGGTTGCGGCTTATAATTCGTCATCTAGCCTTACATTGTCTGGTGACGAAGAGGCCATCGACAAGGCAGTTGAGCTCTTCAAGAGCGAGCAAAAGTTCGCTCGCCGTTTGAAAGTGGATACTGCATATCACTCGGTACACATGGAGCCCTGCGCCCAACATTATCTCCAGGCTCTTCAAAGTTGCAAGATAGAAAAAATGGAGCCCAATGAAGACCGGCCGACCTGGATATCGAGTGTGTTGAGCGGCAATTCCATGAATGCTGCTAATCTTCGAGAGGAATACTGGGTAAGAAATATGGTTCAACCGGTTTTGTTTTCCTCGGCTGTGGAGACTGCTCTTGAATACGGAGACCACTTTGATGCCGCTATAGAGATTGGCCCCCATGCCGCGCTTAAAGGGCCAGCTTTGGACACCTTGGCCGAGGCTGGCGTGCATGTTCCCTACACAGGTATTCTCTCACGCGGAAAGAATGATTTGGAGGAGTTTTCGGCTGCTCTAGGGTTTTTGTGGTCCCTTCTTGGTTCCAATATTGTGCAATTCGACAAATTTGATCAAGTCTTCAACGTGGACAATGGTCATAAATCACTCTTGAAGGACCTTCCTAGTTATCCTTTCATTCACCAAAATACCTATTGGGCAGAGTCTCGGGTTGTACGAGCCCAGAGACAACTCGCAATACAACCTCATCCGATTTTGGGTATGCCCTGCATTGGAACTACAACATCTACCGAGGCCCAGTGGAAAAATATCCTGAGGCCATCGGAGATCTCCTGGCTACAAGGGCACAAGCTTCAGGGTCAAATTGTGTTCCCAGCTACTGGGTATGTCGTGATGGCGATCGAGGCGATCAGGAAGCTTGCAGGGGACAAGCAGATTTCTCACCTCAGGATTACGGACCTGATCCTGGAGCGCGCTATCGTTTTCAGTGATGACAACACGAATATTGAAACCCTCTTCAGCCTCAAGATTCATCAGTCAGAAGACACTCTCATCTCCGCATACTTCACTTGTTTCTCGACGCCGCAGGGTGATCAATCTATGGTGGCCAATGTCAAAGGAAACGTCGAAGTCAAGTTCGGTGAATGCTCAGCTGATATACTCCCTGCCCGCTTTCACTCTAGCGATCACAATCTGGTAGATGTCGACATTGACCGTTTTTACTCTGCACTGCGAAAGATCGGATATGAGTACTCTGAGCCCTTCTGCGGCATGGCGAACATCGAGCGTAGAATGGGATTTGCTCGTGGAAAGTTGATTGATCAAGCTGATTCAGGCTGGGAGGACCAGCTTATGCTTCATCCTGGCATGCTGGACACAGCTTTGCAGACTCTATTTGCTGCTTTCAGTTATCCCGGAGATGGAAGTTTGCGGTCCCTTCACGTCCCTATTCGGATTGACTCTCTTGATTTCAATCCTTTCTACTGCCTCAACGAACCAGAAAAGCAATTGATCGTTCCTTGGGAAACTACAGTCAGGGATGATGACTCTACCTCCATCAAAGCCGACCTCCAATTATTCAGTGAGAAGGGTGAACATCCCTTCTTGCAAGTTGAAGGTATCAGTCTAAAGCCCTTTACCCCTCCAAGACCTGAGGATGACACTACGCTATTCTCAAATTTTGAATACCTGCTGGCTGGTCCTGATGGTGAGCTTGCGTCTCGCGGCGAGCGACTGGATGCAAAGAGCCTCCTATTTGCAAAAGACATGGAGCGACTATCCTTCTATTACATTCGTCGTGTATCTGAAATGAGCCAAGAAGACCGCGGTAAAGCCCTTCCTCACTATCAACATTTGATGAGCTGGGCAGATTACATTGTTGACAAGGTGGCTCGTGGAGAGCACCCTTGCGTTGAAAAGCACTGTATTTCGGACACCCACGACCAGATCCAGGACCTCACGGATAGGTATCGCGATAAAGTCGATGCACTACTTATTGAGGCTACTGGAAAGAATCTTCCCAAGGTCATTCAAGATGGCGATAGTATTCTTCAACACATGACAAAGGATGATCTCCTTGGACGCTTCTACAAAGAGGGAGTCGGCCTTGAAGCTGCAAATTGGTGGCTCGCGAACATGGCGAAGCAGATCAGTCATCGATACCCCCGGATGAAGGTTTTGGAGATAGGCAAGTTTGATCTCTGAATCGAAAATTTTTGGATGAATCTAACAAGTATGACAGGTGCTGGTACCGGTGGTTCTACCCAGGCGATTTTGCCAAGGCTAGGATCTGCCTTCTCAACCTATACATACACCGATATTTCCAGTGGATTCTTTGAAGAGGCCGAAGAAAAGTTCAAGGAGTACGCAAACCGCATGATATTCAAGACTTTCGATATGCAGCGAGCTCCAGCGGAACAAGGCTTTGAAGAAGGGACTTATGATATGGTGCTGGCGTCGAACGTACTTCACGTCGCTGACCCTCTGGAGACTATGATGACAAACGTTCGTCGGCTACTGAAACCTGGAGGATATCTTGTTAATCTTGAGACCGTCACAAACGAGATTCTTCGCAACGGAGTTATCATGGGCGGCCTTCCTGGATGGTGGATTGCAGCTAATAGTGGTCGACCTCACGGCCCAATGCTTAGTCTAGACCACTGGGATTCGCTTCTGAAGAAGTGTCAATTTGGCGGAATTGAGACATCCACTCCTATCTATGATCAACTTCACGCAGTTGCAGTCTGGGCTGCGCAGGCAGTGGACGACCGTCTGGAAACTCTCCGAAGTCCAACGACTGCTCTGACAGACTGTCACACTGCCAACTTCCCCCTTTGGTCATCATTGGAGGAGACTCAATTGCCTCTTTTGAGCTCGTGGAAGAGGTTTCAGCATCCCTTTCTTCGAAGTTCCCGTCCGTGATCTGTGTGCCTTCAGTTGACTCATTGGAAAGAACCTCAATTCCCAACGGCGCTACTGTTCTCAGTTTGTCCGAGCTGGATGTGCCTTTGATGAAAGATCCCACTGAAGGAAAGATGGATGGATTGAAGTTCATGTGGAAATATGCGAAGAATATCTTATGGGTATCTTTAGGTGCGCGGACCGCACAGCCGTACTCATACATGATGTTCGGTATTGGCCGAGTGGTTAAATTCGAGCAGCCTCATATGAACCTGCAGTTCCTGGATATCGATGTCTTGGGAGCAGATTCCGTCTCTCTTATCTCAAAAACACTCCTGAGACACCAGCTTATTGACGAATATTCACGTGGAGGCAATGTTGACGATATTCTCTGGTCTTCTGAGCCCGAAATTTTCATCGAAAGCGGACAGATGCTCATTCCTCGTTTGTACCTCAACTCAAAGCAGAATCTTCGGGCCAATTCTTCGCGACGTGCTATTTTTGAGAATGTCGATCCTGCATTGACAAATGTGAAGGTAGTCGACAACGGCTCTTCATTCCAGCTTGAAGAGTTTTCTCCATTGAGAATATCCAGACGGAACTCCAAGAAACCCCCTGCTGTGATGATACGTATTAATCAGTCTCTATTGCAATTCATCAGAATTCAATCCATCGGTTCATTCATGCTATGCATTGGAACGAAGGAAGATGACTCCGGTTCTACTGTCATCGCTCTTGCTCAAGCCTCAGAGTCGCCGATCCTAGTTGAGCCCCATTTGTTAATTGACATTCCACCTTCCTTCAAATTTGGCCAAATGGCCCTGCTTTCTGTTGCAGCCAAGCTTGTTGCTCGGGCAGTTGTTTCCATGGCCCCTGAAGCAACCACAGTTCTTGTTCACGAAGCAGACAACTTAATGAAAGCGGCAATTTCTCAGGAAACTGTCATTGCTAAAGTCCACAGCAAATTTACAACGTGCTGCCGACAAAACTGCGGAGATGGTCAAAACCTGCTTCATTGTGCTCTCCCGGCTCGACTCCTCAAGAGACAGATTCCCCGCGACACATCCGTGTTTGTTAACTTCTCATCGCCTAATGGGGCCGATGCTGAGCTGACAAAATCTATGGAATCTTGTCTTCCCTCTCATTGTGTGAAGACGGGAACAGATTCTTTCTTCACAAGTGAGCTATATAGTGTTCCTGGGTCCGATTCATCTCAGCTCGGAAAGCTGCTTCAGAATGTTTGGAAGTCTATTAAGACAAACAGCCTACCTGTCGGCTCTCCAAAGTCCATTGCTTTGAACGAGATACAGAATTACTGTCCAGCGAGGGAACCACTTCGGGCCATTGACTGGAATGTTCGAAGCGTTCAACTTCGTCTCCGGCCCGTCGATAACGAAAAGATATTCCGTTCCGATAAAACATATCTATTGATTGGTCTTGCCGGAGAGGTTGGACAATCGCTCTGCCAATGGATGGCAAGGTGTGGCGCTGGGTGCGTTGTGCTTACGAGCAGAAATCCCACCGTTGACGAAAACTTCGTCCGCTCCGTTGGACAGAGTGGCGCCAGCGTTAGGGTCATATCATTGTATGTCGTCTTCATAATCCTTACCCCTTCCCTCGGCCAGCTTCTAAAATTATAAACAGGGATATTACAAGTCGGGACTCCCTTCAAAGATGCCTTGATGAAATCAAACGTAGCATGCCCCCCTTGGAGGCATTGCACACGGAGCGCTGATTTTGGACGATGTGCCTTTCGATGAAATGTCATTAGACAGCATGAATCGGGTATTAAGGCCTAAGGTTGAAGGCTGCAAGATTCTCGATGAAGTTTTCCACGATGAACCCTTGGAATTCTTTGTTATGTTCTCCTCACTGACTGCGTGTCTTGGAAATGGTGCCCAGAGCAACTATGCGGCCGCTAATATGTTCATGACGGCCCTCGCATACCAACGACGGAAACGCGGTGCCGCTGCATCAGTGATAGATCTCAGCGCGCTCATGGGAATTGGATATGTTGGTCGGTCTGAGACCTTCGATTCTGATTATTTTGCAGCCCTCGGTGCCGCCAGCTTGTCGGAGTCGGATCTTCATCAGATTTTCGCCGAAGCCGTCAAGGTCGGTAGAGCTGACTCTGTTGAATCTCCAGAGGTCGTCACCGGTATAAGTCCTTCTTTTGCAGGCGAGCTGATCAAGGACCAATATCGCTCCGAGTTGAAGTTCTCTCACCTCATGTTCGAGCGAATTAATACCCAGGAAGGAACCCGCATGGCTTCAACTGTTTCTGTCCGAGCCCAGCTCAAGGAAGTCAAATCCTTTGACCAGGTTCCGAGCATCCTGAAAAGTCAGTATTTATTCAGCTCTCACCATATGTCTTGGCTAATCCTGAATGTATTATTGTCAGATGCCTTCATTGCGCGTGTGAAGAAACTACTCCAGATTCCGTTGGATGAGGTCGTCGATGAAACCAATGTCCTCGTCGAATTGGGTGTTGATTCTTTGATCGCAATTGATATCAGAACATGGTTCTTGAAGGAACTTGAAGTTGACCTGCCCGTTCTCAAAATTCTAGGGGGTAGTACTATCAGTGGTTTGATCAATGACAGCATCGAGAAGATCCCAAGCACAATCATTGACCTTCAGCATCTGTCTTCCAAGGCTCAGCTTGACTCAGGGCCAATTCCTGTCGTTATAGCGACCCCGCTAGAGACCCTAGAAAGGACCCAAGAAGCTAGAGGCAAAGATGCTTTGCAAGACTTCACTCCGCTATCGTCTGATGCATCGGCACCTCAAATGATTGGTACCCCGTCCAATGTCAGCACATTTGGTGATACGACAGATTTATCTTCAGTTGACAACAGCTGGCGCGAGAATCTCATTGAGTCTTCCACTGAAGCGACTGAGCATATGTCATTTGGTCAAACAAGATTCTGGTACTTGCACCACGCACTGGAGGATAAAACGACCTTCAACGTCGCTCTTTCTATCCGCCTGACTGGTCTTATCCACGCTGAGAACCTCGGAAAGGCACTTGAGCGAGTCGGCGAACGGCACGAGGCCATGCGCACCCGCTACTTCTGGTCAGGCGAGCATGAAGACATACCCACGCAGGGAATACTTTCCACCCCCCTAGTGCGACTAGAGAAGAAGCGGATCTTTCAGAGATCCGAGGCACAAAAGGTCCTAGACGAGATACGCGATTATCGCTGGGATCTTGGCGACTGGGAAGCCATGCAATTCGTTCTCGTAACGTTGTCTGACACTGAGCACTGGCTGATTGTCGGTTGTCATCATATCACCCTTGATGGCGTGAGCATCCAAATCATTTTTGCCGACCTTGAAAAGGCTTATCTTGGAGTCAATTTGTCGCCTCTCCCTGAAAAGTCGCAATACCGATACCTCGCAGTACAACAGCGCCAGGACTATGAAATGGGGCTTTTCCAGAAAAGCATCGATTTCTACAAAAAATGCATTCCCAGGGATGTTCAGCCAATCGATCTGTTTCCGTTTGCAAAGATTCAAGTGAGGAAGCTACAGAAGTCCTATCGGTAAGACAGCACTTGACTACTTCAAAGAACACCGTTCACTAACAAGTCATGCGAAAGTTCCTCTCGCGCTGATATCCGACTTCAACCCGAAGAAACCGCTCTGATCAAACAGGTTGCTCGGCAAAATCACTCAACCAATTTCCACTTGTACACGGCTGTTCTCCAAGTCTTACTGTTCCGTCTCCTCCCGGATATGGACGAGCTGTTCATTGGTATCGCCGATGCCAATCGTACTAGCCAGGAGGTCCTGGAGACCGTGGGTTTCTTTCTGAACCTGTTGCCTATTCGACTTGACAGGGCTTCTACGAATTCGAAATTTGGTAACGTAGTGAAGAATGTCAGAAATAAGGTCTATGGCTCTCTTGAGCATTCTGGTCTCCCATTTGACTTGCTTCTCAATGAGCTGGGAATTGATCGGTCGGCAAATGCGCCGCCAGTCTTCCAAGTGTTCGTTGATTACCGCCAGGGCACACAGGAACGAGCCAAGTTCGCCGATTGTAAGGCTGAGGGTGAGCAGTGGTATCACCCCCGCACTGGCTATGATGTCTCTTTCGATATCCTCGAGAACACCGCCGGTGACACTCTGCTCACATTACAATTGCAAGAATCTCTGTACAGCCAAGAGCACACGGATCTCCTGCTTAGGGCTTATGTTAATCTCCTCAAGTCGTTCACAAAAACTCCCGGGGTGGATGTGTCGGTGAAATCTCCACCAGTCTGGACAAATGAAGATGTCTCTAAGGCACTACAAGCTGGAACAGGTCAATGATTCAACCTAAACACTCTCTTGAGCTTTGCTAACTTGCACTCTAGGACCTGCAAACGCTCTTCAGTGGCCCCAGACCGTTGTTCATCGAATCGATGACATGATTCGCCTCCGTGGATCAAGTCCTGCTGTGAAAGATGGCAGCGGCAAGACTCTTACATTCGAGGAGTTTGGACGTCGCATCGATGGTATTTCGCAAAGTCTAGCAAAGGCGGGAATATCCAAAGGATCAGTCGTGGGTGTACTTCAAGAGCCCAGCACAGATTGGATCTGCTCAATGCTTGCTGTATTCCGAGTTGATGCTACTTACCTTCCTCTTGACCTTCGCAACTCAATCCATCGAATTCAAAGCGCAGTGAAGGCCGCGAAACCCAACGTGTTCATCATTGACGAGATGACGAAAGCAACTATTGAGGCTGTCAACGCTACCGATGCCACTGTTATTGACATTTCCCAAGTTGCGACCAGACCCGAAGGAGCCGATCGGACACCAAACTTGGCTTCAGCTGACTCGGTCGCTGTCATTTTGTTTACCAGCGGAACCACCTCAGAGCCTAAGGGCATCTTGATCAAGCACTCTAATCTGGTGGCCCAAAATGAAGGCTTCACACAGCAGCTCGATATTGAAAATGGCGCTGTATCGATGGTTCTGCAGCAAAGTGCTTTTAGCTTCGACTTCTCACTGGAACAAACATTCGTGGCACTTTGCAACGGAGGGTGTCTTTTGGTGGTCCCTTCCTCTGTTCGAGGTGACCCTGAAGAACTAACAAAGCTGATGAAAGAGCAAAGGGTCTCTTACGTATCTGGCACGCCATCCGAGTACGAAATGTGGTTCCGCTTTGCAGAGGAAAATCTGCAGAGCTGCTCTAACTGGAAATATGCCTTTTTCGGTGGTGAGCGTTTCTCCGACCGTTTCGTCCAGTACTTCCGAAAGCTTGCGCTACCTTCGCTGCGGATATTCAACAACTACGGCCCTGGTGAAACGACAATCGCGTGTACCTCGCGTGGAGAGATCGCCTACCGTGAAATTAATCTGACATACCCGCTGCCCGTTGGATTTGCTGCACCAAACTACGCGCTCTATATCGTTGATGAGCAGCTCAAGCCATTGCCCATCGGCGTGCCAGGAGAAGTTGTTGTCGGTGGTGCTGGTGTCTCAGCTGGATACCTTGGCCTGGATTCTGTTACGCGGCAAAAGTTCATTCCATCGTCTTTTGCTGAGGTCAGTGGAAACTTCCTTGCCAACAAATGGCAGACTGTTTACCGCACGGGAGATCGTGGTTTCCTGCGAGATGACGGAGCCTTATTCCTCACGGGTCGTATGGATGGCGATACTCAAGTCAAGCTCCGAGGTTTCAGAATTGAACTTGCGGAAATTGAAGCAGCTCTGATCAAGGCTTCCGAAGGAACCTTGACACATGCTGTAGTGACGCTGAGAGAGGAGAGTGAAGAAAATTTCATTGCTGCACACGTGGTTTTCTCGTACAACCACCAGCAAATTGACAAACAGGAGTTCCTCAATCAGCTTCAGGCAACACTTCCTGTTCCTGATTATATGCGCCCTGCGGTGCTCATTCCCTTGGAGGAGATTCCGTTAACCGCACACTCCAAGGTTAACCGCTCCGCAATCCAAGCTTTGCCATTGGACTCAACATGCATCGTGGCCCACAAATCCCTTGATCGAGAGTTGACTGAGCGGGAACTGAAAATCGAAGGCCTTTGGAGGAATGTTCTGCCTGTAGCTGATACGCGAGCAATTACTCCTACTACCAACTTTTTCCACGTCGGAGGAAGCTCATTGCTACTGGTTAAGCTACAAAGGTTGATCAAGAATCAATTCAAAGCCGCACCAAAGTTGAATGAGCTTATGAATGCTGGCCGGCTGGTTGATATGGCGTCTTTGATTGAAGCAAACTTGTCGTCTTGTATTGACTGGGATGCAGAGATATCTGTTCCAGAAGCATGGGCAACCGAGTTCTCGAGAATTGAAGAACCCAAGCCCCAATCCGTCCAGGAAGGAATCCGTGTTCTTTTGACTGGTGCAACAGGGTATCTTGGAAGACATCTGCTGCCATCGCTCATAAAGGCAAACAAAGTGTCGAGGATCTTCTGTCTTGTGCGTCTCGGGACTGATATGGACGCAGTAGCAGCATCATCTGAGAAGATCTCCATTTTCGCCGGAGACCTCGCAGAAAAAGACTTGGGACTGAGTAGATCAGAATTCGACTACCTCGCTTCCGAAACAGATGTTATTTTGCACTTTGCTGCAAATAGGTCATTCTGGGATGACTATGAAGTCTTGCGAAGTGTCAATTTTCTTTCTGTGAAAGAAATGGCAAGACTGGCTCTCCGTCGTCGCATTCCCATCCACTTCCTTTCGTCCGGTGCGATTCTGATCTATGAAGATCAAGCCGTGCGGAGTCTATATGAGAAAGATGCTAGCAATAGCGAGCCTCTGCCTCTGATGCCTCCTGATGATGGCAGCGACGGCTATGTTGCATCGAAATGGGCAGCCGACCGCTTCTTGAGAAAGGTCGCAGAGCAGTTCCAGCTTCCTGTCACTCTGCACCGACCAGTACCCGTGCCTGGATTTAGACCTGACCCAAGCCTTGCCGTACCCGAACCCGATGAAATGGTCAACCAGCTCGTGGAGGTGGTCAAGACTTTGAATATTCGACCGGCAATGAATGAACTTGATGGCTGGGCGGACATCATTCCAATGCATTTCGCCGTTGAGCACATTTGCGATACCGTTTTTGCTCAGCATGATAGGAGTTCTGCACTAAACATAGTGGACCATCCTGCTGAGAGACGAATCAATTGGCAGCGATTCATCGAGGCACTCACGACCGACCAGCAGCTAAATGAGCTTCCTTCTATGCCAACGTTGTTATGGATTGGGGAGGCCAAGCGATCAGGCTTCAGTTATTTCATGCCGTCTCATCGTCTTATCGTGGTGAGCGACAAAGGTGACATGGTGTCTCGGCGTTGAGGACTATGCTCGATTATGCTCACTTTTTTTGTAAATACATTTTGATTCTCTCTTTCCTACGCCTAGGTTTCCAGCTTATAATCTTTTGTATCAAAGAAGCGATTTCAAGTGTGATGGGCCAAACCGCCATAAAAATAAAAATAAAATAAAGGTACAGCTTCATCTCCATATTGTCAACACCCACCCTCTCCGCACAGTCATTCACAGGCCTAATTCAAAGAAATCAACATGAAGGGAATAGTTTTATTTGGTTTGCCTCACGTGATATATACACCGACATTGCCGAGCAGCTGCAACCCGCATTCGTGGGATGGATAGAAAAGCTAGCGGTTCCCGAGACATTGGCAGCGTCGGTAGTGAACTCGGATGGTATCATGCTTAGCCGGAACCTGAGTCCTTATCCATTTGGTGCTGGATATATAACGACCATGGCAATCCAGCTTGAGCAATGAGTGCCCCCCCTCACGAGACTACCCTGAGGGATGAGTTACGACTTCGTGCCCAGCACTCTATACGGGTTATCCAGATGGCAAAGATCGCTCAAGTAGCGATGTCGAAACTTCAATCTCTATACTGTCTGACTACCGGAGCGTGTGGATTTTCTCAGGTAATTGATACTCCCTCAGGTTGCTCCAAATCCGGGGTCAAGCCCCTTTCCCCGCAAATGGAAGGCTGGGCCACCCGGGGTTGGTGAGAGGACACGGTCCCTGAACACGGTTCTAAGCCGGATAGGAAAAGGATAGGAAAAGTTACTTTACCTGAATTGGCTGTCACTGGCTGCTTCTTTTGGTTACCCCCACGCCCATCGAGCGATAGGAGCGTTGCAGCGGTCCGCACGCTACTGTGAAGTTATCTTATCGTGGCCGGCCTGCTATCGTGACGATCGGAGTATATGAGGGGTAGAGAGGTTCAAAGCAACTAAGAAGGTCTTTCGCTGTCAAGGGAAATTCTTCATCTATTCATCATGGCACGGGCGGCGACAGAAACCGCCGATGGCATTGAAAACACATTACAAACTGCCTCCGAAGTTGACCACTATGATCCTGAAAAAGGAAAGAATCTCAAGGATTCCGATGGAGCGGGGGCTCCTGAACTCGCAGAGGTGCAGGAGTTGCGGTAAGGCTCAGTTCGTTTGATTGTTTGAGATTGATTGTCGCTAACGTGCTATGAATTCAGACAGGGTCTTCAGCAACGTCACATCCAAATGATCGCACTGGCAGGCACAATCGGAACAGGTCTATTTCTGGGCTCAGGTCGAGCTCTGGCCGATGCCGGCCCAGCGGGCATTTTCATGGGATATACGATCATGGGTGTACTGATCACGGGCGTCACACTATCCATCGGAGAGCTGAGTGCACTTGTTCCTCTCAGTGGAGGTGTCATTCGACCCGCTGCCTATTTCGTGGACCCGGCATTCTCCTTTGCGCAAGGATGGAATGTCACTTATCAGTACCTCATCTCCATTCCTGCAGAGATATCTGCAGCCTCGGTGATCATACAATTTTGGGTGACGTTGAATAACGCGATCTGGGTCACCGTCTTCAGCGCGATTCTTTTCGCAACAAACCTCTTTTTGGTTCGCGTATATGGAGAAATCGAGTTCACTCTTGCCATCTTGAAAGTTTGTCTCATTGTCGGCATGAATATCATGGTAATGACCTCACCCACCCTGGACTTTTAGCTTTTTCTGCGGTTTGCTCATGCTTGATAGGGGCTTGTTATCACCTGCGGTGGTGGCCCTAATCATGAATCGATTGGTTTCCGATACTGGAACGATCCTGGGCCGTTCGTACAATACCTTGATGTTCCCGGCTCATTGGGCCAATTCATGGGATTTTGGACCGTGTTTATCAATGCGGCGTATGCTTACTCTTCGGTGGAGACCATTTCAATGGCAGCAGCGGAGACATATGCCCCGAGGCGGAATATCCCAAAGGCTGCAAAGCGGGTGTTCGTCCGAGTTCTGCTCTTCTACGGTGTGTCTCATTCCGGTCCTATTGATGGCAAGATCTGATCATGTATAAGTAATTTCCGTCTTCATGATCACCCTGTTGGTTCCATCAGATGACCCTATGCTATTGAGAAGCACTGGCACCGCTGCCCAGTCTCCATTCCTCATCGCCGCCCAGCGCGCGGGTGTCAAGGTAGTGCCTCATATTATCAATGCAATTGTGCTCAGCAGTGCCTGGAGCTCAGGCAATTCAAGTTCGTTCCCACTCACACATCTTTGACACTCAAATTAATAGATGACTAGCACTCCTCAGCGGATCCAGAATCCTCTACGGTCTAGCCCGCGAAGGCCAAGCCCCGAAGTTCCTCGCACGGACTAACCGTTGGGGGGTCCCGTACATGGGCGTTCTTGCAATTGGCGTATGGATGGCACTTGGCTACATGTCACTTAGCTCGACCGCGGAGGCCGTTTTCACCTGGTTGCAAGACCTCGTTGCCTGTGCACAGATTATGAGCTGGCTTGTGATTTGCACCACCTACCTGCGCTTCTACTATGCTCTGAAGAAGCAGGGTATCTCACGGAGTAGATTACCGTGGGCTGCACCGCTTCAGCCGTACGCTGCTTGGATGACTCTGATTTCGCTCACTATTATTTTGCTGACTGGTGGCTATACCACCTTTATTCATGGCCAGTAAGTTCTTTCGCGATTTTTGCCAGACGTTGATCTTGCTCACTCTCATGTCATAGCTGGTCTACCGAAACGTTCATTTCATCCTACCTCGACATAGTCATTTTTGCTGGCCTCTACTTCGGATACAAGCTATGGTTCCGAACTAAGATAGTGTCTTTAGAGGAGTCGCCTGTCGCCCGGTTCGTGCAGATTGCGGAGAATGACCCCGACCCACCGGAGGAGCCCAAGTCCAAATGGGCCAAACTCAATATTCTGTGGGCTTGAAGATATGATGAATTGATATGATTTCTCTCTCTCGATTGTAAACTGCGACTGCCTCTTTTTGTATTCGCACTATGCCAGTTGTGTTGTATTCCTTATGACGGGACTTGTCCGAGGTATTGAACGAAGCGGCATTCCATGGCATAGTGACGCTTGGCAGTATAGAGAAACATCTAGAATTCAACCAGACTAAACACTCACACGCATAGGCTAAAGTACCTATGAAATTACCCCTGCTTATGCTGAAATGCCTCGCACCGCGCGTCCCAATGTCGGCATTTCCGTGCGGGGCTTGCCTAGCTGGCTGAGCTTGACCCCACCCGACCTTGGCCATCTTGAGACCACTCGGCATTACCCCGGCACTGTGAAACCAGCCATAAATGACTTGCCGATATGATGTGGCCAGACAGCATTCTACCAAGCACTACATACGTCATCATGCAAGAATCGGATCGTCAAGACGATCCAGTCCCCGTCTCGCGACGATGAGTGGATGAAGCTGTCAACGCTAAGCTTTAGCGGTGGCTAGCTGCAGCATCAGCTACACCATTTTTTCAGGTTAAATGTTCCAACTTGGCACCAGATAAGCACGTGTGCTATCGCAGCAATCTCTTTTGCGAATGGCTAGACAAGCAATACCTACTGTTGCTGCTAAGGCTAGACCCGTCCAATATGACGACAGGGCAAGATCCAACGCATAAAAGCCGACTTGGAAGCTCCCGCCCTTTTCATTCCTCAATCGCACTCGCTACTGCATTTCAAGAATACCCAAGACTTCATCCTTATCTTCACCATCGCCAACATGACCATCTCCCATTATGGCGTCTGGGCCTGCACCCCCACCCGCTACACTGCCCAGACCGAGAAGCAAGACTCCAAGTCCCCTCACATCTACCTCTACTTCACCGATGGCTCATCCTCCAGCAAGAATCTTGAGGCCGCCATCAATGTCAAGTCGACTGATAAGGACACCCGTCTGGTCTTCTGGTTGAACCGCAACTTCACCCACCCCATCACCCAGACCCTATCCGGCCTCGACCAAGGCTTCCACCTTGCCCAGCAGAGTGGCTCAACCGACAACAAGAGCACTCACCACAGCCACCGTCACTCCCGCCGCGAAACCTCTACCCTTCAAGGCCTTGACTTCATTCGCACCCAGGACCTGGTGGATATCAAGTCCGGCAAGGTGCTTCCCCACGATATCCCCGGTCCCAACAATGATATCCTGGACGATCTGGATCCCATCATCACCGATGCGATCAACAAGAAGGCGACTGCTTATATCTGGGGATCGTCGTATGGATCGGGAATCCACGATGTTCACATGAACCAGGGTAGTCTCCCCAGCTACTCCAATGGCATCTACGAGGATGGTGCGCTGTTGTTTGAATTTGATGATGGACACTGGGAGGCTGTATTCTTGGCATTTGCCTCGCAGAAGATTCCCACCGATGATCAGGGGGAGTACGAGTCTAACAGTCAGTCTCTTGCTGATATCCTGGGTCAATAAATACCTAGTGTAGTGGTGGAACGCGTGACATGATAGAATGTAGTTGTGGCCTGAGGTTTGTTATGAACACCTTGGGCGTATGCAATATTTTCTACCTGAAGAAAGAGAAAGAACAGGCGTCTACCAATTTCATTCCAGTTCTCACCACATTCCTTGATTCATGTTACAGCATTAAGGGTAGTACGCAGCGCCTCGTTCAGAGGAACCTTCGCCCACCTCTTGCAGAGCCTGGGAGTGGCTGTGTGTGTTCTTGTAGTTGGTGTTGCCGAGTCTGCAGAGCCAGATTGCCATCGAGCCATTACCATTGCACTAGATAGTACGGGTGAATTGTTGAAATTGACGTGGATTGGGTAAATTTAGTTCAGCATAAAGACTACAATTGAAAATTAAAATTTCCAACTCATTGGGTTTTATTCCTTTTTTCTACAGCTCTCCAGAACTGAGGGGACATTGTCGAAATGACAATACACTTGGCTATATCAACACATTGGTTACTCTCTGTGTCACAACCTTGCAAGATCTTTAGCAAGCATGCATTGTAAACTCAGATTCAAACAAGGCACACTATATAATATTCAGCAATCGGAACATCAAAGAAGTAAAACATACTAGTTGATCTCCGCTATGATCGCGCGGGGTGCGGGGAGATCACGTGGCTATCGTCGGTTACCGTCGGGGCAACAATTCCCTTGATAAACGCCATGCTGCGTTCTATTTCCTTGGAATATCTCCCGAATTCATTTCTGAGATCTTCAACTATCTCCCTAGGTGATCCAATATGAATCTTCTTCGCAGTGGGGGCAGCATTCCCCGCATTCTACGACCCTCTCGTCCCCAGAGTCTTCTCCGCATTCGATGCCCCATACCGCCCATCGCGAGCCGGGGATTCCATGCCGGTTCGGCATTGTTGGGGGTTCGGTCTCAGATTCTCAAGGATGTTGGTGAAGGTGAATTTAATAATCCGGATAGCCTTTCGCTTTCGGGGCTTCTCAAGATCAATTGTTAATAAAGCCAGGTATCACCGAGGTCCAGATCATTCAGTGGTATGTGGAGGAGGGGGCGCATATTGAGGAATGGAAGCCTCTGTTCCAGTATCAGTCTGACAAAGCTGTTGACGATGTCAGTATCCGGCCTGTTCTATTTCATGTTTGGGCGAAGACGCTGACACTTCCAGATCACATCACGATACGAAGGCGTGATCAAGAAGCTTCACTTTGAAGCAGATGACACGGTACCTACAGGAAGCGTATGCAAAAGTGCCCCCTGGTTTTACGTCTCAGTCTTCTAACTGACAGTCACCGATAGGCTCTCGTTGAGATTGAAGTCGATGATGCGAAATACCCAGACGAGAATCCACAACCTGTGCCCGCCGCGAACCCAGAGCCACTCGAGAATGCCTCTGCCCCGGAAGTAGCGGCAGTAGCTGAAGCGATTGAATCATCTCAGGTCGAGACACCCGCCGTGCAGAAATCCGAAGTGCCCGAAGAAGCACCCAAGTCAAAGCATGCGTCCCTTGCAACCCCAGCTGTGCGAGGGCTCCTCAAAACCCACGGCGTCGACATTCTCCACATTAATGGAACCGGCAAAGAAGGCCGAGTCATGAAAGAAGACGTTCTCAAATTCGTCGTCACTCGAGACTCCCCTAGTAGTACACCCTCCATACCATCCGTGCCAACCGCCACAGAAACACGCCAAACCGAAACAACCACAAACTTGACCCCAATCCAATCATCCATGTTCAAAACCATGACCAAATCCCTAACCATCCCCCACTTCCTCTATGCCGACGAACTCAAGATCAATGACATAACCAGCATCCGCAAGAAACTCCTCGCGGACCGCGACGCAAAGAAGATCACATTCCTCCCCTTCGTCGTCAAAGCGGTCTCTCTCGCCCTAGCCGACTTCCCTCTTCTAAACGCCCGAGTCGACACCACCGATCCTTCTAAACCAAAACTAATTATGCGCTCCAAACACAACATCGGCATCGCAATGGACACACCCAACGGCCTGCTCGTCCCAAACATTAAAGACGTAGCATCCCGCTCAATCCTCGACATCGCCTCTGAAATCTCCCGTCTCAGCAGCCTCGGCAAAGAAGGAAAGCTTTCATCCGCCGATATGAGCGGTGGAACGGTTACGGTTTCGAATATCGGGAATATTGGCGGGACTTATGTTGCGCCGGTTCTTGTGCCTACTGAGGTCGCTATTCTTGGGATTGGGAGGACGAGGGATGTACCGGTGTTTGATGAGGCGGGTCAGGTTGTGCGTGGGGAGATGGTGAACTTTAGTTGGAGTGCAGACCATCGGGTTGTGGATGGAGCTACAATGGCGAGGATGGGCAACCGCGTTAGGGAATTGATTGAGGCGCCGGAGCTTATGTTGCTTAATTTGCGATAGAGATACATGGGATCCAATTAGCATAGAATAAGCATTTTTGATGAATTTCTCTGATCTGGTAGATTGCCTCGGGGTATAAAGTCAAGATGTGGACCGTAGATCAGAGGCATTGATGACTTGCAATACTATGCTGAGACATGTCGTTCTACATGGTGTACATGGTGTACGGTAAAACAAGGGAAGGGTAGATGTTGAATTGATCCAAATGCATCAATGGATTCGGTCTATCGGTATTGTAGACCACTGCCATGCTTCCCCGATTGATTGGGGGGTATCAAAGGACGGACCTCGGCGGACCGTACAGTCACGCCATGGACAAATGCTGGAAACAAAAAAGACGCCAATAAGATATATACAGGCCCGGACTCAAAGGATCACCACAGGCAAATTCCGCAAATGTGCATAAAACTCCAAAGGCACCAATTCAGAGGTAAATCCTCTCATGCAATAACAAGCTTGAAGTAATCAAGAGCCAAAAGCCCCGTCATTGATTCTCTTCGAGCTTCTTGTGAACAGCATCGAAAACCCGCTGCTGCACCTGATCCTGCGATCCCTCAACATTGATCGTAATAGCGTCCCACTCTCCCTTGGGTTCCTCGAGTGCCTGCAACTGAGACCGAACCATATCACTCTTCATATAGTGAGCCTGGCGCTGGCTGACACGCTGCATGAGGACTTCCTCGGTGAGCTTGAGGTAAATAAAGTGGATCTGGACGGAAGGCGAGCCGTAGGCTGCCACGCGCATGACGTCGCGGTATTTCTGCTTCAGTGCGGAGCACGCGACCACGACGCCGGCGGGACGGTGGAAGTTGTTTGATTCGGACGGGGAGAGAGCGTCGATGGCGGCTTTGCGGAGGGAGATGAGCCAGTCCCAGCGGTCTTCGTCGGTGAGAGGGATACCGTTGCCCATTTTATCTTTGTTGGATTTGTTGTGGTACTGTTTAAAATCCGAGGTTAGTCTACTTTATTGAGTTCGGGGTGTATTGTTGTGTGGGAGAAAAGAAACGTACATCATCACCTTCTAGGAATGAAACTCCTAGTTCGTTAGAGAGGCCATTGCCTACTGTGCTCTTTCCGCATCCCGCAGGGCCGGTGACGATCCAGATGTGCTGGACGGTGCTCTGGTCTGTGGGTTTGGAAAGCATTGCGGAAGGTGAGGATTTGGAGTTGGGCTCGAGATCGGGCATGATGTGCGGCAGCTTGGAGGAGGCTACGGCAGGCGTGACCGAAGGCTGATGCCGTTCTCCAGCGGAGAGCATGATGAGATGGGAAGAATTGGGGAGTTTGGGTTTATCAAGGAGTCTCCGTTTCGGACCTGCGGCGTGGTTCCAGGGAAATGGGCCGGGGTTGAGTGGATGACGCGACGATACACGGGATGGCAGGTGAATTCTTTTGGGGTCTATATGGCTTGAAGGTCGCGTAGGGAATCGTTCAAATAATAGTTAAGGTAAGAGCGAAGAAGAAAAAAAAGAGTCGCGCGACAGTGGAAGCGAACAGGCTACTTTTTAAGTATGACGGTGGGTCAAACGGGGGAAATTGAAGAAACCAGAAGCCGAGTGGGGGGTCAGTGGCCACGCACGGTAGTCATTGGTGTAGGGACTCGTTTTCATTACCCGAGTGGAGGTGGGAGTGGGATGAGTCTCCAGGCTCTCGGTAGATCGATCGACGCCTCCCCGGGTTCACGCTGCCGTGTCACCGCGTTTTCGCTTTTGGCGATGTATCAGGGGTGAAGCAAATGTTCGGCCATATCCAGATCATCCGGAAAGAGAAACGTGAAACCCCTCATGGTATCAATAGCCCGAATATGACGTTCATGATGTCATTCAGGGCGGTAAACAACCCCCACGCTAGTGGGACACCGCAGTTTTGGGTCGATTCCTTACACTGCCACTGTCATATGGCGTATAGCATCTGTAGATGTTGACACCTGGGTGGAAAGGTCATCGCAACACATTCACCGTGCTGACATTCCTGTCTGCAGTAGGACAAACCGGATGCGTGGCCTCGCATGAAGGAATGTGATACACAGGGTGTGGTGGGACGGGCCCAGTAATGAGATCACCTGAACGTAGGCACTGGGGGTCCAGGGATCGCCGTACTTGAAATCACACCGATTCGGCTTCGGGCCCGGCAAGTCCTGCGCTTGAGAGATTTCCCGCCTCGTGCCGTCTCTCCAAGGTGACATCGTCTGGAATCCGGGGAAGCCGTCCCGGAAAGATCAATCCTTGCATAAGGTATTATGTCAGTTCATAGGTTGAAGATGTGGTCTCGGGAAGTAGAATCCGGCTCCCGGTCTCATCTTGCTCCTTGTTCCGTGGAACAGCAGTATATTCGTGTAAGAGGGACGCCTAACGGAGGCTGCTAACGGGGTGGTTGTTCCGTCAGGCTCGCCGTATTGCCCACTTGCCGATTCAACGTGGGCAGAGGTCATAAAGTACCGCCGACCACAAAGCCGTATAGATGATTCGATGGAATCGGGCAATTCATTGTTCGTCAATTGAGCAAATAGTCATTGGAAAGCTCAACGGAAGGAATGGAAATACGTAGTAAACAACAATGAAGCACGAGGCACAAAGAGCTGTCTGCGGGGAGAATGACTAAGCAATGAAGCCACCTTCTGGATCAAGCTCAGCCATCCCCGAAGCACCTCAGCGCTGCACACGATGGCGTCCCTCTTCTTCTCCACCCCTGTCGATATCGACATCGTCCTCGATGATCTCGATGACCGCCAGACTGTCGATGTCAAGCTCGACAAGAACCGCCGCGAGCGGGTACCCCTGTTCATGGACGGTGAGTCCGTCAAGGGCGCCGTGACGATCAGACCGAAAGACGGCAAGCGATTGGAGCACACGGGAATCAAAGTGCAGTTCATTGGATCCATTGGTACGTGTATCGTCTCCCCGGTAGCTCGGTTCAAAACTAACGCAGCTCGGCTGTCCAGAGATGTTCTACGACCGAGGCAACCACTACGAATTCCTATCACTGGTCCAAGAACTGGCAGCCCCCGGCGAATTGCTACACCCGCAGACTTTCCCCTTCAACTTCAAGAATGTCGAGAAACAATACGAATCCTACAATGGTATCAATGTCAAGCTGCGGTACTTCGTCCAAGTGACCGTCTCACGGCGCATGGCCGACGTCATCCGTGAGAAGGACCTCTGGGTATATTCCTACCGCATGCCCCCGGAGACCAACAGCCCCATCAAGATGGATGTCGGAATCGAAGACTGCCTGCATATCGAATTTGAATATTCCAAATCCAAATACCATCTCAAAGACGTGATTGTCGGTCGGATCTACTTCCTGCTGGTGCGGCTGAAGATCAAGCATATGGAGTTATCCATCATTCGACGAGAGACAACCGGGTCTCCACCCAATCAATATAATGAGAGTGAGACGTTGGTGCGCTTCGAGGTATGTGTCGAGCCCTCCAGCTCCGCGATAAGCGATTCACGGTGCAATTCTTCGTGTGGGCAACCATTAATCATATTCTAGATCATGGATGGATCACCTTCTCGAGGTGAAACCATTCCTATCCGTTTGTTCCTTGGTGGATTCGATCTGACGCCCACGTTCCGAGACGTCAACAAGAAGTATTCGACACGATACTACCTCAGCCTGGTGCTGATCGATGAAGGTACGTTTGCTTGGACATTCCATACTGCACTCTGTCACCCCTGGGGAATAAGCTGCATGCACAGTGAGGGGGAAAGGCGATGGGTATATGATACCAATAACCGACGGCAAATGACACCAATCTCGGCTCGGCGGGGGAATCCCACCCCGTTTCTCGGTTTCCGAACATACCGTCTTGGACCCCCCACACTAAACCCCTCTTGGCACCTTGCATCCTCCACTTTTCGCTGCATACAACACTTGTACTTGTTTACACGATCCACTAACCATTTTTTTTCTTTCATCAGATGCTCGCCGCTACTTCAAGCAATCTGAAATCGCCCTCTATCGACAAGCCCCCGAGATTGCCGCGACGCCACAGATCGCCCAGCAGCAGCAAATTCAACAGCAGGTCCTGATGCAGCAACAGCAGCAGGCCCTACCGCCAGGATCTGCCACCGCTGGTCCAGGACGTGAACAGCCGAGATTGCAGCCAGTCTCGGCGCCCGTGGCATAGTTTCCCAGCACTGATCATATCGCAACTGTACCTTGGGCAGATAGATCTGTTCTTCTATCCTTCTTCTATACCCACCCCGTTGTCACCCCCCTCCTTCCCCTATCTACCCGTGTGTCCAGCAAATACATTCCTCGTCACCTCCATGTCACGATATCACTCTGTAAAGGTAGTCTACTTCTCGCTTACAATATGAGGATCAACTTGGTCAAGCACTGTGTTTGGAAATTCTGTCTCGTGACACCTGCCCAGAGAAAATGGAAGGGATAAGATGAGATACATAGAAAATACATTGATTTAGCATCCAGTAGCTACAGAATCCACTACTCGAATCGGCCAGTCTGTTGCAACACCTTGCTCAATGCCTGGAGTACCTGTCCATCGTCACGCTCTTTACCCGCAACCTGAACGGCTTGGACAATGAGCGGATACAACCACTCGAGATGCTTTCGGTGGTGACGCGGGGACTCGTCATCATCGGTCGTTGCCGCAACAGTCTTGATAGAGGGGGCGTCTGGGATGGCAGAAGGATCGCTTTGAAGCTGGACCATCTGAAGCAGAAGATGTAACAAGGCTTTCCGTGATAGACTCGGCTGGGGCATGAGACCCCGGAGAGGCTGGTCGGCGATGTAGCCCTTGAGCGAGACAGCGCAGCGGAGCAGGAGGTATGGAGAGATAGACCTGGCGAGCAGAGTCTGCGGAGATGGGGTGGACTTGGACTCAAAGTCGGGATTACCTGCAAGCTCGAAGAGGGTGTCCATGAGTGCGTAGGCCATTTTGGGGCGCAGTGTCGGGGGCGGGTCGAAGGTGCGACCTGCGCGAACGCGGTAGAAATGTTCGAGAGGGGAATCCTCGATCGGAGCGGAGGGAAGATCGAAGCGCTGGGGAGCGTAGATGAATGAGGAGTGGAAGAGGGCGCAGGCGAAGTCACGGCGAATTGGGTCGGGGATATTGGAGGCACCGAGGGATGGGAGAATAATCATCTTTAGCCGGGTGAACGCTGTGAGGTCGAATGCTTCATCGGATAGGATTCGGACATTTGGTAGGTGTTGCGTCTGGAATCCACGGGCTGAAACGATGCCGTCGGTGATGTCCACGACACCTTGCCAGAAGCGTGCAATTATTGCTTCCTTGGCTCTGGGGTACTGCTTCTCCACGTAGGGTACTGCGACTTGGAGAACGTTCAGAGACGCAGTTGTGGCTTTTTGCCAGAGATAAGGTTCGCGATCCTTGCCTTCCCACATGTACTTGTGCTTGATTGATGCGTGGAGATGCTCGAGTGCAGTGGCGAGTGCTTGATTCGAAAAAATATCTTGCTTGATACCGAAGTCCGCGATGTACCAGCTTACGAGATCTATGGCGCCCTTGGAGAATGCAACGAAGGTTGGTTTCCTCGAGTCGTTGCTGGGACTCCACTTTGACAGGGCGGAATCTGACAGTTCTGCGAGACACAAGAGAATAGCAGCCTGTGATGCCTCCTTCTCTAGGCAAATAGTCCTGATGCAATCAATGACCAGCCCCTGGACAGCGGAAGAGCGGTCGATATCCGGGGAATAAGGTGGGTATACCGAGTTCCACACAAGCAAACGCAGGTGCTGGAGTACCTTTTCGACATGATCCGTGGTCAAATCATCTTTGTAGAGACGATATATCTGCTGGAAAGACTGCATGTATGCCAACGCGGCGTCTTGGTTGGGCCGATCGAGATCGAGCACGGCTTCGTCTCCAGCGGGGTGGCCATTTGCCCACAGATCCCATGCACATTGGAGCGCTTTCTTGCTGAGCCCGTTTGGGGATTCCACTCTAACAAGAATGGCACAGAGGCTAACGAAAATTGCCTCGCTGAACCTTAGAAGTTGCATGTCTGCCAATGCCTGCAAGTAATTTAACAGCCGAGTCCAGGACTCATCGAACTTTTCATCGCTCACGATGGTATCGAAGAAGTTTGTGATGAGATTTGAGATCCCGTTGATCATCACGACAGTCGTTTCCACCCGTGATTTGAGGCTATCTTCCGATCCACTTAGCTTGTTCTTCGACTTGAGGAGATTGTTTTGAACAGCTTCCACCATTTGGAACAAGACTCTGTTCAGACACAACCTCCATGCTTTTGGTGACAGGTGTTGCCCATAAGCGTCGAAAATCCTGAGAAGAGTATGGATCGCGCTGTTTCGAATCTCTGGCCTTGAGTCTGTCGCAATGTCGACGATACGGAGCAGCAACAGCAGCCAAAGCGAATTCTTTGAGACAGAGGGATCATTGTCGCGAGCAAGGTTCGCCAATTCTTCGTCGCTGACAGCGGCATCAACATGACTCTCAATTGAGAATTCCTCGATTTGTCCGTGAAGAAAGTCGGAGACGTTCCAGAAAAATGATGTTGTGGTCAATGAGATATTGAAGTCCTGGGTTTGCGAGGCAAAGCTGGAGAATGCATTGACCAGGCTCAAAAGACAGGGAGCGGGCAACAAGGTGAGGAAGTCTGAAGCCACAAGATGAAGAGACTTGTATGCTGCGCGAACTAAACGAGGACCGGCTGGAAGGGCTGATGACCTCCGCTCAGCCGGGGTGGTTGGAAGAAGATCCCCACTTTCAGCCTGTGGGATCCCTTGGAAGACTCCCGAAATCAAGTCAAAAGTAAGACTCCATCCGTCTGCGAAAGTTTCAGCGTATTGCTCGAGGATATTCTGAAGAATCTCCAGGCTCTGCTCGTGGATTTCAACAACAGTGATTGGAAGCGACTTGGCAGAGGACGAATCAGACGGGTAAAGTGATGCTACTTGGCTCTTGAGTGTTTCAAGATTCCTCGTATGGACCTGGTTCAGGACCGTCTCATCGACATTTTGTGGGTTCATTGTCAAGAAGACCAATGAGTTGAGGATTCCGCTAGATTGCAGGCGAAGGTTTGGACTGATTCCAGTGTTGGCGGAAGCAGAGATAAGGCTTTTTGTGAGGATTTGCCATGATTTGTTGTCCTCCTCGTCAAGTGACGATAGCCTCTGAAGGTTCGCACGGGCTAGTTCGTTTCCTTTCTCCAAAACAAATTTGAGCTCCTCATCCTGCATCCTAGATATTCCCACCGTGTGAGACACTCGCCGAGTATTTGGATGCATCCGTCCAGACTTTCGTGAAGATTGTGGGGTACTTGGCATCTCAGAAAATTCTTGTTCTGGCTCGTTCCTTGGTTCTGGTGCCGTCGATGTAGACAGATTCAACAGTGCACGGAGGATCTCTTGGAAAGCCTCGCTAGGATAATCACTGGTGCTCTCAAACATCTTGGATGAGGCTGCTTGAACTGCAATAACTTCAACTCCTAAATTCGCAGTTGGGATATCATTCCCAGAAATTACCGTGGTTTCGCCGGAAGCATTGGCCGATTTAACCATAGTGCTGGAAGATATACCGATTACGAGTCCAGTGTACTGCAATGTCTCGAACAAAATTGCCCAGGCCGGCTGGTCCAAAGTGGGCCCTAATGCAATGCCGAGATTGAGTAAAGCCCGAAGACAAAGCAGATTTCTTGTGCTCAAAGACGGCGCTGAACTTTCCATCCCAGAAGATTCCGCGGGCAATGAGGTTGTTCTTAGCATATCTGAGCTCTTTCGCGGTTTCTGATAACTCTCATTGGACTGAAAGCCCGTTGCGGTCGGAGTGGCAGGGGCTTGCCCTTTGGAACCGCTTGTGCTCACGGGAGTAGCAGCCTTTCCAAGTGTGGTAAGGAATGCATCACGAGGGACGGAGAGTCTCAGAAGGCCAGCTACATGTGCTAGCTTTTGGAACGCTCGTACGAGGTTGTGGTAATACTCATCGTCTAGGGAAGCGTGCAAAAAGGTGGAGCAGGCTGCAAGAACAGCAGGCCAACAATTCTCCACTATCCCGGCACAGGTCTTAATTGCGGAGTATTGTATATGTGACGTCAAATCCAGAGGATTAACAGGTACTGACGACCGCTTCCCTGGTGAGGCTGTTTGAGCCCTCCACGCGTCAGATTGGAGATCTTGAGAGGATCGAGCAGAGTCGGGTCCCTGATCCGGGTTCGCGTAGCGGCTCTTCTTCTTCTGCCTCAAGTCCGGAACTGTGAGAGGAAGGATAAATTTTCCAAGGCCTTCGGCGAAGCTGCTGATACAGTTGAGAACAAGGCTGTATATATAGGTGTCTGGCGGTAGTGATGGCTCCGTTTTATCGAGTAGCTCGATATAAGGGGTCCGTACAACACTCCACTGGCTGCTGATTCCAGGTACTCTGGTCTCTGCTGGTGGGCCTGTTGACCCTATAACACCTGCGACGCCACCGGTTTCAAGGGCGATCTGATCCTCCGTTGCGGAGCGTGAATGTTCAGCGCGTGATGGCACCGTGGATTGGTTGCTGACCCCGATCAGATTGGGTTTCTCCGACGCGAGCCGAACAAGTGCTGCCATATGATCTCGGAGAACGTTCTTTCTGCTTTTTTCTCCATCGTATAAGGTGTAGATTTGGCGAACAACGCCCGGTTCGGCATAGATACCGCGGAAGACCTCCATACACAAGACGCGTTTCCAGGGCGCATTACCATCAGGTTCAAGCAAATGAGTTAGCAGGCCAAATGCCATCTCACATTCGGCGGGCAGAAGAGACATGTGACGTTTCAGGAGCACAAGAAGAATGCGCGCAATCCGAACAGTCTGGGAAAACGAATGCCTCTCCGAGAGGTATCTCACTGTCAAGGGCATCAAACGAACTCGCAGCACTTGCGAAAGTTCGGGATGACTGACAAAGAGGCGGCCGCTGTTGAGGATGATGCTTTCGATGAGCTCAAGAACAAACGTCAGAGATAGAGTTCTCGTGCGCAGGAATTGCAATTGTTCGCCTTCGATGAGACGGCACAGATCTTCCAGAACTTGCAACGCATCGAACGCGAATTGTCCAACCTCAACCGACTGACCGTCGACCTTGACTGTGGTGGTGGATTTCTCGTCGTGAGGAATTCTGTCTTCATTCGACACCCTTTCAAATGTCGACACCACTAACTGTTGGAGCGTAGCAGCAGCAGTGCTACTGACGGCCATCGTCTTGCTTGCTTGCAAAGTAGCGCATATTTCTAATGTGTTTGCAAGAAGTTCTCCACTAAGCTCGTTGGAATAATACTGCAACAGCGAAGGTAACGATTGGAGGATTTTTAATTGAATATCAAGGCCTGTACAGTGTTAGCAGCCGTGTATCTAATTGGTTTTGTTTTTTCGGCATACTCAGACTCGTCGTCTCTCTCAGGCCAGCAAGGACGTCCTTGAGGCGTTGAGAGGGCAGAGATCGAGAAGCAATCAATCGCTGCAAGCAAATCACTCCGATTCCTGCGAGTTTTGCATGTCGAGTATGACAAGCGATGATGAACGGCTCAACAAAAGTTGGTTTGCGAACAAGATCTATTGCAATTGTTAGTAATCTGAATATTAGTCTCATATATAAGAAACTGACCTGCTGCTATTTGAGCTTCTGAGGTTGAAGGCAGCGCCTTCAACTCGTTAAGTGATTGCTCGGCAGCCTGAATGTCCTTTGGTTAGCATCGCGGTACAAGGGGATACTTGGTAGGGGATCGACTGACATTGCGCAAGTCCGCGTTCTTCCGCCTAGACTCTTGAATGAGGTTTGCAAGCTCAGTCTGCAAAAATTGGGAGGACATTTCCAGCACAATAAGCTAGCATCAACGCATGGCCAATGCCGTTGTCCCAATGGTCGAAGGTCTCCGTGTCAACAAGACTGGGAGCTCTGGAACACGGACGGATCCGCGCGCGGCTTCGTAAGAGGGCGGGATCAAGATCTGTTCAGCTCCGGTATCACTCAGATACAGAGAATCTTCGTCGAGTTCAACTTAGTTGAACAAGGCTCAAAGATGCAGCAGTCAACAATCCCCGGCGTGGCATCTCCAAGTGCCAAGGCTCCGATAAGACCCGTATCGCACGTGATGGAGAGGCTCTCCGAGCGGCAACTGCCCCTCCTCTCTTCCACGAACTTCTCTCACTTCAACGCTGTTCCTTTGTTCTTTCTCTTCGCTTGAATATCTTCCATACACAATGGCCGCTAAGGTGCCGCGGAACTTCCGGCTCCTTGAGGAGTTGGAGAAGGGTGAAAAGGGATTGGGCGCAGGTACATTCAACTCGTCACAACACACGAGACCATACGTATACTGATGTATTGTTCTCAATAATTGCAGAGGCCTGCTCTTATGGCCTCGCCGACGGTGAGGACCTGATGATGAGCAACTGGAACGGAACCATTCTCGGTCCTCCTCACGTTTGTCTCCCCCGCTTCATACCCGTGTCGTCATGCATATCTGACTTAAAGAATTACGATTAGAGCGTCCATGAGAATCGCATATACAGTGTCAACATTCACTGCGGACCCGACTACCCTGATAACCCTCCCACCATTCAGTTCATTTCTGCTGTCAACATTCCCTGTGTCGACCAGCGCTCCGGAAAGGTGGGATCGACCGTGCACCAAGATACAGGACCATGACTGAACGAATTCCTTTTTAGGTCGACCCAACTAAGCTTCCCTGTCTAACCCAATGGAAGCGTGACTACACCATGGAGACCGTCTTGATTGAATTGCGGAGGTCAGATATCTTTTACTTCGGGTCATGAGTATCGATGCTAACATTGTTTCTAGATACATGGCGTTGCCACAGCACAAGAAGCTCCCCCAGCCTCCGGAAGGCTCGACTTTCTTCTAGAGTCTGCATTTCGTCTATAGGGTCCATAAGCAATCCGGAGTATCATGGTCTTTTTCTTTGGCATTTCTCTGCTTTCTTCAATTATGTGATGATTATCCTAAAGCGTGTACAGTCTTTGCATAACAGCATCGGCGCAGTTTACTTGCGACCCAAGCCCTCACACTATATCCCAGTTGATATCATGCGCGCTGACTTAGTGGGTCTCGTATTGGTCAACCGGTCGGCAATGTAGTCACGCCTCTCTTACAGATCAAATTGCCTCTAAAATGTTCATTGCTCGTTAAACAAGTGCGGTGCAGTCTTAACAAAGACTGCAAGCCATATTACTAGTGTCTGCAGCCTTGATGCATGTTTGTATGATATCACGTGATGAGACTGGACGTCGATCTAATCAACCGCGGTCCCCGGATCTTCTGCGATTCCTTCAAGATCGTCTCTTTCACGGCATGGCTAGGTTGGTGGTACCAAGTCACTCAGGAGTTCATCGGTTTGCTTGTAAGATGTCCTACGTTTCATTCGTCTCACTTCAACCCCCTTTTAATTGACATTCTTCTAGGTTTGGCACTCTACCGAGCTCTTCTCCGACAATGTTCTCCTTCGGTCGGTAACCCGCCATGGCTAGCCGAGACACAGTCCCTCATCAAGCAAAGATTCCGAAGATACAGGCAATTACAGAGTCCATCCCAGGCGGCGAATTCTCTGAAGGCCGGATACAAGGTGCGCTTTCCGTGAAGTGGTCTCTGGCCTTGCATATACTGACGTGCGAAATTCTTTGGATTAGACTCTAGATCTACTTGACTCGGCATCAAAAGGAAATAAAGAAGATGCAGGCCATGTCAGCAAAATTCTTTCGCAGGCCAAATCTGTCAAGAAGCAGTTCGCAGCGCAGCAAAGGAAGAAAACAATGGTGGAAAAGCCGTTATCGCCAAATGAAATGAAGAAGATGAAGGCTGTTCGCTCCGAGCTAGAAACTTGGGAACGGAAACCAGACACCCCCTCGATCTTAAATCGCCCACAGCCTGTGAGCGGGAGACGAAAAGTACCGGTCCTGGTGAATGCTCGTGGGATTCCATTCTTGCGCATTAAGAAGCCACAGCCGGCGAATCTAAGTGGAGTTATACGGAACAAGTTGAATAAACGCTGGGAGTGTATAGAAGTGCGAGATAAGCTGCAAACGGAGGTCCTTTTTGCCAAGGATGAAGATGTTTGGGATCGCTTGACCCATGGCGGGGACGAAGGCTCCTGGGCTGAACAGCCCAAGCTTGCTCTGGATAATATCTATCAAAAAATTCATGAAACGGATAGGAAGACTCGTGAAATGGCCGAGAATATGTGGCAGGTTGTTCTTCGGGAACGAGAAGCGCTTGCGGAAGAGGAAAAGCAGAGACAGAGACAAGCTTAGTGTGGTCTCTTGTGGTGTTGTTTTGCCAGCAAACTGTTGATATTCATCGCGAAATGATACCCATTTTCTCTCTTGAGTTGTACTACTATAGCGCATCAATTGCTTAGGGTTTCTATACCCTGGCAATCTCCCAACCGGGGCAGCTAACGGGAGTTTGTATAGTTCACTAGCATGATTTCATTAGGCATTGCCAACCCTTATAAACATGTCTATGCAGAAACCTTGAGCTTATCAACAGCCGGCATGGCATCTTCATCCCCCTCGTCATAATCGGCCCTGCCAGCCAGACCTTGCTCCCACAACTGTCGCCCAGTCAGCTTCTTCTCCTGGGCGCCGGACTTTTTTTTCTTGTCTTCTGCCTCCTTCTCCTCACGTTCGCGTTGCTCCTCGTCACGAATCTCCTTCTGGAACCGCGCATTCCACTCCAAGAACGTCTCTCTATTGACTGGTGTTCCCTGGAATTTGCGGTTCTCTTCTTCCTCGGCCTCTGCCCTGACCTGCTCCCTCTCGGCTTCCACAGCATTCGCACGCTCTGACATAAGAGACTCTGCGCTTTCTTTAAGGGCACTGACGAGAGTGAATACCATTGCCATTCCCATATTCTCTTCAATTATGGGCTGGAGGGCCTCGAGTAGCTGTTCCCGGTCCTCTTGAATGTCTAGCCGAGAATGTTTGGGTGCATTGGGCGGCGAGCTGATGCTGAGCTGCGGAGCGACATCGGGGTATTCTTCAGGGTATGTGATGTCCAGGCATATGATGGGCTGCTCAGATTCTTCTTCATCCAACTCGGGGGGGTCAAGAGTTATCGATACTCGATATGAAGTCTCGGAGATGTCTGGATGTTGAAGTCAAACGTGAGCAGAAATTCACCGACACAGACCAAAGTTTCTTCCCCTTCTATGCACGTTACTCACCTGTGATTTCCTCAGGGAAAATGGAGTCAAGCACCTCGCGCTCCTCAACTTGATCTTCGCGACCCATTGTGTCTGGTCCGCCCGCGGATTGGAGGGGTATCGGGTGGGATATTTGGGCGAGAGTAGAAGAGTTTCACACCGAGCGGTATTAGAAAGCTCGATGAAATCGGTGAGGAGCAAGATAGCGCATTAATTTTTATAGAGAAGATTGCATCGCCTCCGCGCTTGCAACGGTGGGCGATATCAGTCCCGCATGCAAACCCGTCAAACAGCACCAAAATTTTGGGAGCGGAGCTTCTTTTTGCTCCATTCCCGCATTACATCGGTGAACAATTATTCTTCTTCACTCATACAACCAACTTTTCGTCGTTTTCTACGTTTTTTACTTTCCTCCTGCCATGGGAAAACCCAGACCGCAGAAGAAAAAGTCGTCCAAGTCCAGCAAAAAATCCGTCCTCGGCCCTGGTGGCTCGATCTCGAAAGCCAAAATGTCTCAAGACCCCTCCGCATTGCTCGACCAAGCTACTATCCTCTTAGAAACACTTCGCGTCGATGAGGCTCTGGCAACTGCACAGGATGCGCTGGACCTCGCAGCTGGAAATGCGTCTGTGCAGCTTCAAGCGGTGAATCTTCTTGGAGAGATCAACGTCGAGCTGGGCGAGATTGATACTGCCCGTGGATACTTCCTCACTGCTGTTCAGCAAGATCTCAATGGCTCAATACCGGAGGCTGAGGGCGGTGGTGCTGAAAAGTTCCTATGGCTTGCTCAATTGAGTGAGCAAGGTGGGGCAGACAGTGTGCAGTGGTTTGAGAAGGGCGTGTCGTCCCTGAGACAGACTCTGCAGCACTTGGAAGGCAAAACGAAGGCCGAGGATGTTGCCAATGCTGAAATGAAGAAGACCAAGATGGCAAATGCGCTCTGCGCTGTTGCTGAGATCTATATGACCGATCTTTCGTGAGTACTTTTGTTTCTATACACACAGTAGCTTTGGCGCTAACAATCTTACTTTCAACAGTTGGGAAGAAGATGCTGAGGCCCGTTGCGAGGCGCTCATCTCAGAGGCCCTAGTTGTTACACCCAATGCGCCCGAGGTCTTGCAGACTCTTGCGTCCGTTCGGATATCACAGCTGAAGACCGAGGAAGCCCAGGAAGCATTGAAGAAGAGCATGGCCCAGTGGAAGGAAAAGGCTCCCGAAGACCCTACTATTCCTGATTTCCCCGTGCGTGTCAGTCTTGCGCGACTTTTGATGGAAGTGAACCTTGAGCTTGAGGCCCTGGAAGTCGTCGAGCGACTGATTTTAGAGGATGACCAGAGTGTGGAGGCCTGGTACCTCGGTGGCTGGTGTCTCTATCTGCTGGCAGAGAAGCAGGAAGCCCCCAATGATATCAAGGACGACGAAGAATCTCCCAGACACGCTTCGCTGATTGCCAGTCGGGAGTGGCTCAAACAGAGCTTGAAGCTTTACAATGTTCTCCAATACGAGGATGATCGTCTCCGTGATCATGCTATGGAGCTTGTGCAAGAAATAAACCAGGAAATCGGCGAAGACATGGACGATAGTGAAGCCGAGGGAGAGGGAGAAGGTGAGGACTGGGATGAGGAGATTGAAGTTGTTTCTGATGATGATCACGAAATGGCCGATTCATAGATCTCCAAAAAGTTACGATGCATGTACATGACTGTCTTTTTTTCCTTTTCTTTGTTGATACCAAGTAAATGAACCAACTTTTCCCTACAAATCTCTTTTCCTTGTTCGCCACTGAACGGTGCCGGGACCGGATAAAGTTGTCTCCGGTTGATGCAGATGCCGAATTTTGTCAACGAACCCTGCGCGACGCGACGTTGAGGCTGCCAAACTCCCTGCAGGATGGATTTGGTACCAGCGCCGAGCGGGGAGACCCCGGTGAAGTCTCCTGTGGTCGAACTGGAAGCTGTCGACCTCATGGAACAGGTCAACGCGGAGCTGACCGCGCTGGAGGAGGCATCATCCGACTATGAAACGGACAGCGATGATTCAGAGGGCTGGGATCTTCTATCCGATGGCGACAACGCTATTCAAATCATACGTGACGAGCAACTGCGTGATGGGCTCGGTAAGTCTCTGAAATTTCTCACTTTTGTCTTACCCCGGACATCCCCGCTATCGGAATCCACATGGAGTTTGGGCTAACCTTATGCTCTTTCACGTATAGTCCCTGATGCCTGCGCCCTGGAAGAGGCGGTCGCATATCGGCAGCGCTTACATGATATTGGTAAGGCGGCATTCGTGGAAGAGACCATCGCGCGCGAGACCGTGACGGCGAAGAAGCTTTGCACGGCATTTGGAATCGTGCCCCCGGCCTTCCTTGAAGGTGCACCTGACGAGGCATATCACCCGCTGCTGGCGATTGCCATCTCGAGAGAATTCTCCAAGCGACCCAAACTTCCTCAGTATAACTCGATCGACGATGCGGTCAAGCTGCTACAAGAGGCTAAGAACATCATCGTATTGACCGGTGCCGGTGTATGTACCCCCGAATTCTTCTTCCAGAACACAGCTCTAATTCTTTATGGACGCTCAGATTTCGACAAGCCTTGGTATCCCTGACTTCCGTTCAAAAGATACTGGTCTTTATTCGAAGTTGGCGCATCTGGGTTTGAGTGATCCCCAGGAGGTTTTCGATATCCATGTTTTCCAGGAAGACCCTAGCATCTTCTTCTCAATCGCCAAGGATATCCTTCCAACAGAGAAAAAGTTTTCACCTACTCATGGATTCATCAAGCTGCTCCAAGATAAGGGGAAGTTGTTGACCAACTACACCCAGAACATCGACAATATCGAAGGAAATGCGGGTGTTCTCCCAGAGAATATTGTTCAGTGTCACGGATCCTTTGCGACCGCAACATGCGTCAAGTGCCACCACAAGGTCTCCGGTGATGCGATCTTCAACGAGATCAAAGAAGGGGTGATTCCCGAATGCGCTCTTTGTCGAAAGAGAATCGCAGAAGAAGGGCTCAAGCTGCAAGGGGTGAAACGCAAGCGTAGCACGAACTATCAGCAAAAAGATCGCAAAAAGTTTGAGGATAGCTCAGATGAAGATGATTATGAGATTCCCACTCCTGGCGTCATGAAGGTATGTCACCTTCACCTTGGCTATCATCTGCCTTTACAATACTAACAATATCGACAGCCCGATATCACATTCTTCGGTGAAGATCTGCCCGATGAGTTTGGCCAGCGTCTGGTCCACCACGATCGAGAACTAGCCGATCTGGTCATCGTCATTGGAACATCCCTAAAGGTAGCACCCGTTGCAGAAGTGCCGGGAATCCTGCCACGCAACGTTCCGCAGATCTACATCTCGCGAACAGTAAGTCAACTCACCGAAGCTGTATAACTCACGCTAACTTGTTTCTAGCCCGTGTCACACACTGGGTTCGATATCGATATGCTGGGCGATTGCGACGTGGTAGTCTCGGAGCTCTGCCGTCGGGCTGGCTGGGATCTGCAGCACCACATGATACCCGCTGATGAGAAAGTAGAGATCACTCCCGTTGAGGGATACGAATCACGACATGTGTTTAAGGTGGTTGGCGCATAGCTGCGGAGTTTCGGATACTTAGGTCCACGGGTATGGCTGAGGCATGGCGTCTCCGTGGGTTCACGTTTATGACTGCAAGGGTGGTTTCTCGGCTTGTGCTTTCTCGAATGCATTCTTTTTTTTTTTTGATAGATTCGATTTGACTGCGTCTCGGTTATATGCCCAGGTGGTTTGTGTTTGCCTTGATTTTGTGTTTGTAGATAGTTGTCTTTCGGAACAAGGTACAGTATATATTCTGGGCATTGTGATCAATTAATGGAACATCACATGGAAATTTGGACTTCAAAAATAGACTGTAGATCAATACTACGTTCACGGCCCATGATTGATACTCAATCCAACCAAGAGCTCTGGGATTGCACTATCCTTATGTACCTCTTTTTCTGGAGCCGCGTTCCATCGCAGACATTGGAGGCAAAGATCGGGGACCCGAAAAAATCGATCCCGCAGCGACACCCCACCACGAATCTGTGCAGGATCTTCGTGACCCCACGAACAACTATTCACGACAGCAATTATATCTCCATCCACGGAGAGTCATTGCAAGTATGGAGTACATGGTCCGGTTGGCTCAATGCCATGAAACTTTTCGGGTGCCGGAACTTCAGGCCGTGGCCACGCTCGTCGGTGTCGATCTCGAAATTGTCTCTTACGACGAATATGTATGTGCCTACCTAATTCAAGTATCGTGGCCTGAAGCAAGAATAGACAAAGTCAAGGTCCATACCTGGAACCAACATGTCTACCTAGCGCTCGCGTCACTGTCCTCACATTCCTCGGAGTCAGAGCTCGCTAACACCAGAGTAATCAGTCGCCATACTGCATTGTGAAACTTGAAAATGATGAAGCAGCACGCAAGCTGATCTCACGCACCATCCTTGCTAAAGACATCTCGGAGCTTTGGGGCCAAGGCACCAACTATGATGAACTTCATGCCGATGTGAAAAAGCGGACTTCGCACCGCTGGGCTGACTACAACGACATACCGTTTGCATTTGCACTGTATGGGTTCTCCGGGAAACGCACCCAAGAAAAAAGAGTAGAGATTATTAAATCATTCTCCTACACGGGGTTGACTGGCCCTGTCCAACTGAAGAACCCTCCCTTACAGTTCATCGTGATGGAGGAGTACATTGGAGACCCCGAGGCAAGCGCCCTAGGCGTATCACGGATCACGGAACCGCGAAAGGTCTTCCTTGGTCGCTTCATTGCCAACAGCGCCCGCGATGCCATTGATAAGTATGATCTCAAGAAGCGCCAGTATATCAGCACTACCTCCATGGATGCGGAACTCAGTCTGGTCACCGCGAACATGGCACTCGCGGCACCTGGAAAGGTTCTCTATGATCCGTTTGTCGGAACAGGCAGCTTCATGGTCGCTGCATCGCACTTTGGAGCGCTGACTCTTGGCTCGGATATCGATCCTCGGAGTTTCCGTGGAAAGGATGAGGAGAAGGGAATGGGGAAGAACGTCCAAGCAAACTTCCAGCAATATGGTATCGAGAGCAAGTTCTTGGACACTTTCACTTCGGATCTGACCAACACGCCTTTACGAAATGCTCAATTGCTCGACGGTATTATCTGCGACCCACCCTATGGTGTGCGAGAAGGTCTCCGGGTCCTGGGCACGCGCGATGGGAAGGTCATTGAGCCAGTCGTGATTGATGGGGTTCTTAACTACTAGTTCGTTGCTCTTCCTATCCTTTGATATTGACCAACCGTAACTAATATTGCCTTAATAGTCGACCTGGGTATATCCCTCCCAAGCGGCCTTACGGATTCGAAGCCATACAAAGAGACGTCCTTGATTTCGCAGTTCGCTCGCTTGTCCCTAATGGACGTCTGACTATGTGGATGCCCACTACAAACGACGAGGCCAAGGAGTTCCCAGTGCCCATGCACCCAAACCTTGAGGTGATCGCTGTCTCGGTTCAGTATTTCAGTAATTGTACGTGGCTCCATATTTGTAGCTAGCCGAGGATACAGAAGACCTAACATGATCATATCAATAGGGGCCCGACGACTCATGACTTACCGCCGCCTTCCTGAAGGCGAAGTCTCCGACATCTCCAAGGGGAGAAGCAATGCTGATCAGCGTGGCATCACTGCAGATGAGCTCAACGGGTTCCGCCGGAAGGTATGTGCCTACCTATGACCCGTGATGTGCACGTCTCTAACCATAGACTACAGTATCTCGCGAGAAACGATACACCAGATGAAGGCAAAAGCCTGGAGCAATGAGAAATGCATACCAACATGATACATTGCGACGCGACCTTTCTATAGAGCATTTCATCGACCTATGCATTCACGGGAGAATATTTACATGGCTACAGACAGGAACTAAAAATCCCAACAGAGAAGCTCTACAGCTTCCCTCGCTGCTTATCCGACGAATCCTGGCTAAGATCCACCCCCTCGTTCTCCTTAATGCGTTGAACCTCCAGCGCCAGCTCGGCTCTCATAGCCCGCACCAACTCCGCACCCTCCTCATCATCAAGCTCTTCTCGCTGTCCTTTGCCAAACATGGCAAAACCGGGCTTCGCAGCATATGTAGATGGGCGGGGAATAATATGAAAGTGGACGTGAGGGACCACCTGTGCAGCACGGACACCTATTTTTTTCATTTACATTTTATTAGAGCCAAGTGGACCAGAGCTGGGCAACGCTTTCATGTAGATCCAAATCCAAAAAAATGTGAGGGGAGAGGAAGATACATACCATTATTCTGTACAACATTCCAATGTCTGTCCGGGTCATCGCCAAACACGGTCTTAGTCACGACTCGTGAAATGATAGGAAGCCATTTGCCGATCTAGGAAAAGAAGTTAGGAAAGAGCACTGAAGTAGTCAAGGACAAAGATAGCAAGCGAAGCTTCCGATTTGACGCTGGGAAATTGGTCACGCTAGGGGAAAGGAATTTACATACCTCCTGTCCCGCCTCAACACCCATGTCGCCTAGCATCTCATAGTGCCGTCTAGGCGCCACAAGGACATGGCCACGTGTGAGAGGCATAATATCCAAGAATGCAAGGACATGGTCGGTAGATAGAATCATATGCGCCGTTGTCTCAGTGCCTGCGTCTGGAGAGACATGTCTAGACTCCAGCTCGGTGAAGGGGGCGGACGGGTTGGTTGTCCCGATATTGCAAAAGGGGCATCTTTCAGAGGACATGATAGGATGTATGTGGAGGACTCTCGGGGTTGGACCTAGGATGAAACTCCTTTAGATTCTGAGAGCAGTTGGTTCGGGAAATGAGATATGGCAAGGGTCCTGAGCTTAGACCTGTGGTCCTCAGATTGGCCTTCACCGCCCGTAACTCTCTAGGATAATCAATTGATCGGCAGTGGATTGGGGTGTATGATACAGGTCAATTAGAATGCGAAATCTGGAATGTGATGAAAGACTTTGTGTGCTGTTTGAAAGTGTCAACAGATCGGTACACTGAGGTCCGGGTTGAGTCGATCGCGGTCATCGGCGGGGCGAGCCTCGGCTACGGAACATAACTATCCAGTTGCTAGTGAACGTTGATTCTCCGCGCATCTGATCCAGAAGGGGGCCTATATACAAATTAAAAGCAAAAGAATAGAATATAAGATCAGAATTGCATCCAGAAACCACGCCAAGCATCCAGCGCAGGAAGCACTATCTAGAAAGGACAAAACACAAGCCTGAAACCACCTAATTACCTCCTCCAGTCCAGCCATCCAATATGCTTGCCAACGGAGACAACTTCAACCGGAGTACTCAACGCCGACAGATAGAGACAACTCCATCAAAGAACACCCAACAATCCTCCAGGCCTTGCAACATCACATTTTGTTCCATCTGCAAGTTCCACACTGACATGAGACCAAGAGACTTGAACAAGTCATACCGTATTTCCAGGGCTCACAGTGAGACGTATAACCCGAACGAAGATAAATCAACGGTTGCAATAAGGTGAAATTCCGATCTGAAAAAATGAGGAGAAGAAAAGAACAATAGAATCCGACGCCGGTAACAGGACCGCGAATGAGAATGGAAAGGTATCAACCCCATGCACAAGAAAACACAATCCGAAAGAAAAAACCACAGGGCTGAGCGCCAGACACCCCCCGTCACAGAACACAAAATGCGGAAGCGCACAAATTCAATCAAGTCATCGTAAGAATATGCAAAAGGTATTCAATACCAGCACAATGAAATGCCAACATATGGAGGGATTCGATTCTCCCTGGTCGAATGGCCGCGAGAGCCTTGGGGTCGTCATGAAGGAAAGCGAAAAATTCGACACAGGGCTAGCATAACATCATAATGGCATCATTACTGTTCATCCTTGATGTAAGTGTACGGCTCCGACAGGGAGCTGTCGATGTACATGCTGTGGTACTTCTTGGCCCACTGGCGAGTCAAGATAGAGGCTGGGAGGGAAGGGTTAGTAGAGCAAATGGAAAAAGAGAAACAGGAAACTCACCCTTCAAGAACTTCTTGCTAGCATATTTCTTGAAGAAGGCCTCGTGAGACACAGGACGGTGAAGATAATCAATCATTAGGCGGAAAACGGGGTCGATTTCCTTTTCGGTATACCCGGCATAGTGGGAGAGAGTGGCATCCCAGGGCCCACGTTCGAGAATGAGACGAGCCAAGTACATGGCGGCAGCGGCAATGTGGCTCTGAGGGTAGCTCATGAAGCGGTGGTCAAGCAGGCTGATCTCCATCAAGTACTTGCCCAGAGTGCGGGTCTGGATATCATAGTTGTCGGCCTTGGAGATACGGCGCAAGAAGTTCATGGGGTTGGGGAAGCTCATGTTGTACTCGAGGGTCTGAAGAACGTGGCGCTCGGCGTCCAGGATTTCCTTGTCGGAGAAAGTCTCGTCGGCAACGTGACTGAAGTTGGCAACGTGAGGAGAAAGAACCTCCTCATATTTGGAAGCGATGAACATGGCAGTAACACCAACGAGCTGCAGACGATCCAAAGCGACGATCTCGGCGGACAGGAACCGGTCAATGATGTTGACGGCCAGGAAGAGAGTCTCGGGGAGCAGACGGAATCGGGTGTGGACCTCAATCAACCAGTCAACAAGGATGCCACGCATCTTCCACTCCAAATCATGCTGATGGTCGATGTACTGGGGGTTAGGCATTGTGACCATCTCGAGGTCCTTCAAGTAGTCAAAGATCTCCACCACATATTCAGCAGCCATCAAAGGGTCGTCCAAGTCCTCGGTGTCCAGGTCGTGAACGGCCTCCTCCACGGCATCCGTGATGCTCGTTTTAACAGCCGGCTCATCTTCCACCTCGGGGGCCTTCTGCTGCGTGTTGGCCTTCTTGAGAGGAGGCTCCTCTGAAGTCGAGTTCGGATCCTTGTTGGGAATCTGGCGCTTCGCAGCGGGTTTCTTGACGTTGGGATCGCGAGGGCCAAGGTTCGTCCGTGTTGAGTTTGCGCGGCTGGGCTTCTGAATACCTCCAGTCTTCACACCGGCCTTTGAGGTCAGGCCAACCTTACCAGCCACAGCCTTCTTTCCGTCCTTGGCTCCACCCGCGTCGACCTTGTTGACATTGCTGACATCTCCGAGAGCAGCGCGGCGAGTTCCACTAACGGCAGAAGGAGCTCGCTTGACGATGGGCTTCTTGATCGCGTCGGAAGGACCGTCAGTCTGAGCGGCGGCCTTGGCCCGCGTCAAACGCGTCGAGGGTCCGTTCTCATCGTTCTCATTCATCGTGCCTCGGGTGCGAAGGCTACGGACCTAGATGATAGTCAGCTTCGCCATTCAGATCGCGACGCGTCAAGTTGTTGATGGAGACTCGATATCAACTGTCAACGCGAAGTGTCACGGTCGGGATAGCTTACCTGCGGCATCGTGGGAGGAAATCAAGAAGGAAACAGGAAGAGGGAAACGGCTGAGGAAAAGGAAGGGAGAGGATTGCAACTCTCCTGCTCCTGTCGGCTCAAGTCAGCATTCCGTTGGGCATTACCTTGGTGGGGACCTCATACCAGAGGCACAGGATCAAGTGCACGTACCACGCGTGAAAATGCAGTCCCAAGGAACTACACTCGCTTCGAGACCGATGTAGCGTTGGATCGGACGAGGTTGGAGGTGATGAGTCGCGAGTCACGTCACATACACAATTCGATGATGTTGTTGGAGACCCGTGAAGACTTGTGGTTTGCCACGGGATAAACGCGCGGGAATAGGGGATTGAAGGGTTCAGAGGTATTCGAATTCACACGTGGAGCCCGAGGAAATATCACCCAGGATAGAATGGGGGTTATGGAGAGGGGATGAAGGGTATCTTGAAATGGAATGATGAAGGGAAAAGGAAGAACTCGAGAGGGCCAAGCGATGTTTGGCCCTACTCTGCTAGCGCGGAAAACCGGTCAGACCTGACTTGACGCCCCACTCTTGAGGTCGCGCGGAGAACGATACCCGAAAGAAATGAGACCAAAATAGGGATGCTGCGGTGATCAATATTGTAATTGAAGTACAAAATAGGAACCCGGAATCTTCAATCGAAGATAGGAAAGGAAGAAGTAGAGGTAGATCCGACAATGAAGGGGAAGGGGACAGGACGGTGGACGGTTACCTCGTAGTAACAGTGAAATGGTAACAAAGTGGGTACGCGAGGGCGCGGCCGAAACGTGAGGCGCGAGGGCTAAACAATCGGTTGCCGGGCAACCAGCGACTCTTCGCGCGGCTGCGTCACGATGGGTCACGTGATACCGTATTAATGCCTGAGGCCTGAAGTACTGCTGTATGTCACGTGCCAATACACCCAGAACTTTTTGTCCTGATCCCGACTGGTCGAGCTTGTCCAGGCTGAATTGAAGACCCCGGTGGCCCTGGTTCTCCCTCGTCTCCATCTCAATTCGCTCTCCTGCATTCGCTGGATCCCCTATCCAACGATGCTTCAGCCCCGACTTGTCCTCCGGGGCATTTCGCTTCCATTCAGGTGTTTACCTGCCCTCCCATCAATTCCCGCTCGCCGCTTCGCAACCGTCATCAATGAGCTCGAAATCCCATCTGAGAAAGCCTCCAGCGCTGGCATCGATTCTTCCGTCTCTTTCGATCCTCCCCCGGCTCGCGGCGACATTGGCGTGAATGTCCGCAAATACACTCCGCGCACCCCCGGTGTCCGACACTTGCGACGACCCGTTAACGATCACCTCTGGA